CGGCTCGGCGTCCGCGGAACATTTTTGTGGAAGTAGTCATGAAATTGTTGAGTTCACTCGATGGAGCGAGGGCGGCGTTGATGTATTGCTGTGCTCCGTTCCATGTTTCGTCCCTTGAGCTGTGAAACGGCATCTGGTCGATCATGAGAATGGCAAGCCGCACTTCTGTATCGCTACTGCGCAGACATGCTGTCTTTTGCCTGCAATAGTTTGTTTCTCTGCATGTCAGATCGATTGATTAACTTGCTCGTTTTGTCTTGGCCCTGTCTCCTTCGCCTATTTCTCTTGCATCGCCACGTCTGCAGGAACCGCCATCCGGCGGACAGGATTAGATATTTAGTCTATAGCGTCAGTACGGACAGGTGGGTAGCGACTAGCACTGTACATAGGGACGTGACAGTAGCCCTTCGTTAACGTCCGCGCGTCTCTTGGCGACGACGTTGGCGAGGAGCCGCGCATATCGCCAGCGCGGGGTTGGTTTACCTAGCATGGGTGTTTTGCGTCACCGGTCCCATGTCTATGCACACACATATCGGGACGGTGATGGAGATATTGCATATATATGGTAGCAATATCAAAAAGAAAAAGTTCTGGGTTACACAAGCGGAGGACCAACGCTACTGTCAACTTTATTGCTGGCTGCAGTCCCGCTTTTTTTAGGTTACTTGAACTCTTTCCTTCAGCGGCTTTGTTCGGTGCTGTTCAGTTTTGAAGTGTATACGGATTATACTTGAACCCTATATAGCGGTGACCATCCGGACCAGTGGGCGACCGTTACTTTTTGAGCTAAATCTGTACATGTAGGCAGCTAAACGTCCACCAAAGTTACGGAACGCAGGTCCCCTGCGAGCAGCCGTCAGTTAACTGTTGTTGGCGAAGCAGGGAGCGATTGGCGCTGTGCCGTAGGTATGTGAATGCAGGCTGGTAGCAGCGGCTCTGGTGGCCGACGCCACGGCGACATGTCTGCTTCGGGGCTGCTCCGATCCTTGATGGCGGCGCAATTGGTGGAAATATGTGGATGGGAACCTTCTCCCGTGGGACCGAGACGTCGTCAGCCTTGTATCTCTACAAGATCAGTGGGTCTGGTTTCGTGAACATGATCGGCCTTTTCTACATCGCACTTGTTGTGTCCCGCCGTCTTTGGACAATGACAGGTTTGAACTGTCGCACATTGACCAAACACATCATGCCTGGCGGAATTTCCTTATCCATTCCCCGTAGTAGGTAGGGCAGGGTGCACACAACAGTCTATTCAGGTCAGGGTCTTTTGTAAGCTGGTGTGTGGCAAGCGTTGAATTGAGGTGCGGAAAAGAGACTTTGTCTTAGTCATACTACAAATTCTTGTCCACAGCACAGCGTCGTGATGCTTGTGGTTTCGGCGCTACTGAGCGCAGATGACACCTCACACGTGACTTCGGGCAGTGGTTCGGAAGGTGGACACCGAAGGCGACGGTGTTCCTGGAGCCCTTTGACATCGCTTGGAAATGTCGAGCAATAAAAGGAATTTCTCAGCATTTGCGTGGCTGAGATAGCGGTTACGATCCGAGGCTCTGGACGTCGACTTTTGATTTTCGCTTCTGCCCTTGACCGTGGATCACTGTCAACCCTGATTCTTCGTTGCCTTGGCTAGAGGCGCCCTGGTCGTTCATCGTGTTGTCTGATTGGTCTCTGGGCTGGCGCTCCCACGAAGTCCACATGGTGTCCGACGAGGTGGTTCCCAAAAATGGTTCCGGGCCCTGTCAGTGAGACTTCGATGGTGTCATTGTCGATGTCTACACATCAGGGGGGGTTGGATAGCCACAGATTGAAAGGGCTGCCAGCAGCAAATGGGCTTGTAACGGCGTTCCCACGAATATGTACGGCGACGAACAAGGAAATCTCGGGTGCTTAGGGGGAGCATGATCTGCCTTTTGCAAGGCCTGCCATCGAGAGTTTTGTGCTTCCAAAGCCTCGTGTTTACCGATTCGATCAACACGTCAAGCGGCGCACAACGTCGATTTTAATCTAAAATTTGGGTTGCCAACCTGCAGCCACTCCCGTCGTTACAGAACCGACTGTCAGGATGCATTATTGGAGAGCTGGCTGTTGAAACAGACAGTGATGTTATGAGTGTTGCGGATAGATGCAGAGGTCGCCCAGCGTTTGTTACCGACGATACGGTCCAGTACAGTGGGCGTACGGTATCTTACCACATCCGTTGGCCCAGGAGCTTCGGCTTCAGGCAGCGCTTCCTGAGAGTTTTAGGTGGAGCAAACCGGACGGTCCACATGGCTGGGTTGCCGAGAAGCGACGTGCTGGGGTGTGTGACCAGGGGTGGCTGACGAGTTGGTGTCGTTGGCGTCAGGGAAGATGCTCCTGTCAAGAGGCCGGTGATTCTGATGTTTTCTGCTGTCACATCACGGCAGTTACAGCAGTGTTTTGTTCTGCGCGTACGGAGTACGTACGAAAGCGTCACAGAGCAGGAGGCATAGAACGGACGCTTTGAGAGTGTGTATTTTTGGCATACGGAGCGCCTATCACCGTCGATCCCATGTTTCTTGAAGGCGAGATGTTTGAGGGCTGCTCTTCATTCACGCTTCTGATGCTTCTGTCTGATGACTGACGGACGACCGATCTGCGTCCAACCGATATGGTCCATTGCTGCCGGAAGATCTGACGCGGCGCAATTCGAAACAAGGCCCTCATCGCTGCACAACTTCAATTTCAGTTCCATGAATTCTTCTGGATCATGGAGATCGGGAATTGGAATTTTGAATTTGAAGTGACTTTGAGGACGAAGCTTCATTTGGCTTTCTGTGCACAGCTCAGCTCCGATACCATGTCCTCATGCTCACCGCCTTACTGGGTAAGACAGATGCCGTGCACACAATCCGTATTCACAATAGAAGTCGTCGTGGCCTGTTATTGTTGCACTTCCGTTCAGGGAAATGCCGTATCATCGACACATGATGGGCTCGCTGGTTCATCAGGCGATGAAGGAGTTGCTGATGACAATGAGATGAAAAAGGGTCGCAGAATGGCAGGGACGGTTAGAAACGCCCCCACATTTTTCCTGTTTTGCAGCCATCTGGCTCGACTTGGCTTGGGGCCGTTTCGGTTAGCGTTCCGAGATCCTTGTCTGGCAGGTGCAAGTCAGTGCTGCTGTCCGACGACCTGGCAGCCTGGGCGCTGTGGACAGTCACTAACAGATTACACTTGCACCAAAGCAGCACAACAATTGAATCACTGGGTCGACCGGATCGCAGATCTGAGGGGGCCAATTGGATGGCGCCCTGAGAAAAAGCTTTGTGGCCAAATGCCGAAGAGTACGCAGCAGCCCTTCCGGCTCCCGGATTTTGTTCTGTCCTGTTGCTGCGTTGCTGGCGCGGGAGTATCCAGTATCCAAGAGTTGGAGAGTCTGTCGGGCCACTGCGAAAAAGCACGTCTGTCCCCGTGCATGCACTAGACGATGCGAACAAGCCATTAACAGCCAGAATTTTGCTTGTTTTTTTCGTACGAGATATCGTGGCTGGAGATTTGCGGATTGCCAGCCGTACGTACATACGGATGTCTGCCCAATTCCTGATACCCTGCACAGCAGAACTGGCTGACGTGCTCCCAGGACCAGATAGGTACGCTTTTGGCATCCCGGCCTGTCCCCTAATCTTATCTCTGAGGGGCCCAGTCATCCAATCTGGCCCAATCCCTCTAGCCCCAGCCCAGCCCATTGAATCCAACCCAATCTCCCCTGATTAATCCAGAGACGCGCTCGGCGATTGCATGTGATCGGGGCCTCAAAGCACTCCATCTGCCCACGGATTGCCGAGCTTCCTCAGTCGCGAACGGAGGCTCGCTGGCCGTTTTTTTGGGGATAAGTGGACAAAGCGAGAGTATGAAAGAGTAGGTATGATCGAGGCCACTGTTCGATCCTGCCAGCGGTACCTACCAGAGCAGGCAAGGCCGCAATGCACAACCACATCCTGGAAACTCCCGGTGTCCCGTCATCATGTCAAGTGGCAGGCTGCCAGTCCCTCGGCTCAGAGCAACCGGAAGCGGGTGGGCAGGGCCATCTGACGTGTGGCCGTGTGGACAGGTACACAACTCGCCGTACACAGGCCGCATAGTGCACAGCGTATATAAACAGATAAAAAGACCGTCCACGCATGCGCAAGACGGATCGGTACAAAGTATCGTGACATTAGCGAGCCATGGCGCATGCCGGGTGACGAATGCACTGCAGTGCTAGCACCGAGCAGGGGACTCAGAGACGTGGGTCGGCGCCGTTGACCCCACGCGATCGATGGCAGCTCCACACAGTGTTTCCTGGAGCGCGACTTGGAGGGGCGTATTGGAGCTTCGGTACATGGCCCCGGTGTCTCTCGCCGTGCAAGGAACAATGTGCGCTGCCTCCCCCCCCCCCTTCCCGGGAGGAAACACCATGGCCGAGGATGGGGAGCCCTTGTCAGCCCCGGGACGACGAGGGTGTCTCGTGGGTTGTCCTTGGGCTGTCTTTTGACCTCGCATGCTTCGCCGGTAAAGGAATAGTCGTTCCGCCCTTGCTGCCCCCTCTATCTCTTGTCATTCATTCCCATTCATACATATGGATGAGCCTCCCCTCCCTTCTCTCCCAGGTCTCAAGCTGTCTTTATATTGGCTGCCTGCTGCATGCATCTCTGGGTTTCCGACTCCCCATTGCTCACGACAGATCTCTATCTCTCGCTCCAGTCTCACTCACAGGCTGGTGATGTGTTGATATCCGACTACGACATCCTCAGGGCCCGAGTGCTGCAGTACACTACTAGAGACTCGCGGCGTTAGAAGGCATTGTTGAACATCTCGACACATTTGGGCACGGCATTGTGACAGGAACGACGACAAAACCCCTCTCTATCGGTCTCCAACTTTGACTCATCGACGACGCTACACATTCTGTAATACTGGGCCTACCTGATCGAGCCCCACTTTCGATTTGTTTTTTGCTTATTCGATCGGCTCTTATGACAACTACAATGGATTTCACAATGCAGGTATGTCAGAGACATGCGTTCTCATCAGTTTTTGAAACTCTCTAACTCAGTCTTCAGTCACGACCATACGCTACTTCTCTCTCGGCCCTCTGCGAGGTCGCCGTTAAGAAGCTCGACAGCCCTCCAACTCAGAAGATTTCCATTGCCGGCCTCTTGTGCGATGAAGCCCAACCGGCACCTGCTCAGAAATCTTACCACCCTCAAACACCCAGCATGAGCCCTCCATCAAGAAGCGAATCATTTCTGCCTCTACCCCAGCAACAGCAGCAGCAGCAGCAGCAGCAGCAACCCCAGCAGCACTTCAGACCCTGGGAGATTCAGAGCCCCACCAGCACATCCGAGACTTGGGAGACCCCTTCTCACAGCGCTTCCGCGACCACATCAGACCAGCAGCAACCCATTTCTCCCCGCACTGACCTGGTCCCACGCCGGATATCGGCTCCTCCTCCTCCCCCCCCTCGCCCCGGTTATGAGTACATCTTGTACCGTGGGCAGTGGGTTCAGAGCCGAAGCATGGCGAAGCTGCACAACCTGTCCTGCGAAGTCCGCAGCCCAGGCTCCAAGAGCAGCTCGTCGTCGGGCAGCCAAACCGGGGAGAAGAAGACGCGCAAGGCGCTGCCGGCACACGTGGTCGCCATGTTTATGACGTGGTTGTTCGATGACGATTTGTATAACTTGTCGTATCCGTTCCCAACGGCCGAGGAGAAGAAGATGTTCATGGCTGGTGGCGTGACCGAGAGCCAGGTCAACGGGTGGTTCATCAATGCTCGCCGGCGCTGCATCCGTGATATTATTGAGGAACTTAACAAGCAAGGCGTGCCCATCAAGCAACACAAGCATCGCCATCCACCGCCGGGCCACGACCAGCGAAAGAAGAATCTTACCTTCTCCAACGCGCTGCGCGAGAACAGCCTGTATGCTCAGCACCGTCGTGCCATTGAGGCTGTGCGTGCCACCCGCCGTGCTAGGAGCCGTTCTCCGAAGGAGAACGCCCTACCATCGCCCAAGTGGGAGCCGATCATGTGCTGAGTCTCTCAAAACCAGATACTTAAGCAAATGTACCTGAAAAAGGTGGCTTGGAAGGTTATTTTTCTTGGCGCAAGACATGCTAGTGTACATATTCATTTTTTTTGGATTACGGGAAGGTCAAAAAGGGGTAGTCGCACAGGAATGGCGTTTGGGACATTTGTTTCGGTACATACGGATACCTCTGAGCATCATCATGGGATTTTGCATTGGTACGGTTCATGGCCGGCGTTCAAACATTATTATACTGCATTTATCGGCATTTGTGGCATACCATTTGAACACTTGAGCATTTGGCATCTACTATTGACAAGCATTTTGTCTACTGTATAGTAACTGCCCAGTGGCAGAGAATGCATTCATATGACAGATCAGAGCTGAACAATTCAAATTGTGATATGTCAACGTATTATGAACTCGTCCTTTCTCTCTCTTGTGTCAAGGTGGCTGTTGTGGAACTTGAGCCCCTTTTGTTGATATGATCCACTACGCGTTGCCAGAGCGACCACGTCAAGTAGCCATTCTTCAGCTCACATCAACCTCTTCAGTTCCTCGAGGATAATCAATTCAATTATCTTGTTTGATTTAGAGACTAAACCTTTTGATCAATGTTTGGCTCATGAAGTTGGGCTTGGTTGCAATCTGTTTTGTCAGTAGAGCCCCACCTACTCTGGAATGCCTAGAAAGGAGGTAGGTACGGATTGCCTCTGACTACCCCTACCAAGATGAAGACAGGGACTTGAGATCGATACTCAATAAATTCGGTGACGAGAAAGCAATATGTTACTAGAAACATGGCAGTTACAGCCTTTCTGCCTTACCCCTCGTACTTCACCATCTCATGCTCCTCATCTGGTCATGCATGCCGTGTCACCGATGCTAACCGATTTCCCTATGCAGTTTTTGTCGAAAAAGGAAAGAGAACGGCGCCTTTCTCGCAGACTGAATATGCCACTGCGGCGTTATACTCACGATCGGCATATTGATCATATGTCCTTGTTCTACCATCACCGGACCAATCTAATGCATATGTGCAGATGTAGATAAAAAGGGGATACTGGCGAAGCACTTTGTGCAAAGAATGAGAATTGAGTGAAATAAACTGCCAAAAAATACAGGGCATATCGAGGAGACGATGATATGTTGTCGTGCTGTAGAAGCGGTCAAGAGTCAGACAGGTGCGCAAGCATCGGAGGCCCCGAGTCTGGTTCAAGCTGAGCTTCGTATTCCTTCCTGTCGAGGCAGCTCGAGTAAGATGCTGTGCCCTGGGCGGTCTGTGTAAGTGTTGCACTTGCATCAGCAGGAACATGTTTGTCTTCCTATCCTGTCTTTTGCTTACCTGTTTACCAACATGTTTGCTCTCATAGGTACCTTTTTGGGTTATTATGGGAAGAAGGCTAGAGGAAAAGCACCAGCGAAGTTTGTGGCAAACATACATTTGATGAGTCTACTTTACTTCTTGTTTACGCTCTTTGAATAGTGTCGATACGATAAGGCATCTACTAAGCCTACCTTTTCAGATGCAACTAGCCGGACGGAAATTTTTACACCTCCATGACCGACGATCATTAAGTGAATCCTCTACATGATAGCTCTAATTCACCATAATGATGGCGGCGAGGGTTCCTCAATTCAGCGCCGATTCTCTCTTCTTGATCCGGCCACTTCCTTTCCATCAAACATCAACTCACTTGCCAATACATCCCCACCAAGTGTCACGAGGGACAACCCAGCCTCACGCTTGTGAAACCTCGCCGCTTGTGCGACCTGCCATACCGAAAATTCTGATATGGAAGAAGCAGAAGAAGAAAAACACAGGACAGATCGGCGTCGGCGATACGCAGGCCCATCGCGGCAGTCATGTCTCAAGGGCCACACACACACTGTACGTATACACGCGCGCCGTGTACGTAGTAGTAAAGACATGCTGTTGTCCCTCACCCACCGATCTGGGTGGGACAGATCTACCTTGTCTGCCTTCGCCTGACGGCAAGGCGTCTAATGTTGTGGTACGCATTACACTCTCTCAACGTGAAAAAGTAAGATGGAGGGGAAGAAAGGGATGGGGGACGAATCGAGCGGGGATTACCCTACGTGGGATATTGAAGTTTTTTAGTAGTTGTTTTGTCACGGAGTCGGAAAGTTCGTGGGACGTCGCGCACGTGAGCACCGAGAACGGCTGGGGTCGGCCTAAGCAAGTCGATACTGTTTCCGAGAAGTTCACGTTCTCGGTTACTTGCTGAGGCGCCGTGGTGGTGGTTCCTATTCGAAAGTCGTCTCCATGTACAGATTCTTCCCTCCGACTTTGCCGCAGTATGCGACATAATTTTATTTCTCTCCTGTCTACGATCTTCTTCGGAATCGGCGACACGCATGTCGATGAGGCATGGATGACCGATTAGACCCGGGCATGATGAACGTTTTGAGCGAGTTGCAGTCTGCAGTGACTACTTGACCTCGAGCAGCGGTCTAGGCTCTGGGAGATCTCAGGTCTTGGGCCTGGAGCCTGACAAAAGTAGCTTATCTCGACCTTGTACAGATCTCATAGAAACACGTGGATGAGAGATCGGGACCGATCGGTTTTAACGACCTTAATTGACGTCCTCGTGTTCTGAAGCCTAGTTGCTTACACTGCAGAGCTGTCGGCTGTCAAAGGTGTCGTTTGGTACGCTCTGTTGGGCACGGTTACTTGGTTGGGCACTTTCGAGTCGTCAGGCAACCAATTGAAGCCGGAGTCGTAGTATCAGTGACATGGCGCTCCAGAAGCGAACAGTTTGATGCTTTGCAAAAACTTGACGTGGGAACTCCAGGAAGATATCTCTTAGCTCTTGTTTGTGATCTGTTTGACAAGCTCGACTACACAGGGAGGGTCAGTGACAATCATTCATCGTGTTGAAAGGGGAATATAGGGTTAGGGTTATGTACTACAGCAAACGGACCGAATATTGTTACTCTTTTTCTCAAGTTCTATCATCTTATCCTAGTTCGTTGGATAGCAACGATATTGAAAGCTGAGAACTTTACAGTTCCTAATGATGTCAATATGAGCTGTCCTTCGGTGTTGATCCCAGTCAGGGGCAGTTCAGTCAACAAGGCCCTGTTGCCGGAGCGATAAGGCAATTATCAGGGTTAGGGTTGAGCTCAAAACTACTCCTCGAGCCATCCTTGATGCACCTTTTTCCTCCAAACAGAGAGGCAAAAATTTTGCGAAAAATAAAAACCAATGTTTCTCAGTCAAAAGACTGAGTTGCAAAATAAATCAACCAGTTATCTGGCTGTGGTTAACACTCCGATACGGGGAGTCGAACCCCGAGCTTCGCGGTGAAAACGCGATATGTTAACCGTTACACTATATCGGATTTCTTGGTGAAAAGCCCCACAAACCGACATTATGACAAAGCGCAAACGCAGTTGTGCACGGCGTAACAGGAATCAACTTTTTGAATTCTTTGTCCTTCTGATGTGTATCCTCGACAAACTTCCATCTTCTTCCTTCAATCCGACAATTTCCCTGGGTCCTAAAAAAGCCAGAAGGCACAGAAGCCTACAGCTCAACTATGTCTTCATCAAGTCCAGCTGTCAGCGTAGAGATGTGTATCATATTTGACCAAGAGAGAGTCTTCCTTACGGTCTTAGGTGCACCAAAACTCATTTGAAACTGATCCTACAAACGTTTCAATCCCGAGTCTCACAAGTCATATGTATCTTAAATATCATTATGAAGTCGATTCCATCTGTCGCCCTGCCGAGATCTGGTTATTCTAGTCTGGCATTTTCTGTGACATCTCCATTATCTTCCCGTCCATACCACACAAGTTCCGATGACCTCAGGCAGAAGTGCATTTGTTATGTTCATTGGAAAACCATATGTAGTTGTTCATTAGGGGTTGGAACCACATCGCGCCCATGAGATCGAAACGGGAAATATCAAAGGTCGATCTTGTGCTCGTGCTTGTAATCTCTGTTGGCACTCCTCCACGGCAATCTGTAGGCTAGCCCTGATCCTTAGATGACCTAAGTTCAACAGAAGAGAATGCGTTCGCGGCAGTGCTAGACATACAGACGGTTGTAATGCTCACGGCATGCTGATACATCTGCCGAACGAGCGGCTAGCAGAAGTTGCCCCATCACAGAGAGCTGGTCGAAGTTTTGTTGAGCCGATCGTGTCAGAATACTGAAGATGCCCACCACCAAACGATTGCAGAAGTTTGTCGTTAAATCTCAGAGTTCTCTCACTGTTATGGCGCGGTGCTGAGGGGGTAGTAAAAGCTCCCTGATGGCATTTACCCTCTTGATCCCAGGTTTAGGAAACTCCAAGAGCTTTTCAGGGGACAAATCGATACACAGTGACAATCGGATCGATAACAAGGGTGCAGAAAAGTTAGAAAGAGCCCAAGAGAATGGACTCTCATCTGAACTTTATTCCATCATCTTGGCTCCGAAGCACTTCAGACTTGCAGTACTTCAAGAGCAGCTTCTCATAGACATCCACATCTTTCCCCCGAACCATCCTTTTGTCCCTGCTTGCAATGTGTCCCAGCAATCTATGAACTAATTTAGTTGCAACAGGCAGAGCAGCCGCGATCCTCTTCTTATGGAAACGGGCTCTGCTCCGGGCACTTCAGACACTTACCATTCATTACCAGGAGGCACAAAATGAGGACCTCCCAACTAATTTCCTGCTACTCAGCTATTCAATCTGATGCGGTAGAACAGTCATTGCAATCTGCGAGATGAAGATTTGAACATCCATTTATTTTTCGCTTTTCACCGATTCTCTTAATCCTTGACAGTTCAATTCTGCTACTTTCCACTTGCTGACACCTAAAGAGCGTCTTCGGATGTTTTACATGAACACATCCGCCCAATATGTCGACTCAAGCGAGCTCGTTGCTGTCTGAAATTCATCCAGATTCATCCAGAAGCTCCTAATTTCGACCGGGAAGGCAAGAAGCAAAGGCTTCAGAATTTAGGGATTGATCACGATTATCCCACCTTATCGTGGCACACATCACCAAACATTATGAGAAAACCACCCCCCTCCATGGCTTGACCTTCGTGCTGTTTTTAGCCAGTTGTCAAGGTCCGTGGTAGCTATATGTATGGCGGCAAGCATGCCACTGTCAGGCCGATAAGATTATCTCTAGCTGAATTTGAGAAATGGATGCAATGGAATAAGTCCCAGAGAGAAGCTATCAGTATGGCCCCGATGCTTTAAAACGGGACGCTCTCCGATATCATGGCCCTGGAGTTTGTGAATAAGGGGTGAGGAGACAGTCATCCCAGTGAAAGTGGGTTACTCCATACGTTCTCTCTCAGGAAATACGGGCTTGTTCAGCTAGCATCTTAGCATTCTAAGTCTGTCCCTCTGGGTGTCTGGTATGAAGAAAAAGCAAAAATTGGTAGTCAACCGATCTGTCATATTGACATCTGTGGGAATAGTTTTCGAGAGAGACTCAAATATGGACTCCTGAGTGTAGCCGGCTTCATCTGTCATCTGCTGACTTTTGTTAGCACGAATAAAAGAAAGCTAAGGAAACTAAGAGCCTACCATATCTCAAATCTAATCGGGAAAAGGCATAATTCAGGGGGATGCTACCTCGGATCATCTAGTTGCCCATATACTGGTAGCTGATCCTAAGTCACAGGTGTGGATGAGGAACTATACACTCCTTGAAGGCATGCTGTGGTACAAGGCATTTCAGGGAGGGATGTGCTGAATGCACTCTTTGTGCTCTCGAACTGGCAGCCCCAGCCTGGGTTATTGATTTGCTCCCGGGGGGGTAAACCCTGATGGTATACTTTTAGGATCGGCGGTCTCCAGGAAAAGACTCTGTTCTGGAGGACGCGCTTCTGCCGTGGATCAGCCTTGATCAGCGATTTGGAGGTCGCTCTCATTCCATCTGATATCGTTTCCGGGCCTACGCCTTGACCATCTGGCAAATAATCATCCACTTTGCTGCCGTGGTCTGTGTGCTTTCCTAGCCTGACTGCCTGGCGTTGTAGAAAAGCAGAGAAGCCCTCTAATCACTCACGCCCTGGGAACACGTAAAAGATCCCCAGATTTTCACCCACACATTTTCTTTTTCTTCTTCCTACAACTATTCTCTGTCCATATCCTGCTCGCACATCGCGCGCTGATCGACTTCCTACTAACGCACCCAACTACCTGCAACTGATACTCACTCAACCAGTAAGTTCTGCTACTACCGATGCTTTTCTCAACTCTTCTCCTGCATGGCCATCGATCTCAGCTTTTGCATGTTCTTAATTGGCCCAAAACTGGCCTCAAATCACTCCCAAACAACAAATATTGTCACTTAATCATCCTTCTCGTATAGCTGTATTCTCCTGTCAAGCACTCTCTCTGTACACAACTTCACACCGAGCCATTGTGCCCACTTTGTGATCCATTTGCATAGTTAATACTCTCATTTATGCTCCCAAACCATCTGTCACTCACTTTAACCCTCCTGATCGAGCCCAAGTGGGTGAGATCATTAACCGCTAACCGATAATCCGACAGTCGCTCACTCCCCCATTTTGAACGGTCACAAAATGGGTTACGACAAGGTTCCGACCGAGGTCGACGAGGCTCGGACTCCTTGCCTCGATGCTAGCGGCATGCTGGACAATCTCAACTACGGTGCTTGCGACCAGTGCGGCTGCACTGCTGATCCGACTCACATTCTGGTTCCCATCAACATGGAGCCGATGGTCATCACCTCCAAGTCTCGTGACAACGGCTGGGGCTTGCTCTGCAAGTATGTCATTGTCCACACTGCTCTCTGGCTCTTTGGCCTGTTGATGTTCTTCTTCGGCATCTACGTCATTCTGTACATGTCTGGTAAGTTTGACATTATTCAGCTCATAAGTTGCTGAATAACTGACACTTGAAAAAAGTCATCCCTGGTGCTTCTGCTGAGATGATTCCCGCTGAAAACGATGTTGGTCCTATCATTGAGCGTGATCTCATTGTCGGTTCTTCTGGTTTTTTCATGGAAACTCCGCTCTGTACTCTGGTCGCTACCACATCTACTCTACCTACCCCGTCAGATGCCAGCACTGTCGTTACCGCTGCTGATGCCGAGACCGCGACTGTTTCTGAGGGACCCATCATCACCCCAATCTTCACCGAGTAAGTTACCCCGCGCCGACGGATCTTTGTGTACGATGCTTGCTAACACTCACTCCAGTGAGACCACCTGCTCCCCGGTGACCATCACTGTGACTGTCACCACTGCTTTCAGCGCCGATGCAGTGTATAACAGCGCCCTTGTGTCGAGCACCTCTGCTGTCGATGCCATTTCTGCCCAGGCTGCCACTGAGGCCCTCACCTCACTGACCATGGACTTTGTGACCACTGTCACAACCACCTCGACTTCGACCCGCGTCATCACGGTCACTAACTACACCGCCACCACCTATGTGACTGTCACCTCTGGTACGATCAGTGTCACCGCTAACGGCACGCCCGTCCCCATTCTCTCTCTTCCACTCCTTTCGCCTATCCACATACTAACTCTTCACCAACAGTTCCGGTCAATGCGACCACCTCCAGCATCATCTTTGCCACTGCCCATTCCCCTAGCACCTTCGGCACTGACACTGCCTACTATGGCACCGGCGGCACCGCAGCCTCGGCCACAGGCTACATCGGCCCAACCATCGGCAATGGCACTTTCACATACAGCATCCCTCCCACTGCAGCGGCTTCTTCGGCCGACGCGGTTTCCGCATCCCACAGCATCGTCGCAACCTCGGACGGTGGCAAGGGTCTTGCTGGTACCAACACTGTTAGTGAGGTTGTCAAGCAGATCAAGGCTGGTTATTGCGCCGTCATGCTTGCTATTGTCACTCTCGTACTTGCCTAAGTGGGCTTGACAGCACATCACATTGGTTTGACCACATGATCTGACGGTTTGTTACCCCTCTTTGTTTCTCTTCACTTTTCTCTTTCTTCGATTGGTGAGAATCGACATTATGGACTGGACTACAATGGGATCAGAAAAGGGAAGGTCAGAGAAAGGAAGGGTACACAAGTGTCTGGTCATGAATATACGGCACACGGTCACTTGTATTATATGGGCATGGACATGGACATGGAGATAACCGCAGCTCATCCTGGAGCTGGACTGAATCATATGCCTTTGCAGATGTGTTGCAATTTGTGCGCCTATTACGTGCCTAGGTGTTCAGTACCATAAGCGTTATAGGTACATGCCCTAGTTCAGTAGGCTGAGGCCCAGCATCATCTCTTAACTGATGGTGATTCGAGATGTTTTGCCGATAACATTGAGTTTGCTTTATCTTAACTTTATTTGCCGTGATGCGTGCCTCTTTTGTGTGTGCGTGAGCCGTGGGCAAGTCTCGCTTGGTTGTCTTTGCTATGGGAAATTATACCTTACAGGGTAGGCCTATGATCAGGGTAAGCAAGACTCATGGCCATTCCCTCTTTCCGGGCCGATGAGCAATCCAAGTTTTTACTGCCATCAAGTTGAGAGTTTTCATGTCCATGCATCTAGAGTAACCAAATATTTCAAGCAATAATACACATAAGACACTTCCTGAGTGTTGCAATAAACTTGAGTTCCCATATTCCCCCTTTCAGAAAACTTTTGATCACCCAACTCCATGGGCGTGACCCATCAACTTATCTATTCCTCGTCAGGTTGAGTTTGCTTCTTCCACTTTTCTCTCAAAGGCTCTCATCGTAGTCACTTGTGGCTTGATAGTAGTGTGAGTGGAGATAAGTACAAAATCACTAAACAAGTACTCAAGGGGATGGCTCTACCAACCATATTGCCCTTATAGGCTGGCTCAACACCTTGTATGAGCATTTAATCAGCCTACCTTTTACCTTAGTCAGCCATTCCCTACCAAATATTACATCATTCTGTTTTCAGCTAGGGAAGAAACTCCTGGGCTACCCCCTAAAGAAGAACCCTGGACTGGTACTAATTTGATCTGGTCTGTTTGATTCATTGTTACCTAAGAGTAGACATCGTATAGCAGGAAAGGAAGAAGCGAAATAAACAACCAAATCAGCCAAACCAGCCAGCCAACCAGACTAAGACAATACGAGGAATATCTCTTTGCTGTTTTTTTTTTTTTAAAAAAAAACCGAAGCCATTTCGTTTTGTCCTTCTCCTCATTCTCATTCATTACATGTAGCCTGTAACCCTCCCACACATTTTTTGTGCTGCTTTTTGCTTTTTGAGAAAAGAAAAGGAGTGAGCGCCTGAACAGAAAACCAAGCAGCCAGCCAGCCGTCCATCCATACACATCACATGCCCCTTTCCCATCCATCCATCCATCCATCCATCCATCCATCCATCCATCCATCCATCAATTCAGTTCAGTTCATTGGGCTATTCCCTCTCAATTGAACCCATTCCTCCTCATCATTATCATCATCATCATCATCATCATCATCATCGTATCCTTCCCACCTTTCTCTTGTTTATTTCTACCTACTTGTAATGTACCCAACCAGCAACCCCTTGGGAAGCACTCTCCCCACTGCTGCTCTCACTCTTAATCGCCGACCTCCTTGCCGACGATCCCACCGCCGAAGCACCCGAAACAGGCGAAGTCATCACCCTTACCGCAGCACCCTACGCCGCAGCAGTTTGTTCCCCGCCCAGATTAACCTGTCCCTGCTGCGGAGGAGCGGGATACACCTGCATCGGCGCCGGCTGCTGTTGCTGCGCTTGCTGCACTTGCTGATGATGCTGATGATCCTGCACCTGCTGCCCCTGACCCTGATGTTGCTGATTTTGATGCCCCGCCGACGCAGCAACCAACTCTTCGTACTCCAGCATCTGCAGCGCGAGCTGCTTCGCCGTGATATCCATCTTGATCAGCTGGCGGGTGACTGCATCCGCGGCGCGGACCTCGTTCATGGCGTTGGCGACCATCTGCTGGAGGACGGGACTCGAAGCGAGCAGGGCGGCGGCGCCGTTGGCGTTGGCTTGGGCGAGGGCCGCAGCGTTGGCTGTGACGGCGGAGCCTGAGCGCAGGTAGCTGCCGTAGCGATAGGCTGGATCGGCGGCGGTGCCCAGGGCGGCGGGACCGGTGGGCAGGAGGGCCGCGGCGTTTTGAGCGTGGAGTTGAGGGTTGCGGGTTTCTATTCCGAAGTGTTAGCATGGGAAGTTATATAGTCAAACGGGGACGGGGAGAGAGAAAAAAGAAGAAGAAGGAGACTCTTACCATGGAAACTGCACCTCGCCCCGCTGGCATTAAACCAGCAGTTCGCGCAGCTACCACACATTTGCCCATCCACCACGATACACGTCGTCCAGGGACCATGTCCCTTGTGACAATTTTTGCAGGGCACGCGCGCAGGCTCGCCCGCGATCTGAGCAAACAATGCCTCGACATTACTGCGCCGGGCCAGGTTAAGCGTCTGCTCCGGACGTCTCTGCTGCGCAAGCCGCTGGCCGGGCTCGCGAGCCAGGCGTTTTGCAAGCGCGCTCTCTACAGGCAGGTCGCGGTAGCCGTTGGCCAGGGCCGACTCGCGGGCGATCTCTTCCGTCGTCTTCATCAGGGGGCCGCCCGGGTTGGGGGCGGGTTGCTGTTGCGGTTGTTGAGCAGGCTGCTGATGCTGATGCTGGACTTGCTGCATGGTTGGTTGGGGTTGTTGCTGGACCTGTTGCATCGGTGCTTGCTGGACCGGCTGCATTTGTTGTTGCTGGTGGTGAGCCGCGGCCGCGGCAGCAGCAGCAGCAGCAGCAGCAGCAGCACTTTGCATTTGCTGGGGGATTTGCTGCTGGAGTTGCTGCGGCGTGCCCATTTGGGCGGGTGGCTGATGCTGCTGGACCTGATGCTGCCGCGCTTGCTGGACCTGTTGGTGATGAAGCTGTTGCTGGCTATATCCAGTGGCAGCGGCTTGGGCAGCCTGCTGCATGTCCTGCAGTGCCGGGTCCTGGGGGATGCCATTGCCAGCAGGACCGGGACCGCCATTGGCGAGGATGTTTGCGGCAGTGAGATCGACATGAGGGCCCAGACCGGACGCGGCAGCGGCGGCAGCCGCAGCAGCAGCCGCAGCACCGGCGTCATCCATATCGGCATCGGCCTCGGCGTCACCATGGGCATCCTCGTTCATATCGGTATCCATGGCGGCCGGGGCACCGTAGTTCTCGGCGCCGGGCATGGTAACGCTCACGTTGAGATTGGCGGCGTTTAGGTTGGCGTTGACGTCGTCAAACAGACCCGTGGGCTGGCCGTCGGGGCCGATAGCGACCTGATTGACCTGCTGGGCCTGAACAGCGGCAGCCTCAGCGGCGGCTTCAGCGGCGGCTTGACGAGCTGCGGCAGCCGAGGCCGAGGGGCGGGCTCGTGCTGGAGCGGTGGGCTTGGTGACCTTGTTCGCTCTGCCGCGCTGTGTCTGCGGTTGCTGCGGTTGCTGCTGCTGCTGCTGCTGCTGCTGTTGCTGTTGCTGTTGCTGTTGCTGTGATCGTACAACGGCGGGTTTCATGCTTTTTAGCCTTTACCCAACAGACAACGAGCGACCTCGAGGCTTGAAGAGATGAGCTTAGGAGTTAGAATTAGAATTAAGCTCCTCCCTCTTCCCTTTTCTTCTCCCTTCTCCTCTCAGTCTCGCCTGGGGCGGACAACGGCCGCTATGCGCGAGATAAGAGCAAGCGAGCGAGCGAGCGACCGAACAGGCGACTGAGTGAGTGACCCGTGAGTGAGTGCTCCCCGTCTAAGTCAAGCCAAGCCGAGTAGACCTTCACTTATTAAACTTGAACAACAAACTTATATCTGAGCCTTGAGAGGTCGGCGATGGCGATGGTGATGTCGTGCAGCTGTCGTCAGCTGTAAAGCGCGCTTGGGACGGGCTAGGGTCAACGGCTCGAAAATCAAGCAAAAGCGGGCGCGCAGCTGTCAACGGCCAACAAAAAACCATGAGCGCGCCTCGTGGGGCTGGGGATGGCGCGGCGAATCTGGTCTGCCGAGATCGCGATTGGCCAATCAGGGTTCGTGGGCAAGGCCAAGATGTGGTCTGTGCATCTGATAACCTGGACGGTGGAGTCAGGGACCGGGGACCAACCACCAGCTTCGGTTCGTATCGTCGAATAATTCTCGAAGTCTCGAAAAAGGACGATCACTTCTTTCTCTGTGTCTCTCACTGAGTGTGGTGATCTGGTTGCTGGGTTGATGTTCTGCCATGCTACCACTTTATATCCAAAATGTCTAGAAAGTCTTTTGGCTATGTTTGGCAAGCGGCAGACTCATTGGTTTCCATGAACGCCAGCGCCAGATTGCCATCATTGTCATTGCAGCAAGCGGCGGGCGACAATCCGGCATCCGTTTGCTAGCAGTGATTCATGTCATGGATGGCATGTTGGTTTCTCTGGAAGAGAATTGCAGAGGATAGCCAACAGTCAATGACGATTGCCACATATGACAAAGCAAAACGGCCAGACTGCGGGGACAATGGCCGAGAGGGGAGCGGCCGTTGCTAGGGTTTTAGCTGGCCAACACGACAGCAACACATGGAGATAGTATCCTCAATCCAATATGCTTGATATTACAATTATGTTTATGCACGCTACAGGCTGAATAAATTCACGCAGCAGCAGTATTCTTCTTCGCCGGATGCCCGTGCACCTTCGCCCAATTCTTCACCTGTCCGTTCATGATCCTCAGCACGAAGAAGTAGATCACCGGCACCAGCCAGCCCAACAGTGTGTCAAGAATCCAGCTGTTGCGCGCCGACCCACCCATGACACCACACCTCATCAGATTGCCCAGGAAAGAGACAGCAACGAAGTACTCGCCGCGCTCGAGGCCGGCAATCGACCTCTGCGCCACAGTCTCGGGTGTCTCCGGCGGCTCCTCCTTCTCCAACTCGAGCGTTATAGCCGGCTTCGTCTTGTTCTCGCGCTCCAGCCCAGGGCTTGTGATGGTAGCAGGGAACACGACATGCACTTTAACCGGGTTATCCGGATACAGCAGCAGTTCCTGCGCCAGCGTGTCGGCCAGGCCGCGCAGCGCCCACTTAGACGGGGTGTAGGGCGCGTACCCGACAAGAGCAAAGAAAGCCAGCACCGACGCGGTGAAGATAAGATGCTTGGGCTCCGAGTTGGGGCCCGTCGCGTTCTCGGGGGCGAGCCACTCGCGCAGGATGGCCCGCGACATCTCGGCCGTGCCGAAGTAGTTTACGTCCATGTTGCGCCGGGCGGCTGCCATCGAGTCGTCCTCGCACCAGAGCATGGGAGTCGACATGCCGGCCACGCACCACACTATGTCGGGAGCCTTGCCGTCGTTCCAAGCGATAGCTTGCGCCACGACCTGCTCCGCGTAGCCGTGCTCCGAAACGTCGGCTGAGATATAGGTGAAGCGTTGAGAGGGGGATTTGGCGGCGGCCTGTATGTGTCCTTAGCATGAAGTCTTCAGTCCTATCGTGGATACTTTGTCTTACCTTCACTTCGGCCAGAGCCTCCTCCAGGCGACCGACATTACGTGCCACAAGGATGAGGTTCGCGCCCTTGGCGGCCAGCTGGATGGCAGCGGCCCGTCCCATGCCCTCCGAGGCGCCGGTAAGCAGGATGGTCTGTCTCGTCAGCTTACATTCCAACACAGTATGCTTTTACCATTCAAGGCTGACATACCCGGCCCTCGACGGGCATGTGATTCTTGCGCCCAAACAAGCCCATGCCTGCGATCACAGCTGCCAGCAGAGCGCCGACAACTCCAGTGGCGATGGGCAGCGGAATCCCAAGCCGTTGAAACCCGTCCATGAGAGCTTCAGGACGAGGCTATCCCCAGCTCCTCAGGAGATAGGAAATGAGAGTTAGAATGTCCTGAGCTTCACTCACTCGCCGTCATCAAATCATCAACTTGCAGGGGCAGGACCCACAGCTGGGGCCCACGCCTTGGCACACGTGGATCCGCTACGCAAGTTGGGGTGGGTCGCCAAGGCAGCGTGTCAGTGGGGCAGATCCAGCCCCAGACGGAAGGCGGACAAAAAAATTCTGCCGCTGCTCGAACTTCTGAAGCAGCTTCGCACAGTGATTGCCAACTCCAGATTAACACCCTCGCCAACTTTTCTCCCCGTCTCCAATTCTTTTCATTTCTATCTGCCACTGAAGCATTTCAGCATCAAAATGGCCAAAAAAAGGAAAGCGACCCGCCCCGCGGAGCCCCAGGGCCCCAAGGAAATCGATCCCAAGGACGCCCGCCTGACCGTCAACAACTACATGGACGTCGCCGATTCCGAGGACGAGTACTGGTATAAGAAGGATCGCCTTGACATCGACAGCGACGATGAACCGCGCTCAAAGCGGTTGAAACGCCAGGACAAGGAGGATGCTTTCCTGGAGCAGTCGGATGAGGAGATCTTCGATGATGAGTTGAGCAGCGAGGAGGAGGAGGAGGATGACGAAGATGAGAGGCGGGCTCCCACTAAGAAGGATGGCAAGAAGGGTGCTGCGTTGGATGACGACGACGATGCGGAGCTGCTCGGGCTGGGGAAAAAGAAGGACGATGATGAGATACGGGATGAGGGGTGGTGGGGTTCATCGAAGAAGGAGTACTATAATGCTGATGCCATTGAGACGGAGCAGGATGCTTTGGTGCGTTGGATCATACAATTCAGGATTGTGCTAGGAGGATGATGGTGCTGACATATATCGCAGGAAGAAGAGAAGGAGGCTCGCCGCCTACAGGCCAAGAAGCTGGCTAAGATGCAGGAGGCCGACTTCGCCTTCGACGAGGCCGAGTGGTTAGCTACTAAAGATGAGAAGACAGGTGGTGACGAGGAGGTTGTCACTGAGGTGCTGAAGGAGGTGGAGGTGACAAGTGATATGGGCCCTGAAGAGAGGTACAACCTTCTGCAAGCGCGGTACCCCGAGTTTGATTACTTGGTCGAGGAGTTTAGAGAACTTCGGCCACTGTTGGAGACGCTGCAAAAGGAGGCGGAGGGCAAGCCGGCCAAGTCATTACCTGTGGTCAAGGCCTGGGTGTTGGGTTGCTACGTGGCTGCGCTGGCAAGCTACTTTGCCATTCTCACATCGCCGACAAGGGACGGCGATGAATCCAAGGGCATCATGAACCCCTCAGAACTGCGCGACCACGAGGTAATGCAGACCCTGATGGAGTGCCGCGAGGCCTGGCTGAAGGTGAAGTCCCTCCGGCCGGCCAAGGGGGCCGTCTCCGCCCACGGCATGCTTTCTCCTCCCGAAGAGGGGGAGGAAGCCGGCTCGGACGTCGACATGCTCGATGATCACGCCGTGCAGAAGCCCAAGAAGGCCAAGAAGCTCTCCAAGGAGGAGATCAAGGCCAACAAGAAGAAGAAAGAGGAGGAGGCCAAGAAAGCCAAGGCCGTCGAGCAGTCGCTGGCCGAGCTCACGTCGCTGCTGCAGACTACGAAGAAGGCGGCCGTCAAGGCTTCTGTTGCCAGCAAGGCGATGTCAACAGCCGCCACTTCGGGCGCCGACTCGGGCATGGACGACAACCGCTCCGACTTTGGCGAGGAGGAGGAGCTCGATGCCCGCACGGCGGCCGAGAAGGCCAAGCGGAAGAAGAGCCTGCGTTTCTACACGTCGCAGATCGTGCAGAAGGCCAACAAACGCCAGGGTGCTGGGCGCGATGCCGGTGGCGATATGGATATACCGTATCGCGAGCGACTCGTACGTACCTTTTGCTTTTCTTTCAGTAAGACAGTGCTGACCCCTACCAGAAAGACCGTCAAGCCCGTCTCAACGCCGAAGCCGAGCGGCGCGGCAAGCGCGACAGCAAGTTCGGCGCCGATCTCGGCGGCGACTCGAGCGACGACGAAGATGCCAAAGCCCGCCAAGTCCGCGACGACGAGGACGCCTACTACAACGAAGTGGTCCAGGCGGCGGCCAAGAAGCGGGCGGACAAGCAAGCACGGTTCGAGGCTCTGGCGGCGGCGCGCAAGGGGGACCGCGTCGTGGAAGAGGAGACCATCGGGCCGGACGGCAAGCGGCAGATCACGTGGCAGATCCAGAAGAACAAAGGCCTTACGCCGAATCGCAAGAAGGAGCAGCGCAACCCGCGCGTCAAGAAGAGGAAGAAGTACGAGGAGAAGCAGAAGAAGTTGCGGAGTGTCAAGGCTGTATACAAGGGCGGAGAGGGGCCGGGTGGTTATCAGGGCGAGCTGTCGGGTATCAAAACGAATCTGGTCAAAAGTGTCAAGTTGTGAGGGTAGATGGTGTTGGGTGGTGTATGATTTTATCGCCGCGAGGCTGTTGGTTGGAAGGCTATTTATGTTTCTGTGTGTCACTTTTGTGATTCTGTCGTGGCCATGACCGTATACCCCTTTCTCAGCACACAACCAAACATAACAACTTCATGAAACCTCCCAACAGCTCTCTGTTGAGTCTCAGCTGTCCGAAAGCCGTATGTTTCTCTTCCCAGACTCAACACACACCCTATCCCTGCCAGCTCCATCACGCATAAGCCCCCCCCCCCTCTTTTTTTTCTTTTTTTTTTTTTGACAATGAAATCCCTCAACCTCCACCAGCTCAACCCACTTCTTCTACGCCGCTCTCCACCTTGCCCACCATTAATCGAGTCGTACGCAAAACGGTTGTATAGTGTAGCGGTTATCACTCCGGATTCTGATCTTCCATCAGGACATTCCGGCAACCCCGGTTCGAATCCGGGTACGACCTACTTTCTGCTTTTTTTCCCCCATCTTGAAGGTTGATACGGGCATATACTACTTCTTTCTGCCTGTTTTTGTCTATTTTTTGTCCACGGTTGATATTGGTCTCCAATTTCTAACCAACTTGAGCTTAAAGTTATGAATTGGAAACAATTATCTTCTCTATATCATGGAATGGGAAAGTCGGAGAGAGGTTAGTGACGTCACGAAAAGTGCCCGGACTTTGCAACGTCATGTCTCGACTATCTGCGAACTCCTCGTTGAATCGAGGTGTTGGGGACGGGGAGATTTGGATATGTACAGTCAAAGGTGCATGTTGATAACGCACATTTGTACAGCTGTTGCTGGGCTTAATTACTCTTATTGTCTAGGTTAGTGAAATGACCCTTTCAACAAAGCCTTGAGTACCTAGGCTTGAAACTGAGACCTCGGTATAAGTCAAACCATGGATTGAGAGAGCTACGGCCTTCCAGCGGCGACTCTTGCGGACGTCCTGTTCTGAGCCCTACGTCACCCTCTCGGCTGTCATCGAGAGGAGAAGCCATCCATGTAAAAAGCCCATGTTGCCGGCTGTCCTTGGTTCTTTGTGCTGGTTCTTGCCTAGACCTTCAATCTCTTGCATCAAACTACGACACAACCATCAATCAACATCACTGGTATCAAATTTAACCCCTCCCAAACAAATGGACGCCCTAAGCCACGTCGCCGAAGCGGCCTCCAAAGCCCTCTTCGGCAGTACTGACTCGAGTTCCCAACATGAATCCGGCGAGGAGCCCATCTCGGGCAAGCTGGGTAACGTAGCGGCCGGCGAGCCGTACGACGCCGGCAACATGGGTGGTGCGCAGGCACTTTCTAACTCTCTGTGTACACACCACAAAGTCCACGTGCAAATCACTCACTACGTCCGCAGAGTCCCCCTACGCGAGATCCCGCGCGAGATGACCGTTCGTACGAGGCTGACGCTGACTACGGGGTGTGCCGGTGATGTTGATGAAGAGCCGAGCGAAGTAGATATTGAGACCACTGTCGAGGACGAGAATGGTCGACGGGTAGATGAGGATGCTAAGCAGAATAGGACTGTCACGACGACGTCGACGAGTAAGGTTATTACCGCGGGTGATATGAGGCCCATGCCAGCGCCGAAGCCAGAGTTGGCGCAGGAGGATGTTAAAACCACGGAGAAGGGGGAGAGAATGGGAGAGGATTTGATGGATATTCCGACGGCCCTGCCGCCGATGGTTCTTGAACCGGAGAGGACCAGGGCGTTGGGAAAGGATGCTAACACCGCTTCGGCGGTGCCGTCGGTGAGTGCGACGGCTAGAAAGGAGTATGAAGAGGGGAAGAAGAATAAGAAAGATATAGAAGAGGAAGATGAAGGCATCAAGATGGAAGACCTGGAGGATCCCCAGCCAGAAGAGAACGTTCTCAAAGACGATCCAGTCGACACCCCGACTGACAAAGAGACGCCTAACCCCGATCCCCAACCTCGCCTTGACCCGAGTACAAACCCATATCTATACCTTAGCCCCGTTTCGACAAAGGAAAAAGCTCCTGAGGATGCCACCACCCGCGGCTCTCCCAAGGGCACAACCAACCCTGCGTCAACGTCAACCTTCAATACAGGTGCCAGCGGTGAACCCCATCTCAGAGGAAGCACAGATTTCAACCCCCTCAAGCTGACAATGACACCCGACACCACAAGCCCTACCACCGAAAAAGATTTTCACAGTCACACCACCACCTCAAACCCCTTCAACGTGTTAGGAGAACAAGCCGCGAAAGACCCTTTCCTCCAATTCTGAACATATGCGAGATACCTTGGCGGCCAAAGCACCGCAGAAGACAACCTCCTGGGGTCCCGACCCCAAGGATAAGGACAAAGCCCCCCGAAGAGGATCCAACGGACACCGCCAGCACTACCACCAGTGCGAAAGAGATAGACAAACCAGAGGGTATGGCCCCTGGCGCAGGGCTAACTAGTGACCTAGGCAACGTTTCAGTGCAAACAGTTCGCCGCAAGAAGAAAAAGCAGCTCGAGGGCGATGCCAAGAAACTCCGCGATGAAGCCGAGAAGCAACTTGACAGACTCAAGGAGTGGGAAGAGCCGTTTAATAGACCGGAGGGTGTCACCATCCCGTGGTTGAAGGGCACGGGGACGGGGACGAAGACGGAGACGGAGACGGGGACGGGGACGGGGACGGTAGAGCAGAAATTGAAAGAGGCGGAGGAGCAAGCCGAGAGGTTGAGGAAGTGGGAGGGGCAGTACAACAGACCGGAGGAGGTGAAGATGCCTTGGATGAAGGGGGTTGAGATTGAGCCCACGATGCTGCCAATGAAAGAAGAGAAGGAAGAGAAGGCCCCCGAAAAAGCAGAAGAAGCCCAGACTCAGCCCCGACTACACCCTTCTCTCCTCGAAGCCGCCGCCGCTGCACCAGCTCCCCCGCCCAAACCCCGAGGCCGCACCCCCTCCGGTCGCAGACTCCCCTCCCTTGAAGAAATGGTTCCCGAGTATGACAAAGGCGAATACACACTCAGCCCTCGCAGCACCTCCATCAGCAAGGACTCCGCCATCGCCTGGGAAGGCGGCGGACGAAGCAGCATCGGCCAGGAATCTTCTTCTACCGCCACAGCTGCAGGTACAGAACCGAGATATTCATGGAAGGGGACTGAGGGGATGATGGTTGCGGAGACGCAGCCGAGGACTGAGATGGGGGAGACGATAGAGGCGCCGCCGAGGATGGAGAAGCCGAAAAGGGTGCGGTCGAGCGGGTTGGCGGCAGATGGGGGGGATTTCGACGCTGCTAAGGAGGGGGCGGGAAGGGAAGCTGATCGTATGTCCCCTTACTTGGTTTCTTCTTAAGTATTTGGGATGAAAGGGATACTGACTTGGGGGGGGGGGGGGAAATAGGACTCTTAGAACAAAAGGTCCAACAACAAAAAGCTCAAGAGGGAGCTGGGCCCAGCAAGCATGGCCATCACCTCCATCTTGCTGAGGAGGGCAAGAAGTTGCATGGGTTGAAGGAGAAGATTAAGGCGAAGCTGCATATTGGCGGTACTTCAAGCTAGAAAGGACAATGGAAAAAAACAAACGTAAAGTCTTTTGATAAGGATTTGGAGCAGGGAACGGTAAAAAAAAAAAAAAATACAGTCCGGGAGAGTTTAGGAATAGGAAGGTTTTGGCAGGGTTATGGTTCGAAGTGAAGGAGAATGGAAGACTGATGATAGGTTCGCCTTTGGAGAACAGATGGGAAGTTTGGATTTGATTCATCTTTGACTTGTTAACGGAAAATCTTGTTATTTTCTAGGATCCCCAGAGACTATACGTTATGCATCCTTAATCATGTTGGATCACGTATTGCAACGGCTCGGTTAGCAGAATTGAATGTTGGATCATCCAACTCAAAAGCTGTATTGATCTCGCCAACCATCATCATCTTTCTTCCCAATTCTTCATTCCTTGAAACCTACCCCAAGTCGATGGCTGAACGAATGATATCCTCATCATAACAAAACATCCAAACTTCTTCTCATATCAAAAAGTAGTCCCCGTTGGTATCGAAAGTCAACTCAAAAAAAGTCATTTCCCGCTTGCCTTTCACCCGTCTCATCTCCCTGTATACAAAAGCATCCATCATTTCATACAATCATTCCATACACATGACCAAACATTCAATAACAAACCACTTAAAGTTCCTGTGTGAAAGGAGTTCTCACAAAAAAAAAAAGCCGGGTATAAAAGCTCCACCTCTTCACTCCCTTACTCATCTCCCCTTATTGTGCAACTACGCTACCATAGGCGTCAAAAAAGGACTCAACATCAACTCATCGGCGCTTGGCCTCTTAGTATGATCAATCTCAAAAGTCTGCGCCAAGAACGCCTTGGCCTCGGGGCTCGCCGTCTCCGGTACCGTGGGCGTCGCCTTAGCGCCACCAATCTTGAAGATCGCTTGCAGCTGCGTACAATCCGGGAACGGATGCGTCCCCGTCATCATTTCGATAATCAGGCATCCGAGCGACCAGATATCCGCTTTGCGGGTATATGATGTTTGCTTGACTACCTCGGGCGCCATCCAGAAGACGGAACCTTGGAGGGAAGGGCGGTGCTTGTTGTTGTTAGGCCCGTTGAGGATATTCGACGCTTCGAGCTTCTTGGAGATACCAAAGTCGGAGATCTTGATGGTGCCCTTGTTATCGACGAGGATGTTGGCGCCCTTGATGTCGCGGTGGATGATGTCCTTGTTATGGAGGTACGAAAGACCATTAAGAATCTGCCGCACAAAAGTGCGGATGAGGGGCTCGGGCAAGGCACCGTAGGACTCGAGCATGGTCTGGACAGAGCCGCCGGGGACGTATTCGAGGAAGATGTTGAGATACTCGGCCGACGTACCGCAGCCGAGGTATTGCACGATGTTGGGGTGGCGGAGGTCACGCAGGAGCGTAATCTCGCGCTTGAGCGCCTCGATCATGTTCTTCTTCCTCTGATCGTTCTGGCCGTTCGTGCCTGATCCCAGCGTCTCGACCTGCTTGACGGCCAACAACTCGCCGGTAACAGCGTGCAGCGCCAGGTAGACACTACCGAACGAACCACGACCGATAAGCGCGCCCTTAATCCATTTGCTATCATCCCACGAGTCACCCGCCAAGAAGCTCTGCAGATCCTCATCAATATCCTCGCCATCCTCCTCCAGGGCCTGATTGACATCCTGCAGCGACGATCCCCCGGAACCCGTACTCCCGGCCCCATCAAAGAAACTATGCCTCACGACATTCCCATCCGGATCCGTGACACTCAACGCAGCCGTAGTATTCGTATCCGACCCACTATCCGCAAACGAGACATACGACTTGCGATTGATCGAGCTCGTGGTCGACTGGGCATCCTCCTCCTGCAAGGTATCCAGCATCGACGAAGCGACAGAGTCCCGATACTCCCTAAACCGGGACGCGGCATCGGCGCGCGGCCGGGGCTTAGCAATCTGATTTGAGGCGGTCAGCCAGCTGTCGGCGATGGTGGGGATGGGCGGGGCGTCCTGGATGCTGGAGGCGAAGCTGAGGGTGCTGGCGACGCTGAGGCGGTGGTTCATGCGGCTGAGGCGTTGTGAGCGGCGCATCGACATGCGGGCCGTCCGGTCGATGAACTCCTTGGAGTGGTCGGGGAAGTAGCTGGTCAGATCCGAAGCAATCAGTTCGCTCGGGGGGCGGAGACCGCCGAACTGTCTTAGTTCGCCGCGGCGACGGGGCTGGGGCTGGGGAGGCGGTGGAGGTGGGCGCTCGTATCGATCTTGGTAAGGAACGGAAGATAGATTCGGCTGCTGCATCTTCTCCCAGCTCTCGCCCAGCACCTTCTGCGCCTTAAGCAGACTCTGCTTAGGCATATTCTCAATCACTCGATTATGATTTTGCTGCTGCTGAGCCTGCTCCTCCAGCGCGATAGCAGCCGCCCTCTCCAGCTCCGCCTGCCCGGGTTCGCCAGCCGGCACGCGCCTAAGAATCAATCTATTCCTCTCCGGACGCGAATGATCCTTAATAATCCTCCACAACTCGGTATCACCAAGCCGCCGGCACTGGTTCGGATCGGGCTCGGTGCCGTTCAGCACCCAGAAGCAGTAATTCCTCTCGTGGTCCTCACGCAGAGCAAACTTGCGCAGCGTGACGCGCATCACCTCCTCGCAGGTGTTGCAGCCAGCGATCTTGACCACCTTGGTGACGCCACCAGTCGAGATGACGCGGATGACGTCTTGGCCGGGGGGCAGGGCGGCCATCAGCGAGCCGTCCATGCTAGACTGGTTGCGTGTGTGCATTAGGCGGCCGCCGCTAAGTGGCTGCTCGGGCGGTGAGACGGGGTAGCGAGTGCTCGATGGCGTCGGCTGGCTGCTGGCATAGCCTGAAGATTGAGCATATCGTTGTTGTTGCTGGGACCGGAAGTCGCCGCTAGAGAGAGGGGAAATCGAACCAGAAGGCTTGGAACCTTCGCCAGCCGGGAGGTCGTACTGGCGAGAGTAGCCTTTGCTCGGCGGTGTGGGAGGGACAGAACGGCCGGAGGGCTGCGGCGAGTAGGATGAAGGCACGTATTGCGCGTCGACATCGGCATACAGGTCCTCCTGGGAAATTGTCAGCAGACGAGTCCGAAGCAAAACAGTAACCTGTCATCATCATCATCATCATCATCACCGCATCTTACCCTCTGTCTCCTCGCTTGATTGGCATACACCATGGTCCTCAACTTCTTAATCGTCAACCATAGCCTAACACGGTCGCCGACCTTCTCAACACCCATCTCCTGCAGCAGCGTCTTATCCAGCTCGAGCAAATTCTCGCCATTGATGTTGTTCTTGCGGAAGACGTCCTCGTATTGGCCCCATTTGAGTCTCCTCAGAAAGTGGCAGACGTCGTCCTCGTCCCACTTCTTGACAGTCTCAGGCTCGAGGTCGCCGAACTCGGCCTCGAGCATGGCGGCGTGGTTCTGGCTGGAGGGCAGCGGGGTGGTGGCGGCGCGTCTCGGGGCGGCCATCATGTTGGACGACTGCGGGCCTAGGCCGGCCGGATACGACTTGGACGCCAGCATGGCCATGGCGAGGAGTGGTTATTGGGCGGATAGCATGCAGAATCGGGAGGAGTCTCGAGAGGGGGGAATATGTCGGAGAGGGCAGGAGAGCAGGAGAGCAGTAGTTGTATGTGTGCGCGTATCAGGTATCAGATAGATCGACAAAAAAAAAAAAAAAAAAGCCGTGTCCAACGCTTGCCTTCCAGGGGCTGTTGGACAAAGAACACGGACGGGAAGTCGAGCGGTGTCAGGTTCTAGTCGACGCTCGACGCGCTGTGCCACGGGCGGGGAAGCCTGAGACAAATGGCGATGTTCTTGTTTTCTCTTTGATTTCGTTTTTTTTGGGGGGGGGGTTATGGGGAGAAAGAAAGTCCCTCTTCGCCGTGAGCGATATCCAATTCTAAGAGGAAAAAAAAATGACGCGATGGATGGCTGGCTACGATATGAAACGGAGCTCCCGTCTGCCTGCCGTTAGGCACAAAGCAGAGGAAAAAAACAACAAAGTTTAGATGGAAAAGAAATAAAAAAAAAAGTCAAACCCTGCGGATGTGCCGGCACTGTCCGAGGATAATGAAGTGTCGGAAGCAGCGGGGAGGGGATGGAAACAAGAAGGGAGGAGGCACGGGTTGAAGCGGCGTGTATGTACAGAGAGCGGGCAGAGAGGAGTGCGTTTCGTCAGACAGATGATAGGAGGGCAGGAAGGTCAGAGAAGCCCAAGGCGGCGTTGAGAGCTGACACAACTCACAAGGGGGGGCGGGAGGAGGGACGGCATCAGGAGGATGGGCTGGTGGGTCACGCAGATGGCGGGGGAAGACGCTTCTTAGATAGACTGTGCATCAGGTTGGAGACCTCACTAAAGGTTCGCTTCGTCTGGAAGTTCTGGTTGGCCACGACCCCCAGCAGAGCGCCCCCGATCTGGCGTTCACATAGTCTGCCTAACTGCGTAATCAGGCTCGCGCAGGCAGCGGGCGTGCCGACCAATCAGCGGCGGGAGGCCCCTAGATTTGAAACGAGCACGGGCCACACCTGAGCGCTTGCCGGCAAATGCCATCGTATGGAAGCAGCTGAAGCCTTCTGACGAGCAGTCCACCGCGCTCCTGAAATTGAATGCTAAATCGCCAGAGCAGAGGTCACAATCGAGAGATTGTTATCGATGGCATCAAGTATCGTGCGATGCTGACAAGAACTGTGCTCGAGAGGGACGAGAACAAAGATGGCGAGACGCTGGCAGCAGCACTGATGATAGTTTGCGTTCACACCTACGTTACTTGAAGAAAGTTTGAGTTGAGGCTCTTCAGGTTTGCTTTTCAGATCATAGCGACGATTGTCATGGAACCGTGGTTTAAAAACAAGGCAGGTATCCGCATAGAGTTCGGAAGAGCGGCATGCCATGCCTTCAAAAATAGCAGTGTTATAAGGGAGCATCAACGGAGGAGAGCAAATCAAAGCAGCATCCTCCATCTCCATCTATGGTGCTCACAAAAGCGATGTACCCGAGACAGGGAGACCGTTTGTTTCGTTCATTGAGAGTGACATGCAATTCTACAATTTTCATGCCTTTTTCTATGGGGGACCGGGAATGGGTATCTGAGGAGAAATTACCAAGGAGCTGGGGTTTGCCATCCTGTAATCCTTCGCAGGCGCACCATGGTACCACATCCGAAGATTTTGTCAACGTCATTATCAGGCCCCAAAACTAGCCAGTGTTTCCACGTGGGCGGCACCGAACAATCTGCACGACGGATGGCGTCTTTGTTTTGGGGGGGGGGGGGGGGGCGGGGCGCTGTAGATGGGATTTTTCATCACTGACACCCCAGAAACTGCATCCCCAGATTAGGTAAACGTTCATGATGGGCCAGCAAATACCGCAGAAACATGCTCCGTGGGTAAACAATCGCCCATTCTAGGACAACGGAAGCGGACGACGAAAGAAACAAGCAAAAACAAGCGGGTCGATCGATCGCGCTACGGTCGACGATACCACAGTAGGTAGGCGGAAAGGGTGCTGAAACGGCATGCGTTTCAGCTGTGGCAGCGTTGCACCGGGTAGCCGTTGTTAGTGACGAATAGGAACCACTAGGCTAGGTTCTTAACAAGTGGTGCTCAGCCGGTCAAAGAAAGGAGGCTCGTCAATGAAGACACACGGGCGGTAAAAGTGGTCTGCGAAGCGGGAGAGCGATTGACGATGCCGACAAACAGGGTTCTATTCTTCTGGGCCTCGGAATGAGAATGCGTAAGCTGTTTTGGTTCGTCGGTGTAAGTCTAGGCTATGTTGTGATGCGCAATCTGGGTGTGCATGTGAACATTTTGACAGAAAGTTTGTGGACAACGGACCCAAGACAGGGAATGAATGTGATTGAGCCAAAATCTCTTGTCAATGCTCACCCCGCAGGACAGGAAGCGATGCTGTCGCTTCTTGCTCGGTACAGATATCGACGATCTATTTCAAGATGATCGTATCCTCGGAAATATTTCTCACGTCTCCGTCCACAAGACAGGGGGAGTCGGGATTACAGGGCCGCAGGCCCCGCGGCGGAGGAGGAGGCGGCGACGACGACGACGGAGGAAAACAGTCAAGATGAGACCAGGGCTTTTGCAGACGACGCGCGGGCTCAGCAAGACTTTCATTCCTCATCAGCCTAGGATCGGCAGTGTCTCAACTGATTTGTCTCCCTCAGCCGGCTCCAGTTTGTGATTTGGTATTAGACAAATCGGTTGGCGGCCAATTGGCGTTTTCCAGCGCTTGTGTTTTGGTGCACCATTTGCCATCTTACTCGCTGACGCTCTAGAGTTCGCAACCAAACTGTCGGGTTCTTTGTTCCCGTAGATCATCTCAACGTCCCAAGCCCAAAAATGAAACGGCGTCCGGCGGATGTTGCTTTCCACGAAGGCTCGCCGATCTGCGCCACCACAAGCGCAATGGCCAAGCCACAATGCCACATCATGGAAGCACCGTGAGGACATCGCAGTGCGATACTGTACGGAGCACTGTCCCCAAACCCGCTGGCTTGGAACTTCTGCTTGTTGGCTCGACACATAAACGACAAAGCCTGGGACTGAGCGAGGCTTAAGATCGGGCGAAATACTGGGAACTTATGATGACATGAAAGTTCATCTTGATTCTTGATCTTGACATAACTCTGCTTCTCGATCCCCGCGGCCGATCGCTGAAACCCATCGACGGGCAAGCCCAGGAGGACCCAGTTGGGCTTAAGGGCGATCTCGATCTGCAACCCGGAGTGTCCGATGTAGTGGGGTGGACGTTTGTTCCTAACTCCCTGTTGAGGCTCCCTGTTGAGGCTCCCTGTTAATGAAGAGGCCTGTCCAATTTATGATTATGAATGGAATAGATTTTTATTTTTGTAAATTGTACGTACAAGGCACAACTGTGCACTTCGTACTCGTCACCCAACGCAGACGCAGCTGGCCAGTCCTGGAACGGAGACAGAATTGGAGGCGCACTGTCCACACACTGCGGACACGGAAAACGAGGAAGGGAAAAAAAGGTAAAGGGGGGGGGGAGGGGAAGAGGAAAACAAAGAAACAGACATTCCCGAGCTCCAACGTTGAAACAACACAATATCTTTGAAGGCTTTTCTCCAGCCAACGGCTGCCCCTCACGCTAACAACAAACCAGCCCCAAGGCAGGCGGTTCTTGCGTGCGTTTGCAAGCCGTTTCCTGGTCTCTCTGCGCGCGGCTGTTGTGAAGAGAACAGGAGAAGCAGAAGATGCCAGGAACCCAGGACGGTTGACCTTTTCCCCACTGCGGGCCCCTCTGGGAACCCCGGCCTGCGAACCGATGGTGGGGCGCCCAGATTGCACCCCCCAGGATTAAGCGAGCTTGATTGGCTGGTAAGGGGTGCGGATAACATCATTGTGCATCGACACATCTTCGCCCCGATTCTACGTGGACACTGGACCACATTCTGGACCTCCAAACCTTGGATGGACACGAGAATCAGCGAATGCAAGAGGCCACAGGGCAAAAGGCGATCGTCGGGGAGAAAGGGCAGAAAAGGGGGAGACAGGACAAGAAACAAAAGGTTGCGTGCTTTTGTTATTATCTTGTCAGTAATTATTTCCAATTACTTACTCTCTGCAGTTCAACAATTTCAACTTCATTTTTCTTGTCTTTTTTCCTTCTTTCGTTTTCCGTTTGTTGTTGTCCCCCCCCCCCATCCATCTTCATCCTCGGCATCCCGTATCCATCCGCAACAACAACAACAGCAGCACCGGCACCAGCACCAGCACCAGCACCAGAAGCGTCAACAGCAGCAACAATTACCACCAACAGCTGATCAGCCTATCATCTCGTGTCGCCCCCCCCCCCACCCTCCTCGCACAGAGTGCGTGTTGTGTGTGACGCGGTGTGTACTGCAAAACACACAGAGACCCAAACGTGGCCCGTCCTTTTCTTTCGCTCTCACTCGCTCACAGAGTCTGGCACGCGGGCCATTCCTGTTGTTGTCGGCCATTTTCGGTCTTTGGCTGCGTAATAGTGTGGAAGGCGGCTTGACTGTAGAAAGAATAGGAAGAAGGCATCAAAGTTCGGACTGCACCTACTCGGCCATCGCGAAGCACATCGGCGACATCGGTCCCCATTTTTGCGTCTTCGTGTGAGCCCACAACCCAAAGAACTACAATCCAGACGGCTGGCAGTCGACTGCTCCCTTGATTGATGCGAGTGCCCGCGCAACGAGCATCTGCGCGACAATCTGCGAAAGACTCCCAGCGAACCTGCGAAACAAGCTACGAAGTATCGAGCTAGGTTTAGATTGCCTTCCACACACACACACACACACACACACACACAAAACACAAGGCATTGTCCTTCCATTCACTGCTATACCCCGGCCTAACATTATCTTCCATATCGCCGTCAACACGTACCACACCGGCCACAGCGCCCTGACCGACGTTACCTTCTCCGTTCCACCGTGTCCCCATCTTCCGCGTTTCTCTTTGGACTCCGTCGCCGTCGTATGATCCTCTCGCTATAGTCTATAGTCAGGCAGGCAGGCAGTCAGTTAGTCAGTCAGTCGTCGCCATGGCCGCGTCGGACCAGCCAAAGAAGCACAAGGCTGGCCCTAAGAAGCTTCACAACAGCCACCAACAAAAACGCAATAACAATAAACCCCCCTCCCGCGCCGACGTCGACCTTAACGGTGACTCCAGCCCTGCCAGCACGGTGCCTAGTAGTCCAGCCAGCATCGAGAGCGACCATCACCACTCCCGGTCCTTCTCGCTCAGCGGAGCCTTTGCTCGACACCTACCATGGCGGCATAACCACCACCATACCAAGGAGAGGAACCTGACCCCAGACAGCAGTCTTGGCCAAACATACGCGAGCCACAGCGCTAGCAGCCTGCGTGTTCATCATGGGAGGAGACTGTCGAAGAGCTCGAGGAGGTTGTCGACTGGTTCGCAGTTTGAGTCGGCTGTATCCACCTTGAGCAGGAGCCAGGGCCACAGTCGGCAGCCATCGAATGCGTCGGAGGAGCAGCATCAGCAGTATTTGTTGCAACAACAACAACAACAACAACAACAGCAGCAGCAGCATCTCCAACCGCATCATCATGCTAGACCGTCGCTCTCAGCGTCGGATACCCTCAGCTGGTTGACAACCGGATCGTCGGTGTCATCGTCCTCCTCGTCTGGCCCAATCGACTGGAAGTCCCAGTTTGTGGAGGGCATCGCCCCGCTAGAACCCGATTCGTCTGCCCTGCTGAAGTCAGCCAAGGTCCCATATGTAGTCGTCACACCCGAGTACATCGTCAAACTCAAATCCCGCGCCGATGCCGTGGCATTATTCCCGTCCCTCGAAGCAGCAGCAGCCGCCGCGGCCGGGTCTGCAGGGACCGTCCAAAAGCGTGACAGCGGCGGCCATACCCCAGAGCCAATGCTGGTCATCCCCATGTCTTCCATTGTGGCGGTTATGGTCGCCGAGAGCACCCGGGCAACCTACGGGTTTGAGGTGTGGTGGAGGAGCCCACTTGTCGGCAGTCAGGCGTTTATGAGGTCAGACTTTTTTTTCAGTCAGCCGAACGATTGGAGCGAGACGATGGGGTGTATTGTAAGGGTTATGAGGAATCCAATGCCGAATTTAGCTCTTGGTCCTCAGCAGCAGCAGCAGCAGCAGCAGCAGCAGCAGCAGCAGCAGCCAGAAGTTATGCTGGACTCCCGTCCATGGCAGGATATTGAGCCTTTACTCCTCGTCCGGGTTCATGAGGTTGAGGAACCGAGGTTTGCTCATCAGAAACCGGAGATTTTTCCTGTTGTGCCTCGCGGTCGTACCCGGCGGGAGCTGTTACCGAAGAGCGCCCAGGAGGAGGCGACCCGGAAGCCCCAGGAGTGCCCGGCCTTCTATCTCGTCGTGGGTACGTATTTGTGTCATCTCGTTGAGGTACAGAGGCCGTCCGCAAAGCAGCAACAGCAGGGAGGAAGTGTCATGTCCGGCGACGGGGCTGTGATGGGCGGCGAACCGGTCGTTCAGTACCGTACTTATGGGTTATTAACGCTCGAGAAATTCATCGGCGAGTGGGCCGCCCACGAAGAACGCTTCGTCCTCACCTTCCGCTTACCCTTCCAGCCTCCCGTGACCCTCGAACTTGCGAGCCGACAGCACAGGCAGATTGTACGTGCCTTGGGCACCGCCGACCGCTTCCTCAAGCCCGGCTGGCCGCAATTATGGCAGACGATGGAAATCTTCCACGTTAACGGCCTGCGCGACTGGCCACAGTACCTTGTCGCGCGGGACGACTTTGGGTGTTTTCGCCGCACGCTGGAGGCGTATTTGGCGGCGTACAGGTGTCCGCCGGTCAGGTGGACGATTAATTGGAAGTCTAGGTTCGCGCCGGAGTTTAGGCTGTTGCCGCCGAATAGACGGGCCGGGGAGACGTACTCGGCTTTGCAGATGTTGGCTGTGTTTAGGGCGCTGAGGTATAATGATTATTTTAATGCTTTGTCGTTTCGGGATGTCGAGTTGGAGGTGCTGAGGGGCGTCGTGGATAAGCATGGTGGTTCGGGGAGTGTGGCTTATCTTAACAGGACTTGTGAGTTTTCCTTTTTCTTTATCTTTCTCGTACATATGATTGATGGCTAGAGGCTGACTGCATTATTACAGGCGTCTCTCTGAGCCGTGAGGAGGCTGAAGTGCTCCGGAGCAGCCCCGTGCTGCATCAGGAGTTCCATGCCCTCGCCTACTGCTCGTCGACGATCCGCCAGATCGACTTCACGAATTGCACTCGTCCAGTGTCTTCCCATGCCGGACACTCGCAGAACGGGCGCAGTCTTGAGTTCCTGGCCCCGATTTTGAATCTGCTGAGGTCGGGTGCTACCCGCTGCAACCGACTGCTGCTCAGGGGCAATGCTCTGTCGCGGGCGGATATTGAAGACTTAGGTGAGTTCTACCTTCTCAGTAGAGTCAAGGTCTACCTAGCGAGCTAACGATTCTCAGCCGAAACAATGACTTCCGGCGCCATCCAAGCCCTCGACGTCTCCTCCTGCGGCCTGTCCGACTCCGACCTTCGCACAATGATCGTCACCCCACTCACCAGCCGGGCCCCCTTCCTCGAGGCGCTCTCCATCGCCGGAAACCCCGGTCGTCTGCCTGCCCACGTCCTCTCCGAGCTGCTGCCTTACTTGACCGAGATGCGCGAGCTCAACCTAGCCGGCAGCCTCCGCGGCGACAGCACCGGTGCTCCTTTGCTGCCCCCGGACAATGTCGCGACTCTGGACGCCCTCCAAGACCTCGATCTCTCAGGCTACCACGTCGACGAAGCCACTCTCTCCTCCCTCGAGCGCTTCCTGCACCATCGACACAACGCTCCACTGACTAACGGCCGGCCCCCGGCTCGCCTACGCCGCCTGGCCCTCAACCACTGCGGCATCACAGGCTACCAGGCCGCGCGTTTATTCCAAGCCATCGGGCCGAACCCGACATCGATCATCCTCTGCCTTAGTAACAACCCGCTTGACTACGGCCTGTCAGATCTAACCTCCTTAATCCACGCTGACCCTACCGTTGGCCCTGCCGGGTTGTATCTGGATATGCTCGATTTCCGCGATGAGCGGTCCTACCTCTCTCTCTTGCACGCTCTGACTTCCTCACAGAAGTTGGTTCTACTGAGTCTGGCGGGCACCGCACCCCCTTCAGTGCGAGGCGGCACTGCCAGCGGGGAGCTCGTCTCCGCCCTGCACGGCTTATTTGCGGACAACACCTCCCTCCGCTACCTCGACCTGTCTGGTTTCAGGGGCCGGCTGGATGACGGGCAGTTACCTGCTGGCTTTGGGAAGGCCTTGGCGGGGCTGGCGAACAACTCCTCGCTGACACACCTCCGCCTGAGGAATCAAAACCTCACGTCTGACGATGCCGGAACATTAGGTCGTGCGCTCGCTCAGAACTGTGCCCTCCGCGCGCTGGACGTGAGGGGGTGTGCCGCCACCGGGGGCGGGTTCTTGTCCCTGTCGACAGTGAGGTTCTTGGTTGATTCCCTCAGGCAGAACAGCACCCTCGTCTCGCTGCCCCTGCCTTACAACGAAAGGGAGGCGGTGTGGAGGGGGATTGTGAGAAGCATGCAGAGGGGGAGCACACTCTTTTCCGGGGCATCTGCGGCAGCTATGATGGCGGCGATGGCTGGGGAGGGGAATCATGGAGATCTGGAAGGGGTGGCAGCAGGTCTCTCACATGCGCAGAGCGAGCAGGAATCGCTTCTGCGGGCGTTGCTGGATGCGCAGTTTGCGAGGTTGGATCAGAGGTTGAGGGAGAATAGGGACATTATGGCTATGATGGGGCAGGATTTGGCCGCTCCCGGGGATGCAGAGTTCCGGGGGCCGAGGCATAGGCCGACGGGGAGTGTGGGCAGCGCGGATCTGGCGTTCCCTAGCTCGTCGTTCTCGACCGGCGCCGGGGGCAGTGGTGTGATGGAGGAGGGCGATGATGAGGAAGGGTTTGCGTTCCCGACTGATTTGGCGGCTATTGTGGGGGTGCCGCAGGTTCAGGTACTACAGCCGCAGCAGGAAGAACAGCAGCAGCCAGCTTTGGTAGCGCCTCCTGTGCTGGAGGTTGATGTGAAGGAGACGACGGTGAGGGTCGAGATTGACGAGGATAAGTCGTTTGAAGAGATGATGAATGAGTTCAAGGCTGTTGGGTTTGGGTCGTGAGAAAAAGGGGTCACGCCTCAAGCATAGGTACTTAAGTTTAATATGGGGATTGAAACGGGGGAGAATGGGTACAGCACAGGAGACGAGAGTGTATATAGGTAAGGAGCCTTTGGTTTGTATGATACGGGTGGTTTCAACAATATTGGAGGTGCTGGTTTCCTCTTGGCATCGAGATACCCTCTACTTAATCACCTACTACCTACCTACCTACCTACCTACCTACCTATGTAGATTAATAACAGTAGCATTGCTTTAGTCTGGGTTCTCTTGTTGTTGTGTATTAGACTGTTTTTACGACTATAATGAGTTCTAAATGAATTGTTTATTTCGGGTATCACGGTCATCTTCTGACTCTCCGACACCGATCTCTTACACATCTATGGCTTTAGTCACGGCAGACCCCTTAACCGCCAACCCGCCCCCCGGCCCCTCAACCCACACATCCCAGTCCATCTCCCCTGCGCGCACACCGCGCTTCCAGCCTTTCTTCTTTTGCACGCAAATCCTCAACTCTTCGTCCACATACAACGGTGCCAGATTCCGGTACTCAATCGACTTGACGCGGCTCACTGGCATCTTTTCCTGGCCAAGATCAGAAGAGGAGAGGGAGTCTTGTTGCAAACGATCGAGTGACGCCCTCAGAGCAGACAGCATAAGTACCAGAGTGAGAGGGCCGTGAACAAGCAGATCGCGGTGTCCTTCTACCTCGCGAGCGTACTGCCTGTCGAGATGGATCAGGTGGGCGTTGTAGGTTAGGGCGCTGAAGTGGAAGAGGAGGGTTCGGCTAGGGGTTAGGGGGTAGGTGAAGTCGGGGGTAAAGGGGACTACGTCGCAGTCAGCATAATCCGCAGACGGGGTAATAAGAGCTTTGGTCAGATACCGACCTTTCACAACCTTCCCACTCCCCTCCTTCCCCTCCTTCCCCTCCGTCCCCTCAGCCTCCCTCATAAAAACCAAATCCCTTCTCTCCTCCACCACCACACCCCCTTCTTCCTCCCCTTTAACGGAATACCCCCTCTCAACCTGCACAAGCACTTTATCACCCTTGAACACAACCCCCGGTAAAACTCTCTCCACACACACCACGCCCCGTCCGTCCATCCTCAACGCCTCTCGCCACCCCTCATGAAACACAACTTTTCCCCCGGCCCATACTCTTCGCATAAACGGCTCCCCAGGCCAGTGTGCCGGATCCGTCCCGTCGGGCATGAGCTTTGATGGGGGGAGTTGCAGGGGGAAGTAGACTAGGTGATGTCCCTGCGGTAGTACAAGGGGGTCATGCTCATGCTCTCTGACGGCGTTCTCGGAAGAAGGGCGGGTATTTAGTATCGGATGTCTGGGTTTGAATCCAGCAGAAAAGAGGTCTGGCGCGCAGTCGGCTAGGGAGAGGGTGAGGAGGTGGGAGGGGGTTGGCGAAAGGACGTCGGGGATGAGGGTAGGACGTTGGGTGAGGAATTTTTGCCTGGCTGTGTGGAGATATGAGTCGGGGTTGAAAGGCTCTGAGGAGGAGGAGGAGGAGGAGGAGGAGGAGGAGGAGGAGAAAGAGGGGGTTGTTGAGTGAAAGAAAGCTGAGATAGGGTCGAGGATGAGCCTCGGAAAGGGGATTTGGGGGTTGAGAGATTTGATGAGGAAATGGTGAGGGCGGACGAGGGGGGGTAGCCGGGGCCGCATGGTTGGGTTGGTGTGTGTTATTTGGAATAACTTGAACTTGACTGAAAAAAAAAGGCTACATTGACAAGTTGAATTGAAGGGGGAAGGGTGCTTCAGGACTTTGGTGAGCGTTGAGTTCAGCCTGCGTTTATGTCGATAAGACAGCGGATGAAGTTCAGCAAAGGACATAAAGTACATAAGTGAGTGAGGACTGCCCTGAAAAGGGTTAGGGTTGTGTGTGTTGCACTGCAACCATACTCCTGCTCTACAATACACCACGGCTGCCGGATGAAATTGTGACCACATGCTGATGATCACCTCAGTTCATGTACACCTATCCTTCTACCACATAAACAATAATCAATATGAGCGTGGTTTGGATTCATCCCATCTCATCTCTCGTTCATCTGGTCCGGTCATCCGAGGTTTAAGAACGACGTCGGGACGGGTTAGGGTTAAGAGTTGGCACTTGATACCCGAGTTTCCATTTCGTGAATCCATCCTATCCATGTCTTCAACATCACAAGCAAGAAGGAGGTGAAGTATACTAACTTCTTAAGATTAGTTTTCAATTATTTTTTAAATATTTTTATTATTTTCCTTCGATCTCTAAACATCTACATACTTTAACAGGAATACCAACTTTCTAACATGTCCCGCCGCGCACTCTCCCTCCTCCCCAACTCCGTGCCAACCTCTCGTCGTATCCCTTCAACCCAACTTCCCATTGTATTTACGAGATTCTCTTCATCAACACCCTCCATCACAATCACAAATCGCGGCCGCCGCACTCTCCCAGCCCTCTTCGCCCGCGGCGGTACCTCCAACGGCCTCATCTTCCACGCCGCCGACCTCCCCCGCGACCGCGCCCTCTGGCGCGACATCCTCGCCCCCGCCATGGGCTCGCCCGACCCCAAACATGCCCGCCAGCTTGACGGCATGGGCTCGGGCGTCTCATCGACCTCCAAAGTCTGCATCCTGGAGAGATCAGAGAGGGAGGATGCCGACGTGGATTTCACCTTCGTGCAGGTGGGTATTACAGACGGGGAGTTGGACTGGGCGGGAAATTGCGGGAATATGAGCAGCGTTGTTGGGCCTGCGGCGCTGGAGATGGGGTTTGTGCCTGCGGAAAGGGTACAGGTTGAGAGGGATGAAAGGACAGGGGAGAGAGTTGCGAGGGTGAGGATTTGGAACACGAATACTCGGAAGGTGGTTGTGGCCAGGTTTACGGTCGATGAGGGGATGCCGCCGCGGTTTGTGCCCGAGGGGGATTATGCCATGGCCGGTGTGCCGGGGACGGGGTCAAAGGTGGTATTAAGCTTTTTGAAACCTGGGGGGGCGAAGACGGGGAGGGTGTTGCCGACTGGGAATGCTATCGACAGAATTCGGTTGAGTAATGGGAGAGAGGTTGAGGCGTCGCTTGTCGATGTGTCGAATCCTGGGGTTTTCGTTAGGGCTGGGCTGGATCTGCTGCCGTTTGAGAAGCTTACCGCTGCTGAGGTCGAGCAGAACGAGGCGACGATGAACTTACTCGAGGAAATTCGCCGCGAGGGGGCAAGAATGATGGGCCTCGACCCCGACACACCAAGCATCCCCAAGCTAGTCTTTGTCGACAGCCCCATCCCTTCACAAGGGGAATATCATCATCACCTCCGTTGCCGCGCGCTCTCCATGCGCCAGCTGCACAAAGCAGTACCTCTCACGCTCGGCCTGTGTCTAGGTGCGGCGGCGCGCATACCGGGTACGATTCCTTTCCTCGCCGCGCAGGGCGTCGAGAATAGCTCCGGGCCGGGTAGTGCAACAGTCAGGATTGCCCATGCGAGCGGACTCTTGGAGGTCGGAACCACAATCGACGAGAACGGGGAGCTGCTCTCGGCAGACTTGATCCGCACGTGTAGGATACTGATGAAAGGGGAGGTGTACTACTGAAGGAGGTGAGCTCGGCAGTTCGGTGTCGAGTCCGAACCAGTCGGGGGACTTGAAAAGCACAGGGCTGGGGTCTAGACGCTGCATTTCCCTACTGGCTGGCTCGCGCCAGAGCTTAGATCCCAGGGGCAAGCCGCCGAGCCGGCTGTAGGCGCTGACGTGAGATAACACAGTATGGCGCCCTTGCTCCGGACCGACAGACGAGGATACTAGCCGGTGGATATACGCGGTGTCCAATGACTTTAAGGGCTCACTCAGTGGAGAGCAGGCAGCAGCATTCTGAGAATTCGAGATACCATGACCAAGATTACCAAATGATGCCGATGAGCTATACTCACCAATATGGTTCTTATCTGCCCATGTATCTATCCTTATGTCCGTGATAGACGTCCATGCTACATTTTACCCTGGCCCTGCAATGGCGGCAATCCTATTTTCACTAGTTCCTTGCAGCTCGATCTGGTCAAGATCTGACCCAGCATCATGGATCACTTCAACGCAACAGTCACCAGAGACGGCCAGCTCGTCAAGACCCGCCGTGGCCTGCAAGTGTCCAGGCAGCGATTCAACGGCCTTTCTTTTGTTAACACATATCCCCAGAAATCAACCCCTTCTGCCCCAACCAGGAGTCAACAACGTCGTCCAGGAGTCACGGCAAGCTCATCGCTTAGAGCCCCTCCGCAGCCATCCCAGCCCCTGACGTTCATCTCGGAGACCGGAGATACGGCACGTGAAAGCACCCGGAAACAGGACAATGAAGCTCACAGCACGGGTCAGAGGGCCAAACGACCGCCAAAGCGCAAGCAAAAGGACCGCTCAGAGACTCCTCCCCAGCCCGAGCCACCTCCTATCCGAGCTCCTGGTCCTCCGGCAGATGCCATAACTTCACAACTTGGCTACCATGCCTCCCCGGAACTTTCTGGTTTGTTCAACTTAGACCCGTACCAGCTTTCGACCCCTTCCACAGATCTATCATCATCTCTCAATCTGATGACGACGGCTTCTCCCATCCTAACGCACAACCTCAATCACACCGCCCGCATAGTGTATCCCTTCGAAGGCCTCGTGACCTATAACCCCGCCCGCGATACATCTTTCCTCTCAGTTGTACACTCCGACCCAGCCGTCTTGCAGTCGATTTTTCTCTACGGGAGCATTGCCGACGCAGTACTTCGCTGCCATAAGTGTCCATCCACGACAAATGATGATGACGGCCATTGGGAGAGGGAGAGTGAGATTGACACGAGGGAAGTCACATGTCACGTCTCGAGGGCGTACTTTGTGTTAAACCAACGCTTGGAGTGTCGTGCTAAGGGTGAAGGGGAGGGCGATGTGGAGGGCGATGTGGAGGGCGATGTGGGGGTGATGTTTTGCATTGCTGTGTTGGCTTGGTCGGGAGTAAGTTTACTCTTTGGGTCTCAACCACACTGAGATGCTAACGTAGGTATATATGTAGGCATATCTCGGTCGGCTGGAGGACTGGAAGGTTCATATGACGGGGTTAAAGAAGGTCCTCGACGTGGGAGGGTGTGTAGCGGACTTACCGAAGTGGTTGATCATTGAGATGTATAGGTAAAATAGCCCGTATCCTGCTTCCCTAGTCATGAATGACGGAACTGACACCCTCTAGGGCCGACCTAAAAGGGGCTACCGCCCTCGGAATATCCCCTTACTTACCCTTCATCCGCTTTCATCCTCTAGCTTCCGATTCGCTGCCAGTGGAGCTCCGTTCTCGCACAATAGAAATCGTCACTTCGATTCTTCAACCCCTAGGAATCCATCCAGATGTGGTATCTTCCATGTCCGAGCTCGCCGTTTTCGCATTAGCAGTGCGGCAAGCCAGGCAGCGGCAACAGCTCGTGGAAAACAGAGTCGTGTTCGACCCGTACGAGTTCGCAGAGGAATGGCTGGGGATTTTTCATGAGCTGCTCACTCGGCCGAACCCGCTCCAGAGTCGTGATGATAAGGAGGAACGTTCTGACTCTGCTGTTTTGGAAGGGGAGAAAGTTATCACAGGACACCTAGAGCGCGCCTTAAGGGTTGCAGGTTTACTGTTCTTGAGGGTGTTGTTATCCGATTGGCCGCGAAATCTGGGGGGGAGAAGGGGCATTGCTCGGAATGCTGCAGGAGGGACTGCAGAAGGTTGTTGGCTGGGTAATAATTGATGACAAACGTGAAGACTTGGGTCATCTGAGAAAATGGTTAGGGAGCCACAAGGAAAATGATGATTGTGAAAAAGGAGCAGCAAGACCAAATTTTACTTGGGACTTGGTAGAAGATTTTAGGCAGGGAGAGGAAGAACGCCCTGGGAAGAAAACCCACGCCAACTTGGTGCCTGCCATCATTTTCATCTGCCTGATCGGCAATCATATTTCACTCACCACTGGTGCTGAAAGAAGAAAAGTCCATTCATTGCAGACTCTGACAGATATGAAGTCAGAGCGAGCACCCTTGCAGCTTGATATAGACACAACCCTAGGAGCATCGCAACCAAACTCAAGATACTCCCTTCGACCACGATCAATAATATCCTGTCCAACGAAAATTGTCACTCCGCCAACATTTACCCCTCAACACAACACTTCAAACAGAGGACCAGGTTACCAACCCACAAAAGACGGTAGCCAGAAGGCTCAAAGTATGCACTCCATCTTTCGTGCCTCCTCACGCAACATCCTTGGTCTAGAGAACCAAGGGAATGTGGATACGTGTGTCACAAATGAAGACCTGGCACTGGCTAAGTTATTTGGACTAGGCTGGCTGTTTGACGGTGCATGCTTGGGAATGGAAGAGAAAGATATAGAACAAGAACAGCGGCCAGAGAAACAGAAGGATAAAGGGGGTGTGGATGAGAATGAGCATCTGAGGACATTGTTAAGGAGAGTTGTCACTTAGCTAGGGTACAAACCAGCAAATGGACGTTGAGAATTGAAAAAGATTGGTGATTACCTACCTAGATAACTTTTCTGAGTTGACAGCACGAACAGGAGAACACCTCCTTGTATGTTTACAAACATTAAATCTCAGGGGTTATAGCCACTACGGCAGCCTGAGAACAGCTAGTAAGAACCTAACCTGCTGGCGGTTTAGACAGGCTAAAAATCAAAGATAAAAATGAAGATAAAATTTAGGAAAAAAAAAAGTACAAACAAAATTCTTATGTCATTTTTCTTAAACAACAATCAAAGATGGTAGTGAGGCCGAGGAGTGCGGCATCGAGGGCCTCTGGGCCTGAGTTGAAATCAGAAGCTGGAGTCATGTTTTTGGCGGACCCACCCACGAGGACCCACCCACGAGGACCCTTGGCGGTCGGCCGAACTGCTTGTGCGGGCTCCTTGATTATGCGAAATCCACCAATCGCAGCCCGCCGTTCCAGCCCAAAGGATCCACCATCCCGCCTTGAGGATCAATGCTCGCCTCCGGTGCGACGCGATTCGAAGCGCGTAGCGCACCTGCGAGTTGCAACTCGCATTCTGGAAACATAGACAGCCGTCCTCCACTCCACCTTTTCGAATTATTGTGGTTATTCTACTCTGATTTTCGACCCGGACACTACACTCAGCATTACACGCTGCCCAACCTCGACCCCTCCGACGACGTGGTCGACGGCAGCCCAGCAACTCATCGCATATTTCGTATTCTGTATTCTGCCTCATGAATTGCGCGCATCCACGACCCCTCCCACATCGTCGCGCAATTCTGTCTCGATCCTGACCTGACCGGGTTGCTTTATTTTTTTTTTTCATCCCCCGCAGGTTTCATCATCCCCGGAGTTGACGTGTGTGGTGTTGGTGCGAGTGCCGAGTGCCATTTTCTGGACAACATCTTCATATCCATCGTCGTCGTACCCCCAAAAATCGACGAATCAGTCTCTCTAATCGGTATTTTACCATCACATTACGAAACGCGCGCGCTACTACTGCATTGTCGTGGTGTGCTCCGAGTCGACCCATCGACCGTCCCTACGACTTCGCCGCCCCTCCTCTAACCGTCGGCGCAAGCCATTGGGATCCATTTTGCGCCATGGCGCCCCGCAGGAGCGCGGCCACTGAGGCCGAGGAGCAGCAGGAGGAGGATGCTGGCACCGTCCAGCTGCAGTTCGACGAGCCGCTGTCCTGGCGCCCCGGCAAGCCCATCCCTCTCGATACTCTCCTCAAAAGACTCGACCGCCTTACGAAGGAGCTGTCCGAGCTGGACCAAGAGACCATCGATACGTCCTCGCTGCAGAAGGTCGCAAAGGAGGCCGCTTCCCACCAGCTGCTCAACCACAAGGACAAGGGCGTGAGGGCATACACCGCCTGCTGCATTGTCGACATCCTCCGCCTCTGCGCCCCAGACGCTCCGTTTACTCCGACCCAGCTGAAGGTAGATTGCCAAATGTTTTGCTCAGCCATGGAGGAGTCTCTTTGGTCTAATGTGTGCTCTGTCAACAGGACTTTTTCAATCTCACCATTACCTCCATCATCCCCGCCCTGTTCGAACCCTCCCATCCCTATAACAACCAGCACAAGTATGTTCTGCGCTCTCTCGCCGAGATCAAGAGTATTGTTCTGCTTCTCGACGTCGACGGGCATGAAAACCTGCTGCTTCACCTGTTCTCTACCATCTTCGATGGCGTATCCGGCTCCAAGACCCCATCCGGCGAGACCATCGCCAAGGATGTCCAGTTCAGCATGCAGGAACTCCTCGGGGTCCTTATCGAAGATGCCGGAAGCCTGCCAGCCAAGGTTGTGGATGTTATGATGGCTCAGTTTCTCCGCGCTGCCGCCCCGGGAATCGGCAGGGACAAGCACAACCACGTGCAGCTAGATGAGAACCAGGCGACTCTCCTGGCTAAGGAGGAACCCGAGGCCTATCAGATCGTCAAGCATCTGTGCCAGGCGTACCCCGACAAGATGTCTCGCTTCGTGAGCCAGTATTTCAGCGATGTGATCGTCGATGCTACTCCTTTTCCCGGTAGCCGTGACAAGGATGGAGAAGGTTCCGACGAGGAGGAAGCTCCCCAGGGCCCGTCCGAGGCAGATTTGCGGGAGCTTAAGAAGGCCCATACCTTGATTCGTGAGATCTGGAAGGCTGCTCCTCAGATCCTGCAGAATGTCGTTCCTCAGGTCGACGCCGAGCTGTCTGCCGACAATGTACATCTGCGCCAACTGGCCACCGAGACTCTGGGTGACATGATTTCGGGTATTGGTGCCGCCGGTCCTCCTCCGCCACCGGTGCTGGACCCCGCTGCCTACCCTCCTCTCAGGCTGGAAGACGAGGACCGGGCAGAGAGCGCCCCTGCCAACATCCTGACGACGCCGATGTCGTCCATCTCCTTTCCGCAGACCCACCGTTCTACCTTCCTGAACTTCCTCAGCAGGAAGAACGATAAGGTGGCCTCCATCCGTGCTGCCTGGACCACGGCTGTGGGCTACATCCTCGCTACCTCGGCCGGTGGTATTGGCCTGGGACGTGACGACGAGAACACCCTGATTGAAGGCCTTGGTGAGAAGCTCTCAGATAGCGACGAGAAGGTCCGCCTGGCCGCCGTCAAGGCCATCGAGTGCTTCCGTTTCCGGGATGTCATCCTCAAGTTGGGCCCCAAGGGAGGCGTCAACAAGGAGGGTTCTGTCCTGTCTACCCTGGCCGACCGCTGCCGTGACAGGAAGCCGGCTGTCCGGGTGGCCGCCATGTCCCTGCTGGCAAAGCTCTGGGCTGTTGGTACCGGCGAGCTGCTCGCTGGTCACGAGGCTGTCACCGCGGCTCTTGGGGGCGTGCCCAGCCGTATCTACAACGCTTTCTACGCCAACGACCCCGAACTCAATGTCCTGCTGGACCGCGTCATCTACGAATGCCTGGTACCCCTCTCCTATCCTCCACAGCCTAAGAAAGAAAAGGGAGCATCTAAGAGTGCCATTGGCTCCAATGGGACTTCCCAGCCTCAGGCCAGCTCGGCCTCGGCGCTGGACGAGAACGCGGTCCGGGCAGAGAGGATACTCCTGCTCGTCCGCTCTCTCGACACGACTGCCAAGAAGGCCTTCTTCGCCATGCAGGCCAGGCAGCCGCAGTTTGCCCACGTCCTGGAGACCTTCATCAAGCAGTGTGACCTGTACAACGGTGGTGTGATGGACAACAACGCCGACAAGATCTCGGCTAACCTCCAGAAGACCATTAAGTATATCGCCCAATTCCTGCCTGATGAGACCAAGACCACCCAGGAGCTGTACCGCTTTGCGAAGGCCAACGACCGCCGGAACTACAACCTGATCCGCTATGTGGTCGGTCCGGAGCATGATTTCAAGACAGTGCACAAGGCACTTAAGGAGTTGATGAAGCGCATCCAGTCCAGCAAGGACCCATCCGTCCGCGACACCCTGCTGCCTCTCCTGTATCGGTCTGGTTGCCTCATGTTCAACCGCAGCCATCTGGCTACTATCATGGAGTACTCGCGGTCTGATAAGGATGGTCTAGGTCCTGCTGCTCACGAGATACTCAATGAAATCTCGCAGCGCAATCCGGACCTGTTCAAGACCCATATCGGCCAGCTGTGCAAGGACTTGGTTGATCAGGCTCCCACAGCGACCAAGCCAAATGACCCTGTCGTCGTCGAGACTCTTAAGGCGTGCTCGGCATATGCCCGCAAGTATCCTAAGGACGTCCCCGGCGAGCGGGACTTCACGCGTACCATGATCAACTATGCCCTCTACGGCCAACCTCCCAAGGCCGCCAAGTACGCCGTCAACATCCTGTGCTGCAAGAAAGACGAGCGTAGTCAGGTTAGCGCGACCGAGCTGCTGCAAAAGACGCTCAAGGATTGGGAGTACGGCACGCCAGGCTCCCTCAACAAGCTGACCGCCATCAGCCAGCTCGAACTCCTGGCCCCCAAGGTGACGGAGGATGAGGACGAGAGGATCCTCAACATCACCGTGCAGCAGGTCCTTCTTGAGGTGCGGACTAACGCCAAGGGGGACGACCCTGACTGGGTCGATGATGCCGATCTAGACGAGGAATGCCAAGCCAAGTGCATCGCGCTCAAGACCCTAGTCAACAGGCTGCGCAGCATGGAAGATGTGAGTGAAGCCAAGGAGAAGGCAAAGCCCGTCTGGAAGCTGCTGATGAAGCTGGTCACTGCCAAAGGTGAGCTGTCAAAGAAGAAAGAGACGCCCAAGCACCATCGGTCGCGGCTCAGGCTGTTGGCTGCGCAGTTGCTCCTCAAACTGTGCACGCAGAAGCATTTTGATGATGAGTTGACCCACACCGACTTCAACGCGCTTGCGTTGACGGCGCAGGACGCGGTGCAGGAGGTTCGGCATGGGTTTGTGCGCAAGCTGCAGAAGTATTTAGCAGATAACCGGCTGCGGTCACGGTTCTACACAATCTTGTTCTTGCTTGCGTTCGAGCCCAACACCGAGTTCAAGCAGCGTACTGAGACATGGATCCGCTCGCGTGCCCGCTACTTTGCCGACCTCAAGCAGAACGTGCTCGAGTCGACTATGGCCCGGCTGCTGTCACTGCTGGCCCATCATCCAGATTACAACAGCTCTGATCTAGACGAGCTGGTGGACCACGCGCGGTACCTGCTTTTCTACATCAGCCTGGTTGCAACCGAGGACAATTTGGGTCTGATCTACAAGTATGCGGAGCGCGTGAAGCAAACACAGGATGCGCTGGACCAGGGCAGCGATCGGCATCAGGTGCTGAGCGACCTGGCGCAGGCAGTCATCCGTAAGTGGCAGGAGAAGAAGAACTGGGTGCTGAATGTGTACCCGGGTAAGGTCGGCCTGCCGGTGGGCCTGTATAGTGCGCTACGGTCTCACGATGAGGCACAGCAGATTGCGGAGAAGCAGTTTGTGCCGGATGGGATTGACGAGAAGTTGGATGAGTTGTTGAGGGCTATGGAGAGGAAGAAGGTACGTTTACCATGGCTCTCCTACGTTCATCCAAGTCGATAAGATGCTAACACTCTTGCAGAAACGCAAATCCGTTGACACAGGCGACTACTCCGCCAAGCGCCTCAAGGTCCAACAGCCCAAGACGACCTCAGCTGACTCCGACGAGTCGGGCAACGAAAAACGGCCAGCCAAGAGCCGCTCCTCCAAGAAAGCTGCCTCTTCTTCCTCGGGCTCTAAGCCCAAGAAAACACCCAAACCGAAAAAGACCCGTGAACCTTCCCCCGTCATCCCCGAGTCAGAACGCCGCCGCAGCTCGCGCGCCCGTCCTAACCTTTCGTATGTCGAGCGCGATTCGGAGGATGACGACGAGGAGATGTTGGATGGGGTTGCAGAGTGGGAATATGTGGATGAGGAGGCTGAGGAAGGCAGTGGCGGGGAGGGAAAAATTGAAGAGGAGGAGGAGGAGGAGAGTGATGATGATGATAGTGATGATGATAATGTGAGGTCTTCCAGGAGGGGGAAGAAGGCTAAGCGGCAGATTGGGAGGGTTAGTCGCCCGAGGGTAGCTGTTAAGTCGAAGGAGGCGACTACTGAAAAGAATGGTGCTGCCGCGGCGAGGGAGGATAATGATTCAGGAAGTGAGCTGAGCGAGATTTCATCCGAGGAGGTTGGAGATGTCGAGATGGAGGATGTTGGGGGGTCTAAAGAGGAAAGGGGGGCATCTCCTGAACCAGAAAAGGAGATGGAAGTTGTTGAACATGGAGAGGATGGGAGGGAGCATGGGGAACTTGAGCCCGAGCCCAAGCCGGAGAAGTCTTCCCGCCCGACAAGGGCTGCGAAGCGGAAGCAAGCTGCTGCTACGGTGACCAAGCTACCTGACCGTTCTCGGGAGGGTCGGAGCAGACGGAGTGCGGCTGCCGCTGTTAAGGATGATGAGCAAGAAGAGGAGCAGGAGAAGGGAGAGAAGGAAGAGGCTGAGCAGCAACAAGCAGAGGGAGAAGAAGAAAACGGAGAAGAAGAGGAGAAGCCTGCTACAAGAAGGGGTGGCCGTGCCAAGGAGACCAAGGCGTCTTTCAAGGCTCAGGACAAGGACACTGAGGCCACAACGAAGGGCACTAGGAGGAGTGCACGTGGGAGGAGGTAATTTTTGTTATTGTTGTTGTTGTCGTCGTCGTCGTCGTCGTCGTCGTGAGTTCGATTCTGATAATGCCGAAGGTGAGAGAGGATCTGCTAGATGCATGGACGAAGCAGTCAAAGTGGAAGTTGTTCAATTAATGGTCGGTTGATCGATCGATAGGTTCGGTATTAGGGCAATGCAATTCGTACATGCTACGTGTTCTACATGGGGACGGGTAGTCGATTCGAGCAGGAAGGGCAGGAGAGAAGAATGTTGTTGCGTTGATTGATTCATGAAATGGCATCATTCCCCCTTCTACCTCCCCCCATGTGTCTAATATGCTTATTCTATTTTATTTATTGTTTTTTTATTTTTCTTTTGCAGTTTCATTGCTTGGTACATTGCTTGATTGCAGTTGGCTTTTTCCAGCACCATATCTGGTACTATCCTGGCTTGGTGTAGTTTGCTTACTTGTTTGCTTGGTTTGTCCCTTGAGCATAGTACGTACATATTGACATTGTTGCTACTCGACGGACTCGTATGTGTTTGCTGAGTGTCTTTGAACGTGGGTTTGGGCTCGCCTAGTGAAAGTATACATATCTTGACCGGTAATAAGGCCCAGGCTGGTCAAACAGCGAGGTAGCTTAGTTTGCTATGCAACATCTTGGATCAAGACCGAAACGTGATCAACTGTGATATTTACTTAAACGGGAGACTCCGCTTGTTCTCCCATGTTTGTCGGTGCTCTCCGGCATTGTTACACATGTGTATGGTTGTGCGACACGTAGTTGATAAAGCCCGAACACAAGGCTCGGGAGACAATCGGCGGGGACTTCGTGTACAACATTCGTGAAGGGGAGCATCGGCTGGAATGTTGTGGACCATGGGCATCTATCACTTGAACATCATGAGAATACGAAATGTGGTAAAACGGAATCAATTCAACTAGAAAAGACAAACACCTAAAACCGCTTGGTATATACCACGCACGCACCATCACCACCTGACTCACCATTTTCCGTCATCTACCTTAGGCCCTCCTCCATCCATCGATCCACTCATCCATCATTTCCGTCAAGCCATCTTATCCATCCAACCAACCATCCATCAAATTATCACTACCTCCCATAATTCATCCAACACCAGATTCGATTCCCCATTTCTCCCCTCCTTCCCTCCCTTCTCACCAGGTCCGACGCAAACCATCATGCCACAAATCCAACCTCTCTCTCTCCCCAGTAAAACTCCTCCAATCACACCATGTCCAAATTGAGGAAGAAGCCATATGTAGATAGCCCTTCCCCGTCAACAGAAAATGAAAACCAATGCTCTCTGTCCCAGACACGTAGCTAGACACACGCAACTCAACACAACACAGGTAAGACGAATAACAAAAGGGAGAAAGAAAAAAAACCGGATGGATAGATATGAGGAAAAGGGGGGAAATCATACAAGGCTTAAACAGAAAAAAAAATCGAGAGGCAAAGCTGGCAAGGCAACAGAGATTCATTATTAAAACATAATACTGATCCATCCATCCGTCCATTCCGTCCCCTCTCGCCTAGCATAGAGAACAAGCCAACCAAGAACCAATAACGACAACTGGAAAAAAAATTGAACGTTTTCCCACCCACACCTCATACTGAAAATTCTCATGGTAGCAGCAGTAGTTAATTTGTATGGTTAAAAAAGAGAGGAAAACACTTCGCTCCGCTTTCTCATCGATCGAGTCCGACCCAGCCAGGCCCATCCATTACCATATTTTTTGATATTGTTCTTAAGTTGGCAGGCAAAAGCAAGGCAGGCTCCAAACTAGAGAACAGCAAATCTGGCTTTTTTTTCTGTGACACTGGCAAGGCGCGAGAGAGGCAGGAGAGAGAGAGAGATGGTCTTATTTTAGGGGGGGGGGAGTTGGCGTCGGCTGGTGATAAAGAGGGGAAAGAGGGGGTATTTTCTTTGCGCGGTAACTCCGGATAATGCACCCGAAAAGACTCGGCAGAAAATTAATCCGGTTCTTTTTTTTCTTGTTTCATGAAGTATTCTTTTCCGCTCATCCTTGCGTGCAATTAAAGTCCGGGAGGGGGTATCTTCGATAGCCAAGTATTCACAGAGCAGAGGCAGAGACGGCTTGTTCAGCCGGAATCGGAGCGTCATTGTGCAGGATCGACCTGCATAGACTTAGATGAGACCGCAGAGACGGAGGTTCTCCTGGATGATGATGTCTGGAAACAGTTAGCAAGTAAATTTTTGGAACTGAGAAAAACTTGGGAGCTTACCATTGACCGCAGCCATGACAAAGCGGATCTGGGTCGTGTCGGTGGCACAGGTGAAGTGCGTGTAGATCTGCTTCGACTCGTGCTGATTTAATGAGACGAAGCGGTTCAGGATGTAGTCGCAAGCAGCACCGTAGTCGTCGCCACCCTCGTAGTCGGGGAAGTAGTTCTTCATCGGGCTGACGGGCAGCTTCTCCTTGAAACGGTCGATCTTGTTGAGGAAGAGAATGATGGAGGTCTTGATGAACCACCTCGAGTTGCAGATGGAGTCGAACAGAGTAAGGGCCTCCTGCATACGGTTGACGGTCTCATCCTCGAACAGCAGCTGGTCGTACTCGGAGATAGCGACCAGGAAGAGGATCGTCGTGACATTCTCAAAGCAGTGGATCCACTTCTTGCGCTCCGACCGCTGGCCACCGACGTCGAACATGCGGTAGGTGAGCTCGCCAATAATGAACGTCGTCTCGGTGATACCCGTCGTCTTAACACGCGACCGCAGAACGTCCTGGTCGTTGGGCATGTAATCGGGCGCAGCAATACGCTGGATGTTGTCGAAGTAGCTGGTGGTCTGTCAGCGACGAGCTCCGAGGGATTATGACGGTGAGAGCAACTTACTATTTGGCCGAGTCGTTGAGCTGGTATTCTCTTGACCGCGCGAAGCAAGCCTGAACACCAGCATCCTTCCAGAGGGCCTCGATGGCGTTTCCGACCTCCGGCGGCAGAACGTCTCCCTCGATCTGAGCTGGTTGCATGAAAATGGTCTGTACGTGGTACTCCATGCGGGGATCGGCCAAGGGGATCTCGAGTGACTCCATGGCCTCGAGGATGACGCGCATCGACTGGACCGTGTTGCTGAAGATGATTTCCTTGAAGGACTCGCGCTCATCGCGGCTATAGCCACCCTCGTGGATAAGCTTCATCTGCTTGAGGATGGTAGACTTGCCGGATTCACCGGCGCCTGTGCAGACTTGTTAGCATGCCTACGCGAAGCAGTCTCTCGATGGTCGCGTCGGCAGCACGTACCGAGAAGCAGCATCTTGATCTCATTGCGCTGCTGCATGCGATCCCTCTTCAGCTGGTTCTCAATCTCGTCGTTGCGGGCCTTGCCCTCCTTATCCTCTGTGCTCATTCCACAGCCCATCTTGACTGATTGTTGCTGTAAATCACACTAAAATGAAAGGTAGGGTAACTGGTATTGGGTCGAAAAGAGGGTATTATGTCTGCTGATGGAACGCGTTGGTCAGTAAACTGAGCGGTGGACGAGTTCAACTGCGTGTGGCCACTGTCCCGGGGACGGTGCGCGATGCCCTTTCGCGTACGGAGCTGGGCCGATCAACCGACTCCGCCTTTAACAGCGCCAGTCGCGTCGGATGGGCGATCGGCAACGACAATTGCAGCGAATTGCCGCGTCGCGCCCGTCGACACGACAGCAATTGGCATTGGCACAGGCACGATGCTCGCATCGACGACTATGGCATAGGTCGCATCATATGCACACTCACATTCTGCTAGTACTCGTAGGGAGCTAAGTAGGGGTCGTCAACCGAGTCTTTTTTTTTTTTTTTTTTCTTCGCGACAGCAAGCGAACCCGCTATTAAGACTCTCGGAGGGGGGGCGAAAGAAGGACGAACAAAGGGAAAATTGGAATAAATAATGTCGAAATCGAAAGCGCTGGCGGCAAGGCGAAAACAAGCAGGACGATCGCCAAAGAGGACGATGGGCACCAGGACGGTAGCGGCCTCTGGTCACACTCACTGGGAACCTGAGAGGCGTTGAGGTGAATGGTGAGTGGTTTGGCGGAACGGAGGTTGACGAGGGAAAGCGAAGGGAGGAGGGCGTGTGGTCGTGCGTGGTGGGAGGGTGCTTCTGTTAATGTGAAGGGAACGCGGAGCTCTTCACGCTGAATTTCGGGGGGCACGCAGAGGCCCTGGTCGTCCCGACGAATCACCATTCGCTGCATGCAGGAGTAGTGGAGCCCCCAAGATTCCTTGGAGAAAAACGAACAGGGGATGCCCCTGGTTGAGCGTGACCGACGTCTCTAACCATTTTCTGCCTTCCTTTGCGCCGTTCCATCACCAGTTTTTCGCACGTTGCCTGGGCCGCGACCTGAGCAGATATCGCCCGGGGCTGCACTCTCCTGCCTGCCCTGTCCCGGCCGCAGCTGGACCTACAGCGCCGACGAGGGCAAGCAGATAAACCTTCTACCGTTGTTTTTGTGCCCTTTCGACGCCCACAGCCCGCGCAATGGCTTGTCCAACCTGGAGCCATCAGCAGATCCAATGGATCATTGCCCCTAGGGACCCAGGGCCCAGCGAGCCACTGAGGCCAGTGCAGGTCGCAGCACGCGCAGGCTTCCCCCCAGGTTTTCGCTCTTTTTGCTGTTTCCAGGTCCTGTTTTCAGGCTCCCCCACCCCTGGCCCAGCACCAGATTTCAGTGGCGCCTCCAACTAGCGGGCACCACCCTTGCTAACCGAAACCGTCCGGCGAATAATGAATTATCAAGCACCGCCAATCCGACATGTCATGCGTTGCAAGATCGGTAAACTTTCAGCCGTCGCCAGCAGCTCGCAGCCTGATCATGCCGTCTTTTTGACGATTGATGCAGATAGTAACAGACAGCATCCGGATAGTATATATGTGAGGAGTCATCCCAGCGACGGCGCACTCCCGCCGACCGCTTTGTCTTGTTCGAACCTCTCGCCGCCACCATCTCGCGTCCACTCACGTATTTGTCTTGTTCTGCGACTCCGTCCACAGCCAACTAGACAGCCAGACACCTAGCCGGCGGCGTCGCCGTTGATTGCGGTGATGGCCAGCATTGTGCCGATGAATGGAGATGATATGAGATTTGCCTAGGTTAAACTCGCAAAACAGGCACGCCAACAATAACAACGAGTGAACGATCTCCCAGCAGGGCTCTGCTCTGCGAGATCCGAGGCCCCTTTGTCTGTTTTCCCGCCCAACGGCCCTACTAACGGCTCATCATCAGCAACCGTTTCTTTCTTCCAGCTTTTCATCAGCCTGATATCAGTGAACATTGAGCAGTACGGCAGCTTAGCTGGTGTTTCAACAGCTTCCAAAGCGCTGATCGCCGCCGGGAAGGTCCCTGATAGCTGTCTCGGAGCTTTCCCTTCAAACATGATTCTATGTGTTTCTGCTCTAAGCCCACTGACTAGGCGATCACTGGGAAACAATTGCTTTCAGGTCAGCAATCCCCAGGCATTACTTTTCGAGAAGACAAAGACATGATATCGCCAGCAGCGTTTAGCCCTCGTCACCAAGCGACCTATGCTGCTTATACTGTTTTGTAGCGTTTCCCTTTAACTCCGATGCGACCACACTACATACATATCCCGTTGCATATAGGCGAGCTTTCCGGCGTTCCCCCTCAAACCTCAATTCCCGGGCTTAATGGGGTGTGGTGGTGGAGCCCGGCTCCGTCCGACCTCCAGAAACCATACGACAAAATTGGCACCGAGTGCGGCCGTGGCCACGGATGCCCGTCTTTTCCAGTTCTTCGATACTCCAAATTTTTCTACAATTTTTGCAAGCTTAGATCATCATGTGCGCTAGCGACGAGGGAGATCCTTTGACTCTAAGAGCAAAAGAAGTCGGCGGGAAGACGAGATGGTTGATTGATTTTTGCGCGTTCTGGCTTTGGAAGACAGTGAACTGTGGCCAAACCCATTCGGAAGTGATCCAGCAGTGGGGTCTGAGTAAATGCAACCCGGCCGTGCCCCTGGTTTCATGAGCGCCCCCGGCGAACGCCAGCCTTTCTTGGGCGGCGATTCTTGGGTTTTGGGGGAATTCCCGCCGCTGTTGTTGTGGTTGATCTGTGCTTCAGGGACGAAACAAGGTCGGTTCATGCGACCTTGGGACCCTATGAGACCGATGTTTTTCTCCAGACGCCCTCAAATTAGCCTGGGGACTCGTACGAGTGTAAGATCCGTCTTTTGATGGTTGTATCGGCTTTCTGGGACGCGCAAATCTCGCGCAGGCTCATGGATCTGCGTATCTTCCTGCGCCAGGTACCAACGGTACCAGCAGCAACACCCCAGATCCCAAGATCCGATGGCCTTTCCCATCTGGCTCTCACCCATGTGCCGAGGAGGAGCTAAACGCTTACGCCCTGTGGCCTTTGTCCGGTTTTAGTTTGATATCGCGATCTTGAAATCCATGAAAATGGCTGGTGTTCTCCATCCCTTTTCCCCAGCATCCAGCTAGCTCAGAACAGCCTAAGCACCATCTCAGTCACGGCGAGTCCAGATTTGTAAGCAGTCACAGCAGGTGTTGCCTTCAAGATCCTCTCTCTCAAGAGGACGAACTCTGCAAAATCCACACGCTGCCGCAAAGGTAGCATTCCCCTTGCGGTAGTTGCAGCAGGTAATAAACCAGGGCTCGCCACCGCCGCCGCGCTAATGTAGTGTCCTGGCTACGTGCATATCTAGCTCAATTCATCCAACGCAGGTCCAAGAAAAAAACCGTTTCTCTGCTTGCCCTGCCCTGCCGACCGGCAAGCGACGAACGACGAGCGACCAGCCAGTGGTAGAGGATGCAAGATTTCGCCTGGGCTACGCATGGCTCCTGATCTGCTCGCTTAGGTGGATCCGCACGCCTTTTCCCTTCCTTTCCCCCCCCCCTGACTTTGGTGGATGAGGTTATCGCATCTCCACCGGCTCGTCTCTGCGTGTCTCCCTTGCAAGTTGCCTGATGCTTCAAGTGAGGTGGGTAAGGTACATAAGGATCCGTACTGCACGGCTGGGATAGCTTTGCAGAGTACGTAGCAAATTGACGTCTCTTTGCATATGAAAATTGGATAGATGAAAGACGGAGTCGATTGGATATAGCTGAATCAACACATAAAGGAAGTCTACCTAGGTAGTCAACTGGTGGACAAGAAACCGATGAGGATCAGTAAAGATGGAGATCGGAATGGAACGGAGGAGGGGGGCATCGTCATGTGTCTTCAGCCCTTTCTTTCAACAGGAAGCCGTTCATCCCTCGTTGACGATGTCCCTACGTCCCCCTTCCCGCGTAGGTGCATACATAACATCAGGATTGGCTTCAAAAGGACGCATCAAAACCAAACGGATAGGATGTCGGCGGATAAAATATGCAGGCTGCAGAAGCCGCTGACCGACCCGACAGCCAAACCGGAGAAGCAGACACGCACAGCGGCTAGCCAAGCAGTGCTCATCTCATTTCTCAGCTCTGCCCACTCCCATCATCCACTCGGCTTACGGGAACTTCGGCATCACCGCAGACTGACCATCTTCAAATCCTCCCAACTGTAGCGACCAAGCCGAGCCTGCTGTAGGTACATGCAGCCCACATTGCACGACAGGACTTGCTTTGGGTTTGCCTGCCGGCCGGTCTGTCATGTCTGTTCGAGTGCGGTAGACCAATCACCATGCAGAGGATTTCCTACAACCATTGCGGTGGCGACAACGCTTCTGCGCTCCAGATAGCCCAGAGGTTTCACGCTTCCATTCCCCCATTTTGGGATCACACATCCGTCGCAGACAGGTAGATCACAAAGAAAGGCAGACAGGGCAGGGTAACCAACCGATCTGCGAGTTGTCTGTTTCGAGGCACACCTCTAGATTAATGATTGACACTTCACCACTATTACACCAGACCCGTTTGAGCGCCGGTATTTGGTACGCTTTGACAGTATGGCTGTGCCAACTGCCGGGACTAGTGATGTCCCATCTGGTGATGATGTCGGGCAAGGCATTAATAGGGATATTCATCCATCCATCTAGCTTGCTATCATACCCAAGATCTACTGTTTGCCCAAGGCTTTGGTTGATTTAGAAGAGAATGGCACCCTACAACCACTTACAAGTATCTTCATCATTAGCAAGAGACGACAATGTAGACAACCTGCGAAAGAAAAGCGGGGTTACCATCCCCTCCTTCCTCCTCTCGCTTTTCCCCAATCACTAGTCACAAGCAGGCCAAGCATTCCGGCAACGAGTCAAAAAGCGCATGGTCATCGAGTATCGATCAGCAAACTGCAAGATCAGATGGTCCTAAACCCCTCACTGACAATCACAGGGACACTAGCATGGAAGGGGCAATGTTCCAGAAGCTTTGGATGGAACCACCACCACTCATCAAGGCTCGCGGCATTGGCTGGGAGGTGCGGGAGCCTTCTTCCGTGTCTTCCAATAACAAGTTAATCCGCGCCACGGCTTTCTCAGTGTGTGGGATCGGGGCGCCCGTTCAGGAGAACCCAGGCGAGGGGAATGATGATTGGGGATGACGATGATGACCTGGAATTGCTAACCCAGCTGTCAGGAGGCGACGGAAGGTCCCAGTCCCAGGTTTTCGGGAGAGGGACAGACGGGAACTCTTCGCTTGTGCTTTGTTGTCTGGAGGCAGTTGTCGGGACGGAACAATTTGTTAGCCGACGGAAGAAGTACCCAGATTTGCGGTTGTCCATGGTCTGTAATCGGGTTGGTGGCTGACAAAGTCCCATGTCTGCTGTCCGTGCGACAGCTTGGTGTTGGCCGTGATGGGAAAGTCAACCAAGCAAAATGCTTGCAATGTCTTTTCCATTCAGGATTTCAGGGGCTCGTAACATCAAGGAGAGCTCCCATTGTCCAGCTCTGCAGTTCAGACCAATCCACATGTCTCAAAAACATTTCCATTTCCTTGTGAAAGCTGGTTAATACACAGCATCCCTGATCCCTATAAAAAAGATCCCAAGCTTAGCAAATAAACAAGGGACTGATTTCAACCCATTCGAACTTTGGGAATCCTCAATTCCCGTTCAAGTTATCTCAAGAAGAGCTGAACTGTTTCAGCTCCCGGCTCGTGATCGAAACGGAAAGCCATCCGCGGATGACGGCGTTCCCCCTTGGCGCCGCCGCTGCCACCGCCTAGTTGCTGCGCTGCGGCTGGTGCTGAGCCAGTCAGCTGGGCTGCTGGCTGGCTGGGGGGCCTGAAAAGTTAAGGCCCAGCGGCACCGACAGGGGTTGTCAATGGCCAACACCGAAAGTGCTGCTGCTGTGTATGGAGTTGTTGTTGATGGCTGGGGATTGCAAAAAGGCAACGACATGAAAATGGATTTTTTTGTAGAGGAATACAACACAAAGAAACACTTTATTCCTTAGCATTCTGTTAGATTATTGACTCTTCTGGAGAGAAAATATCCCTTGCTGGTATCAACAACGTTATTTCCGAAGTTGTTGTCTGTGGACATTCAATTCCCTAGCCTTACTTCACCATGGCAGCCACCGCTATCCCTATGACCCGCCTCGGCGGGCGCGGTATGAACTACCTACGACCCCTGGCCTTATATCATATGTGTGTAATGTCGGGGTCTGACAATTCGGTTTGGGTGCAGCATTCAATTATGATGCCGACGATGAGATAGAGGCCGAGTACGACCGGCTGCGCGAACTGGCCCGCAAGGAAGGTGAAAAGAAGAGGTCTTGCTTCGAGCAGGTGTGCATCTCACGAACATGAGAATATGAGGTTGGCCTGTGAGCAAAGTTGCTGATGACAGCGGGGTTATAGTCCCAAGAAGCCTATAAACGCGGTGAAAAGGCCTTGGCCAAGCAACTCTCCGATGAAGGCAAGCCACTTACTTACAACGCCCAAACTTCTATCCAAACCCCCAGCTAACATTTCCCCCCCTCTTCCAGGCAAGGCCCACCAACGCAAACAAGCCGACTACAACCGTCAAGCCTCCGAGCTTATCTTCCGTGAGAACAATGCTCCCGGTCGTGTAACCGACTCCAGCATCGACCTGCACGGGCAATACGTCGAAGAGGCCGAAGCCATCCTCGAAGCTCGCATCCGACAAGCCCGTGCCGAAGGCCAAACCCACCTCCATGTCATTGTCGGCAAGGGCAACCATTCGGCGGGCCACGTGCAGAAGCTGAAGCCACGGGTCGAGCAGCTTTGTGATGAGCTGGGGTTGGGGTATGAGACGGAGGAGAATGAGGGGAGGATTTATGTTGATTTGACAGGAGGGAAAGGAGCTGGGAAAGGGAAGGGGAAGGCGAATTCGTCGTCGTCAAAACCCTCAAGGCCGAGTCATGGACGGCAGGATGGTGCTGGGAAGTATCAGAAGCGGCCATCTCAGCAGGAGAGGCCACGGCCACGTCCGCAGCAGCCGCCACCGGAGGAGGAGAAGACGCCGGATTTGTTTGATTGTCTCAAGGTTTGTTGTACGGTTATGTAGAGGGTGTTGCTGGTGTTTGGGTATGGCTTGTGATTTTCAGGACTAAGTTGGGATGATGCCCGAGACGACGATCATAATGATGACTGATGATGAGTTGTCAGGCTATGTCCTTTGGGTTCTTGCTGGAGGTCAGGATGCGTTGGCGTTAGACAGATATGGTGTCTCGAGCATCGAAATGTCAACAACTTCTCAAGAGATTCTCAACTTTCCCCTCTCATCGTCTGCCACGACAGTCTCTCTGGACTGTTTGCCCTCACACGAAAAAGTTCTCCCCCATAAAAGAAGTCGCGAGTTGCTATCCTGCCACAACTCTTCCCTCCACGCCTTCTACCAAACAGATTCTCATCGATACAGTAGGTTACAGCTTTCCTTCTGTAAACAGTAAGCAGGGACACAGAAGCTCCCTTCCTTGTACACGACGAACTCACCATACCCCTTGTCCCCATCCTATACAGCATTCACCTACAGCATGTACATATCTCCCGAAGCCCTATGTAAACACCGGCAATCCACTCACCGAGGATTAAGATCAAACATTCATAGGTCAACACACTTGTTCCGACCTGATCACATCGTAGAGCCAAAAGAGGTTGAAGCCACTGTTCCCAGCATCGTTACTGATACGAACGAGACCACCATCACTCCCATTAGCGACAGCAGCAGCAGCAGCCATAAACTTAATAACCATACTCCATTATCTCCGAGGATGTCGCAGCGCGCTACCCGGCCAGAGATAGCCTTCGTGGTGCTCGTGCTTTCGCTCGCAGTGTTGGGGTTTATCATCGCGCTGTGTATGGCTATGCGCATGCGGCGGCGAAGTACCACCATCACTACTTTGATTCAGCAGAAGAACTCAAATATTAACGCCCCCTTGAACATGAATTTTAATGGCAGCCACAATAACGGCAAGTCAGCGATTTGGAAGCAGGCCATTCTCAGCACTGAAGACGACGGCTCCGCCGAGAGCCCCCTCGACGCTATCGACGCTGAAGAGAAGGGTACCCAACGCTCAGCAGCATCAGCAAACCCCTTCCGCCGCCGCTTCAACTTCTGGCGCGCCCCCCTCTTCTCCACGACTCCTTCCCCGACCAGCAACAGCAACGGTTCTTCCACACCTCACGCCAGCTTTGGAGCCTGCCTCCTTGATGGGGGCTATGACCCCCTCCTTCCGCACCGCAATGTCGACCTGGAGCAAGGGTTTGGCAGGTTCGGTGAGGTAAGGGACGAGGAGGAGGCCTGCGGTGGGAGGATGAATCTCTTTAACCGTGGTAGTAGCAGGGCACGCGGTCGGGACTGGTCCTCTCTGATGCGTAACCTACGGCGCGCAAGCGGGGAGATCGCGCTGGCCGTGCAGAGGGAGCTGATGGAGTTGGGGAGGAGGATATCATCTGGATCGGCTTCTGAGTTGAGTGACGAAGAGGGGAAGAAAAACGGGAGGGGGACACATAAGGAGCATTATCCTCCTGAAGATGTTGAGAACGGGTTGGCTGATAGGGGCGCCGAGGGTGGGAGTTTGTCGTCAACCGGATTGACGACTGGGGTTGTGGTTGCTGCGACGGTTAGCGCGTGGTCGAATATGCTGTTGGATCGGAGGAGGAGGCAGAGGAGGACGGATGGGGAGTGGGCGAGTGGTGAGGAGTTGGGATCGACGCGTCGTGAGGGGAGCTTGGTGAACGGGTGCCCTGTTTGAGGGGGGCTAGAGAAAGTATGAGGATTCTGGTATCCTGAGCGTGAGTAAGTTGGTTAAAAGTGTTTTCTCTATTAAAATAGGCTTGGGTATTGCGGATTGGGTCTTGGTTTTGGCCTTGCTTTTTTGATGGTAGAGAATTCTCTTTTTGTTGGCAGGTAGAACCTCGGAATATAGTCTTGAGAAACCTGCATGAACAACAAAAGAAAACGTCGCATTTTATGACTCTAAGGGGACACCGGGGACAGAAATTGTACAGCCGTTCTTCCTCCTCTTTTCTATGCCTCGGGGCTGCGGAACGAGATCGAGCATCTCTCCATCCGCCCACACACCCCGTGCTCTAGCTTTGCCTCTTCTTCTAAGTCTTTCTCTCACTCCAACCCCCTTCCAAACTCGACACCTTCAGCGCCATCATCCCTCATTGCTGCTGCTGCTGCTGCTGCTTCTTAAACTCGCGCGTGGCCTGCTTCAGGCTGTAGTTGCATTCCTCATAGGCGCGACCGGCACCAAAACCGACGCCGACTAGGGCAGGCCAGGCACGGCGCTTGAACAACAGGACGGAGAAGACGACACCGAAGCCTAGGCCGAGGGTCGACTTGATAATCAGGTTGGACAAGCAGCGATCCCACTGGGGCGAAATGTCAGCGATTGGGGGGCCCTCGAGAACATATCAGGGGGTGCGCGGGTTTTCTGGAGCTAAGCTGAGGACGGCGAACTGGGGAACAGCTTTGGTTCTGACCTTCTCGTTGAGGAGCGCCTCGCTAACTGGGCGCGATACAGAGCGCGGCGGCGTGGTGGTGCTGTCGGACATGGCGCTGGTGTGGATGGAACCGGGAGCGGGCGGTGGTAGGTAGGGTAAGATTCAGGTACCTAAGATGGAGAGGGGGAGGGGAAGCAATCGTCCCCAGAGCAAAGCTATCAGTGCATGCCCATTGGGAGATAAAAGGGTAAAAAATCTCACCTCTGCTGCGTTAGGTACCCAATTGTGTGGTTGGAGGGGTTTGCAGGACGGGAGGGTTGGTTGTCTAGTCCCTTAGCGTGGAAAGCAGCTGGGAGTGGGCGATGATGCTGGTGATGATGCGCAGCTGTTTTGCTTCACCAACCACACAAGAGACCCGAACCCGAGCCCGACACATGCAAGCAACCGGACAGCATTGTTCCCCCAGCGCCAAGCCAGGAGCTCTGGAGCCTTCCCTACCCGTTAATGGCTCGGTTGTTGCCGTGGTCTCCCGAAAGCGGTGAGAGACCATAAGGGGTGGAGGTTTGTGGGGCTAATAGGCGGTGAATAATATTTGGAGTTTTGGGCCGGCAGAATTCTAAGTTTTGGAATTTTTGGAGGTCGGCTACACGTCATGGCAGCGTTATCGCAGCGTGAGGGTTTCAGACACTGGGAGAGTTGAATGCATCCTCCTGTTTACCACTAATTGCATTGAGAAATATAAATTCGAGCTAGAAGCCGCAGGTAGCCTCAGTCTCCTATGCAATTGAGTCAATAAATAATATTTCTGCTGCGATGGGCGACCACAACACGGTATGCTCCCGCTCCCAACCCCTTCATGCATTCTCTTGATGTCCTGAGCCCAGAACTAACCCCCTAACCGTCTAGGCCGGCGAGGTAGCCCTCGTGCGCGCCGTGAGAGCTCTCGACCAAGACGATTTTGATTCCCTCCCCGACCGGCTCGAGCGCATATGGGACACGCTGTCAGGCTACTCCGGCGGCAACTTCCACGCCGCCGAGGAGATGCTAGTGCGCTGGCTGTTAAAGAACATGACGGGAACAACAGAGAACGCTGAGCGTGTGCGTCGCTTCCCCCGCACGTGGGATATCCTCGGCGCCGTCTTCTCTCTGATCCCGCTCTTCTCCCTGGCCAAGTCGCTGGCCGACCGTCGCTTTGTCCCGATCCTACAGCAGACCCTCAAGGACATTGCGAGTCCTCAAGATGGGACACAACCTGCAAAGGAGGCCAATTCGGACACGGATATGGCGGATGAACCTGCCCCTCAGAGCCCGGCGAACCCGCGGAAGAGGAAACGTCCTTCGTCTGGCTTCGATCTGGCTACCCGGCGGCAGCCCGGTGCCTGTCTGGAGACTGCTGAGGCCGTGTTTGACGCCGTCACAACTCTCCTAGCTCGCTGCGAGATGCTGTCGGTCGATAAACCAACTATGCAGCGCATGGGAGCCGAACACGTCAAGTCGTTATTCTCATCAGCTGCTTCCGAGGCCATGGACATCCTGGCTCCCTGGCTAACGGTCTGCGGTCTTGCTCTGGACAGGCCATCGGTGTCTGGGGAGACGATTGGCAACCAGTCTTCGTGGCTGTCAACCTTCTCAGCCCTATGGGACCTCCATATCCAAAGCGCCGGTGATGCCTCTGAAGTGGCTACCCATCTGTCTGGTACCGCATTGAAACTGCTTGGCAAGCTGATGGGCATTCCGCGGCAGACGGCTCTCAGTGTTGACACCGTAGTGCGCGACCGTTGGACTCGGGACCTGCGTCGCTTTTTGATGCGTAACCTCATTCTTCCTGCTCGGGCAGCCTTCTTGACCCGAGACAGCAGGGAGGTGATTGAGGTTACTGTTGCCATGGCTAGCGCTTCTGCCCAAATCAGCTTCCCAGTTCTGTTTGATCTGGCTAGCCGGATCCCAGTTGAGTTTGGTGGCAAGACCTCCAAGAAAGATTACGAGACCTGGATCCAAGCCGTTTTTGATGCCATCTTGCATGCCTGTAAGAACGTCAATCGCCAGAACGCGCAGTCGGCGGTTCGGACGATCATGGATATGGCCGCTGAAAAGAACATCGCTTTGTCAGCTGCCAGTTTGCGGACGTTGTGTCAGGATTATGCTCTTCGTTCTGGTGCTGAGACACATGATTGGAGCTTGTTGTTATCACTCATCAAGCTCAATCCAGATGTATTTCTGGTGTCAGAAGAAGGAAAGCAACTGCTTGACAAGGTCCTGGAGAAGACGCGCGATGCAGACTCGTTCAGCCCCGAAGAATTCGAGCGAGCCGCACGCTTCATCGTCCTCCTTGCCGATGGCTACGCCCAAGCCCGCGAGCTATCAACCTTCGTCCATCTTTGGCTCAAGCACCTTGCGCCAGCCAAGGCCAAGCGTCCTCTCCAACCCCTATGGGCACAACGAGAGCTGGCTGACACCGTCGCGCGGTTGATCCAGTCGTCTCTCAATACCAACCAGCTCGTCGATCTCCTGGACTGGCTCGCATCCCAAGCCCAGCCCGCCGAAGCTCTTGCCCGGATCCATGTCATCGAGGCCATCTCCAACGGCGTCTCGCTAGAGGAGTACGTCGACATAGCAAACATGAAAGCCTTTGACGTCGCCTTCGCAGAGAAATACTCCAAGAAGGAGTCGGCACCAATCGCTGCTTGCCGGTGGACTGTCGCTGCCAAGACGATTGCCCGCGGAACACTTGATGAGGCCAACCGGGTCTGGGGCCAGATCCGGTCGGATGTGAAGAACGTACTCAAGAAGGGGGCTGTGGAGAGGCAGGATACGTTTGCTGCGTTTCGGTGTTGTGTCGCGGCGTGGTTGGCGAACCATCCTGGTGGGGAGAATGAGGAGGATGCAGCTAAGCTGGTGTGTGGATTTGTTGAGAGGCTAGAGAAGGAGGAGAAGGAGGAGAAGGAGAAAGAGGAGGAGGAAGAGGGGATGAAGGTTGATTCGGTTGAGGGGGTGTGAAGAAGGGGGTGTATTGGGACTGGATTCTGGCTGATGCGCCGCGGCTGTTAAGGTATGATATTCTCTTGAGATGTTGGTGAAGGCGAATTGCTAACACTGTGCAGCTTGTTCTTGGAGAAGCGTGATAGCATCCCAGCTAGTATATTGGCTTTGGTGACGGCTCATGGGAGAGAAGATGGTAATACTGGTCCAGCAACCTGCGTTGCTCGCTTGCTTCTTGATCGGGAGAGCAATGTCAACAACCAGAAGCTTATGGGTAAGTCTAATGCTTCTCGTTCATGAAAGCGTAGTAACCACTAACACCCACACAGACTCGTTGCTCGAGACCATGATTTCACTGGTCGACACTTCTAAGAGTGGCAAGACAGGCAATGCGACGAAGATCGCCATCCAATTCTTGCTGGACACGCCCATCGAGACACTGAGCCGTCCGCAGCGTGAAGCCATCATGAAGGCCCTGGTCGCTCATCTCCCTGAAGAGTCGGACAAGGTTAAGACCATTGGTCCCGAGTATTGGAGGCCTGTTCTCAGCCTCATGGTCAAACTGATGAGCAGGCCAACGTTCTATGAGGTACGGTTGGCTTTCGTTTGATTCCTATTCGCACAATACTGACAAGCCGTACAGGGAATGAACTTTTCGCACTTGAATGCCATAGGACGGTGTCTTCTCGAGGAATACAAGCGTTCAAATCGCCTCTCCCGAGAAGGACTTACCGATGATGCCTCGAGGAACGAGGATCTGTTCCAGTTATTCTACCAATTGGCGGTGCTAACCATCAGGCAGATGGCTAACGCCAACATCGAGGAGCGCGAGAAGGTCTACCTTCGGGGTGCCTCCTCTCTGTTGCAAAGTCCATGCCAGGGCTCTGAGGTCATTGCGCGTCTGATCCTTCTACAGGCCTTCCTCACAGGAGTTCAGGAACCTGCAGTGAAGAAGCTGGAGGAAGAGGACGTTAGTCTCGCTCAGATCAGGAAGACCCTCGTCCAGACCGCATCTCCGGTCATTATGACCAAGAAGAAGCACACCAAGGAGCTGCTCACTCTCCTCACGGCACTGACGGCTGTGAGTACCCTGGACCGCGAAGCCGTGAGGGAAGCATTTTCTGGTGCTGTGCCTTCGCTGTTGGAAACTAGTGACAATCTGCTGGGTAATGGCATGCAGGCCGGCTGGGAGGTCCGCATGTTCCTGGCGAACTACTTCCCTGAGGCGTTGGTGTCCCCATTGAAGGCTACTAAGGCGGCTGCCCCTGAAAAATTGGAGGGTGGAGATGGGGAGAAAGCAGAAGCCAGCCTAGCCGGTCCGACACTCGGGAAGCTTTCGCTCCTCCGGTATGTTGACGCTGTGGTTCGCGGTGCTGATGAAACTCAGAAGCTGGAGTATCTGAGAGAACTGCTGCTGGAAGAAGAAGGCCAGGGTGCACTTGGCCGGCTGCTGGTCATCTACCGGTTGATCCAGCATCTCAAGGGTGAGTTCCCTTCCACCCTCTATCCCAACAAAAACGAAACTAACCACCTCCCAGGTACCGGCCCCTCCCAAGACCAATCTTGCTTCGACCTCTCCCAAGCGCACACTCTCCTTTGCAAACGCCTCCTGCCCTCCCTCCCCCGCCCCTCCCACTTAGCCCTCCTCTTCAAATCCATCCATCTCATCCTCGACCAGAACCCGACCTGCATGACCCAATGGAACATCGACCACACCCTCAGCACTGTCGCCTGCACAGCCGTTCACGCCAACGCCACACACACAGCTTACCCACACCTCTGTCGGCTCGTCGAGATGGTGCTAAAGCGCCATCGGAAGCGGCTTGATGGGCATTTTCATAACCTGTTGGCTGCCTTGGGCGGGTTGTTGAAGTTGTTGCTTACTAAGCCGCCGCCGGCCGAGGAGGAGAACATTGCTGGGACAGATGGGGCCAAGGATCTGTGGGAGAAGCATGCCCGGCTGTTTGCGCGATTGCTGACGCTTGTGTGTGAGCCGACCGTTGCGTCGGTGACGAGGTCTTCTGGTCCGGGGACTGTTATTGCTACTACTACGCATACACATGAGGGCGATGATGGTGAAGAGGGGAACAACAACGCGAGTGGGGCAAACGCTGTCATGTTGGGTCCGCTCGACTCGGAGAAGGATCGGGCTCGTCGCTATGCGGGGCAGTACATGTACACGGTGGTGATGCAGTATATCCGGCTGCAGCTGGATACGTCGGCCAAGAGGAGGGTTATCACGCATCGTGTGCGTGAGGCACTAGAGAGCGGGATGTACTCGGTGCTAGATGTCACGACACAGGATGGGCTAAGGATATTGAATGATGGGTTGGATGGGAGTGGGAGGGTGGTGTTTAAGGAGTTGTATAAGAGGTATCAGCGGTTTGGGAAGTGGAGTGGTGTGTGAAGGTTGGGTGTTGTGTTGGAGGGGATGGATTTTGGGTGTATCTTAGTTTGTTGAGTGCATTAAAAAAAATAGTGTCTGTCTCCAAAAAGGTGTTTCACACATCCATATATCCCACTGAGAACCATTTCGTCTGTTCCATGACCCGAATAAACAAGACCTAGCTCGGCTACCTAGCTCCTGTCATTTGCCGCCACTTCTGTAGGAATTCACGCATACCGCCCTGCCCTCCTGTGCTGGCATCTACCACCTCCTTGGGCAGCTTATGTGCCGAGTACTGCGGCGAGCTGAAGTTGTACGCCGCCGGGTCGTCCTTCTCGATAAGCCTCACCTCAGGCTTAAGGTCTTCCTCATCCTCTTCTTCCTCACTTGACGAGTTACTATCCCCATTTTGCTCCTCCTCCCCCGGAACCTTCATCTCCAACAACTCCCTCCAATCAAACAGCAGAGTATCTGTCCTCGGCGCCCAAGGATTAATATCGATCAGTCTCGCCCTCCCCAGTTTCGCAACCTTCTCTCTTTTCCTCCCGTCAGTCCCCGCTCCATTCCCCTCTTTCTCTTCATCGCTCTCATCGTCGTCGTAGTCCGCCTCCGGGATGTACACATCAAACACCCAGCACGGATCGGGAAAGGTATCCTTCATCTTAGCGAACAGCTCCTTCGTCCTCGCCACAATCTGCGGTCGTAGCCCTTGCAAGAATTGGTAATAGTTCAGATCCCGCTGCGCAATACCAATCAGCTGTCTATCCCTGACAAAACATCTGAACTCCAGCGAGGGCAGAGGATTAAAAAACGCGCGGAGCACCAGCACGGGTTTGAAGTCTGGCGGATGGCCTTGCGGCACTGTGTCGTCGAAGGCGTGCTCCAGGTCGTGGCTGATGAAGGAAGATGATTTGAGGAGGATGTAAACGTCGTTGGCAGACGTGCATTTCACTGTGTTTGGGTGTCGTGAGATCCAGGTTGCGTCTTTAGGAGAGGACCAGTTGAGTTTGGGGGCGGCGGCACCGCCGAGGGATTGGATTGCCGAAGTGATTTCTGCGTGGAGAGAGGGGAAGCGCTTGTCGGGGGGGAGGCGCGTGGGTTGGGGGGGTTCTTCGTCTGTGTCGGAGGAGGATGCGACGTCGTCGTCATCACCGAGGGGAGGGGGGTAGTCGGAGCGGGTGAAGGAGGGTTCCCAGTCGTCGTCGTCATCATCTGAGGCAGCGGTATCGTCGGAGGATTTTTTGGTGCTGCTGCCCTCGTCAGCGAGGATGATGCCGTCTTCACGTATGTACTCGACGAATTCAGGGGTTAGTGGGATGATCTTGGAGCGGATGCAGTTCGTGCGGTACTTGGGAAACCAGTAGTCGTAGGAACAGTGCAGGATGTGGTCTCGGGAAACAGGTGGGAATTTCAACTCTAGCTGAGTTTGCTGGGGCAAGGGGCCCTCTTGGGGCGGTAAGTCTTCGATGCCTGGCATGGCTGGGAACTGGCAATTGACAGATTATCGATCTGATGTCCGAAGTTCACGAGGTGAGGGTCGGAGTTAAAAAGATCATGGCGGGGTATGTGCCGCGCCCGCACCCCTTCCTCCAACTGCCCCGCATTTCTGGACCTTTTCTGCCGTCCGTTTGCCCTGGACCCCTGCACGCACATGCTCACCGCCTGCGGCAGGACCCACTTCTGGATCCACTCTCAGCCTTGCCTCGGACCCACTACAACCGTCATGTCTAACTTCCTGAACAGCTTCATCAACTGCAAGTCGCGACAACACCTTCCCCCATTTCCATCCATCTGCTTCATTATTCAAGAAAAAAAACCGAAAATGTCAGATAACGTAGGACTTCCGACACCGCGCGGCAGCGGTACATCCGGCTATGTGCAGCGCAATCTGGCCCACCTGCGCCCGCGCGAGCCCATCAAACCTCGCGACCCCGAAAGCTACCGCCACAAGCCGCGCAAGCCCGACCCAGGCCTGCTAGAGCACGATCGCAAGCGCGAAGTCGAGGTGAAGGTGTTTGAGTTGCGCGACAAGCTTGAGGAGGAGGGGTAAGCTGATTGCCCTACTTTTTCCCCGTCACCAAGGACCAACCCACGCTAACAAACCACCAGAGTCGACGAAGAAGAAATCGAATCCCGCTGCTCCGAGCTCCGCCAGAAGCTCCTAGCCGAGATGGAGCGCAACAAGGACGCGCTACCTGCCCAGCGTAAAACTTTCAAGGCACATCAGGTCCACGAGGCGGCCGATGCCAAGCTCAAGGAGAGCGAACGCCTGCGCCAGGCGCTCAAGATCAGTAAGGATTATGAAGAGGGAAGCCACTGGCGCCGGCAAGAAGAGCGGAAGAAGCCACTGGAGAGGGGGGACCTTCCGCCTGGGGTTGCCGATCGCGAGAAGGAGAGGGAAAGGGGTAGGGAGAGGGGCAGAGATGGGGACAGGAATGGGGATAGGTATAGGCAGAGAGATGATGATCGGTATCGTGAGAGAGGAAGGAATTGGAGCAGAGATCGGAGTAGGAGTCGGAGTCCTCGCAGGAGTCGCAGCCCGAGTAGGGACCGCAAGCGCAGTCGCACTAGGAGCTGGAGTAGGGATCATCGAAGGGATAAGAGCCGGAGCCGGAGCCGGAGCAGAAGCAGGAGCAGAAGCAGAAGCTGGAGCAGAAGTCCAGCGCGTGGGCGGGATCGGTATAGTGATGAAGAGAGGGATTGCAGGCGGTGATGTTTAGTACTCTATCAGACTGGTTGTAGTATGTATGGGCTCTTCATGCGGTTCTGATATATCCGCAGCAGGGGAGAGGTTCTGTACATCCCTTCATACCGGCGCTTTAACCAGTTAAACAAGACATTCTAATGCAGAAAGATTCACCATTGCTATCTGTCTGGAAGTCACCATATGATTTTTAACTATCACCATGTTCCTCATCATCACAGATTGCCATAACGACATACAAAACTGGTTGGTGAGAGGAGACTGGTTATGCATGAGCCGAGACCGCCCTACATGTGTTGAAACTGACCACTCCGAACCAATTAATGTCCTTGGAGCCCGGTTTGGAAGGCGTAAGAAGCGATAAAAAGTCTATTCACCTACCTGCTTCACTCTCTTTAAGAGTATAATGAAGCCAAATACATCACCCGCCCTGTTGGCAGACATCCTAGATCTGTTCGACGCACTCATCCGATGACCTGCCCAGCACGCTTATCTTTTTCATACATTTCTTGTGAGAAGGGAGTGAGACGACACTGCAAATCGATGAAATCACCGAGGATAGGACCAGTGAAGGAAAGAGTCGATAAAACACACCCAAAACCACAAATTTGGCATGTTCGCGAAACTCGAACAAGTGACTTGTTCGGGATGGTTCACTGCCACAGTACGGCGAGCTTCTCGGTAGACACATCTGTTGCTGTGTTGGAAGACATCCAGATCGCCTGGTAACATTGACCCATTCTTATAGAGTTACTGTGCTTTATGTTTGTGGAAACGGACCCGTTTCTCTACAAGGCATACAAAGGTAGATAGGTGACATCCATTCATATCCCAGTTAAACAAACTTTAAAAGATCCGAATCTTGACCATCTCGTTCCCTGTCGCCTCCTTAAACGCCCGAAAAGCATGAGTTGCCGCCTGCTCATCATGGGATCTTGACCGGAACCCATCGAAGCGAGTTCGAGAGATCTTTCCAATGGGAATCACGACAGCACCCAAGCGAACCATATCCGACGACTTATCTTCCCCGATACGCTCAAGAATGAGCCCCAGATGCCTCGACGATTTTTTGTATGTAAAAGATCCCACAGGCACAAAGTATAGCCTTTCCTGCGCTTCACAGCAACAGGAGCCATATTCATCAAGGAAGGTAAAGTCCCGCAACATCTGATGCAAGGAATGATCAAACGGAATAAGACGACAGCGCAGCTCAAGACAACCGTCTAGAACCAGACCGGTAGACGAGTGTGTAGCTAGTGTACATGAGGCGTCGACCACTTTCGCGTACTCTTCCCACTGGAGTTTCCATCCCGCATCGTCGATGTCGGCCCATTCTGCAATAGGCATGAACGCGCGGCCGTCGAGAAACGCCCAAGACCAGGTAGGCTGACGCCGATCATCCTTGTCAATCCGAGAGTAAGGGCTTGTATGCCAGCATAGATCCAGCAACAGTGTTTCCTTCCACAGGCCAGCCAGGTATTGCCAGTTCGAGGTATTCCTTTGCATTGCTTCGGCCATGCCGGAGATGGCTGCTAGTCTGTCCGACTTATCAGTCAACTCCAGCGGCGAGAAATTTGTCACGGTCGTATGCCAGACTTTTGCAATAGCCAGGCGATCATCTGTCTTCTTCATGTGGAGAAATTCGGATGGCTTGAGGGGTATGCCGAACGGTATCCTGGCACAGACCCGATCCAAGGTCCCCCGCTGTTTGATCGATGATATCTCCAAGAGTGTTGCCGTTAGGTCAAGACCTGTACCAACACCCCACAGGAATGACGCTGGGATATCCTCTTCGGTATCCGGGATGCATTGGCAGGCACGGCGCTTCATGCAATCCCACTCTATCTCATGCGGACCAAAGTGAACGACCCGAGGTGAGAGCATGCGTTCCTGGAATGCCCAACCACGTCTGAACAGTGGGAAGTTGCTGGCCCATTCAGTCCCCTCCATACCCTCCCTCATCCTAATGGGCGGAGCATGGAGTATCTTGCGTACCATAACCGGGCCGACTTGCGTAGTCTCCATTTTCGCAAAGAGACTACTATGTGGTGACGGGGCCCGCGTTGCTGAGATGGTGAGGTAAGAGTTTTGGAAGACACTCGCCATGCGGACGGATTCTCGCTTCCAGTCTGTAAGGTTGATGTCGTCCTGGATGATGCATAGAGCATCGATCCATAGGTAACGGACTCCCAAAGAGCGAGTCACTCTGACTGCGTCCTGGAAGAGCTGTGGTAACTCGTCCAGTCGGATTTCTTGCTTGTGTTTGTCGTAATTCGCTCTGGTGGTTTTGAGAAACTTCGCGCCGCCCCAGCAGTAGGAGAGGCACATGTAGCGTATGGATGAACCCACAGGCTCATGTAGTCGGATTGGATCTTCGTCCCTGACACCCACGTCGAGTACCCTTGTCGGCATCTCATTGGGCAGCATATGGTAAATTCTGCTGATTCTACATTTTAGATGGTCGTGTTTACACTCTCCTAGCCACTCTTGAACTTTGCACAAGTCTGTTTGAGTCCAGGTCGAACTCGGTGCCGGATCTGGCGGGAGGTTCCATGGATTTGGAACACCTGTCAACATATGTCAGATATTGACCCAGTCATGATTTCAAGCTAATAAGTAGGTACCTTCGATTCCAGAAACTCTAAAAACTCTCATAAAGCAGACATCTTTTTCAACTGGCTCCTTGTGTACCAGGGCCCAAGTCAGTTTACCTTGTTGAATTCTCGACATAATCATACCGGGGTAACGTGGCCACTTGAACTTCGCGCTAAACTTGATGTTGAACGATGAGCATATCTCATGGATGGTTCGACACCCATGGCAAGGGTTGATAAGTTGGCAGTCAGGCGTATCCTCTAGCCTCTCTACCCAAACGATATCGTCCGGTGGGGTGGAGTGTTTCCAGCGAATCCAGAAGTCACACAGAGGGGGCTGCCTATGAAAGCTCAATGCCATGCCACTGCGTGCTTGTCCTTCCACGGATCGCTCTGAGCTGGTGTCGTCCTCCGAGTCGAAGCTTCTGATTTTCTCAGCCAGTTTGCGGATCCCCATTGTTCCAGGGAGTCGTCATCAAGTTCTTTGGCTAATCCACTGACTATTCCAGCGAGCTTACGGCGTCCCCATATACTAAAGGTGTCATCTTCGTGTAGGGAAGTAACCTCTCGCATGGCAAAATCTGCCACGCGGAAGAACGCCTTGGAGAAACTCATTCCGTTTGTTTATCACCGGGTAAGCAACGTTTCAATGATCGTAATGGCGCACAGCTTGGTATGGCTGACACGACAGAAGGTTGTTGACGATACGAAGGGGGCACAACAAGGGGCCAAATGGATGCAAGGGGATGATAGATGAGTGATGAGAGATCGGTGCTACCGGGGAGCAAGGGATGAGATTGGGAAAGCCCCAAAGAAAGTACGGGGTGATATCTAAGCCAGTTGACACCTGTCAATTAAGACGAGGTTCCATTCCGTGGGGTAGCCCTGCAGCATCCTCAACCGGTGTGGCAGGCCTGACGAGTAGGAGGTTGGTGTAGCAGCAGCTGGTAGGTGATAGTCCATTGCATATGCTGGCTATCCGAAGAACTGCCTTCTCGTTTCTAGCCCCAGGCTTTCCAAGGGGTCAGAACATATCTGGACAGGACGTTAGGGGCATCCCGAGAACATCGTTTCTACCCAATACAGGGAGTTGATATTCAAGAGCCGCAGCTTGTCGGGAAGGTGAAGGAAGGAAATGAACCGTTGACAGCCAGGTGATCAAATGTTGCAGCCTGCCGGACATGCTGACAAATGGGACTTCCGCCTGGTGGTTTTTAATGGGCAGTTTTCTCTTCACTCAACTATTTGGCCAGGTCCAGGGGAAAGGTAGACACGAGATATCACTCGTTCTCCAGTCGGTCTTCAACATTACACCCCCCCCCCCAACCTCCTATCACCACTCACAGCATGGACTAATAAACAGCCAAAAACAAAGCACAACAAGCCGTGCGGCCAATCATCCTTACACTTCTGCTACATTCCTTGATTTTCAGCAGTTCAGCCCCACGGCCTATCCATGCATTCATCAGTCCAACCACACCCAATGGATATAGATACCCTACCCTACCCTACCTACATACCTGAATCGAAACACAAAAGTCCCAAAAAGAAAAAAAAAAGAAGGGCATATGTACATACGAACTGACTAACTGACTGACCGATACTCCGCGCGCTCCTCCTTTCGAGAATAGTCAGGAAGGGTGCACTCAGAGATCGAGAGACACTCCCAGCAGCCAGCAGCTAGCAAATAGGTAAAATAGGTGTGTGTGTGTGTGTGTTTTGGGGTGGGGGGGGGAGGGGAAAGGGAAGAGAAGGGAATAGATATCAGAGGAACTGTGGTATGAAGCTCCAAAATTCAACTATGTAAAAAGTACTCATCCATCTATCCCGTTCCTCTTCCAAGTCAGCTGGCTTATGCGAGCTTCGATCCATGATGAGCTAAGCTGGCGTCTCTCTCTTTCCTTCCGCTGACAAATTGAGAACCTCCTGCCAGGTAATGTCGTGTCTCATCTGAGCATCGTGTATGTTTCTCTGTAGCTTTGTCTTGTAGCTAATTGTCATGATATGTACTCATGGTAGTATGTCATCTCCAGTGATTGTAATGACTTCATTATCTTAGACGCCTCAGTGCCTGAGAGGACCTGCTTTGCGCTGCTTGGTTGACCACACTGTTGGATAGAGGTCCACTAGCCGCGCTCTGTGGGTTTGTGGCACGTGGGGTTTCTTACAGTGACTGGCCAAAGCTCCGCAGAACAAGTGCATATCAGCTGCACTGTTGTGGAGCAGGCATCATGATATACCAGGGTTAAGCGACACATCGGGGCACCTGCAGTGGTGACATGTTTGTCTTTCATAGGAAGCCAGACTCGGCCAAGACTCTGCAATGATCGTCAGCATCTGCAAACCATACTCGTCCATCACTTTGAGACGGGCAAGCTACCTGACAATCTTCTCGTCCTCCCTTTCTCGTGGCTCGATCTGCAGACTCTTGTCGTACATCTCGTGCACGTCGCCCGCAGCCTGCATGTTGCTAAGGATGTAGTCCTGTAGTTCGGGAACCGGCTGCAGCGAGTAGGCTACGTTCTGGTACTGCTGTATGTCGCGAATCACTTCGGCCGTCTTCGCGCGTTTGGCGAAGTTAATCAGATTCGTCTTTTTGATGACCGACGGGATACCATCCTCGATGAAAGTCAGGTCCGTCAGGTAAACACCTAGCAGAAAGAGTTAGCATCCTACGTCATAAGAGAGAGTTCAGAGTTATCACGGCTTACCAAAAAAGGTATGCATGGCGGATTCGCGGCATGCAATGCCTCTCGGTATTCACCGAAGTTCTTGGTGCTGGCCATGAGCTTGCGCATGTTCTCTAAGGTAGTCTGGATGCGCTGTGGCACCTGATCCCAGGTGCGCTTGAGGCGAGCGATCGGCGCGGTACCCAAGGCAGAAATGATGGAGGTCAGCGTGGAAAAGTTGTTGAGCTGCCGGCACTTGTCGGCAACGGCGACGAAATGCTTGATGACGACGACACGCTTCCGGACATCGGTCTGCGACAGGATCATCTCGGCCACCCAGTTGGTCATCTGGTTGGAGTGTAAGATGAGCGCCTTGACGTTGGGCGCAGGTTCGGGCTCGCCCTCGGCCACCTTCTTCTGCCAAGTCTTGTTCAGGCACTCCGTTGGCTTGATCTTGGCATACAGACGCGACTCAATAATGGTGAGCTGGCGTGCAAACTCCAACACATCGATGTCGAGGAACTTGAGCTTCTTCATGCTCTTGGGCATGATGGGCGCTGGAGTGTTCTGGTTGACGGTCTGCACCATGCGTCGGCTGGTAACCTCCTTGCCATTGAGTCGCTGGTCCAAGATGGCCATCAGCGGAGTCGAGCCCGGAGTCTCGGTTGACTTGACCGTATCTTTTGCGAAGTTGTAGACGTCCCGGATCAGTTGCTTCGTCTCCTCGCTTGAGCTGTCCTCCATCCAGAATTGATCGAACCAACTCTTGAGGATGTTGACGACGCGGAAGCGAATCAACTTCTGCTTTTGCTCTCTCCACATATCGAGCTCTTCCGGCGTCAGGCCCTCCGGGGGCTGGATATTAAAGCGCTGAACCAGCAGCTCAAACAGTTCCCTGGCCGTGGTAAACGACCTGTAAGTGAGGAGGAAGGTATTGTTGAAGTTTGCATCCAACTTGTCGTGCCGAGTAAGTTGTTCGACCAACGCGATCAAAGAACCACCCTTGACAGCTGGCGGGTTGACCTTCATATCCCATGATAAGTCCTTGTCGTGATCCAACTTGAGGAAATCCGGCGTGTCGTCAACAACCGGAGGCTGGATCTGTTGCTGCAACGAAGGATCGATGAGAGGATCCTCGCCGAAGAACTTTTTCATCTTGGACGGGTCTCCCGCCTTGCGGTAGTTGGGGAGCGCTTCGCCATCCGCGAACTGCGCTCCCAAACCCAAGCCAGGCCGGATAAAGCTTCTCGAGTCTGACCGTTGATGTGGCCGATCGTAGGGCATCGCGTCTATTCTCCTCAGCTCTCTCTGCATATCCAGGTCCTGCTGTTGCAAGACCATGGCCACCTGCTCGGAGAGCAGCTGGAGGGAAAAACCAATGTGCGACGAATTGGTCTCCAGAGCCCTTGCGCACTGCCGAACATACTCAAGCCGTTCTTCCAACGCCTGACCCCTGATCTCAGACCACTCATCGGCCAATGGCCCACAGACAGCCTGGCAACCCAGTAGCAAATCCGAGATATTATCGTACAGGCTTTGCTTGTTCATGCTAAAGTCAGCTAGCTGCGGGGTCTGGAACGTGTCGCCCAGGATGGACAGATCGATCGATTCGATGGTCGCGATCCACGGCTTGAACGCGTCGAGAACCTTTGAGCCAGCAGTGCAAACATTGTTGCCAATTACCTCGTGCTTGTAGGCGGTAATAAGCTTGTCGGTGCAGACTAGGTACTTGTCCAGTTCACGAATGCTAGAAACGAGAACACGCTTCATCTCCTCCAGCCGCTCGAGAAGCTTGCCGTCGAGAAGTGCGGAAGGTTCATTGACGCCCTCATCGTCATCTAGGAAGTTCGACGTGATAGGATCACGCGGACCTAGACCATTATTTTGCCAGCTGCCACCTGTGTTGGACCCAAGAACAAACCCAGGGAACAACCGCGGAATCTCCTCGCCGCGCTGCTGCCGCGCGACCTCCACATAACTGTACACACCAAGCAGAACACCATCAGCCTCCTGCAGACACTTTTGTACAGACTCAGCATTTGGCCAGTCGGCAGCCGCAATGTGCGAGGAAATGACGAGCTTGGAGAACTTGGACATCATATCCCGGAAGTGTGGATACAGCGCCTTGTTCGTGGAGATGATAGATGGCTGACCCGAATGGTTGTCTGTTGTCCCTGATCCAGCAGCGAGAAGCAGACGGAGGTGATCCGAGATGTCCTCAGCGCGCGCCACATACTCGGCTCTGTTACCACTCTCGATGGCTTGGCGGTACCGATCAATGGCCTTCTTCATCGCCGAAACCAGTCGGCTCCATGTGAGGGGAGGAGCGCCGCCGTCATCAAAGAAGGACCGTGGGATTGTCGCTGCGGTCGGCAAGTTGTACGTTGTGCTTGTGAAAGAAGTGGCCGAGGTGATCATTGGAGGTTGAATCATACTGCCGTTGGCGAATGTGTCGCCGCGCGACCTCGTCATTGATGGTTGGCCATTGATCGAATCCATTGACGTCGAAGGGGAAATGCCATCGGTTGTATTATGGCGCCGCATTTGTGGCTACATGGGAAATGTGAGAAATCATCCTAGGATAGAAGATTAAGCACGGAGCAGTGAAACTTACCCTAACCCGTGCCGCACTCGGACGATTCTCGCCCTCAAGATCAGACGCTGAAGTCAAATCAGACTCCTCTTCCTCTTGGGTGAGACCTCTAGCGATCATTTCAGGAGGGGGTCTGGTCCTGTCGGGAATGGTGACGTTCATGCGATCATGTGGCCCGGTCTCGTTGATCGAGGACGGAGGCTCCAGCGGGAGCTCGTGGCTGCTTTCTCCTGTCATAGTATTGTAGTAGAAGAGTCGACCATCAGGGGTGGCCTGCGGAATCCAAAAGTCTGCTCTTGACCGGCCAACCTCAGTGCCCTCGAGCGGAAGATTATCCCCATCGTCGTGGTCCGACCCATCCTCTTCATCAAGCGTTTCCTCATACTCTTGTTGCTCCTCACTCTCCTCCTCTACCTGCTCCTCACCAATGCCTTCCTGTTCCCTCAACTCTTCCGGTGAAATGATCTGGCAGTAGTTGCTCGGGAACCAACCTCTGACGCCATTGATGACTCCATCCCACCATCCGCTCTCCAAACGGGTAATCACCTGGATGATGTCTCCCTCGTGGAAACTAAGGCTCGTCCTATCGTCAGCCTCGTAGTCGTAGAGAGCACGTACATACATGGTGCCCGGGGGCACCGTGCCCACGATGCCGTTCATGATGGAGGTGGTGTCGGCGTTGTTGCCGTTAAAGTAAGCCGTGTATGTAAAGTCGCCGTCGGCGCTGCGCACGTCTGAGGCAGTTGAAGCGGTAGAGTAGCTGTGTTGGTGTCGAGCCGCGCCAGAGCCAGCCAAAGTGTTTTGGTCCGAGTATGCAGCAGCTGTGGTCGCGGTATTGTTCTGACCTTGGAATGCCGACGCAGTGTTCTGCGTCATTAGCATGTTGAGCTTGGAGTCAAGGAGGGCACAGACGGCATGGATGGAGGACCTCGCAGCAGTCGCGAAGTCATCCGTTCAGCCCTGTTCCCGCTCGACTCAACTTGCTTGTCCCAACCACAAGCTCCCTGACTAGCGTTGCCGCGTTTCGACAGACAACGATCGGTTTGCGAGATGTGACTTCGACAATCTCAGAAATCGAAAGATCTGCACTGTTGGGGTAAGAGAGAGACTAACGAGGATATCGGAAGATGCGGTCCTCCTACACGCTTCGAGACCAAACCGATTGATCGTAACCTTTGGATACGCTGCAGCCGCTGCGTCTTCTTTATTCCGCGCACTCGCCCGCAGATATTCTCTCTCGCAGACTCGCTACCCGCGCGAATCAGAGTCCCAGTGAAAAAAAAAAAAAAGATCGCTGCTTTTGAGCCCTGCAGGCAACTCAATTTCGCGGTTTTGGCGTGCCGTTGTTGGGGCCTGGTTTACCCCTGGCTGATGTCGCTAAGCCGTAGTGTCTCCCGGGGGGGAGCAGACGTGCAACACAAAGCCCAAGTTGTGCGTGCCCCCGATCCAGCGTGTCGGGAAAAACATAAAATAAGGCTCTCTCGATGGTGTTGAGTACAGAATTCAGGGGTTTGGCTGACGAGACGCGCGTGCGTAGTCTGGGATTGGTTGTGGGAAGGCTGGTTGGTGGCAGGATGGAATGGAGGTCCTATCCAGTCCGGTTCGTTGGCCACAACTTGTGTCTGGAGCGGGGTGGACACGGTCAACAGGGATAGGAGTGCCGCACTGTTAGGGGAGGGCGGGGCGCTCTGGCTTTGGGGCGCCCGGTCGCTGCCGGTCGCTGCGTCTGAACTCGCTGCGCTCTTCGCTGAACGTGGGTCCACACGGGAACTTCCACGGAACCTGTGTGCTTTTCTCAGGTGAAGAACTCGGGGTTCTAGAAAACCAGCAGCGTAGTTTGTGATAGTTTCGAGTGTCAAGGCATTTCCAGAACGATATAATCACCTGCGTCTGATATGCTGGAATAAAATCCCATATTCTCATACCCAGTTGCAGATGCCTTTGAACATGTTATCTAGTCCCTCTTAGGAGGACCGCACCAGGCAGATGTGGAGCATCCCAGGCACATGAGGACCAGTCGCGAGATGGAGCCACGCTTCTTGGCGCGGGACCATTCCATTTTGAGCATGCATAGTCCCACTTTTTTCCGTTTTCGTCAAGAGCAGGTCTGCTCTGTTACAGTACCAGAGAGTCATCCCTTGTAATTCCTTAGCGTTATGTTACATGTTACATGGACGGTTTACACAGTGTAACTTCACCTCTTGTTTCATTCCAACGTTCTGTCTTCGACATGCTGACAACTCTGGACTTTTGTTGACCAAAGTTCTTCTCAGGGTTCTACGGCCGGAGCAATGCGTGCCAGAAGCGATACCGAACACTTAAAAGAATCTGTCGATATATCTCGAAGAAATGACGCACGCTCCATAAGTCGCACCATTTCGAGTCTCAAGAACCATACAACCGGTGCGCTTTCCAAGGTGTTAACGGGTGCTTACAGTATGAGCTCACGGTAAGACCATGACCACCGAGTTCGAGAATGGTTCGGCAGCTGAAGAATCAAGCATCAGAAACCAACAAGAGCTCGAATCGAGAAAGATCTGTTCACCGTACTGCTCCATTTTCCCCGGCAGAAACATGAGACAGGAGTGACCAAGAATAGCTTTCTACAACATCACTCCCTATCGGGGTCTGCCATACGACTGGATCTGATGGGAGCATCAACTTTCCTTATCCGGGCGGCCATGTGCTGATAGTTCAAAACGACGTGGCTCGTGGCCCGTGGAATATTCGGACGAAAAAGCATGACTCAAGGCTGCTAAGGCTCATCCTCGATGGTTTCTACAGTCCTAGGCTGCCGTAAGCAACGAAAGGAATCATGCAATTGACTGGACCAAACGAATAACACCTGCCGTTTTCATCAATCAGACTATCCGCCCGGGCCAGCAACAGAATTAAGGGAAAAAAAAGGAATTATAGCCCCGATCTGACGGATAGGCAGGGAAGGTAGTGTTCGGAGACAGAGTTATTTTAGATGCTGGCACCCTAGATCGTGGGGGCATCCTGACATCTTTCGTGGCATCACCTACCGTCTCATCGTGGCAGCTTCAAGATAACAAGGATCCTCTTGTCGTTTCCATCCACATTGAGTGCCATCGTCGGCTTCGCCTTACAGGGCCAGTTTTCATCGCTGCAGATGCGAAGCTCGGTAGAGGTGTCACAATAAATGAATAACAAAATCCAAGGAGGGGTAATATAAACAACTGCCCCTCATTGACACTCCACAGCCGTTAACAGCCCCGGAGACTAGCGACTCGAGACTCTGGAACCTCTCGGACGGGTGGCACGCCCCGCAGAGGATCCGGGTCGCCAGGTGTCACAGCAGCAGCAGAACCAGTACGGGGCGACGAGTTGGAATGCGGGCGTGGCGATCTCTGGTCATGGAAGCGATATGGACGGCGGCAAGTAAGCCGGATAGCCGCTACTGCCGCCGCAAGCCAGGCTGGCCTCAAGCGCAGTTTGTGTGTGCGTGTGCATGTGCATGTGTGTGCCGATAACGTCGCGGGGCTGTCGCGGAACCTGCCAAAACTCCGGAGCATTTGCATTCGGGGCTTTTTGGGACGTATGTCGTGAAGCGGAGCAGGAATCGGCTCGCCGTTCTCGAGACGGCAGAGGTCGGACCGCGTGACACGGCGTTGCTGTTAGAGCCGCCCATCCGTCGGGGACCACGTGTACCCCTACCGGTAGACTAGGACGTCCTTGCAGCGCCGACAGCCCTCCGGGCATCCTCCATTGATGCCGGTACGGGTGGGGGAGGGGTCGAGACCGCCGTTTGGATGGATGACCGCCGTTTGTGTGGGAACGGCTGGCTGCCAGGTCACCGGGCTTGATACTGGTCCCTAGTGTCTTCCTGTTTGGGATGATAGCCAGTAGTTTTGACGACCGAGCAAGGGGGTTTCCGTTTTCCCTCAAAAGGTGCGGTGAAATTTTCGACACCGCTCCGTTGTGCCATCAGCTGAGGAAATTTTTTTGCCCCTCCCCGGACGACGAGCTGAAGAAGGCTCGAGCTGAGCATAGCTTGGCATGCCAGGCTTTTGAGGTTCATCAGACCTTTCAGCCCGGCGAAGGAACACTTCTCGAAAAAAGAAGTAATCGTGGGATCTCGCTGAGATTGCCGTCCTCAAATCTCATGCGAAACAGCAGCTCCGACGGAAACGAGGGGAGAAGCGAGGAGGGGCACGATGGGTCCAATTTCCGAACCCTCGGCCTCGGGCCATGCGCTGAGGTCCGGATGCGACCCGGATGGGGACAGGGTCCCACATCCAGGGCAGCATGCAAAACACCTAGGAGATGGCGAGCAGAGAGCTGCCGGTCACGGTTCACTAGCCGTGCTGGGGGAGAGAGCAGACGTGGAAAAAAAAAAGGCTGCGTTGAAAAGGCTGAATCAACGCCGTATCGCCTTGTCTCAGTTCTGGAGACAGTCGGCTGGCAACTTGCGGCAAGGGGAGCAGGGCAACGAGACATCGGATCTTGTGCTGTTGCTGTGTCTGTTGCATGATGATCGACATCGGTTTTGCTGGTTGGCCCCAGTGTTCGAACTTTTTATGGGCACTGGTTCAAAATGGACGCCGAGCCGACCGAGGGAACAAGGGAGTGTCGCACCGTCGCACCGTCATCTCCTTCGAGAAAAATCCTCAGCCTGTCGACCTCCGCGGCCTCGTTGCATTGGCATGTCCATCGTTCATCGGCCTCCCCCGAGAGCTGTTCAGAAAGTGATGCGTCTCTGGCTTCGAGCGTGGTTGCGTCCCGATTCAACGCTGTTTCTGGTCACACCAGGTTGCAACCATCTCATCAAGAACTCAGATTCCGCTCCATAGATATTCTCCTGCCCGTATGTAGTGTATCGAGGGTCCTGTTAGCCGTATGATGTAGGATTCCGCGCTGCCCAATCGCGGTGCGAGATGCAAGGGGGAAATGAAGACCAGTGGCCCCAGACCCAAACAGCCACACCTCCGTCCTTCCAGGTTTGATCAGTTCCAAGGATTTTTCTTATTTGGGCAGTCGGGATTTCATGGGGCGCCGAAAAAAAAAAAGCAAAAGCCTCAGCTTGTAGGGACGCAACGAGGGGAAGAAAAAAAATGAGGGGCAATTTTGCCCAAGCTTCTTGACTCTTGCAGCCGCAAGCAGCAACCACACATTGTTGCGCTGCAAGTGAAGATGCGGCGTTTGTTTACTTTCACCAAGGTCGAAACGGCAAAACCATGGCATGGCCATCGCAAAATTCGGTTAATCTGTCGCCATCACAGCGTCTTCTGACCGCACATGCAGTGGACTGCTGCTTGCTGCACGACTCAACGTGCCCGGGAAGTGAAGTGCAGGACGATAGCCGAGTTTGCAGCGACTGGCTACGGGCCGGGAGTCCATCCTGCGACCGCCTTCCTAAGACAGCAACAGAAGCTGGAAGCAGAACAGAGCACACGACGCCGACGCGCGACGGGAACAGCAGTTCCCACAACGCGCGGCTGCGAGTGGCTCGTGGTGGTGGGCGCGCTTCTGGTGGCAGGGCGGGCTGTTGCTCCACTTCTTGTTGCTGTGGGGTGGTGGGGTAGTGGGGTGGCCCTGGGCTTATCGAATCTTCTGTGAGAGGGGTTGCATTCCCAAAGCTGGGAACGACACTGTGGCTAGGAAACCGGCTCCAGCTTCCGCCCCGGATTAGCGCAATTTGCTGGCAGGCAGGCTGCTGACGGTCACCGTGCGCATTTTCAGGGGTGTGTGAAAAATATCTGCGCTGCATCCAACCAGGCGGTAACCCGCGCGGTCGCTTCTCGCAGGGTTCGCAGAGGGTGCGGGCGGGCAGATCTGGCTTCTGCGGGCGGCGTTGATGCGGTTTGACGGAGGGATGACGGGGAGGGATGTTGATTGCCTGCGCGCTTATCAGGGCAGACGACGTTCGACGTTTATCCCACGGAAGCATCGGGCAAATAACCCCTCATTTGTATCATGGAAGATGCCTGTGGGAAGCGTGCGTTGCCGTGTGGATACCCCACTGAGAGCTGGATGCGATGGGCTGGATGCGATGGGTTCCATGATTCTCGGGTCAGGTTGTGGCCCAGCTTCGCCAAGGCGACCAAGCCGACGAGGGCCCTGACCGGTCCCCGCTGAAGGGGGTCGCGGAGTGCATCTGCCACCGCGCAGATGGAACCGAGGAACCTGGGTGACCGGAGCTGTCTGGCCCGTCACAAGGCGGTTGTCCGACCGAGAGACAGGTTACCACAGCCCGGAGAAAGGAGGGGGAGGGGCTCTCTCGAAGGAGGGGTTTGAGGGGCTCGAGGGGCCATGCCATGGTCCCGAGGACAGTTCCAAAGCATGTTTTGGAGCCAGCAGAGCCGCCAGCTCCCGATGAAAACGAGGGGCACGATGATCATCATGGATGGCTCGTGCTGGTCTGGTAAACTGGGCCGCCGCTGTTGAGCCACGGGATCACGGGATCACGGGACCATCGATGTGGCATCTTCTTTTTGCCATGTTGCACCGGCTGTCTTGTTGGATTGGCTCTCGACATCCGCCATGCCGTTGCGGCAGCCTTACTTGCGGCATTGCCATGCATACAGATGGCCATATGGCATACGTAGGTACGGCATGTTCATTGCCAGTCGCGTCTCTGAGCTGGATCTCTCCACATGTGAGCAGCCAGCAGTGAGCGGGCGGTGCTGGCGAAATGTCGCTATTTTGGGTGTGGGCGCATGTCGTGTTAATTATGAGAGGCCCTCCTTCGCATGAACTTCAGAGGCGAAAACGACAAGGCCGAAACGACAACAGCATTAGCAGCATCAAACATCATCAATGAATCAATCAACATCGGACAAAACAAGGTGAATGAGGTGGACTCCCGAGCGTCTCCGTTCTGTTGCTCGTCGCAGCACCATGCGATGCCAACGCAATGCTGTAACTGCAACCGATCAGAGAAGAGCCCCACCACGTTCGAGGCTCTTGCAGCTCGCTACTCCACTACCTTGGAGTTCGTTCGCAATTCCAGAGCGCTTCAAACATGTGGCGGTCAGTGAGTGCATTGCAAAGGCCCAAAGTGCCAAAAATGAGCAGTTTGGGCGGACGAGAGGCAGCTCGCCCAAAACCGAGCATTGTGCTGTGTCATGCGCACATGTTCTTGTATGTGTGGGCGTTTTTGTTTGCTCAGCCATCTGCCGCTCAAAATATTGTCACTGAGTTGAGCCACGGCCACAGAGGACGAGGGGCCGAGGGGCGAAGGGGGCGCAACAGCAACAAAAAAGAAAGGGGGCCTTCATTTCAGCTCTCTTTTTTGGCTGTGTGTTCCAGCGCTGGTGCCATGCCGTCGCAAAAAAAAAATGTGAACGTGGCCAGGTTGTCCCGCCCCCCCCCCCTTCAAACGCGATGCTGTTCGGCCGCCTTTTAAAGCGTTAGGAGAGGCTGTATCTGGTGATAAAACAGCACATGGAAACTGTGTTTATCGTCGTAAGCGGCGATACTCGCCTTGCTATGCAGCCATTGCCCCGCGACACCACAGAGGTCAGAGGTCAGAGGTCAAGGATCTTCACCCCTCCCTCCAGCTCACCACCCCACCTTCGGATTGCTTCTACTTCATTTTGCGCGACTTTGGATGACAGCTGTCACACGCCCTCCCCGCCTCTCGCGATAGAGCCGGCATATCTACTTGTAGATGCGCGGTTACAGTACATTGGGAGATGTGGTCTACTGGACGTAGTGTGCACACATGCCGCCAGTGGCCAGCTCACTTGAGACGGTGACTTTTGCGCAGCTCTCACCGCTCTGTTGGACAACCGGAGCGATACCTGAGCAACTGGCAGCCCAGGTGCGGACGGCACCAAACGGTGATTCCGGGGGGTTCAAGACCAGTCGTCGTGCTGAAGTGGTCTCCCAACCACTCGGTGGGCCCCCCTGGTTCCCGGGCCTTACTGGGGACGCGAGGAGCTAAGCCAATTTGGGAAAGGCAAAATTGTGTCACCCCTGTCTCTGGCAGCAAGGAAGGTCGCCAAGGTCGCTCGAAGCCGCTGGCTGTCGCTGGGCCAGCACCCCCCCCCCACCTGCATTGGCGGGCTGTTTTTCCCCCTCCCTCCGCGAACGTCCGCTGCCATTTTTCCCCTCCATTTCCCCCTTCCTTCCCTCCTGTCTCATCAGCCTTTTCTGGCTACCTTTCACTTTACCCCTCCTGCCTTTTTTTCCACACCTTTTTCATTTCTGATATTCACCTTTCAACCCACTTTCTCCCCTCGTCCCCTCACCACCTCACCACGACAGCACACATACCCAGTACACGAAATCCACTACCCTTCAGGCTTGCCTTCGCGCAACCACGTGTAATCGGCTCCGCTCGGTGCAGCGCGACAGCCAGATCCAGCCTATACCTGATCTTCCATCTACCTGACCACTACATTCTGCCCAACGCCCCCTTCATTCCAGCGACCAGCTCGACCATCCTTCCATTTCCATGATCATATCACAAATGAGCAGTCCCGCGACACAAAGTCCAGTCGACACACTTTAAAACTCACGGGAGCGCGCGAGCGAGCGAGGAGTTCAGACGATCTCAACTATCGTTCTGTGTGTGAGGGTTCAACACGCGACTATCGAGTCCCCGAGTGCCGCAGTCAGAGCAGTCGACGTCGACGTCGTCGGTGATTTTTGTCGGTGCTGCCGTTGCCATCGCTGCGTTGCGATATCTTTTATTTTTTTTTCTGTTTTATTCGCGGCACTACCACTGGATCACATCCAGAATGCCTGGCGCAAGTGTGGCAGTAATGCCTTCCTCGGCAGCCTCTACACCGGCCGCCCGTAAGGCCTCACTCGCCCCTGAGAGGAAATACAAGTGCCAGTTCTGCAACCGTGCATTCAGCAGAAGCGAGCATAGGAGCCGACATGAGCGTTCGCGTACGTTAGCTTTTTCCTCCTTTCCAGCTTTTGCTCTGTTGCCCAGCTCTACCCCGCCCCCGCTTGAGCTTGGCTTGCAACATCAGATGATGGTTGGTGTAATGATGCTAACGTTCGACTACAGATACCAAGGAACGTCCTTTCAAGTGCATGAAGTGCCGCAGCACCTTTGTCAGACGGGATCTGTTGCTCCGTCATGATCGCACTGTCCACGCGAAGGACGGCGGCGTCCCTCTCCACAGCGACGGCAAGCGCCGTGGTGGCCCCAAGACGGCCCGCCCTGTCACCACACCTTCCAAGCCCGAAATTGCCATCGACTCGTCTGCTCTCGAGCAGATTGAAGCTAGTACCGATGGGGTCTTTGATGTTGAGACCGCTGCGATGCTTGTTGCTGACCTGCATCAGAAGGCTACCGCAGCAGCTCGGGCTAACAGCAACTACGACGGCAGCAGCCACTACGAGGGAAGCCCCAATATGTCCTTCTCGCAACCTGCGTCCACAATGATGGAGTCGGCCGCGCCATACTCCAACATGCAATGGGACGGCTACATGGGCCAGCCAGAGGCCAAGGGGCATTCAATCAGCTCCAGTTCGGCGTCTTATGACGCCCAGAGCCACGGCCAGATGCCGGGCAGTTCGACCCCGCAAGCGCCCTTCCCGCCGTTCCGTGCTCATACCCCGGCTGACGCCCCTCAGCCGCCTGCGGGCTTCAAGCCCCCGCAGCTCCTTAACGACGAGGAACGCAACATAGTTCTGGACAACATTCGCAACTTTGACTCGGAGCATGCTATCCCTGAGGGCTTCCGCGTACCGACCCTGCCTCAGATTAACCGCTTCCTGGCGACCTACTTCGGCCTTTTCCATCACCACCTACCGTTCTTACATCCTTCTTCATTTGAGCCGACTCGTGTGTCACCGCCACTTCTTCTAGCCGTCCTGTCGATCGGTGCTCTGTACGCCTTCGACCAGGAGCAGGCCTACATTCTGCACATCGGCTCGAAGGTTCTGGTGAACCAGTTCCTGCAGAACAAGGAGAACTTCAGCTCTCGCAAGTGCCCTCTGTGGACGATGCAGAGCTCTCTCCTCAACATGATTTTTGCCAGCTGGAGCGGTGACCCGAAGGGTCTTGAATGGGCCTGCTCGATTAAGAGCTTGCTGGCCAACATGGTTGCTGGAAACCGCTACGAGTTGAAACTTCGGCAAGAGGCTCGCGAGGGTCGGCTGCCCACTCGTGCCGAGTGGATCGAGGACGAGGGTTGCCGCCGTACCTATTACGCGGTCTACATCTTCTTCGGTCTGCTGACCCTCACATACAACCACACGCCGGCCATCAACTTCAACGAGTTTGAGGATCTTCAGCTCCCTTCAACCGAGGCGCTGTGGAACATGAAGGTGCCGGAGGAGGCATGGCCCGACCACCTCAAGGTGTCGCCGAGCGTCACGTTCATGGAGGCGCACGACAAGCTGTTCTCGGGCGAGACGCTAAAGTACAGCGCGTTTGCGACTCGCGTCATGATCAACGCGCTCTTCCTCGAGGTGTGGTACCACAAGCGCAGTCCCGAGGCGCTGCAGGATGTGGTGACGGAGTACAAGCTGCGTCTTGCTCTGGAGACGTGGGAGAAATCCTTGGATCTCTGCGAGCCCGAGGCTTTCTCTGTCCCGCTGAGCGCGCCGCATAAGGGCCATCCTCTCCTCTTCAATGCCCAGGCCATGTACCGCAACGCGCGGGCCCGGCTGGAGGTCGACTTGAAGACGGTGCAGGAGGCGCTGCGGTACCACGACTCGTACGAGGTGGCGGCGGCCATGTCGAACGCGCGGGACCGCGTGAAGCGCTCGAGCGAGATGATCAAGGTCATTCAGGAATGCTACAACTGCATCGAGACGGCGGTGCGCCAGGGCGTCCGGTGGGTGGCGCGCACATCGCCCACCAACTGGAGTATCGAGCATCCGCTGTGCGGCATGGACCTGATGATCATCCTCAGCCTGTGGCTGTACCGTCTGGAACATGACGAGGAGCCGGCTACTGAGGAGGAGACCATCATGTACAACCGCATCCGCTCGCTGTTTGACAAGGAGACGGACGAACCGTACATCACACATCTGAGCTCGAACGTTGCCCGCGTCTGGGGCTCGATGCTTGATGAGGTGGTTGTTTGGGGGTAAGTCAAGTCTTTTATTTCTGATGATCTGTTTTGTTTATGACCGTATGCTAACAAGATACACAGTATCACTCGTTTGATGGGTGAATCTTTCCGCCTCCACTCGCAGGCTCTTATCGGCTACGTGGACGACATCTCGGCTTCCTCCAACGTCTCGACGCCGTCCATGACCTCTCAGGGTGCGGACGAGGACAGCGTGTACTAGCTCTCATGACTACTACTCGTTGATGATTTCCTTTCCATTCCTTTCTCGCAGTCGTTTTCTCATTTACGGGGTCGGTCGGTATTCTCGTTTTTTTTTGTCTCCCCCATAAAGGGCATATACCTCTTTGCGTTTATCTCTGGTTCTTGACTGCATACCCCTTACCTGAGGGCATGAGCAAGAACTCAATCGGTTATATATTGGTTGGTTTTCTGGCGCTGGGGAACGAGGAGTTGGGGGATTCTGCGTCTCGAGATTGCTTTGTTTCTTCAGGCTCATTACTTTTTTTTCGTTACTCGTATCTCATCGTCTTTTTTTTTTTATCGTTCATGGGCTCGGCAAATGGGGGCAGGTTTGGTACGGTTTCGCATACAGAGTGGTCTAGTGGGAGGACCACCGCTCCCGCAAACCTAATATCTGCACGCTGTTGGCTGGTCCATGTCGTACCGGATGGCTTTCCGTTTCGTTATTTCCTCTACTCTCTTCTTTGCTATTCTCCGCTTTTCTTCGTTGTGTCTCATTATCACCGCTTACTCGATTTAATTGCCGTTTATTTCTCTTTTTTTTTCCCCTGATACCTTGTTCATATATTGTTTGGTTTTTATTTACTTGCAAACCATTTGGGTTTGTGTTGATCTAAGCGCCCATCTGTTCTTAGTAGAACTTCCTGTACTAGATACGGGAGCATCTAGGGAAGGGAAGGGAAGAAGCAAATTCTGGCCATGAAGGAAGCAGGACTGGATGGGTGAATGGGTTGATGGTTGGTTGGTTGGCCTGGAATGGATTGAACGGATGGGACTTGTGAATTTAACGTGTCCGTTTCTCTAAACTCTTCTGCTTGTCTTGATAATGTGTTTGGGGCCTTATTATCGGACGTGACTTTATTAGCAGCACAGCTCAGTCATCAATAAGATTGGTACTTTTCCCTGCTTGTTGAGTTTGCTTGATTTGCTAGGCAACTTGCACGTGAGCTTCTTTGTTTTGTCCTCAGTTTACGTTCTTTTGCCAAGTAAGCATCTTCACTCATTGGCTTCAGTCTCTTAAATCACATTGATTTGGTGCATCTCTCTACCATTTTATCATATCATGCTCCTTCCCCTACCTTCTATTCAGTGATTCCCATTGTCTCAGTCTGTGAGGAACAATCTCTGCTAAGAGGTCTCAGAGCCACACAGTCACATCATGCTTACCAAGCCACGAATGTGCTCTCTTCGTTCTCGAGATCTGATCTTCCGAATCTTCGGCCCCTCCACAACCCATCAAGCAGTTGGCCAAGCAGCAGGTCCCGCTACGCCGTGGCACCAGACTGCGGGGACCTTCTTTGTGAAACGTTGTCTTTGAATTTCCTTGTGTGTCCAATGCCAGGAACAGAACGGGTATCATTCGTTCGCTACTGCAAGTAATTTGCATGTACCACGGAAAGTTCAAGCAAATGATCTGCACGTTCCCTTGATTGCAGCAGTTTGGGTTGGACGGGATGGAATGATGATGGTCCATGTATATGAATTGGACCCCATTTTTTCTTTTTTTTTTCTTTTCTTTTTTTTCCTACTGCGTCAGATGCTCAGGATAGAGTCGGGTATCTACCTGAAGAAACGACGGAAAGCAAACTTGATCGGGTGGTGTTGCATGTCAACGAGGGTTGCAGATGAAAGTAAGTTGAGGGAGCGTTGCCGTCACTTTCGTAGTCGAGAATTGATTGAATGATTCACCTGACGGGTCATGGGTTGGATCAAGTGAACATAAAAAGACTCGAGTAGTGTGAGCTTGTTCTGTCTTCGGTTCCGTTGCTGACACCCCGATGTCATGTTTGTCAACGATATTTACTTTAGGTCTGGCCTTACATGTAGCTTTCCTTCCGGCCCTATGGCCCTGGCCTCATTTGATTTCTCCATGCCAACCTAAGGCTACCCACCGATGACAACATCTTTTTTAACATCTTTGCAAAGAACCGGAGTAATCAGTCCTTCCGCTTTCTCGTGTTTGCGGCTGGGCACGCTGGGCATTACTCTAGGCGCATGGTTAGGCTTTGTGAGGGTAAATGCTGCGCTGCTCTTATTCGGTATTGTTATGCTTGCCAAGGAGCGGTTCTGTTCCGCTCTCCGGGGCACACCCTCTTGGCTTTTTCACCTCATTCCCATCATTAAAAGCGAGATGCCCAAACCGTTAAATCGATGATTCGAAAAAAAAAAATCCGCCTTTTCTCTCCGCATTTCCGGAGGACGGGCCGGTCTTGCTGATGAGAGAGCTACGGAGGGTTTCATGCCCAACGGACAGTTTCCACTTTGACACATGAGCTAAAGAGCGTAGTGTATCAAATTTGCAACGGCTCAACGTGCATTAAGCTGGGGGATACTCAACCGTTCAGAGAAGAGTTGTGGATAACGGATTCCTAGGGCAAAGCTACGGTGTCGACCCTGCTCCTAGGACATAACATGTATGCACCTGTATGTAACCAAAATCGTCATCTTGGATCATCTGATGTGGCGTGCTGCTCAAGATCCGCTCTGCGTTTGATACGAATAGGGCGCAGAAGCCTAAGGTTTACCTGCTGAAAAGGGAATCGCTGGACGCACGGGGCAGATGTCCCTCGACGACATGCCAATGCCATCTGCAGCGCCCTTTATGTTCGCTTCGCTTCTCGTGCTCAAGAAAGATTCTCCGCTCCAGCTTGCCACAGAAATCAAAAACAATGTTCAAGAGTCTCTTACCCCCCCCCCCCCAAGTCTGGGACGGCCAAGCCTTTGTCCTGTTCGATTCGCAGACCATCCCGTAATGAAAGCTCTTTGGCTGCTCAGCTATCGAGCTTTGAGATGTCGCAGTGAATAGGGATGTGCTCTTTCGGAGATGGAATGGCCCTAGGGTCTTGTGTGGCTGGGAGAGCCAGCGTGATTGGCTTGCCCGGGCTAGGCAAGTTGCTACACTAGGCACCTTCTGGGCAACCCGCAGGATCCGGAGAAGACACCCCCTTCCTTTTAATTACGGCTCTTCCCCATAATATGTTGCATAGACGTTGCGCGGGCGCATCCATTTCGGCCTCACGTGGTTGAATCCTACCGTGGGTAGCTTCGTGTAACGCTAAAAGGAGGGTCGTGAGGACAAAGAGGTCACTGGGGTTTTGACGTGTTAGTAGTATTCGGGTTTTGGAAAGTAGAAAATACATCCAATCGGCCCCGACCGTTGTCCCTCGTTGAATGGTGTAAAAGCACAAGATAACGGGAGCGGAGAGGATGTCATCATAGCTACCCCGCGCTGTCGCTCGTTTAGTCTTTTCGATTGCTTTCATGGGCTCTTGAGTCGCTCGTTTACTTGCATCTCTCGCTCGTAGAACACCATGGTCGCGTCGTCCTGGCTTTCTCGACTCTTATCATCATCACACTCTCTCCAATCTTTCTCCGTCCAGATATCCACTCGGTCATTATCATCCCTTTCCCTCTGGACCCTATTCCTCTTCAGCCCCCTGGCTCTTGCGGACTGCGAATGCGGTTATCTATCAACAGTCGGTGACGGCGTTGGTAATTCCCAGGTTGACACATCCGACCCGTCAATATGGCGACAGACCCCTAGCGACAGCAGCAACCTGGCGCTCTTCACAGACCTCTTGGAGACTGACTTCACACGGGTATACTCCTCCGGCAATCGGTACGATGTCTCCAAGGATACGGATTGGGTACCGCAAGCATTCAACCTCACCAAGGAGCGGGCACGCGGTGAATGGGGCGAGATGTTCGACGTCCGCAACGTGTTTTCCTATCCGCCCAACAAGAACCGCCAGAGTCAGCCCGGCGAGGACGAGATGAAGTGGGGACCGAAGCACTGGAACTCGGACGACAAAGCGACGGGGTTGAAGTTGGTGGTGAGAAGTGACGTTGTGGATGGCATGGTCCCCGTGGCGGAGGTGGCCACGCGCAGGTTAGACTTTCTGTACGGGTCTTTCCGCGCGAGCATGAAGATCTCGGACATTCCTGGGACGTGTGCAGCTTTCTTTTGGGTATGTTAACATTCTGGGAGGCTAATGGTGCCCCCCCTATTTTCTCCCCTTCCCGAGAGGGTCCCGATCAAAACTTTAAAGAAAAAAAAATAAAGATAAAAATAAAAAAAAGGATAAAAAAACTAACCGCTTCTCCAATTAGTACTTCAATGACACGCAAGAGATCGACATGGAGTTTCTCACTCGCGAATTCAACCGCGAGAACAAGACCTTCCCGATTAACCTTGTCCTGCAGTCGCGCGAGTCGGCCCTGGCAGGCCACGACGCCTCGGGCACGGGCGAAAGCAACTTTATCCACACCAATCTGCCCTTCGACCCGACGCTCGACTTCCACGAATATCGCATCGACTACTTGCCGACACGCGTCATCTTCTATGCCGACGGCAAGCCCCTGGCTACCATGGCCGCCTCCAGGGGCGCTGCCGTGCCCACGTCCCAAGGCCACCTCATCCTGTCGCACTGGAGTAATGGTAATCCGCTGTGGTCGGGCGGGCCCCCAAAGGAAGACTCGGCGCTCACGGTGAAGTATGTCAAGGCGTACTTCAACTCGAGCTCCGAGACTAGGCAGGACGACTGGCGGGCAAGGTGTCAGGACCCAAAGGCCAAGGGGGCGGTGTGCCGGATTCCGGATGTTGTCCCCGGGGACAAGACGGCCGTGGACTGGTATTTCAAGTTCCAGGGGAATATGACAAATAATCAGACGATGTCGAGTGAGCCGGAGGAGGACGCGGCTGTGAGACTCGGAACTGCAGGCAGGTTAGCATGGATTGCGAGTGTATTGGCCGGGTTCGTGATCTGGGTGAACGTGTTGTGAAGGAAAATGGAATGATTGGTTCATAAACAGAAATTTTTTTTTTTTTTTTCTCTTCGATAATATATCGATTGGGTTTGAAGGGTTGGGAAAATCGGAGGGTGTAATGCATCATCCAAACGTATCTTTATTCTATTCCCCCATAGTTTGTTTGCCCAACGCCAAACTGAAAAGGCACTATTCGCCATTCCCAATACCTAGCTCAGTCAGCCATGAGCTCCCTCTTATCATCGTTAATGCTGATATTAACACACAAAACCAACAAACATGAAACGCCCTAAACCGAACCTTCAGGCCAGAACTACGGAGTATCACGCCAGTCCCAAACTCTCAAATCATTCAAATACAAACTCCGAAGATCAACAACAAACCGTTCCTTCAGCAAATCCTTGCTGCATCTCAGTGATGCTGTGCTTGCTGCTGCTGTGCCTGTCTCATCTTCCACCCATCCTTGATCCCTTTGGCCGCGGCCAACAGCTCCGCTTCGCTGACGGCGTCTTTGATGCTCTCCAAGACACTGTTGACAGTGCTGATGTGGTTAGCCTCGGTCTTGTCGTCGCGAAACCGGTAGAGTCGCCAGCGCTTTTCCTCGTCCAGCACACACTCCACGACGCGATCCTGCAGCGGATCACCCCACGACTTGAGCGTCTCCCACTCTTCCTCAGTCAGGTACAACTTCTCGGGGAACTCCTCATACTCGGGCTGGCCACGATCACTGCCACGGAAGACGAGCAAGCGGGCCTCGGGCATGCTGTCGTAGTCGGTGAAAGTCTTCTTGCCCAACGCGGCGAGCTCGGCGCGCTCTTCTTCGGTCGCGGGCTCCACCTCCCGAAACACCAGCCGCAGCCGGAAGTCGATAGTATTGTCATGAGGGGCTTTCCACTTGAGGATGTGTGGGTCAGTGCCGAACTGGTAGGGCGACGTGCGGCAGGTGAAGATCAGCCCGTCGTTCTGATGCTTGAGGGAGGGAAGCACCTCGCGGAACATCATCTCTATGCCGTACGAGTACTGCATCTCCTTCATCTCGACCACAAACGCCTGGAACGGCAGCTCTTGCGGATACTTGGCGAACAGCGCCTTGTATGGCTTCATCACGAGTTCCTTGAAGTAGCCGAGGCGCTTGTCGAGCGGTTTCTCAAGTAGGCCGGCCTTGCCGTCCAGCGCGAGGAGGTCAAAGACAAGAAACTTTGGCTCCTTATCGCCGTTAGGCAGCGTGTCCATAACCAGCTCTCCATCGATAAGGGTGCCAGTATGGAAGGCCTGGTAGTCGTGCGGCATCGGGAAGTGCAGGTTGCGCTGATGAATCCACCAGTAGTCGTTCTTGCGATCGATGAGGTAGTGGCATTCCTTCCCGGCCTCGTCTTCGGTCAGGTACAGCAGGTAGCGAATGCCGTCCGACTTTTCGCAGACATAGTAGCTGTAAGAAGTAAGCATTTGAACCGTCGAACGGGACTGTCACAGCGAAGCGGGTCGAACTTACTCCTCCCTGCGCAACTCTTCCAGGTGTCGCCGCGCAAAGCTGACGGGCTGTGCGCCGGGGAAGGAGATCTGGTGGCGCCCGAGGAGCTTGGCGACTTCGATTCGCAAACTCTGGAGGAGCTGACCCTGGGCCTTTATGCCCGGGTTTGCGATGTCGCGGATAGGATGCGAATCGGGATCCATCGTCGCTGTCGCCGCAAGGTCGAAGCTGGCCTTTCCTCGAATGGCGCCGCGCACTGGCTGGACGGGTAACAAGCAGGCGCTTAAGTAGCAGGATCGTCGAGAGTTGAATTGATGCTGACGCTCTGCAGAACCGTCACATGCCGAAGCTGGCGCTAGGCGGGATCGAAAATGGTTTGCCTCGCGATCAAAAAGTCAAGGGTTCAGCTCCATGCGAAAGAACACACAACGGTCGCGATGCGTTGAGCGAGAGACCGGCAGGCGGATTCCTTATCTTATCACTACACAGTATTTACACTGTATTCCGCACAGTTTATCCGCCTTGCGCCCCTCTCCCCCCCCCCTTTCTGAAACGATGGGGAAGGAAGCTTCATTCCCAACCGTAGATCACAACTACAACACATCATCATCATCAGGAAACATTTTTGGTGAAAATCTACTGCGCTGCCATAAACCCATGACCGGTAGAGATGTATTGAGGCAACTCATGCAAGTTTCGCTCTGCGCGATAAACATTATGGATACATAAGGCGGCTCGCTCACTGCCTGAGGTGGACGAGTGGAGCCTACGACTCGTCAATCTTCTCAACCTCAGCCCTGGCCTCCTCCCAGGTCTCCTTGTTCTTCTTCGCCCACTCGATCTGGCTCTTTGCGTAGGCGAGCTACCAATCGTTAGTTTGTGATCTCGAACCGGGAACCCAAAAAAAAAAATCGCAAGCCGGAGAAGAGAAACTTACCATATACCTTCGCAAATCCTCCTCCTTCTCCCGCTGAAACCTCCTCAAATCCTTCAACACGCTGGCACTAGCATCCTTCACATCCTGCGCCGACGCGATCTGCGCCTGCTCCAACTGGGCAATCTGCTCGCGCGTGCGCGTGATCGTGTCGCGCCTTGTCTTCTCTGGGTCTGCGTCGACCACGCCCTGCACCGCGTGCCGCAGCGGCCCAAATATCCGACTCGTAATCGATGCCGCGCTGGGCGCCTTGCGGTGTGTTGGCGCAGGAGGAGGGGCAGGGGGAACCCCGATGCTGGCTGATGGCGCGGATGAAAAGTCGCCATGGGTCGGCGGGAAGTCGGAGTCGATAGACGCCGTGTCCTCGGCGCCGGCACCACCGCTGACGCTACCCTCGCGCCGGTGGCCCGATGTAGGCGCTTCCCGGCTGGATCGCCGGGGAGGGGGCGCGACCTGTGTCGTGCTTGCAAGGTACTGTTCGATGCGACGCGCTTCGGCCTCGCTGCGTTCGAGCTGGTCGAGGAGCTGGCGCTTCTTGTTAAGCTCTTCGTTGGTCATCTCCTGCTGGACACGCTTCAGGATGCGGTAGCGCAGCACATTCCGGATGACTCCGGCGAATTGGGCATTCTCGCGCATCGGCTCGGCAAAGCTTGCGCCCAATGTGCTTGACAGCTCTTCTGTCGCGATGTATGATGAGTCGGCTGCTTGGCCTATCCTCTCAATTGCTGGTGCCAGGGTCGGCGCAGGTTCGGATAGCGCGAAGGCATTGTAGCGAGCCCCCATCTCAGAGAGGTCAGAAGCTAAAGAGGAGAGATGGCTCAGTGTCCGGCGATTGACCTTCTCCATGGGTCCTGTCAAGAGCGCCTCCAGCTCCTTGATGGAGCTTTCGAAAGCAGTAAAGTAAGGGTCGAGCTCGCGCTCGCCAAGGTTATGGTTCTCCGGAGGGAATCGAGCCAGCACTGGAGCGCCGCCCGTGTCCAGACTGGCAGAGGGCGTCTTGAGCTTCGCCGAATTGGACGGTATGGGTAGGTACATGTGGCCTGGTGTTGGATTGGCCGGGTCCAGAGGGGGCGCTCTGAGAATAGACTTGGGAATAGAAGCGATAGGATGGGAGTGAAGGACCTCATTCTACACTGGTCAGTGCTGTCCAGGAAAATCTCACCGAAAGATGGGCGACTCACCCAGCTGGAGTTAGGGTCCAAGAACCGCCACCAAACGCCATCGGTGCGAATAGCCTCCATGCGGCGACACCGGTTCAAGAACACAGCCAACATGCGCTTGCGCAGGTCAATGATCTGCTGGTCTTGTTTCGCATTGGTCGGGTTGGCAGCGTAGTCTGCCATGGTATGCTTCTCGGGGATAGGTGGGATGATTAAGGTCGGATGTAGGCGAGTGAGGGCTTCGCGAAGGGACGCGAACTCAGAGTATCTCCGGCGCACTATAAGCTCCTATGAAACTCATCAATGTCCGCCACCTTTTCGAGGAACGAAAACTGGGCCATACCCCCGTCTTAATTGTGTAAACAATATACCTGCCATTCTCCTGGCTCTTCCCGGCGTCCGTAATCAGGATGGGCATCTCGGGGTTCTCGTAGAGCATCTGCTCCACGCGGCTGTCGTAGCCGCCGGGCTTGCGACGGGGAACCAACTCTCCGCGATCACGGGCATCCTGGTCCTCTTGGGACTCCTCCTCGTCGCTATAATCGTTCCTTGGAGGGGCATCGTCGTCACCAGTGGACGAGGGGGTCTGGGGAGGGGCCTCGAAGTGTGAGTCTATGATTATGAATTCAGAGTCAGCATCAGAGCCTCCAGCTGGGGGATCAGCGAGAGAGATATCCTCCCAAACAGAGCTGTCCTGCTCCATGGTGGACATCCATGTCCGTGGACACGAGACAGGGGCGGCAGTTTAGAAAGGTTCAAACTCACAATCACGAGTAGTGGGAGAAGAGGGATTCACCGAGGAGGCAAATGAGTCGCGACGCTCAAAACCTCCGCCGTATGGATTGTTATCCTCGTCGTTCCACATGATGCCGAGCCTCGTGAAGTGTATGGGACAGTATCAGACGCGACTCTTGGGATCGAGGCTCCAGCGGGGGTTGTGCCGTCACACGCAGTGATGCAATGATAACATGCGTTCCAAGCACAAACAAAGGTCTCGCTGGGTGCGGCAGGCAGATATCGGATCACGCTTGGGACTTGGGATGATCTTGGGGGTCGAAGTGTGTGGTATAGTGCCGGGGGTAGTGGTGTCGTCGGCGGGGCACCGAGAGCCGCTGGGCTGGTGTACCTGGTTATTATCTCGGTGCGGGAGTAAAAGCGTGCCTCGACAGGTAATTGCGACTGTGATCAGGAGCACAGAGGGGACTATTAGTGGATGCGCGACGTCGGCCGGGCAAATATATGCCAGTTCAGGGCAATTCGCTCTCAGGAATGTGTATGGATGGATGCTTGGTGGTGTAGTTGTCGGCACTGACGCAGTGGGTCGGAGCTGTGTTGCTTGCTGATGGTGGTGCTGCAGCCCACCTCCAAGGGATGACGACAATGAGATGGTGCACGAGCCATGCACTAGGCTATTTGTGGAAAATCAGCTGCTCCACATGCCCCGCGATGGGTGGGGCTGAGACGGCTTGTGAAAACTCCCCAACTTTCCTCGTTCATCACAACCAGCTTCACAGCCAGTCTTTGAAATAGCTGGAATTTATGTTTTCATGTAAGCCTCGCATTAAGACTTCACACAAACATATAAGATACCTCAATTCGGGTTCTCACTCCTGACTCATATCTATATGTGAGATAATCCAGTTGATCCGGAGCATTGGTACGTAGTCAAGCTCGGGGGGAAGAGGGGGAGGGAGGGGGAGTCGATGAAAGCTCTCCACTGAATACTTTAATGTGTATCAAGTATCCTAACTAGAGTTGACTAGAGTTGATTTGCATGTCATTTCATATGATGTTGAGGATCGCTTGTAAAAAAAAAAAAAAAAAAAAAAAAAAAAAAAAAAAAACCTAACGTGTAAAGGAAGGCTAGATTATTGCGTGCTAATACCTTCCGGCTATTTACATCTGTTTACATGAGTTTACATTTAAAATTTCAGAAATCGACATTGCTAGAGGCAAGGTTCTCCAGCAGAAGGCGATCCAATTTCAGAAGCTTCATACATAACAAAATAGCTCCACTTCTTCAATATATCCGTCAGCGTGTCTGCTAATATCCTCCTCTTAGGGCGCGCCTCATGCGGCGGAGCAGACCAAATAATCCACCCTGTCTCTGTCTTCTACCCCGCGAGCGCAGGCTCTCTTCATCTCCATGATACTCCATCTCTGAATAATGCCGGTGATAAGACCGACGGGAAGTTTCTTCAGAAGCGCTGCATGTGAACACATCATCCGAGTCTCTGGGATGTACAAACGTCATCTCTTCCCGGCTCAACTCTGGGCTTTGCGGCTTGTGACTTTCATCGATGGGGAAAAGGGGAGCATGATCAGAGTGACCAGGTCCGACTGATGATGCAGAACTCGTGCGATGATATCTCTGTCTCTGAGCTGGACTCGGCGACCTCTCAGCCTTGCCAGGGTCACCCAATGCGCTACCCTGAACCGCCTGCATGCTTATGCCACTTGACGCGATACCTGCCCATAACCGATTACTTGGGCTTTCCGATCCAGAGCACCGGCGACTGTGCCGTGACTCGTGGCGATCTGCAGTAGGGTCTCTGCCCCGTCTGCTGGAAGCCTGTCTCCCATGTCCTCGTTCCCGGTTGGGAGTCGCAGGCGATGCTCTAGGGGATCCAGGGGCCGTGCCAGAATCGGAAATGGTTTTGGCATAGCCGGGTCGAGGGATCAGCGAACGCAACGAGAACCAGTGTCGACGCGGAGTCTGTGGTGTTGGCTCAGCCACAGCGCTAGTTGGAGGTTGGTGGTATAGCGGTATGTTGGCTGCTTGTGGTCTTCGAGTTGGACAAGCCGTCGGCATTGCCATTCCTTGATTGGGTCCTGGTGCTTGCGGATAAACTGTTGGTGGATTAGTGATACCACTGGAGTCACGCTGGACCACATACGGCTGCTGAGCTGCACACGGTGGTTGGACGGCAGACGGCTGTTGAGGCGTGGCATCCTGGTTTCCGCCCGAGGGTTCCACGACAACTGGTGGAGGAGGCGGTGGAGGGGTGACTGGCTCTGCGACGAGCGTAGGAGTAAATAGCGGAGCAGGTGGGGAGAACGTCTGGGGTGCTGCCGTATAGATGACTGCAGGAGGGGGCGGCGGGATGACATGAACATCTGGAAACTGGACTTGGTATGCGACTGGCGCCGGAGGAGATGTGATGATCTGCGGTGGCTGAACTTGGACGACAGGGCCGAGAATATTTTCCGCTGTAGTCGCCAAGGTCTTGGTTCTGTCATCCTCTCCATCATCGGCATTAGTATTGCTCTTCTTTCGACGTCTACGCCGTATCCTTGATCCATCTGCGTTGTCCTTTCCTTCATCATCATCATTATCTTGGTCTCCGCGCGATCTTGCTTCTCGGTAGATGGTGATGGTGATGGACCTTGGGCTGCGACGGCTGACCTCCCAACGGGCACTGGTTGTCTCCTCTTCAGCCTGAGCGTTGCTTGACTCTCTTTGAGGCTTGATCCACAATCGCCAGTAAATGTAAGCGATAGTAAAAACGAAAAAGATAATGACGAGAATGATGCCGAACTGGGCTGCGTCGCTCAGGCAGCTCCATCCAGAGCAGTCGTGCGAGACTGATCGCGTAGAATGGTCCTGGCCCGAGCTCAAGATCGGCGGAGCCATGCTGGCATCTACATCAGGTCAGCTTGAATAAGAAAAGTGAGCATGATGCTACTTGGATAGTTTCGGGAAGAGTTGTTACTGAGGTTGATGTAGGGCTGGATGGTTGACAAAAACAAAGAAATCCGGCGATGCGGGGTAGAGAAATCCCAATTCAGCATTTTTCTTCCCACAAAATGGAAAAAAATAAAAAACAAAAGCCATGGTAGTGGCCATTGGAATCTAAAGAAAAAGTAAACATTTGGGATGAAAGTAGATGAAAGTCAGGAAAGGTTAGTCAAGGACAGAGGTAAGTCGACCAGGTTTCTTCCTTGTTTCCCGACCCAACCCACACCATCTTGCAACCCGCATATTGAGGTAAATGTCAGGGAGCAACGCGGAGGCAAAACAGTATCACCGTCCCACCACAGGAAGCCATCCTCAATTGGAAGTCCTTCATGCTGGAAAGTATCCATGGAAGACTACGGAGTTCCGGCCATGATCGCCAACTTAGGTTGCACAAATCCGAATGCAGGATGCACGACTTTCTCACATGACAGAGGTTCTGGCACTTCCTATAGTCAAGAGTCCAGCTAGACACACTCATGGACAGTCATTGGAATCATCAATCTAATGGGCGACTGAGGACAACTGCTTGTTGTGAGAGCGAAGGAAATGGTTGCAGATTCACAACCTGGCCTACCTGTCACCCCTGTCTGCATTGGAACTCGGAAATATTGACAAAATGAGATCCATTGAAAAGAAGAAAAACGCAAGTACACATGCTACTTGTCCCTATGCTAGCACCAACATTAGAGGCAAGGTCGGTTGTAAGAACTCCAGAGAGATTGCGTGCTTGTGTTTCGGAGACAAAGCAGAAGTTCAGCCTTGCTTTTAAGTGCAGTTGCATGTGGGACTCGTCTCACATCAACCAATGAGGAATGCTCTTGGCGCAGCTGCCTCAGCCTTATCCAGGTGGGTCCGGCTGGCATTGTCGACCGCGACGTGCTATTTCAGGCGCCTTTCGCAAGTTCCGACAACAGCAACGACCAGTATAAACGCGACTTGGTCGCCCAACGCCGCCTCAATCTTTACCGCACACTCAATTTTTTTTTTTTGATTTTTCTCTTCTATTCAGAAATGCGACACTAGAGGCGAGCAATAGCAATTACGCGCACATGCAGATCGGGCCTGGCATCTGCATGACCCACTGATTCCCCTTATCTCGTTTTCCGTCTTTGCCCAACTTCTTCTCTTCGCCTTCGTCTTTTCTCGCGACTTTGCCCGTCCTCCATCCCCCTATCGATCTGGTCGAGTCGAGTCGGTGCCCGTTTCGTTGAATCCATTCTGCCTTCCAATAGCGACTCGTACAAGGACTCGGGACCGACCCTCGGGACCGACCCTCCAGACCGACCCTGTCCAAGACAGCAACGCGTCCTTCCATCCTACTACTCATCGCCCACAATGGCTTCGTCTCAGACCCTTTCTGGCGCCAATGGCGTTCCTAACGGCGCTATCGCTGCTCCAAAGAGCAAACGCTTTTCCGACATCCCCCAGACCATCGACATTCCCGTGCAGGACCAAGATGACGAGGCTGTCGAAATCGACCTCGAGGAGCTCGCCGATGACCCGACCGAGCTCTGCACTCTGTTCGAGATGGAGCACGCCGCCCGCACATACTGGATGACAGTCGCATTGGCGTATGCGAAGCAGAAAAAGATCGACTTTGCCATCGAGATGCTCATGCGCGGCGCCAACGCCCTGCAGGCGAACCCGCGCGAGAAGCTCAGCATCATCACCTGCCTATGCTGGCTGTACCTCTATAAGAGCCGCGAAGCGCCCCGCGTCGCCCCTGATAATGTGCCGGCATCCGAGGTCAAGACGAAGGAGCACTATCTCCAGCTTGCCACCCAGAGCCTGAACGAGGCCTCGCGCATCAATCCCGCTTTCCCCCCCCTCTTCCTAGCCCGCGGTGTCCTGCTGCTGCTGCGCGCGTCACTGCAGCCGCCCTCGAAGGGTGTAGGCCCCACCGGTGTCGATTCGCAGAAGGCTGAGCAGCTGTGCAATGCGCTGAAGTCATTCGAGGAGGCCATCCGAGTCTCTCAGGGCAAGAATATGCTGGCAGTCATGGGCAAGGCCCGTGCCCTCTTCTCCTTGGGTCGCTATCCCGAGTCGCTGGCCGCCTACCAGGAGGTTCTGTCCAAGATGCCCGACATGGTTGACCCGGATCCGCGCATTGGCATCGGCTGCTGCTTCTGGCAGCTTGGCTACAAGGACGACGCTAGGCAGGCCTGGGAGCGCTGCCTCGAGATCAACCCCGAGTCGAAGACCGCCAACATTCTGCTCGGGCTGTACTACCTCGATGCCAGCGGCCACGTGCCCACCAACAGTCCCGAGTTTATTCGCCTCTACAAGAAGGCCATGACCGAGTTCACCCAGAAGTCCTTTAAGCTTGACAAGAACTCTCCCCTTGCCTGCTCGACTTTCGCCGGTTACTTCTTGTCTCGCAAGCAGTTCGACACTGTCGATTCCCTGGCTCATAAAGCCATCCGATACACCGATGTCAACGCCGTCGCTAGCGACGGCTGGTACCTGCTCGCCCGCAAGGAGCACTATGCCGGAAACCTCGAGCGCGCTGCTGATTGCTACCGTCGCGCCGACGATGCCCGGGGCGGTGCCGAGCGCGGCTATCTGCCTGCGAAGTTTGGTCTTGCTCAGCTCTCTGTGTTGAAGGGCGACCTCGGCGAAGCAAAGCTCCGTCTTGAGAAGATCATCCAGCAGTCTAAGAACTACGAGGCTATGGTCCTGCTCGGTACCCTGTACGCCGAGGAGGTTTTTGCCAACCAGTCTGCTGCTGTCAAAGAAGACAAGAGTGCCGAAGCCAAGAAGGCTATTGCCCTTCTTGAAGGTGTTCGCTCCGCCTGGAAGGATCCCAAAAAGAACCTGTCGCCCGACGCTTGCGTCCTGCTCAACCTTGCCCGTCTGTATGAGAGTGAGCAGCCAGACAAGGCGCTGCAGTGCCTGCAGCAGGTTGAGCAGCTCGAGTTGTCTCAGATCCCCAGATCTGAGTACCCGCCTGACACAGAGGATGAAGCCGTTATCAAGGCGGCCATCCGCAAGCTGCTTCCTCCTCAGCTGCTCAACAACATCGGTTGCTTCTATTCTCAGGAGGGCAAGCACACGCTGGCCACCGAGTTCTTCCAGGCCGCCCTTGACTCGTGTGCGCGCATCAGCAGCCAGAGCGATAGTGACATCGACACCGATGCGCTGCTTACGACCATTTCTTTCAACCTGGGCCGCAGCTATGAATACGAAGGCCAGATCGATGCCGCTGTCGAGACCTACGAGCGGCTGCTGAGCCGGCACAGCGACTACACGGACGCTCGCACACGTCTGGCCTACATCAAACTGCGCCGCAACCCAAGCAACAAGGAGGGACCCGACGCCGTGGCCAAGCTGTACCAGGAGAATCCGCAGGACCTCGAGGTTCGCGCACTGTATGGCTGGTTCTTGGGCAGGGTTAACGCCAAGAAGCGGCCAGCCAACCTGGCCGAGGACCCGGAGCAGCGTCACTTCAAGCACACGCTGCAGAATTACGACAAGCACGACCGGTACGCGCTGGTGGCCATGGGTAACCTCCATTTGATGGCGGCGCGCGAGATGCGTCGCGAGACGGACCAGGACCGTCAGAAACGAAGCGCGACCTACAGCCGGGCGGTCGAATTCTTCGACAAGGCCCTTCAACTCGACCCGAAGAACGCGTACGCGGCGCAGGGAATCGCGATCGCGCTGATCGAGGATAAGAAGGATTACACCAACGCCCTGCAGATCTTTATCAAGGTCCGCGAGACCATCCAGGATGCACACGTCTATGTCAACCTGGGCCACCTCTACGCCGAGCTCAAGCAGTTTACCAAAGCCATCGAAAGCTATGAGATCGCCCTGAGCAAGGAAGGCAAAGCTCGCGATGCCAACATTCTCTCATGTCTTGGCCGTACCTGGCTCAACAAGGGCCGTGCCGAACGCAACCTGGACGCTTACAAGACCGCTCTCGAATACGCCGAAAACACTCTATCTGTCGCCCCTGAACAACTCCACTTCAAGTTCAACGTCGCCTTCGTCCAGATTCAGATCGCGATGTTGCTCATTTCATTCCGCGACAGCGAGCGCAACTCCTTCCAGCTCGAACAAGCAAGCGAAGGCCTCGAGGCCGCTATCAAGACCCTCGACGAGATCGCGGCCGCGCCCAACCCCCCTTACCCGAAGCACGACCTCGAGCAGCGCGCCAACATGGCCCGCAACACCATGCGCAAGCAGCTCGAGCGCGCTCTGGCCAGCCAGCGTGAGTATGAGGCCCGCAACAAGGAGAAGCTCCAGGCCGCCATGGAGGCCCGCCAGGCCGAGCTGCGCCGTCGCGAGGAGGAGCGCCGTCGCGCCGAGGAGGCTGAGCGCGAGCGCCAGGAGAAGATTCGTCGCGAACGCGAGGAGATCTTGGCTCGCGATCGCGCCCTGGCTGAGCAGCGTGCCGAGGAAGAGAGGCTGCGCATGGAGGCCGAGATGACGACCGACACCGAGACCGGGGAGAAGGTAATGCGCAAGAGCAAAAAACGTAGCGCCCGTGCTCGCTCTGGTGAGCCTTCTCGCTCGGGCCGTGCCCGTAGGAGGAAATCGACTGCCCACCGCGGTGAGTCTGGTGAGGATGGTGCCAATGCTGGCGACGAGGGCGCCGAGCGTCGTCGTGCAAGGAAGCGCCAGCGTCTTACCAAGAAGGATTCCAAGTACAAGAGCGCAGAGATCGTCGTCGACAGCGACGAGAGCGATGATGGTGGCGCTGGTATCGATGAAGAGGATCCGCTTGAGCAGGCCGAGCGTCGTCTCGCTGAGGCGGCCGCCGAGCGCAAGCGTGAACGTCGCGCCGCCCAGAGCGGCAGCAGCCGCAGTCGCAGTAATAGTGTCGCTAGCAACCGCAGCTCGCGCAGCGCCCGCAGTACCCGGTCGCGGTCGTCCATATTTGGCAGCAATGATGACGATGAGGAGGACCGTCCGGCCAAGAGGCAGATTCGTCGCAGGAGGTCGTCGGCTGAGGAGGAGGAAGAGGAGGAAGATGATAAGATGGATGTTGATCAGGAGGTGTCGGCTGTCCCTGCGCCTGTTGCTGACAACGATGACGAGGAGGAAGAGACTATTGCCAGACGCCCGCAGAAGAGGGCTGCTAGACGTGGCAGAATCTTGGATGAGAGTGATGAAGAAGAGGAAGCGGCTGGAAATGCGCCGACGCCTGGGGCGGCGGAGGAGAAGGCTGATACGAGTATGGTTGATGCGGATGAGGACTGAGTTAATCGGTGTCTCGGACGGGCAGATTGAATGTATTATTGATGGAGCATTTGCAAAGGATTGTTTTTCTATAAAGAAAAAAAAAAAAACTACATAGGTACCGAGATAGGCATGAGGATAATCTTCTATGGTCCCTGATGGGAAATAGAGTAGTTTGACATGATTGTCAACGATAATCTGCTTGGTGCCTGGCGCTCTTCCCCCCCCCCCCCCCTCCCGACCTTCGTCTCCTACCTCTTCCTCCTCCAGCTCCCCAACCACCTCCATCTCTCTGCGACCTTCTCAAGATCCTCCAGCACCCCGCTAATCCTCCCCTCGTGATCATCCTCTCTCCCGCCTTCAAACTCTACAAAAAACAGGTACTGAAATGGCGCCACCAAACTCGGCAGGCTATTAATACTCGTCAAGTTAAGCTCCCTCCTCCGGAAACAATCCAACACATTCGCCAGCGCACCCGGCTGCCTGTGAGGCACCGTAAACGACACCAGGCTCTTATACCGCTTCCCTTCTTCTTCAGGGGGCGGGTACCCGCCTTCTGTAGTCTCTTTCCTCCTGATGACGAAAAACCTCGTCGTATTATCCTCCCGATCCTCAACCCATCTCGCAAGGACATCCAGCCCCGCCTCGCGACCGGCCAATTCGCTCGCAATAGCCGCGCTCTCGCCCTTGGGATCGGCAGCAGCCAGCTGCGCTGCGCGACTGGTCGAGCTGACGTCGATAAATTCGATGCCTAGCGGCTGCAGGTACTTTGCCTGGAACCGCGCCGTTTGCCCGAAGGCCTGGGGGTGAGAGTAGACGCGGCGGATATGAGACAGGGAAGCGAGGGGTACACCCTTTGGATTTTCTTCTCCTCCTCTTCCACTACTCCTCTGTTCCGATTCTGGAGAAGACGAAGGGGGTCGCCGACCCAAAAGAAAGTGATGCACGTCCAGATAGATTTCACCACACACGCAAATGTCCGGGTACTCCCCGGCGCGGTCGGCCAGGCCGTCTAGGGTGAAGGTGACGACGCCGTGAGTTGAGTTCTCGAAGGGCACGACGCCATAGGGTGCGGCACCAGATTGTACGCGATCGAAGACCTCTATCTAGGGAGTTAGCTGCGCGTCTAAGTAAAATATGTCGTGTGAAGGCTCTCACCTTTTATTGTGCTGGTCGGCTCAAGAACCCATTTTGACGTGTCCGGAAAGGCAAGAAGAGTGGCCTGTGAGAGAGGGTTAGCCATCTTTCATACTGCTGCTGCCCCTTGTTTTTTTGGGGGGGGGGGGGACTCTGGGTATAAAGCTGCCCATAATTCCACTCAAATTGATGTGATTCAGGCTCGTCCATACCTGATGTGAATAAGTACAAAACGGCCCTAGGAAGGACACAGGTGTCTTGTTCTGCTCATGCTCAGCGTCCACATCAGGGCTTGCGATCGATGATGTCGTCATTCTAAACAATCTTGCTTGAGGCGTAGCCAAGAAAAACAAGTCCCTAACCCCAAATCGTAAGAAACAAGTTAGGGAAGACCCTCTTATGGAATTCCCAAGATCGGAGCTAGCTCCAGCCGTTGGTCGTTTGGTAGGGGTGGTCACAACCAACAACAGCCAAGTAATTGTGTGAAGCAACGCCAGCACCCGCCGATAGCATCACTGAAACTGAGAGAACCCACGGACGGGCCGATCCGTAGTCCTCCGTTTCAGCGGAACCCCCGAGCCATTTCCACTGATTCACTGTCCCGACCCCACAAAAAATGGCCAAAGGCCAGCCGAATTCGGCGCTCAAGCTGGCCGTTGCATCCGGAAGGTTTGCAACTATCGGCATCATCTCATATTACCTCACTTCAATCTCACTTCTTATAACATCACTCACTCACTTGCCAGTTCATGTTCATACTACTACTGGAATGAACCACCTGTCACAGACACAAAACCAAAAAAAAAAATTCATGAACCAATTGCAGTCGAAGCTAACTAATCTATATCCCGCAAATAAAAAAACTCTCATCCCTTTTAGAGAGAAGCAAAAGATCCAGACAGACACTGCATACGTGGCGCGGTGAGCCATCCACGTACCTAGGACAGGTCGCCGAATTGCTTGCCTGAAACAGCCGTATCTGTCTTTGTTCCCCCAGCTCACACTCGTCGCTGCATCATCACCCTCCTCTTCTCCTCGAGCCCTGTAATGTCATATAAACTTTGGCAATCTGACCTCCACCTACGGCATATTTCTAGAGTATATAGAGTCAGTCATGTATATATAGGTATATGATCGGTTAGCCAGGAGCAACTCACCGTACAATGGCCGTCTCACACCTAATTAGCCGTCATCACAGAGCGAAGCGGGCTTGGGCGCGACACCTGGTGCTTCAGGCTCGGGGCCGCCTTGGCATTTGCAGACCCCCCTTGAAGGAGCCGCCCCGGGCTGAACGGGCCCGTCCCGGGGCTTCGCCGCGGCGGCGACCCGGCGGCAGGCGTCGTCAGGCTCTGGTCGGCTTGCTGGGCGGTCCATCTTGGCACCGACGTCGACGATGTCATGGCTTGGCTTCCGCTTCCCTCGTGGTCGACGAGGGGTTCAAACTGTCAATCGTCATAGTACTCGTCATCGTCGTCAAAGTCGGCTAGCTGCTCAAAGTTGACCTTGTACCGGAGGATGCCGCCAATACCGCCAAAGCCCTTGACGAACTGGTTGCCCTCAGTCGACTTGTCCGACACGAACTCGAGCGTCGTGCCAAAGTCCTTGTAGTGCTCGGCGATCCACTCCAGGAACGACTCCTGCGAGACCACCTCCATCTCCTGACCCGTTTCCTTGTCAATAAACTTGGACCGATCCTGCTCCTGCTGCTTGGTCGTGTGCAGGATGTGCTCGGTGCCGTTACTGTCCTTGAGTGTCCACCGGGTGACCTCCAAGTTCTCGAACACAATCAGCGTCTCAACGGCACCCAGCTCAAGAGCCTTGAGCGTGTCGTCGATGCCGTAGCACACACGGCCGGTATCCTGGCTGATCTCCTCGAAGTACTTGCCGATCAGCTTTTTCTCCTGGATGAACTTGACGTTGCCGAGCGTCTCGGACGACAGCTCGATAGCCTGGTTGAAGCCGTTCTCGCCACCGTACGAGACGTCGACGACCTTGATGACCTTGGCTTGCAGACGCGGGTCGAACATGTCGGACGCGTTGAGATCGTTCTTGAAGTCAGCCGAACCAGCCAGCACAATACCGGCCACGTTGACCTTGTCGTTGGTGATGAAGTTCTGAACAGCCAGTTCGGCCACCTTGCGCACGTAGTTGTGGCGCTTTTCCTCACGCAGACGGGCGAAACGCAGAGCGGACTGACCACCACGGCCGTGCTTCTTGGGGAGATCGACAGTGAACTTCTGGACCACCTCGCGAGTGTTGCCGCTCAGCGTACCAAACAGCGCGCCGTTACCGTCCATGACGATGAAACCGAACTTCTGGTCGGACTCCAACAGCTCAGCAAGTGCCTCAGTATGGAACTTGTTGTCGCAGAGGTAGAGCGATGTGTTGATGGGCTTGAACGGCTCGAAATCAATGTTGACCTTGCGCTCCTTGCCCTCCGACGTCAAGATTTCACCGCAGTAGATGACAAGGCCGTTCGGCGGGACCTTGTTGTACAGCTTCAGACGCTGCTGGGTCGATGTGATAGCCGAAAGCACGGACTGACGGTTGACACGGGACTTGATGTTCGACGCGGTACCCTGCAGACAGACGACATGTCAGAGTCCAGCCAACTCTCTCGGAACAAGAAACTAAGCTACGCACGTATTCTTCAGCAAGCATCTTCGCGACACGCGAGATCTGATCCTTCGGCGCTGAGCAAAACGGACTCATCAGCGACATTCGAGCAGCTCAGGCGCACAGCGGTCCGTAGACCACGGCGACCGGCTCAGGTCAGTTTGGCGACGACATACGGATGATCAGAGAAATCATGCTAGTGCCATTTCCGCGCGCGGCCTCAAGCCGCTTGATCAGCTTCTTCACCTTCCATATCTCGATCTGTTTTTGCACGCCTCGTCAGTCAGCCGTCGCATCCAGGGGGGCATCAGCCATCTAGGCCGGTGTCCTTCGTCCAGGGGCCAACGGGGCCAAAAAGGGCCGACAAACTCACGTTTTTCTCGGCCTCGTTGCCGTTAAGGTCGCTCATGGTGGGCGAGTGTGGCTGAACGAAACACGCAAACGAGAAAAAAGAAAAAGAATGTCGAGGGGGCGCAAGTCCTTCTTGGGAGAGGAAAATTGGAAGACGACGATCAAGTTGGACTCGGGCCTGAGAGGTTTCAAAACACCCAAAAGCTGGCAACTGTCCTCTCAAAATTGGTGGTGGGGTTGGGGCCTGGGGAGGGGTTTCGCCGTGTAAAGCCTTTTATGTGCTGGGGCCAAGTGGCGCTGCCCGTCCCCACAATGTTGCCTGTTGAAACTTACCTACGTATTATTGGCCGTAACGGTGCACATGTTGCGGGGCTTTGGACGGAGTTTTCAGCCGTTTACGCGATGCTGCCGTTTGTGCGGCGATCGCCTCACCGCATCATGACACCATGCAGCCAGCATTGAGAATAAAAATCGGCGCAATAACGTGGCACATCAGTCATGGGCCTTTGCAACTGTCAGCGCACCCTCTTCTTTCAAACTCTTATTATGTAACGCACTGTAACCTGTAAATTTCATATCATCTTGAAACGTAATTACAGTACACAACGTGGGGCAGCTGTAAGTTACATTGAAACTTACGTTACAAACGGTTTGTTTTGAGGAAAGGATCCGCGATCTAGGTCGACCAAAAAAATGTGGAGAACCGATGATGTATTGGGACCAGCTCGCGACCTGAGCATCTTTAGCTCCAGAGATGCAAGTGTCTAGACAAGCCATCAAGGCCAATTGACCACTCCTCGCGCTGCCCGGGGTGAACCCCCTAAGCTCTCAACCGAAAACCTGCCCGCCATGGCCGACTCTGTCCCCCTCCAGATCGCCGATACCATCCAAACAGCCCACATCCAGCGGCATCCTTCCCCTCTCCATGATGTAAACCCTCCGCATGGCGCCGGGTCCACAGCCGAGCCGGTGTATGTTGACAACGAGGGAATCGACGAGGGCGAGGAGGAGCTAGACACGTCGGAGGAAGAGGAGTACCGGTCCTCGCGCAGTGCTGTCCCCCGCCCCCGCAAGCCGCAGCACCACTTTCCGCCGCTGCCCGATCTGCGGTTTGAGCAGAGTTATCTTTGGAGCATACGGAATGCGGATACTTGGTGGAAGGTTGTGGCCATTACTGTGAGGGATCAGGTAAGAAGTTACTTGGACAGTCAGGCAAGCGTTTTAGGATGGGGCGCTGACTGTGTTCAGGTCATGATGCCCCTGCTCCAAGGCATTGTTTACAATCTATTTATCTGCGGCTGGCAGTACTGGAACAAGAGCGCCCAGATTCACGGCTCATCCGTCGGTGCGCGGCTACGACGTTGGTGGTATGGTGTCAACAAGTGGCCAATACCGCCACCGGCTCAGAGTGGGAGGAGATGGAGATAGTCGACCGCACACCGCTGCTTTTCACTCATATTAATGTCCATCTTTCTCACGATGTACTTGTCTAGAGGTGATACTTGGCTCTATTTGGTTGGTTTGTGATTAGGTTGCCGAAAGTACATAACTAAGCTAGCTAGCCGAACTCTCGTAACATAGCTCTATTGCGGACCAGAAAGTTCCTTTCTGCGAGTATGATGAATAATAAGCCCGGACGCGATATCTGTATGAAAACCCTGCTTTTGGTGAACCCCCAGACCATGGCTAAGAAGCCGACTCTGTAATAGAGTGTCTCTGCAAGAGGGGAAAAAAAAAGTAGCAAAACGAACCCGAACCTCCCCAAACAACGTCGCCCAGGTGCTGACCCCATTCATACCATACTCTGAATAATTCCGTAGAACGCCCATCATCATAGGCCAAACACGATACTCTAGAAACTGATCCCTGACTAAAACAACCCTCACTCCTGCATGCTCACATCCTCAGAAGCAAGTGCTGCTGTAGAAGTAGGGGGAGGACCGGTTCGAGTAACCTCTGGACTGCCCCTCAGGGCCAACGAGGTCGCCGGCTCACTGGTTGGGGTCGGAGGGGACTGCAGCCCAACAGGGGCATCTGTCAAAGGCTTATCTTCCGGCTCAGGAACGGTCTTGTCACAGACATTGTTCGCACCGGAAATAGCCTGAACCTTTTCGATCATGGGCTTATCAGCCTCAACAGGCGTCATACACTTCGTCGTGGCAACCGAGATCGTCTCCTTTGCAGGATTTGGCTGCACCGGCGCCGTCTCGGTCTTCTCCTCGTCGCTCGGCCTCTTCTCACCAGGCGGTCCAGGGATTTGGCGCACCTTGTGGTTCTCATCAAACTCAACTCGAATTGGGAACTTGATTATCAAGCTCTTCTTCCTGCCTGCGTCAGTGGTAGAACGACCGATGGCCGTAGTCTCAAGATCGTCCTCCGAGAGCTCGGCGTCCTCGAACTCCTCGTCCTCGTCATACTCCTCCGTTTCGTCCGGCACGTGCTCGTCCTCCTCTTCGTCGTCGCCGAAGTCGGGTTCGCTGCCCTCCGACTCGTCGGACTCGAACTCAGAGCTCTTTCTCTTCCTGCCGCCCGCAAAACCATTCAGTTTGGCGGCGGCAGACCTCAGGGGCCGACCGGAGCGAGTTGTTCTCGGGGCGCCCGCGTCAGAGGTGTCGCCTTGGAAGCTGGTCGCAGCGCTCGGGGCGCCAGTGCTGGCTGTCTCTGCATTCAGCCGGTTCGGCGGTTTAACTTGTCTACCGCTGGCCGTCGTGATCGGACCGCTAGGGGCAGGAGTATGGTTTCTAGTGTTGCGGGAGGACCGGCGCAGAACAGGCTCATCGGAAAAGAAGTCGTTCTCGTCATCGGAGAAAGTGTACTTGATGCGCTTGCCACGCGTGCGGCCCTCGTACAGCGAGAAGCCTTCGGGGCGTCTGAACTGCTCCTTGCGCATCTGGCGGTACTCTCTGCGGCGCCTCTTTTCTTCCGTGGCCTCGAATCGCGGGATAGCGGCCTGAATCTTTTTGGCCAGCGCCTTGGCCTTCGGGCCACCATCCTGTGTCTCCAGCTTCTCAGCGAGAGCCTTGAGCTCATCAATGCTCCCGGCAACGCTCCACCAGGTTCTCTGCAAACCAGCTGGGTTGCTCTCCCGGTAAACACGGAATGAGGTATCGTCGTTACCCTCGATCAGGTAATAACGGCGCTTGTCACCATCGCTGCCCCACGGCTGCACACTCAGGGGAATATTCAGATCGTCTTCGTGGCGGTTACGATACGCCTTATTGATCATTTGCCGGATCGTATCTGACGATGAAAGCGTCCACTGCACAAGAGTACGCAGCAGGGTAAGCTAGGGAAGACGACCGGAAGTCAGCGAGTCGGCCGCACACAACATTCTCGACGAGGGAACTCGAAAAATATCTCGGGTAATCTTTTGCGCAAGACATACACGTTGATCTCGCGTCATCGTCGTGAAAGTAGCCCCGCCTGCAAGCGGGTTCTTGCTCTCCCAATCCTTGGCCCATTGGCCCTTGTGAGTCTGTATGGCTTCCTCGAGCGCACGGTTGTAATGACCAGGCCTGCACACACGCGAGTATGATCAGTAACGGTGGCCTCGAACGTCGTTTATCGGTTTCGACGGATGGTACGCACTTCACATCCTGCTTGCGGTTCAAAAGCAGGCTAAGCAACGCGCAAAGGAAATGCTCGACGCGCTCGCCGGGGATCGGTTCGCTGACATCACGCTCGAGCTCGTGAGGACCAAAATTTGCAAGACTCTTGGGGAACGCCTCGGTGAACCGGGCGCGGAACATGACGATGAACTGGGGGGAAGCAAAGTTAGCTCGGTGCGGCGACTTGGGTGGACCGCGACTTGTCGCGTTTCTACGCGGCATCGACGCGAATCATCGCGAATACACGTACAGCAATGTCGGGATTGTCGGCAAACACATATTCATGCGGCGGGGAGGGCTCTCTCTTGGGTCTGGGAGGTGTCTTTTCCTTGGGCGTCTCAAGGTTCGGGTTCCGGTCGACTTTGTGGAAGAATTTCAGGATGCCGTGGCGCTCCTCCAATTGGATGTCGGACTCCGAATCGCTTGGCGGGGGCGACAGCGATGAAAGCGACGACAATTCAGAAGAATCATCGTCAGCCATTTTTTATTTTAGTTGTCACGGATTCGGGGAGGAGGTGTCGGGGTGTTTGTTGGAAGATGAAAGGGTTGGCGTTGGAGTGCGGCGAGCGAAGTGGGTGTGGAGGAGGGAAAGTGAGGAGCGCTTGGATGGAGAGGGAGGAAGATGGATCGGCTGCAAGAAATTACGTCCCCGGCCGACACTTGGCCCGGGGCACTCCCAACCTGCCTTTCAATAGGGCTTGCGAAGATGTGATAGGTTGATTTTCACCGAAAACAACTCAGAAGGCATACTATGCTACAATCCTACGTGCTGCCGGCAAGCTTTGCCAGTGCGAGCAGGAGAGACGAGCAGGCCGCCAGTCTGATACCGTCATCCCCAGCTCCGCACCAGCCCGATGCCATCACCAGTCCAACCCGTATCGCCACCCGCATTCTTTGACCCTATGCCCAACATTGAGCTTCAACAACCCCATCCTCGCCATATCGAACTCAAAACCTCACATAAACGGCCAAATAAGCACCTCGCAGAGGGGATCCAGAGAGTATCCAGAGCGGTCCGGTTGCACAAGCAGATAGGCACTGGCACCACATTCGTCCAGTAGCCTCCCAGCAACCAAAAGAGTATCGTGGAGTGAATGGGAACCGCTGGTGATGTCGTCCCCGCGGTAAGTAAGGCCGTATGGATGGTACCGTGTGTAACAGCCAGCTGCGCAGCAAGTGCCGAGGGCAAAAAAAAAAAAAAAAAAGCGACCTTGAGAGTCGTCAACTGTGACCGTGTCTATCACCCGCATCCATGGGTGGTGTTGTGGCTGACAAAACCACAACGGTCGGCAACTTTTTTCCACCTTAGGCAGTCGAGAGCTCTTGCCTGGGCCACGTCTGCGATTTTTTAGCCGCCTAAGTCTGATTCCCACAACGCCGCCTTGAAAATAGCCCACCCACAACAGCATTGCAGCAACGATGCTCCAGCCCCAGCTCCACAGCAGACTCAACACCTGAATGGCAACTGGGTCCATTCACAACAACCATCGTGAACTGATATCAAAACGGGCTGACGCTTGTCCCAAAACCCGACAAAACGGCGCAAACCCCAATAAGGAGCAATGGCTGACGCCAAAACAGAGCTTTGAAAAGCGAATAATCCAGGGCGGGAATTAGAATTCCGTCTGGAGAGGTTTGCACTTGCACCCAGCCTTGCAATCTTTGAGAAAACCACCAACATTATGGCTGGCGGCTTAAGATGCTGGCTGGAATGTCATGCATCCCCAATCGTTTGATCGGTCTGGGGAGCGCAGGTTGGCCCCTTAGAACAAACATGAGCCACACAGCAGAACCACAAGGCAATACAGCTGCAAATTGTGGGAAATCCTCACGATAGCCCTGAAATGCTGCTTCTAGGGAGGCAAACAGTGTTGTATGTCATTTCATCATGAGATTCGTAAGAAACCTAGGCATCGTCAGCAGACGTCAACATCCAAGGAGAAGAGCTCATATTTATTGCGAATCATACACCTGGTTGGGACAGCCGCGCGAGATATGGCAGTGGTGTACACGGTTGCGAGTCACGTTCCTCGGGATGACCCGTTCCAAGAGGTTGAGAGGTGGAGGAGGAACGTGAGGTGAAAAGCACGGGCGGATCTGCAGCTTTCAGCCCGGCGGCAAGCCTTGTACCGTGCGAATGTATCTGGAACTGAGATCGGCACTGTCTAATCGCAAGCAGAGAATCATCATATCCAAGCCTCAATAGTCAAAGAATGAAAGCACATATCGCAAACTAGGTGTCTTTGGGCTCCAAATGGCTCATGTTGCTCTAGCAACGCTCTAAGCTTGGTGAACAAGTGCTGAAGAGACGCAGATGCCCGAAATTCTGTCGTTAATGAAGAGCTCTTGGCATCGGGGGGTAAGACCCTGGACCCTTACGTCAGCAAGTGACAAGGGTTCAACACAAGCGATCCGGAGGACTCCAGCCACAACTTTCCCCCGCGTTAGGGCACTCGGCAAGCCACAGCCATTTTGTGGCTTGCGCTCCACACAGAAATTTGGAAAATTATCGCTTCACCAATTTGGAGCTTCCTCGTGCCGCAATCTCAACTTCAATCACCACCGAGCCACCAGTCCCTCACTTCCATAATTTCAAGGTAGGAAGGGCAACATGGGACGCGTCGTAAGTATCACCATTCGTTTGCTTCAGTTTCCGAATTCTCGACTCGATTCGGCACCGAGACTCTCGACGGCGACGACGACGGGCGACCGACCGAGTTGGCATTGGTTGTTTTTGCGCGGGGAAACCGACGCAATGGGCATTCAGAGATTCAGATGGCGCTGACGAGAGTGTTTTTGCTTGAATTTAGATCCGCAACCAGCGTAAGGGCCGCGGCAGTGTGTTCACTGCCCACACCCGCCTGCGGAAGGCCCCGGCGAAGTTCCGCCCTCTCGACTATGCCGAGCGCCATGGCTACATCCGCGGTATCGTGAAGGAGATCATCCACGACCCCGGCCGTGGCGCGCCCCTCGCCCGTGTCGTTTTCAGGTCGCCCTACAAGTACAAGCAGATCACCGAGACCTTCATCGCCAATGAAGGCATGTACACCGGCCAGTTCATCTACGCTGGCAAGAACGCCGCCCTGACCGTCGGCAACATCCTTCCCCTGTCCTCTGTCCCTGAGGGTACCGTCGTCTCGAACGTCGAGGAGAAGCCCGGTGACCGTGGTGCTCTCGGCCGCACCTCGGGTAACTACGTCACCGTCGTCGGCCATAACCCCGATGAGGGCAAGACCCGCATCAAGCTCCCGTCCGGCGCCAAGAAGGTCGTCCCCAGCAGCTCTCGTGGTATGATCGGTATCGTCGCCGGTGGTGGCAGGACCGACAAGCCTCTCCTGAAGGCTTCTCGTGCCAAGCACAAGTTCGCTGTCAAGCGCAACCGCTGGCCCAAGACTCGTGGTGTGGCCATGAACCCTGTTGACCATCCTCACGGTGGTGTAAGTGCTGTTTCTGCAATGAATATTTGGAAAGTTATGGATCTGACATGGTGCTACAGGGTAACCATCAACACATTGGTAAGGCGTCGACCATCTCGCGGTACGCCGCCCAGGGTCAGAAGGCGGGTCTCATTGCTGCGCGGAGGACGGGTCTGCTGCGTGGTACCCAGAAGACGAAGGAGTAAAGGCTTTCATCATGGTTCTTCATCTGGGCAAGGGGTTCATCGGATTGCATTGGTCTTTTGCTGCTTTGTAGTTATGGGACTGCGAAGGCGGACGGGAGACTTGCTCTTTCTTACGAGCATTTGGCCGTGAATGAATATAAGGATTCCCAAAAGCGGTACGGCCCGGGGCTTGTGGATGGGGCAGCATACTCGGGGCGATCCTCGGGAATCAAGGGCCGCAGGGAAAGCCAAAGGCTGGCGAGGCCATGCAGTCAAGAAGAACACTCTTGGGAGAGAATGAAAGTGGGCGCTCCTTCAATTCTGGGACAGCTCAGGTCTACCGGCTACGCCCCTGAGCGAGCCATGATTTGTCCGGCATTTGCCCTGTGTGATTCAGTAAGAGGTAGGATGCAATGGATATGTGGTGTGATGGGAACACGGTAAGGGAAGTGAGCCTGTGAAAGCCGGGAGGAGAGGGGCATGCATGATGAGAGGTCGGGGCGAATGATCAGTCCATCCTGGCCCATTCTCCTGACGTCAAGCTGTCAACCGAGTCCTGCGTCCCATCCTGGGTAGTCTCTGGATGTTATGGATATATATTGGGGATGTGAGGGGTCGGGAACCGGACTTCTGCATCCATCCAAGTTCCATAACTTCTGACCTTGTGATATGGTCTCCCTTTAATTGTTTCCATCCGTTAGTTATCCTCTATCCGGAGTTTCTTCGAGAAATGTATCGCGCAAGGTCAGCGAATCTGAGGTCCGTCGTTGCCAATGCCAAGCCCTTGTCCCTAGGGCTTGCCAAGTCCTATTCCTCGAAAGGGGAACTGTCCGATGGCGGACGAATCGTAAGCAACCCCACCACCTATTTGCTGCCCCGCCTCTGCTTATGGACTGGCGCTGTGCGATCGAGGGGCATTAATCCTTTCTGCTCTCGAATCTCAGCCTCGACTACACCACAGCACATCCGCCGGCTCAGCACAATGGCGTCTACAAAGCAATACAGACTTCTCTGCCTAGAGAACCCTCTCCTTGGTACGTAAATAATGCGATATTTTGAGTCACTCGGCAACAAGAAGCTTCGTTTTTTTTTTCCTATTGCGCATCCTCTTTGCCGATGCCGACTAACATAAACATGCCACCACCTCACTAGATATCCAGGCCTTCGGCAACGAGGCTCTGCTCGAGAAGTACGGGCTTAAGGCCAATGATGCCATTTTGGCTGAGGAGAAGCACCTGCCCATCTATGAGGAACTCCTCAACAACTACGACGCCAAGCTGATCGCCGGTGGTGCCGCCCAGAACACGGCCCGTGGCGCGCAGTACATCCTACCGCCCAACAGCGTCGTCTACATTGGCGGTGCTGGTGACGACAAGTATGCTGCCATCCTGCGCAAGACATGCGACGAGGCTGGCCTGCGCGTCGAGTACCGCGTCGACCCCAAGATCCCTACCGGCCGCTGCGGCGTCGTCATCACTGGTCACAACCGCTCCATGGTCACTGACCTGGGCGCCGCCAATCACTATGACCTGGAGCACCTCAAGCGCCCGGACATCTGGGCTCTTGTTGAGAACGCCGAGGTCTACTATGTCGGTGGCTACCACCTGACTGGTGAGCACTAGACGTGTCCTGTTAGTTTCTCTTCAAGATTCTACAGACTAACTAACAAGTTTTCAGTCTGCCCGCCCGCGATTATGGAGCTCGCCAAGGAGGCGGCCGCCAAAAACAAGATTTTCATCCTGTCCCTTGCGGCGCCCTTCATCCCGCAGTTCTTCAAGGACCCACTGGACGAGACCGCGCCCTACTGGGACTATGTGATCGGCAACGAGACGGAAGCCGCCGCCTACGCCGAGTCGCATGGCTTGGGCACCACGGACCTCAAGGAGATCGCCAAGGCGCTGGCCAACCTTCCCAAGGCAAACCCTCAGCGCAAGCGCGTGGCCATCATTACCCATGGCACTGAGCCAACCATCGTTGCTGTCCAGGGCGAGGACGAGGTTAAGGAGTACCCTGTCCACGAGATTCCCAAGGAGGAGATCTGTGACACCAACGGCGCTGGCGATGCCTTCGCCGGCGGCCTGTGCGCTGGTATCGTCGAGGGCCGCCCGCTGGCCGATTGCATTGACATGGGCCAGTGGCTGGCGCGGCTGAGCATCCGGGAGCTGGGTCCTTCGTAAGTTTTTCTGTTATTATATATCTCACTTGAGACAGATCAGCTAACCAAGACTTTGTAGGTACCCCTTCCCTAAGCAGACCTATACCCCCAGGCAGTAGATGCAACCAATATATAAGGAATAAGTGACGGATCTCAACATTCTTTGTGTTTTGCAAGATAGAGCCACGGGGTTAAGGGCGTTGGAAGGTGTACGGGACCTAGTCAGGAGGGAGGAACATCCAAAAACTAAAAAGCAATGAGGGAGGGATGGTGGGTAATGTAGAGCTAAATGTTTCAACAACGGCACACATCAAGTATTTTGTTTGGGAGGTGTCAAGTGTCACATCAACTTGGGCGTGTCAGTCAAAGAAAGCAGTAATCGATTGTGGTTTAATAATCTGCTTCCCTGTTGTTGCGAGCAGAAAACACCCTTTCGCTTGGGCCACGAAGGCAAAAAGAAAAAAATGAGACACTGGCAGTCTCGATCGATCTTGACCTCCACTTCCTCGCCACGCAAAAATTGCTTACGCGGCTTCCTGAAAGTCATGATCTGGGGCCTTCTTTGCAACCTCTTCCTTTGAGTCCAGTCCTCCTGTGCCATCAGTTGGACATCCTGCTCGAAGTGTGCTGCAACAAAGCCCAAAAGAGCGAAGCAAAAAACCGGACTCGGCGTTGCGTTTGTTATTCAGGGAGTGGATTCCCCAGGTTGAATGTCAGTCTCCATCTTATAACTGGTAAAATTTTGTTACGTTTCAAAAGTTCCCGTCTTCAACTACCCCCGGTCGTTCCCCGAAAAAGAGGATTTTCCGAACTCGTGGTCCGGGCATGCGCCCACGCCCTTCCTGCCGGGGTCGAAGTACCATCAGCCCCGATACCCAAACTATGTTCCCACCGGTACTGCTCCTCGGATGGGCGGGAGCGCAGAGCGTACTGCGTAGCCAACGACTCGGCCCCAGTCATGCCTTGCGAAGCATTCCGCTGCTGTTGCTGAGCTGTTGGCAGGCCCCAAGAGCTGTTAACCGGAGGGAGGCTGGATGAGCTGCTAGATAAGTCGAGATTAGAGAAGGACGAGCTCGGTGGTACGGCACGGTCTGAGGAAGAAGCCACAGCGTAATGGGTTCCTCCTTGCTGGCTTGTGTCTGTGCGGAAGGAGATGGCCGCAGCATCCCAAGGATTTTGGCGGGGAGCAGCACTGGGAATTGCTGCCAGGTCATTGGACGCCAAGAGTTGATGCTGGTTAGGCTGGTAGGATATCCAAGTCGACCGACTACCGTAGATGTTTGCATATGTTTGGAGAGATTGACTGCTGCGGCCGTTGCTTGGTACTGCAGTGCCGAACTGAGGGGAAGATGACGATAGGTCGCCTGGAGACCCCCGACTGCCGTTTCGCACATGTGTCGCATGCGAAAGAGAATGAGCTGAGCTGGCCGGTCGCGAAAAGCCAGGCATAACCGATCCAACAGGTTCCGGGTTTATAATAAAGTTCCAAGGGAGTGTTGGAAACGGCTTGGCCCCAGAAGTGCCTGGCGGTGGGCTTTTTGGTGGCTCTTCTGCCGTGGTCACGGAAGCATACGTGTATGGGTTTGTCTGTGCAGACACATGGCTCGGTGTCTGCGGCTGAGACTTGCGAGCGGTCTCAGGAGGAGCCAAAAAATCGTTGAGGATTTGAAAGAGCTGGTTCTCGATAGGGTATTCCGATACGACAGGGGCTGGCTTAGGCGTCTTAGCCGAGGCCACAGCCTGCGACAGTTGAGCGTACTGGGCTGCAACAGCGGCAGCAGGGTTCCCAACAGGAGTTGAGGAAGTTCTTAGATTAGGTCCGTAAAACTCCGCGTCCTCCGAAAGCTCATTAGACTTGGAAGACCTGGCGGGACTTGGAGGCACTGCTAGCCGCGCGGGAGTTAGCCGGGCTGTATTGGGAGCGACTGGCTGTGTTGCCGCAGGTGTCGCAACATTGGAGGGGATCGGATGCTGAACCGGGGGCGCGGATGCTGTCAGGGAAGTTGGTACCAGAGAGACAGGCACAGCAGCTGGCACTGTAGTAGCAGGAATCGGAACTGGTCCGGCAGCTGCAGTGGCAGGTAGTGCATTCTGTGCTTGTGCTGTAGCTGCAGGAACAGGCTTCCCCTCAGCCAGGTACACGACGGTAGTGTGCTGGCGCGAGTCCTTTATCATTGTCGACGTATTGAAAGGGAACCTTGACCCCGTGTCGGACAGGGCCAGAGTGCAGCACACGACATCGAGAATGCGGGTAAAAATAACGTCGTCGTCTGTTGCATTATCGCTGGGAACATCTTCGCGGCGAGGTTTCGGCTGGCGTGTGAAGGCGTCGTAATACAGCTGGCAGCCATCGCGAAGGTGTGGCCCATTCAGGCACTTGATGCTCATGGTCATCTCGTCTTCTGGAAATCTCCACGACACTGGCTTTCCGAGCTCCAGGTTGCTTGCAAGAAGCTCGAAGAGAAGCGTGAGTGTGTTGCTCAGTGTGGTGCACATGGTACCAAAGTGCGGAGCCAGGTAAGCCTGGAACTCGACAAGTTCAGCACCGTACGAGCAAAGCCAAGCCATATACACCCGGAGGAGCAACAAAACCCGCTTGAATGCAGCCGTGAACAAGGTTTCCGGCCTCTGGGTATCTGTGGTACCATCCTTCGTGGGAGGGGTCTCCCGATTACGCTCGAGTAGGTCGGTGATCTCAAGACCCAGCACGTGCGCGATTGCCTGGATCATTCGAACATTCAAGAGGAGAATGAACCCATAAGTTCGGGAGCCTTCTTCGGACCAGTTTGCTAATATGTGGTTAGGAATGACATCTCGCAAGCATGCGGACAGAACAGTCTTACCGAGATTGCTATTGTGCGCAGTAACACAGGAGCATATGTTGATTAGGACCATCTTGAGCAGAGTGTCATCGGAGTCAAGACCAGTCCCTGCCTTGAGGGCCATGGACATGCGATTGTCCACCTCCTGTTCGAGTGCCTTGCGCCTGGTAAACTCCTTGCCCTCATAGTATGAGGCGTGGAGTTTAAGAAACCAGTGAACCAAGGCATTCTTGGCATCCGTAGCTTCCAGCCCTCGGATGGTGTTGAAGACCACCTCAAGGTTCTTCTTAGCGTTGGGATGTGGTTTCTCGCAGGCCAGGGAGCGATATAGGTGATAGAGGACTTGCAAGTAATCCTTCAACTCGGTGAATATCGCCGCGCATTGGTGATGCGCGAATCCAGATTCGGGTATCAGGTCGATGGCGAGGCCATAGTAGGCTAGAGCGTTGTCAAATTTAGGGAACTTCGGGTGCAGCTGCGCACGGTATCTTGCCAAATCTCCCAAGTATGTGAGCGTATTGTGGCAGGACGACCTGACGATATCCTCTATCTGAGCTGCCGCGGGGTCGATCTTGGACGCTTCCGGGGCCATCTCCTCAACGCCAGCCTTGCGCACAATGCGTCGAAGATCCTTGACCTCATACCGGGCATCAATCCGCTGCAAATAGCCCTTGTAAAAGAACTGCGCTGTTTTAAGGGAGGATGCGAATGCGCGTTCCAACTTCCGTTTGAGCACCTGCTCGTGGGAAGTTAACTTACCGAGTGCTCGCCTATAGGCGCCAATCACCATCCGGTGAGCAGCCCACAAGGTGTCCTCGGCGCCTTTCGAATTGGCCGCTCGAATGTCGAGCCAGATGACTTCAATGCAGCGAAGACGGTAACTATCCTCGGTGTTAACAGGTGGAAAGTTTCCGAAGAGCAGCAGCACGCCAACTCACTTAGCCAGCAGCTCTTCCAGCCTTTCGAAGCGTTGTAGAAGGTTTCCATCGTGTCCCTCAGCTTGGATATGGTCAATCTCTTTCTTGAGGGAAGCACGGAGCTTTTGAGCACGCCTGCGCAAGTCAACTGGTCAGCAGGTGCTCAGGATCCTAGAAATTCAGCGGCCCAGGTCTCAACTAAATGGATCACCACGCACTTCCAAATGTCGTCGATGGATGGCATCCTGGCCTCTGCTGCTGGTGTTTTTGGGGCTACTGGCACTGTCGCAGCAGTACCAGCAGGCACCCTCGTGCTCTCAGCGGTTCTCGAGGTCGAAGCCATGAGTACGGTGAACGGTGTTGTATCTAAACAGATCCCACTTGAACGAAGGGAAGGAAATGCGCCAGAAAAGGGCGAATGAGGCAGCAATGTGCGAACAATGCGCTTTAGATAGGTTTCAAGAACAAAATGTGCGAAAAAGCATGTGATAGATTCGGATGGCGTTGCCAGCACTCAAGACCGCAGCTCACGGGAAATTGTCCATGCACCAAAGGTATGCCCGTGGTCCATAGTTTGGCTGGCGAGTGAAGACGAGACTGCGAGGAGGAGGCGCGCTCCGGCTTGAGGCTAGCAGTCGCAGATTGACGTCCGACGGAGAGCACATTGGAGGACGGAGTCGCAGAGACGCAGTCGAGCGCGGGGAATGACGACGAGCAGCGAGCAGCAGGGGCAGCAGGCGGCGTCTCCGAGGTCCGAAGGTTCGAGGTTTCGAAATGCGAAGTTCGAAATTCGAAGCTCGAACGATGATGACGAGGACCAGGAGTCGGACAGACGACGCAGTCACAAGCCCTAAGACCTGCGACCTGTTGAGATGAGGGGCGAAAGCGTCCGGGGATGGGGATGCGTTGCTGCCGACACGACGAGTGCGCAATCCCACGATGCGCAGCGAAACGGAACCTATCAAGCACCCGGAGCGCGCGGGAGTTTCTCAAAAAATGATGCAGTACACGGGCGGTTCGCAGTCCCCCTCCACCAAGGCACGGCATTGGGCCAGCGACTGCTGTGTCCGCGGGCTGCTGTGCTTTTTCGCACGGACCACAAACGCTGCGCTGTTGTGGGCCTCATATGCAACGGTCAAAAACGGAAATACTTAATCAGGGTGCCAAACGGTACTTAGCTATGTCCCCGTTTCTTGTTTGTCTTGAAAATGGAACTACATGATAACGCTACGTAAACCATACAAAGATGGTGACACAACGCTGTAAGCCACCCAGCCTCATGACCCGTCAAGGTATACAGGCCGAGTAGGCGCACTCTGAAACACTCAGCTCTGTGATCATGATCATAGTGCCCGCTTTCATTCACTATTGAAAACCTGCATCTTAGCTCTTGGAATCTTCAGCATGATGATATCGACTCCCATAGCTTGGCTTTCCAGCCAGGCGTTAATCTATAAGCCAGCAGGTCACGATCTCTGCGACAGGCAAACATAAAAGAATGGCTCAGCACCCTTTTGTCTTTCTTGGTTCTGGGATTTGAAACCCAGAGAGATGCTTGTCTCTTGATGCACTTCTTGAGATCCTCTCTACCGCTGACGCATACTTACATAAATGGGCTTGACAAAGCAGTTTATTCATGTTGTCGGTGGTCTAGCCGTGGAGCTGGCTAACACATTAGCAACACCATCCCCAAGCCGACCACCTCCATCCCAAGGCCAATCTCAGCCCTCTCAGTTTCAAGCTTATCCCAGCAGTCCTCAACCAACAGTGCCCAATCCTGAATTTCCTGGAACTGAAACTTCAGTGTACCAGTCCCCGAATTATCAACCTGGACCAGCCGGCTCTGGATATCAACAGCACGGTCAGAGTCAAACCGTTCCCCTAACATACCAAGGCGATACTCAGTCCTCTCAACCATATGTTAATAACTCCTTCAGCGGAACTCCCAACTCTGGGTCCCTGGCGCCAACATATCAATTCCCAGCATACCAGTCCCATCCTCAAGGCGCCGGCTACTACCAGCAGAGCCAAGTTCACGCCGTTCACCTTTCGTCGCCGCCAACCTCTCCGCCCCAAGGGCAGTCTTCTCCATCGATTCAGCAGTACCTGAACACGAGCTCCGCCGTTCTTGGCGATGGGATTACGGCTGTAACACATCAGCCCTCATCCACAACTGCTGGCTATCGACACTCACAAAATAACTTGTCTGTCCCATCTCCATCATCACCGACACCTCCCCAAGTGTACACCTCAGCCGCTGCCAACTCTAGGGTTCCGATTAGTCAAACGCAGACTCAGGGCTACCAGCCTCCTGTAACACATCAGTCCTCATCTGCATCTCCTGGCTATCAGCAACCACAAAACAACCTGTCTGTTACTTCTCCAGCATCTCCTACACCATCCCCAAAGCATTCTGCCACTACCAATTCCAAAGTTCCAACCAGTCAACCCCAAACCCAGGCCTATAAACCTTACCGACCTAACTTCGCGGGTAATCAAGCAGCTCCTTCATCGTCACAACCTCAAAAACATTCTCCCACTGCTGCCAACTCCTCAGTTTCAAACAATGTCTCGCACCCTCCGGCATATCAGCCTTATCAACCTGGCGTGTCTGCTAATCAGCATTCGACACAGAATTTGTTTGCTCCCTTACAAGCACCGCCATCGCAGCAGCAGTGTCATTTCTCACAGTCATGCTCCAGCAATACCACCCCAACAACTTCCAACACTGGCACTCAAACTCATTCCTCTCAGCCTCAGCCTATAAGTTCTGGCCATCAACAGACGTGGCCCCAACCGATTGCCGCGCCACACCTGCCGCAGATGAATTCTCAGTCCGCTTCAACACATCCTGCTGCCTCTACACAGACACAGCAAAGCCAGATTCAATCCATGCCCTCGAGTCCATGGTACACAGCTTTCCGACCGAAGGATGACTATCATCCCTATATCAAAGACCGTGTAATTCGCGATGATGGGGACGGGAAGTTACAAGATTGTGTCGGTAAAAATCCAGTAGCACCAGCCCGCTTCGCTTATCACCCTGCGGCTCCCGAGTTCCTCATCTGCCCTCAGTGCTTAGCGACTCTTGCCGACACGGACCCGCTTCTAGTCCTGTCACTTCAATTTACACAGGAGATGAAGTTGAAGCCTTGTAACTTCTCGATATCTTCGCCCCGTCTCACTTTGTCTCTTCTTCCCAAAGCACGTCAGACACAAGACTCTCAGCCGGTCATCGATTTTCTTGTTCGCCGCTCCACCATCCCAGAGTGTGAAGGGAAGACCGAGACAGCGAAGTTTTGGTATATCATAAATCATCCAGGAATGCCATCTGATTTCGGGGTCTGCTCAGCCTGCTATGAAGACATTATTCTTGCTCTACCAGCTGTGGCTGAACACTTTCACCCTCGATTCCTGCCACATAGGTTCTTCTGCGACCTCTCGGATCCGTTTAATCAGCGTGCCACTCTCATTTTCAGCAAGAAGCCTCAACCGGAAGGGCTTAGCCAGTTCTGTCAAGCAATTCAGAGCTGGAGAACTGCGTTGTCCCATCCCTGTCCCGCCCTCGATCCACGTACCAAGTACACTGGAAATTGGTATATCGCACCACAGGTACCTGGGTTGACGATCTGCGAGAACTGCTACTACAAATATGTTTCTCTCACTGTTTTCCACGATAAGTTCGTCCGCGATGACGCCCAAGACAACAATCAGCACCAGATGTGCTATTTTGCAGATCAATATTGGTGCATGACCGTCCCGTTCCAGTTTGCACGAGGGCGCAGATCTTGGGAACTATTTGAGCGCAGTGCTCGCATCATCATCACCAGTCCACCCTGCTCGGCCGAGAAGTTTACAGGGAACACAATGCACACTGTTGTTGAGAACCCGACCAATGATCCATTTCAAATTTGCCCAGCATGCTTTGCAGGCTTCATTCAACCACGTGGCTTTTCTTCTCACTTCAAGCAAATCAATGTGCGTCCGTACGAAAAGGGTTGCAGTTTGCATCCTCGTGCGACCCATTATCGCTGGTATTTTCTGTTTCTCTCCATGGCCTATCACTATGGTTGCTGGGCTTTCTTTAAAAACTCCCTTGCTGAGAGCAAACCGGTAGGACCGGCAGCGCCAGACCAGAACTCTATACATGCGCTTCTTAACCTTGGTAATCTTCTTAGCATGATGTCTAACAACTTGGGAGTCGGGATGGATAGCGACCTGCAGCGGCAGATCAGGGAGATGGAAATGAGGTCCCTTCGAAGGACTCAGGAAACGAATGCTGCGGCATCGACCATTAGTCATGCGTTTGTTATGCAAGGCTATCGCAGCGCACTCGACTTGATTTGATCGATCGTAGAGAGAAGAACTGCTATTGTTACAACCATATCTGTTAATGCGGCAATCGCTATCCGGGAGTCTATCGGGAGTCTATGGGATCAGACACCGCGTCCATTGTCGAGTTGATCATCGTACATTTATGTGGCCGTCGGCGAAATGCAGATGGCCAGTTATCTGGGAGATTTTCAAATTCAATGAGAACTTAGGTAACTTGAAAGTTCAAACAAACAGAATGCCATACAGTCTGTTTCTTCGTAGTCCAGTTGTAGTTTCAGTGGGAACCTTAGTCCAATGAAGTTCAGAATAGACGATAGCGACACAGTCTGACGAGACCATGGATGGGCATTTTGAAATTCAAAATTGTTATGCTCCGAGTTTTGTATTTTCCCATAGGGGAGGTGTGCTGCCCAAGAGCCCCTTTAGATTGACAACTCCGTTTCCTACGTCAGTGCGGAGCAAAACACGGAAACTGGAGCAAAACGGCCGTCAAACAGCTCCGACGGTGATCTGTTGTAGGCCAATCAGAACATCTGAAGCTGCCAAGACTTCTGCCAAGTACCGGAGAAGGTGTTTCTGGGGTATCCTGCTTGGCGTTTACCGGCGGCGACCAGCGGCCCGGTTCGACTTGGAGCTTGGGCTTGTCTCTGCTTTCATCGCGAGAACCTTGAAGACCGATCGTCAAACCATGTGCTTACAGCCTACATGGGATGGTTAACCCCAAAACGCAACTTCAACAACTTACAATTCAACCTTTCAAGTGTGGTTTCTTGTTTCCCTATTCTGAGCTTCCTACCCGATTACGCTTCACCTCAACTCACCTAAACCGAACCGAACGTCAAACTTCGGAACGCTGCGCCTTACACTGTCTAGACTACCTAGGTAGACACGACCTTGTCTGAGCCTGCCTAGCATTCAAGCACAAGAGCGCTTGTGCTAGAGGTACAAAGTACAACGCTCAACATCCGACTGGGATCTCGGAACCTCCAGGCAATTAGATCATTTCACTTCAGCTCCCAGCAACCAGCATAAAAGATGAAGCGTACAAGGGAGCCTGAGGAAGAGCTATTACCAACCCAGCAAGAAGTTGTGAATAGATCTATAAATGGACCAAATGACCGAAAGACAGTGGCCAGCAACAACGGTGATACACCGCGTGCTGCCAAGATCACGGAGCTCGACCTGTCTGAGTACAACAGCAGGGGCATGAGCATGGTTTGCGCGCTGCCACCCCACAGAGAGCACCTAGTCTTCGCTTCATACGATGAGTACGAAACACATTATCGGGAACAGCACACGAACCGCTGCCTTGAGTGCCAAAAGAACTTCCCCACCGCGCATCTACTCAATGTGCACATCGAGGAGATGCACGACTCGTTTGCCATGGTAAAAAGAGAACGGGGTGAGAAGACAGTAAGTCACCGAAGCCACATAGCTCTCACTGTCTGCTAGTCACAGCTCTAACTGCCTACTCCAGTATTCATGCTTCGTCGAGGGCTGTGAAAAGAAGTGCAGTACACCACAGAAACGCAGACTGCATTTGATCGACAAGCACATGTACCCAAAGAACTACTTCTTCGCGGTGACGCGGGATGGCATCGACGGGCGGTGGTCGCTGTTGCTAGACAAAGAACGGCGTCCGAAACATGGAGGGACTGGCAAGCCTCGACCTAAGATAGAGCCGTCGCGCATCAAAGGTCACGAACCACAGAAGTCAAGGACCGTAGTAACTCCCACGACTTCAACGAACCAGCAAGGTACGAGGCCCGACAACGATGCCGGCGGTTCTCAGCAGAATCAGGACCAGAAGCAGGACTTGCCCATGGAAGAGAAGCCAGACCAGGAGATGGAAGATCTCTCCACCGCCATGTCAGCACTCCAGTTTGTGCCCATGAGCGTCCGGTTTGGACGTGGTAAGAGGCCAGGGTTCGCCAAACAGTGACCCATTTTGCCCTTAAGAAACCAAGAAAACTTTCAGCGAAAAACAGCATGAGCATTGGACATAGTACAGGAAGGCATAGAAAGACTTGGTAGCAGTACATACTGGATGATATGCCCGTGCTCTGACGCAGTAGTCTTGAGCAACGACTAATCATAATTCACGAGTTATTTTCGTTGTATATACCTTCCCATGTCATTCCCTAGCTCAGTAAGCATTTCTACGTAGAAACATGCCTGCTGGATGGACCTTACACTCCAAAGACGCCATTAAATGAGATCATTCTCCAAGTGCCAATGAAACCAAACTAGAAAGAAGCGAAGTCAATCAGTCGATGCACACCCTCTGCATCCGCAGTTGACACATTGTATGTCCTGGTCCTCCTTGAGCTGGGCCCTCGGGACGCGGCAAATGCAGGTTGAGTTGAAGTTTGTCTCCTTGGTCTGGATACAACGCAGACAGCAGAGCTTCTCGTAGCCCTGCTTTTTCCACTTGGCGATCAGCATAGCGTCGGCATAGCCGTTCTTGAGCAGCCAGTCGTACAGCTGCTTGCTGATAGCTTGCTTCTGGTAATATAACTCGTACACATAGCGGCTGCGCTGGTGGGCTATCTGGAAGATGGGCCATTGCGCCTGGTGCTTAGGGATGTTGTCTGTCGGTGTGTTTTGCGCATCCTTCATTTTGTTGGCGAAGATGAGTAGGTCCTCTTCAATGTCGCTAAAGCCGTCCGGCGGCGGCTTGCGCTTGGAAGCGGGGCGGATCGCTGGCATGGAAGTGATGTTTTTTGTTGCTTGGCGCGATGTGCTGGCTCTTTGTTGGAGGTATTTGATACCTCTGCTGATGGAGTCAGAAGTATATCCTGCAAGTAACGGCAACGTTTATCTTTGTGGTTGAGAGTTTGCAGATTGGCGGAAGTGGTGATAAGTTCCAGGGAATGTGGACGCCCAGCTTTGTGGTCGCGGCTGGATGTTGTTCTCGAACTCTTGGCAAGATGGCTGACTAAGCACACTTTCCTCCGCAGTAGGTGGGGCCTGGACTCTGTCCACACAACGCGGGTGGCCCGAGCTTTGGCATCATCGGGACGTTCGAGCTGGGAATCAGCATCACGACCCTGAGCTCCAGCCGATCGAGCAACAACTGATCTTTCCGGCCGCGATGGCAGTCCAACCCACCAAGTTTGCCGTGACTGTGCGGCAATGTGAGTATCCACTACCATTGGATCTCAGTGACCAACCATCCACTGACAAACCCCGCAGCGCGCAACTGGGCCGATGCGAAGCAACGAGTGATTGCGGCATATCGTGCCTGGATCCGGGCGGTACGAGGAGACTTTGAGCTCGACAGGAGGCCATAGGACGACCTACAGAACTGGCGCTAACCCTGCGTCTTCCCCCAGGCTCCGGAGATCCAAACTATGTACTCGATCCCGTTCCCTGTCTCGCACATCCGGACCCGTATCAGGCAAGAGTTCGAGCGGCACCGCTATGTCAACAAGCTAAACGTCGTGGATGTCCTTCTCCAGCAGAGCAACGCCGACTTCCAAGTAAGCACTCCATGCAAGGGAAAGACTCAAAAATTTTTTGGGGAGTGGTGGGGGCATCATGGAGGCGATCCAGGACCGCGGGGTAGAGGGGCAGGCTTGAGCATGAAGACTAATGCTTGCTTCTTGTAGGAAACTATGAACTTCTGGCGTCAGCAAAGCCACGTTATGGCATTCTTCAAGGAGGAGCACTTCAGAGGCGAAAAGAGGCTGCCGTCCAACTTCATCACTGGCTTTCTGGAGGTACGTCAACTCTATGGGGAGTCTCCGGAGAGTTGTTGTGCTTACACGACACTAGGGACGCAACTAACTTGCTGCACGATATCCCTTTATCAATATGTATATAAAAATGCAGCAAAGAAAATGTTCCTCAAGACCACCACTATATGATTTCTGTCTGTGCAATGCAGGCCGTTGATTACATACCCCGTCCCGCAGATTTCTACTCTATACATAACCTAAACCAAACCACGCCGAAAACGCCATTCCATTCCCAAACCCCAGAATTTGAGATTTTAAGAAGACGAAGACCCCTTGGTAGCCATGAACTTTTCCCGAGCCTCGATAAACTTGTCTGTCACGACATCGCAGAGGTCTTGCAGATCGCGCAACCCCTTTTCCAAAGCCTGAATGGCTGTAGTGCCAGAGCCCTCTGGATGGGATTAGACATGGCTTTTTTTGCTTGTAGGAGAGCGAACTCACCGAAAGTCTGGATTCTGACGTTCATTTTGTTCTCAGACGGATGAGGAATGGCATATGCGCAGAACTCGACATCAGGACTGACCTGCCAGTCAGTATGCATAGAACCACTTAGTTAGATCGAACTGGCGGTCACGCACTTCCTGTTGATGATGTAGCTCAGAGCGTTGCCGAGTGTGTGGCCCTCATTCAAAAACTCGAATGAGGCCGCGGTAGGCGTTGAGCCGGGCAGCTGTGACAAGCCATGTCAGAATTCATCTAACAACGAGGCCATGAGAAATGCTAACATACCAGTCTCACTCTTTGAACCTCCTCCTCTTCTTCCTCCTCCTCGAAATCATCAATATCTTCATCTTCGTTCTGATCCACCGACATATCATCCCTGCTCTCGGGCTGAGCAGAGGTCGGCTCATCCTCCATCACAACATCCGACCCAGGCTCGACCGGCTCCTCTTTCTTTGACTTTGACTTGGGGCCCATATTGAAAATGAGATCTGATGCAAGCCGTATGCGATGCCGTTTCTTTTGATCCGTGATGTCGAGTATTAGAGTTCGATCATCGGTGATTGTGAGGGCGGTTCAAGATTGCTTTATCGCGATTGGAAAATTTTATTGGGCAGAACGCGAGGCTCTGAACGGGCCGCATGAGAGCCCCGCCACGAGGACTGAGCCCCTCCATCCAACATGGAGTCCAGCCAAACTATTTTTTTTTTCAGCCTTACGACCTTCAAACATTGAAGCTATGGAAGATATCTCCTACACAGGGAGTTTCACACGACACAGAAGTTACTGGGATTCATTGCCCGAGATATATAACAAGCAACCACCTTTGATCAACTCGCTTGCATTTGGGTAAAGTTTCTGCAGGATCTCAGGAACTTTCTGATTAAATCGACCAATATCTGCATCGAGCGCACTTGCCAACAATCGGTTAGCTGGTCACAGACAGCCAACGAGAGCTCAACCCAACACGGTGGAACCGGTCCTACCACATAGCTGTGCCCTCTTATTAATGGCCACCAGGGCTTCAAGTTTACGGGGTGCAGGCAATATCTGCGTGTTTACTGCGTTATTACAGAGCTCTGTTTTCGGGTCAAGCACAAAGGTCCTTTGTTTCTTCCATCTCTTGCCCAGAAACCTACCGTGGCATCATCCCACACATCCCGAAAACCCAGTTGCCTAGCCAGTTGCAATGATCCTTTTCAACAAACAACACCAATGGGGCATCTGCTCTCGACTACTTTATGCCCCCCCTCTATAGCCTGCCGGATATTCGCGGTCTGTGCTATATCCCATGCGACCCGGGAGTGGCGGCAAGATGACAATAACCAACAGGCAGCCCTCATCTACATGCAACTCACCCGAGCTTCTGGCGGGGATCTGACTGAATGATATCACATGCCGATGATTCAAGGCAATAAGCATTACCTACATGCACCTTAACTCCTTTCGGTGTCTTCCAATTGGCGTTCTTGATCAACTTGCCCCCGCAAGTGGTATGGGGCACTCCGCTCTGGAGGTCTCACTGGTGACCGGTTCATTGCACAGAATTTTTGGCTGATTGGCTGGCTGATGAGCCGGCGATCGAGAACCCGCACACGATGTCGGAGCAACGCCAGCCTACCAGTTTGCAGTCAAAATCCGTCGGATTCGGACAATAAATTGGGCGACTTGACTGGTTACCAATCGCTAAGGGCTGGGCTCGTCTATGTCCAAGCGTGGAGTTACAGTAGGTGTCATCGAAACTGCGAAGTCATAATTCCGGCATGTCGATGGTACCTGGAAAGCTTTTTGAGGAGTGTTCGATCCTACGTTCTGGAAGATCAGAAAGTGTAGCATTGGCTTCAGCACTTTGGAGTCGTACCAAGCACCCCGTACTCCTCACTCTTGAGACAACAAGCAATGTTCAGAACCTAGAGCATCCTGCCCGTAAATGCGATCAGGAGACATCTTGGCTTGATCAATGGGACTCTGGCGAAACGAAAACCTGCCTGCCCATTGATAGTGTCTTACGGTTCCGTCATGTCGAGTATGCTCCCGAGCTCGGACAGCAGGACTTGGGAAAAATACATGGCATTGGACATATTGCATTATATCAAACCGCGTCTCGATTGACAACGACTTCAAACCACAATGACAAAACACTCACCTTCCTGTTGAAAAGACCAACTCGAAGATACAAGCACCATTGTCGCACTTATGATGAGGGTCCGTGCTCAATTGACTGCTGCGGTTAATGGTACGGCGTAACCCCCCCCCCTTTTTTTTTTTAAACATGCCCGCGTGGGCTGACAAGTACACCCCGCAAAATGTGGCTTTAGTCTGTTATGACAACAACCCAACCTTTTTCTCTCCTGCATCTTGCCATCATCGCCTTGAAAGGCTGGAAAAAAAAAAAAAAAAAAAACTTAAAAAGGGGTTTCAAACAGTCTTGTCGCGACTTGCTGCCGGAAGAACAGAGTTCTCTGCAAGAGGTCTTAGGCGAGCATGAGTCTAAGAAACAGTGGGGCTGACACTGGAACGTTGAGAACCAGCCAATGATAGCTGTGACCCCTTTCAATCCCAAACATTGGGTTCTTTTGAGGGGCCAGCCATCGTCCCTTGTGCTGCGTGGAGTAAATCGCTCTTTGTAGATGAGCTGTTTTCTGCGTCTCCGGTAAGATGGATGCTTGGGGATGCATCAGAGATTAAGCATAACAAAAGAGACGAGGTGCATCGCCGTTGGACCTGCGTGTGAATCTTGACAAGCCGGAAGCAGATCGATCGACCTCATGCTGCAAGAGTGGGGATGTGTGGAGTGGAATTTGAGTTGAAAAGCGTTCAGGGGCGCTTCTACAAGCCACCAAACAACTGCGGCCAAGACGGAGGCCACCCTCCACCGACCCTCCACCCAGTGCTCCACGATGCCAGGGCCTCAAACACTGGAGCGTCCGTCAAGGCCGACGTTGTCATCAGCGGAGGATGGGGAAAATGTTGGAATGGATGCCGTGCAGTGCAAGCAGTCGTGCGGGCTGGTCTCTGTGCCCTTGCTGGTGCTTGCAACCGGCAGAAACAAGCTGCGCGGATTTGCCAGCAATCTCAGACGTGAGCTGCTCCTTTTCATCAACACGACCGTGGCCTTCCCTGCCGGGCGGGCAACGCAAGCCGGTGAGCTCGGCGCGGTGTTCACCTACAAAGCCAAGGGTTCCCACCGCCGTTGACGTCTCACAAGGAGCCCCTCATGGCTCTGCGACGCCATATCCTCCATATACTCGTGGACGGCCCCTCCGCAGTGGAAGACGGCCGAGTCGCTCGTGCGAGCCCCTATTCACAGCCCCTCCATGCCCTCTCGCCATCGCCAGCTCCCATTGGTATGTATATAGTGGCTGCTCCGTAGCCGTGGCCGGCCATTTTTCTTCGCCTCGTTTGTGCTGTGACATCTCAGCTTCTCGTTGCACACTGCCCGCTGCTGCTACCACGATCCGAGTCTTGGCATCCAATCCTCTTCCAGTCCGCGGCACGGACAGCTGGACGCTAACGACCTGAAACACTAGGGCTCGTTCGGCCCCTCAGATGCTCGACGCCCACCGCAACGTCACCATCACGCTTGGCTGTTTCTCACGCAAGCCGGGGAAAAACGCAGAATATAAGAGGTCGGAGATAGCGTTATCCGTCACATCATCTTGTTTTTCACGTTTCCTGGTCCTGTGAAAGCCAAAAGCTAGTGCTGTGATACTCGATAAGGTACCGCGGCGCACCGATCGGCATCCCATCCATTCTCATCACCGGCGACGATTCCGTGCCCGTGCCGAGACGACGACGGTCCAGTTCAGCGACAAGCGCCCGTCAGAAAACGTTGGTTCAGTCCCGTCCCAGGTGACTGCGACTTTGCCTTTTGGGGCCCTGCGCTGCCAAAAAAAGGAAGGTGTGGGCAGCTCTACTGTTCCCCAGTGTACCCACGCAGCACGAGCACTGGGCTCCCATTGTGCCTACTGCACCCACTGGCACACGAACAGGGCCCGGCCCATTCCCCGACGACCCAGCGACCCCATCCTTCTCAGACAGATCGCTACGCAACACGGCCACCCGAGCACCACCTGCAGCACCTGCTGCACCCGGCTCCTGGCGATTGGCGTCGATTGGGATAGCGCCCTGTTGGCCAGCAGCGCCTGGACGAACTATTAACTGTTTTCCCGAGTCTGCCAGATAATCACACAAAAATCAATCACACACAGCGCAGATCCTCAGATCCATCGCCTTAGCCTCGATCGATATTTGCCTCTTCCTTTTTTTAATTTTATTATTTTCTTTGGCTTCCGAGCCGAGGCTGTCCGTTTCCTTTTTCTCTCTCTTGAAAGCCACAGCCCAGCAGCGCCTCATCCTCAACGCATTGGACGGAAAGCAGCCGGGGTTCTGCGTTTTGTGGTCAAACGCCCCCTTTGTTCCACAGCCCGCTTCATCCCTCCCATCAATCAGAAGGCTCCAAAATCCAATACTTTTTGAACTGTACTTCCAATACTTTCTTCAATCCGACCACCCACCAGGTGTTTTTTTTTTTTTGCCGGTTTTTACTGGGCACTGCGGCGTTGTGACCGATCCGTTGTCACCGGTTTCCCACACGCCTCTCGGATTTAGCTTTGACTTCGATTTCCATCTCGACCCTTACGCATCCGCCTACCTACTAGCCCGTCGTGGGCTACACACTCCCCTTCTATCATGAGCACCGCAGTCGCAATGGCCCCCTCGCCGGCTCCCCACGACAGAGATCGATCGACCTTCGGCTCTGAACACCATCCTCCTGCTGCATCCTCCTCCACAGCGTCCCCGTCGGCCCAGAGAACAACAGCTGTGCCCCCGCCTGCGCCAGCTGCAGCAGCAACAGGCAGCCCGAATGCGCCAACAGCTTCTGCTCCGCCAGCTGCCCGCTCCGCCAGCGACAGCCCCAGGTCGTCGGCGCAGACAGCGACATCCGCACGCAAACCCTCACCGCCAAGCGCGTAAGCATCCCTACTCACCTCACTACTGCCTTGCCCACTCTTTACACCAACCAGCCGGTCGGCTTGCCAACCGGTCAGTCAGGCTGCACATTTTGCAGTTGTTTGGCTTTCGTTTCTGGTTTTTGGTCTTTACTTTTCCGTGCTTGTGTCCTGTTCAAGCCTGCTGACACCAGTCTGCCCTGACGCCGTACAGCTCTCGAAACGCTTCTGCCCCAAAGATCCTTGTCAAGAAGGAGCCTGAGTCGCCCGACATGCCCGCGGGGCGCCATCGGCCCAGGAAACTGGACCTCTCCAAGAACACCACCAATATCGTGTCGCCTGCCACTGCGAGACCCCTGACTGCACGCGACGGGCCCCTGGGCATCCAAGAGATCGGCCTGGCGTGCCTATCTCCTGGCCTGACCACCCAGGATCCCGTAATGAAGGAGCAATTGCAGCGCAGTCTGGCCGTTCGGGAGCAGCAACGCCAGATTATCGAGACGAGGTTACAGCAGCAGCAACAGCAGCAAAAGGATGGCGACAAGGATAAGAATGGCAGCCATTTCACCGCGAAAACACCAGGCTTGGCTCGCAAGCGTGGCGCGCCGCCAGGCTTGAGTATCGTCGCACCCTCGCACGAGCAATTTGCGAACGAAAGGGTCATCCAATCCGCCCCCCTTGGCCAGACGTTCACGGGGAGATACGACACGCACTCGGCGACCCGCCATATCACTAACCAGCCCTCGCACCTGGGTCACACGTCGCACATCCACCACGTCCCCGCGAACCAGACAAACAACCGTCTGCCCCCGCTCGCCGACGTCTTCGGCCGCGATCTGCCGAGCCATAGAGAGTCAAACAGCCATCTCACAGCCCGGGATTACCGCGAGCCACTCCCCTCGCCGCATCACCCGCCGCCGCCACCGCAAGCTCCGCTCTCGGCCCGGAGGGAGTACAAGACAGCGGAGGAAGCGCAACACGAGCTCGCTGGCGGGAGGCCAGAGCTCTTACCAAAGTTAGTACGCTACGGCGGGCATCACCAGCCCCCGACGCCGCCTTCCCCCCCTCATCATGCTTCTGCGCAACCCCCTCGCGATCAGCCGCCCCAAAGCACTGGTTATTCTGCACACGATCACACTCATAGCTATTCATCTTCTTCATCTGCTCAACCCCCCAGACAATCTTACGCTGACCCGCACGCCAGCCGCGCCCCTCCAAGCAGCACTGCCGCCGCCAATCCCCCGCCCCCGCACCTCTCTGCAAGCTCTACTGCCGCTCCCCATCACGGTGCCACGACCCCGCTGCACCCGGGTATGGGCGCTGCCTCGGCGCCATCGTCATCTGTGGGCAGCAAGCGCCGCCGCGACGAGTATGAGGCTGGTTCGCCCCCGCTGGGCAACGGTAGGCCCGCGGTGCAGCCACGCCGGTATGGGCCGTTTGGCGAAGGCCGCGATAGCCCTGAGACGATGGAGGCAAAGAAGCAAGAGTTTTTGAGGTTGTGCGAGAGGGCGTGGGATTTGTTCCATTCATGAGATGAGAGGTGCCGAGCCGATTGCCCTACCGTATTCAAGACAATGGGATATATCACAGGGCTGGCTGTGTTTTGCTACTTACGTCCGAGATGTACATGGGACGAAAGGAAGATCTCTGGATTGCTAGTGTGAGAAATTTATTTGGGTTAATTTGGGTTGGGACGGTTGGAATTATTTTTGGGATGTGGTCTATGGCCCGTTTATCCGTCTTTTTCCATTTTTTTCCCCCGCAACTACCTTACTTCGGCTGGCTGGCTGGCGTATTGGGGTGGGTAGGATTTTCTTTTTGTGGGCTTTCTCTGGGGTATGTGTTAACAGGGTTGAAGAAATGAGATGGATTTCGGATGAGTGAGCAAGAGGAAGGGGGAATGGAGGGAGGGAGGCTTTGCTTTTTTTTTGGGGGGGGGGCTCTTTCCAACGGTACAAAGCTTCTTCAATGTTGTTGATACTAGCTTGTTTCTTTTTTGGTTTCTTTTTCATCCCATCTCCCTCCCTCAGTTTTCACCTCCTTCCCCTGGTGTTGTTATGTATGCTCCGTTCCCGAGTTCCAGAAAGATCGTGGGATGAAGCAGAGCCTGTCACCTGTTGGATCTCATGCTTTCCTTATTACCTGTCAATATCAAAAGGTTGGTGGGGTGGGCCGGCTGTGTCGGACTGTAATCATCCTGTTACCCTCACCAGCTGCCTATCATTGTCTAACACTCATTGTCATTTCTCCTTACCTGTGTTGAGTTGTCGGTGTCTGATATGTGATATCGAACCAGTGTTTGCCTACCTCAGTTAGAGGGGTTTTCCTCTATATGTGTAACTATGTCAAGAATCTGTCTCAGTCCGGTCTTCTTAGTATTTGGCTCCTTTAATGGAAGGCCTAAGCATAAGATCGTTGGGGCGTCTGTAGTGGGACATCCTGTAGCTAGCTAAGTCGTTTTGTGTTCCCTATAATTTGTCGAAATACATAGCTTGGGAAATGGATTTCTGGTTAGAAAATCCGATTTGATCGAAGATATATATGTGGATATCGTGGACTCCAGAACCTGAACGTGACGGAAGTAGATGACTATCCCTCCGTTTTCATTACAACAGCCACTGTCTTGGGGTATATACAAGGCCCATATATGCGCCTCTATGGACATTCAACAACGACGGTACCAGTCGTCAGATTTGAACTGGCCGCATTTATCTTCAAACGCAGCCTTTCCTTCTCTTCTCCTTTACGACGTAGATCCATCCCGGGAAGGGATGGCTTCCCTTTGGCTTACTGCCAGATTGTCAACACTCAGATCCGCCAAACCCGATAAAACCTTGAGGCCATTCGCGAGCGTGTGTTCTCAATAGTACTCGAAGTGAAGTAAGAACACGCCAAGGCGACATGGCCGCACGCGGCAAATTCTAAAAAGATTCCGGGCCAAAAGACTAGGTTCTGACATCTGTGTGGATGTGGGGGAATGACGCTATCAGCACTCCCTCACATCAAACCCCTTACGAATTGATCCAACCCCATTTCGAACAGCTCATTCTTGACTCCTTTCCCGCCTTTGTGTTCAACCGGAGAAAGTGGGTTCTTGACGACTATATACCACATAACAACGGTCAGCGAACATCTTCTCCAACGCTAAATACCATCAGTCCATCCAAGCACATACCATACTCCACCCACAGGTTGATATATATCTGGTGCAAAACATTCCGCATGCTCAGCGTTGCCGGGTCGGTCAGCATGACCAACCGCAGATTGCTCGCCGTCTCATAATAGTGCAGCTTGTAGTGTGGCGTGCGGTAGCTTACAAAGGCGTCGTCCTCGCCGCCCAGCTTGCGCACCATGTTACGCAGCGAGAATACCGTGCCGAATATCAGCTTCGCATCGTGTGCCGTCGGGTTGGTTAGAGTTGTTGATGAATGTTTACTAGCTGCCGCTGACCCGTCTTGCGATGATAATGGCCCTACTGATGGAGGAGGAAGCCATGATCGAGCGTATATACATTCTGCTGTGTGCCGGGGGAGGGGCGGAAGAGAAAAAGGGCCTTATGTTAGCTGCTTGGAGGGGCGTCGCATGAGGGTATGGAAATGTTGATGCATACTGTGGCGGTCAAAGATGTAAAAGGAGTAGACGACCATTGCAATGGTGAAGTGCGGGGGGAAAGGCCCCCTGAGCGTCGAACGAGGTCGTCGCGTCGGGGACGAGGAGTATCAGGCTCGCAGGGTGCGGCGGCGGCAGCAGTAGCGGGGACAACGGCGTGGGCGTCGGTGTCAGTACCGGTGTTATTGTTGGATGCTTCCGGGTTCTGGTTCGACCAGTCGTGTTAGTAGGGCTAACTCGTGTTCAACGGTAAGGTTTGATCCGTTGGTGGTAGTAGTGCAGTGTATGAGGCAGGTTGTGTGATCCGTCAAGGTTGCCGTCGGGTCTGTTCGAATGAGAGCGAGGTTCGTAATGCAGGTTGCGATCTGGCTGGTGATTGACGGAGATGCGATGCAATGGGCTGGCCTCCACCCGCCCAAACGAGCACATGCGGACCCTTTGGCAGCTCTTGGCATCGACAGGGATCCTTCCTTCAACCCCAACCCTGGTGAGTGGGCCAACAGCCCCTGACGAGAGGCAAACATAAACGAGGGGCTCATATGGGCTTTGTTCGTCCCTGTTTTACGGATTACATGCGCAAGGTGCCTTCTTCCATTCATATATAAGAAAAAGCCACCATTAAAGCACTTCAGACACCATCCACCAGCTAAGGCGATTTGGGCGCCGATCCCTCTTGTCCCGCCCTGAGGCTCTGGGCCCGAAGTGCAGGGGTCCAGCGGCCCAGCGGGGCTCCTCGATGCGAGGGTGGGGGGTTTGGCTCTGGTTCGTGGAGGGGCACGCGAACAACTGATCTTTGTGGTGAGCAGCTCACGGCAGGTCCCTAGGCTGGGGTAGAGACCGGGGGTGGCACACAGCTCCCTGCTGCCCTACGGACGTGAGCTCGTGGCCCGTGAATTTCGGAGACGGCATGCGGCCCATTCAATGCAGTTGCAGTCAATCAGAGTGCATTGCGGACTGCCAGCATGGAGTTTTCGATCAGAAAGACTGGGCCATCTTCCAGCTTCTGTCGCGAATGAAACCACTTGGATCTGGCACACCTCTGGTCTGCTCGCATCCACCATTTTCCCGCTAAACACTGCATGCCAGATTGCCAGACGGGCAGTCCGGCCTACACATTAGCTTGCCACCATATCGGCTACTGGGCAAGAAATATTATTGTTTCTACGGTTTACGTTGCTGGTTACGGGGTTGCTGCCTCGTTCGAGGGTCATTGGGTCAAGACGGCTTTGTTCTAAGTATAGCAACCAGACCTCTGAGACTCCGGGGAAGTCGTCAACGGTCTAGAAACCACGCAACAAACCTACTAAGCATCTGTTTTCTCGATTTTTTACTCTACGCATCTCGTTTGGCGTTGACGACGGCGAGCCCCACTGAACCACGCCATATGAGCGTGCGCGGTCTCTTGATTTTTTTTTTATCTGGTTTAAGAAACTCGACGACAATTCGTCCTAACTCCTAGGAGTTCCAGTCAGTTGTCTGAGGGGCTCTGCGACCTTTGGTCACTCCGCGAGCCCCTGGCCCCCCAGGTCTCCGAGAGAAGAGCTGCAAGCCTGGTTTGGAGACGCACCTTCAGAAAGCCATGGCTGAAGACGCTGTCCTTGTGCAGGACGGCCTATTGAAGTCCACGGCCGACAGGAGAGCGCTGTCACCGGCCCCCCTTACCTCCATCCCTCCTAACTTGACATCACCTGGCATTTCGATCGAGTTTCATGGCGACCCGGGCACCGAGGAGAAGCCTGTTCTGATCCATCCGCGGTAGGTCAATGCCTCTGCCTCTATGAATCCTCGTTAACAATGCTTCTACCAAAGTTCGGCCCCTCCAGGCATGCAGAGCTTCCCAAGTCCCATGAGGCATCATAAGAGGACGCCCTCAGCCCATCGGGAGATCAAGGTGAGCTGGCTTTGTCATACAAACCGGAAGATAGAGCCTCCATGCTTATGTAGGTTTGTAGGAAACACTCAATGCCCGCTCACAATACATGGAGGACGAGAATGAGGGGCGCCAACAGTTCCGCATCAATCAGTACCTCATCAAGGAGGAAATTGGCCATGGCACATTCGGCTCTGTTCATCTTGCTGTTGACCAATTCGGAACTGAATACGTGCGTTTTATTTCCGTTCCTCACCGGCAGAAGCAAATGAGAAACTGACTCGTCCATGCTTAACAGGCCGTTAAGGAATTCTCAAAGACGAGGTTGAGGAAGCGTGCCCAGTCCAACATCCTTCGCCATGGTCCAAGGCGGGCTGGGCGCTTACCTCCGCGAGCTGGCTTCGGCGCCCCTGACTTTCCTAATCGTGAGCTGTTCGACCAGAAAGTCAAGGAGGAGCAAGATGCGCTCTACCTCATTCGTCATGAAGTAGCCATCATGAAGAAGCTGAACCATCCCAATCTTGTGCAGTTGATTGAGGTGCTTGATGACCCCTTAGAGGATTCGCTTTACATGGTCATGGAGATGTGCAAGAAGGGCGTCGTCATGCGTGTCGATCTCGGAAAGACGGCAAGCCCATTCCCGGAGGAGCAGTGCCGCCACTGGTTCCGGGACCTGATCCTAGGTATCGAATATTGTACGTTTCGCCACGATCCAACTTCTGAAAGTTAAATGCTAACTGTGCCGGAAGTGCATTCCCAGGGCGTCGTTCACCGCGACATAAAGCCGGACAATCTCCTGCTCAGCGAGGACGATGTCTTAAAGATTGCCGACTTTGGAGTATCTGAAATGTTCGAGAAGAGCACCGAGATGAGGACAGCCAAGTCAGCAGGGTCACCAGCATTCCTTCCTCCTGAGCTGTGCGGTCCGGCTCATGGCGAAGTGTCCGGCAAAGCTGCCGATATCTGGTCTATGGGTGTTTCCTTGTACTGCTTCCGTTACGGAAGGCTGCCTTTCGAATCGGAGAGCCTAATTGAGATCCGCGAGGCTATCCGCACTCAACCCCTCTCTTTGCCTGCGGATGAGAACCCCGACTTTGTCGACCTGATGAAGAAGATCCTCGAGAAAGATCCCGATAAGAGAATCACCATGGAGGAACTTAGAGTCAGTCTTTGATCTGTCCCCAAATCTAGAGGGCTATTGGCTAAACGTATGCAGGAACATCCGTGGGTGACGAAAAGGGGCACAGACCCTTTACTTAGTACCGAGGAGAACTGCTCCGACCCCGTCGAGCCCAACCCTCTCGAAGTTAACCGCGCTTTTACGCAGCGAATGAGCCATTTGATTTGTGTTGTGAGTAATCCTACGCCCTCATCTGCGGTTTGGTCCGTTTAACACACCCGTAGTTGAAAGCCATCCGTCGATTCAAGAAGCTCCTCGCCCAAGCCAGAGCGCGCAAAGCCTCTCGAGCCAGCTTCTCGGGTACCGCCTGCTCATCATCCCCAGACTCTACCCAGCACACTGTTGAAGACACGGCCGACATCGCCGCCAAGGTCGTCCGTGAACGTCAAGAGCTCATCCGTCGAAGCACCCAGACCGCTGGTATCCCCGTTACCAGGCCCAGCGTTGACCTGCTCCTGCCGCTGATCCAGCCTCCTTTGTCCAATGCTCCCACTGACAAGCCATATACCGCCCCGTTGCTTGGCATTGGTGTTGGGGGACATGACGAGTTCTCGGGGGATGACCCGACTGCATTCAACGTTGTATCGGACTCTCCGGGAGTTGTGGATTTTAATGTATATGATTTGGCGTTCAAGCAGGAGATGGAACGCATTCGGCGGTCGGGGAGTCGCAAGGGACGGGCACCGTGGATTACTAGGCCCGGTGAGGGATTGAGGGGGCGGGCGAGTGAGAGGGTTCAGGAGGAAGCTGCCGAGGACGGCGATGGTGAGAAGCAAACAGAGGGGGGACAAGATGGAGTAGGAGAGAAAACGGGAGAAAATAAGTGAAAAGTATGTTTTCATGATGGATCTTAGGGTGGTTTAGGGGCTGGAATCATGACTCGAAATGGATATGCTTCCTGCGGCTAACTTGAGCATTGGATCTAAGCGTTAACTCTTTTTGATATTGAATCGACCTGCTTTCTGTCTATCGCGTGCCTGCTCGGCGAATAAAATGTTGAAATTGGTGATAGAGATGCCGTGCTGATAATCTTGAAACAAACTACACCTAGGAAGCGAGAGCCGCACGCATGAGAATGCGGAAGGCTTTCGCGTTTGAATCGATCTACATCGTTGCCAGATATCTACTTGAAATTTCAAACCACGAAAGAGCAGGAACGGGAACCCCGCTGCTGGTTTTACGCACCGCTGGATCTAGGTAATTCGACTAACGTGCACTGCCACAATTCTGTGGTAGTGTTGACCAATGACTGAGCCTCAAAGGATTGAAATAACGACTGCCCAGCTTTTAACCGCTAATGCTTCTGTCTGTCCTGATCTCAGCAGAGGCTGTGTATGAACCTTGAAAGGACACGGTTAGAAGCTGGAGTTGGGATGTGGCGAGGAGCTAGACCTTGTTCCTGGACACCAACGGTTGAGGGGAAACCTCCAATCCGTGACAGAAACAATAGTTGATACAGCCAGAAGTTGAAATTATCATTATTACATTCATGTCTCAGAACAGCAACTCTTTGGAGGAATACCTATCGTCTTACCCCCCTGCGAGAGTATGTTGCTTTGACTGAACAAGGGAGACATGTTTATGGGATCCAAGCGTAGCATCAAGGACAGCTTTACTCAGCCTGTCTTACAACCCAGCATAAACGAGGGCCTTTCCCTCCGGACACTCTTGGCAAGGTTTTCCTCCCCTGACCAAACCAAGGGAGGAGAGAGGGTTTCGAGGATCGGATGGATGGTGTGATGCTTGTACATGATGGCAATGATGAGATGCATCTGATATTGGAGCAGAGAAAGTTCTGGTTTGTCTCGCATAACAGTTTTGTCTGCAGCCGCTGATAGTCTATCCTGCTCTCTAGTCTTTATTCGGCTCGGGGATATGGCTACTAATTCCCTACTGTTCACTCTGATATCACGTCTCATTTTTCCAACGGGTCAGGAAGGACGGGATGAAAGCAATGGCATCCGCCGGCCCGCTGTTAGTCTTAACAAGAGTGTAGTAACTCTCTAGTTACCATATCAGCCTGGCTTTGCCCCTGGTGAGAGCTACGCTACACCATGGAACACTTATGATCTACACACCCTATGGTGTGATACTACTTGTAATACTTCTGGAAAGGTATAAACCCGGGTGCTCTCCTCGGTAGATGGCTAGCTACCTAGGTAACGTAGCTAGCGATCGGTAAAGAAAGGCCACCTATTCTCGCCACAGAAGTGCATGAACAGGTCGTTATCAAAGCCAGAGTCCCGTGTGAGACCAGAGAGATAAGCACCATTACCGTCACCGCAGACGGATATCGTACCTGCTCAAAACCAGGCACACTGTCTGAGACATTGGGGCTGGCAAGTTTGTTTCACACTGCAATAGTCCAGTCCCTGAAGAAGCAGCTGGGGCCTGAGATAAATCGACCGATAGATAATGCGCAGTAATCTGGACTGACCATATCACTGGCATCGGCGCTGCTGCCACAAGCATACCCACTCCCGTCCTGCACACCACAGTGTGAAAATCTGGGGTCGTGGGGTGCAGAGCTTCAACTGTGTCTTGCAAAGCGATTGTTCAGGACCCACTTTTATCAATTGCTAACCTGGGCAAACATCCTGTTCTCAGAGTCAGTGAGCTAGGCAATGCAAGCAGACTTTGAACCATCAAAAAAACAGCTACTGTCCGGCTCCAAAAAAATAAACCAAGTATATTGTAACCGTTAGAGGGAGTGTCTAAGTTAGTTGACTACGTATTAGGGTCCTGAATTTTAACAGTTAGTGTATGATACAAGGAAAACTTCAAAAATACGTGATTTTTTTTTTCACACTAAATATTTCTGGTGTCATAACAAACAAGATATGTTGGACGGGAGAAGCGGGACCGCGTACGAAGGACCAAGAAAAGAAGCGGTCCCCGCGGCTCACGAATGGCCAATAGGAAAACATATGTCCTTGACAGAAAGATCGTCAGGCTAAGAAGCACTGACGAAGGACTGAAAAACCCTTAGTAGAAGGAAGAAAAAAAAAGGGAAGGGACCAGTGTATATGATAGGCAATTCCTCGTAGGAAGAAGAGGATGAAGAAGTTCCCAGTCAGCAGTACAAACAGTTGTGCATACCCAACTGGTGACCACAGTGCCCTTGAATTTGAATGAGAACTCTTTTCATATCCATAAGCCATGATCCGAATCCGAAGGTTATATATGCATGCGGCGAGAGAACTACTGCTTGAAATAAAATCTGAGGCTAACAAGTAGTAAAAATGGGCTAAATGAAACTCTATTCGATAGATTTATAATGGTTTTTGTCAGAAACCAGCTGTTTTCTCGATCGTTCAAGTTTGCTTGCATTGCCTGGCTAACTGGCTCTGGAAACAGACTGTTGCACAGGTTTAACAATCGATGAAAAGTGGGTCTGAACAATTGCTTGCACAGCACAGGAGCAAGAGCAGTATTAGTGCTGTAGCTATCAGCTTACTTGCCCTTCCCCTATCCAGAAATGTAGGTAGGTCACATATTTATGTGATTGATAACGTCTGCAGCACATCCTACTGGTGGCTCCCGACACACAAAGAAAATTCCTGCCATGTTCGTTTCGTCTCCCTGCGTCTGTCGGTCCGCATTTCAGCCAATTAGTCGGCAAGCGTTTCTAGTAAAGAATTTGTCAGCCCGACTTCAGGCAGGCCGGGTTGGCAAGCAGCCTGAAGGGGGGAGGTTGGCGGTCAAAGAGATGGGTGCAGCCCGCCGCAGGCTTGGCAAAGCTTGTCTCGCCCTGTCTTTCACAACCTCAAACCAGAAGAGGGTGAACAAGGCCCGAAGCGGTGGACAGGCTGGTGTGTGTGTGTGTATATGTGTGTGTGTGTGTGTGTGTGTGTGTGTGTGTGTGTGTGTGTTGAAAGCTGGCCACCAATAGGTAGTTTCGTATTGGAGCAATGCACCCTAAAAAAAATGTACCCTAAAAAAATGTCGGTGACCTGAGAGACGGATGCAGTACTTGGCCTCTGCGGTGGTACAAACAGGCATGGTCGGAATGACGTACCATGCTGAACGATGAGGGTTTGTAACCCATATAAGATGCATAACTAGGAGATAACTGCCGTTCCTGGACGTTCATAATCCGTAGTCAAACAAGGCTTTTGCACAGTCGACTTCTCAGCGAATGCTTCGGCCACGTGCGACGGTTGATCTGAGACAGGGGCCTTGGATCCAAGAATCCAGTACTCGGGGCTCGGCAAGCTGGTTCACGCATGGTGTGCCTTGGTTGGCGACATGCACACCGCAACCTCATCGGACCGGCGATTCAGCGGGTTTTCGATCCCGAAGCCCAAATTTTTCAAAGAATGCCATGCTAGAGCCTGGCGGGGTCTTCTCCCGATCAGCCTGTCCCAAGCCAGGGCCGAAGCTGTAGTGAAACGGTCCGGCAGGTATGGTCAGCGGGCGGACGACCAGGCTGGGGGTAGGGCTCACCACGCAGGTGCTGTGTTAAGCGCTTGGATGAGGTCATGAGGCACCTCTTGATACCTACCTCACGGTCCTGGGAAGTCCTGGGGTAGAGCTCACTTCAGACAATCCGAAGGGCGTGATATGGCGACGAACTGCAACCAATAGCTGGGTTCTTCTTTTAGAAAATGGTTATGCAATGCACAAGGGCCGATGCCTAGACATGATCGGATAGATAGCGGCAGACGCAGCTCAACACCGGACAATGATCCGAGAGTCAGCGCTCGGTGCAACAATACCAAAGCATCATGACTTTACAGATGACGTAACGTACACGTACAGATACCGTTACCCACACGTAACGAACGTAATCCGTCCTCAGTACGGAGCTAACATCCCCAACTGCAAGCGGGGTTGATGAGAATTGATGGGTGAGGCGCGTGAGCATGCCCAAGTTAGCAACTTGATGTCTGGCTGGCCAATGAGGGCGGCAGTTGGCAGTGCGGATGGCGTTGTGGTGCTGGCCACTGACGAAGTCTGTTGGCTGCGGTACCGTCTGTAACTGGCATTGAGGTCACCATGGACATGTTCGAAACGGCCAAAAGCCGGTATGACACAGGGAACATGTCCATGGAGAAATTGGTGACAAAATCGGGCAGAAAATCCCTCATAGACAGGATGGCAAGGGATGGTGAGCGAGCAGAGATGCGGTGTTGCAAGTTGATGCAGCGCGGTGGTGGTTTTTGCGACATGATACTGACCATCGTCTGCGACTGGAGTCTGCTGCTGTCTGTACAAGTACCATCTGCTGTGACTGATGCAGGAGGCAAGGAAATACCTAACGAGCGGCTTGAGCTGTACGGATACGTAGCCGGCTCGACTCATCAATCTCAATCCGGGAGGTTCTGGGTGATGTGGCCAGAATACTGCAGCGTCATCGTATGCGCCCCCTCCGGAGACGCAGATGCAATGCAGTCGTCTGCACGCAAGACCGGACCAGGTTGCGAGTCGTCTGGTCTAGCGCCATAGATTCGACACCATGAAAGCGGTGTTTCAATGATCAGCCTGTTGTGTGTTGGCGAGCTGGCGTGCTGACCAACTGCTGCATCACCACTGTCAACCAGCGATCCATTAATCCATCGCTCACGAGTACGATAGGGGATGGATGCGGTATGGGTACACTACTCGTAGGTTTCCCACCGCCATGCAGCACAGCAGCAGCTCTGGGTCACTGAATGGGCGGGCAGCCAGCGGTTCGGCGGTCAGATCTCATCGACCAGCTTTGGGATGCAGCCAAGCAAGCAATGCGGCTGCTGCCACCGAGCAGTCGCCCAGCAGCGACCCAGGGCCCAGTCCAGCCAGCTTGGGAGTGGCCAGCATGTGATAGGAAGACTGTGCTACCGGTGCTGCGACCGTTTAGCAGCAAAAGTATCAGTTTTGTTGGGCTGTCGTGATGCCATTGGCATGAAAAATTGTCGTGTGCGTGATCGTGGCAACAGTTAAAAAAAAAAAAGTTGTAAAAATTTTGCTGGTGTGCGTCCACTACGTCGGCATTTTCGCCGCCGTCCTTGGCCGGAGCTGGACGGCTGGGTTCGGGGCGTTGCTCCGTCTCTCCATCGGCCCTTGGCTTATTCCCCGCAGTCCTAAAGCCGGGAGGCCGCCAATTTGGAACGCCGCCAACACCGGCACCGGGCGACAATTTGCAAGGTTGGGTGGCCTGCGCTTGACTGGTTCCTTGAACTTGTACGCAACATCTCCAACTGACACCCCAACCGCCACGTTCCGGGTGCGAATAGCGCGATGCCAAGCGTGCTGGGACTCAACATAATGCGACTCTGTTTGCCAGTGTTGGGCCCTGCTGGTGGATTTGTAAGTTTGTGATGATGGCAGCAGACAGCAGAGCGCGACCCAATGCTGGGCTGAAATTGTTTATAGCCCCACTCCAAACGACTTTTAGGTTGCCAAGACCGAGTCTTAGCGTCGATGTAACAGTCACTTTGGCGATCCAGGTGCCGAATCCGGCAGGAAGAGGGGCACAACCGCGAGCTTCGTTCGTGGAATGTTTGGTGGAGAGGAGTCCAAACATCGTGGGGGCGGCACATGCAATTTGTTCGTCTGAGTTTCGGGCAATTTTGGGCTCCTAGCCTCTTACGGGCGGCATGTATATCGGCAACAGCCAGAGTTTATAATACGTAAGAGACGTGGATCTGACTTCCACTGGAGAAAGTGGTTTGGGCTTTGGGCGTTGAGCTATTGCGTTGTTGGCATTGAGCGAGCCAGCGAGGAACGTAGAATGGGAGGGCAGCGACAACGGAAAAGGATGGGCTTACGCGAAGACCACAATGACCAGCAATGAAGGGACATCGGGGCAGATATCAGACGGTGTTCGCATGCCGTCCGTAACTGAGGCAGCAAATGCTGATCGATGATGTGCTGCTTGATCCTGACCTACTGAATCCAGAGACCCTTTTTTTTTTGCCTTAATTTTGCCTTTTTACCATCTGCTTGAGGTATACATCATCCTTCCCTTTTGGGGGGCGGGATCAGTGCCATCAGACTCTTCAGCGTGCCGGCGCCTGCAGCCAAAGGTCCTACATGGGCAAAATCACAGATGATTGATGCGCGCGCGCTCTCGCGTGCAGCGCGTAATCATCGATAGTTCATCCTCTGTTTCCCATGGATGCTGTCATCCCTGGTGATACAGGCACCGTGCCATTGGGACGCGGCCATCCAACCCATCATACATAGTGTACACTACAGCAAGGAGCATCCGGCATAGCTCCCGTCCTGCATCTCCCGGTCTCCCCTTCTCCCGAAACCATGGTGGGCGATGTCACGACTCACAAATGGACCATTCCCTATTCTCCCTCAGCGCGATGCAGTCCCCGCAGCCTTGCCGCAAGCAGAAAAGTCCGTCTGCGTTACGCCGTTGAGAGTACCTCCAAGTCCGAACCAGACTGGCTGGTCGAACCAGTCGTTCGCCGGCAGATCGGCCTGCTGCTGTCGCCATCGGAATCCAAATTGGATGGCGCAGGCCAGGTATGGTATTTATGATGTAAGATACCTTACGTAAGACACCTAAACGGTAGTGTACACTGTGGAGAACGGAGTATGATTGGAGCCTGTTGCACCAGGTCAGGATGGATGACTTGAAAACATTAAGCTCCATGTCTGTGAACACCTGCAACTGAACGGCCGCTGCGCGGCTTTGCCCTGAGGGGCTGTTGGATTGATGACTGTCGGGTTTCCCGCCACTGAGCCCTATGGTCACGCTTGTCTGGGCATGTCCCAGCTTCCTTGTTTCTGGCCGGCTAGCAAAGAAAATCCAGATACCTTGTTATCCTCGTGGACACTCGAGACGCTTCTTTGAGAACCCAAAGCCACACACAAGTAACAAGAGAGCCAGCCGTCAGATTGTTTAGACATTCAGTGAATCGGGGCTACAAACATCCGTTCCTGCTTGCGACAAGCCAACAATCTCTCGGCGTGATGTGAACTTTAAGCCGCTGTGTATTGGTTGCGACGTATTGACGCGTATCAGTGTGATATTACCGTCAGCTGTGACCAGCTGTGGTGTGGTGGTGATCAGTTGCATTTGATCTCTGAACCAACTCTTTTTTAACCTGCTGCAGCAGTGCAAAAGCGAAGAAGAGGCTCCATCACTGCAACAGCCCACAGCAGTCCACACAGCAGTGCTGTCGACAGAGCAGCTCCACTCACCACCTTCCTACATACACTCCACTCGGGCTCACTACCGACTTTCTGGATTTTCTGGGCGCCTGGTCAAACTCGCGTCCTTTTTTTCTCGATTTTTGGATTTCTCCCTTTCTTTCCCCCCCTTTTCCTCTCCAGAGAGATCCTACAACCTTCCCAGCTCGCAATCACTGCAGTTCTGTTTTTGATTAGGCGCAAAATCGGGCTTTGCCCACACCCCAAGGCGATTTCGCCGCCGTCACTGATCGCTGCCGCTTGCATAAGCGCAGCGGTCTTGGTCTGAACTACAACGACATCATCTTGCAGCCAACGCCCTATTACCTACCTACACCAGCACTACCGCTTCAACCGACCTCAATCAACCTCAACCGCGTTTGCGTTTTGCCCTTAACGCAACGCGTCCAACTCATTCACTCACTCGTCACCTGCACAACACTCTGCCAACCCTCGATTTCTAAAACAGCCATTTTTTTTTACGGGCCCAGACTGATTGCACATCAATTTTTGGGCTGCAAAATCACACTTTCAATCCCGCAACCCTTTTGTTGCCCGTGCCTCTCCCACTTATACAAGCCAACACCAAGGTTCCAACACCGACCACCACTTCATCATGGCGGCAAATCTGGCAGAATCTGAGAACGGGAGTGCCTCCCAGCGCTCATCCCAACCACCTTCAGTCAAATCCGTCGACGTCGTCTCCAAATCACCGAAGCTCAACGGCCAAAATGGCCACCCTGCCGACCAGGCACTTCCTAAGACACTTGAGAAGGGTTCCATGTTGAAAGAGCGCTTGACACGCATCTTCTCATCCAAGGATTCTTCTCAGCGCAGTATCGCTTCCGAGTCCAAGAAGGGGAGTGACACCCCCCAGAGCGCCACGGGGCCGGCCCTTCCCAAGGGAAAAGAAAAAAGCGAGTCTCTGCCACGCTTCATTGTTAATCCTGAGTTGCCTGGCGGCCATGAACATCATCTCAGGGGCGCCCGGCGCCAAGAGAGGCTGATGGACATGATCAAAAGCTTTCTTGGCATGAAGCCTGAGCAGTTGCCTGACAGCAACGAGCTGTCGTTAATGTCTAGCTGGGTCGACAACTTTAGGAAAGAGAAAGTCGATCAGGCCGCCGAAAAGAAGACCGGTCATGAGAATAAGCCGTGCACTTTGGTCGAGAAGTATGGCAAGTGTCAGGAAGTTGTCGGTAGGGGCGCTTTTGGCGTCGTGAGGATATCGCACAAGAAGTTGGAGAATGGACAAGGCGAAAAGCTGTATGCCGTCAAGGAGTTCCGTCGGCGTCCCGAAGAGACGGAGAAAAAGTACAGCAAGCGACTGACGGCAGAGTTCTGTATCTCGTCATCGCTCCGCCATCCCAACGTTATTCACACGCTTGACCTACTCCAGGACTCCAAGGGCGATTACTGCGAGGTCATGGAGTTCTGTGCTGGTGGCGACCTGTACTCCCTCATCCTTTCGGCTGGCAAACTTGATGCCCAGGAGGCCGACTGCTTCTTCAAGCAAATGATGCGCGGTGTCGAGTACATGCACGAAATGGGCGTTGCGCATCGTGATCTGAAGCCCGAGAACCTGTTGTTAACCACTCGTGGCTGTCTCAAAATTACCGACTTCGGCAATGGCGAGTGCTTCCGGATGGCCTGGGAGAATGACGCCCACATGGTGTCTGGCCTATGTGGCTCGGCTCCCTATATTGCGCCCGAGGAATACAACTGCAAGGAGTTTGATGCCCGCGCCGTTGATGTCTGGGCCTGTGGTGTCATCTACATGGCTATGCGGACTGGCCGCCACTTGTGGCGCGTAGCCCGGAAAGAGGAAGACGAGTTTTATGCTCGCTATCTCGAAGGCCGCAAGTCAGAAGAAGGCTATGCTCCTATTGAGTCCCTCCACAGGGTGAGTGTCCATTATCGTCTGAGGACAGGGATTGGTGCCATTTTCCATCAGACAGAACGGGTACTGACGAGGGAAGCTGAACAGGCTCGGTGTCGGAATGTGATTTACTCAATATTGGATCCCAACCCTTCGCGCAGAATCACCGCCTCACAAGTCCTCAAGTCTGAATGGGGCCGCGAGATAAAGTTGTGCAAGGCTGGTGAAGAAGGCCTCTAACATATGCTCCGTCAGGTGGCTGGCGTGATGTGTGTTTAGCTGACCAAGCTATCCTGTCACATCCTATCAGCCGCTGCCTGACGGGTCTATTGTTATTGTTGTCTTCTCGGTGACCCCCCCCCCTTCCCATACCTTGCTCTTAGGATCTACTGTTTATTGTGTTGATCACTCACTAAAAAGAATTCCGTGGCTGGCCACGCTAGGCCTCACACTACCATTCACAGCTATCACTATCACACACGACTGCTTTCTATCAGCATCAAAGCCATTCGGGTCACCTTTAAGAGTTCATCGACCCCTTCGATGTTCCCATAATTGGGAAGGCAACAATGGTGCTCTCACCATATCTTTATCTTTACGGCCACGCCTGATTCTTCAGACAGACCAGAGAAAAGCGACGAGGAGCCCTCAATATGGCATTATGATCAGGATTTCCTTCGGGGTAGGCCAGCATCGGAGTTTGGAGTTTGTTTTTGCCGGGTTCCGTTCTTTCTTTTACGTCAACCTGGAAAGGCCGGTCAAAGTTTCCTTCGCTTTTTTTTCTCAGTCTCTTCTATCTCTTCTATCCTTCGAGAGGAGGTCAGATAAGCTGGGGAAGAGGTCAGGAAATTGATAGCGGCTTATTCGACGGTGGTGGTGGCGCTCTGTTTGCTAGACCATGAACAGCCCTGCTTCTTTTTCTCGCTACTACACACCTATTACTTCTACTGCCGCCACTACCACTTACCTAGTCCCTGGAGGACTCGTCCGTCGGTACTACCCAGTCTTTGCATTCGGTCCTCTGTATTTCTCTCCTCTCTAGTTTCAGTTTCGGTTCTCTGATCTCAGTTTCGGTCTTCCTCAGTCACGGCGGCTACCTTCTTCCGCTTCTTACACCGGTTTCCTTTCATTTCCTCAAATGAAAACAGACTTCTCAATTACTTTACAATCAGAGGCGCTGGGGTTAAAGCGAGTGTGATGATGGAATTGACAGGAACAAGGACAGGGTAATCAGGAACGGGAACACGGGGTAGGGTAAATTAGGGACACTGGGAAAGGGCTGGAGTGTCGATTGGTTTGGTTCGGTTGGGTTTCTTTTTTCATGGATTAGGAGGTAGGGGTGGTAGGGAGGGGTGTGGGACGTGGGTAGATGGGCAGGCAGTTATTCTTATTGCCGATGATGACGCTTTTACATGCTTGCTTACCATTTTTTTTTCTGCTTCACGCACCTGGATGGAGTATTGTGCAGATGTATACAGTATCTTTCTCCGTTTTTTTACTAAGCCTTGTTATTAGAGCATTGGGGCTGGTCTTTCCTTGCCTCTCTCTTGCTCTGGCAGACCGGCTGATGACAGGCTATTTGGTTTTAACAAGTGGCCTACCCACTTGCTTTGGTACTGCTTTGTTTGCTAGCCCTGATAACAAGGTGGCTGACAGGTTAGGATACCTAGTTTCTACCTGGCTCTTCAGAGCAGAAAACTAACTCCTATGAAGATACCCCTGGTTTGATTTTAGACTGATCTATGTTCCTCACCGTCCTGGACATGTCGAATCTTGAGCGATTGTCAACTGGAACTTGTTTTATCCCTGAGAAGAGAAGTAGCTGGTTCCTACTCAACACGGCTTACAGCTCCCTCTACTAAGCCTGACCACCATTTATTTTACACTTCACCTTCAGTTGTATTGCATGATTAGCAACATGGATGGGGTATATTATCCGCATTCCTATACCATACCATGCTATTCGTTCATTCAGTCGATCCTTACTCCATGCTTGATTCCAAGCCAGCTCTTCTCACGCCTTTCCATAGCCCATGATAGCTCCTCTTACATCCCATAAAACAAGCCCACTCAGCATCTGAGTGAAATAAGGCATTACTATGCATGACTACATCTCCCCAGCAGTTAAACTGATGTATCACTAGGGAAAGGTGGCAGTACTCATTGAAAAACAAAAAAAAAAAAAGAAAACAAAAGTCTGGGCAGAAAACAAAGACAAGAGCCATACCGTAAGATATCCCCGTGCTTGTAAAAAGCCTCCGAACATCATCTATGCATGAGGAAAAAGTAATAACAAAAAAGACCACATAGTAGCAAAGTCATCAAAACATCTGCTGATACGAGCTTATGTTTCAGTTGCTCGCACCCGGGTTAGCACCTGAGCTCACACCGGTGCTGGCCCGCTCCCAGGCACTATTAAACACGCTGGCTTCGGCCTCAGCACCGACCATCACTATGCTAGACTCTGCAGGCACAGTCACACTTGCAGTCATCGTTGTTGCAGTCACGGAACCGACAAGCTTACCCTCCTCCAGGGGAGGATGAACCTGCACCTGCGGCACAGGAGACGACGGTGGGAGCTGAGCCTCACCGGGGCCCCACTTAAGCGACTGCTGTTGCTGCTGGGAGCTGACGAGGGTGGTGGAGGAGTGCATGCTGCTGCTGCTAGCCATGCCAAGGACCTCTTCCTCATAGCCAGCAATATCGGCCTGCCAGTTGCTGGAGTAGACAACAGCAGCAAAGCCCTCGAGATCGCGGACGGCTTCCATGGCTTGAAGGTATTCATTAGGCATGCCGTTACCGATGGCATGGGCCTGACGGGTGAGCACACTCAGGATCTTGGGCAAAAGAATAGCACGGCTGACAACGGCCTGAGGAGGGGTAACGTCCGAGGCAGAAGGCACGGGGTCAACGGTAGCGGCCGAAACGGTAGGAGTCTCGAGAAGACCCTTGCCAACCTTTTCATCCAGCAGCAGGGAGAAACCGGCATCGAAGAGCTGAGTGATGACGTTGGAGAAGGCAGGGGACTCAATCAAGTCGGCGGTCTCGTCGAGCAGGCGGCGAAGAGAGGCAGCGGCTGCAGGGGTGTTAGAGGGGGAAGATGCAGAAAGCGTGGCGTCATCAAGAACGCCAGACTCGCGAAGGACAGCCTCCTCCTGGTCCTGCGGAGGAAGCAAGAACGGCAGCCAGGAGGTGCCAAGACCGCGGGTAGGCGCCGGGCCCTCGACAATGGCGCGCATGTCGCGGGTGAGCTTGGTGAAGGTCTCAAGAGACAGGGTGTCGCGCGGGCTCAGATGACTGAAGACCTGCCTCACAGCAGCCTCGACACGGTGCATAACCTGGATCCAACCACGGTTGAGTAGCCACCAGCTGAAGGTCAGATACTTGCGGTTTACATCGAAGTCGGTGCCGTAGGCTTGCTCCGGGCTATCGTCGTCGTTGTTCTCCAGGCTGATGGTCCCAGGAATGCCACCAGTAGCCAGTGAAACTACGCTAGAGAGGTAGCTACGGCGGCCCAGGAGGTTCAACTGTATACGGGTGAGCATGGTGAGCAGGCCAAGGGTATAGATCAGCGTATAGGCACGCGTAATTGCTGTACGACAAACAAACCCATCAGTTTATGTCTTATACTATGTACGGCAAGGTTTTCCAAGGCACCATCAGTTTTACTTACAGCAAATAGTCAGATCATCCCACAGCTGTCTCTTCGTCTTCCGGGGCTTGGGGGGAGGAGGAGGGACGTCCCTCGCCCCCTCAGCAGCACCACTTCCACCAGCAGCGTCGGCAGAAGTCAGCGAACCCGGCACATTAAGCTGAGTGGCGTGTAGACCTGCTTCGCTCTTGACGCTGACGCTGATAATGCTACGACCATCGTCATCGGTAGGAGCAAACTCGGACATGCTAGGTGGACTCGTGGACCCGATGCTCTTGGCCCTGGAACCAGAGCCCTTGATCTGCTGGATCTCATAGGTAATCTTCTCGACATTCATGGCCTCGAGAATATTGCTCGTGGCAGTCGGGAGAAGGGCAAGCACCGTGAAGGTACAGTCCTCCTGATTCTGCTCAAAGCGACGGCGCAAGCTACAGAGGAAAGAGTGTCCTTGTTAGTGGCCTCGTTTCTTTTTGCAGCTTCGCAGTGCGATTACATGCAACGGGGAACGGGACGAAAGAGAGGAAAACACACTTTTCTTTTGCGATGCGGTCGCTGGTCATGCGCTCACGTGCATCGCGTAATTTGTTGACGACATAGTTAGTGACGAGGTAGCCCGCACCCACCACGCCGAAACTCAGCGCGATGGGCACGCGGTACCGCTTAACCCATCTCCGAGTTGCTGCGAGCATGGTGGAAGCCTCAATCGCTCCTAAGCATGTGCCGATTGCCGTATATCTGGCAGTGTGAAAGACGCTGCCCGTGTAGTGGTCGGAAGTTTAACGCTGAGTGTACTCTCAGGTCGATCGATGCTTGTATTGAGGAAGGAGTTTGGAGGACGGAGGAGCTGTCCAGCCTGCCAATCGCTGGGGGACATGGGCTGTAGCCTCGGCTGGGCCGCTCTTGACCCTGGTACGTCCGTATTGTAACTTTGTAACTTGGACCATACCGTAACTTTGCGATAGGGCTGGCCACGAGTCTGGCTCAACCCTAACCCGTACTGTCACTGACGCACAACCAGGGGCCCTTTGAATGGAAATCCGGGGTTGGTCCACAGGCTGCAACGTCACAAGCACAAGCTCCTTTTTTTTTCACTGGCGCAAGCGCTGTCCATCCTGTCATGCCGCCCTGTGCTGCTGCAGCACGTGTGCCCCTCCTTCAATCACCGCTCGGCGTTCACGGCTCCCCAGTCCTGGCTGTGCCCCTCAATCCGACTCAACATCGCCATCGCCTAGCTTCCCAGGTCCCTACCTAGCTTTCCATGCCTTGACTGGCTTAACTAGTTGCCCAACTGCCCTGAACTATCTGCAACCATGGACCAACGCGGCGCGCCCGAATTTACCCTCGAGGCCTTCGCTGACCCTAGCACGGTGCGCGATGTCGTTCGCGGTAAGCCAAGCGCCCCTCCTCCTCTCCCCCTTTCTGGTTTTCAGCTCCCCCACCAAAGCCCGATCGTACCCAGCAGCAGCAGCGACACCGGGTAAACTGACAGTCTATTGAAACAAAACAGGCATCCTTCACACCATCTTCTTTCTCCGATACTTCCCCTCCGTTCTTCCTAAGACACGCGATGTGCTGGGCTTGGAGCTTGCCTATGTGCCGGATGAAGCAATCGAGACGTTGATCGACCAACGTGTGAATGCCCTCGTGCGCCAGATGGAATCGGAGCGGCGCGACCATTCTGCAAGTACTCCTTCAGACGCGCGAGGTAGCGGAGGGCTGGGATTGGGGTTCCTAGGAGGGGGAGGAGGAGGAGGAGGAGGAGGAGGGGAGGGGGGGGGAACATCCCCTCGTCAGGTGCTGGTTCGTCGGGCAGTGGACGTGGCCAAATTACGGTCCAGTTCTTTGAGAAGCGGCGGCGCAAGACTTGGTACAATATTCGTGGCGACGATGAGGTGTGCTGGGAAAGTTGGACCATCAAGGTCACGGTGGCAGAGCCGAGGACAGAAGGTGGTAAGTCTTCATCTTCACTCCGTGGGTGTTGACCGATTGAGAATCCAGGCATAGTAACATTTCACAGAGCGTGTCAAAGTCCGTAAAGCCTCGGAGGCAACGCTCCACAATACAGTCATGAAAGCCATTACACTCGCCAACTCTCACAAGGACCACATCCCGCCCATCACGACGACAGAGTCGAACCCTTTCCCCTACCAAATCCGCATTGGCGCACATCCGCACCAAAAGGACCAGCAAAACGCGTATTCGGGCTGGGCCACCCGCATGGGCATCTACTAGGAGACGGTGCTGAAGCCCAAGCTTGTCAAGGCCGAGGCTGAGCTGAAGAACTCACTCGTCCATGGTCTGCTGCGGATCAGGAAGGCGCTGTTTAGTCGGTAGGGCTTCTGGAGGGTGTATGGGCTTTTCTTTTGGGCATCCAAGGACTTGGGGATACGGTGTGGCACAGATATTTCTGTTTGGGTCATTTTCTCATCGGGTAATGGGATTTTTTTTTCCCTTGGCGTTTCCTAGAGCTATCATGGGAGTACTGGGATACATAGAGATACTTGGGAAATTGGGGCACTATTGGCGTCCATCACATCTGTTGGGGATCATGGGGATTGTACACTTTTTTTTTTTTTTTGGATTTACCTTGGGGTTGATTGGGGCTTCCTCTCATGGTAGATACCCAATAAGAAACAAAGTATACAATTGCTCTTGAGCAGACCATATTCAATCGCGACCTGCTATTTTTGTGTCAGGAGCGGTCGCGTGATTGAAACAGGGCTCTGGTATGTTGGATGTGATGGAAGGGTTTTTGGTAGAGTAAGCCCTGATTTTGAAAACAAAGTGTACCAGCCATACCAGCCAGCCATCGCTCTGCGAAGAGTGTTGGAATACAACGGTTCTTGCTTTGTCTACCTTTAATAACAAGGAGTGGGATATTAGGATAGGCTCAGAAAAGTCATCACAAGCACACAAGCTGAGTTGTTGGCAATTGTTGGGGGGGAAGGGGGGGGGCAAGGGTTTCCAGAAAAAAAAATGACAAACCGCTGTTTACCCCAACATGCTAGGAAGTACGTATAACCACATACAAAAAAGACACATGAAACCCTACACTCCTCCCCAATCCATAGGTATAATATAAAGAAGGACATAACAACAACAGAATCCCGTCCATCCGTCCCTTTCCTCCCGGTTGAAGTATGTGCGAGTGTGAACAAAGTGACCCGACAAAAGCCCCACCGACCCCAGACTCCGACAAGATGCTAGCAAGTACGTATAAGTACCTAGGTCAAGGAATGCGCCACCCCTGTGCCCCCCTTTGTCCTCATAACTCTTTTGCTTTCCGGCTTAGTACTGTTATGCGAGAGAATGGTGGGGGGAGGGGGAGGGGGGGAGGGGAGGAGAAGAAAAATTACTCAGACATAATCCGTCGAATACCGTATGTAGCGGGGCGATGGTGACCCAGAAGAGAAGTCCAACAACCACAGCTGTACAAACCAAAGTCCATTTCCCAAGTTCCCAAACCATCCATCAATCAATCCGCCAACCAAAGCCAGCCTGCCAACCGCAAAAATAAGAACCGAATCCAGAAAACACCACCCAGTAAAATTGAACGGAAAACACGACCGTGGGGCGCGCACCCTGTCCGAACTGGGTGAATTCTTTTCCTTTCCCTCCCTTCTAAAAGAAAAGCAAAGAATGAGATGCTAAGTGAAGTCAAAGTAGCCCGAAGGTCTGTCTCCTCGAGCAGGGAAAGAGAGAGTCTCAAAGCTTAAAACGTGACCGGCGAACAATGGCAAATACAAGAGCTAAGTTGGCTATCGTGGTCATCGTAATGTCGTAACGTCATTCATAGCGATAATAAAAACACAGCAGCGAGGTTACACGCGGCTGCAGCTTAACATATGCCTATACCAAGCACAGGCAAACTTAGAATGTTGTTGTAAGCGACCGACCAAGGCCTGACTTCCTCCCAGTCGCCCTAGGCTGGGACGCTGTCGTCGGAGCAGCACCGCCAATGTTGGCAGTACCAGTGGTAGGCACGCTTGCGGAAGCAAGGTTAATATTGGCGCTCATGCTAGCACCCACGCTGGTGCTAGTGGTTGAGCCAATCTTCTCAAACCCAGCAAGCATATCGAAACCTGAGAAATCGTTATCCGCGTCGAGGAAGTTGGGGGTATCCAATCCACCAAGAGAGACCCATGGGTCAAGATTCTCGTCATTGATCAGCGGCATAGATGAGGGTTTGGTTGGCGACTGCAAATCTAAGAACAGCTTGCTCGGCGAAGACGGCAAACCGTCAAAGACCTTGCTCGGAGTCTCTAAGGCGAGGCTGTTGGCCGTACTAGGCACCTTGAGGAAATTCGAAGCCGATGCCGCGTTGTAGGGAGTAGGAGTGCCGGTCAACGCACCAGTCGACTGAGACCGTTCAAGACGTTTCTTAACAGACCTCTTAGTCGGGGAGCCGTTGGGCGCGACGGTGGGTGTCATCTGGAAGAAATTCTGAAAAGTCGCTCCGTCGTCGAAGATGTCAAACTGGCTGGCGCTATCGTCTGGCTTACGGTCGACATCGAACCAGAGGTTATCAACTTCAAATCCGGGCGTCAATTGCAGGCTGGCATCGGCCTCTGGCAGCAATGCGGTAACCCGACGGTAAGGCGACTCGACCATGGATTGAATGTTTTGGCGATGCAGGCGCAGATTGGTGCTCGGGGAGACCGACGGCGGTGGCTTAGGCGGTGCCTTTAGCTTCATAGCCGGCGTCAGCGGCGGGAGCATCTGGCCATTGTTGTTATTTCCAGTCTGGCGGAGGGGCGATGACGAAGTAGGCGCGTAAGCGTATGAACGGCCCTTGGACGGACTTTCGTAAGATGAGGCACGCAGGCGGGCGATCTCTTCCTCGGCACGTCCCCTCTTGATTCTTGGCCGATCAGCTTCCGACGTGAGCAGCTTCGAGTGCTGATACGGACGCATGGCAGATGACTCTAGCGAGGAGATGTAACCGCTATCGTCCATCGAAGTGTTCCTACGACGGTGTGAGCGGGGCTTTGCCGTGGATGAAGGCTGCAGCGGTTGATGATGAGAGGGCGGGGTGCCGCTGGGACAGGGCTCTAGGCGCTTGGGGATTGGTGGCGACGAGGCGATCGCAACCGGCAGCGGTGAGTACAGCTCGGGCTCGTTCGGCAAATCGGTATCGAAACTCCTGTCAACGCCGTCGTCGATCGTGGCCAAATCTGAGGCAGGTATCGTGGCATCCGAGGAAATCTCGGGAAGCGGGGGAGCAGGTGCCAGTTGCTGATGCGCTGAGTGGGCTGGCAAGGCCGGCAGAGACGCTTCTTGCTGCACGGGTTGATGAGTGGGCAAAACAGGCTCCGGGAGGGGGGGGGCGGGAAGCAGTTGAGGATGTTGATGATGTTGATTCTGATGCTGTGGTTGGGCCTGCTGCTGAGGTTGTGGTTGAGGTTGAGGCTGCGGAGGAAGTGATTGTGGCTCTTTCTGCTGTTGTTGTTGCTGCCGCGGATGCTGCTGCTTCTGCTGCTGTTGCTGCTGCTGCTGCTGCTGTTCTGCTGGTGCTGGTGCTGGTGCTGGTGCTGCTGCTGCTGCTGCTGCTGCTGCTGACGCGATTGTTGCTGTGACTTCTGCTGCCGCTTCTGTTGTTGTTGTTGTTGTTGCTGCTGCTGCTGCCGCTGTTGCTGTGGCTGCGGCTGAGATGGCTCGAGGCGAGTAGACATGACAGGCATGTTCTCAGCCGTTGCAGCTGGTTTTCTCGCAGGCTTCTCCTTCATGAACATGTGCTCAGCGCCGGGCTCGATCGACCAGTAATTACCCTTCCCTGGATCATCCTTGGGCCTCTCCTGCTTGATGAAATGCTTATTCAAACTCAGGTTGTGCCGAATACTGTTTTGCCAGCCCGTATCTGAAGTGCTGTAATAGGAGAACGTGTCCGAAATCCATTTGTAAATCTGGGAGAGGGTTAGTCGACGCTGCGGCGACCGTAGAATGGCCATCCCGATCAGAGTTGCGTAGCTGTGATTCGGCTTCGTTCCATCATCGATGATCGGCGGGAACTCGTCGGGAGCAGGAATAGGCTCGTGTTCTGGCTGCTGTTTCTGCTGCGGCTGCGGCTGCGGCTGCGACTGAGGCTGTGGCTGCGGGTCGGTCTTTTGCTTCTTCGAAGGACGAACGTCCTTGATCGGAGCAGCTTCCACGATAGCGCGTTTGTTGTTGGCGTTGGTCGTCGAGGTGTTGGTCGAAGGCTTCGGAAAATACGTCTCCAGCGGAAGGTTGAACTGAGTTTGAGCCGGTGCTGAATAGATGGTTGGGGGTTGGGCGTTCTCCTTGCCGATAACATGCATATTGGTACTATTGTTCATGTCAGGCTGTGGTTTTTGGGCGACCGTCTTGAATCGTGACATGACTGGCTGCTTCTTCTGGAGCGAGTCAGTCGAGGGTTGGGTTTGGGTCGGAGGGGCCATCTGAACTGTGTTGAGCTTGTTAGGCTGCGCAGGCTTGAGCGGGGCGAGGTGCTGTGAATGGTGTTGCGGATGCTGAGGATTGTTCATCTTCGACGGGAACTGCTTTGCAGTAATCGGTGTTGGCGGGCTTAGCATGACGTTGGTATTGGCGGCCTGGAGAGGCTGCCGCGCTGCTTTTGGCGCGGGCATGGGCGCCTGGCTGATCATGGGAGCTGGTTGACCTAAGTCGTCGCTGTAGATCTGGAATGGCTCTTGAGCCATGAGGTGCGGTGGCTTGGCCATGGAGGCCGAGCGCTCGGCTGGCGACGCGATGGTGAAGTCGGGCCGGTATGCGGTCACTACGGAAGAAGGGAAGGCCTGTCCCTTGGGCGCGGGTTAGTACGCGACGGCGAGGGGGCCTCGGAGCGGGCAGGTCGATGAGTAGACGGTGAGCAAAGAATGGTACACCTGTCTTCTCGGCTTGCGCATTGCTCGATGGGCTAAGGGCCCGGCTAGACGGCTTGGACTGCTGGCTTACCTCGACCGCAGCAAAGCGCACGGTTATTAAGCTTAATGATTAAAGCTCCTGGTAGGGGAAGCGGTGAAGCAAGGAATGCAAGCTGAGCGAGGCGCGCGGTGGTACGACAAAGAACAGGTAGTTGAGGCTCTCACTGCTCTCACTGGGGTAATGGCGCGGGAAGATGGGGCTGGTCGGGCTGGTCGGGCTCGAGAACGGACGACGTCGATGTCGAAGCGGCGGTTTGGATAGAAGAATCAGCGGGCGCATCAAGATCGAGTCGAGGCTCGTGATAGGCCGGGATGGAGGAGGTCGACAGTCGAGAGAAAGAGAGGGCCTTGAGAGGGTGGTGGAAGGGGAAAGAGGGGGGAGTCGGGGAGTCGAGACTGACGTGGGCAGCACGCAAGGTAGGTAAGGCAAGGTAAAGAAAGGGTAAGGGTTAGTCACGCCTCAGGCCGGCACCATATAGGGCAGGAGCCGGAGTCAAACCCAGTCTGGCAGTCTGGATTGGAAGTCTGGCTGGCGCGGCGATGATGAATAATGAGTGCCAGAGCGGAGGGTACTTCGCAGGTGGAGGACAGGGTAGCGCCTGGGGGTCCAGTGGTGGGTGGGAGGGAGGGATGGGACTGATCGCTAGGTGGTGAGGCAGTGGCACGGTTGGGCACAGCCGGCAGGAAGGAAAGGGTTGGACATGCACCAAGTAAAAAAGATTAAGCAGACTGCCAGCTCACACGCACTGTTCCAAGAAAGTCACCAGGGTGGGGCGGCAGGGAGCGGAGACGTTGGGCGGAGATTGGTCCAGGGCTAGCCCGTGGCTGACGGCGACAGGGATCTAATACTTTTGCTGCAGTGTCGGATGTGGTGGGTACAAGGAGCGCAAAAGTGTTTTTAGAGTTCTCCCACATCCACACCTTTTGGTCTCTCTAGCGCCCCAGTGGCTTTGCTGGAGGACGAGAGAAGGTGAAGCCTACTGTGGCACTTTAAGGTAGTAAAATCAGTACGTACATACATACTTCGCCAATGTAAACCACATGCACGATTTTGCAACGGACAACACCCGGCTAGAAGCCAACTGGAACAGCAGCCAGCAGATGTTGGAGCTTACAAGCAAGAATCAGGTGTCTGTGATCCAGGTGGACCACTAAGCAGCCAGCACGGAGCAGCCAGCAGCCAACAACCAGCAAGCAATGACGAGAGCGGGGGAAGATCATCATGGATGGAAGCCGGAGGGGCAGAGGGGGAAACTTCAGGTATGGAGGGGCGCCCGGGTTCGAGCTGAGGAGGGGCTGATGGCAAAACTGTGTGGTGGAATGGACACTGCATAAAATTTTCAAACTCGGCCGGCGCAACAGGCCAGCTAGCTGAGGGCTTTGTTATACGTCCAGCAAATCCAGTCAGAAAAGCCGGCCTGCTCCAAACGGCCGCACAGCAAAAGAGCTCGCCAGTGCAGGATTTGTGTGGGTGGGCTCGGAAAGGCCGCAGCCAGTTTCACAAGCAAAGAGAGGGAGCATGAAGGCTTGGGGTAGCCAAAGTTCTTTTGTTTTCTTCGCTCTTTATCAAAGGCCTCTGCTTCGCTGCTCCGTACAAGCAGAAGAGAGGGCAGGTAACGGGCAGACGTTTGGGGAACGTTGGATGGACGTTGAGCAGCAGTAGAGTTCGGGGTATGGGCTATGGGCAGCATTTGGTTGGTCGAGAAGCGCTTGTGCTGAGGCCGAGACTGTCCAACCAGCGTGCTGCGAAAGGCGTGCGTTGTTTATCAAATCAAATGGGGACCCCACTTGACGCGACATCTTCGCGTTCCGGTCGCGTTCTGGGCTCTGTTGGGGTGGGCAGCCAATCACAGGTTGCCAGAGTATCTCGAGGAGCATGGGAGCGGGTACACTGCCTAGCCATGCGGATCTCTTGAGGATCTTGGCCTCGGCTTCTATCTGCTCTCACCACCTTCCCTGATGATCGATCGATCGCAGGCTCTCACCTGGCGTCCAGTCGGCGGCCAGATAATGGGCAAGTGGGAAGAGTGAAGACGGCAGAATTTTGGGTGCTCCCAACTCGGACATGACCCCGCTTCCAACTCGAGCCGGGCTTATCAAGTGTTTGATATCTCCTCGTGAGTTCCCGGACCGGGTGGGAAAAACGCAAGATGACCGGTCGGCATGACATTGCAAGCCAGACTCCCACCGAAATGAAAAAAAAAAAACAAAACATAACAAAACATAACAAAACATAACAAAACAAAAGATAGGACTTGTGACATTTTTCTTGCGACTCTCTGTGTCCCCACACTGCCCGCTGCAAGCACTTCGCTTTTAGCCCCGGCCCTTTCTTTATACATGGCCCATGCAGCAGCAGCTCTTAGTGCATACATATCGCTATCCATGTATCTGATCACTCTAGACTAGTCTCATGTATCCTATTAACGCTAACTGGCCCCGATCCCCAGTCCTGCATGACAGCTCAATCCACTCTCCAGAACCTCTAGGATCTCGCGGGAACCTATGATCACAAGAGTCGAATCGGCGTCGAGATCAGAGCTGGTGACATCATTGGCTCGGCGTTGCAACAGCCGGATCCACCCATGACACCAGCAACGGAGCAATGGGATTTTTTCTACGTATGGGGCATTGGAGCGACGCCTCGATCTGAATGTGCTTGGGACCGTTACAGTGTATGTACATCTGTTGTTGTGTTTTGATGAGGGGCCTTTGATGCTGCTGGTACCATTGGTGCCAGCCAGAGAGATTCCAAACGGCGAAGCGACTTGACATGTTCACGCCACTGCCATGCTTGCGACCCAAGATCTTCGTTGATTGTGCATGAACCCCTCCAAGCCCGGGGGCCAAGTGGTAGCGTAGTGTGTCGTGTACGCCCGTGATAGTACCGATTTGCAGACATGTCCCCGTACTGTTAGGTATTGACTTTGTGAACTCGTACACGCGGAAGATTGAGATTTGCGAGAGAGAGCCATCGCTGTCTCCTTCTAGAACCATCGCTCGGGGCTGGCCCGTGGCAACAGCCAGACCAGAGAGATGTTGAAGGGGAATTAGCGTATGCTCTCCTCGTCCTTCTCCCTCTCTTTGTCTCGATCACGAAACATCTGCATTACCAGTACTGAGAAGTGTGTCTAACTGCCACCACTTAGCCTAGATAGAAATAGACATACATAGATAATCCATTCTCGGATCGACTTGGCGGAGGCTGTGCTCAAGGACAAGCCAACCAAAGTAGGTAACTCTTCTTTACCTGACCTGACAGCAAGCCCCAGAGATCTCAAAGACAAAGGGGGAAAAATAGGGAAACAAGTTACGGACAACTCCGGAAGCGTCAAAGAAACCTTAAGAGTCTTCCATCCTGAAACACAATAAAGAAAAAAAACGGCTGTAAGTACTTACCCTACCAAAGGGAGATGGTTGCCAAAAAGGTGCTGTACGATGAAATGAACAAGACAACGGCACAGAGGAAGTGTCCAGCCCTCTCCCGGTGCACTGATCTCCGTGCCTTAGCAACCTCATGTCCACAGGTCTCAACAGCTTGTGGGCCGGCCAATCTTTTGTGACGGTTTGCAAAGGGTATGCATAAGCGTCGTTTCAGAACCCATCCAGAACTGCCTGGCTATGCACATAGCCGTACACCATTCCGTTCTCTCTTCGTCCGTCCTCTTCCGGGATATATATTCCGGCTCACGAGATTGGATCTCGATCCTCATCGTTGCTCCATCTCCCCAGCATGCCTTGGGATGACCAACTTCTTGGCCCATCAGTGATCGAGGACAATCAAATCCGTATCTTCAAGGAGTCACAATTAGCCGTCCAGGTCTTTTTGTTGGAACGGTTGCTCCTCCCAAATGCGCTGGATATCTCATCTATCAAGCATGCTCTGCAAGCAGCCTGAAACAGACCTGTACGTGAATTCGGGTAACCTACGTATCCAGTAATCCAACAGCACCATCCCCGTCCTGAGTCAGCAATTGGACTGTCCAGGCACCAAGATTACGGTCTATACCTCGTATCGTATGACAAGATGACGAGGTAGATCTCGTCTGATATCCAGCCTATCAATCTATCCCTCTTGAAGTAGACATCATGATGAGTGCTAGGTGTCGGAACCGAGTCCAAGGAATACATTGCTGTCTTCCCGCCCCTCTTCGTTCCTTTCTGTCTATGGTCATCAGTACCTACCGCGTAAAGGGGAGAGGGGGAGAAGGGGGGGGGAGGGGGAAAGGCGAGTACATGCCGATCGATCTGTCAGACGATCGATCGGGTCGGCGAGTTTCACACTTGGCGCCCGGTGCCGGATAGGTACAGAGTAACGAGTTGTGGTTTGGTCACGTTCATCTCTTGATTTGCCCAGCCTTCGCATGATGGAAGGAGGACCGAGGGAGGTCCATGATGATCTTGCTATCAGTATGGACTATGGATTTGACGCTTATTGATCCGCTCCAAGATGCCACCTGTCTGCATCTGCGGTGTCTGTCGAACTTCTATACATAGGTAAACAATCTATCTCCTCCTGTACACGATGCAGCTCGGTCAAGAACAAGTTGTGCAGGACGAGGCAAGCATACAAGCAACAGGGGCAAAGGCGAAGAATTTGGTTACACGCGCAGACAAAAAGACAATTATCAGCTATATACTATATTCAAGGTTGATGAAGCAGACGAAGGCGATTAGGTGCGATAGTAAAAAGGCAGAGAGGAACTAGAAGTAGAGACTTCGCATACATTCTTATTCAAAACACACAAACACGACAGGAACTCAACAGGCCAATGTAGGCGAGATATTTTAGGTAGGCAGGCAAGTAGAGGCACCCAGCAACCAGCGATCGGATCATAACATGACCTGATGGACATCAAAACCATGACTTATGTTGCTTTCAGCCCCGCCTAGCTTCCCTACCTTTCCACCTCGTCTACTCTATTTCCGTGCCGAATGCGACGCAGGCTTGTCCAACCACAAGCCGAAACCTAAAACCACCTCAATACGATGATCCATCCACCCAGATAACCACTCGTCTTTGCCACTCCCCTCGCACTCCATGTACTATATCCGTTTTCGCGTCCGGCATAGCACCCGCTTACAGGAGCCATGTCGTAGGTAGTAACGCAGCCAGCGTGCTTGCTTGCTTGTTTCCACCCCCCTCCCGTTGTCGTATTTTCCCCGAACCAAGAACCACCTGCCATACCCCAGCCTCGCAATTTTCCCCCTTCCCAGCCGGCTGGCAGCCCAAGGACGCGGGGCATGCACACACCAACCGATCAGCAAGGAGCAGATGCGTACGACAGCTGCTTGGTGAGCAGGAAGACGTGCACGGCAGCAGGAAAGGAAAGGAGAAGAGAACACGGGACGTATGAGACCTTCACACAAATTAGTCCAGAACTCTACCCGCCACGGCAGCTCCGCTTCTGTCGCGCGTAACCGTCTTCCTGAGAGCCTTGCCCGCCTGAATCTCGGCCAAGAACCCGGCTGGACGGCTGGCCGCTGGGGTCGGGGCAGGTAGGTCACCCGCAGCCGGAGGCGGCGGCGGCGGCGGGGGAGGGGCCATGCCTGGGATCGGTGGAGGAGGGGGAGGGGGGGGAGCACCGCCAGCCGGCATCGGCGGAGGAGGAGGCGGTGGCGGAGGGGCACTACCGCTAGGAGCTGGGGGAGGAGGGGGCGGCGGAGGAGGAGGAGCCGAGGTTGCGGCAGGAGCAGGCTCTGTAGGCGCCGGAGGAGGGGGAGGGACAGGGGAGCTGGTAGGTGGAGGGGAAGTGGCCGCCGACTTGTCGCCCGTAGCAGACAGGGGCCGGGGAGGGCCCATAGTGCCGAACAGGATCGACGCGAGTTCTGCGGCGCTCTTGCCGCCCGGCCGATCATCATCCGATTCCTCCTCTGACTCGTCCTTGTCACTGCCCCAGCCATCGTCATCGAAGTGAGAAGGCCTGGGGGTGAAGGTAGGTTGAGTAGCCGGCTTGGTCGCTTGGGTCATGCGGTGGAATGGATTAGTAGGCTGCGGCGGCGGAGGCGCAGGAGGAGCTGGTACAGCCGGCGCTGCAGGAGGTTCGGGAGCCGCAGGAGCTGCCGGGGCAGAGCTCTCGGTCGGGGCCTGCGACATCATCCTGAAGTAAGGATTGCGGCTCTCTGTCTCCCCCGGAGGGCTGGTGACAATCTTCGGCGGGGAGACGGCAGGGGCTGGGGGAACTGCAGGTGGTGTGGGCGGTCTTGCTGGCTCAGGCTGCTGCTCAGGCTCCTGGCTGACGATCTGGCTGCCGCCCAAAGTGGGGGTCGATGCTTGAGGTGTCGCAATCTGCTCCGGTCCCTCGTCATCGGACGACGAACTTTCCATCTCCAGAGCTTCGAGTTGTTTGCGAAGCTCCTCCTCGCGTTTGCGGGCAGCCTCGACTTCGGCACGCTGCCGAGCAAGCTGCGCTTCCTTCTCCCTAGCCTCAGCAAGCGCTGCCTTCTTCCGGCGCTTCTCTTCCTCTTTCTTGAGCTTCCCAAGACGAACTTGCTCCTCGAGAGCTTTAAGGCGAGCATTAGCCTCTTCCCGTTCTCTCGCAAGCTCATCCTCCTGAGCTTTGAGACGTGCCCTGCAGAAACGTTAGTGATGATAAATCCAGGCAGAAATGGAATTGAAGTAAGGATGATACTCACTCAAGCTCACGGGCCTCCCGTTCCTGCTCCCCACGCTCACGCTCAAGACGCTCTTCCTCTGCCTTCTTGCTTGCCTCTTCTTCAGCCTTCCTAGCATCAAGCTCCTCTTCGTCCCGCTTGTCTTCCAGCTTAGAGGTCTTTCTGCCGGGAGGGGGCGGAGGCGGTTTCTTGCCTTCAGGCTTTGAAGGTTGCAGAGCAACAGGGGGCGGCACGCCTTGCTCCTCGGCCAACCTAGCCTGCCTTTCGGCTTCGCGGCGGGCGTCTTCTTCTTCGGCCTGACGCAATTTGGCAAGACGCTCGGCACGTTCACGTTCAGCCCGCTGAGCTGGCGTCTCGCCAGGCTTGATTGGTGGCTTGATGCCCAAAGCAGCGAGTCTCTCAGCCATACGCTGCTCCGCCTGTTGTTTGATGTAAGCGGCCCTTTCCTCTGGCGTCTTGAACTGCGAGTATGAACCGCCGGCAGCAGCGGGAGTAGATGACGCAGGAGTGGACGTGCGAGAAGTCGTAGAAGAGCTGTCAGCACGCAATGCCGAGGGCACCTCGGCCTTGACGGGTTCCTGAGCAGGCTGTCGCCCACCCTGCCGTTCTTGGGCCCGGATACGAGCCGCACGGCTCTGGCGTTGCAGATCAAAGATGAAATCCCTGACCTCGTCTTCAACGCCGAGACCATCCTCCCAGCGGCGCTTCTCATGCTCGCTCGTAGAATCCTGGGCGCCCTCCTTCAAGTTATCCTCAATAGTCTTGGCGAACTCACGCACACTATCCTCGACATCACGAACCATGCGCTCGTTGGTCTCCTTCTCCGTCCGGACCTTGATGCTCTCCTCTTCCAAACGCTTTTCGGCCTCCAGATCGCTGCTCGGGGTATCGATCTTCCTACCAGTCAGAGCAGCTGCCCGTTGCTGCATCATGGCTTTAGCACGAGCCTTGATTCTGTCCGCCTCGGTCACTGTACCACCCGGTCCGGTGCCAACAATCAGAGAAGCGCTGCCCGGATGAGCCTTGGCATCCCTCAGGCGGAACAGCTCCATTCTGGCGTCAGCAATGGCCTTTTCAGTCTTCCTAACTTCAGACGCTAACTGCGGAATCTTGTCCAGCAGGTTCTGCAGCTGCCGCTTAAGGGCTCTGCGTTCGGCATCAGAATCGCCCGTCATCATCCAGGAATCGGGGTGATTGTCAATCTCTTCTTGAATTCTCCGGATGCGGCGATAGAGATCCTCTGCCTCACGACGATCGCGCAAGTCAAGTAGCTCGTCTTCCTCAGCCTGCTTCTCATCCTGGAAGTCCATGGCATCGAGCAGGACCTGCTTCTCTTTAACCTTCTTCCGCAGTTGCTCGAGGGTTAAGTCGTCATAGGAGTTGCTGGTGGACGCCGGGGAATCCGCGCGCGGTGACGGGGTGACAGCCCTGCGTCTCGCGCTGGATCTGTAGCTGACCTCGTCATCGTTGTTCTTGAAAACAGTGGCATCCTTACGGCTATTAAAAGCGCCAGGACTCGACTTGAACGAATGGCTCTTGAGATAGCTAACGCCAGTCTTCTGCGGAAGCAGGGATGCTCCCGTGTTCTTGCGGTAGTCAGATTCTTGGTGGAGCAAATTCTTGATTGTGCCGAGGGACTCGCTAAGGTTCCGCGCAGATGGAGGAACAAGCTCGGGCGGGAGCTGATTGGGAATCGGATAGCCATTCAGCTTGCGGTAGATCAAGTGCATGGCCACGGCAAACTCATCCAGATCCAAACGTCCCTTGTTGCCGTTATCGGCAAGCGTCCAGATGCGCTCGAGATCCGACCTGTCCAAGCCACTCTGGCTGAAGATCTCGATACCCTGCTCGCCCGTAATGTACCCCTTGTTCAAACCGTCCCAAGCACGAAACAACTCGTCATACTTGGCCTTTTCGTCTTTTGTGATTGCCCACGGAATCACGGCATTGCCTTGCAGCCCGGCAGTCGTGTAGGTTTGCTGTTCACGACCCGCCTTCGGCATCATACGCGCTTGGAGAGCATCCAAGTTAGGAAGGCCCGTCGCAGGGGCATTGACAAGCCCCCATTGACCAGGACGGCCAGTTGGCTGAGCATTCAGTGGGGCGGCCATGCCTGTAGGACCAGCGTTAGGCGACAAAGTCGAGCCAAAGCCCGTAGGCATCGGAGGCATTGGTGGTGGGAGAGCACTAAGGGTTGTGGTCGGAGGAACCCCAGTTGGCTGAACCTGGATAGTCGGGGCCTGGAAGCCCGTAGGCTGGCTGGGAAACCCAGTCATATGAGCTTGCAGAAGCTGCGAATTTGAAGGTTGAGGCTGAGGGTGGTGGAGGGTAGGAGCCGCGGTTGTGGTCTGCGGCGCTGGAGCACTGGCAGCTGGCGTAGAGCTAGATCCCTCCTCTGTGACACTGAAGTTGATGATATCCACGATGCTGGAAACCTCATTCTTGATCTTCTCGGGGAGTTGCTGGGGCAGCTGCTTGCCGGTAAGCTTGAGGTTACAGAGATACAGAGCAAGGGCAAACTCGGGGAAGTGAAGTTCGCCGGATCGAGTGGTATCGGCCAGAGTCCTACACGACAGCCGAGTCAGTGGTTACGAATGCATCTTTGTTCCAAACCACGGACGACTCACCAGATATGAGCGAGCGTCTCTCCATCGAGCTTTGAACGTAACAGGAGGTCCCTCGCCTTCTCCCCCGGCATAGTGGTCTTGTCGCCCACGGCAGACTTGAAGAGCTGCTCAAACTTGGCTTGATCCGCCGCCGTGATAAAAGACAAGCGGATATTCGGCACGTTGTTGACCTTCTTCGTGGCTGTGGTTGTAGTCGTTGTCACGGTTGTGGTCTTTGGCTTCCCAAGAGCCTGGAACGAAGCGGTCATCTGGGCAAAACCGGTAGGCTGCGGCTTGACCGGAGGAGGCAGAGGAGTCAGGGCCTGGGTAGTAGGCTGGGCCGGGGCTGTAGCAAACGGAGACGGTTGCTGCTGTTGCTGTTGTTGGAACTGCTGCTGGAACTGCGGAGGGATTGCCGGCACCGGCGGCATCGCCGAGCCCATGGGCTGCTGGGTAGTCGGAGCATAGCCGGTGAACTGGGGCTGTAACTGGCCAAGTCCTTGAGACGTCTGCAAGCCCGAGCCCGGGAAGCCGGTATACTGCGGTTGCAGCGGCGCCTGGACGAAGCCGGTTGGTTGTGGAGCGAAGGGGCTGGGCTGCTGTTGCTGGGGTTGAGGCTGGCCGGTCGCATACTGCGGAGCGCCGGGGCGCAGGAACGAGTTGGGGTTGGAATACATGATGACGGTAGCGGTTTGTGCGTGTCAGCCGGCAGCTGGAGGAGTTAGTGTTGGCACTGGCCAGCTACCTGCTGTTTTTCACGGTGTCGCTCGTCTCAAGATCACGGACTGGGAAAAGGGGGCACAGGGGCAGTGGGACGATGAGATGACGATAAGGGGAGATGGAGGAGGGCCTTGGGCGCAAACGCGAAGTCAAAATGATCGACTGACGTTGCGCCCGAGCGATTTGCGGGGTCAATGGAAAGGAAAGGCAGATGGCGATAGAAGGTTGGTTTGTGAAAATGAAATGGATGCTGTGGAAATCCAAGGAGTGCTGGCCCCGGCTGCCCGAGGACGGCGATGATGATGACGACGACGTAAGTAAACCAGGTTAGTTGCAAGTTGAGAGGCTGAAAACCATTATTGGAATGGTTATAGAGGCCAGTCAGGTAAGTCGGCCGCTCGGGGGCTTGCCTAGGGTCCATGCTCCTGGCCACTCCTCGACCTGAGATGGTGGAGCATGCGGAACGGCATCATTTCGCTAACAGAGATTGCCTCGCATAGATGCATACTTGGCCCCATGCACCAAAATAGAGTTGCCTTTCAGGGGTTCTCAGGGGTCTGTGGCTCCTGAGTTGCGGCGATGCAGATTATGTCACGTGATCATTCAGAAGCCATAAAGGCACGTGCCAGAGGCAATTACCCCACCAGCCAAGAGATATGAGAGATCAAGTTGCTGCAAGCGCACAGCGGGGTAAAGTGGGATGACCCCAGCAGCGACGCCGATTGTGCCAATCATTGAAGCTGGCATGCTGGATGCATTTGAAAAAACTCAGACTGGGGAATAAAAAGACAGAAGAACCATGGATCATGTCATTCCACGATGATAGTAATGTTAGGTAGGTAGGTGCTTTGTGGGAGAAAAGGGCTCAATGCGGACTCGGAACCCAAGTACCTATTTTAAAGCATCAGAAGCCAAGCTGCTCCAAACAGAGAGTGAGTAGTACCCAACGGGAACAAAACTACAGCTGTGAAACACCTCCAATTGACTTCCATGTTCACACGCAGCTTTCGTCTGCATGCGTCCTATCCGGGCCAATCTACCTACCCTGTGTTTGTCCTTGGAGCAACACCGAGAAAGACGGGCTGCAATAGAGTGAGGGGAGAGCTTAATCTGTGATTCAATTGGATTGACCTGCACCAAATTTGTTGGAGCCTGGCTCAAGGGGACACACTCCTCTTCCGATGTGTCTAGTCCTCTGTGCAGTGGACTGTGGCCGTGGCTCTTGCATGTCCATTGCCCCTCAAGGAAACCTGGCTGCTCTGAAAAGTTTCATATGAGGGACGGTCACATCATCTGCACCTGCGATAGCGTTCACGCAATGAGGGGCACGAGCAGGGCTTTCCCCGACTGGCTAACAGTGTTTGCGACGTCTGCCAGCTGCCACCAGCTCGGAGACAGTCCGCTGTGCGGTATCCCGCGTCCCTGATCGACAAGCTCCCATGTCTCCCATGAATTTTTCGCTGCTGCAGCCCCACTCCCTCCACTCAACTCACCCCTGTGGAAGACTGGGCTCACTGGAGTAACTGGAGTCCTCGACGCGTTCCTTCCATCCAGCTGTGGTCGCCTGGGCGATCGGCCTCCGAAAGTTGTGGTGGGCCCCTCACCGATTACGGCCCCACGACGACAGGACCTGCCACCTGCTTTGTCAAGGTCAAATTCTCCCCCTCCTGCACGTCAAGCTGTCCCTTCTCCCTCTCCTCTTTTCTTCTTTCTTCCCATCCCCGCCCCTTCTCTTCCTCTGGAAACACTCGATTCCTCAAGCTATCAGAGCAGGCCCAGGCCAAGGAAGAGCGCTTTCTATTTGATTGAGACTGCAGTCTGTCTCTTAGCTTCGCCCCGCGTCACCATCTTACATCCCGCTAGACCCCTCCCCCGCATCAAGATGGTTCAGTCCGCGGTTCTGGGTTTCCCGTAAGTTCAAAGTCAATCAATTGGCTCTCACAACACTCAGAAATCATGTGGTTGACCAACGTCTCACAGCCGCATGGGTGTCCTTCGGGACCTCAAGAAGGCCAATGAAGCCTACTGGGCCGAGAAGATCTCGCAGGCCGACCTGCTCGCTGAGGGCAAGCGCCTGCGTCTAGCCCACTGGAAGATTCAGAAGGAGGCCGGTGTTGACATCATCCCTTCCAACGACTTCTCTTTCTATGACCACATCCTCGACCACATCCAGCTCTTTAATGTAAGATGCCACCCTCCCCCTCCCCTCCCCTCATTCGTGATCTGCGGCGCTGCGGACGTACGGCCGGCCGCTAACCTGCTTTTGCTACATAGGCTGTCCCTGAGCGCTACAGGCGCCAGAAGCTCTCTCCTCTTGATGAGTACTTCGCCATGGGCCGTGGCCACCAGAAGGGCGACGTCGACGTCCCTGCCCTCGAGATGGTCAAGTGGTTCGACTCGAACTATCATTACGTGAAGCCAACTCTCCAGGACAACCAGACCTTCGCCCTCGCTGAGGATCCCAAGCCTGTGCGCGAGTTCCTCGAGGCCAAGGAGGCTGGCTTCCACACCCGCCCCGTCCTCGTCGGCCCCGTCTCCTTCCTTGCCCTTGGCAAGGCCGACCGTGGCTCCAAGGTCGACCCCATCTCCCTCATTGACAAGCTCGTGCCTGTCTACATCGAGCTCCTGAAGCAGCTCAAGGCTGCTGGTGCCGACCACGTCCAGATCGACGAGCCCGTCCTCGTCTTCGACCTCCGCCCCGAGGTCAAGGCCGCCTTCAAGCCGGCCTATGAGGCTATCTCTGCTCAGGCCAGCGAGATCCCGGCCATCACCATTGCCACCTACTTTGGTGACATCGTCCACAACTTCGATGTCCTCCCGGCCTTCGCCAACCTCCACGGTCTCCATGTCGACCTTGTTCGTCACCCTGAGCAGCTGGAGCCAGTTCTCAAGCAACTCGGCCCCAACCAGGTCCTCTCGGCTGGTGTCGTTGACGGCCGCAACATCTGGAAGAACAACTTTCAGAAATCCCTTGACCTCCTCCACACCGCTATTAAGGCCCTTGGCCCTGAGCGCGTTGTCGTTGCCACTTCCAGCTCCCTCCTGCACGTCCCCCACACCCTAGCCAGCGAGAAGAAGCTCCCTGCCGATGTCTATGAGTGGTTCTCCTTCGCCGTCGAGAAGGTGAAGGAGGTCGCCATACTCGCCAAGGCCGTTGTTGACCCCGAGTCGGTCCGCGCCGAGCTCGATGCCAACGCTGCTGCCATGAAGTCGCGTGCTGAGTCTGCCCGCACCAACGACCCTGCTGTTGCAGAGCGCCAGGCTCAGGTCACCGACGCTATGCATCACCGCCAGTCTGACTTCGAGACCCGCTATGCTAAGCAGCGGACTCACCTCAGCCTGCCCCTGTTCCCTACCACCACCATCGGCTCCTTCCCTCAAACCAACGAGATCCGTATCCAGCGTGCCAAGTTCACCAAGGGTGAGATCACCGCGGAGCAATACGATGAATTCATCAAGAAGGAGATCGACCTTGCCATCCAGATCCAGGATGAGCTTGGCCTCGATGTCTACGTCCACGGCGAGCCTGAACGTAACGACATGGTCCAGTACTTCGGTGAGCGCCTCAAGGGCTTCGTCTTCACCACCCATGCCTGGGTCCAGTCTTACGGCTCTCGCTGCGTGCGTCCTCCCATCATTGTTGGCGATATCTCTCGCCCTGCTCCCATGACCGTTAAGGAGTCCAAGTATGCTGCTGAGCGGTCCAAGAAGCCCATGAAGGGCATGCTTACTGGCCCAGTCACCTGCCTGCGGTGGTCGTTCCCTCGTGACGATGTTCACCAGTCCGTCCAGTGCCAGCAGCTCGCTCTGGCTCTCCGTGACGAGGTTCTCGACCTCGAGAAGAACGGCATCTACGTTATCCAGGTCGATGAGCCTGCTCTTCGTGAGGGTCTCCCTCTCCGCAAGGGCCCTGAGCGCGATGCCTACCTCAAGTGGGCTGTGAACAGCTTCAAGCTGGCCACCGCTGGTGTCCAGGATTCGACTCAGATCCACTCTCACTTCTGCTACTCCGAGTTCCAGGACTTCTTCTATGGTATGTCTGCGTCTTGCTATACCTAGCGAATGGTTGGCATGCATGTACTGACCTTAATTCCAGCCATTGCTGCCCTTGACGCCGACGTTCTCTCCATCGAGAACTCCAAGTCGGATGCCAAGCTCCTCAAGGTCTTCGAGGATGAGGCCTACCCGCGCCACATCGGCCCCGGTGTCTACGACATCCACAGTCCGCGTATCCCTCCCGAGTCAGAGATCCGTCAGCGCATCCAGGAGATGCTCCAGTATCGTGAGTAGTCCCCATATAGAAAGATAACCCACGCACCTTACGTCACATGCTAACGCCTTAATCAGTCCGCCCTGAGCAACTCTGGATCAACCCTGATTGCGGTCTGAAGACTCGCAAGTGGGATGAGGTCAAGGGTGCCCTCACCAACATGGTCAAGGCTGCTCAGTACTTCCGTGAGCAGTACGCCAACAAGGCTTAAAACTGCCTTGATATGTTTGAGCCAGGCATCGTATCTTAATGGTGCCGGATATCCGGATTTCTTTTTTTTTTCAACAGCATTGCATTTTTGGGGTTTCATTTGAGGGATATGAAAAGATATTTGGGGAAAGGGAGATGATACCCCAAAGAGCGCCATTCTCAACTCGGCGTTGGTGGGCAAAAAAAGGAAAATCCGGATCGTTCAACATGAGCATTTATTGGAAGGGTTCGCCATTCTCAACTCGGCGTTTTGCGGTTCAAGGGGATGAAAAAAATAGGCATTTAATAGGGATCGATGTGTTCTGTGTTGGGAAATATGGTTCATGGAATGAAGTTGACCAAGGTTATGGTTCCGACTCTTGACAAGATATATGTTTCGACCGATGATAGGATTATTCTTGTCGCATATCGTGAGTGTAGCCGCCGATCCAAGCTCGGCATGTGGCATGTGTCTGTGTGTGTGTGTGTGTGTGCATGCGTATCTCTGGAAAAATTCTTGGATGCCTAGACGGTACACCTAGAGATATTGCAACGCCTGAAGCAGGAAATCTGTTCTTATTTTTGGCATAAACGTCATCTATACTTGAGAACCAAATATACCGCTCACTGGGCTGACCTACACGATTACTATCCGTATGTACAGAGTTTATGCTATATTGCATTATATCAAAAGTCTCACCAACCATCCTGATCACTCGGCCCACCCAAAGACCTCGCTCACCGCCATGGTATTGACTCTAACGCCAGCCAAGCTTACCACAATGCCAACGAGATCCACAACAAGCAACAGAGCTGCAGCTGTCATGAATCTGGGGTTAAACACGCGATACAACATCAGGTGTCTCCTCAGATGGCCCGCCCAAGCCATGGTAGCCAAGCTCTCAGTGGCATAGTACGCGACAAAACTACCTAGCGCGCGCCGGCTGACTGCCTCGAGCAAGCCCTTCTTCTTGGGACCTGCCTTCCAAAGAACGAGCAGCGGGACGGCGGTTGCCGCAAGAATCGGGCCGGCGAAGGTGTTGAGCGTGACGAGTAGCGGGCTCCACGGGTAGCGCACGGTGAAGAGGGCGATAAAAGCCGAATCCCATTGGATAGTGGACAAGACGGCCTGGTGGCCAGTCTTGAAGAAGTGGAAGGTGCCCAGGACGGCAAGCATGACGGGGCCGATGGGAGACGTGGACAATTGGTTGAGGTCGAGGATCTCGAGGAGCGAGAGAACCTGCCAGATCATGAGCGCTAGCGCGCCGCCGCCCATGGGCTTAGAAAGCAGGATGCAGGCAGCCAGGAGGTTGAGCGGCAAAAGCAGGTACCGCGCGCCGTGGGCGTTGCCGTAGCCGAGGATGGCGACCTGTGCTTTGGTAGGCTGCGAGCGGTTGGCCGTCGTTACAACAGAAACGCAGGGCGGGGCCCAAACGAAGGCGGTTGTGCCAGCGATGAGAGCGAGACCGAGGATCATCTGGGCGGTATAGACGGTGACGCTCTTGAGGGTTTGCTGGGGCAAGCCGGGAAGCCAGCCACCGCTGTCAGCGGCGTCGAGAAACCAATAGAGCCCGCACATAAACAAGCCGGTACGGAAGACATAGCCAACCCATTGCGGAGCGAGACCCTCGTATGAACGGGTGTTCTGAAGGTAGCTCTTGATAATAGAGGGGAGGATAACGGAGACGACAAAGGGGATGATCAGCTGCCACGGAGCTGAGGTCGAAGAAGTGGCGGATGCATAGTAGGTTGAGGTGCAGTAAGGCATCTGCTCCTCACGACAGAGCTTAGAGTAAGAGGCGACGCGGCCGAGAACGATGAAAACAACCGAGTGGTAAACACTCAAGTAACGATCAGCGCGAGAAGGTAACCGGAAAGCTGCCAGGATCGAGACGACGCCAAAGGTCGTGATAAAGAACAGCAGGATGGAGTCTTCCCAGATGGTATACGAGTTGGAAGCAAAACCGGCTGATTGGCTAACCGTGAAGACGAATGCCATCCAGCCCCAGATAGTATTAGGGAAAATATTCCTGAACAGAGTCTCTTGGGCATCATACATGGACGCCAGAACTGTCGCCATGCTAGTGAAAGCAGCAAGAGCCGAGCCGCGGTACCAGTCCCCAGCTCCCGAAACATAAGAATGAAGAAGGCCGCCAAAGAAGCAAGGCAGGGCCCCAAGCAACGCCGAGAATGTCAAGCGTTTCTCGAGGCAGTCGACATCAACGACATCCGTGTCGGCCTTTCCGGCCTTCACACCTTGAAGCTGGAGGGTCGCCTCTGCAAGATCAAGCTCCGGGTCATCGATAACATCGTCATCCTCGTCCTTCGAAACATAGATCAACAAGGTAATGACCCCGAGGGCCATGATGGCGATACCGATGACCATATTTTTGACATTGAATCGGGCCCATAGAGCCTTGCACTGCTGTAAAGTTGTCTCCTGATAGGCGACGAAAGCTGACCAAATGGCAGACCAGTCCTTCTTTCCGCCGGCAGCAACTAAAGCTTCGGCTTTTTCCCACAGATCAACTGCAGAGCCAGGCTCGGTGGACTGCTGGATACCGCGGGCGTTGAAATAGGCTGACTGGTAACGCTTGATGCCAGCGGCCGTAACTCTCTCGGCCGCAGCAAGGTTGGCCCAGGCATTACCAGCCGCACCAGCAAAGGCCTCCTCAATTGGCCGTCCCAGGTTGTTAAAGGGAATGGGGATGCCGAGCAGCAAGGATAATGTGGGGACGAGGTCGATCTGGTTGACAGGATGAATTTTTGCTGTCGCAGGCGGCATGGCGTATTCTGGCTTGGTTCTGCCAAAGATACCCTTTGGAGAGTACATCCACAGCGCAGCCTCGATTTCATCGTCACTCTCTCCGCCGTGGTCGCCCTTTCCATCCATGCCGTGATCGCCCATCACGACCAAAAGAGTTTTGTCATCAATAGTCGCCGCAAGATCCCGGATAAACTTGTCCATCTGGCGTAGTTTTTTGGTCATCTCTGGGTGATCAGGCCCGTATCTGTGGCCAGCATGATCTACCCCGAGACAGTGTCCAACGAGGAAGTCCCACTGGTCCTTCTTTTCCATGAGGGGGAAGATATGCTCCATGACGCCGTTGTCCACGGTGTGCAAGTCCCATACATTGAAGCTGTCATAGGCCTTGCTTAAGTTCCCCAAAAAATAGCCGGGGAACAGCGACTCCCACGTGTCATCGCCGAGATGCACAATGCGCTTGCCAGCATTCCGGAGCTGCATCAATAGGTTGTCCTCGTCAATAGCCGTTCCTGAGAAGCTATTTCCGATGTCGACAAAAGTTGGCAGGGTACCGGTAGTCAGACCCTTTAACCTTTGTAACGTAGACGTCGGAGGATCGGCAATGAAGGGGCGCAGAAAGGCTTTTTTGGGTTCCTTGACGGCCGTCTCGTACAGGAACGGGAACGCGTTATGGAATGCCGCGCTGTCGTTCGCCGGAACCGTAAAATCGTAGCGCAGAGCATCGATCACGATCACCACTGCGCGTTCAAACGTCTTTGGGTGCCAGCAACCGCCATTGACCGTGCCCTTACCCTTCCAGGCGGGCAGCAAATCGGAAGTGCTCGAATCCGCTGTTGGCGACACCTCACAGCTCGACTTTCCCTCTAGGACAAGTCTGGTCAATAAGAAGCCGCTGATAAAATAGCCAAGACCCACGAGATGCACGAAGAGCATCCAGAGCCAAAATCCCGTCGTCCACAGCCATCGCGACTGGTACCCGGCTTTTCGCGCCGCATTGAGGCGAGCCAGACGCTGCTCGCGCTCATTGATGTCCTCGACTGCCTCGGCGCGTTTTGCATCTTCAGCCTCTTTGGCGCGTTTTGCTGCGTCGAACTGGGCAGCAATGGCCTTGTACTCGGAATCAAGTGGCGACGGCGCCTTCTTTGGCACTTGTTTCTGCGGTGGCATCGTGTTTTTGGGGTATCCAGGGCGATTAGCGATCGGGAGGTCTCAGGGCAGCGTTCAAAGGAGAGGTGCGAAAGGAAAGGGGGCGCCCATCAACTGGATCGAGGGGCGCCGAGTAATTTGCACCAAGAGCAGAACACAGAACGGAAAATTAGAGAAAAGAGACACGAAGGAGTGTGTTGGAGTTAGTCAAGGCAAAGACCCAGAGGCCATTTGGCTCGTGTAAGGTCTAGAATCGACACGAGAGCTTTCAGAGCAGGACGGAGTGAGCCATTTTGACAGAGAGAAGGTGATGAGGAACCCGATCCAACATCTGGGAAAGTCAGGAACTGAATTTCTGAGCGGCTCCAGCGGCGCTCAGTCCCCTGCCCCATATCCCGGCCGCAAGGGACTCCAGAGGATCCACTCAATCTACTTTTCTGACGTCCCCAGGCTTGTTGTGCTCTCCCGACAGCTCCTACCCTAACCCTGAGCCTTTTTATGAAATTTGGGGGCCTGCCCCTTTATTACTGGACACCACCAATATCCAGGCACTCCCGGATACAACCTTTCGGTTCAGAAATCCAGATACCTGCTCCGGCCCGCCATCATTAATTGGTAAACTGACCTACATAGTGCCTAACTAGCTCCATGAAGAGCCAATATTGCTATTACGTTTCTAAGTCTACGAACGCCCCCGGCAAACTGGCGAAAAAAAAGTAGCTCGGCAGTTGGCGATGCTGCTGGCTGACGGGAACCATGGTATGAGGAGTCGGAACGGCGGATGGAACCCCAAGTCTCGGGAGAGCCGGCCCCACACGAAACAGAAGCACATTCCAGGATCTTGGGCTTTGCTTGGAACTTGGAAGTCAGGTCGTCAAGAAAGCTCGCCATAAGACGAGCAGTGAATACGTAGTAAAATTATACAATACTAGAATATTGTTCGTAAAATACCCCACAAGCCCACCCAACGCTGTAGATAAGTGCGTCCCGTATATATATGTAGTATATAGTTGTGGCCACCTCCCGATATGAACCTGAAAATCCAACATGTCTGTACGTTAATGTACGCGGCCGGCCAGGCAGTATGCTGCCATGCCTCCTGGAAAAACACTCGTCTCCCATCTATCCATTCAGCCAGCCAGAAAATGAACGTAAGAAAGAAAACCCTCCTCAGCCAGGTTCACGATCGAGTGGGAGCGGGTCGTCGAATCCTTGCGAATCAAAAAAAAGTGGTTGAATAGAACGTTGGCACACACGTGGTGGTATCTATCTTTTCGTTTCCTGTCCTCCGTAACAACTCCACAGGGCCCAATCAAATCGTAAACGATAACCGGGTGGCCTGGGTTAGGGCAGAACGACGAGTTCATATTTCCAGGAAAAAAGTAACAGAGTAACCGGGTGATCGATGTTCGGTGTCGTAGTTTATCATGCGGTTTAGTGGAGCTCCTTCTCCTTCAAGCCGCCGATCTTGTCAATGTCGACTGTATAGAACTGTGACGGGTTCTCCTTCTCATAGGCGGGGAGCTGCTCCTCGGGCAGAGGCTCCAGCCCAACCGTCGTATCACCGACTCGAACCACCACAACGCGGCCGCTCTTCCGCCGGCCTTGCTCGTCTTGCTCGTCGGGAAACGTGATGTGGATTTCCGGAACATTGTCTGGGGAGTAGGGGGGGGACTGTGGGTTTGCCAACATTGGCTGGCTATTGTTGACGACGATAACGCTCGACCGGCCATTGCCAGTTTGAATAGTTAAGCGCCGATGATTGCTTGTCCGCTTAACTTCGTTGTACTGAGGGAGTGTCTCCTGCTGCATCTGCTTTTTGCTCTTCATCCTCCTGAGCACAAGCAGGATAGCACCAGCCAGGAGGCCAACGAAAACAAGGACAAGAAGAGCGATCAGGAGATTGATGACCGCAGTGTTATCGGTAGATTTCTCGCCATCGTCGCGAGTAATGAGCCTTTTGATTGACGCCATGGCTAGTATAGAGTGCGTTGTGATTGTTGATAAGTAATAATGAGTGTCGGGGTTATCGGAATTGGGGAGGGTTTATGTATGCTTTGATGGAAGAGAATGTAGTATAAACCGTTTCGGAGCTCTAGAGCCTCGGATTGTCAGCATCATCGACTGTGTCTTCCTCTCCAGTGCCATGTCCGAAACCAATTACACGGCAGACGCAGGACGAAAAGGGCGATAAGGGAGATAGCATACGGAAGAGCTGCGGGTTTGGTGCGTTCTCAGGAAGTGCCCGCAATTGATAATGTCGCACGTCTCACCGGGACTGGCATCGACGAAAAATGATAGGACGGGGTCGACTGAAAGAGTGAAGTCGACTCCAAAGAGCGATTCCCAGCAGCGGGATGCGTTAAAGTGAGTTTGAACGAGAGGAGCGTCCCTGAAGGTCAACGCCGACGCGCTTCTTGAGATGGGTTGGGAAAAAGGAGAGGAAGAAGTGATGCAGCAGACTACACAGGCAAGCGCCCTGCACAAGTACACCAGCGTCCACCACACAAGCGCTGGATGCTGGGCTCAGGGGAGGAGCAGCGAGCGCTACCCCAGCCAGGGAAAGGGCTGAATTGGGATGAACGGCCCCAATCCAATTCGAGGGGGTGACCAATCACAAAGCGTCTGACCCTCCATCAGGGTGGGGTTCAATTTGGCCAACACCTTGCTTCGCCGGCTGTCGACGTTGGTCTGTGCGTTAGAAACGGTCTGTTTGCCAAAATTGCTGCGGTTCCTGCAGCACATCTCCACCAAAACCAGGCAACCCGTTGATCTGGTTGCCAAACGCCTTTGTTAGCATAAAAACCATTTCACCGCTTATTATTTTCGATTTTCAAGTGGAGCAAATCTCACGGAGATTTTTTTTTAAAAAAAGATCTCGATATTTTTTTGCAATGTTTCTTCGACGCCGAATACCACAGCGCGGAGGTGGTTGCTGGGCAACGGCACGCGTGGAGTAGAGCTTGACATCTTAGCCGCCCGTCTTAAGGTGACAGACCACACCTCGCGTGCTCCCCTCTGCAGGAAAACTGTTGTTGGCGCCAAAAGTCACATCCACAATCCATTGCCATCCACTCCAGGCTGACTGCAATCCGAGATGCCTCTTGTCCGATTTGACGATGCCACCGTCTTGGCCATCTTCTTCTCGGCAGGAAACGCATGATCCTGTGGGAAGCTTGCCTGCCCTCTCTCCTGCGCATGCGTAGAAGTGAGAAACTAGACAAATGGCTCTCATGAAACAGCCCAACGCCCGCTTTGACGCCAGCCTCCAAGTCGCATCTCACGTGGCATTGACCCACCATGCCGTTAACCAACGAGACATGCAGCAGCATTGGGTCCTTGGGCGGCCTGAGACAACCAGACGCTCAATCCGAAGACAAGAACTATTTGAGTTGACATACCTGTATACCTTTGCTAGTGAGTAGCAATGATGAGAAAGTGGGAGAAGGGCAAAGTGCGAGAGAGGGATGTGGTCAATAGACTTATCACATAAGAGCCCCTCTCCCACTTGGATGACCTCGGCTATCAACAATACGCTACTTGTAACATTGCACCACCTCGCCAGCAAATCCGTTTGCCGTTCACCGCCACAGTAGTGAACGGATGTCTTTTTTTAAGCACCACGAACATCACTCGCGTTACTCTTGCTAGCTCCAGGCTTTATGGTGTGACTATTGCACAGCCTAACGGTTTTGTTTCATGGTACTGCTACGATACACGAAGGCCATCAATGTTTACCAGGCAGTCTATGCCCAGAAAGACAAATTTAAAGAAGGCCTAATTGAGGGCTCACAAACAGTTCGAGGCTTCTTTCTGGGATTGGTCCATGGGCAGTCACCTTCACACCAAAACTTGTCCCTGGAAAAAGCACTTGAAATGGTTGAACGGAGAGTCGTGATCAACTGACCATACTTATGTGGTTCGTGAGAGGTGCCCTTGGGACCAACTATACCACAGCGAGCCCGAGAAGGGTAAACGCAATCCGGGCCGTTCGCGATAGCTACCCTTAAATCCTGCTACGGCCGCCGTTTCTTCAGTGTTAGCAGTGGAGGAAACCCTTATATGCTGGTGTCCCTATCACCTATAATGATCCTCGAAAAAAAAGGTTCTAACGCCAGGTTCTGGGCTGATGACACGAAAAAACACTGTACGAAGCCAGTGCCAATTATAATCATTTTGCAACTTTCTATTCGGTCCAACGCATCGCATATGCCGCTCCGGGCTCCAGGGAAGTCGTTCAATTATTTTCTTCGTTTTACTAAGCGTCGCACCCGGTGTATCAACACAAATGGAAGGGCAGTTGAACCAACTCAAATTTGTACACCCTGGAACGTGTTCCGGGGAGTATGTTTCTTCAGGGCGAGCCCGCCCAGCATCCATCAAACGGACAAATGAAGTCACTTCGTGTGGTCTGGTGCCATGTCAAGCAACTTCAGGCCGGCATCCTGGTAGCTGGAACTCAGCGAGTGTTGTCGCCTTTGAATGTATAACCCACCATTGGGCCCTCGCAACCAACCTAGAGTGTGGCGTCGTTTGTTGCTTCGGCAGCATCTCCCAATTTGCATCAAGGGGACAGTGATACAACGGATGGCTAGTACGTTCATCTTGAAACAAAGTAAGCACCTCAACATCCAAGGTGGGGTCATCGGGAACCTGTTCCACAAAGAATGCTATCAACATCTCTTCTACCGCCAAGATTCGGCGTCGAGGTCCACGCAACCGAGATCCAGTTGAGGTATTCAGCAGGGTGCGCCAGCAATTCCTGAGACATTGTCGACGATCGTGTTCACTGTTGCCTCTCCCCAGGAAGAGTGAAAACGAAGGGCGCTCTTTTCCGTGGTCAATAGGCATGCAGCATCTCGCAGTTATGGCTCTACGTCAGTTGCGCCATCTATCCCTTACTGCATGGCTTTAGGTCAGTATTTCGTCTATACGTCTGGACCCTCTCTCGCTAACAGAATTTCCATACGAGAAATGCAGGCTTGATCAGCAGGGCACCATAAGCGCACCTGGTATGGTTGCACCTAGTATCCAGCTAGCGGCCGTCTTGAGCTTTCAGAGCCGTCAAATGTGCCCTGTTTCTCCTCTCATTCGTTGCAGAGCACTCCCATTTTGTCTAAGTAAGTACTTACTTGTGCGCCGCTGCTTACCATGTACGAAAGCACCGTAGCATGGCTCTTGTACACCTCCTATGAGACGGGATGAGTGTTGTGGTTGTGATTGACTGCTCCCGTAGGTGTGGATGTGTGAAGATCGGCAGGTTCTGGTCCAGTATGAGATTCGTCCTCTCCCACATGCCTTCTCAAGTACATTACTGAGCCATCCCCCATGAACACGACATGAGGGGCGGTTTTTTCCCTGGCCAACAAGCTGATATTCATGTACGATACCTGCCTAGGCCAGACGGGAGACATAGAAAGGGGATAATCTTGTGTGTGTGCTCCGTACAAGCCGAGTGTACATACCAGCTCTGGCTACGCTATCTTTAAGATCACCTATTGATATATTCGCTGCCTGTCTTACTGCCTTTTGTTGTCTTGTCTCTTTTTATAATTTTCTTTGTCACAGACCTTTCTTTACCTGCCTATTCTCTCCCGTTGTCTACGCCTACTATTCGCGCTCAGTAACGTTTTCAGAGCAGACTGGCTTGATTCATCGAACACCAAGACGGGAGCTTAGTCGAGATCAAGGGCTACACCAAGAAGCAAACACTCGGGTGTGGCGTTTCAAGGTGCCGGGTTGGTGGACTGGGGACTCGGAGCCCACAAACGACAGGGGGAATAACGTACAAGCGGCGTACACAGTCAGCTTCGGGGCCAAAAACAGATTCATCAGCCCCAGCGCCGCTCCCTTGCCCCATATCTTCGGCCGGGTGTTCACCGAGAGTTTGGTCGTTCTTACCAACACGCATGCGGATTTATCTCACAGCATCGTCTTAGCGGAGCCAACCATCCCGGTTTTGGGTCAGGCTCGGACGAAGAGGAAGAAGACGGGGACCCGGAAGCTTCACTTTCTCTATTAACTGTGTGTTGTGACACTTATTTTGTACACACACAGTGCAGTCAGCTTGCCTTCCAAGCCGGTTTGCTGCACACCATCCACACGAGCACTGCGGACGCTGGAGCACTGCTTGTACACCAACGCTGTCAAGCAGCCAAACTGTCTGAGAAATACTCAGAGCAGCCGGGAGTTGTTGCGCTTTTGACCTGCGGCTGTGTCACCAGCGGGCGATCTCGTTGGCGCCCATTCAGTCCCCGCAAAACTAGAACTCGCCATCCCGCCGTCGCGACCTCCCAGAGCCCAACGGTTGTTTCCGCGGGGGACGGGAGCCCGAGCACAAAACGTCGACGGCGATCATCAAGCCATAATTTTGGGCGGCTCTCGGCTGGTCGCGGCCAACACGACCACGTTTTCCCATTCCACACAATCCTACATTCCAGCGCAGCCGCAACACCCCGGTGACAAGCCCTAGACGGAGTGAACCATCAACCCAACAGCGGTGTTGAAACGGGCAATCCTACCCTAAGCCTCGAGATTTGACGGCTTGACGTCGGGGCACACTTCTTGGGGGCTCTTTGGGTGGTTCTTGGACGGTGTCTGTGGTGGAGCCCAGCTCAGCGATCCACACGACGGATTTCACAAGGTGTGGTTGAAAGGGGGCCGCATGTAACCTCGAAGCCCCACATTTTTCTACACAGCCGAAGCTGGGATCCCACTTGGAAGCCCACCAAGCCCACCACACATGCGACAAGCTCCCGCAGGCATTGTGCACTAAAAAGAGGGGACGCTGGGTCTCTGGGTCGCTGGGTCGGAGAGGGCACCTATAGCTCTCGTTGGTCCCATCGTGGATCGCTTTTCCGTTCTGGTGGCTGCATCCTGCTGCCGCCCGTTTGAACATCGAAATTTGACAAATTCGCCCACGCGAGTCTCAAACGACTCGGCTGCTTGCCCGGCAACTCACTTGCAAGGCTGCAAGACTGCAAGGACTGCAAACTGGAAGTGTGTGCGTGCAAGACCAGCATTGGGGCTGGCCTGGCTGTCGCTCGCTTCTCAGGTTGTTTATTTCACACACGCCATTGACTGCATTTGTTGCAACGCGGGGCATCCATCCATCAGCCGTGCGGCACGGCAAACATTGGATCTGCTCCATCGCTCCATCGCTTCAAGCTCCAAGCTCTAAGCACTGCTGCACTCATCATTCCATTGGTAATAGCCACGCTATCCGTCCTTCCAAACCTGCAGCTGCTCCCCAGCGGCTCCAAAAAGGCTCCAGACTAGGCGCTTGTCCTGCCCAGAAAGCAGTGCTGGATAGGTAGGAAGGCCAAAGCCTCAGGTTACGGGGACGGTGTACATCCTGGCAGTTTCCAGTTTCCACTCCCGTCGCGCACTCCCGTCGTCGGTCGGCCGTCCGTCGGTCGTCTGAAGTTGGAGGCCAGGTGTCAGGATTTGCAACGACAAGAGGCCCACCCGAGTGAGATCTCGCCGCGTCGAAGCCCCTCCCTGACTGGCCGGGTGCTGGACACGGAGACCCCTAAAAGGGCGATCAAAGCTGAGACCAGCTCCTGGAAAAGCCAAAGGGAAAAAAAATTCGAAATCCCAGAAAAGCGCTCCAGACCGTATCCCCCACAGCGGCTTCTTTTTTGGGGTGCCCAGGGTGACTGGGTCCCATCCCCTCTGCGTCTTAGCGTCCACAGCACCCGTGGGCTGGACCCTGGTCCCCCGATCTAACGTTAGCCTGGCTAAACCCACAGCGCAGGTAACCTTCGATTGCGCCTGCAGCTCTGGAACAGCTCCTGGCCCTAACCTGAACAACTTGTTCTTCTCTCGCCATCACAGCCGCATCATCTTCCTCGTGTGCGTGCGAAAGCCTGCATCTGGCACCCGGCGGGCAAAATCCTCGAGACGCAGCGTTCTGCAGCCAATCCCCATCTGGCTGCACGTGAATTTCATCCCGTCTCTGGACGCGAGAGAGACAGAGAGCGAGAGAGCACGAGAGCGGAAAGTTCTAGCTGCCTGCCTACCCGCCTGCCGATCGCCATCCAAATCCACTTGTGCCTTGCGCATCGCGACATCCGCAGCTGCCCGGCCTCCGGGAGCAGCGCATCGACCAAGAGACCGCACCAACGTACGAAACGACGCTGCACGCATCATATTCACTTTGTCCGGTTCTTGACCCATCCTCAGCCGTGCTTCTATCTCCATATCGACGTCAGCCTGTCCAAAATCTGTGCGTTCAGCGTCCATCACAAGCGTTCAGTGACGCATGCCCGTGATCGCCCACCGGTCTTTGAATACAAAAACACAACTCGCCCACGCAGACCTTTCTTCTCCTATCATCACCTTCGAACAACATACGTTCGATTGTCTACCATCGCGAATCGCAAGCTTTCTACAACCTACTTACGTTTGCAACCACGCCCAAAACGCCGTTGGAACCCGTGTCTGTGAATAGCTGCAGCTTTGATTTACACGGATACCCAAGTGCCTTGTAGTAAGCTGTTGCCCCTCTTTATTCGATATATCCAAGTCACTGCACTTAACTACTTCATCACTGCTCCCCCCTCCCCCCGTTTGTTCCACGGCTCGCTGTCTGGTAAGGAGGAGACGCGAGGGGCTTTCAAATCCACAATCGAAATCACGGACGGCCTGAACTTGCCCCTCCCGAAAGCTTGGCCAGGCTCTGGGATAGCTGCGGCACCTGAACCGGTCGCTCCAGCCTTACCAACGCCCCTCGTTCGTTTCCTCTCCCCTCCCCCACATGGTGACCACAGCGCAGTACTCGTTTGACTCTAGCTTTTCCGTGTCTGCCCTATTGTTCAGTATGTGCTGACCTCGTCGTTACCATCTTGCAGCATCCGTGCTTTTCGGTATTGGATTTCGCTTTGATCCTACGTTAACCGAACTCGAACCTTGTCAACTACATTCGTTGTGTCAACTCGATCCTCGAGACATTTCACGATCCGGCTCAAAAGCACAAAACGCATCTACAAACGCTCTGGCACACATAGACTACATCCAGCATGACAAATTCTGTAAGAGTTTCCTTTTCTTCCCGCCCTTTGGAAACTACTCTTCTTGAACATGACGCACTGAGCAGACCTCGATGACTTGGATCGTGCTGACAACCGCTTGGTCTTCTAACCAGCCTCGACCCACAATCGCGACAACTAGTCGCTTCTTCGGGGCTTCCTCAAGCTCCACGGGGAATGGTAATGGCAGATCTCAGCAGCAAGAGTTGGTGAACGGGAATGGATTTACAGGCTGGCCAACCGGCACTTCGAGCATCTGGGGGACCAATGGGGTCTCGAACTCATTGCCTAATGGCGCAGGAGCTGCCAGTGTTCGTCGGGGTTCTTCGACAATCGAGACGCTATCGAGGGCAGCGGATGGGCTGTCGAGGTCCAATGATGTGGATGGTAGCTCGGTCACAAATGGTGGGCATGCCCTCGCCAGCTGGACTTCCCCGTGGAGCCAGACCGCATCACTGCCGCGCCCTCAATCGGGAAACACATCTCCTCGGAGTCATGCCTCGGTCTACGAAACTTACGGATCGACGGCACAGCTGGACTCTACGCCATCCAATGCCCAGAGGACGCAAGCACGGTCCAGACCGCAAACATCCTCGATGGAGCCCTCCTACAACAACACATCTTTTGCCGACTACCCCCATGAGAATGGCACTTCCGATTCTTATCCCCAGCTCAGGGCTGATTCGGAGAGGTTCACCGCGTTTCCTCGGAACCAGCGGCCGTTTGGGCAGTCCCTTTTGAATGGAGCTGTTGGAACAAACCACTCGGAGGGCACAAGAACTTCTTTGCCACACCCGTTTGGAGGGTTCGCGTATCCTCCATCGGCTTCGCATTCTCAGCGACCCTCTCTTGCTGCAATCTCGACGGGATATAACGTCTCTAACACCAATGGACATGCTGAGGAGACTTCGAGTATATCCGACATTGAAAACACACTGCGTAATGTCACAATCGGGAGTGGCTTGAACGGCATTGCAAGTAACGGTGGTTCTAATGGAGTCTCCAATGGCGTCTCAAACGGCCTCTCGAACGGCCTCTCGAACGGCGCTCCAACAAGCGGTTTTGGGAGCTTTGGGTCGTCCACAAATGGTTCCCAGGCTTTCCAGTTCAACCCTATCTCGCAGCCATGGGAAAGTTCTCAGGAAAATCCTCTTGGTTTTGGTGCCGCCCGGCCTACGCTTCCGACTCCTGCTCCGACTCCTGCAGATGACGTCGCTTACTTCGCTGCTCTTGCCAGCGCGCTGAATGGCTCCAGGACTAGTCAGCAGCAACAGACGATGAACCTATGGGCCCCATCATCCTCACAACAGGATCCCAGGGTGCGGCCAGATATGGATCGTCGAGGTTTCAACCAGCCTTTCCTCCAGGCTCCCCAAACGTTGATGCCCCCCAGTTCGTTCTATGGAGCGAACTTCCCGCCTTATCCACCAGCGCCGTTCGATACTTACTCCCCTGTGAGGCCTAACTTCCCTTCGATGTCTGCGGTTCCACTTCTGAATCTTTATGGCATCGGGCCTGGAGCCGTCCCATTCGGCTCCCGAGACCATGACCCTTCCCGCGATGTCCGGAGCGTCCTTCTTGAAGAGTTTAAGTCGAGCTCCAAGTCTTCAAAGCGCTGGGAGCTTAAAGACATACGTGGTCACATCGTTGAGTTTAGTGGTGATCAAGATGGCTCGCGATTCATCCAGCAAAAACTGCTGACCGCGAACAGCGAGGAAAAGGAGTGGATCTTCCGTGAGATTGAGCCAAATGCTGTCCAACTGATGAAAGACCTGTTTGGCAACTACGTGATTCAAAAGTTTTTTGAGCACGGCAGCATGGCACACAAGACGAAGCTCGCTCAAGCAATGCACGGCAAAATGTTTGATCTTTCCACTCAAACATATGGATGCCGAGTCGTACAAAAGGTAAGGAGTCCACATATAGAGTTTTAAGAATGACAGACGTCCGTGACTGACTTTTGCATAGGCTTTGGAGCATGTTCTCGTCGAAGAGCAAGCTGTCCTCGTCAAGGAGCTACAGCCGGAGATCCTCAAGGTGATCAAGAACCAGAACGGCAATCATGTCGTCCAGCAAATCATTGCCGTAGTCTCGCGGTCAGAGATCGATTTCATCATGGACAGCATGAAAGGTCGGATCAGCGAGCTGGCCTCCGATGCATACGCATGTCGCGTCGTTCAGAGGGTGCTGGAACGGGGCACCGATGATGACAAGGCCTTCATCCTGAAGGAGCTTCACGCTTGCGCGCAGATGCTCGTAGTGGACCAGTACGGCAACTATGTGGCTCAACACGTCATTCAGCACGGCAAACCCGAAGACCGATCGAAGATGATCGAAGTCGTGATCCCGCAGGTTGTTGGGCTCTCCAAGCACAAATTTGCTTCCAACGTGGTCGAGACTTGCATTGCACATGGCACGCCTGAGCAACAGCGTGCCATTAGGGACCAAATTTTGCCAGCAAATGACACCCAGAATTCGCTCCTGCAGTTGATGAAGGATCCTTATGGCAACTATGTCATCCGTACGTCATGTGTTACTATTTGCGACCTGACGAGAACCCTCCTTGCTAACGTGTGGACCAGAGAAACTACTTGACACTCTTAAGGGTCAAGACCGCGATGTCCTGTGTGTGAAAATGCGCCCACTTTTCGATATTTTGAGGAAGCAAGGCCATTCCGGACGGCAGGCGGCAGCCGTTGACCGGTTATGGGCAGCCATCAACCGCCCGCAGCCCCAGCCACAAGTTCAGGCCCAGGCTGCCACTCAGAACGGCAACTCTACTCAATCCAACCACCCTGCTCCAAGTTCGTCTGAAATTGCTTCCTAGCTCCGGATCTCTGGTGCCGGGGGGCTTCCCCTCAGCTCTCATCAGGCTGCTTCTACTCAAGCGAACGGTTCTTCATTGGTGACAACCAGTGAAAACAAAGACTCCGGATGCCTGACATGATTCAGGAACATCTAGGCACCAGTTGACATTTGCTGAAAGTCTCAAACGCCATGGCCTGGGGTGCTTCTTTTCTTTTACACAATGCTGGTTTTCGGCTTTTACGAATACTTAATACCGTTTGCCTTTGGGGCAAACCGCACCCAGAATCAAACGCGTTTTGGGGAAAGCGTTGGGATGCGTACCTTTTTTTCCCGGGGCTTTCGGGGGAAGGGGGGGTTTTACCTGATACCATATACCATACTCGTTCCAGTACACAGCACGGCCCGAGCAACGTATCTATATATACCTCTCTAGCTATTCATGTTCGAACTGGCACTCATATTTTCACCTTGTTTTTAACAGCCATCGGGTCGAATTGTCGCTATCTTTTCTTCATCTTGTTGTTTGTTCCCGGGGCTCAGCATTTGCTCCGCTTTATTCTCTTGTGCCAAGTTCTTCCGGTCTATGGTACTGGTTTAGGCTGGGCCGGCCTGGTCGCCCCCGACCTCTCCGATAAAGATAGTGACGGACGGCAAGATGAGAAGACGACAGTAAGTCACTGGACCTCAGTACAGGTTGGGATGGAATAGGATCGGCTTCTCTGGGACGGCATGGGACAAACAAAGGGTAGGGCGTCTGGCGTGTTGAGTGTATGGCGGATGGATTCGGTTCACCACAGTATTCTTATGGTCAATGATCATGATGATGGGTATTCATTTCTGGGCTTCTTCCTCTCGGGTGCCTGGGTTTGCTACTTCTTGTTGTGCTTTATTACAACCATTTAGAGAACGGCGACCTGTTTTGACAATTCAGTTCGAGGTTGTCCATGATGGAACCTCTGCCTGCTTTAAGTTATCTTCAGGGACTGTATTGTAATTGCTTGCTGTGGTTAGTTATTTTTTTTTTTTTTTGAGATGTTAAGTACATAGAATTTAACGTTCTTTCATCGCCGGAAAAGTAATTTGTTAGACGGTACTAAGCTTTCTCGAAAGTGTGTGATTTTTGCTTGCCTTCAAAGCCGAAAGCGATATTCAAACAGCCAAAGCCTTCAGTTGCCACGTGAAATGGTTGCCATGAGCATCCATTCATACATGACATTGTTGCAACGCTCCACGTAGAGTGATTAAAACTAGGCAGCTGATTCAGTAATTGCTGGCTCTCTGCTATCTGCATGTAACAGTACCAGTATCGTGACAATGTAGCTTCCGGACATGCCATAATGGGCATCCAGCTGCTTCCCGTCTATCGTCTCTAATAGCTGACATGAATAATGCAAGACACCTCTCTCTGACCACACAATGCTCAATTGTCCAAGACACACAGTTCGAGATTCCCTGTCATTCCATGCCGTAAAGCGTCCAAGCCTTGCAGACTGTTTTTGTTTTCCAGAAAAATCTTAGACGCCAAAACCCAAAACCCAGTACCACGAAAACTAACACTTTTCCCCCAAAATGATGAACGCCGAGGCAATGCAAAGGTGGATTATTAGACACCCGTATGCAGCACAAAAACTCCAAAAAAGAAGGTAGATTTTTTCTAGAAAAACAAAACAACAACAAAAAAAAAAGAAACAAATCGAGAACATTAAATCACTCGGACCCATTATATCATGAGCAACATGCCCACGACAATTGCGACACCTGCAGCCAACCCAGAGGCAGTCAAGCCTGATGTAAATATTATGGACCCGGCGGCAGCATTATTGATGCCTGTGGCGGCGTTGGGACCGTGCAGGCCTTCGGTAGCAGCAACCGGGTTGGCGACGCGAGTTGCACCCGGGATGGCGTTCTCGCCCGTGCCGATTTCGAGCACGCGGCTGGTCGTGGCGTTGAAGCGGGTGGGAGCAAGGGCGATCTCGTTATTGTCAAGGTCGTAGACCACATAGGCCGAGCGCAGGAAGGTGTCGCCCAGCACGTTGGTGCCGGCGCCGGCGGGGGCGATGCCGAACAGGCAGGCAGGCTGGCCATTCGAGAAGGTTGGACGCTTGCCGTTGGAAACCAGGATGTCGAGGACCAGCTCGTTCATGTCGACTGCGATGGTCGGCTCGGTGAAGGTGAAGAGCAGTTGGGTAGTGTTTTGGGCGGCGGAGCAGGGGATATAGGCGGCGTTGGCGCCCGCGTCGAAGGTCGCGCCGACGAGGCTGTAGATTTCTTGCACGAGGGGATCGGGGAGGTAGGTGAGCGAGGAGCCCGTATCAAGCAGAACCGCGAGGGCAAGATCGCCGCCGATGGCGTGGTCGCCCAGCTGCAGCTTGGTGAGGGTGATGAAAAACTCTGCGTAAATGCCGGCTTCGGACTCGACAGGAAGAATCTTCAGCGTGCCAGAATATCTTTCAGTGTCGATGCCGCCGAAAAGAATGTTGCCGGTATTGGCACTGAGGTCGTTCAGCCATAGGCTGTACGCCTTGGACCGGATAGCACCATCGGCGACGAGCTGGGCCGGGAGGTTGTTGTAGGCCTTTTTGCCGGCGCGGCCGACCTGGACTTCGTTGAGGGGATAGCCGATGCCGAGGATACCTTGGTTGTTAGAACTTTCATAACCGATACCGAACTGAAGCCGCTCAATCTTCTTTCCGCCGATGGTGATGGTGTCTGAGGCGTAGTCACCGCTCGCCCCCGAACCGTCGACGTACGAGATGTTGAACCAACTGCCAACGTATTCGTAGGTCGAAGACGAGTTTGCCGAGTAGGTGCCCGCAAAGGCGCACGGATTGTCAGAGGACTGGCAAAGCGACGAGCCTGGGGTGTTGACCCAGAGGTCGCTACTACCGGTGTCGATGTGCAACCTCAGAGAGGTCGGGGGGGTGCCGATAGTGATGTTGATCAAGTAGAGTGTTTCCTGCCCAACAGTTAGTTGTGAGTGCTCGGAGCCCAGGAGGGAGTGAAGTCATACCTCATTATCCAAGCCTACTGTGACAGTACCCCTTTTCCTGAGATTGTCTCTGTGGACGGGATGCCGCGCTGGGCGCCGCTCAGTTTCCAAATTGACAACTCTCAAGCCATCTTCCCTGGTCTGCGGTAGTGACACTGCGGGTATGGGCTTGAAAAAGAACGAGGACAGGACGGCGAAAAAAGAAGTTGATTTCATGATTGACGCTACTTCTCCTTCTCCTTCTTCTTCTTCTTTCTTTTCTCTTTTGGATTTCTGATGGCCGGAGGGATGAGCACAAGAATAACCGAGTCTAAGGCCCATCAAAATGTCGTAGTGATCGTGTATGTATGTTGTACGGAGTAGGGGGGTTATGGTGTAGCGAACATGAGGTGATGGAGGGAACAAAGAGAGCGAGAATAATGTTAATGAGCGCTATAATAATAACATTTAAAGAGAGCCCGAGTAGATATCTAAGCACACAGGCTAGAACATATGAAAGTAGTTGACTTTTCAGGTGGCAACCTTTTTGGCTTTGGGGCAGTGTAGAGTCGTCTGGACAAAGCTGCAGCAAACATTCGTCATGCGTTTGGAATGCACCGCAATACTCCAGACTTTGTCCGATCAAACCCGAGCGTCTGTGGTCTGCACTGTGCTGCTGCTCAAGCAATGCTGCTCAGTGCAGGCAAGGGGGGCGCACGAAGTCAATGGCGGCGGTTGTCAAAATCAACAATGACAACAACGAACATGACAGCGGTTTCGGGGCCAGACGGAGTCGGCAAAGCAGTAACCAGGAACCGGGGTACAGTGAGTTTATTGCTTCGCTGAGCTGGTAGGCCGCTCGCTCCCACAAGAGTTTACTGATCACAAACTAAAGATGCGATGAGGGAAAATAAAGAGCTCCAGAGTCCAGGACGTGGCGGCCACCAGAGCACTCATAAATGCCGTACGGAGCTAATTTGTAAAAAGCATCCATAAAAAAGAGGATCCATGCCCAGCCTCCAGGAAGCGCCAAGCATGATGTGTCGGGATAATGGGCAGCGGACAGCGGCTCTGTCAAGCGCCGGAGGAGCTGGGTTGCTAGATACTTAGCGTGGACATGGAACACCGCACCACCACCACCACCACCACCACCACCGCCGCGGTTGTGTATGACGGTCTGACGGTCTGAGGGTCTGACGGTGTTTTGGAGGAGAAAAGAACTCTACAGCCAAATGGAATGCTCGGAAGACCGGAACGTGATTGACGATGCAAGTTGACGCAAACCACTCAGATGCTTCTTGGCACGCAGCCTCTTGCTGAAGAATCAGGATCGAGACGCAGGATACTTGACGCAGGTGAATTTGAACGGGAGGTGAGGTGACGGACGTGATGAATGCAAGGCTGTGAGAGCTGTTGGCCGCGAAACATCAAGTTAGGTCAAGGTAGGGATCTATACCACACCAGGCACATCCGTACATGCACGGCTTACCTGGGTTAAAATTAAAAGTCTCCGCCGATGTACGTAACCCAAGATCCAGGAACAGAGCAAACGATGAGAGCAATGGGGAACAATTGGTGGTCCGTGGCCCAGCCATATGGAGAGACGACGCGCGGCCCCACACCACACCGTCGCAGCAATCGAGCGATCTGCCGGAGAGCAAACTGGAGCCGGGGCTGGCGCGCTTGCAAGAAAATGATCACGAGAGCGTGCCATTTACTGGTGCGGGAGAAGCGTCCCTCCTCGCAGACGAAACATGATCCGGAGGGTTCTGACACAGAGCCGCGGGGCATCATACAGGCTTGGCATCGTTGTTTCTGCTGCGCTCTCAGCCTCTAGACTCTGGCTGCGAGAAAGCGTGAATCGTGAATCAACCGTTGCATTGGATTTCATTCATCGGATCCCACCTGCCATCGATTGCCATGGACATTGCCATTGCCCAAGCCAATACACTGCCTCTAAGTGTCAATTGATTCGTTGATTGGCTGCTCATTGCTAGGGCGATGGAGATTTGATTGCTTGTGTATGTATATGCATGGTCTGCACCATGTGGATGCTATCACCTTCGGGACGTTATGATGATGTTGTTTACAGATACAGAAGTGATCAAGATGAAAAATCAGCTTTGCGATCACATTTTCACATCCAGGCAGGTCACCGTCGTGAAGACACGTGCCACACCTCCCGCATTCAAGCACGTGCCGGTTCACGAGCAATTCCCAAGAGGGCCGTGGGACAGCAAGCCTGTGCGCTCAACACCCTCAGATGAGTCCCGTGCTAAAGAATTTAGCGTCCATCTCATGTCCAGTGGTACTCAAGTGTACTGGGACAAGTAAAGCTCCAACCATGTGGGACGTTGCAGCAACACAAACCACATCTGATTTTCTCCTGGTCCAACCGCTAATCGCTCAAGCGCTCTCCTTGCCAAGCATCATGATGCCCCGGAATCAAGCCTGCGAGGAGATCCACTTAGCGCCTCATCGGGCTTAGCTCACCACATCCCGGGAGCGGTCAACCCCACACACTTCAGCTGGACCGGGCCGGCCAGGTCGTTTGAGTCCCAGGTTCAAAACTCCAGATGAATTTTCACATGAGACTGGTCCTTCAATGCCCTCACACAACTTCCTCTCGCGAACTGCATGGCCAGCGTCTGTTGAGCATTTTTTCTGCAAACATGGGCAACCGTGTCGGCATTCAAGTTCTCACGGTCCGGTAGACGACAGCTACACGAGGGAAAAAAAAAAACAAAAACACCATCTCCTACCTCCTGATGCTGACTACCGTACGTTGCCCTACCGTAGCGCTGAATGGAAGCGCTTTCAGTTTTCATCCCATCTTGTTGGCGCTGAAAGATGGTCTTGCTGCTCTTACAGAACATGAATGAAAGGCCTCAAGTAGTGAGCAGTATGCAGTATGCGTAGGAGAAAAGTAAACGAAAGGGAAAACGAGCTGGCGACCTTTTTTTTTTTTTTTTGGGAAGGAGGGTTTACAGGGGAGGAGTAAGCCAAAATATATTCTTCGTATTTCTTTCTTTCCTCTCCTGCCTGCATCACTGATTCGTAATATATCTAGTATCATGGAAATTTGAATTGGCCATGGTTCTGGACTGAACTGTTGAGGCAGAAACGTCTTGCTTTCGATTGCTTTCAACTGTCCAATCATCCCAGAGACTTGATCATCTTCGAATGCCTTAGTTAAAATGCAGGTTGCAGAACAGCTCCTGGAATTGCGGTTCTGCCTCGTGTTGGCAATATATGAAGCTGTCAAAGCTGGCCTTGCAAGATGAAGTTTTGAGCGACTGACATTTGGTAGCAGCGGGGAGAAGTTCCTGGAGAACTCCAGACAAAAACCAGATGTTCTGTTACAAGAAACTGGGTATCATTCTCCGCACCATACAGGTCATCATACAAAACCTTAATGTACCATGCAAACGGCACAGCGACTAAAGCGCCCATTCGTCCTTATCGTCATCATCCTTGATGAACGGCTCATTGATCCTCCGAATAGCGTAATCACTGCATAGAATGCTGTTCTCGTCGTTAACGTCACATCGCAAGCTCAGCATGAATTGCTTTCAAGGAGTAAACTCACCAAGCAGAAGCAATCAGAGCATCCAACTCCGCAATCATCGCCTCCCTCTTCTCCCCATTGACCAAGCCCTTACTAATCTGCACCTGACACTCCTTGATTCTCCTTGCTTTCGCAGGCGGGGCCTGCTCCAACACTCTCCTGGCCAGACAGTCTGAATGGAATGCGTGCTGGCAGGGAAACACGAAAAACTGCCTGCTCAGCAGCGGCAGTCCACAGGCATAGCACTTCTCACCGGGCTCGACTATCGCGTACCGCTTGTCGAGCGCTGCGATATCCACCTTGATGTTGGCTGCCGTCTGGCTCGCTTCGTCCATTTCGCGCCGCAGCGCGTCGATGTTGCGGCTGTAGTCTTCCAGAGCCGCGCAAATCTCTTCTTTAAAGTCATCAATCACCACGAAATCCGGGAAGAAGGGGATCAAATCCTCAATCTTGAGCAGGTCACACCGGCGCAGGAAGTCAATGGCCGTCTTGATGCCATCTGACTGCTGCGATATCACCTTTTTGGCGACCTTCAACCATAGCTTCTTCCGCAGCTGTGGGTTGGAAATGGGCCTATCGGCGATAATGGACGCCAGCTCAACCTCGTCGTGGGCTAGCGCCAGATCCACCGCCGCCCCGTACTGACCCATGCTGGTGTAGATATGTGCGCATGACAATACGCGGCGGTGCTGGATGCACAGGCGTAGAGCAAAGTCCGGATCGTAGTTCGGCTCTTCTCCTTGGGACTCGAGATATTCAAGCAGGGCAGACTCATCCTTGGACGGATGGGATGCATAGATAGAGACAAGTGTATTATGCACCGCCGAGTCGGTTGAGCCAAGCTGGTTGACGACGTACAGAAGATAGCGAACGGCCTGGTTTTGGGCCAGCGGACCCTTGTAGTTTCTGTCGTACTCCAGCATCGCCGGAATGAGGTTGCGCGGATTGAGATTGCTCTGACGCATGAGGATCTCGACTAGCTCAGTGGCAGCATGGGTCATAAGCACGCTGCTATATCGATAAAAGACTTCGGGATCCGTCTGCTTCTTGAGCACCTTCAGCGCCTCAGTCCAGCGTTCCCGCTGAACCCAGTATGAAAGGACATAGTTGTAATCGTTGATCGCGTTAGCGTAGTAGAGAAGCTCCTCTTCCCTCCCGTGGCTGCCAATCACATCGTAGACTGTCTTACGGTCGAGATCCCCTTTGTGTTTATTGATGAAATCCTGGAACTCGGCACGAACAGCTTCCAGCTGCTCCTTGGTCTGATTCGGGTTGAGCGTCTCGGAGAGCTCTGCTCCTGTTATGATGGTATCGTCGAGCGAGTTTAGCTTGGCCATGAACACCTCAATCAACCACGTTGCTATCATCACCCGCTGCATGACTGCTGACTTTTTGTATGTACCCAACTTAGTTAATAGATATTTGCGCAGGGCATCTGGTTGTTCGTTGTCGATGAACGTGAGCGCCACCTCCTCAAAAGGCTTGCTGCTCTTGCCGTAAACGGCGGCAGCTTCGAGAAATTGTCCCTTGCTTACAAGATGGTCCCCTGACGCGATGGCCACAGCATCTTTTTCGGCTGGCGTGTGCGCATATTGCAAGGCGGCATCGAACTGCTGCAGCTGCAACATAATCTTCCAGATATCACGGTCCTCATCCCTTGGGACTATCTCAAAGATCTCCTGCGGTGTAAACAGCCAAAAAGTGCTCTTCTGCTGATCCACACAAAGCCCAACCGCTTTCTGGCCGGGGTTCAGGATGGTCTGGTCGTAAATAATTGATCCGGTCAGCCGGTTGGCAATCACGACCCGACCGGCAACGAGGCTCACGATATGCCACTGTGTGAGCGCCACTGCATCAACATACTCGGTTGATAGCTGCCTCCGGGACGCCCCTTCGGGGTTGGCCAGCTGAGCCCGCGGAAGCAGCTTGGCCTCGGCAAAGACCTTGGCCCCTAGCTCAGACAGAGGGCCTTTAAGGAGGAGTTTCCCATGGTACACGCCGTGTGATGACAACCAGGCAAACGCGCGCTCAGGAACTTCATCCTCGCGGAACCGGGGTGACGGCTGCTCTGCGTCTGGAGACACAACCAACATGGACATAGCCGCAGCCGAGGCGCCTGACAAGGCATGGACTGTGGGCTGCTCTGCTTCAAACAACTTATCATAAATGGATGCGCCACCACCACTGTCATGCCCCCGACCAATCTTCCCAACCCAATGGAAGAGCCGGCTCGAGGTAGCGACCAACACGCGCCGCGTATCCTTGTGGCCAGGTAACGAGTCTGCCCAAAGTCCGGTAATGGGACCATCCGGAAGCTTCTGCACCAGCTTCAGATATTTGTCCTCCCGGCGGTAAAACTCTGTAGAGGTCTCGATGTAGGCCTCGTAGATGTTGCCATCTGCGGCGCCAATGAGGATTTCGCGCGTTGACTGGGTAGGAAGCGCAGGACTCCAGGCAATGCTTTCGATTACGACGCCACGCAGGCGGGCAAGCGGCCGTGGCTGGCGTGACTGCGAGTGTAGATAGTAGTTCTCGCCGAGGGACGTGCAAATGATGAGGTGCGAGGCGGTTGGGTCCAGAAACATGCGCCGAATGACGCCTACCTCTGACGGCTTCTTGGGGAGATCGATGTCTGGGAACAACGGAAAAGGTCAGTGACTGCTTGTTCCAAGACCGTAATTATAGGGGGATATGGGATGGAGGGTGCACACACCGTCGATGTCCTCTGGCTTGTTGAGATCGATCCGCAATATCCTGCCGTTGGAGAGAGCGATGACGAGGACGTTGTTGGCAGCTTGGCCGGCCACAAAGTCGGCGGCAACAGAGAACTGAAGCTGGACAGGCAAGACCTCAAAGATAGGGAGGGTCGCGTCGGCGAGCTGGAGGTTGGCGATAGCGTCGGCGGCGGCGAAGCCGCTGGACAGATCGAGCGCCATTGGGACGAGAGGGTTATGGCGTCAGGACATCAGATACCGTATCAGATCCGCATGTTGAATCGGGCAAGGTAAGCACTTGGGCTTCCAAGTCCGAGAAGAAGTGTTAAGTGTCGGGTATGGTCGGTGGCGTGTGTGCAAGTTGCTTAGGTTGGTTAGGGGTTCCAAGCTGCCGGGGCTGCTGTGTTTAATGGTTGGGACCGTGGAAAAGTGGTGCGGGAGGAAGGTCCTGTCTGTCGGCGTCATCACCGCGCCAGCTCCTCTCAGTTGTGACCCCAGCAGCTTGGGCAAGGGCACGGGCTCAAGGAGTTGGGGCTCCCTCCCCCACAGCAGCTCCCCGCACATACAAACGGTACCGTGTGTGCCTGTAAAAGCGTGGAGAGCCTCCCAAGTCCCGACTGACCGTTGCGGCGTTTCCGCCTGGCTCGCATTTGGATTGTACGAGATCATCAGTCTTCATCCCTCAAGAGGATATCCATTTTATTTCCACTACTACGCATTATACCGATTCACCTTACGAATGAGCCGGTTCGCTGGCAGAAAGCGCTGCTTGTATAACCTCACGTATGGCATGTCAGGTCTGGTACTGGGTACCTTACTTCAACATATAGCATAATACTGGCGAAATACTCCCCCCTCCCCCCCGTCTTACCCCTAAACCTCCATCTTCTCTCCGTCGGTCACTCTTCACATCTCCCCTCTTCTCCTGGCTGCCGTCAAGCTGTTTGGTCCAAGTCATTTCAAGACCGTCCATGTGCAGCATGCCGACGTGAATCCTCGGTCCGTGGAAGCCCAATGGGTACGTAAACGCATTATGTACACGCAAAGAGTCGATGGGTATCTACATGACTGTCAACATGTCCTCTCCTGTCCTGCATCATGGCACAAACTACCGGTAGGTAGGTAGGGTCGGTAGGTGACTTAGGCATGCTTGCCGCTCGCTAGTCCGTGCCATCGCTTATTGGCGAAGACCTTGGAACGTGCCCCCGTCATTCCATCCGTTCCCTCACCTTCTCACCTCTTCATCCTCCGTATGGACTCCCCAACGCCAACCAACCAAATGTGCCCCTAACCTGCTCGTCGAAGCCCCAGTAGGATCTGATGAACCAGGCAGAAGTCAAAGTCGTTTTCCATTACCAACTTATGCAAACTTATGAGAGTTCATGACGCCTGCTCGGGCACGATATCACCCCCGCCAGTTGCGCTCTCATCCCCGCTTAGCTCGAGGATCTCGCCGTTTTCGTTCAATGCCTTGGCTGTCCACTGCCCCGCCACAAGCGGCTTGCGGGCGATGACAAAGCGAGCTTTAATGGCGAACTTTTCTGTACGGGTTGTGTCAGAAGCGATAGCCTTGATTTCGTTTCCAGCCTGTTTGCAGAGGTCTACCACATCCTCGAAATCCCAACCGAGATATTTGGTCAACAACCGCCCGCACTCAGCCTCAAGGCCCGACACCAGAATCAACGCCACGTCCCTACCATACCAGTCATTCTCGAGGGCCCCAATGCCGAGTTCGTACACCTTTTCGTGGAAATCAACAAAGCCCACATCCGTCAGTCGTTGCTTCTCAAGGTGCCGTCCATCACGGGGCTTCCCAGTCAGCTCCACGGCCTCTCTGACAGCCCTGGCAAGCGTCTGAAAGGCTGAGCCCGGAGGGAAGAATGCCAGGATGCCAGGGTCAGCAAACCAGTCCACCCAGTCAATCACCTCAATCCAGCCGCCGGGTTTCAGGCACAAAAAGGCCTGTTGATAAATGAAATCCCAGTCGGAAAAGGCACCCTCCATGTTCCTCAGGTGAACCAAATCGAAATGGTTGGCCGTATGAAGCCACTCGTCCTCGGCATCCTCGAGGACAAACTCGACATTCGAGGGAACCTGGGAAGGCTGGATGGGCGCGATGTCGGTGCCGAAAACCTCGCATTTTCGGTACTTTTCGGCCATATTAACAGCCCATTCGCCGACGCCCGTCCCGACATCTAAAACATGGGTTGGATTTGTCACAGGTGTTATCGTCAACTCTAAATCTAATAACCTGAGAAAGATCTGGTTGATCAACCACTGACGCGCCTGTTCGTTTGCATCGTAGGGCAGATGGTAATCGGCAAGGTACGGTTTGTCGTGCTCATAGATATAGTCGATGTCTTGTGCATATATTGTTCTTGCAGAGTCACTGCATGCGTATCTGTGTTAGCGTTAGTTCGCTTAGTTCGCTGAACGAGGAAGAGTGTTCTCGAAGGGGGGAAGAGGGGAGGGGGGGGGGCTACTTGCATTGTAGCCCCATCCATCACGATAGAGGCAGACTGGAGGTCGGGATGCAGGCTATGAGCATATACCGACACAAGATCCACGTCTTCATCATCCTCAGAGAGATCTGGATCGTCGATATTGTCGCGGTCAGGATCACCACCACTGTCATCATCCATTTCGTCGTCGTCATTGTAAGTCGTCACTTCATATATGATTGGCTCAGTGTTTATTTGCACTGAGTGACGAATCTCGCGAGTCCTATCCTGCAAGGTTTCCACGCCTGCCGGTTGTTGTTGTCGCCGGGCTTCGGAGGGGGAGGAAGCATCGGCATTGGGTCGCTGCTGAACTTGCTGGGGGGATTGTTCACCCGTCAAATGCGTGCCGTTTGCTTGGTTGCAGGCCTTTGTTTCCTTTTCGTCCATTATGTCTTACTAGCACTCGTCCCAACACGTTCCACACTCTAGAATGGATGGCTCATTGCCACTAGTCCCCCAGCAGAATGTCCGCACGAGACAGGCTTGTCTGCAGGATCGAAACACGTCGTGTTCGTTTGGAGTGGAAGAAGCAGCAGAAGGTGCTGGATCAGCAAGAGGCCCTGAGGCTGAGTATCTGGGTTGATCACGAAGGTGAGACAAGGGAGATGGAGCGATAAGGTGGCGGGTCTTGTGAGTGTTTTTTTCTCTGTAGCACGCCGAGCTTGAAGCAATTGCGCGGATGCTGCTGCTGGCGCTGGTGTCGGGCTCTAAACAGGTGAGGCTGAGATGTGGAAGAGCACGAGGAGCCGGATATGACCGGGGCGATCGGCGCAGGCCACAGGGAGCCGAGCCGTTCGAATGCTACCGTTCCAAGAGGGTCTCGGGATCGTGAGATTGAGAAGGAGGGAGACCTCAAGGGCCTTCACCTGTCCACGGGTTCACGGGTCCGCGGTCAGAAGACACAGCCAAAGGACAAGAAGAAGAACAGAAAACAAAAAAAAAAAGGAAAACAAGAGAGGCCAAGAAGGAAGAAGGAAAATGGGGGGGCGGGAGGAAGGAGACAAGAATAGCTACATTTATGTATCCGCCGCGTGCTCCCCTACCGTATGTACTAGGACACCAGCGCACGCATTACACCACGCCAGACACAGCGACCCGGGGGGACGGGACGCAGGCCGACCAAAAGGCGAACGGCCCCCCTCCCGGCGCCCACCCGTGGCGGTTTAGAGCCCAGACGGGCCAGTCGTTAACGACATGGAACAAACATGGCGCTAGCCCGGACCCGTCGAGGGACAGCCCGCGCTAGTGGGTCGAACTGCCCCTGTCGCCCGCCCGCTATCAGAAGATCAGAACGCCTAGCGCCCAGCCCCACCGCAAAGGGTCCGGGCTCTCTTGCAAGTTTGCGGGGCCGCTGGCCAGTTACTGGGTTGGCGGCTTCGGGATGGCTTCTTACTTCTTACGGCAAATTTCCTCGGCGCTCGCTGGCATCCCTTGTCTTTCCACGAAGCGAATCTGCGCTGTAGCCCATCTCATCGGCAACAATGAACATCTATCGATCGATTCGATTTCAGCTTCGTCTCTGGTTGCAACTTGCGCAACCTGGGAGCACTTGTGCCATGGGCCATAGCCAACACAGCGTCACGCCGACGCGGCTCTCATGTCACTAGAGCTGCTCGTTGCTCGCTTCTTGCTGCTGTTGGCTGCCAGATGGAGTACGGTTTAGCTAATGTACTGCCACCGTATGTTCCTGTCGAGCTGTCATGCATCCGATGGATGAGTTGACGCCCAGCACGTCTTCTGGAAAGCCGGTGCCCGGTGGCTATCGGACCATGCCGCAAATTGTCGCTCTCGCACCAAACCTTGAACGCCGCCGACATGGTGCTCCCGCATGCACGGAACTCACTTCCGTGGGTCTGGACAAGTAACTGAGAGACTTTTAAAGTCCTGCAGAACGGGCACAGGACTGTGGGAACGGAATACAGAGCGTGCCATCCGAACGGTCCTTTCTTTTGGGCTGCCGGCGAAAGAGGGAAAACGGAGCATCTCGCCCACCCAGCCGGTCCAGGGCACCAGGCTCGGCAAGAGGTTGGCAGTGCCCTTTCCGTTCGGACGAATCGGCGAATAGGCTTTACATCGGGTCCTTGAAACCGCCTTTTCTTTGATTCTGTTTCCCCTCCCAACCTATCCATTTCAAGTCGTGCAAGAAAACACAGATCGGTCCCAAGCTGTCGGGTCGGGCAGACCGTTTGAACGACGAATGGGAACGGGGATTCTGGGGTTGGACTTAGCGCTCGACTCGACGAGAGACTTTCCGCCTGTTACCTGCACTGGTTCAAGTAGGTACCGCAGTGTAGTGGTAATGGCGAGCTCCGGTAAGCAAAACAGATAGAAAACGGGGAGGCCAAAGTGGGCTCCCGATGGTGAAGAAACAGTGGCCATCAAGGTCTTTGGCAATAACGTTGTACTTCAGCAACGCGGTAATCCTCCCTTGCACATAGTGTACCCGCTTTCCTCCGTAGCGTGCTCGGGGGCGCCCGCGGTTATGTGGTCCGTGCAATGCCTGATCCGTCAAAGGCAGCGTACAGAGCGGGCATCTCCCTCAAGTCACCGAAGACAACCTGGAAGTCAAGGTACTCAATGACCATTTACTCCACGATATGTATCAATTACCTTAGGTAGCTTCTAAGCAGGAGTCACGATATTGACACAGTACCCAGATCTGCGCAATTCTAGCATAGGCTACGGCCCTGTCCCTGGTGTTTCTTCTACGAGTTGGGCAGGCCTTGAGCGCATGTACATACAAGGATAGGGTCATCCCGGTCAGTGCGGTAGAGTATGCCGTACTCGCAACCTAGGTACGGATTACATGACGCCCATCATGAGCCAGGCACGGCGCGGATCAATTCCGTCTTCTCCGTAGCCAAATGGACGGATCCCTTAAATCACAGATCTCGAGGCGACCTTCCTCACCAACGAGGTGCCGGGAGCCGAGCCCGCCGAGCAGGCATCGACCCGCCGGTTCGGTGTCCAACGAGAGCTTGCCACGACACCTTCTCCTCCACCTTCTGCATTTCGAAAGGGGTCGGGGCCCGAGCTGCTGGGACCTAGTAAGGTCCCAGGGCCGCAGCACGAGGGCGCGCAGGAGGCTGGGACGCAAGGTAACTTAGGATGCCCCCAATCGCGTATTTCTTTTTCAGAGCGGCACGTTGCATAATCGCTCCCGGATTTTGTGGTTGCTTTCGGGAAATGTGGAGCTCGTGTGTATGCAAAGTTGAGAGCAAACCACACTACTCGATGCTCACGATGGACCCCGAGTAGTCAAAAACCTGCTTCGTTTTCACAGCTTTTGCTCAGGTACAGTGCGGTCACTGACTGGTCTCCGTAGAAAAGTATCTAAACCATGCAGTACAAAGCTATAGGGTTATTGGTGGCTAGTGATCGTGTACAGACGCATGACTGGATCGAGAGCTGCCCAGTTCCAACCCATTGAGCTCTCACCATGGTGTGGTTTAAGTATACGGACTACCTCCTGGACTCCTTCCTCAGCAAAAAAAAAAAAAAAAAAAGACAGGACTGTTTCAAGGCCCTCTCAGTCATGTTGAAACCGTTGACATATTTTCCAAGCCACAGAAGAAAACTCCAGCTTCTTCTGCCATGACTTATACTACCCTTCGCCTTCGTTTCACCCCGGACCATTCTAGGACAACTGCCTAGAAGACATCCCCCTGAGTCCACGGATGCTCCCGCTAGGGACTGGATACGGAAGCCTTGCCGGAGGAACTCCACAATGCCGGGGCGTTTTCGGTCCCTCTTTGCGGAATCTCCCTCTCAAACGTCATAAAGGGCAGGTGTGAGAGGTCTCCTTCTCCGTAGGGATACCTATATTGGAGCCCGAGGTGAAACAAGTGGCACTATTCCTTTGAATCCTGGCCGTCTCGACGAGTCCTATTCGGAAGCAGTCCGACTGATCACTGCAGCCGGCTCCGTATGGTGCTTTAACGTCCAGGAACACTCGCTTAGATGACGCATCAGCATAAACTCGGTCTTGCCTACTTCCTTGAGAAGTGAACAACTCGGGTTGAGTGAGCCACGTTGCATTGACTAACGTGTTTTTGCACGAGTCTCATCAATAGGTGCACAATAGAGCTCACATTATGTGTTTTTGCCCACAAGAATGTAACGTCTATGTAGATCGTAAGTGCCCCCTCGACATACTCCTGGCACTCCAAAACCCTAACCATACAAGCCGATGTCGCCTCAAAGCCCAGACCACAAAACATGCGTACCAACTGCGTAAATCTGCCACGTCAAGTACACTTTTCCGGAATGCTACTGGTACATGCGGTGGCCGTAAAGCTAGCCATTTGCTTCTGTTGTTGCCGTCCATCAAACTCGTCAACCTTCCTTTTCTTTTTGACTGATTCGGCTTCGTCTCCTCCGCAGCTGCCGCTGGTTCGTTTGATGCGAAGTCCTCGGACGCAGACACTGTCGGCACCCTGTGGATTATCCGACACATGCTCATCGTCTTCAACCACCTCTCTGCCGGATACCACAGGAAACGGGCTCAGAACTTTGCTGATATCCCCCCACCACCTCTCTCCGAACCGACGGTACCACTCAACCGTGATTCTGAGTCCTTCCTCGAAGCTCATTTGTTGCTTCCAGCCCAGCTGCCGCAACTTTGTCGCGTCTACTGCATATCGATGATCGTTGAACGGCCGGTCGTGCGTATACTTGACCCATCGGCTGAACTCTTCCCGCCTATCGTGAGATATACTGAAAAGACTTAGGAGCTTTTTGGCTAGGCTAAGGTTGCTAATCTCATCACTCGAGCCCACATTGTAGATCTGTCCGATCTGGCCCCGGTGAAGGATTGTGTCAAAGGCATCGGCAGCGTCGCCTGCGTACAAATACCGCCGCGTTGGGGAGCCATCCCCATGCAGGACGACGGGCTTTCCACGGTTTAGAAGGCAAATGAACTTGGGAATAATTTCTGTGGCTTCGGTGTCAGTTCCTACACTTCTCGACACCGGCCGTGAGAGTAATGGGAGGGAAACGGTAGGTAAGTCTTACTTTCTGGATACTGATGCGGCCCATAAACGTTATTACTCCGAACTATAATGGCCGGTAATTTGAAGCTTTTCTGGTATGAGTGGACAAGCATCTCGGCAGCCGCCTTACTGGCGGCGTAGGGGTTCGTCGGGGCCAAGATACTGGTCTCGAGAAGGTCATCGTCGTCATCTCGGACTTCACCGTAAACTTCATCGGTCGAAACATGAATAAAGCGCTTGATTCGACCCACCCGCTTGGCGCTTTCCAGCAGTACATGCGTCCCGTATACATTTGTATGTGTGAAATGATACGAGTTGCCGAAGCTTAAGTCTACGTGAGATTGTGCTGCAAAGTGAATGATGGTGTCGATATTGTACCGTTCCAGACAGTCTAGCACTTCGGACGGATTGGTGATGTCTCCCTGATAGAAGGTGAAGTTCCGCCTGTCGTTGAGGACTCGGGTATTGTTCAGCGATGAGCAGTAGTCCAGCTTGTCAAAAGAAACGATATTATAGGCGTGGGGATATGTGAGTGTAAGGTGTCGCACCAGCCAACATGCACTGATGAAGTGTTAGCTCTGCCCGATACTAGGAGCGCGTCCGAGATATGAATCGAGGTTATCGGCATTCTGTTGCTATTGTCGAACTTCTCAGGACAACTTACATGAAGCCCGCACCCCCAGTGATCATGATATTCTTGACATCTGGTAGGGGCTCAAACTTGGTTGTGCCGACAAGCACAGGGGCTTCCTTCCAGACGCCATAGTCCTCGAAGAAGCTAGGCCGACCAGAAGTATCATTCTTCACATGGCCTAGTCACCATAGTCAGCTTAATATTCTCCCTTTCCCCATACACGCTACGCTCCGGGATATCTGCCGTATGTTTTTTTTTTTTTTGTTGGAGAAGCGGTACTCACTGTTGGCGACCCCATTCCCTTGCGCCGCCCCGTCAGAGATCGTCATGTCACTAGAGCGCTCTGCGAAACACCGAGACCAGCTCCGCTTGATTGGGTCGCCCCTGGTCCAGGTCACAACGCCACGTGGGGGAACAGAGTGAGAAGACTCAATTCTCCAACTTGGGTATATCTTCAATTGACTCAGTATGCTCCTTATCGATGTTTAATGGATGCCAATAGGCGTGACCTGTCTGTCAGATTGTTTTGGGGTCGGCCGCTGAAGGGTTCGGTGGGCATTACGGCTAGAAAATGAGCCAAGGTTTATAGCCAAGCATGGCAACTCGACTTATGTTCCGAGTCGCCAAAACTGGTAAAACGAGACAATTGATTCGGCCACGCTAGCTTTCGCATTAGATGGCAAAATCATGTTGCACAGCACGGCTTTTGCCTACTGCTTTCAGCCCTGTATCTCATCAAGATGACAGATCTTGTCTCACATGCTGCAGCTAATGAACCAACGCCTGTGCACCCCACCTAGTAAATTCAATATACCTAGACATGGTTGTCCCTCCTTTGTCCCATATAAGAATATCATGACAGCTCTCTTGCCTAGATGCTCACGTTCAACACGTTTACTGCGGTGAAGTATGCTGCGAGTATGCAGTCGAATTATTCTGAACCATGGTGTCATACAACTTGTCAAGGGGTCCTCCTGCTCATCCCAGGATCTGAAGTCACCAACCCTTGATTGACGGAGCAGAGCCTTGCACAAACCGGCTGGCCATCAGATGCACCCCATCGATCAGGGCTAGGGTCTGCAAGGTCCAAACAAGCAGGAAATGGCAGCTGATGCATGCAGTCATTCGAAAATTATCATATCCTTGGTTGCATCTAGTGGCCAGGGCGTTAACTGCTGTAGCAGTAAATTAGGCCTCAGTGTACGGCGCAGATCAGCAAGATCTGTTTCCATGCATATAGTATGCAGTTGATGGTAAGGCGGTAATGTTCGCGATGGTTGGAGACGTGAAGTTAATGGCAACATAGGAAGTATCCAGATGGAGAAAGGAAGCTGATGTTCCGAGCCGAGCAGCTGACAGTTACCAATCAAAAATACTGGCACCAGCAATGCTGCTGATCTTAAATCTGGAGACTCTTACCAGGCTTGGCTAGGATAAAATTGTGGCCAGATATGTGTTCGGGGCAGATAGCCCAGGCTGGGCTTTTTTACAAGTGAATGTTATGCCAGACTGGAAATCCAACATCTTTCATAACATATTGGAATTCAACATCACCTCCTCATCGCTAGCATCCTGCTGGCATTCCTGCTGTTTCGACATGTGAAAAGAACCATGTGTGATTATGTCAACAGGGAACGAAAAACAGAACGCCATGGTGTTATCACACACGCTAAAGTCAACAAGTCCAAAGCGGGGCAACACCACTCACATGGCCTATGATCTGGAGAAAAATGAATCTTTAAGAGGACAAGAGACTTGGAGAGAGGGAGCTAAGGAGAATGATGGGCTCTTGCAGAAAGAGGAACGGGCGCAGCCAGGGATTGTCCGCCAAACCTCCTTCAGCTCGTCCTTAACCTGGATGGTCATCAACACACTTGCCACGATTGGAATTGTATTAGCCGCCTACCAAGATCCCCTCGAACAGACAAGGGTGACAAACTGACATACTATTCTAGGTATTCACCAACAAAGCAATCTTTACCTCACCTGCCCTCAAATTGGCTCAGTTGTCGTTCGCCGCCTTCCACTTTCTTGTCACCTTCCTAACCCTCTTCCTCCTCTCGCGTCGATGGCTCCCTGGGGGAGCCCTCTTCATGCCCCGACGCATCCCCATTCTTTCTATCCTCCCCATATCGGTGGCCATGGCTCTCAACGTCATCTTGCCCAACCTTTCTCTAGCTTTCTCCACAGTCACTTTCTATCAGATTGCCCGTATACTTCTGACGCCAACCGTCGCTGCTCTCAACTTCTTCCTATATGGGGCTACACTCCCACGCAGGGCTGTCTTGACACTTATCCCAACCTCCCTTGGAGTGGCAACAGTGTCCTACTACGACTCGCATCCTCCAAACTCCACTGATCTTGATGATCCAAACAAGACAATTCAAATAACCCAACCTCTGGGCATTCTTTTTGCCCTCTTGGGCACATTTGCCTCATCTCTCTACACTGTCTGGATTGGTGCATATCACCGGCGGTACCAGCTGTCAAGTATGCAGTTATTGTACAACCAAGCGCCAGTAGCATTCGCGATTTTGCTCTATGTCATCCCGTTTATCGATGTGCTACCTACTTGGGAAGACCTGCAGCAAGCGACTGAACATGACGAGAAGAATTGGCACGAATTGGGCGGCCTGATTTTGCTCAGTGGCTTGTTCGCTGCGTTGATCAATATCAGCCAGTTCTTCATCGTGGCGAGTGCGGGAGCTGTATCGAGCACGATGGTGGGCCACGTAAAAACATGTCTTATTGTTGTCTTGGGGTGGATTGCTTCAGGGAGAGGCTTAGTAGGAGGAGGAAAGTGCTTGATGGGAGTGGTAACTGCGCTGGGGGGAATCATAGCGTGAGTGTTGTCTGCTTCCTGTTGTCTCTCTCGGGTAATGATCATTGACTGCTGACTCCTCAGTCAGATACTCAACCATCATGCTCCAAGTAAAAGCCACAAAGGAGGAGTGTAAAACGCGCCATTGATGTGGGTATAGTATAAAAACTGTTCAAAAGCAAACATCGAAGCGCTTAGTGCTTCTGCCCTAGAGGTACCGACCAATGTGGGACAGTTAGTTGGCCCGTGAGTCTTAGATACCTAAATTTCTCATGTGAGGTTGATGACCGTTTCCCTTGTGTCTAGTAAAACCTAACGGGTCCCAAACGGGCGATCCAGTTACTCGCTGATATTCGTCGACACTAGGGTATCACAATTTTGCCGTTACAAGTTGAAGCGAGTTCTCTTCTTTTCCATCTTTGCCTTCCACTCCCACTTAACAGCGTCCGGGCCCTCACTGCCCGCTCTACCGACACCCTTATCAACTCTCCGAAGCTTGAGTGTCATTCCTGTTGGAAGGTTAGGAACACTCTTCACGCAAAGGAGTCTGGGAATGGATACTCACTTGGCCCAATCTCCTGTAAGCCAGCACGAATCCCCTTTACGCCCTCCATCTCTTTGCCATCTGCACCCACAACGTTTTTTTCTGTCGGCCGTGCCTCACGAAAAACATAACGATGGCGACGGAAGAATATGTAATCTATAGAGGTGTGTTAGATAGGGATGTGGATATCAAGAGAGGTGTGCAAGTCATACCACGCTGATTGTGTAGTGTCACGACTTGCCTTCCGGCAAGTTCGGGTTTGGAAGGAAATAGGATGTGCATTGATTTCGCAGCCAGCAAACCCAAGGGCGTCTTGAAATTATTGAGAAGCAGTTCCGGCTAGCCAACCAGTTAGCAGGCAAAATGCGATTGGGGTCCAGCAGACACATACGTAGTGGTTAGTAGCCCTGCCGTGGCCGGGAATGGCCTTGCCCGGAGCGTAATTTCGAATGGTGTACGTAAGCGTTGGACCTGGGGGAACACCTTCACCATTGAGATGAACGACAACGAGTCGGCTTGGCCGTTTCTGATCTTCTTGGACGACAAGCAATGCAGTGTACCCGCGGTCTGGTAGATAGTTAGTCGCTGCTGTCAGCGACGGCAGGATTAAGGCGTCAGTAAAAACTTACTTTTCGCAAACTTCGCAATCTCTCTCACACTGTATTTGTATGCATAACGGTGCGCGGTGCGCCTGATATATGTAGCTATGGGGTGTCAGAACCCTGCAACTTCCTGGAGATCGTCGAACCTCTTACCATTGGGGAATATAGAGGCGATCTCCTCAGCCTCCTTGTGGATGGTCCCGTTGATGCCAGTAGTTACCAAGATCTTGGGAACCGGTGGCGGTTCATCAGCGAAGAGATTCGGGAATTGAGATGTGAGGGAGTCAGGGGTAAGATCGAGGTTGGTTGAAGTTGTTGAAGGAGCAATGCTGGGTTGTCTCTGGGCGCGTTGCCTTTGCATCTCTTCTTCTTTCTCTTTCTTGGCACCTTCATCCTCTTCGTCTTCATCGTCGGATCCAAGCATGCTGTCGATATCGTCGTCTCTCTTTTCGTTCTCGTCATTCTTGTCATCCACTTCCTGATCCTCTCTTGCTGCCGCATCTGCCTCTGCAGCTGCGGCTGCCTCAGCAACTTCCAAGCGACGCCGCTTCAGCTCGGCAACATCCACAACAGCACCAAGACTGTCATCGTCAAGGTCATCCCATATTCTCTTCTTATCAATGCTAGCAGGCTGGTTTTTCTCGAGTCGTTTCTGCTTAAGTTCTGGGTTTTTCGCTTCTTCTTTGCGCCTTCGGTGTCTCTCTTCGTGTTTCGCCCTGCTGTTGGCCTTCTTCGCTTGGATGTAAAGCTGCTGCCTTTTCAATTTATTGCCAATTGTCCGGGCCAAAGAAACCCGAGACAAGTCTTTGGACTTTGAGGCTGCCATAGCTGCACCTGATGTGTAGATGCTACAATGGCACGATGCTGCTGGCAGTGCTGCCGCTCGGCGATAAACAAAGTCGATGTCCCAAATTTTTTTGGAGGTTACGCCCGTCAATCAGACCCCAACCCATGACATGCATCCATGCAGGGCAGGGGGTTCCCGGCCCGCCTCAGCGGGTCCCGCTGCCCCTCCTTTGCCCGCTGATAAGGCCACATATCAGCAACTCAGCGCGGGGCACTGTTATGGTGTTTAGTTGCGAGTTTTGCCCTTTCGGCTTGCCATCTGATGCATGAAGTGGGGTTACGGTAGCAAATTTCATCCAATCTGCGCAGCAACGGCCTCCGGACCTGAATCGGCCGAGACACAAAAAGAGGACCGTGAGGGCAAAAAAGGTTGTGACTCAACCTGGTTGGGCGAACGCCAATGCAATTGATGAAGCCTTTTCTACCCGCGCCCCTCTCTCCCTTCTCACCACTCGCTGGAATCGCTCGCATCCTCCGCAAGGGTGGCAGTCCAACGGTCTTTCATTCAGTTCGCATATTTTCGTCTTTCACTGTCACTGCCCCGCGCAGCTACGCTGCGAAGTTCTTGGTCAGCAAAAAAGGAAAACAACCCGGCAAAATGACTACCACGGCCACGACTCTCAAGGGCGAGCCCCTTGATAAGGCTCAGCTCGAATCCATGCTTCGCCGGCGCATGTTCTACACGCCCTCGTTTGAGATCTACGGCGGCGTGGCCGGCCTGTACGACTACGGCCCGCCGGGCTGCGCCCTGCAGGCTAACATCATCGACATCTGGCGGAAACACTTCGTCCTGGAGGAGGACATGCTCGAGGTTGACTGCACCGTGCTAACCCCCCATGATGTGCTCAAGACCAGTGGCCACGTCGACAAGTTCGCGGACTGGATGTGCAAGGATCCCAAGAACGGCGAGATCATGCGTGCTGATCACTTCGTCGAGGACATCCTTGAGTCCCGTCTTAGGGCCGACAAGGAGGCACGCGGCGAGAAGGTTGAGGAGAAGGAGGAGGATCCCAAGAAGAAGAAGAAGAAGGCCAAGGCCCTGGAGGCCGCGAAGCTGGATGATGCCACTGTCAAGGAGTATGAGGAAGTTCTGGCTCAGATCGACAACTACAATGGCGAGCAGCTTGGCGAGCTGATCAAAAAGTATGACCTGAGGAATCCTGCCACCGGTGTCCAGCCCAACCCTCCAGTGTCCTTCAATCTCATGTTCCAGACATCCATTGGCCCAAGCAGCAATTTCCCCGGTTACCTCAGGCCGGAGACAGCCCAGGGCCAGTTCCTGAACTTCGCGAAGCTTCTGGAGTTCAACACTGGCCAGATGCCTTTCGCTTCTGCTTCCATTGGCAAGTCTTATCGGAATGAGATCTCACCCAGAGGTGGCCTCCTTCGTGTCCGTGAGTTCTTGATGGCTGAGATCGAGCACTTTGTTGATCCGGAGAGCGGTAAGAAGCACCACCGCTTCCACGAGGTTGAGGATATTGAGCTTGATCTCCTCGACCGCCACACCCAGCTCTCTGGTAAGACTACCACCACAAGAATGAAGATTGGCGATGCAGTCCGGCAGGGTATTGTTGATAATGAGACCCTGGGTTATTTCCTTGCTCGCATCCACCTCTTCCTTAAGAAGATTGGCATCGACCAAAAGAAGATCCGTTTCCGGCAGCACATGGCCAACGAGATGGCTCACTATGCTTGCGACTGCTGGGATGCCGAGCTTCTTACTTCGTCTGGCTGGGTCGAGTGCGTTGGTTGTGCTGATCGCAGCGCGTACGATCTATCTGTTCACGCCAAGAAGACTGGTGCGCCGCTCGTCGTGCGCCAGCGCCTGGATGAGCCCAAGGTTATTGAGGAGTGGGCTGTGGAGATTGACAAGAAGAAGTTTGGCCCTTTCTTCAAGAAGGATGGAAAGGTTGTCGAGGCCGCTATCCTGGCCACTTCTCAAGAGGAGCGTGGCAGGCTTGCCAAGGAGCTGGAGGAGAATGGCAAGGCTGTCATCAACGTTCCTGGTGTTGGTGATGGTCAGGTCGAGTTCTCCAAGGATCTTGTCTCCATCAAGTGGCAGAAGCGTGTCGAGAACATTCGGGAATATATTCCCAACGTTATCGAGCCGTCATTTGGTATCGGACGAATCTTGTATTCTCTCATCGAGCACAACTACTGGACCCGCGCCAGCGAGGGCGGTGATGAAGCCCGCGGTGTAAGTCTCCTTGTCCTTTATAGCACAAAACTATCAAAGCTAACACAAAACCTTCCAGGTCCTGTCCTTCCCTCCCGCTGTGGCCCCTACCAAGGTGTTGATCGTTCCTCTGTCGTCCAACAAGGATTTCACACCCACTGTACGCAAGCTGTCTCAGAAGCTGCGGTCTATCGGCATCAGCAGCCGTGTGGATGACTCATCTGCAAGTATTGGCAAGCGTTATGCTAGAAATGATGAGCTTGGCACTCCCTTTGGCGTCACCGTTGATTTCCAGACGCTCAAGGACGGTACCGTCACCCTGCGCGAGCGTGACAGCATGCGTCAGGTTCGTGCCGACGAGGAAAAGATTATTGAGGCCATTCGGGCGCTTGTTGATGGAACGAAGACATGGAAGGATATTGAAGCTGAGCTGCCCCTCTTCGAGGGCCAGGAGCTTGATGTTCCCGTCCGTTAAACATGTGTATAGGCTTGGGGTGTATCTGGGGAAGGGTGTTTTGAGTTGTCATGTCTGTCAGTTGAAGCAAGCGCGCACTGTGGCGATTTCTCTCGGCAGATACCAGAATAGATATTTAAGGATGGGAAATAGACTCGATGTCTCCTGGGTACATTTCTGCCACTCCTTCACCATGTACATGGCTGCGAGATACTTTCTGAGATGTAGCCAAGTTATGTAGAGCTAACCAGAAAAGACATCAAATCCAGTCTATCTGCAAGGACTGCAGCTGCATATACATAACTTACAAGATAGTACAGATCAACTTCAAGCCAAGCTATTTGCAAGTTGCGGGAGCGCCTTAGAAGACCGCGCGGTGACAGCTCCAGAGCATTCCCAGTGTCACTATGTGACTCGGCCAGAGGTTTACGGTCCACATTACCTGACTGAAACACGGAGTTTGTTCCTTGATGAGAGACGGCACACTGATAAGTTCTATCCAGTATGCATTGACATTTTCATCGTGTCCTCTGCCGACTCACTTAGGAGGGATAATAGTGCCTGAGGTATGAGGGTGAGAGTGGGCAGTGGCAACGCGAACCTGTGGAAGATGATTCTGAGACGGGATCCGCAGAGAAAGAAACACAAGAAAGTGGAGCATGTTCAGGAAAGGGGGAAGCGGGGTTGCGCGCTTGTTACAGGTGGAGAAGGGAGGAGCTTCCAGGCCTCCTGCACTTCTGAGTTCTGGTAGCCTGCGAGAATCTGATGATGGAAAGGCGAAGGCTTTGCTCCTCGTTAGAGTGCATGTGTCCATCTTTTTTTTTAAACGCCGCGAGGATGCCGGGCCGGCTGTGGTTGTGTTTTGCATTGGACGGTGCGGCTAGACGTGGCGTCCAAGCATGGATACAAAATGGAAGGCTCGAGTAACAGTAGAAAACATTAGAGTTGGGCTTTGGACCCGTGTCCAGGCTGTTACTTGAGTGTAGCTTCTGACAAATGGCACGACAATCTCGACTTTAGCGACCCGAAGCGATCATATCTTTGAAGAGTGAAACGGCCATGTTGGAATATTCAGTTAAGGAACTTGAAGCTGCTGAACCCGAGGGCTGTGTTAGTGATTACGGTTGAGAAACCGCCCGTGCCCTCCTGAAACGTCACGCCTGTCCGGCAGAATGGGATACTTCAAAAAAGCCTTATAGTCAACCGTGCGTGGCCGACAGCCCGGGGATAGAAGGGTCGCAACGGAGAGTTGCTAATTGTGGATAAAATGCCACAGCAGCTATTCCAAGATAACCCAATAGAGGGATCATGTACTACATAGAGTAGACAACTCACAGCCCTGACATTATCAGGCTGGGGGCTCAATTATGATTTTAGCCTGCAGTGCAGGTGCCCATCAGGAGTAGAGTATTGTTTAAGTTTCACATCGAAACTGAAAACTCCTTGAGCTCCAACTCTTGCCAAGATTACGGGAAATGTCTCAACAAATTGACCGTTCAAAAAAGGAAAGTAGAAAATATGAAAAGAGGGGATTCCGAGCCTTCAAAACCATACGCAGGTGGTGAACGCCGAGGCATCTGAACAGCGGAGTTGGATTCTGTAACACTTGGCTGCGTATATAATACAAAATGGACGGTATGGCAGTGTAACAAAACCATCGCCACACTCGCCAGCACAATAGGTATTTGCAGTGTTTTCACCAGAGAAGTTGACCTCTTGCCCAACGGTTTGGGTACGCAATGAGTACCCATGGACTAGCTTCTTCTTCCACATATCAGTATCGTCATACACATACTACATCGCACTTGCAACTGTTAACATCTAAATCGTTCTTGTTAGTTGTCTTTATCACTCTTTGAACGCAAGTTCGTTACGGTTAGAAGTGTGGATAAGCAACTGCCCCGCAGTGGTGCGGCAGTACGCCATTGGAGAGTCCACTTGACATAAACGATATGGCCAAACAGGTGAGGAATGGGTCTGGAGCAGAGACCAATCATAAGGATGAAAGGATTATTACGGTTGTCACCCAGCGACGACGGTGACGGAGATGCTTGGCGAGAACTTCTGCACTATGGCAGGCACCCCCAATGACTTCGGATATAAATATGTATATAGAACCGCCTATCTCCCAGAGCCATGAGGAGGACTTCTTAGTCAGCAATAGAAACAATTGTTAATAAACAACTGATGAGCGCGGTAAATCACATACGCTACTGTGTGAGGACCCCGGCCCCAGGTTCTACAACCTGCTCACCACCTTTGAACCCATCTCAGGAGGTTGTGGAATCATCACAAGAGTAAAGAAAGTAGAATAATTGTAGATTATAACGTACATTAGAATTGTAGTATGAGTACTTTTGCTCTTTATATCATCAAAATTAGTGCTAAAACAAGTATAGCATACTTATCTGGAACGTTGTTTTTTTTTTTTTCAGTATATATGATATCTAACCCCTCGTGTACTTGGGATTCATAACTATCTAGGCCTTGATCGGTTTACGCTGGGCTAACCGCTGGGATCGACGCGTGAATGGGATGATAAGGGAACACCTGAGCTTTCTGTGAAATTTCTCCGGCTATAGGTGTACTCTGCAAACAACATTGATAGGGTCTGATTGGCTGGGGTGCCATGCTCATTGGCAAAGCATGGGTGGGGCAGAGTCGCCATTTTGCCCCGTAATCCGTGTGGATGCGTACCTCCCCAGTCGTTTCGAGCGGTGCGTTCACCCTTCATCTGAGGAGACCCATATCGGCAGGGTCCGCGACTTCAGCGGTCTCCATCCATCATTTTTGTTAACACAGACCGAACTAGTCTCCCAGCTTTGCTTGACTGTACGATCTACTTCTCCAGGTGCAAACTTGCAGTCCTCGAGTCCTCCGCACACACGCGGAAACGAGATCATCGTCGCCGTGCCACAGCGAGAGCTCTTATATCGCTGCAGATTGCAGCAACTGCAACAGCGACAACAGCACAGCAGCCCAGCGGCCAGTGCCCACCTGACAGTGACGAGTGACAGGACAGCCAGCGGTGCCGCCGAGAAAGCTCACCTTGCCGACCCGGCCAGCCTTCCAAACGACCTGACCTCTTTTCGCTTTTGACTGACCGCTATCCCCACCTCCTTGGCTATCCAGCTAGTGAGCCAGTCAACCATCGACCAACCTCCTTTCAGCTCTCCAGCATTTCTGTCCCAAACCTTGCAGATGCTGCCCGGCGTTGCCCCCTAATCGCCTGCGCTCTTGTGGTCGTCGAACATCCAACTCTTAATCGTGTCATCAGTAGCGACCTCTCCCTACGCTATCCGTCCGACCCCGACTTGGACTATTGTGCGCTGTGCAGCGCTGCCGACCACCGTCGGATCTGCTGCTGCCCTCCCGGCCCCCATAGCCCCTCTGTCGGTCTTCCAGGCTTCCCTAAATCGCTTGCGCTTGCGGCTCGGTGCCCTGCTTGTGAAAGCCGAATTTCATTTGTCAAAGTTCTTCTGGTGAGTGAGCGGTTGCAATGACCGAGTAACCACAGCCAATTCTAACTACCTGCGGCATTCCGTTCAGGTCGCTTGGGCTCCAGAAGGTCAAGATCATCCGTCGGCCGACCTTTTTCTCGGAGTATCGTGACGGTTGCGGTACCCATTCAACTTTCTAGTTAGACCGACTTGCCCAGCATACTCAAAATGTCTTACAACACGTACGTCGTCTCCTGTACTTCCTGTCTGAACCTCTAGCATCGCAGAGAATGGCCATCCCGGGGCCGACATTGCCCATGGCAAGACTGCATGGTGTTACCTTGCTTCTGCCCATCGTGTGCTGCTGAGCAGTGGCATCCTGCAGTCGACCCCTGATAATATGTTGTGCAGCGCCAAAGCTCTTCGAAGGCTCAATCAGATGCTGATGCTGACCGTAGTGTCTACCCCAGCGGGCAATTTATGAGCGATCCCCGCCCCGCGCCGAAGCCACCCACCAATCGCCCTCCGCTGAGCCTTACTCCCAACAATCTCGCGGGCAACATGTCAAATTTGAGTATATCATCCCCGATTTCTGCCACAACTACGTATAGCGGATCGACCGTCAGCCTGCCGATTTCACGACAGGGTTCTGGTGGCAATGCGGATGGCGCTGGAGGTCTTGCTATCATCAAGCAGGGCTATGTCGGTCTGCCGAGCAAGAACCCATTCCAGACATGGAAAAGCAGGTTCATGATTTTGCGGAAGGATGTTCTGGATTTTCACAAGAACGAAAACGGCAAGCACCTGTACAAGATTTTGCTTGCTGATGTCGTCAGCGTCGATCGAGTCCCCGACCCTAATGGCGACCCTGTCTTCGAAATTAGAAGGCATTCAACCAACCAATACGAGGCTCCTCCAGGTGAGGACCAGGGCAACGGTGTGAAAGCGACCAAGATCTGCGTCAAGACAGATGACGAATTATATGAGTGGATTGACTGTATTTACGCTCGCTGCCCTGGCGGTGTTAGCAATCCTGTTAACTTCTCTCACCCTGTTCACGTTGGCTTCAATCCGCAAACAGGACAGTTCACAGGTCTGCCTGAGGAGTGGACTCGTTTGCTCAATTCGTCCGCCATCACGAGAGAAGATGTCGAGAAAAATCCTCAAGCCGTCTTTGAGGTTCTTGATTTCTACTCGGACATGACGAAACGCGCTGAAAACCCGGAGCATTATGCTTTTGGCTTGCCGGCACCGACGCCATCGCCGAGCGCCCGGTACCATGAGACGCTTGGCCTCCCAAGCGGAACCTCAGTTGCGCCGCCACGCCAAGTGAAGCCCATTCAGCGCACCGCTACAAATCAGTCCAGCGCAGCTACCCCCTCTCGGACCGAGCCGCCCTCATCAACTCAACAGCAATTACAGGGTGTGTCTCCCAACTATATCTCGCCGGAGCGCATGCGGGAAGAGCAACGGGCGCGTGAACGGGAACGGGAACGTGAGCGAGAACGTGAGCGCGAGCGCGAAAAGGAGAGGGAACGACAACTGGCCGAGGAGCGTGAACGTGAACGTCGGGAGCTGGAGGAGTACAATGCTTCCCTTCCTAAGACTAAGGTGCCCCTTGCTCAGCAAGAGCTTGGTGGCTACGGAAGCGCTCCCCCAGATCGTTTCAACCCGACTCGACCGGCACCCAAGGCTCCTCAAGCTCCTACACTGCGGGCGCAGAGGCCCGCTCCTCCCCCCCCAACCAGCTCTTCTCGTCCACCTCTGACTCAGCAGTCCAACTCTCAGTCAGCTTCGCAGACACAAAGACCAGCCCGGCCCGACCAGAGCAATGCTTCGGCCAGCTCCCGTTATCCCAATGGCTCTGCATCATCCCGTGCTCCGAATAACGCAGCTCAAGCGCAACCACCTTCCCGTTTGCCGGCCCCTGTGAAGCCTCTAAATGTCAACAAGGCTGGTGGTAACCCAGATGCCGTCAAGGCCGCGGAGGCTGCTCTTACGGCTGCCAGACCCCCCGAGCGCAAGCAGGATGTGCGCATGTCGACCATGACGGAGAGCGAGGTGATGGCGAAGTTGAGAGAGGTGGTGTCCAAGGACGATCCCAACAGGCTGTACGCCAAGCAGAAAAAGATTGGACAGGGCGCTTCTGGCTCCGTCTATGTTGCCAAGGTTATCGGCACCAAGCCTGGCATGCCTCCTGTTCAGCTGGCAAAGTCTCGCGGTAACAGTGACAGAGTTGCGATTAAGCAGATGGATCTGGCACACCAGCCCCGCAAGGAGCTTATTGTTAATGAGATCTTGGTTATGCGGGACAACAGGCATCCTAACATTGTCAACTTCCTGGATGCGTTCCTCATGGACAACGAGAGAGAGCTCTGGGTTGTCATGGAGTACATGGAGGGCGGTGCTTTAACCGATATTATCGAGAACAACCCTGTCATTACCGAGGAGCAAATTTCGACCATCTGCCTGGAGGTATGTACTTATTTCCTGTTAATTTACGTCGGATGCTCGCTAACTTTGCAACAGACCTGCCAAGGCCTTGAGCATCTGCACTCGCAAAACATTATCCACCGCGACATCAAATCTGACAATGTCCTTCTGGACGCTCGCGGGAATGTCAAGATCAGTATGTTTTCTTTCACTCTTTCTACGGTATGTCTTGGCTCTATGTTCGGACGTTTGCTAATTCTCCCACTCCAGCCGACTTTGGCTTCTGCGCCAAGCTCACTGAAGCCAAGTCCAAGCGTGCCACCATGGTCGGTACGCCTTACTGGATGGCTCCCGAAGTTGTCAAGCAGAAGGAGTATGGCCCGAAGGTGGACATTTGGTCGCTGGGTATCATGGCTATTGAGATGATCGAGTCGGAGCCTCCTTATCTGAACGAGGAACCTCTCAAGGCTCTGTATCTCATCGCTACCAACGGCACCCCATCCCTCAAGAAACCCGAGAAGCTATCTAAGGAGCTCAAGGCCTTCCTCAGCGTGTGCCTGTGCGTTGACGTGAACTATCGTGCGTCAGCGAAGGAGCTGTTGAATCATGAGTTTTTGAAGCACGGGTGCCCCTTGGCAAGCTTGGCCGATCTGCTGGCCTTCAAGAGGGTGGCCAAATAAATAGGTGTTTGGCATTTGATATCGAGTTGAAAGTTGGGAGTGGCGACAAAGAAAAGACATGCCTTACTACGTCTTGTATGTAAGTTTTGGATGTCTTTTCTTGGCTCTTGGGGGATTAATGCAGTACCGGAACCGTCGATGTATTGAGGGATCTCTTGGCTTCTTCATCTGGTTGTCGGTATGGTACCCAAGGGGTTAGGAAAGAGGGAGGGAGCGAAGAACCTGGGTGCTCTGGTTTTTGGCTGTTGCCAGTGGACTTCCCTTTTTTTAATTCCTTTTCTTTTCCCGTTCATCATACGCAGTTAGCACGCATGATGGATACTACGTAGTTTAGTCTCCTATGTGTTCCGTTTGCCTGCCTTTCCATATTTAGTGTTCGGTTGGCCGGTCATGATCCTCCAGCTGTAATGACCTGATGAGCTGGGACTGAGATATCTACTTTCTGCTTACGAGTTTTCATGATATGTCCTATATTTCCGTCATCTTCAAACCCCAGTCAGTACCTACCTTGCCTTCAGTGACCTCATTAGGAAACATGGCATTGGGTCAGCCTGATTAAAATAATGATATGATTACCGTGTGCCAGCCACGTCAAGCAGCGGCCCTTGTCAAAACAGCAACTCACTTGTATCTCGGAAGCTTGATGTCTGTGATCAGCTAGCTGTAAGGGGACGACAGGATGGAGTATCCGAATGATGATCTTCTCGGCTTATCATCGGTTTGGGGCCTTTGGTCACTTGTGACATCGTCTTACCTGATGCATTCCAGACAGGTCAATCTTTACGCTGCTCAAGGTTGGTATACAGCGTTGGCCGTTCAGGTTGCCAGGATTCATGTGGCATCATGAAGGAGCTGGTCAAGACTGGCAACGCCATTGGGGAAGGGGGGGGGATATCGAACGAGTAGAGCGGGAGATGAGAGATGAGCAGCAGGGCAGCCCGACGCGGTGTTTTAAAAGTCCAGGAAACTCGCCTTTCTTGGGTTTGTGACAGAAGACAGCTTGCTGAAGATTCGCGTGCTGTGGCATATTATAATATGTATACTGCGCACAGCGACATACCAGGTACGGATTCACATAGCCAACCTGAAAATTGGCGATCTACGGATGAGCGACCCCCCTGTTACATCCCCTGTGTCTTAACATATCATTGCTGGGCTATATGTGGATGAAGGAAGGGTAGACATTGTTTGCACTGATGCCAACACGGAAGACTTGGTCTAGTCACTTCTAGATCTTGACTTCTTTGATTCCCTGAATATGATATATGTGCTTTCACGGATGAGGTATATTTAATGGCACGGTACTATCATGGTAGACTCTGGCAATTTCCTGCCGCCGAGTAGTCTATGTGAGTAATTTTGGTAAGTGAACTCTGTGGGGTGGCACAGAGCACGAAGACGAGGCCAAGTGTTCCATAAATCAAGGGTTGCTTGGAGAATCCTGTGGCAGTCGTAATCATTTGCGCTGTAGTGTAGACCTGCTTGGTTAATAGGGCCTTGGTACTTCGGAGTCCAAGAAAGCACTCTTTGAAAAATCTGATGGCCTCTGGTATTTTCGAATCTCTGAAATTTCCTGAACTTCCTCATCTGATACCCTGTGCTTGGTAAGTAGATGTCTCATAACCAGCAGTTGTTGTCAAAAACATTGAAGAACACTGGCTCCTGCCTCCACATCGACACCCCTGGTGAGGCCAAGCCCTCAAAGCCAGGCTCTCCGCGTGGCGATCGACAACCCTTGCTGGAGAACATCGGCGGAGAAGGCTGGGATCGTGGCCAACCCGAGGGCAGGCGGGGCAAATGGACAACGGACGGCCACGGTTTCGTTGCAGGGGTCGTGATTTGTGGGAAGTCAACCGAGAGAGCTGACCAAGTCAGAAAGAAGCCCAGTAGCCACATGCAAGACAAATGAGAAGGAACAACGGTACAAGTTCAACAGAAGATGTGGCACAGACATTGATGAGAGGAGTGCTTCGATGCATTGGCGCAATGCCATCAAAGCCTTCGTGGGTCTGGAGCCCTAGATCCTAGGTCCTGCTTTGGCTAGTCGACCATGGATGGCAAGAGAAGAACCAAGCAAGCAGGATCCTAACGAGGTCTCTCTCTGCTTAACACTGCCTGGTCAAGTCTTTGGATAGGCCCTGGCCAACGGTCTTGAGCTGTCAGCCCAAGTTCATCTATATTGACAACTTCGAAGGTTTTCAAGTTGCAAGCTGGGTTTCCCCCAATGTTCTGTGTAGGGCTTCGGGCGTGCCCGGAAGCACACGTCAGGCACTACCGTATGGTTTGCCGTAGGCTTTAGTGTCCCTGACAGCACAATCTTTGGGCCTTGCGTAAGCAGAAAGGCTGCTACAATAGGCAGTTCCAGTTTTTTTTTTTAGGAAAACGTTTTTTTAAAAAAAACAAAGGTCAAAAATCCTGACATGCCGTTGGGCGGCGTTCGGTGCGTCCAATGCGAGCCACTGATTCAGGTGTTGACGGGTGGTGCGTGCTTGCCCAGACGCTAGGGCCAGGCACACATATCACCCTTTTCCCCTCACAACTGGCTGTGTTTCATGCTGGACTCTCTCCACTCGTCCACAACGCCCACACCAGGCTCTCCAAACCTGTTACACCAACAAAAGATCCTGGCCCCTTTGCCATCGATCCCTTTCCTGCCTGTCTGCACCGCCAATGTGTTTCTCTCGTGATCGGCTTGCTTCCTGCCTTTTGCTTGCTGCCTCCTACCTTAGAAATCTTTCCTGTGGCTTGCAGTTTGCATTGGCTTTCCTTGTACCTACCTTAAGCTCTGGGAGTGCCAGTCTTGTCTAAACTGAATGCCGGTGACAGCGGTCTCCTGATTTGGCTCGGAACGTGTCCCGGCTCTTTCTGAGATCTAGCGGAGAAAAGCTCGCTGGGAAAACAAGCGTGGTGGGTGGAGTTGCCGGATCTGAGACCTTGAGCGGACAGCAGCCTCATCAGAACAGCAGCCAGCCAAGCGGGAACCTGGAATTGTCCTGCCCAGTCCACTGGACCGCTAGGCCACAGTAAACCCAGGCAGTCCGCTCACTGGACGGGTGCTGGGCTGGATCTTAGCACGAGCGCCAACACCCGCAGAGGGGGAGGTTCAACATTTCCCATTCCCACCTTTTCCAGGTTCCAGCACCATCCTCTGTTTTTTTTTTCTCCCAACACTCCTCTGCTCCTCTTCTTCCCCTCTCCGCCCTCCGACTTTCTTGCCTTCTTACTACCCATCTACCCACCCAACCGACCCGACCGACCTAATACTATCCAACGACGACGACGACAACGACGACAACGACGACGCCGTCAGTTGCATTGTGCCGCGGGTCGATCATCTGCGCCCCTCCGCGCCCTACCAGTTCACTCCTTTCTGAAGCTGCCAATCCATTACAACTTTTTTTTAAGTTTTCCCACTTCCCACTGTCGCCATCGGACGACCCGTTCCACCCGCAAAGCGACCTGCGACTTTTCGCACCTCATCCGCCTTGTAATTGCACCTGCCAGCCTGTCCTCTTTGCTGGACACGATTTTTTTTTTTCGGCTTCAGGTGTCTGTTTTCGATTCCTGCGTCCACGGGTACCCTAATTGCAGCACTTGCATGGGCTCTTTTAGCCCTGCTCTCTGCTTTTTGCCCTCTGCTCTTGTGAACATCGGATAGACTCGACCTCGACCCCTCGCGACGCGCAGCGCACGTCGTCACACCGCATCGGTGGCAGAAGAATACATTAGCCTACCACTCCGGGCCCGGCGTTGACCACCCAGCTCCGAGAGAGCAACGAGCAATTTATACTTCTGATGACGACCGGGATCACGCATCACATACGCATATAATTCATAATGTCGACTTCCAGGCCGGCCGACCATTTGACCATCGGCTATCCCCCGCATTCGACCGCTGCTCAGCGTTCCACCTCGCCCACTACCACGTCACCGAATGACCCCCCTCCCTCTGTCGGGAGCACGTTGCGGTCTCCCTTCGGTCTGTCTCCTGGTCTGACTGCTGCCTCCAAGATGTCGGGCGTGCCGCGTTCTGGTGCAGGCTCACCCTCACACGAGATGGCCGCGGGCCGCCTGTTCTCGAAGCGGTGAGTGCTTTCTGTCACCCTTTCCCCCCTTGCCCCTCTTTTTGCCTGCAATTCGCCGTGCTGACCCCGCACTGGAAAAAAAAACACAGCGCTCGCGAGATTCAGGCACAGGAAGGCGTCTCGGTACTGCCGGCAAATCCTTGGGGCGGGCCTCCGACCAGCGGGAACTCGACCCCACTCCGCGAGAGCATCCCCGAGTCTCCCACCGATGCCTTCCCCGATTTCACCAACCTACCTACTCCAGACAGCCTTCCGCAGACTCGTCGTGCTCGGGCCGGCACCGTGCCATCTAGGTTCCCGCCTGGAGGCGCTGGCAATGCCTTGCTGGGTATTCCCTCTCTGGCTGCCAATGCCTCGCGGCCGAGCCCGTCACAAACCCCATTCAAGTCTCCATCCCCGGGTCTCCGATGCCCCCAGCACCACCAGCGCAAGTAACAATCCTTCTACCACGTCGACGCTGCTCTCTAGGCTGCGCGCCGGCTCTATGCCCCAGCGCAGCCCGTTTGCCGGGACCCATGTTCCTGGTACAAGCTCGCCCTTCGGCCCTTCGATCTTCAGCAGCTGGAATCCGCCTGGCGGCCGGGAGAGGGGCAATACATTGGCAAGCATTGCCAGCATTGGATCCAATGGCCCCAGCTCTCCAGCCCAGTCCCACTTCTCCCGCGAAGGCAATGTCGAGAATGATGTCCACATCAAGACTCTCGATTATCTTGGCCTAGCTGAAACTCCGCAGCCTGCTCGGGCCCAGCTCGCCACACCATACATTCCCAACTATGCAAATGAGTTCACCAAGGCCGCAAACCGGTTCCGGTCCTATTCAGTCAACAATAAGGACAGGTACGATGATGAGGACGACTACGATGCCGAGGCCGAGGCCCTCTCCATCATGGAGAGAGAGTATGCGCAGCTTCAAGACCAGCTTGCTGCTACCAATGCTGCCATCCACAATCACAATCTCGCCGTCCAGGCCTTTGCGAGCCAAGCAGCCATCAGCCGTCCCCGTGCCAGGACGGCTGGCGTCCTAGATATTCCCGCCTCCCGCCTGCTGCGCAATTACTTGCCCACGCCGTCGCGACTGGATAGCTCCATCACAGCCGCCGATATTGGTTTGGTGGAGGAAAAGTCCTATGAGGATCTCTCCCAGTCTGTCGCTGCCATGTCCTTGGGGAGGTCCAACAGCAGGGGCAATGGTATGTTGGGTTCCGAGGAACAGCAGCAAGGTTTGGAGGGTCCGACGAGTGCTCTGTGGCTTGGCAGCATCCCAACTTCTACCACAACGTCGACGCTTACCGAGATGTTCAAGTCGTATGGCCCAATTGTGTCGGCTAGAGTCCTGACTCACAAGAACTGTGGCTTTGTCAACTTTGAACGCGTCGAAAGCGCCATTGCTGCTAAGGCTAGCATGAATGGCAAGGAGATCTTCCCTGGTGCAGGGCCCATTCGCATCAACTACGCCAAGCCGCCGTCGAACACTGGCACTCCTGGCCACGACGGTGCAGTTCCATCGCCGAGTCCCGATCCGTTTGCGAAGGGCGACAATGGTCAGGCTGCTGGAGCTTCTGGGGACTCTGGGTCGGGTTCTGCTGCCAATACTACTCCCACAGTTCCTCCGCTCCACGAGATGACTAGCGACATCCTGAAGATCGTCAAGCAGTTCGGTGCAACTGAGGAAGATAGCATGCGTATCTCGGTCAATCTCAAGCAGGCTATCGAATACAATGCTTTCACTGACGAGATCCCGCCCATCAAAGAGCCCACCCACACCCGGGTCTATGACGCCCCTAAGCTGCGTGACATCCGCAAGAGGATCGACAACCAGTCTCTGTCTCAGCCCGAGATCGAAAACATCGCTATCGACATGCTTCCCGAGATCGCTGAGCTCTCTTCTGACTATCTTGGCAACACTGTTGTTCAAAAGTTGTTTGAACACTGCTCCGACAGTGTCCGCGATTCTATGCTCGCCGAAATTGCCCCGCACATGGCAGAGATTGGCGTCCACAAGAACGGTACTTGGGCAGCTCAGAAGATCATTGATGTTTGCAAGACCCCGCACCAGATGAGCGTTATCGTCCAGCATTTGCGGCCCTACACTGTCCCGCTCTTCTTGGATCAGTATGGCAACTATGTCTTGCAGGGTTGCCTCAAGTTCGGCCAACCCTACAACGACTTCATCTTTGAGACCATGCTGAGCAAAATGTGGGAAATTGCTCAGGGGAGGTATGGTGCTCGCGCCATGCGCGCCTGTCTCGAGAGCCACCACGCCAGCAAGGATCAGCAGAGAATGTTGGCTGCCGCGATTGCTCTACACAGCGTGCAGCTCGCCACCAATGCCAATGGTGCCTTGCTCCTGACCTGGTTCCTTGATACATGCACTTTCCCTCAGCGGCGCACTGTGCTGTCGCCTCAACTCGTCCCACATCTGGTTCATCTCTGCACCCACAAGGTTGCTTATCTCACTGTGCTTAAGGTGATCAACCAGAAGGCCGAGCCGGAGGCCAGGGACACCATCCTCAAGGCGTTGTTCTTCACGCCCAACGATCAGGTGCTGGAGGCAATCCTCAGCGATCATGCTTGTGGCGCGACCCTGATCTTCAAGGTGTTGACTACCCCTTTCTTCGATGAGACGATCCGGAACCAAGTTGTTGAGACCGTCAAGTCTGTCTTGATCCGCATCAAAGCTCAGCCTGGTCAAGGATACAAGCGGCTGATGGATGAGGTTGGTCTCTCTACTAGGAACAGCGGTGGTGGAGGGTCTCGCGATCATGGTAATAACGATCGTGGACGTCCCACCTCCCGGTCTACTGCCAATCATCACCATCATCAACAGCAGCAACATCAGCAGCAGCAAACGCAGCAACAGCAGCAACAGCCGCATGCCCAGCAGCAGCAAGTAGCCCAGTATAGCACCACCAATGCTCAGTATTACAACCAGCTGAATGCGGCTGCGGCTGCTGCGAATTACGACATGGGATTTCCCATGCCGAGGACCGATGGCATCGACCAGTTCCCTGCTTTCAACCAGGGTCCTTTATTCAACCCCGCCAACTCCCCTCTGGCTCCAGCTGCCTTGCAACCGATGCAGTACCAGCAGAATCTCCTTTCTCGCGGTGCCCCGCCTATGAACAATTTTTTTACCCCGATGCAGACCGGTTTTGGCGGCTTTCCGGGCCCCAATGCTTCGCTTGACCAGTTCCGAAATCAACCTCTTGCGAACAACAGCCCGATCCCCCCTGCTGGTCCTCAGATCCCGACTTTGTCTACTACAGCTGCCCAGGCTCCCTTCGGCGCGGCTCCTGGATTCAATATGAATTTGGGCGGGCTGTCAGGTTATAGTGGTTATGGCATGCAGACCCCTCCCCCTCCTGGTTACCTCCCACAACAACAACAACAGCAACAGGAGCAGATCAATTCTTCGAGGCGTGGACGTGTAGGTCGCAGCCCACAACCTGATAACAGGCAACGTCGTTGATCATGTTGAGCGGATGAGTGCTTATGCTTTGGCTTCTCTTTGCTTTCTTCGCCGCCTTTTTTTTCCCCTTCTTAACAGAGATGAGATATTTTCATTCTAGGTCACGCGAATCGACCAGGGGCCAGATCAACGAGATGGTGACATATTGCAACACCGCGCGCTGTGTGGTGTGAACAGCTGGTTGGCTACGGTTCCGGCCCAGCTACGTACCTACCTACCCTATCATAGTTGTAAAGATATAGACGGCTCACGGCCAAGAGAGAGCGGGAAGAGCTCTTGGTAACTACCTGGTATTTATATAACTAGTTAGTACCTAACTCTTTCTCATCACATTTGATTTGGGGGAAAACTTTTTTCATGTCAGGGGAGGAATAAGAAGGCGGTCACCAGAAAGTATATGTGATCTTACTAGCAGGAAGGGAAACCGTCGGGATGGATGATGATGGCCTGGCAACGAGCATTTTCTGCAAAAGGCTGGGCCTTGCATGATCTGGGACTGGACGGTACAGTGGAAGCTGGGGGCTTGGCAGGGATGGATGAAATGGGATATGATGATGTCGTCCGTGTATTTTGTTCCCATGTTCTTTTTCTTACGGATATTTTTCATCTCTCTCTGCACTTCTCTTCTCTCTGGTGATATTTGATTTGGGAATATGAGACTTATCTTTCACTCAGCCCCTCACCCCCCCCCCGGTTGAGACAGTTTTTGCTCATTTCTTCCTACCTCTCATCCGTTATCCTACCATGACACATGCCTGACTTTCAGGTTGGGGGTTCACACTGAGAGTGGTAGGATTGTTCTTCCCATACACTGGACAATTGACCCCGCTGGCTGGGATCTTTCGCTTCTTACTCCCGTTTACAAAGGTCATTATAAGCATTGAAGAAATAAAAAGGTGCAGATGTGTGGTAGACAACCAATGTGCTTAGGATTTCTCAAATGGATGAATCATATTTCCAGATGTGATGGTTACTAGCTAGAGCCTTGTGCTATAAATTGTGGGATAAAAGTGTTCACCCAACACGTTGCATGCTTGTTGCTGAGTTTATAAACGAATACAAACCATCCGTTCTTTAAACAAAAATCGTCGTCCCTGAGTGTCATGGCTCTGTAATTTCCTGATGCATGTGAGCTTTAGTGAATCAGTATATTATTGCGGTATTATGGACTTTTGAAAAGCTCAGGGGTATGACTCACAGTTCAGCATCACCAATGACCAAAGATCAAGAGAATCCGTTGAAGAGGGAGAGAGCAGTCGCAATTGATTGACAACATATACACATCAATCACCATATTGCAAATTAGGGATTTAAATCACTTTGGTATCAATTCCCGACCGAATGATGCACCCTAAACCCATCTATTTACTATCCCGATAAATCTCATACCAAAGTAAAGAGTAAAGAGTTATGCTAACAACGGACAAAAAGAGGCCTTTTCTCTACCTATCCCGTTCCCCTTTCTCTGCTTGCCCCAGATCTTGCAGGACACCATGGTCTGCCACCTCGATAAACACCATTTCCTCCAATCCCTCGAGCAGAGACGTGCTTAGCTTGGAGGTTGCCCGGCCCCATTCACCAAGCCCCAGATATACCCTCAAGAGATGCTCAGTGAATGGCCCTCCATTTCCAACTAAGAGACCCGGTTCCAGCATAGACGAAGGCAAAGAAAGGCCAGCAGAGATGGAAGGAAAAGGAGAGGAGAAAAACCTCTAGTGATCCATGATGAGTCCACTTCCAGTTCATCTCAAATAAGTGTTAAAAGGTGCTCTCTCAGATGATCCCTAATTCCCTCCTCCTCCGTGGTAATACACACCCAAAAGAAGGTAGATAGGAGACATAAAGAGGTTAAGAAATACCGAACCAGATGATTGATTAACCGTTCTTGCTCTCAGCAGGAATGGAGAAAGAAGAGACCCGAACCGGACGAGGAAGCGCGAACTCCAAACCCAGCCCTGTTCCTGCAGCCCATGCCAACCATACCCATCATCGTCAACCATACCGAAGAAGAAGAAATACCCAGATGGACAAGGATAAACTGCTCAAATTAGGAGGAGGGGGATGATGATGATGCTCGTTCGTCAGTTATGAAGACGTTCCTGATCAACCGGGGAAAAAAGGTTTGATATTTTTGTTCCATTGTTGGTGTGACAAAAAACACATGTCGAGAAGTGTATGGAAGGTTATTCATGTACGGGGAAAGAGGTAAGAGTAGAAGTGAAAGTGATGCCTTTACTGGCACCATTTCTTTGCAAAATGCTGCGGGCAGCATCGAATCGTGCGTCAAGATCATCCGCCAAGCGAGGAAGATCATTGTACGACATGAAGCAGGAGCGGTGACGAAAGCCAAAGGGGTCGAGAGCTGGATCATTGTCGTCCTCCATCCGAGAGCAGAGAGCTGTGCTGAGTCAGAAATAGCTTGTCATGCTATGTCGTAAACCTCGAGAAACACCCCAAAACGTCGTGCTGGCCCACGGACAGAGCAGCCTCTCCCGGGAAAAGGACAAAAGACCAAGAGGCGGAGAAGAAACTGCCAGATCGGGATGAAGAAAATCTCCATCTAACTCCCTCTGTCCCTGCTGGAAGCAAGAACTCATTCCAGCTCAACCTGACCATCCTCCCCAACGAACCCCTCCTTGGCCCCATCTTCCCCAGCAACAGCGACAACCGGCCCCCCATCCTCGACAACCGTTTTGGCGCCCCCGTTACTGTTCGACTCGTCGCCCGTCTTAGAGGGCGGCGTAGCGGGGCCTGGTTCTTCGACGCCGTCCTCCTCAGCTACCGGGGCTGGTGAGGTACCGCCTGGGAGCACAGGAGTTTTCTCGCCCTGGGTCATGGGAGGGACCTCCTCGTCTGAAGATGAAGTTGGGGCGGGCGATATAGCAGCCACAGAGACAGCACGCGCGGGGCTCTTCTCAGTCGGCTCGGCAGCGGTTGGCGACCGCAAAGCCGGGACAGACGAAGCGGTTGGAGCTGCAGACGGGGCCGGCTGCAGCAAGGAACGGATACGCTCGACCATCATTTCGGCTTGCGCTAGCATGGCGCGCAGGGCTTGCTGGTCCATGTGGTTGAGCGATGTCAACTCGCCGAGACGGCCGGGGTTCGCCCGAGCCATCATGTCGATGACCGTGGGCTCTGCTTCGGACTGGAAAGGGTTAGCACCTACCAAGGCGATACGATGATAAAATAAAGAACACTTACGATCATGACATCGATGAGAGTCCTTACCCCGTCGGCGGGCGGCTGGTTATTGCCATTGGTGCTGAGCCAGACCAGGTTGAGGGCAGCCTGCTGCTCCTCGAGTGACCTGGTACCCAGCGGGGCCGGAGCTGAAGCGGACTCGGCATTTGTGCCCGCACTCGTGACGGCTGTTGCAGCCTGACTAGTTTGTATCACGGTCTCCTTTTGCATGCGGCTCTCAAGGGCACTGGAACAAAAGAAAGGTTAGCTCACAGGCTCGACAAAAAAAAAAAAAGGAAAATAATAGATCAGGGGGCCGCTCACCGAGACAAAAAGTCCAACTTAATGCCCCTCTCGGGCAGTCGCACAGTCCGACCGTATGTCTCGAGGTTGCGCCAGCCACTGAGATTCTCGGTCTCCTCGAGATCGACTTCGATGTAGCCATCGTTAATGAAGCCGCGACTGAAAGCAGGACGAACAACGGGGGGAAGCTGCTTCGGTTTGCGCAAGCGATGAGCCGGGGCCAGGACACCCGGAACTTTTGCCAGGAGCTCCTCGACATGGAGCGGGCACTTCCAGTTCCGGAGAGGAGGGGGTTGGGTCATGGGAGGATCGAGGCAGTCCAAATGCCAAAAGACGGCGCAGACGCTGCAAGGGATGATAGGGCGAACGTTGCCGCTACCCTTGCCGCAGCCGTGGCAGATGGCTGGATTGCCTTGGGCGTCGCAAAGCCGGTAGAAGTCAGGGGGTTGTTCATCGTCCTTTCTCCTTCTCGGGGGCTTGGTCACCGCCACGATCTCTTCATACTCGCCGTCAACGCCGGTGCGCACACCCTCAAAGTACTCGCGGACACTGGCCGGCAAGCGGAAAGCGCTCGAGTTCTTGGAGTCGAGCTTCTCGAGGAGCAGAGCAAAGGCACCGGAATAATGCTGCGCTGGCGCAGTGCTGCGGCTGGCGCGGCACACGTTGCAGAACCATTCGACGGGCATGTCATCTTGGCGGATAATTGGGTCGACGCAGTTGAAGTGGAACGAGCGTGTGCAGCCATCGCAGCAGACCAACTCGCCGTTACCGCCGCATGATGAGCAGTAATCATCATTATCATCCTGCAGGCAGGTGGTGAGCATCTAGTCAGCAACAAAATATATATATATATATATATATATATATATATATTTATAAAACGTAACGACTGGGAGGGTTGGTTGGGCAAGCTGGGGGTGTGCGTCAATTTTGGCAAAAGCGCGAGCTGGAGCCAGCGCCGGCTAACCTTTGCCACACCCGAACTGTGCGCGCGTTTTGTGATGGGCGAGGGGTAGCCGATGAGGAAGTGAGAGGGGTTAAGAGAACGAGGTGACCAAATGCCCTTGACGTTTCATGGGCACGTGAACATAAGACAAATGCGAGAATGAGGGTGATGGAAACACAACAGAGAAGAAGGCAGAGAGCTGATGATTGCTTACCTCACGATTCGCAGTGCCGTTACCAATGGGGCTACTCCGCTCGCCGCTGGCGCGGGGGATGCCCGCCGAGGTACCGTTCTTTTTCTTGACAGGCCTGAGCATATTAAGTGTTAGTGTTAGTGTTGGTGACAACGTGAGTGAGAAGGGAAAAAAAAAAAAAAATTCAAATGGCAATGATCCACATGCATCATGATATCGGATATAGGACAAGGGACGACTTACGAAGTCTTGACACGAAGACCAGTCCGGGGCCTCTTGCTCGAGCGAAGAGCTGGTGTGCCAGCACGCGAGTTGGCAGCCGTGGATGCTGCCTCTGAACCAGGCATGTTGGCAGTTGTGGGCGACGGTTGGTCCTCCATCTCCTCGGCCGCCCGCTTGAGCGATGAGCGAGTGCTGCGGCCTTCCCTCAGGGGCACCGGCGTAGGACGAGAGGCAGATGCATTGGCAAGGCCGTTGCGGGTGATACGGCCTGTGGGAGCCGGCATGGGCGTCGCCGTGCTCGAGTCAGCCTCGGAGTCGAGCCCCTGACGAGAGGCGCCCTCGGGAGAACTGGCTCGGACATTGCTAATGCTTGCCAGCTCGTTGCTATTCTGAGTAACGCGGCGAGCGTTCTGGCGCAGCTTCAGCTTGGTGTCGTTCTCGTCGAGCTTGCCGACCTTGGGGGCAAAGACCACGGGCCACGGGGCGCCCTGCTTGGCAGAACCCTTCTTCGCAGGTAGCGAGGGAGTGTCGACGACGGCTGGCATCTCGTATGGTTGCTCCTCCGGAGCATTGGCGGTAGCAGAGGAAACATCAGCATCGGCCGCGGCAGCCGGGTCTGTCTGGGGAGAGGCGTGACGAGATAGGTGTGACACGTTCCGGGCGCTCTTGCGTGGTGGTGCGCTGGAACGCTGCTGTTTCTGTCGCCGCTTGGCCGTGATTGGCTGACGCAGCACGGGGCTGGTGCGCGACGACGGCTGCTTCTCTGCCTGCTCTGCCTGCTCTGCCTGCTCGGCCTGTTCGGCTTGCGGCTCGCCAGTGTCCTCAGCAGCGTCTACGGCCAGCTCGGTATTCTCGTTGCTCTCCGATGAGCGCTCCTGGATGCTATCCGGGGGCGACATGGACCGAGCGCTCGACAGGGATGACGACGTGGACAGCGAGCGAGCCCGTCTGGATCTGCGCGAAGGCGTTTCAACTTTGGCGGCGGCCTTACCGTTAACCCCATTCGACGACGAGGTCACCATCTTGGCGGTAGCGTCCGATTGCTGCTGCTGTCTCTGTGATTGCTTTGATTTGGGCGATTGCAGCGACAGCTGCTCGGCCTTCTTCTGTTGAGCTTGCTGCTGCTGCGGCTGTTGCTGTTTGGCCGCAGCGACTGTCTTGCGCCTTTTGCGAGGAGGTTCGGGGCCGGGGTCGGGGTCGGGGTCGGCCTCGTCCTGTTCCTGCTTCTCAGGCTCAGGCTCAGGCTCAGGCTCAGGCTCAGGCTCAGGCTCAGGCTCAGGCTCAGGCTCAGGCTCAGGCTCAGGCTCGGGGGCGGACGCGGACTCGTCGGTCCTGTCCTTTGGCTGCTGTTGTTGCTGAGTTTTCTTGTCTTGAGAGCGCTCCCGCTTGCGCGTTGTTGCAGGCGCGGGTACAGGCGCGGGTTCGGGTTCGGGTTGTTGGCGAGACGAGGGCGGTGCTGAAGCTGGGCGCCCCTTCGGTTCCTTCGGCTCCTTCGGCTCCTTTGGCGCCCTCTCTTTCTCCTGCTTTTCCTTTTCCTGCTTCTCCTTCTTGTTCTTGCTGGCGGCGCGGACCCCTTCACGGTTACGACGACGGAGAGCAGACAAGTCCAGCTTAATGAGATCGCCGTACGGGGAGCGCTTCGGCGGTTGGGGCTTGGGGTCCTTTTTAGAGGGCGACGGCGGCACAAAGTAGTTGTAGGCTTTGTTGTCTTTCTTGCCCTCCCGCTTCCTGGGCTCCATGAGTCGCTTAAATTCCTGCAGAGTGTCGACGTCTGCAGTCTGCGTAAACACCTTCGCAAGCATGTTGACAAAATCAGACCGGGATGAATTTTCATAGTAGAGTGTGCGCAGGGCCCAGGCTGTGGGGTACCGATTATGGGAGAGCGCCTCGTCCACGGCTGCCTCCACAACCTTGTCGACGAACTGTTTTTCCTCCATCATGGCCCGAGAATTTGCGCTGGATGCCTGCTGATGCCCTGCAGATGCTGCAGCCGCGCGTGCAGTGCCTGTTCGTGATGCAAATCTGCCTGTTGCGCTCTTCTGCGACGCCCTGCCCGGCGCCGGCGCCCATTCCTCGTCGTCGCTGTCACGAGATCCCAATGGGCGACGGGAGCGTGATCGCGATGCTGTAGGGAGTACTGTGCGAGTTTTGCTCATGGCCTGACTGGCGGTGTGAACTGGCTCCTCCTCGAACTCTAGGGATGCGCCGCCCTGGGTCTCGACATCCTCTTCCGTATTCGCGTCGTTCTCCTCTTCCGTCTCGTCGGCCTCGGGCGCTGTTGCAGGCACTGGAGGTGCTGGCGGCTGCTGGGTGCGCTGCTTGACGATAATCTTCCGGGTAGGAGCGTGCTCAGGGGCCGGAGCCGGGGGGAGTGCTGTCTTCTTAAACAAGCCGACCTTTGGCAGCGTCCCGAGAGGGGCCATGGTCTCAAAGATGCCATGACGCACGAGGCCTGCATCCTGAAAGCTCGCCTTAATCTGCACGGGCGGCTCAAGCCAGCGTTGCATGAACTCTTTCTCCTTCTCGTTGCCCCCCTTCGCAGCGTGGCTGGCGGAGAGTCTCTCGGTCCTCGACGACGATGAGTCGGTCGCAGCATTTCCTGAAGCAGTCTGTGGGCTCGAGAAGCGTGACCGGGTCGCCCGGGTATTGGATGAGACTGGCGTGGAAGACATGCTGACAGGAGTGGCGGGCGCAGCAGCAGCCTGCTCGCCGGTGCTTGCCCCCTTCTTTGAACCAACGCTTGCGGATCTCGCTCCTGCGCAAAGGGTCAGCATCGCTTCACGCAGCAAAAATAAAAAACATAAAAAAAAAAAAAAGAAGGTGAAAAAAGAACAGGGCACATACCGATTGGTCGCTCTGCGACAGCAGCTCGGGCGAGATTCTGGCGTTTGGAGAAAATTTCCACGCGGTGGTGGCTGGGTTGGTGGTGGAAGGGAAAACAGGGGTGGGTTGGAAGGGAGGTGTGTGAGCGAGTGTGTGTCTCTCTGAATGCTGCGTGCTGCGTGCTGCGTGCGCGCTGAACAGGGAGAAGGCGATCTCGCTCCTAGCTTTCTTAGTTGGGGCCTCGCTGGCGACCGCAGCGACCAGCGACCGGGGGGGGGCCGAGCTGGCTAACGACTTGTGGCTCTGGCTCCTGGTCAGCCTTCCTGTCACCTGTGTGCGTTGAGGACAAAAGTCACCACCACAACTCAGATCTTTTTGCTGTCCCCGTAAAAATTGTTGGACCGCCGTCGGAATGACTGCTAAATGTGAATATAGTCCTGGATCTGTGATTCTGACCTTCTTGACCCTGTGCGGCAGGCTTTACTGGCCCTGCTGTTCACGGGGTTCCCGCCGAGAAGTGCCGTGGGCAAATCCACATCTACCGACGCGCGCGACGGCGACGCGTTTTTTTTTAGTGGAAATTTATTTATCGAGTTGATGCTGCTCGCTCGTGGGCACACAGATAAAATCGCGGTTGGTTGTAGAGTCGCCCTGAAGGAATAGTGATGGGCGGCGATGAGGGCAAGCCGTTTGCGAGAGTGAGCGAGCGATGAGTGAGTTGAGTGTGTATGTGTGTGAATGAAGTGGGAAAATGCGAGTTTGGAAAACAGCAAGGCAGCGTAAAGGGGGAGCAGGCAGGATGCGTGCCCGGATCAGGGGGTTTGGCCGAGTTCCTCACGGTTTTGCTGCAGACTTTCTATTCAGCACCGCAACAATAGCAGCACACCAGAGCGCAGCTTAATTTTTTTTTTTTTTTTGTATAATAGCCCAGCAGTCTCAATAGACTTGCTCTTCAACCGTCGACGTCCTCGACTCGGACAACGGAGCAACGGCGTCGGCTAGGTATACCCAAGGGGAAAAAAAAAAGGGGGGGGGGGGCGGCTCTTTGCGTTCTTTCTCCCACCACCTCGCCCGTCACCCGTCCACCCAACAATGGCCGACGGCCGATGTCTGACCCCCTCGGCCTCGTGCCTCATGCCTCATGCTCAAGGAGAACAAACACTTGACTGCGGCCCCCATCCTCCATCAACCATCTCGAATTTACAGCCACAAATCCACTCTTCAGCGCGATTTGCGTCTTCCACTTCCCAAACCTGCATCCTGCTCATTGTTGCCCTTCACATGCCCCTGAATCATCACTACGATAGGACAATAGACACCGCTGAGAGTGGAGTTCATCGTGCACTCCTACATCTTAGCAGCTTTACCACCAGGCACGGTCATCATGGCCTCCATCAGTGAATGAAGATATGTGTGTCAGAGTGATACTGTAAAATACTAGTATTTGGATTTTTTTTTCTTAAAAAAAATTCGTTTCGGGACCGTGGTCGTGGATGCGCCAGCTTGCTCTGCTCTCCCCCTCTCTGTCCCTGCATGCGGCAGATGATGCATCTACCATGGACAACTGTACGGCTAATGCCTCAGACCTGAAGCATCGCGCGGGTGCTCTCGGACGACCATCGAGGGGTCGACTAACGCAAAAGAGACCGACGTGGCAAAGTACAAATAAAAGAACATCATCCCTCCTTGCACCTCCTTAAGTCCCGTCAATATCCCAGCAGGTATCGCTATGATTGCAATTCCTTTCGCTCATCCCATATCTCGAACGTGGCCTTCCCTAACTCCCGCAACGCTTGAGATCAGAATCCACAACGACAAGGCTCAACGGCCACATGAACGACCGCGGGGTCCTCTTCCGCAGAGTCGCTGCGCCCTTCTCCCGGCCCCGACCGAGCCATTCGCCCTTTACTCCTCGTCACTGCTCTCCTCCTCACCCTCGTCCGGCTTGGCTGCCGCCTTCTTGGCCTTCTTCTTCTTCTTCTTGTTCTTGTTCTTGCCTGCATTCTTCGAGAGGGGCTGCTCAAGAATCTTGAGGATCTCCTCGTCCTCAATCTTCTTGTCCGTCTTGAACTTGCTGAGATCCCAAGCCGGCGGGCCACCAATCCGGGTGATGCCATTCTTGGTGATGGCTGTGGCAGATAGTTAGTAAATACACACACGGCAACCTCGCCCTAACCAGAAGAAACCATATTCTTACCAATCGTGGTCAGGAGACGGCAGACAGGAGCATTGTCCTTGTCGCCCGTAACCTCGTATTGCCTGAAGACGCCGCCGCGCACGCACTCAATGACACCAGACTTGGCATCGCGCTCATCCTCCAGCTGCCTCAAGCTGAAGGGGAAGGTGCCAAACTTCTTCTGGACCTCTGAGTAGATCTTGCGCGAAGTCGGGCGCTTCAGGGCATATGTGTTGTTGGTACGACGGTGAAGGGTAGCGCGCTGCTCGAACTGCTTGACCTTGCCCGACCCAAGACTGCAGCCAACCTCAACGCCCCAGACGTCGCCAACCTCAGGAACGCCCTCACCCTTGATATTCTCGCCAGGGGACAAGATAATCTTCTTCTTGCCCTCGATCTCGTTTTTGTCAAAGAGCCAAGAAGTCGTGCTCTCGATGATGTTGCAGTCGTAGGCCTTAGCAACCTTCTCCAGGAGGCTGGAAATCTTGGCCTGCGACGGCGGCTTAACAGCAGCAGCCTTAGCCTTCTCTTCGTCTGTGCCAGTAGCCAGGAGACCTGGAGGGACCATCAACCGGAGAAGGACCTCATTGGCGTAGTAGGTGGCCAGGAACAGGTCCGCCTGCCGGCCCTCAATGACGTCTGGATCGTTGGCGTTCTTCGCAACAATCGTGTCGCAGACAATGGTGCCATAGCCGTCGATCTGGGCACCCAGCTGGATCTTGATGGGCTCACCGGGCTGGATCTCGGTGGCAGCCTCCTTCTCGTCCGACCGAAGAGGGGTATAGGGGGTGATGAAGGCGGCAGGGGAGACAGTGGTGGGGTGAGAGAAACCTAAAAACGCCGAATTGTCAGTTACCACCTTGACAGACTTTAGGGTCACAGGAGACAGAGTCTAAAAAAAAAAAAAAAAACCGGAAAGCCGGCCAGAGTCAAGAGTCAACGCACCCTTGTTGGTCTTCTTGTCGCGGTAGACCTTGGAGAGCTCCTCCTCCATGAGCTTGTCGCCCTGCTCACAGATGTCGATGATCTTAGCGCCGGGGACGCATAGCTTCGACACCTCGGCGAGGACCTTCTCGGAGATCTGGGCGGCAGTCTTGTACTTGGTGAGGACGTCGACGCTGATCGCGACGTTGTCTAAAAACGAGTATCAGCACCAGGCCCACACAGAATGAGGGCAGAGCAGCGCAATCTGTGATGGGAGGGCGAGGGCGAGGGCGAGGGCGAGGACAAGGCCTCAGGGACGGGGGGGTACGCAAGCAATCCGAACAGTGGGAGAGGGGAAAGACCGGGCAGGAGAAGCTACGGGAGCACCTCGAGCACCAGGAGGGCAAGCAGAGCTAGATGGGCGGGAACGGGGGCGAGCAGTGGTGGCAGTGGCTCGAAGATGGCAGCTTTGGAGCTGCCTGAGCTCGGGGAGGTGTTCACGACGGCGATGGTCTGAGCAAGAATTCGAGCCAAGGGAACTGACCAGCTTCCTTCTTCTCGGTCGCCATCCTGGGCAATTAAGCTGAATAAGCTGTTTTTGAAGACTGCTAGTATATCCCCGGGGCAGTAAGGTCCGCGACGAGGGGTTAGAATGGGTGAGGGAGTAGAATGATTGGAGCTGTGGGGGACAGGCTGTGATGATTTTGAGCTTCCTGCTGGTTTTTAGGCGGGGGAGGGGGTTTCCTGTTTGCCTGTTTGTGCTCCAGGTCCGTCTCCACACCTTGATGCGACTGCCGCAGGTGCGGCTTGGGTTTGGGGCTGGTTGCCAAGGAGATTGGGTACCGGTACCTTCTCGTCACAACAGTTTCCTAGAGGGATGGAGTACCACTACAGCACGACAACGGCTATCGTGATGGCCTCTGAATGCAGGGTTCTGATTGGACCGGCGCGCTTGGGCCGTTTCTTCTCGAGACAGAAGGGCGAGAACGCAGGCGCGCGTATCCACGGCCAATCCCAGCACCAGCCTCGCGCAAGCCAAGGGGTCGTCGCAACTTGCAAGTTTACGCTCCAGTTCAGTTTACAACCAGGTTGAAGAGGTATTCCCAAAGCACGCAGCTTCCAACGGCATTGTGCAGCCAACGCGGCTTTGGCCATCAGACAAAGCGTGTTTCTGGCTGCGCGGCTGGCCATCTTCGCCTTAGCTTTTTTTTTCTTATCTGTTTTGCTGGTGCCTAGAGTCCCAGGCAATCGGCCAGAGCCCAGGTCTGCTTGGCCTCTAACTGCTCCTCTGTTCCTCGGTTTTTTTTTTTTGGCTTTTATTTCAATACCCTCATCTGCCCCCCTGCCGACCATGGCCGCTCCGCAGGTGTCGGCAGCGTCGGCCGCTGGCGGCGACGTCGATGGCTCAACATCATCTTCGATTGCGCCCGCGACTGCTGCGCCGACGTCGACTTCCTCCGCCGCGAACGCGCCCTCAGCTGTTCCTGGCGGCGCGTCCTCCAAGTCCACCACCCCGCAACATGACACCCCTCTCGCTCCTCCTGTTCGCGATAAGGAGTCCTTTAACAGGATGTTGGTCGAACGCTTCCAGACACGCGATTGGCTTCACTCTGCTGCCATCAAGGAAGCCCAGATGCGCGCCGAAAGGGACACCAAAGACATGCTCGCCCGCGCCAGCGACTACCGCACCTACAAAGAGTTTTACGCCAACTATCCATCTCGGCTCTACGGCGAGGGCTATCGCGGCTATGGCAATGGCTTCACTGAAAACGGTTCTACCACCAAAATCATCTACCCGTCCCAGAAGCCGCGTCCGGGTCGGAGAGTAACGCCGCCTTTGAAGTTCAGTAAGAAGGACATGAAGAAGCAGGCAGAACAGCACGAGGAGCTAGTTCCTGTCCGGATTGATGTCGATTGGGATCGGATAAAACTGCGCGACACATTTACCTTCAACCTGCACGAGCGCCTGGTTTCTGTCGAGCACTTCGCTTCACAGTTTGTCGAGGATATGGGCCTCAACCCCATGGGCCAGGACAAGCCCGTTTATGACCAAGTGGTGCAGCAAATGCACGAGCAGCTCAACGACTTTTATCCCTTTTGCTACACGGAAGAAGATGCTCTTGACCCTGAACTTCCCTACTCCGCTTATAAGAACGACGAGATGCGCATCTTGATCAAGCTCAACATAACCATCGGCGCCCACACACTTGTCGATCAGTTCGAATGGGACATCAACAACCCCCTCAATTCTCCAGAGGAATTCGCGGCATCCATGACCCGTGATCTTTCCCTTTCTGGCGAGTTCACGACAGCAATTGCCCACTGCATTCGAGAACAAGCCCAGCTTTTCACCCGTAGTCTCTACAGCGTCGGTCATCCCTTCGACGGTCGCCCCATCGAAGATCCCGATCTCGTCGCCGCCTTCCTGCCGTCTCCCCTGCCTTCTGTTTTCAGACCTCAGCAACAGGCCAAAGACTATGCTCCGTATTTGTACGAGAACACAGAAGCCGAGCTGGAGAGAACCGAAACCATGTTCTCCCGCGAACAGAGGAGACAGAAGCGGTCAATTAACCGTCGTGGCGGTCCTTCGTTGCCGGATCTGAAGGAGAGGCAGAGAACCATTCGGACATCTATCGTGTCCTCGGTTCTGCCAGGCGCTGCCTTAACCATCGAAGAGAGTCGCCTGTTTAAGCGCACAATAGGCAGCAGTGGTGTCACTGGCAGAGGAAAGAGGACGGCTCGCGATGGAGATATCTCGGATTCCGAGGACGACGACGACTCCGCTCCCGACTCTCCGGCCATGCAGCCCCAAGGGACGAGGACCAGAGGCCTTCGCGGCGCTGCTGCTACCGCCGCTCAGCGTATGGCTAATCTGGGCCGCTCCGAGACTCCAGAGGCGGTCATTCACCACCACGAAACTAGGACATCGCGCCGTCTTGGCCGCGAAGCTACTCGCGAACAGACAGAAGAGCCGTTACAGCATATCGTGACCTTGAAGGTTAGCCCATCGAAGCTTCGGAAGCTTATGCGCGATCTCAGGATGAGGCCAATTAATTCTTCGTCTGCTACGCCGACCGCTTCTCACCAACGAGCCCCGAGTACAGCAACACCAGCCCCTATGGGCCCTCCGTCAACACCATCTACATCCAACCAACAACAGCAACAGCAGCAGCAACAGCAACAGCAACAACAACAACAACAACAACAACAACAACAGCAGCAGCAGCAGCAGCAGAACCAGTCCAAGCCGAATTCCTCCTCGAATCTTCAGAACCAAATAGGCCGCGTTCCTGCTCCACCACCCTCTGGCCCCAATGGCAACGCCCCCAATCAACCACCGGTAAACTTCCCTTATCCTTCATCCATTTGTCCCCTATCACTTTATACCCCCAAATCCCCTCCAGTACAACTCTATTGGAAATGTCAGCAATAAACACTAACATATTTCCCCCCTTCACGGAATAAAAACAGCCCCCGCCCCCAGAATGGCTAGTCAATGCACTCAACGAGCTCTCCAAGTCCTACCCGAATGACTCCTTCGAGGCCATCATGCGCTACTGCGCCATCGACACCGAGACCAATACCGCCCTGCAGCTGCCGCTCAAGGGCTGGCCCGACGAGCCTATCCCGCCTAACGTCCAGTTCTATTGGCTTCCTCGCATTCGCTGCCGCGACTGCCCCGGCAAATCGTATACTGCGGGCCCTGACACGACAGTTCAAAACTTCGAGGTGCACTTGACTTGGAAGGGCCACAGGGAGAAGGTTGCGGCCCGGTTGGCGAAGCAGCAGGCCGGCGGGCAGAGCGCCTCAGCATAAGAACAACAGAGTACGAATGTGGGGTTTAGGTGCGGTTTGGGAAAGCCTTGCGGTTCAGTTGATTTGGGAGTCAACAAGCTTTTGCAGGTTCGTGGAGGGTCTGGTTCATTAATAGCAGTGCAGGATTGGTTTTCAATATTCCTTGTGGCCAGTTTCTTTCGGAGGGAATCATCCGTCAACTCTGCAAACCGTGGATATATTTTTTTGCGGGTAGGCTGACTCGATGGATGATATCGTGCCTGCTTCCGCCCCCTTTGTTGGTTTTCACTTCGATATAAAATTTATATCGGATAATGGGTTGGGGGAGAGGGGGGGGGAAGAGCAGAGCGACCGGCGTACTCTGGGTATTCAACATGTGTACATACACGAGGTCAGGAAAGGGGACTGATTGGGTTTGGATATTGTATGAATACAACGCCTTCACTTGGTCTCCTTTCTTTGCGATCAAAGGAGCACTCGTTGTAAGTAAGGATGGACGTGAATGTTACGCAGGATTAGCATATGGGGCATATGGGGGAATCAATGTGCTGTTAATCTTAAGTGATTCTTGATGCCTTTTGATGACGCAGTTTTTGGATTACCGAGTGCCTAATAAAAACATAGGAGAACGCAACTACGCATGGCTGACCATTAGAATTCTACTACAGTGCTCCGAGTGTCTATCTCACGATATCTCTCAAGCATAAGCAGCCCATCCTGTATAAAGATTTGGAGGTTAGCAATCCTTTTATCTTCTCCGAAAGTGGCAAGCTATCCACGTACCTGAATACAGAACCGCTAGGTTCGACACACTGGTTGCCTGATTAATCAAGTCGTTGACCGTTGCCATGACGCTCAATGTCTTCGACAGCTTCTTCTTAACCACCTCGATCGCCCTGTCTGCTTCACTCGGCTCATTCGCCGGCCTCTGCTTCTTCTCTTTCGGCACACCACCGCCTTCACCGTCTTCACCCCCTCCAACACCGCCATCTTCCCCCCCACTTCGCGTGCATTCTGCAACTTGGCCATTCGCACTGGCGAGATGGACCATTGATACAATGTGTCATGCCTCAAGCTGTCCAGAATGGTCTGGATCGATGCGGCCTCCTCGCGCAGCGCATCCAGCGTGAACTCGCAACACCGCCGGAAGACGCCCTCGGTCTTGGTAATGCCCATGCCGTCGACGATGTCGCGGGTCAAACGGAACGGTACCAGCTCTGGCACGGGCAACACGCGGCCCATCTCGAAGGCCACACCCAGGTCGATGTGGACGACCTCACCGGTCTTGTGGTCCAGGAGAATGTTGTGCCCGTGCCGGTCGCCGAGCCCGAGCACGTGGCCCAGCATGGAGATGGCGGCCGTTGTGCGAGTGTAGTTGGTGCGCTTCTGGAACCATTCATCCGGGTCAGGGAAGTACTCCATGAAGAAGTAGCGCATGACCGGATGGAAGCGTTCCGTGACCCTGCGATAGACGGCGATGCGGGTTTCTGTGTTTTTGGTCTGGGCATTCGCGATTTCTTTACGGCATTGGGAACCCTTGAGGTCTTTAGGGTAGTATCGCTCGTGGGCGGGCATCAAATACTCGTGGAGTGGAATTGTGTTGGAGACGAACTCGATCAGACCGGATGAGGAGGTTAAGGGTAACACCTTGTACGTCCTGATGCCCAGGTTCCTCTGTCTTGTTTCTCGGTGAAGCTTCAGGAGTTCAGACACAGCAGCAAAAACTTGTTCCATGATAGCGTCCTGGCGCAGGTCGTCGTTGCCACCCTTGACGAGCTGCTTGTACTTTCGGCCATCTGTTCCGATCGCTGTGAGAATTTTGGGTGCGCTGACACCAGACGCAATTGCCATCTCGGGAGCAAACTTGTGAATCATTGGCACGTGGGAGTAGTCCAGATTGGCAGACACCTCGATCTGCAGTGTTGGCGGCGGGATCGGATTGTTGGACATAGTGCTGAGGAAGTTCTGCCCAACAGGGGAGTTCTTGATTGGAACCTTCTGTCCAGATTTATAGCGAGTCGGATCACGGTCCATGGCAAGGGCGTGGTAGACTCTGCTTGTCTGATCGATCGCCGGCCAGATGGATGAGACCTTATTATTCTTTGAGAGCGCCTTAGCAATCTTGTCTGTCGCTCTCTGGCGAGAGACTGCCACCTCATCGTCCTTGTTGACCCGAGTCCTCGCTCCGGTCCAAATGTGGTACATGCCATGGTAGGGATGATCGACGCAGATGCGATAGACAAGATCAATCAGCAGTTTTTGGAACAGAGTATTATGGTCTTGAAGACGTGACGAGAGCTGGTTCATCAGGAGCGCGAACTTGCGAGTCGGAACCTTATTGATCCATTTCTTGACAACTTCATTCGCAACTTCTTCCTCTGATTTCTCCAGCCACAGAGCCATGAAGCGCAGGGCATCGTTATCGTGTTCGTCTGATGCCGCCAGAGAGAGAAGATAATTCTCTATGCAGAGTTTGAGGAACTCGGACCGCGTTTGTTCGACTCGCCGGAGCTCCTGCTGGTCGAGTTCTTGCCATTGCTTGGCCTTGGCTAGATGGCTCTGATATCGATTCCTCAACTGAGAATCCTTTGCGCTTGCGATCAAAGCCTTGAGCTGGGCAACCTCCTCGTCTTTTCCCTTTTTGAGGTTCTGCAGCCGTGCAAGATCCTCTAAGCTGTCGGGATTTTGCAGTTGCTCGTCACAGAACACAGCAAACTGATGGAAGACTTGACCAGCCTCTCTGCCCTCAATTTTACCCTTCAGTTCCTTAAGTGCAGGCTCGAGATACTTCTTTTGAATGGCATCAGGACTCTCCAGCCGCGCGACAGAGACCTGGTAGCCAATCTTGGACAGAAGATCGGAGCGGCTCAGGGGCACGCTTTGTTTCTTCAGAGACGAATCCTTGTCTATGGCTTGAAGCATTCTGATCGACGAGATCATCTCCCCGTGGTCCCATAAGGCGTTGGCCGCCTCCATCTTGATGGCAGCATCAACACTGAGACCCAAGGATTCACACGAAGGAATCAGGTCAGAGAGAGCCGTAGACAGGTTCAAGGTCTCTTGGCGTGCGCGATGGAAGCGGAAGATGTCTGATGATAGCAGCATACCACGGATTTGGACCAAGCGCGCGTCCGCTGATGTCAGGCCCGCGGCTCTCAAGTTGTGGCGTTGGCTCCACATGCTCAAGGTAGTCTCTCTGCACGAGAGTATCTGGCTCACATCGGCATATCTCCCGCTCATCATCCACTTCGACCTCTTCTCGAAGGTCGCAAGGGTGCACTGGAGCTCCGACTGATCACGAACATTCAAGATATCATCAAGCTCCGTGAGTGCAGCCAACGCACCAAGCTGCTGGCGCAAAACAGATGTGTTGAGACTGCCACTGCTCAGATGCCGGACGGTGTTCTTCAGGCCATCATGGACCATGCTCCTGACAGTGTCGAGCTCTTGGGCCTGATACATACTTTGGTATGCCTTGTAGACAGTAACAGCCCAGCTGTCGCTGTTTACAGGAGCAGGAAGATTCCAAATCTCGAGTTTCCGTGCCGTCGTGAAGGTGGCATCGAGAGAGTCGGAAGAGCCGTCTATGCTCTGTTGCGACTGGAGAAGGGAGTTAGACAAGCCAGCAAGGCCGAGACTGCTCAAGGCCTTGATAAGCGCATTGCAGTCTTGCCTAGACTGCAAGTCTCTGCCGCGTAGGTGGCTGTCGTACTGTGCACCTCGGAAAGCCAAACTCTTTGCTCCATCATTTTCATACTCCAGCCGAGCTAAGACCGTGGAAAGGGAAGCATCTTGGCTAAGGCCGTAGTAAGCATCTGGGTCGTCGATGTTTTCGAAAATCTCCAGCAAGATGTCGCTCGAGTCATCGGTCTCCCTGGCAGCAGATGAGCGCCGGGACCCGCGAGTTGATTCGGCTGCAAGCTCCGCGAACAAGAGGGCGACCTTATACATGCCACATCGGGTTGCTGCGGCTGCAGCACTTGCCATGTTCACATCCAGCCAGTGGGCTCGGTCGGCAATCGAGGATTCTCCCGGGAGTGGTTGGGTCCGCAGGTACAGGATAGTATTGATCAGCAGCTTCAGGTTCTCCTTGGCTGGCTCTGAGGTGAAGTTTAACCACTCTTGGAGTGACTCGGAGAGTTCTCTCTTTGCCGATTGTTGCTTGTCCAACTGATACGCAAGCACCAAGTGGACAACGAATGGGAAAGCCCGCTCTGCGAAGCCCTTGACTTTGGAAAGGATCGGGGGAAGCACCCTGAGGGTGACAATCTTGGGAGCAGAAAGGGCCAAACGGATAGCCAGATGCTGTGACCAATTTGGATTCTCCAGAGCTCTTGCTGAAAACACTTCCGTATTGGCAGGAGGGTCGACCTTGAACTGATCAGACAGAGGTGTGCGATAGGGATCCCAGTTTGACGCGATTAGCAGCGGCTCGGGGAGGCTCTCCTGACAAGCGCTGAGCAAGTCATGATCATTGTCGCTAATGGCATCGGAAACGATGGTGCGGAGCGCGGCCTCGGCCAAGCCGGCTGTGAAGCAATCGCCACTAATGGTGAGGGACTTGATGAGGTTGAGCAATCCTTCTTCCGAGCTTCCCACGCCCTGAGACAGCCTCCGGTACTCCTGAAGCTGAGATTCGCGTAGCAAATCCTCGGGGACTTCACCGGAAGCTGCAAAAGAACGACCCAGTACTCGGCCCGCCCATGCGAGGTATTCTCCGCCCAGTCTCTGCGAGGAGCAACTCTTCCATACCACGGCGCCGTTCTTTATCGCGTCCTCGTCTGTTTCGATAACGTCCAGTCGGCTGGAAGGGGGAATATTAAAGACCCCACACAACATAGAAAGGGCAACATCTCGTGCCGGCTCGTTTAAGAGTTGGTTCTCGCGACCCCAATCTTTGAGGATCTCCAGCAGGAGATTGCTCTCGTGCGTTCCCTTTTCAGCATTACCCGAAGCACGGATATGGGCAGCGTTCTCGGTAATAGACCTGAATGCCTGCTTCTGTCCCTCGTCCTTGAATTCAGGGGAGTCATAGGCGGCAAGATATTTGGAAAACCAGGCGTGAAATTCCTGGGCCTTGCTCTTGGTGGCCTTGAACTGACTCTCTTGTGTGGTGCTGGACTGGCTTGATTCGAGAAACACACGCAGATCGGCCAAGCTCGACAGGGCGTATCCTGCCAGGAATGACGGAGTTCTCTTCAAATACTCGTCACCCCTCTTGATCAGATATTGAGTGATGCCTAAAGCATCATCAGCGCATTCCGGGTCGACCACGAACACCCGTAGTGAGTGGAGCAACATCTCGAGCGGGTATCCAGATATCGCATGGTCGCCAGCGAGACAGATTAGAACGCGAATCTTGCGTAAGACAGAACAGGCATGGAGCGGACCAAGTGCTGGGTGAATGGTCTTCAGAAGTTTGCGGGCTACAAACACCACCAACGCCGGGGTCCAGATATTCTCAGGTTCATACTGGGTTCGGCTGCACAAGTGAACGATTTCCCTGGGAAGATACTTCGCTCTGAACATGGGCTGCTGATTGGGAGGAAGCGCGGTCGGGAGATGACCCAGCTTCTTGATCTCCTCCAGAGTTTCCGCTGCATAGGCGAACCTTTCATCTCGCCTGAATGCCTTCTCGATGGGATCCTCTTGATCGAAGATGTCGAAGAATGTGGAGATGATATCAGCAAAGTTCAGGTGAATGTTCGCAAGATACTCTTCCTTCCCAAGAATTTTCCTCATGCGACTCTCTCCTGTTACGTAGTCTGGACCGCCCGCAATGCTGATGTCGTGTGCAATGCTATACGCAATGATCTTGGTGAAGCTTTGTTGCACCAGCTTTTCAGGGGTTAGACCCAGGGATTGCGCAAGCTGACAGACCTCCTGTTCCTGGCCGCGCATCATCATGATGGCTGCCGCTTCAGTTTGTGCCTCTCGAAGCAGATCGAGCAAGCTGGAAAAGCCAAAGATCTCATAGGCGATATCCTGGATGGAGTCGTTGTCCAACCATGTGTACAACAGCTGAGGAGCAAACAACTTGAACAGCTCCTGAGGGCCGCTGAGTTTTAAAGTTTGAGCAATCCGTTTGATACAGCTGGCTGCGTACAAAGCAGAATGCGTGACGCAGCTTTGCGACTTTGAGATCTTAGTGATCTTCCCCGGAATCTCGAACGTGTGGTAAATACTCCGACGAAGGAGCGTTGGCCAGCGACACGCAAGCTCAGCGAGGACAAACAGTCGAAACGCCAGCCCTTCAACAACATCGGGATCAGAAGGGAGATGTTCAAGGACGTCAACGAAAATATCGTCGTGCGTCTTCAGGACATACAGCCCAAACAGCTTGGGAATCTCGAGACCTATATAGTGTTTGAGTTTCATCGGTCCGTCTTGGAGGATCTTGAGGAGGGTAGACTGGGAAGAAGGCAGGCCGAGGTTGGAAGCATACTCCGACTTAACCTCGAGCAAATGCAACAGCAGACTCGCGAGCCGGATCTGTGCAGCCGCCGACATGGAATTATTTGGCAAAGACTGCTTGACCAGATAGTGGTAAAGATCACCGGCCATTTCTGCAATGTCAAAATGATTATCCGTCCACAAATTGATAAAGCTGTCCATGATGTCTATGCAATTGCACAACGCCACTTCACAACATGCATATTCATATCGGCTGACGATGTGCCCTGCCGTTTCCAGGATTGTCGTGGCACCCCCCAGAGGAACGATCGCATCTGAGGTGAAGATCTCCCTCATGAACTCTCGGCAGCACAAGAACTGCTCGCCTGAGAGACCCGCTAGTTGGTTGATGATGGGCTCTGGGATGCGGCCGATTTCGCCATCATTTAAGCGGATGATGTCCAGGAAATGAATTCTCAGGCTGGTCTCCAGATAGAAGGCTTCCGGAGTGTAACTTAGGAGAATGTCCCGTCTCGGCAACGTTTTTGCCTTGGATGCGGTGTTCTTTTGGCTCGTTTGAGGCTCGAAATCGGGATCGATGTCGATGACTTGATCATCACGGTGAGAAGATTCTCGACGTGACCGCTCGTACAAGGCTTCAGAGAGCTTGCCGAAGAACTTGAGCAGATGAGGGCGCTCACGCTTCAGGGCGATCAGCTCAGGTTCGATCAGATGAGGAATATAGGGTGCTGATGAGGCCAGGATCATGCCAAATAGATTTTCGCTCGGGGGAGAGTTGAGAATGACTTTGAGAGTAGCATCGACGATGCTGAATACTGCAGACTCAAGGTCTCGCGACAGGGATGAGTTGATGTTCACAAGGTCTGGGAGGAGCAGAGCTCCTGTGAGACAGGCGAGTACCATGCTACGCAGCCGCTCCATAGAAACAGGGGTTGCACCCTCACCCCCACGCTTTTGCCATGACTCTGCCAATTCCTGAAGCTCTTCTACTTTGGGGTAGAACAACTCGAGCGCCAGTCGTCTGGAGGCATTGGAACCGGCCACATCAGTAGCAGAGTTGGATTCTGGTAATTGTTCTTCCTGCTGGGCAGGCGTAACAGTTGTATCTGGCTCCTCCTCGTGCAATAGAAGCAGGTACCTGATGAAGGGTTCCATCTCTGCCTGTTCTTTCCAGTGCAAGACTATAGGACCATTGAAGAGCCGAAGGGGCTGGGCCATGACCAGGGGAGATATCCCGTAGCATGCTCGCAAGAGGTTGACCAAATCATACGGTGTTGCATGGGTTCCGTGTAAGGAAGCATAGGTTAACTCCGCTATTGTAACCGTCAGAGGTTTGATTTTAAAATCCGAAGGGGGGGGGGGAAAATGGTTGGCGCGCGCGGGATAATAACATACCAGGGCTCCATCTGACAAATACCCATCGAATGATGTGATTTGAGGTGGCTTGGCTGGCGTTGGGGAACATGTTATTTCGAAAGCGGAGCAGATTCAGCATCAATCCTAAGGACGCGTCTACCAGGATTGCTGGACCACTGATATCGGCAGTGGTGACAATTTGGTTGATATCGTCCGCCAACTCATGCCTAGGGATGAGGTTGGCTTTCAATATCGAGTTGAGGAGAACACAGGAAGCGCGGCTGATCGGGGGAAGGGATAGGGACCGGACGGCGAGCTGCCAAAGCTGCTTCCAGGAGGATGACAACGAAGGGTGTCGCGATACCTCATGAATGGCAAGACTTTGCTGTATCAGCAATCTGCTGCGTTTCTAACAGAGGGAGGTTGATATGAGACTATTAACCACGTACCTGGAACATGCCAACATGGCCCATGAAGCTACTATTGCTTGTTTGGCAGTAACGTGCTTGGATAAGTCCTCAAGGGTTTCAGCCACATCTTCGAGAGAGGGCTTCTTGTGTCTCGTAAGGAAGGGAATCAATTGCAAAGCAGATAACCGAACAGCAGGATCGAGAGAATGAAGCTTTTGGTGTACACGGTTTTGGCGCCCACTCATTTTGCGTCTCTTACGGGGCTGATCAATCTCTGGTTGTTGTTGGTTCTGCTGACTTTGTTCTTGTTGTCCATGCTTTGAGTACGCGGCTTCCAGAATGGCCAGGTTCTCGAGAAGTGCCCAATTTTGCTCGCCTGCTGTGTGATGGGGACGCAGGCTAAATATACCAGTACGGGGATGATCCGGTGGGAGGAGCATGTTTGTGAAAGTGATGTCGTCAAGTTGCAGGCGAGCACGCTCCTCGCGTCTGGAATAGTCACACCACAAAGTATCAAGAAGTTCTTCAACGTCTTGGGGGAATGACTCATCGGCGGCTTCCCTCAGCAATGCCTGAATGTACAAACGTGTACCGTAAAGAGTTTTGAGCATCTCGTCGCGGATTGAGTTGAGCATGGCATCTCGAGAAAGGGCTCGCGGCTGCCACCAGTGTGAGAGCAACGGCACCACCTGCTTCACCAAAGTCTTGCACAAAGCCACATCTTCGGCTTGCATGCGTTGGAAGACGATATTGAAGGTGGCAAATGCCATCTTCTGCAGCTCGCCAATCTTCATTTGTCGGAGTTGAAGGAGCTGTATCACCACGTGCGGCAGTCGATCTGCCTTCCTTTGGATTGGTGCGTTATGGGCTATGCACAACATGTAAAGGCAGGAGAGGACGTCCACTGCGACATGAGTGCCAATCTGCTCGCCAGATCCTTGGGTTCCGGCAACGGACCCAGACCGCGCTGTTGCCCCCGGGGCAGGTGATGCGCGAGACAAAGAACCACTCTCTCTGTCACCGAGCTCGAGGAACCGGGAGAGAACGTCGATGCAAAAATCGACACATACCTCCCAGCCCTCTCCCGATAACGCAGCAATATTTTCCGCACTTGCTGGGTTGTCAAGGAACTCGTAGAGCACCTTTACGTAGCCAGCAAGAAGGGGCATCACATAAGCACCATCAGGCCCCGGGAGGACCTGGACGATGTGGTCAATGATGGCCCTGGCCGTCTTACGGCGGATAGTAGTGACGCCATGACGGACGGCGAGCCGCAAGGCTTCGGGGCAACGCTCCAACCTCGCAGCTGCTGCAGCTGTTACTTTGACTGACTTTTTCGAATTGAAGTAGGCTTCTTTCTCGATGAGCGTGCAACGAAACAGGGCTTCGAAAAGTCTATGGTAGGCCTTGTCATCAAAGGTAGTCCTAATAATTGTCAACAATTGCCTCCTGGAAAGAAGAGAACTTGAAGGGGGACACACTGAGACTGAGTCCGCGAACCGTCAAAGTATGCTATCAGTGCTGTACAAGTGTCTCGGTTAGCGAGCGGCCCGAGATACAGTGTGGCACGATAGGGGGGATGCTTACCCTCAACCGCATCTTTGCGGGCAGTAGCTGAACTGCCAACCAAATGGGCTTTGATACTTGTTAGGATCATTGCTCATGGAGTCTCGCATAAGAGGCAATCAGCACGGGGGTATGAGACTCACACTCGATCTCCTTAAAATTGATCGTGCCACCAGTGTAACTCTTGACCCGCGGCATCTTCGGTTCGGGAAATATAAATAGTCAATTGAGAACGCCCTATGACAACAGTGGCAGTATATGTGACAGTTGTACTTGAGTATGGGGTAGATATGGCGCGGTGTTGTTTGCGAACAGGATGGGCTGGCGTAAACAACCAAAGCTGCGGCAATGTGGTTGATATCCGAGATAATGCTCACTGAAAGCACTGAAAACCATCACCACGCTTTGATGAGAACACTTGATACGGAGAGGCGTGTATACTAGAGGTGGCATGAGGTCTTAACATCAAATGAAAGCCCGCGTCCGCAGATATCGAATGCCAGGAGTCGAAGACATGGGCAACATAGAGGAAGAGGAAGGAGATCTCGGAGAGAAGAGTCTTATTCAACCAAGCTTCAGCTGACGAGGAAGCAGCTGGAGATCCTGTCTGCTTATCCGTCCAGGCATCGAACTGACAGCCAGGCAACTAATGCAAGCCTGTTGCAGCTTGTGGACAAAGGCCAATATCAATTGGACTCACGAGTTGAACTGCGGATGGGTGGACACTGGATGCCCGTAAACCTCCACTGCGGCAGCGCGCGCACCCTCCTGGTCGACAAGCAGTTCGTCTCTGGCAGGGCCGCAAGCCACAAGAGGTTTTTGGCATTATGGGCCTGTCCCGGCGCCAGGCTCCAGCGGAGCTATGACCACCAACAGACAAAGCACGGACCACTTGCCGTGACAGACTCTTGTTTGACAGCCCGGGCAAAGGGTCTTGCACCTGGTACGTACCGCGAAAAACGGCAGAACGCTTCACCGCCCAATTCTTTTGTTGACGGCAACGGCTTCTGGCGCCAATTGGCAGGCAACTTGGAACACAGCAACGGACAAGCGCGGGACGGCTGCCATCTCGATCGCGACATACTCTTCCAGCCAGCGACAAAACCATAGGGCGCGACCAGCACACGAATTAAGTCAGAGTCGCGGTCGTTGGGTCAGCCCAGACGTAGTTCCAATCCCTTTCATCAACAGCCCTGCCGGGGCCGCCAGCTTGCGAAGCTGACGCTGAGGCCATCAATCCCCACGGCCGCGTCTTTCCAAAGAATGCGCTGAGACGCTTTTCCGGCTCGCAAACAATGACCGACCTGCGCAAGCTCGAGGCGCTCCAGGCTCTTCATGCGGAGCTGGTCGCCGTCCGCCAGCACCGTTTTGAGGGCTTGCAGGTGCTGGAAACCCTCCTCGAGGAGCAGACCGATGCCTTCAAAGCGCTGATAGCGAAACCTGCGCGAGATACCAAGGATAGGGAGGCGTTGGGGAAAGGTAAGAGAAGCCATTTTCTTCCAGAATCCGACCGTCAATGGACGCAGGAATGAGGTTGCTAATACTCGCTCTTTCTGCAAAGAACCCAAGAAGCTCAAGATCGGGGAGGAAGAGTATTCCCTGAACGAAGATTTCGTAAACGACTGCTTAAAACTCGCCGACGAGCTCGACCTCAACGAAAAGGAGTCTGCGCGGATTCTCATCGACTGTGATGCGGAGGGAGATGTCGAGACCCAGAGCCGTCCACTGTGGGAATGCGGCGTGATTCGTTTCCATCAAGAGCGGAAGTACCTCCTTGATTGCATGCGCCTAATACTCGAGATAGCAGCAGACGAAGACATCGACGCGGGATTGCAGGAGTCGTTCGGCGTCGCGGCTGAGGACAAGATCTTTGGGATCCCTCCTCCCTGGGAAAGGAACAAAGAAAATCAGCCCACTCAGGTCAAGAAGTTCATTCCAAGATGCATGGAGGCGATGAAGGGTGTACGCTCCATGCTTCAGTGCATGGCCGACAAGGCCAACGCCCGGAACATGCTGCAACAAGCCAGCCTCGTCAGGCCCTTGGACAACCAGGAAACTCTGGACTTCTCACGGCTAAGCCTTGTCGAGCAGCACGAGTGCTTGGCTTCCATCTTGCACGCGGCTGTCCAAAGACACCACGCCACGATCGCCGACTTCCAAGATTTCATCAAAATCCTTAGGAAATGGGATAAGTATGACCATTTCCTGATTCACCTGATCCCAGTCCTAGCCGCGTACATCACCGAGTTCGGCTCGCCCGAGGGGATGGGTGACCTCCAACAAGCGCGCAGGTTGAACGATTTTATCTGTAAGGGGGGCGATGAGGACTCTTGGGCTCTGCCGGTTCTCGGGGCTGCTGTCCGCGCTTGGTGGATAGCCGAGCACAATGGTTTCTATCTGGACGACACGGTTCAGGACCTCCGGGGCATCAACCTAGATGAGGAGGATGAACAGAGGACGAAACAGTTCCTGGACGCGCTAAAAGAGGGCGCTTTTGACTTCATCTTATCCGTAGCCGCTGACTGCAAAGCTCAAGAATGGCAGGATCCATCACAGCTGGGGGCGCGTCAGTGGTTGCAGCGCAAGATTCCATCTCTGCCCTCTGAACCTTTCCCTTTCAGCCACTTCCTGCAGCATAGTTTGATGGTGCACTTGGAAGGCTTCGTCGATGCGACCATCTCGAACCTACCGGATGTCCTTCGAAAGCTAAGGACAGAAGAAGACGAGCAGCGACAGCTGAGGCCGAACCACGAGCAAGATATGGACCTGGAGCGCTTCTTGATCATCATCTCCTATGCCTATGAAGGCAGACCAGACGCGGCCATGTCTTTTTGGGAAGATCCAGATAGCAACCTTGCCGGCTTCTTGCAATGGGCGTCCAGGCGCGCGTCGACACCGCTCGTCAGCGCGTTCTGTGAGATGCTTCGGTGTCTAGCTGACAATGAGGAATGCGCCACCGCCGCTCACAACTTCCTTCTCGATGAGGGTCACCAGGCGTCCGGCAAGATGAAGCGCTCACAGTCTCTGACATGGAGCCAGATCTTCAAGGAGCTGGAGTACTTCACCACGAAGGTCTGCTCCGAGAGGCCCAATCCGCCCCAGGCTTCTATGCACCGTCCCGGCCGGCCCGGCGCGGATCCTGCTGAGATCGAGCCCGAGTCGGCCCTGATGTTGGAGTGCTATCTACGGCTCATTGCAAAGCTCGCTACCGAAAGTGAAATCGCTCGCAAGCGGCTGATCATGGATGAAGACTTCAACCTGGTCGACACCATCCTCAAGCTCTCCGTCGGAGTTATCCCGCATCGACTCCGCGCTTGCATCTTCTATGTTCTCAAAGCCCTCATGATTCGAAAGACGCACGAAGAACTAGACGCGATGTGGAGATGGGTCGAGGCGTGGATGACCAATCCATTTAGTTCCCTCCCTGGCTCTCAGGGGGCGCCCCAGAGGATATCCTTCCTCGGCCAGACACCCGGTCCTCAGGAGTGCATGGAAATGATGTTTAGGGAGTTTGGCACCGGCTTCGAACAGTCAAATGCCTTTATTCAGCTTCTCACCACTCTGTTGGTGCCACCAGAAGGCTTGAATAGCCTAAACGATTCGGTGCCGTTCCCGGAGTGGTTGGGGTCGAGCATTCGAACCTTGGGTATCGAGCCGTATGTTGACTTTGTCTTCGATGTCTTTGCCAACAGGACCAAGGACATCTCTGATCCCTCGCAGCTCCGGATTCTGCGCCTGAGCTGCTTGGACTTTGTTATGGTCTGCCTGGTCACCTTCAACGAGGATCTCATTGTTCTGGGCCATGAGAGCAACATTTCCATTGACGATGCTATGGCTGCGACCAACCTGGCCACGTACGTGCGCCTTCATCCCTTCAGCCGTGTCATGGAATGGCTTTTCAATGAGAAAGTCATCACGTCCCTAATCAACACCATTCATCAAGACCCGATCAGCTTAGGCAGCGCGTCCCCTGATTCCCCGCTGGTTGTGTCCATCCTCCGGGCCATCCAAGTTATGATCAAAGCGCTTGAGCTTCAAGAGACGTACCTGCACCTGGTGCGACCGGAAGTCCTCCGGTATCAAGGAGAAGCGGGTGTGCGGCGGAAGCCAGTCGCCAATGCAGCTTATAGCGCCTTCGAGGACGGCATTCTCAGCCACTTGTCCTTGGTGGTTGACCTGGGTAAGTATTGCAACCTGGGTCACGCCGAGCTGACGCTGGCCTGCTTGAAGCTGCTCGAGAAGATCTCAACATCCAGCCGGATTCTTTCCGCCTGGAGTCCCGACTCCGGCCGCCTCGGCCATCGCAATAAGGCCATTGTCCAGCTCGAGAGGAACGGCGAGGGAGAGACGATCTCCGCCTCGCTTTCTGCGAGTATCATGGCTACTCTCGATCCGGCCCTTGCCGCGTCAGGAGAGAACTACAGGGTCAAGCTCGCCATTTTGGACTTTCTCTATGCGTGTTTACGGGCCACTCCCGACCAGCCAACGATTGCTCACCAGCTGTTGGGCTTCCACTGCGAGCTTAGCAAGCTTGGCATCGAGCCCAAAGGCCCCTTTGACATGCAGAAGTCGTTATTCCATAGCCTTCTGAATGTCTTGATCACGCTTACGGTGTCCGAGGAAGAGCAGGGTATGCGCGGGTATCTGGTTACGCTTAAGTACCGAGTTCTGCGTATTCTACAGCTTTTGTGGAAGTCACCGCTATCGGCGTCGCTGGTCATGGACGAGCTACGGGCAACTAACTTCCTCTTCCACATGCTCTTGAGGGAAGTTCAGATCCAGCCTCAGCTGCCCTGGGATGGCCAGCTGGTCACAGGTTGCGAGTTCCTGCTCTCAGATGCTTCTCTGGCCTATATCGACTATCTCGCCTCACGAGCGGCTATCTTTGAGTACATCGGCAAGGAGCTGTGCAGCGTCTCTCAGAACCGGATACCGTCCATCAAGCGGCAAATCTTCGACGCCCTGAATGGTCAGATTTTTGTTGACGAGGAGGCGCCGCTTACCATCCCCAGCATTTTCGACTTCTTTGATTTCATCAACACCGACTACAAGTGGGAGGAAATTCCTTCTCCGCACTTTACTTACCTGAAGGACCTCGATCTGGGACCGTGCATCCTGGAGCACAAGTATGCTGGAGTGCACTATGACATCCGCAAGGCTCAAGAGATTCTTGCGCTGAAGCGCAAGGAGTATGAGCACTCGCAGCTGGCCACTCCGGAGTTCCTAGAAACAGTTGAGCTTGAAGAAAAAGTGCTGATCGAGTGGCTCACTGTCCGCAACCGTGCCAATCTGCTATTGACAGCAAGGCTGAACTTGCTCCAAGCCTGGGCTAATTTGCTGCTCGTGATGATTGAGTCAAACGATTTCAAGAGCACGCCTAAAATGGCGTTCTTGCTGCAAGCTCTCCAAGCCATCTTACCAACGCTGGAGGCCTTCAGCTCTCTGAAATCGGACGAAGCCTTTGAGCTGGCTCGGGTTGCTAAGGTGCTACTCTGGAAGCTTGACTTCTCCCAAGATAGCGACGCAGGTTTGGACAGGGAGCAGTTCACCGTTGGAAATCTCATCGGCGACAAACTGTTCCAGCTGTTCCAGCTCTGCTTGAGCGCCATCAGCCAGTGTTCGGGCACTCCTGAGCTTCGGTCCCTGTACTACAGTATCTGCTACCGTTATCTGACCGCCGTCGTGGACAACGACGCTACCGTCGCTGCAACCCCTGCCAGCAGCACCATCGGCCCGACCCGCAGTGTTACCAATGCGCGCGCTCGAACCCTTAAGGCGATCACCCTATACGGCGACCGTCTGCTCAACGTCATTTGCGACGACGCCTACGGCAGCGACACAACCTGCCAGACGGCCGCTATGATCCTGCTCAATGCGCTCGTACACACTTCGCGTGCCTCTTCCGCTGCCGGGGTCTCTCCAGCCGATGTCGACTGCCCCATCATCGACGCGCTCAACCGCCTCAACTTCATCGGCGTGCTGGTCGACTCGCTCAAAGAAATCCTCAACGAGTGGCTCGCTCCAAGCAGCACTTTCGACCCGTCGCTCTCTACCAACGCCTCTCCCTCATTACCAATCCCAGCCTCCCCCTCACAACAATACACCTCCGCCAAGCTGGCTCTCCTCCTGCAGCTGTGCCAGACGCGCCAGGGAGCCAAGTACGTCCTCCAGGCAAATCTCTTCCGCGCTCTCGAGCAGTCAGGTGTCTTCGCTGCCGACCCCGAGCTCGTCGAAGTCGACTCGGAGAGCGGCGTGCCCCGTGTGGTTGCCCTGGAGCGGCACTATGCCCTGCTCGTCGCCCTAGCACGCGTTGTCGGCGCAGCGGTGACGGCGCGCGGTGCTCACAACATCGTGCAGGGGCGGAAGTTCCTGACTCAGCATCGCGGGCTGGTTGTGCACGTGCTGAAGAAGAACGCGGGCATCGGGGGCGGCGTCGTGGGCAACAGCCTCGCCAGCAGTATCAATGGCGGATCAACAGCAACGATGACGAGGAGGGACGAGATTCTTGCGCAGCAGGCGCTAGAGGAGAGGATTGAGGAACTGGCGGAGGCGTTTATGTTGTTGATCACTGCGACGGGGTTCTTGGAGGTATGTTCCGCTCCAGTTCATCACTACGTTCTTTCTTTCTTTCTTTCCCTGGAAATAAGGAGCTAACTTGTTGTCATAGTACGAATCCGAACAAGTCCCAAGTGAGCAGCCTCGGGCGCACACAACATTCTTCCATTAGACCAGGGACTTGTGTGATCGGGCGATAGGGAGTCGGTGATCTTTGTTGTTGCTTGAGGGGGGATAGATGTAAGGCATGTGGTTACGAAATACCTACCTACTCTAGTGTAAAGGGAAGTACGGGATATTACTTTTTGATGACGCAACAAGTAATCAAGTGTTGCTTTCGATGTTTGGTTTCATTCTGGTCCTATTCGTCACCTAGTAGTTCTGACAGCGCTTACCAGTTGTCATATCACATCTCCGATATGTTCCTTGCCAGGCTTGCAGTCAAGTCACCGGAGTTAATATCATAACATCAAGATGCTTGACTGATGAGCGGATTGACAGCCTCTGAAACGAAATCTCGGCCATTCCCGTTTTTTACTGACCTTCACAGTAGCGTACCCGTAATCAAGCGACCTAATACCAGATATAGCCCTTTCCAGTTCCCTTCCCAAGTGGCTTCCCATTTCCCGATACCCCTAGCGTGTCCCATGTCCCCTGGTGTGCGCGATCTACCCTAACGCCTTTGTCATGCCGTCCGAAAACGCCTTGACCGAAACCATCCCAAATCACGATCCACATGCCGATTCCGTTCTTTAATAAAAAGTCCCAATCCGAGAAGAGCAAATTCGAATTTCATGCACTCAGGATGTTGATATTTTTGTCTGAATTGACATGGAATTGAGTGTCAAGAAATAATGGTGTCGAAAGTTGACTTTAACGAAGGAATGTCGTTGGTACCCCGAGACAGGGTAATTGTAGAGAAGAAAGCGAAAGCGAGCGTTGAAAAGTCATTTTGCAAAAAGAATGGGTGTTATCGGACATTCTTGCTGAAGGGAGGCCTTATCATGGATAATAGATGTTGGTGAAAAGACGAATGGCAAGAAAACGGATTCAGTTGCAAGAATCGCATTCACGCCTTTCTCGCAATGAGGGCTCCCAAAAATATATATCAAAATAAAGATCGAGTCTGTAATGAAGGTTGTCGAAGAGTGAATAAACTCCCAGAGTCGCCGAAACGAGAATCAAAGACAAGTTGGTTGGAAAGTGTATGGTTAGGAGTTGACAACGAGTGTGGACGTCGCCGAATTAGATGAACTCTGATGTGGTAAGTAAAGGCTGATAGATGGCAATCGTAACGTCTGGAAGTCCAAAGGCAAACCGTCAAGATCGCCAAACACAATCCAAGCCCAATCCGAGTCGCTGTGCTTAAAAACGCAATGGAAAGAAAAGAAAAAGTCAACGCCGGATCGATCGCTGGTCCTCTTCTCTTTTTAGAGATCCATATCGTAGTCCTCTTCCATCTCGTCCAAAAGGATGAGCATACCGTCATTATTTTCGATAGGAGTAAGGCGAGCTGATTAGCAAGCACGTCCGCTATCGGGTCGTTATCCAGGAGAAGATTTGCGAGCATCTCGCAGATGCCCGGCAACTGGTCATCACCACTCCCATCAGTGATGGCCATTGTGGTCGGTGGCATCCTATGTCCACCATACCACCGACTCGCCTTTCGGACTTGCTTCCCAGGGAAGTACCAAGCACTTTTGGTCCTCGTCAAAGAGTTCACCATCATCTGATCTCCCTCTTGCCAGTCAGTATTTCCATCGCTTCTAACAGCCATTAGACGACGGTGCCGCCTTTTGCCTTGCTGGTCTCTCCCTTCGCAAGCATCTTCTTCGAGACTAACTTGAGCTCGAGAGGATAGTAGCCCTTAGCCTTTGGTCCGAAGCGCCCGTTCTGTGGCAGCTTGTCAATCTTTTGACGGCAGACTGGGCAGACGCGCTTGTTGGGATGAATGTTTAGTCCGGAGTGCAAACACTCAGAGCAGAATAAGTGGCCTATGCCACAGTATTAGACTACAGCTCTTTACGTAATCCAGACTCATTAGGCGAAGGGGAGGAAAGGGCTGGAACAGGTTACTCACCGCAATGCGTGACCGTAATGTTGGTACACTTGTCCATGCAGATTACACACTGGAAGCCGCTGAGCTTAGTATACTCCTTGGGCTTCAGGAGTCCTGCGGGCACTTCGTCGGTATCAACCAAATCGACCACGTCTTGGTTGAGAAGTGCCTCGTCATCCATGGCACGGCCGTCTTCTCCCGCATCCTCGCGCTTCCGTTTGGTGCTGCCCGAAGCAGGCGAAATCGTCCGACTGGATTCGAAAAACGTCGGATCATGGCCCATGGCCTGGGCGAGTGCGGTATTCCGCATCATCCGGCCAGAAATATTGCCGAACGACTGCTGGCCGGACTGCTGGGCGGCGTTGCCAGCCGAAGAGGAAAAGCGACCCGAAAAAGCATACATGGTGACGGTTGTTCTGATATTGCGCCTAATTGAAAAAAGAAAAGAAATTTAGAAGAACGCGATCCGAAAACTGGCGAAAGCAAGAACTCCGGTTCCGTCGACGTACGAAATAATCGTAATACGGTCTGGTCGAGGAAGAGACCGAGCCACTGGGAGGGCGGGGTTATATTAGACTCGAGGAAGACGCGAATGCTACCAACGTCATAGGGGTCTTGCTTTCTGCCACCTGACACCGCCTTCATGGGCCTGATGTGGGTCTAAATCTGCGATGTTAGTTGCCCGGGTAACCAGGCCTTGGGCGGACTGGTTGACAAGAAACCTTTTGGTTAGTCGGTGACTCGAATCGTCAATGTGAAAGAAATAATGACCTAAGTAGCGCTTTTGCAGTAGGAAGCTCAAAAAATTTGGAAAGACGATTGTCTATAAATGAGTAAAGTCAGCCAGGGATGTTCAAGCGGGTAAAAAAAAAAAGCAAGATTGGACGAATCGGGGATCCGAAATGTAAACAAAAGGGGGGGGGGAGGTCAAAGCGAAGGCAAAATGTCCAGTACGAACATGTAAAATGTAAAATGTGTGTTCCATTCTCCGATTCACTGCCGTAATTTTGGTTACACAATCATGGCCCAGAAGAGTCTTCTCAGCAACAGCACGTCACTTTCAACTTTTTGTACTTGCCACTGAACTTCCGGAGATTAACTCAGGGTTAGAAGCCCTTTAGTTCAAGAACAATGCTGATAAGTGAAGAATCTTCGCAATGTGTTGATGTCTGACGTATCAAACCTTGGTACAGTCACAATATCGCTTTAACTGTTGGTTTCTGGGTGACTGTCTGGACATAAACATGAGAACAACTTCACTGGTAGATTCTGATGAGGACAACAGTTGAAGTCTAAGCGGTTAGGTCAGAAAAGTTGGATCCAAATTGATTTCCATAGTTGCAGAGTACTACTTGTGAAAAGTAAATGATCCCGTAGGAGGAGGTATCACCAGAGGTATCACCAGAGGTGTACCGTGTACCGTGACTTTGGCAGGTGCAACCGTTATGGTGCAAAACATAGAGAAGCTCCTTAACCTCCGACTGCAGAAGCGAAGGAGGAGCAGGTGAAAACAGTAACAGATATGTTTTTACACCAAGGACAAATGCATCGCGGACTGTCCTCAATCCTGTGCCACATTAATCTAGGCATGAACTGAATGAGGTAAATATTTACCTCGCAAAATGCTTGTCAATTGCAGGTTAGCAGAACTGATAATCCTGAAACAATGCTTGACACTTTATTTGCCATTCAAATGCCCACTTATAATCTATATACCAGACTCCCAGGAGGTATAGAGGCTGAAAGCTTTCATTCATTCAGCCTAAAGAATGGACCACTCTCTCCAGCCGAAGAATGTATGACACCATTGAATCACTCGGTCCTATGGAGTTTTCTTGCACTTCTGGTTCTTGCCATTCTCACTCCTATTCGGGCCAAACCCCTTCACCTTCAGTATTCTTCCCATCATTCCAAAAGTTATTACACTAGCAGTCTTGTTATGGATCATACCAATCCCAAAGTTGAATAGCGCTTGATCTTAGTAGCTAACCAGTGACTAGATTTTCTCACCGTCTAGAGGTCTGCAATAAAGTATGTATATTCTAATACTGTCTGTTGCTGTGTCTGATTAGCTCCAGAAATGTGGGCTTCGTGTGTACGTGTATCTTCCACTGTTTAGATTTCCCTGATCTAGTTCATGTCTGAAGCCCTCCCTCCCAAAAAAAAACCCTCTGTAAAAACCTTTGGCTACAATCAGATTGGCACCCGTTGCAATCAAATAACTTAACATACCGAAAACGGAGGGAAAAAAATCCGAAGAGCCATCTGCGTATGGAGTTTCGGGGGACATCAACTTGATAGGAGCACACTGAGTCAATATCTGGATACTCTTAAAGATCCAAAGACGGATGACTTATTAAAACCTCCGCCCTTGCTGAGCATGATAGCCCAGAAGAACCAGAACCTGGCATATCCTACTGAGGCGATCCTTAAGAGGCCTCCTGTACTGATAAGTTAGTATCGGAGCGGAATTTCTTTTCTGGTTTGCTATCGTGTCTTATTCCTTTCAGGCTGCGAATACCATGCTTGCTAACTCGGTCAATGTTATGCTGGTGCTGGCTGAGTTTGCCACTGGTATGACTGCATGGTTGACTTGGCCACTGATAGCACGACGGTGGTGGTGCTGGCTGGCTCTGCCATTGTCGTGACTGCACTGGGTTCGCTTGACTCCGACCTTGAAGCTTGTGGGTTTCTATATGATTCTATTTTGAATTGTCACAAATGGTATTCATTAACTTTGGCGGGAATCTAAGATGCTTGTGTCACATCCAAACCGTGGAGCCAGCAGAGGCAGCGGTTAAGCCAGCACTGATGCCCTGAAACCAAATGACTTGCACATCACAGTGCCTTATGCCAGCAATGATGATTCAGCAGGCTTTATTGTCTGCAATAGCAACTCTACATATCGTTGGCCACCCAGGAGTAGATCCAAAGATGCTCGTCCTTGATGCTGACCAGCCATGCTGCGGCAGTCGTGACAGAAAGAGCAATTTTAGACTGTTCACCGCTTGACTTGCCACAAACTAGCAAAACCTGGGAGGAAAAATGTGTACTTGTACGACTGGGTCCCCATCGTCAGCATGAACCTCGCGGCTAATGCCCTCTGCGGATACATCATCAAGCGCACAACGGGCGGTGAGCATATCAAAATCAAGAACGTCACTGCTACATATACAACCAGGGCCTGGATCCAACGAGGAGACCGACAACGGTAATGACAGCATTAGTGATGAGAAAGGCGATGATTGATTCTCGTGGCCGGGGCACTCCCGCCCTCTGTGAGGGATCGCCTGGGGTTATCTTCGTTTCAGTGGGGAGCGGTATACTTGAGAATATGTCGCCAAAGGTGGTCATGATGATTAGGCGAGTGCTTTTTCGAAGGAGGTCAAGACTGCGGATGACTGCCCAAGAAACAAACAAAAGGTTTGCTGTGAGACCTCCTGATGACAGCACAGCTTGCCTGCAGAGGGCTAAGTTTGCGCCATATGACTTCATTATCATTGAATATTAAGCCTTCTTTCCAGCACAATCTCCTCAAAAATCATGCTATTGCCAAGGCAAGGCTCTGAGGTTGGGCTGAATGCGTAAGCTGACTTGTGCCCTGAAGTAAGACGATTGGAGTTCCTATCCTGGACATGCCGGCCAGTCCCCCAATGGCAGCGTCAAAATACAAAGACCTACACTTGATGGCAGCTGCTAGCATAAGATTGGCTAGGTTGGAGGAATGATGTGGCAGCTTGAGGCAATCCGAATGTAGAAGTGTTGAATCATCTTCAATAAATGAACAGAGCGACAAGCGCGCCGTGAGACTTCATCTGGATGACACTTCGTTGCGGTCTGGCAACACTAATGAGCTAACTGACTAATACCAACACTCCAAAGCTTAGCCTCTAACAAAGAGCAGAATTTCCACATGAGAGAGAAGATATCTGATTCTTCATGTTCTTTGTTTAGCGAAGCATAACAGTGGTCGTGGAGACCGATGTACTCGTCCTGTTACCGCGTACGATCTTTGATGGTAAAAATCATATCTTACCGTAAACTTTAACCGTATGTCGACCGGTCTCCGCCAAGACCCGGTAACTATTTGGTTCTGCTTAGTCATCGGATCTGCAGCCAGGGTCGGAGCTCCAGAGGGCGAACAAAGAACCTATGATGCTTGGCAGTTTCATCAGCGACAAATTACAGCTGCGGGGACGATTTCCAGAATCTCTGTGACCCGCAGAAAGCTTACAGCACGACCGCTTTGGATTTTTTCTCTGTTCCTGATAGGACCAGTCGAATCTTTACATTCGACCTGGATCAGGACTCCCTGGCTGCGCAACAAGCTACCATGCCTTGAGCCGCGACGCTGTCTTGTCTTTTGTCTCTTGTCTCGACTTTTTTTTTTTTCTACTTCCAGGATGCTGCTTTCCATTCGAACCCATAGCCTTCCGGGACGAGGACGAGGACGAGATGCGCCGGTCGCGGGCTTCATCCGTCTTAGGCGACACCACCACGTCGTCTGCAGTTCAAGTAGACACTTCCCCTTGCTGACGTCGCGCCGGTGGCAGTCTACAGGCGCCATCGCCAGCGACAACAGAGGCGATGATAATCGCAAAAGCCTCGCTCTCCCCTGCCAGCCTCGCTTCAACGAGATTGGCGTCCAACAGTTGAGCGACCGCATCTATCAGCAGCTGTTTCCCCGCGGAAACACGTGCCCTCCATCCCCCAAATTGATTGAGCTTGCGCGCGACCATCTGCAACGTCATGACCTGCTCGGCAAGAACACCGACAAGAACCCTCCGATCGCCTTTGATCTTCCGCCATTGGCTGGCGAGACCCTCGATGAGCACTTCTACAAGCTCGGTGTTGATTGCGCCGAGCCATTTCTCACGCTCGCCAAGGAGTTTGCCAACAAGTCATTGCCGCCAATGCCGAAGTCATGGGTGCGCCAAAGTGGATGGACAAAGTACTACCCCGATGGACGCACAGAACGCGTCGATGCCCCCGAAGGCCAACTGCTGTCTTTCGACACTGAGGTCATGTGGAAGGAGAGCCCGTTTGCCGTCATGGCTTGCGCTGCCACCCCCGAAGCGTGGTACGCATGGCTGTCGCCATGGCTGCTCAAAGAAACCGACAACGACCACCAGCTGGTCCCTCTTGGCGACCCGACCAAGGAGCGGGTGATTGTTGGGCACAATATCGGTTTCGATAGGGCCAGGATCTTGGAGGAGTACAGTCTGCAGCAGTCGAGGAACTGCTTTCTTGATACCATGTCCCTCCACGTCGCTGTCAACGGTATGTGTTCTCAACAGCGGCCGACGTGGATGAAGGCGAAGAAGAACAGGGAGCTGCGAGATAAGATCGCTAAAGAGTCAAACAACCTCGAACTTGTTCATTTACTCAATAATGGCGCCTTTACCGCTGAAGAGGAGGAGTTGTGGGTTGAGAGGAGCTCTATCAACTCCCTCCGTGATGTTGCCCAGTTCCATCTTGATATCACGATCGAGAAAGAACTCCGCGATTCCTTCGGAGAGCTGGACCGAGATGGTGTGCTGGCCAAGCTGGACGAACTTCTCACATATTGCGCGATCGATACGGACATCACGCATCGCGTCTATAAGGCGGTGTTCCCCAACTTTCTCAGTACCTGTCCTCATCCTGTCAGTTTTGCGGCGCTCCGCCACCTCGCGTCCGTGATCCTGCCTGTTAATAAATCTTGGGATGCCTACATTGCCAACGCCGAAGCCACATACCACAGACTTTCCGATGCTGTTCAGGAGCGCCTGATCTTCCTGGCCGAGAAAGCACTGGAAATCAAGGACAAGCCCGAAGTTTATCAAAACGATCCCTGGATGAAGCAGCTGGACTGGTCGGGCCAGGAGATCAAGATGGTCAAAGGAAAACGGAAGGGCGACCCACCACGTCCCGCAGCGAGGCAAAAGAAACCAGGAATGCCTCAGTGGTATAAGGACTTGTTCGCAACCAATGATTCCCCAATCAACATTACCGTTCGAACACGGATAGCACCACTACTCTTGCGCCTGTCCTGGGACGGCCATCCACTGTTTTGGTCCAACGCCCATGGCTGGACTTTCCGAGTTCCCCGCGGTCAGAGTAAAAAGTACGAGGATAAGTTGATGACTCCCTGTGAGTTCCCGGATGAGGCAGACAAGCACTTGAGGGAAGACATGGACCATGTCTACTTCAAGCTACCGCACAAGGATGGTCCCACAGCTCGGTGTGTCAACCCGATGGCCAAGGGCTATCTCTCTTATTTTGAAAAGGGAACCTTGTCGTCCGAATATCCGTATGCAAAAGAGGCGCTCGAGATGAACGCCTCTTGCTCGTACTGGATCAGTGCGAGAGACCGGATCATGTCCCAGATGGTGGTCTATGAAGACCAATTACCTCCGTCCATGACTACCGCCCTTCCAAAGCCTTCCCAGCCACAACCGAGCGATGAAAAACATCCCAATGAGACCTCGGTCTGCGGCTTTATTTTGCCTCAGGTTATTCCTATGGGTACCATTACACGCCGTGCGGTCGAGAACACCTGGTTGACGGCCTCAAATGCCAAGAAGAATCGTGTCGGGTCGGAGCTCAAGGCCATGGTTCGCGCGCCGCCAGGATATGTCTTTGTTGGCGCTGATGTCGACTCTGAAGAGCTGTGGATTGCCTCGGTGGTTGGGGATGCCACTTTCCGACTCCATGGCGGCAATGCCATCGGTTTCATGACGCTCGAAGGCACGAAGGCTGCTGGGACGGATCTGCATAGCCGAACAGCATCAATTCTGGGCATTACTCGCAACGATGCCAAGGTTTTCAACTACGGCCGCATATACGGCGCCGGTCTCAAATTCGCGGCCCAGCTTTTGCGGCAGTTCAACCCGAGCTTGAGCGAGCAGGAGACGATGGACATCGCCAGCAAGCTTTACGCAAGCACTAAAGGCACCAAGACTAATCGCAAAGTGCTGTACAAGCGCCCCTTCTGGCGTGGAGGCACCGAGTCATTTGTTTTTAACAAGTTGGAAGAATTTGCTGAGCAGGAACGGCCACGCACCCCCGTCCTCGGTGCCGGCATCACCGAAGCCCTGCTGGGCCGCTTCATCCGCAAGGGAGGATACCTCACCTCGCGCATCAACTGGGCCATCCAGTCGAGCGGTGTGGACTATCTACACCTGCTGATTGTGGCCATGGACTACCTCATCCGGCGTTTCAACCTGGCTGCACGCCTGGCCATCACGGTCCACGATGAAATCCGCTATCTTGTTCAGGAACACGATAAATACCGTGCCGCGATGGCGCTTCAGGTTGCCAACCTCTGGACGCGTTGCATGTTTGCTCAGCAGGTTGGCATCCACGACCTTCCACAGAGCTGTGCCTTCTTCAGCTCAGTGGATATCGACCATGTTCTGCGCAAGGAGGTTGACATGGATTGCGTCACACCGAGCAACCCTAACCCAATCCCCCCAGGCGAGAGTATCGACATCCATACGCTACTTGACAAAGGTGATTTGGCTCGGTTAGATGAGAATATCGAGCCAGACCCGAAGTACGCGCCAAAGCTGGACGGCATTCACTACGTCCCGCGCAAGCCGGTCATGGAGGAGCTCCGCGAGGCAGAGTGCGGGGGTGACCCGGAGGCTGAAATCAGGTTCATTCGCGCACAGATCTGTAACGATGAAGATGAGCTCCGTGAGATTCTCAGGGACGCCCGCAAGGCTACTCCCCTGGCGGGTGTGTTCAACGTGAAGGCTGCTGGCGGCGGCACTTCGTCCTCGTCGAACATCTCGTCGATTGGAACATCTATGTTGAGGAAGCCCTTTACCCCTTACTCCACCGGGAAGGTTCCTGGCCTGCCACCTCAGCGCGAGCCCGTGTTTGTGACAGAGGCTTGGAATAGTAGTCGGTTTGACAAGTGGAAATATGGCAGCAATGCCAGGCCACCCAAGCCCATTGCTCCAGTCAACACTAAGCTCGGGGATATGTGCTTTAGGTCTTGATCATTTTCTTTCACGAATCTTACGTCTCTGTATTATATGTAAGTTAGTGGTTATGCGTCTTTTTGATCATATGGATAGGTGGAATGGTGTCAGGTTACTGGGGATAAACGGAAAGGTGAGGAGTTGGTAGTGAAATGGGATAACCCGACTTCTGTATTGAAATGATAGGTATGGAGGCACAGAACGGAAAACGGGCGGTGTCAAAATGGCTGTGTCATTCTATGGGTAATTGGTAGAAAAGCTAAAGAAGTCATATACAGTCGTGCATTCATGGTTGGTCTGAGTTCCCAAGATTTGGCGATCGGTTTTTAACCTCCAGGATATATCAACCGTTCCTAGTACCACCCCCCCCCTTGTTTCCTGCATGCACAGGCAAACCAAACAGGCCCCCAACCAACCGAAGTGCAAACGAACCGACCAAGCAAATTAAGCAATCTTTATTAACAACCACTGCCTGGCGTTGCCTCGATATCGGCCCCCCACCTCCCACTTCCCTGCAATCGACATAGTGTGGCGAAGCAGAAACACGTGGCAGCGTGAAAGGAACAAGTTTGGCACAGAACAATCCTCTGGCAACAGCATCAAGGAATCTTTGTGTAAGCTTTCATTAACCTAAGCCCAACACCATCGAGACAGACCGTTGCGGAGTCGTTAAGAACAACTAGTGTGACATCTCAACAGTTCAAGACCAACAGTGCTTGGTAGCAGTTCAGAAGGCCTTGTCCTGGGATGTGTTCATGACTTTAATCCCTAATGCTTAGCTGATTAACCACTTTGAAAACCCCTGGACATCCTAAAATGAGCCAGAAAGGCACACTGAGAGAGCATAATGTCGCACAATGTCTCTTTCAACGAGCCCACAAGATCTTGCCAACATATTCACTTGTATAAGACACGCTCCCAAAACAAGCTCAATATCCCAGCTTCACCTCACGCAGCCACGTCTACTCCATCACCAGTGACACCAGCAATGCAGTCCTCCAATTTCAACGTCACCAGCTCCGGTGCGAGTTTGAGCTGATCGACACTCTCAGTCTGGCTTAGAACTGTCTGTCTTCCATGAGGCTCGTGTCTATGGGATCCTAGGCGACCACCCACACATCACAAACTTTTATGACGTAGAGGAGGTTGTGCTAAACGTACATGCACTGCACCTGGAACGTGCAGACTTTGGGTGTTTGCGCAAATACACCCTCAAACATCAGGCCCAGAGCAGGAGGTTTCCGCTATTGGCTGCTGTTTGTGAATAGCGCTGGATATGGCCGAGGTTATGATCTGCTGTCTCTGCTAAAGATGTGTATACTGCAGATTTCTCGGCACGAGATGCCCTTCTGTTTTATGGTTTACGTGTAAAGTTGCGTGACTTCGAGGAGGCTGCAGCATGGGGCGTACGCGAGGATAGCAGTACTCTTGAGGAGCTGTACAAGGCACGATACAGCCCGCTATATCGCGGTCAGAAGGAAAACGACTTGTCCATCATCCCGCAAGAATTCCATGTTTGCTTGACCATGTGGAGGGCTTCCAAGATAAGGTCCCAAGCATTGCCCTTTTGACGATTGTAGAGCAGGAAGGGACGTATTTCAACAGTAAACATACGGATGTAGTCAACTGAGATAGCATTACTTTTTCAGAAAAAAAAGGCAGTAAACAAGCCAGATAGGTATTTCGTACTGTTCTAATGAAAACTAGATAACTAGGTATACGCTGCCCGCTTCACTCTTACTACCAAATCACCTAGTCGCTACGTCTATCAGACTCACCCGTTTCCCGAACATCCTGCCTTATGGTCATCTGAATTCTACTTTGGCGGATCTGGCAGCGGCCTTGGCCCAACGATCGGCCTCCTACTCGCCCCGATACCCTGCGTCCCCCGATTCTGATTATCCCCTCCAGTGTATCCCGTCCACTGACTCACATCCCATCGTCCCCCGATGCCCCCGCCGATGCCATCAACTCCGCCGCTTGGGTTGTTCGCCTTCAACTGGGTCGTCTCACGCTGGGCTTCTTCCCACTCACGCTGCCGCTGCCGCTCAAGCTCCATCTCGCGCTCCAGGAGTGACTTAGATGCCCAGCTGCCCTTCTTAGTTGGCGAGGATGTCAGTGTGCCGGAACGGCGCTGGCTTTCGTCGTCAGCCGAGAAGCCCAGTTCGCGGGCATAGGTTGTCTTGGGTACTTCCTGGTCCCCGGGCTGGGGCGGGCTGCGAGGGGCGAAAGGGCTCGGCCTCGCCAACTTGGCTTGGTTCGGGGACGGGAGAGGGGAAGTTGCTCTGGCATGGGGTTGCTGCCCCGGTGAGGTTGGTGGGTAGATGGTCGGGTCGGGCAGCGGACGCGAGCCGGTGTGCTGCTTGCGGAGCGGGAGAGCAGGCGCCGGCGGCGTCAAGGCTTCCACGCCCCCTGTTTTGTGTGGCTTAAGCTTGGCCGCTGTGGGAAGTGCTGCCGGGTCTGGGAGAGGGCGTGGCGACTGTATGGCGGCTTTAGCCAGCTCTTCCTGCTGTCTCTCCCGCAGCAGCACGGGGGTCGAGACAAATTTGGCCTCGTCGCGCACGCTCCACGAGTCTTGCCTAGCGACTCCCGGTGACTGCGGCGGGGGCCGGCTCCGAGAGCGAGACCGCGCCTTTCGCTCGTCTGCCTTGAGCCCAGCTCGCCCAAATCTCTCTTGCCTTGCTCTTTCATACTCGGCCTCGCGTCTCCGAGCTTCCTCGAGCTGCCTCTCCAGCTCTCGTATCCGTCGCTTGTTCTCCAATTCTTCCTCCTCTTGATACTTGCTGAGATACTGACCACGAAGCTGACCACTGCTCCTTTGCTTGCGAGCCTTCTCTCGCTCAGCACGCAGTCGGGCCTCAGCTTCTTCCTCTTCCTTGCGTCTGCGTTCCTCTTCCAGTTTCCACTGCCGCTCTTCTTCCTCCCAGCGCTTCTTTTCCTCTTCGAGCTTCTTCCTCTCTTCTTCCCTAAGACGGAGTGTTTCCTCCTCCCATCTGCGCTCCTCTTCTTCTCTGGCTCGCCTTTCCTCTTCCTCGATCTCTCTCTTTCGTCGTTCCTCCTCCTCCTTCCGCTTTCGTGCCTCTTCTGCCTCTTTCTCCTTCCTCTTCTTCTCCTTCTCAGCCAAAGTTGGCACATACGGCCCAGGGCTGGTGATTTGTCGACGGCCACCAAACGAGATGCCGAGGTTGCCTTGACTCGCGCCGCCCATGTACCCATACTGGGCGATATTCCAGGCTGGAGCCGTCACAACTTCGTCCTCTCTCTTGCTCCAGGTGCTGACGGGCGGCGGGGGGCTTGTCCCAAACTTTCCAGGACTCCGCGGCCGGCCTGAGCCGGAATCGCCGGTTTTGGACGAGGCAAGAGACGACTTGGCGTAGAGATTGGATGCGCTGCTAGATCCGGAGACATCACGGGTGCGCGATCCGGCTGTGGACCCAATCGGAGCAGCAACCGAGCCGGTAGACTGGGGGCTCACGAGGCCGGCGCGAGAGCTCTTGGGGCCGATCACGGTAGGGAACGCCGTCGGATTAATGGCATTGGCGGCCCGACTGAAGGCGCCAATGCACTGCAGAACTTGGGCAGGGTCCTTTCGCTCGTACAGATCGACGGTCAAGAACATGTCGTGCTGCTGCAGGCTCAGGGGCGGGAGCTGGCAGGCACGCAGGAACTGCGAGATGTTCTCCATCTGGACGAAGGGCATATTCGACTGCTTAAACTTGACGCCAGGAGGTCCAATGGCGAGATTAACCAGCTTGCACAGGGCCACGCCATCCTTCAGGCCGTCGAGCAGGTCATTGCCAGGAAGGCGGGTGCCTAGCACGCTCTCAATCCATTGCTTGGCTTCGTTGGCAGCTGCAGGCGTGTACTTTTCCAGGCGCAGCCTGCGCAGGTCGTTGTCCAGCGACGTCACCGACGCCATGGTTGGCGATGCCGCCAGATGCGGGCTAGCGGTGCTGCGAGAGCAGCTGTTCGCCGAGTTTAATCAAGTCGAGATGGGGGGGGGCCGGGGCGAGAGGAGTGAGTGGGAGTGGTGAGTGGTAAGTAGCTATCTATGTATCAGGCTCGCTTGCGTCAGACTGCCGCAGTGGTCTCTGACTCCAGCCACCGTCGCGGGGTTGAAATGACACTTGAATTGGATGGAATCGACCGACGGCGATGCAGCCGGTGCTGACACACTATCACAGCAAATCAATCTCGTCACAGTCGATAGTCAGGTCGTCGTCGTTGTTGTTGCTCGCGAACGTCGCATGGGGGGATGAAGATGCTGGATGCTCGGTCGCCCTAGGAAGATATACAGGGTTGTAGGAAATCAAATAGCGGATGGCAATTGCTCAAGGGCATCTCCTGAATCGTGGCTCGTCAATGAACGGCAATTTAATCCGCATGGCATGCCATGGAATCTCGCGGCCTTCGTGTTGTAATATGCGTAATTAATGTAATTAACGATACGCCTCGATACGGACGCGGAATCCACCTGCCGACCCCGCCGGCTCGCGTGGGGTGCAGCTTGGCAGGAGCCAAGACCTAGACCGGGCCGAAAGAGGCTGGTGGGGGCTGGTGGAGCATCATCTCGTGGCTGGATTAGGCTGAGGGGCCTTACGCAGCTGCGGGTCGGTTGCGGTCTGTCCCGGCTTGGCACGACGTCACTTCAACGCGCAAGTCGAGCTGCAAGAGAAAAAAAACTGTTAATCAAAGGTCACAAGATGCAGATGGATACAGGGTTCCGACTGCAAACACATTTTGGAACGAACTGCTGAAGACAGATAAATGCTCTGACGGTGTGTTCCAGCTCTTCAAGCAGCCAATCCTTCCTTCGTTTCCTCCTGACGACCCTTACTTAAGCAAAAGCGACTTTGACTCTCTTCGGTCCAGTCGTCCGGTTTTCAAGTATTAACTCAGAGTCGACCCAATGTCGTCCCATATTCCATCTTCCGTCTCCCCGCTTCGGCGGTTATGGTACAAATGGAAGATGCTACGCTTACCCTGGAGGCGCAAGTTCCTTGTTGGTGCGTCTAACTCACCCAACCCACCCCCCACCCCCCACTCCTCGATCTCCCTCGCCAGCATCCTTCCTCCCCCTGACTGCCCCTCACTGCCCCACTAACACTACCCCAGGCTTCGATCTCTCTGGTAATACCTACTGGGAGTTTCTCCTTCGGGGGCAGACACCCGGCCCGGGCAGTCGTTATCGTCGCATAGTACAGTATCCACGGGGCACACACCACGGCGATGTCAAGGTATCGCCCGCCTGGCACCAGTGGCTACGACATACGCGTCGCGATCCGCCTTCCATCGCGGAGCAGCTAGCCGACGTCGAGCGCCAGACTCGCATCAGGCAGCTCGCGGCGTTGGCTGACGCCCGGTGGGAGGCAAAGCCCAAGCTGACGGACGCCCCCGCGACACCCTCATCGCCCCTAGCGGCCCTGGCTGGGCAGGCTTTCGCCAATACCTTCGGCACTACTCCTCCTCCTGCCTCAGTTTCTGCCTCTGCCGGTGCTCCTACTCTTGATGCACAGCCTATGCAGCCCGAACAGGACACATTAACCAAGCTCGACATCAAGCGCTGGCGATGGGGCGAGACCTTCCAGGAGAATGTGCCCCAACAACGTGGCACAGTCGGCGATCGTGATTGGGAGGCGGCAGAGGAACGGGAAGAGGCCTGGCGCAAGACCGAGGAGGCGGCGGTCGAGGCCAGGAGGAAGAGGGAGAAGGCCACTGCGGCTGCTGCGGCGGCACAAGCCGGTTGTCCGGACCCGTGGAAGCAGGTCCAGTCCGGGAAAGGGACAGGGCCCGGGGAGACGTGGCAGCCAGAGTCATGGAAACCAACTGCTCGGCCAAAGAATTGACAGTGGCTCTGACTTTGGCATTGAGCGACGTTGGGAGATTGTTTGATCATGATTTTAAGGATGCAGGCCAAGTCTGTTTCCTAACCTGTGATGGTGACAAGCAGCGTTAGCGATACCTGTGTACTACTACCCACGTGTATAAATTGAATCCAATTAGCGAAGAGTATGCGTCACTTATTAGCGACAGCAGTGACCAGAATGAAAGTCTTTTAGAATTCGATTCCGAAGCCATTCACAATCGATTGCAGCATTTCTTGGTCGCTATGACTATATTTTCCAAGCTACCTGGATAGAGCCTATTTCAAAGCATTCGAACCTATACAGCCATGTCCCATGCTTTGTTGCCTAGCCTAATCTATACAAGTCCTGAAGACGCCTGCCCATGTAACCGCCAATCTTTCATGAAGACTTCAGCAACCAAGTCCCTATGGATGTAATTACCACCTTGCCATTTACGAGATCCATAACAGGGTATCAAAATGCCGCACAAATTAAGCTCCAACAGCCCCTTCTGACGGTGATACACCAACTCCCAATACCTGATACCTGATAGTCAACCTTGACCCTATCACGTCTTATTTTTTGGCCGCGGCAGCAAGAACATCAAGCAAAGCCCTCAAGTTCTCTGCTGACCTGGCGAGGGCTTCCCTGGCCTGCTTGTCCGCAGCACTCATTCTCCCGGCCCTTCGCGGTATTCTTCCCTCCCTAGCCCTAATGCCTGTTTCCACGGCATTACACAGCTCATCTGAGTATTGGATCTCAATCTGGTCAAATAAGTACCACATGAGGCTCTCAAGAGTCATTGACAACTTGGCGTTATCCTCTGTGTTAGTGAACTTTGCCGCAAACGGCAGATAGCACTCAGTCATGATCAACTGGGTCAGGTCCGAGCAAGAGCCGTGGTTTGGGTCTACCTCAGCCGGGTCTGGCTTGTTATGAGGAAGGAGATTATTAGCTACGACACGAAGGAGAGTGACCTGAACCATTCGGGGGAGAATCGATGTGTGGGATTGAATGAACAGACGGAACACCGGAAGAGGGAGCTTCCGGAGTTCGTCAGTAAATTTCTCATAGAGTTCGTCGACGGGCATGAAGACGTCAGAGATATAATACGCTGCTGCCGAAAGCAACCGGAAGATACGCAGCCGAAGAGGGATCGATTCAGCAACAGTGTCTGTAAGATTGAAAGACGATATCGCGGTTTCACTCTTGTGTTTTCTTCCCTTTTTCTTCGGACGTGAAGCTGAAGCAGAGATCTCATCCTGACCATCTGCATCAACATCATCATCATCATAGTCGTCGTAATCGTAGTCGTCAAAGTAGTCCCCGAACCTATCATTTTCGAGGTCCACCACAGCGTCTGCCCGCTTGCGCTTATTTTGGGATTTGATAGTCGCGGTCTCTTTCTTGAAAACCTCCTTGTAGTAAAGGTGAGTGGCTGAATTGTCGTTGCAAAATGCAAATAAGGCTCTTAGAACCTCTCTTTCAATATTCTTCCTCTGTCTTTCCAGATCCGCCAAAAACGTCACGAGCAAGCTCTCTCTGAGAAGGGGATACGCAGGCGCAGACTTCCCTTTGCTCGTCTTCCCAGATGCAATATCTTTCGAGAGCCTCTCGTCCCAGTCCCGCTCCATTGCCTCAATGACGAAGTCGAGCCACACCCGCCAGTATTGCCACCGCTGGGGGTGCTCAGCAGCACATCGGCATGCCCACCCAAACACAGCCCAGAAATCAGTCGCGTTCTTCCACAATAGCTGCGACTCTACAAAACCGCCAGTTATATGATCCGAGTCGTCGTCGTTCATGTTGTCGATGCTGTTGCTGCTTCCCCTACCAAACGAAGAGGATGAGCTTTTTGAGAAGTCGAATGCAGCACGAAAGTTGGCATTTACGGGCCCGACTGTCCTGAGCAACCCGCGAAGATACGATATCGCATAGGCTGGGACATGTAGATGATTCGAATCGTCGCAGCGGGTGGTAAAGGAAGGATGGACAATGACGGTAGAAAGGAGTGCGATATGAGACGGGGGAGCCACCCGAACAGGCTTTAGCCTGTTCGTTGATGCCCAGGAAAACTTATTGTTTCCAGACGCTGTGGTGCTGCCGTCGCAAAGCAGCCAATTTAGAATATCGATCGCAGGTATGTCTGATGATGAGAAGGTCAGATGCGTGGCAGAACTGGAGGGGCGAGGGTAGAATGGCACCAAGGAGGATCCATACAGCACTGTTCAGCCAGATGGACGGAGCAAGTTTCTTTGAGCTCATATGCAATTGGTTGTGTTTCTCGATATGACAATCGGCTGTAGTGAGTACAGCTCTGCTCATCCTGCGCGTGGTCATCGACCGGGCTGCTAAGAACCGTGTCGTCGCCGCCGTTGTTGAAGGGAGAGTCTTGGGCTGTGTGATATGAAGACGGCGTCAATATTGAGGCCAAACAAGTTAGGGGCGATGTAAGCTCCATCTTTTCTGGAAAAAATGGGCTTGGTCCGTTAAAAAAAGCTGGGTCGGGTTGTAGAAGAGAGGCCCACAAACCTCGAAGTCCCACGGAAAGACGCTGGTGGGGATGGTATACGGGAGAAGGCACACAGACGCCAAACTCACGCGTTCTCACGAGACTTCTGGTGGGCCTTCAGGTACGTACCCTTCTTGGCATTAGCAGGTCTCGGATGCCCAACTCCTTTGTCATCTTGGACATGAACTGAGAAAGTGTGTGTCATTTAATCTGAAAAAAATAGCAAATGAGAATTATATGGCTGGTCTTGGCAAGGGACAAGTGCTTTGTTTCGTCCTTCGTTTCTCGAGGAGTTTGTTCCTTGGCCAACCCTAACCTTTTTCAGGGGATGGACTGTCTCTCCATCTCTGGATCAATTCTTCAGCTTCAACACAATCCAAGCTGCAAGCCGGTAGCCAAAAACTATGCCCATCATGATGCCCACATCTCGACCCATATGTCCTGGTTTATACCCATATCCGTCAAGGACTCCCTGACCTCGGACGAGACATTGGTCTGCCAGATCTGTTTGCCACATGCCTGCGTCGATGATGTCAACAAGTGATTAAGGGAGATTATGGTGGCAAAAAGCCTTACATTGGCAGTCCGTTGCTGTCTTCTGGCAGACATACACCCTCTCGCTGAACTCATTGATTAACATGTTTTCGAATGCATACTTCTGGTAGTCCCAGTAATGGAACACGTATTTGTAAAAGACATTCAGGATTGTTGGAGGAACCATGAACCCGCCTACACTCACTGTTCAAAGTGCAGCGTTAGTTGAGGAGCTGACTAGATGTTCGAGTTCTCTTAATGGGAAAGGCAGATGTCAGGTAAAGAATCGGGGAGTTCACATACTCCAGAGGCCATTTGCGAAGGCAATTAGTGCAAGTGAGATAACAAAGGATGGAAACAGCGATGACATAAGAACGACCAAACTTTCGGCTCCTAGGAGGTCGAGGAACACCCATAGAGTCGAAACGAAGAAGGCCTTAGCCGTTGGCTGGAAGTTAGAGAGCCAATAAGATATCGATGAAAACACTAGAGCGAAGACGACTGCAAAGTCAAGGTTAATTTGCACCAGCCAAACAATATCAACGCCCTGATCTAGATTCAACTCACAGAGATAAGGCGTGCCAATAAGGAAGTTGGAAACAATCATAGAAGTTGCCCCATAAAGGCCATTTCTCTTCTCTTTGATGTATTGCATATAGTCTTCGATGTATGCTGGGGAGTATGCGCAAGCCATGAAGCTCAAAAACGCAGAACCACTGATTACATGGTTAGAAAGGGATATGAGAAGACAGTCAAGCCACGTACTAAAACAGTGCATTTATGATCGGGATGATAGATTCTTGTGAGGTATCCAACCTCAACCAGACTGTTCCCATCATAATTGCCAGACCTTCAGAGAGACCCCTGGTTAGCAACTTCCAGCGATAATTGGCCATGAAATCAGACGTACCCATGTACATCATTAACCGAATCCCATACACTACGACATCTCGATAACTTTTCAGGAACGACCGATGCAGCAGTGTCAGCACCAGACGGATGTGAGTTGGCTTCTTCTCCGGAGTCCCAAGGTCAATCACGGCGTTAGATCCCGCTTTCTCAATCGAGTCCAGTAACACTCTGAGCTCCGTAGATTTAACCGAGTTCATCCACGCCAAATGCATGTCCTCTAACTGGCGTGAAGCTGTGTCTTTATCGGTTGTAAAATCGGTGTTAACAAGTTCCAGCAAGAATTCCGCTGGGTTGACATGCACAGGCACTTGGTGACCCAGAGATTTGTAGTGGGACGTAACCGCTGCTACAGGGCCGAAGTAGTGCATCTTTCCGTGTGACATGAGCAACAACTTGTCAAAAAGGTTGAAAGTGGCCGTACTAGGCTGATGAATCGAAGCGATGACAATCAACTACAAAATAGTAAGTAAATATGACGTGATGGCCCCTGAACGACCAAACAGAGACTCAACGACATGATATGGGACCACATTGGATGAACTTACATTGTTCCTCTTCGTTACCCCCCTTAGATACTTCACCACCTCCCACCCGGCCACCGAGTCCAACCCACTGGTAGGTTCGTCCAAGAACAGCACTTTTGGCCCAGTAATCAGCTGGCTCGCGACCCCGAGTCTTCTCTTTTGGCCGCCACTGATGCCCTTCCTAAGCGGCGTGCCAACCAGGGTGTTGGCTTGCTCCCGCAGTCCAAATGCATCAAGCAAACCCTCCACCCGGGAGATCCGTTCAGAGGAGGAGCTAGCAGTCGCCAGCCGGGACGCGAAATGAAGCGTTTCCCGCACGGTTAGGGAACCGATCATCGTATCTTCTTGCTCAACAAAGCGGCTTGTAGTGCGGTGGAAGAGAGTGAGAGACCGGGAATCCATGGGGTTACCGTTCACTAGAATCTTTCCAGATGTAGAGGATGACGGGCCTGTTGGTCGTGAGGCAAGGAAATTGAGAAGAGTTGTTTTTCCGCATCCGGAGGGGCCCATGATAGCAAACAGTTCTCCTAGAAGTGAGAGTTAATAGCATTGAATGACTATCAAAAGCGTCGAGCTGCTAGCTGTTGGAGAGAAAGGTTATCGAAAAGGTAATTAAACCAGAAAGAGCAAACTGACCAGCCTCGACAACGCCTTCTACATCGTCAACTATGCTCTTTGGGAGTTTCGTTTTCCTATCCTTGACAGTAACTTTGACACCCTTCCAAGCAATGCTTTTAATAGTGGTGTTCCGAAGGTGAGCCTCAGCAACTGCCTGTTGTTCAACATCAAAGGCAGCAGAGTTCAAAGCAGTTGGCTCTTTGTCATTGTGACTAGAACCCGAAGAGTACTGAACCTCCGGCACCATGTTTGACTTCTTGTGAGTTCGAAAGGATGTTCGACCCAGGTGAAGAGAGTTGACAATATCCTTCGCCTCCTCCCTTATCCAATTGTGATTTCTCTGGGGAGAGGAGAATGCTATTTCAAGAGCAATGGGTCAAGTAATCAATCACGGATAATGTTTCCGCTTTAATGATATATGTCGAATCTGGCATAGACCGAAACCCGTCGCGGTTAGGCTTCTTTGTCGGCGATCACTGTCTTGGATAGTATCTGTTCTTTCATATCTCTCCCTTAGGTGTTTCATCATTGCAGACAGCTCTGTTTACCCAATTCTCAAGACCCAGGCTAACTATCATTAATCATCTTCAGTTTCCTGCAATTGGCGAGCGCTTACCGAGAAACCATATCATGCACTTAGTTAGGTAACTGCCAAGGGTACCAATCGGCGTGCCACCCGTCCGTCCTATGTCTCTGCGGCGCTATCCAAACAATTGGGTTAGCATTAAGTCATCATGGTGACATTCAATAGAAAGAGTTGTGCTGGGCGTCAGCCTAAATGGCGACCACTCATGAGCGGCTATTGCGACGTGTGTGTCTTACATACCTTTCTGCCGTGCGGCCTGGAGCTGAGGAATGCGCAGAACTTTCCAGAGTGCAGGCCCGTAGAAGGCTCACCGACACACGTCGGCTCCGTCCTGGTAGGTTAAGCTGCCTACCTAACTCACCCGCTCTCTTTCCGCGGACAGGGACTGATGGCACGGGTCATGTATCGAAACATGATTTCCCGTGTGCGGTCGGCGACCAAACTGTTTTTTTTTTTCCCAGCTGATCGATGATACCTAAGCAATGACTTGAGATATATCACAAATCGAATCCAGCAATCCCTCCATTTGGAGATATGTAATAATTGGAGTGTATCTCTAGTACCATTTTACAGAAAGGAGCAGTTCCTGATATAGACGTCAGTACTTGAAGTTGAATTAAATGCTGTTGTTAGAGTCTGAGCATTAGTTGGGGACTGGCACCCAACTAACACACAGATCGACCGGCGCAGTCATGACTGTTGAGATCAGCAGTCCTTGGCCCGTCTCAAATCCCAGTTCCGAATCAAGTACAGACTAATCTAGTATCAAGCTGTTAAATGTAACCTGAACGGTCTAGACACCGCCCAATAACGAAAATAAGATCCGACCAAATAACCTAGCAAAAACCAGTGTCCAAACCAAGAGGTCCCTACTCCCAGATCGCTATATCCAAAATATTTCCATCCAAGCCTTATTATAACTATTTTAACCAAAGATATGCCCATCCTAACCCTGAGTGACCTGCCCATTCATGACATTAGTAAATTCCGACATGATGCCCTCATCCGCATTGATACTACGTATCATCTGCTCCTCCGTAAATCCTACCCAAAACGCCGGTGAGATCTGATGTGCCTTCTTCTGACGGTAAATCTCCTGGGCGACGCCCTTGACCTGGCCCCAGGCACACTCGGCCGCCTTCCACACTTTGCGGAGCTTGTTTAGCCCGCCGATGTTGAGCCGAATCTGCTGGCGCAGGTCGTCGTCGCCACCCGTCGGCTCAACCATGTACTGGGCCCAGCGCGAGAGATGCACGATCGAGCTAAGGGTGATAACACACGTGAAAAAGTGCGTGTGATGAATGATAGGAACTGCCTGGGTGATCATCTTAGAGATCTCGCATGCAGCCGTGATAGTGTGCCTCGTGTGGGAGTTGAACGATTCGCCTGATGGGACGGGCCTATGAGGGGCGCATGAGTTCACAGCCTTTGCCGGGGAGGTGTCAAGTTGAGAAAGGGGTTGATGAAGCAGAATTGTGCACCTAGTTTCCTCATCATCAGCATCTGACCATATGGCAATCATCTTCTTCATGGCAACCTACGCATGAGTGATGAAGTGGGCTTGGAACATCATTTCGTCCAGCTGACAGTTCTTGCCGAGATCATCCCGCTTGGATTCCGGCAAATGTAGCCTCCAGTTTGTGAGGAGACTCTCGATGTGGAGGATTCTGTTATCATCCGGGAACGGAGTTTGCGGCATATTGTGCATCATGTAGCCGAGATTCCGGGCGGCTGCGATGCGATATGCGAACGAAGAAAACTCGCGGTCCTCTCCAGAGAAGGTCTGATCCTCGAAATCCTCTAGGGTCAAAGGATGGCGAGGAATTTGCTTAGGCAGAACGTTAGTCGGTTTGTCAGAAGATCTTTGCACCATAAAAAAATAAAAAAAAGTTCTTACCCCTGAAAAATATTCGTGCTCTTCGCACGGCAGAGCCACATCGGTATCAACTGTGTAGAGCAAGAAGTTGGTAGCTCGATGGACACCGGCAATCATGCCATCGACTACAAACAGATCCCACCAGGTCCTTCTCCAGCTCTCTTCAAGCACAGGATTGCCACGTCCATGTAGACTTGCGAACTGGCGTTTGTTAAGGTCGATCTCGATGGCGAAGCGTTCGCAATCAGCAAGCAGTTCCCGCGACTTATCCCGGTTGGTTTCCCCATCCAGACCGATAATGAGTAGCAAAAGAGCCTGGATCAAGAACCCATCTTTCTGGGTACTCGGTTGATAGCACAAGCGCAGAGCCTCGTCCAGGTAATTCGCCTTAGCCGGGCCAGCATCCACAAACAAGGCGCCGATATATCGCATGGCGGCCATAACGATGTTCATGTTCGGAGAGATGCCCTCTTTGAGCAGCCGAAGGAAGTGCTCCCGGGGGAGCACAAACGGATGACTGGCATGGAAGTAGTGGTAGAAGGCATCGAAGCACCGATCTGCCAGCGAGGGCACTGGCGGTTGAGCAGTGGTGTTGGATGGAACCACCGAGACCGGCGCCGTTGTCAAGGCCAGGGTATTGGCATCCATACCGGCGGGGGCGAATGGATTCCTGTAGAGGGAATGGATGTTGGCAGTCAAGGGAGACGGAGAGGTATAAGAGAGAGGAGACTGATCTGGCAAGACAATGCTAGGGTTGAAGCCTGGAACAGAGGTAGTCACGGAGACGGGGTTGTGTCCCAGCAGCATGGGACAGCTCTCCGCCGGTCCCACGTACGGAGGGGAGTCCGAAGCATGTCGTTTGTTCGGATTCTGAGCAGTTCCCCTACGTGGGCCCTTGTAGCCACGACGAGAGGGCACATAAACACACTCGGTGCGATTGCTAACGCAACGGCTGCAGGGGTTGGTCCCGTCGCACCTCAGGTGCTTAGCGCGCTGTTGCGTCGGCGACAATAATCAGCATGCATGTCCGTCATCCATGTCATCCATAGCGGGGGATCCGTAATGGGGGAGCGGAAGTATGAAAATGCACCCGGCGCCACGGCAAGCGGGAAAGTAGAGAAACTGAAGATATCCAGAACAGGGAAAAAATTGGGACTTACACAAGCGAGACATGCGGCGGGGACGGCCTGCTGAGCCGGCGGCTGAGAAGGTTGAGCTTCAGCGGTCGCCGATGAGAGATGAGGGGTCGCAGACGTGGTCGCCGTCCCCGGGCTGTCGCTGGACACCGAAGGCGAGCCCCCAGTCGTAGCGGCTGACAACTGTGGGGCAGCCGGTGAGAAAGGCTCCATGGTCGGCAACCAAATCACACGATTTCGGATCAGACGCGGGCGCTCGGCGAGCTGAAGGCCGGAACGGCGACGGGGCGGCGCGGCAGACTGGCTGTTATCCTTAGGCCGGGGACGTGAATCGGCGATCAAGAAAGGGGGGAGGGGGCGGCCAAAGACTCAATTCTACGGATGCCGCGGTACAGCGATACAACGAATTCAGGAAGCGCCGGCTGTATTCGCGAGCCGCAATCCGCAGATGCCTGTCGTGGGGATGGCCTTATAAACCTCGATGCGAAAATAAGAGATGTCAGAAGTACGTAAGAGGTCAAGCAGGCAGGCTGCTGGCCACCAGGCGCAATGCGCGATGAGAGAGGATGGGGGGAGACGATGGCAGCTGTGGACGAGTTGTCAGTTTTCAAAATCTTAGAAATCGAAAAAAGTAAAGTCGGGTTTGGTCCGATCCGGAGACTTTGGCGATCCTCCCTCCGTCTTCCCCGCCCTTAAACATGGCATCCTGTTTCGTAGTACCGGCACCAGGCGCAGGGATCGGCCATGGATGGTCGGAAAGTTGATGGGGCCTGACCCTGATCTTTGCTCAGAGTTGCACGTTATAGCTCTGTACGTACTCCTTACAACCTGCAAGAAATATATCTGGTCGCCGACCGCAACAGTGCAGCCTCAAGAGTCCTCGCGGGCCAGCAGAAAAGTAAAAAGGGCTGCAATTGCACAAGACACTTTTCTCGGGTCCTTTTTGCCTTTTATCTTTTTTATTGATCAATCACCCTTGTTACTGGGCAGAGTAGACCGTGTGTCAATTAAAAGTATCCGCATCTAGTTGGGGTTCACCCTTTTTTTAGTCCAGGGCAACGTGATTTTCGACAGGGCGGGAGAATTGGGAGCTGTTAGTCAAAAGATTTTGTGTCCTCGAAAAGGGTCAGGACACATGATCGAGAAGCCAAAAATAGGCCATGGGCGAAGCCATTAATCCGTAGCGGGCCTCAGTAGGGATTGGAAAAATGAGAAGACACATCTGACACCATTTCCGCTCGACTTCAGCTTCTCGACTGCTTGTTTTCGTGCCTGGCTTGCTTCAGATGCTCCCGCCCGTGGGACAGCAGCACAGCAGGATAGTGACAACCAACCTCTGGGGGTTGCCGGCAACCTTGATTGGCGCCGAGGCGGGGCCCCTTGCAGGGCAAAACGGCGCAAATGTAACGCTGGCTTGGAAAGCTCAGCCTTCGTGCGCATCAATTGCCCCGTCGTAGGTGCCTGGAAACGGGCTGCGGTCTTTGCAGCTGGGCCTGCCTTAAGTGAGAACCTGCGTCGAAGATTTGCTGCTGAAGGAGAGAGCCCGGGAGATGGTGTATCACGGTTCTGTAGTGCTTCTGTCATCAATTGTTGCCGTCGGTCGAGTAGTGTGCAGTCTTCAACTTCAGCTTGCTGATGCTCTCTCCCGCAGTATCCCCCGCGTTCATCATTCAAATGTAGGTCGTTCAACGTTCAGCAGCAACGGAGCAGATAGGGGGCGCCACAGCGGTGGATGCCCGTCCGAAGCCTACTGTGGCTCTGTGATGAGTGACCTTTACAGTCGTGTACCAGACGACTCAATGCGGGTTGCAGCCTCACAATTCCATCCCATCCCCCCATCCCAGGCCATTCAAAAGGCTTGTGTTTTGCTTCCACTCAGCTTCTAGCCAAATACTGCCAGCCCGCACTCTGCGGCTCCGTGCACTTTAAGTATTGAAGCTTGAGTCCGATGGTGTTGGCGTTTCATGCTCCCGCTTCCAGCCTTGCAGGTCTTGGCATTCGGGCACTTAACCAATTTTGTTCAAGCCTGTTACGCAAGAGGGCTGTTATCGATATGATTTATTTATTGGAGTTTACAGAAGGCTGGGGGGAGGTTTGGTGTTGTCCATCGTATCCGGATACACAAGCCCTCCTCAACAGTGAGGCGTTCAGATGAAGAATAGTTCAACCTGTATTTGGAATGCTGACTTTAAATGCCTCGCTGTTATACAGTTGGTCGAATGTTCCCAAGCCAGGGTTTATTGTGTGCTCAGTGTGTGTTGTGCAGTATTCCATCTCTGAGTTGTTGAATCCTGTTCGAACAGAGCGTTGGGGTTAGGGTCTGCCGAAGCGTTTTGTGCTCAATGAATAGTCCCCGCAAAATTTTGAGCTTTTTTGTTCGCATCGTCAACCTTGTTACCCAAACTTTTGTGGTGTAGTTACTTCTGCATTGAGCACGTGCTCTGACATGACAGAGCCGGAGATTTTGATTGACATGGTGTTGCCATGGTTTGCACATTGCAGTATCACGCATCCGAAATATGGGGGGGCAGTCTCTTTGCGGCTTACTCCCTGGCTGCTGCATTCTAGATTCTGGACGCACCGCAGCAAAGAGGGGCCGCTGCATTGAAACGTGGGATCGGAACGGCATGTTGAAACCAGCGCCGCTGGTCGAATAGTGGGTCGTGGGTTTGATGCTACTAGTTGGACAGAGATTTCTCAACACCTCTCGGCGGTAAACGGCTTGAGAAAACAATAGCGGTTCCCGTTCATACACTACGTATCATCCCAAGGAGAATCAGGCAAACACAAGCTCTGGGTGCACAAGCGTAAGAGGGACGGACAGGCCATTCAAGGCCATACAGGCTGAGTAGACCTTCTGTTAGCTCACCTTTCTTCGGTCGGTCGTTGCCTGACCCAATTCAAGCTGTCAAAACAGCGACATGGACCCTCTATCTGTCGCTGGTCTCGCCATCGGTGTGGCCTCCATTGGCCTGCAGGTCTATACTCACTGTGTCCAGGGGATACAGCTGCTCGTCACTGCTGCCAATTTCCCTGAGGACTGCAGGTATCTCAATCTGCGCCTGCGCATGGAGCAACAGCGCTTGTTTGCTTGGAGCGAAACATCGGGCCTGCTTGCCCTAGATGCCAATGACCGGCAGAAAATTCTCGAGTCCAATACATTCATTTTACATCGTCAGACAGTTCTTGACCTTCTGGTGCAGGTTGAGTGCCTCTTTAAGGAGTTCCGAGAACAGCAAATTCGATACAGGCGCCTTCAGACAATTCCCGATGATGACCATATCCTCCAGCAACCAGAGAAAGATGCTGCGGAGGCAAGCTTTCCCCTGCCGACGCGGCGTAGGGACTTCATTAAGAAGGCCATGCAGAGTTTGAAAGCCTCTTCTAAAGAGGGTGCCTTGAGGTTACGTTGGGCGTCGTTTGACAAAGCAGCCTTCGAGCTGTTGCTTGCTAAGTTCTCCGCGCTCAACGATAGCATGACGAATATCCTCGATGCCAGATTGCAGGTTGAGATTCATCACACGGTCCAGGATACCAATCGTGGCGTTCTACAACTGCACCACAAAATAGCGGACCTGTCGAGGTTGGTAATGGCGCTGAATCTCAAGCTAGAGACATCTTCGGCGTTGCCTGTATCGCCGATGGCGATGGCTCAGAAACGAGCCAATGCAGACAGTTTGCAGTTTCTTTCCCAACTCGCCAAATTCAAGGCATTCAACGAGTCCATCGAGTCCGACAACAAAGCAGCTCCATTGGATGAGGCCACGGCTATGTGTCTGGAGCTGGGCAAGCCGGGAGAAAAAAACATCTTCTGCTTGACAGATCCATGATCGAGTTGGGTTCCGCCGGAGAAGATGTCGACTTGCCCAGATGTGACGCAATCTTGCGCCTGCCTGACGGCCAGGCAAGAAAAGTGTGGGTGGAATGGAAGGAATATGACAGACAACGGCCAGGTGATATGTCACCACCTAAGGAGGTCATCGTGGAGAGGGTCTGGAAACTGGCAGCTTTGCTGAACCATAAGCCCAAGCCCGATGCCTTCCGAACTCCTCATTGCTTGGGCTTCTTTGACAAAGCTGGAGATGGCAATGCAGACGACGATGAGGATATTCTCAACATGCGCCTGGGCCTTGTGTTTGAGCGCCCGCTTGACAATGACTTGGACCAAAATTTGCCTCCAATATCTCTACGGGAGTTGCTGCAACTCCCAGGCAAACCGCGTGTCACAGAACGAGTCAAGCTGGCCCATGCCATCAGCAACTGCTTGCTGTACCTTCATGCTGTGAATTGGCTGCACAAAGGCCTGCGCAGCCACAACATCATATTCTTCCGAAAAACGAATGGCACAATAGACTACTCGAAGCCCTACCTTTCCGGGTTCGACTTTTCTAGGCCTGCTCGACCGGACGAAATGACTGACTTCCCAGGCGACAATGCCGAGCACAACCTGTATCGGCACCCTCACGCCCAATCACCTAACCCTGAGCAACGCCAACGCTTCAAGAGAAGTTTCGACATCTATAGCCTTGGAGTCCTTATGGTCGAAATTGCCCACTGGGCTCCAATTGAAAGAGTCCTCGGTCTCGACTTGGATGCTGTCAGATGGAAGCCATCGATAGCCCTCCGGGTACGAGAGCAGTTACTTGCCGAAGACCAAATCTCTGCGCTAGGTGCTTGCATGGGAGAGATTTACGAGGTAGCGGCCCGAAAGTGTATTGCTGGCGGCGCAGAGTTAGGCTTATCTGAAGAGGACGACGAGACCGACAGCGCAGTTGCTGCACGGCTTTCTATGGTTCTTCACGAGAACGTGGTCAAGCCTCTCGGGGATATTCGGATCTAAGTAAGAGGAAATTAACCACAGAATGGCCAATGTATACATCTCATGTTGAACCTTTAAGAATGACACCTCCAGGACCAGAAGTTGAGTTCTCCGAAGAGCTGCTTCCGATTTCTCGAGTAATATTTCGTTCCATTTCTCAAGCCATTGAACGATGATTACCCACTCCGTTTTTGGTGCATTTGATTCCCCCGGTTTTGTGACTCCTCCCCGCAGTCTCCTCCCCCGCAATCTTCCCTGGACAGCTCCACGACGAAAGCTTGTGTTCATTTTTAACTGTAAGCTTTCATAGAGCTTCGAGTATCCCGATTCCCGTCACTAAATCGTAGCTCCGCTCGTTGCTACCCAAGATCCCCGTTGATGGAACGGGATCCTCCATTTAGCCTATATCAACATGCAGGAACGATGTCACTGATATCCACATCTCTCGACAGTGCAACCGGGAACGGCTCGAAGAAGTAGACATCCTATCGTCCCGTCAGGCTTGTTTGGTGGACTGACTACAACACCGAAGCGCGCCTACCGGGAACCAAGCTGGTCTTGCGGATAATCTGACCGGCCCCAGATATCTTTGTTCACAATTTCGGGATGTCAGTACAGAACCACAACCGAAGACAAAAATGGCAACATCAACCTCGGTACGCGGGTGGAGGACCACGTCGATGGTGACAATGTTTGTGGAGAGTTAAGAATATCCTGGGTCCGGGGCCATGCAACCTCAATATTAAAAGATCAGTTTCCGACGATCACCTCAACGTCCATTCCACGTCTCTTCGCCTCTAAGTAGTACGCTGCTCTCGAGAGACGGGACATACATTCGTCACAATGCGCCTCGCCGGGTTAGCTCTGGCCCTCGCCAGCTTGGCGGCCGGCGAGCACCTCAAGAGGCTCGACACCAGCCTGACTATCATCACCAATAACGACCTGCAAGGTATGTTTCAAAACTCATATAAATATTCCACGTGGTGACTCTGACGAGGAAACAGGGTCGAATAGCCCATACGCGGACTCTGCTGTGATCCTCACGGATCCTGTCAGCCGTGATGCATCCAGGGGCGTTTGTTCAAGGCTCAATGAGAAGCTGTGGCAGCCGGTCAAGAGCAAGAGGGTGAAGAGAGCTAGCTCTTCTCTCTATTTTGCAGACTATCTCAAGTATACTGGGGCTGCCACCTCCTCATCAAAGTTTTGGATCTCCAACTCTGACGCCGTTGACACCATTGGCCGTGTCACTAAAGGCCCATCGTCGGCGCAGTACCAAGCTTTATGCACAAACACGGCACCATACTCGAACCAGAGTTTTCAAGACACCAACGAGAAGTGGCATATCAGTCTGGACGTGAACAATCAGACACTCACAGGGTAGGTGTTCAGAACAATTGTCTAACAAAGAAGTTGGAATAACTGACGCCTTCGAGCTTCCGTGACCGCTTGTCGTTCCGCTTTCTGGGCATTCGTTATGCACCTCAGCCCCAGCGATTCGGTTATCCAACCCTGTTCAAGGGCTCTGGCGAGTCAGTCTCTGCGCTTGAATATGGTTCGCAGTGTTTCCAGTGGGGTTCGGGATCTGAGGATTGCTTGTTCCTGAATATTTGGACACCATATCTTCCGAACCCGAACAAAAAGACGAACAAGAAGACCCTCCGTCCCGTTGCCTTTTGGATCCATGGCGGTGCCTTCATCGGCGGTACTGCAAACGATGCTACATTTGATGGCGCCAATATGGCGTCTAGGGGCGATATGGTGGTTGTCGCCATCAACTACCGTGTTTCTGCTCTTGGATTCCTGGCTCTCAATGACGGCGTCACCAATGGCAACTACGGTCTGGCAGACCAGATCACTGCACTCGAATGGGTCAGGCAGCACATCCATCATTTCGGTGGCGACCCTGACCGAATCACCATCTTCGGCCAATCCGCTGGTGCCGCTTCAGTTCGGGCCTTGATCGCCTCGCCGAAATCCGTGGGCAAGTTCTCCAACGCGATTATGCTCAGCAATCTCGGCGGCATCCACTACGGTACGACTTACTCCCGCTACTACACCATCGAGGAGCAAGTTGCCGTTGCTGCCAATCAGCTTCTTGAAGCTACTGGCTGCTCGAACGCCGCTTCTCAGGTTGAGTGCCTGCGCCAAGTGCCCGCTTCTACGCTCAGCACCTTCACTGATGTTCGCTTTCTGGTTGTCGATGGCACATATCTCACCTCACGTGAACTTCCCCTTGATAAGGGCAAGCGCTATCCGGTCAACCTTATGATGGGCATTACCCGTGACGATGGTGCACCCTTCGTGTCCTACCCGCAAACCACTAACAGAACCGAATATCTCGCTTCTGTGGATCTACCTAACGTTCCTCTCAAGCTCTTCCCCCAACCAAATACCGGCAACGGCACTCGGGACGTCTTCTGGGGCACCTCGCGCATCGCGACCGACGGAATCTTCCGCTGCGCAGACCAGGCGACCGCTTTTGCGGGCCTTTCCAACAATCGTTTCGACAAGGTCTACTACTACGAGTTCGACCGTACCTACCAGCCAGGCGGCTGGCCGGAGCTGGATCTGTGCAATGCACCGCGCAGCGCCAAGTTCCCGCATGGCGACCCATCCAAGGACTACCTCAGGTGTCACTCAGGTGAGCTGTACTATGTGTTCGGCAACCTCCACCGACAGGGTCTGCCGATGCGCGATGACGGCGATCTGCCATTTGAGCAGTTCGTTACGGACTCGTTTGTGAGCTTTATCCGCACGGGTGACCCGAACCCGGATGAGGCTTATCTGAGGGCTAAAGGCTACACTGAGACTCTGAAGCAGCTCAAGATTAGCGGAACGTGGAAGCCAAGTGTGAAGGGCAGGTACAGTCTGCGGGTGTTTGACTACCCTAAGAGCAGGATGGAGCCGTTTAGGGATATTCAGCAGTGCGAAGCGCTTGGGCTGGGGTTGGGATATTATATGTAGAAGGTTTTGTATAGAGTTTAGATATGTTTGGTAGGTCTTTAATCAAAGAAGGTTCAAGCATCATCAGAGATGACTACTTATAATATGACTCGATACCCTTGATCACGTATCAAGGACATTGAATAGAATCGGTGATCGTCTCTCTGAATATCCCGTCGTCACCAACACTTTGTTAGTAGATCCTTTGTGAGTTAAACACCTAATATTTTGGGTATCATCTACAATACCAGCCCACTACAAAAACTCGTAATAGATACGAAAGAACCTAGGTAATGATATGGCACAAAGCTAATAGCTTACAACAAATATAAACAAAAGCCAACGACCCCTCCAATGTTACTCCCCCCTTCCCCTCCTGTCTTTGTCTTTTTTATCTTGATCAACGTTGTCCCAACCTCCTCCTCCATTTACTTCTGTATCTTCAACAACAAAATACCTACCACCACTGTTAGCTGGAGATGTCTACTTCAAGCCAAGGGACACACGACGTAATAACCTACCAGTCCGGTGCAGAATGCCAGGCCCCTAAATATCCTTTTATCCAACAGACTGTTGTTCCCTTTCCGCTCATAGCGCCCCATCCAGCGCCTAGGCACCCAGTGTGTTGCGCGCACAAGTCAACGCATTCTGCAAACGTTGCCGTGGGAGTGTTGTACAGATCGATTGTGCCGTGACCGGAATTGTAGTCGCGGTCACAGAGAAGCAGGTAGCGCTTTTCTGGTCGTGAAGAGGGAATGTATAGGGTTAAATTGGCATTTGGACAGCTGATATGTGATGTTGGAGTGATTGTGCTTGTGGCCATGGGCATAGGAAGGGTACGAGTTGTTGAGGATTCGGGTGCCTTGTTGCTAAGAAGTGTTAGTCAGATAAGCAAATGACTCGGAATCAACCAGAGAGATTGGCTTACCTATTCTGGTGGCCATCCCTTAATCCGACACCTAACCCAACTCCCAATGCGAGAGCCACAACTCCAAAGAATATCCCAATACCAAGCAACACCCATATCAACTTCCTTCTGTTAATCCCACAAACAAATATCACCTTATCATCTTTGTCATGTCCTTCGGATGATCCCACCAGTGGCTTTGTATCAAATGTACTTTGATGCAGGCTTCTCCGATCATATGTGGTCCAACTCCATGGCGTGGTTGAAGGTGTATAGGGGGGCACGAGTGTTGATGATGGCGCGGGACTGTGCGATGATCGAGGATATGCGTTATCCCAACCATCCACTTCCTTGAGGTTCTGGGAGCCTTGCGAGTAGTAAGGATCGTCTGCAATTATAGTGTAAGGGAGATCATGATGGTCAGGCTGAACTTCGAGGCATGACTCTGGGATAGGCACAGACCGAGAGCCAGCCACAACTTGGGGGCTGGGGTTGGAGTGGTACTCGACGGGGTATTGACGGCAAAGAAGCTCAATATCATGGCCTTGTCGGGACCGACGACCGCGGCCTCGATGAAATGAGATAGGAAGACGAAGATGGTGCATTGTACCCAAGGCGTTTGTAGGAGTTGGGTAGGTTGCTGTAAGATGGAAGTGGATCAGTTGTGCATGGGGTTAATCAGGAACTTTGGGCGTCAGAAACATGATTCAAATTATGACTAGAAACTCTTATCCGATAAACATGAGTTAGTATGTACATGAAAAGTGAGCTTAAGATAAGTTGAAAAGGGGAGAAGTCTAAATCTGGTTCAGCAAGAGGCATCCAGGTTATCGAGAAAGCAAACAGACAGGTGCCACAACTCAGGGGCTGGACGAAAACGCCGTGGGATCCTCTATCTAAGTGGTCAAGCCGAGTAATTTACTTTCCAGGAGCGTCTGTTCGCTTCGTTCCTCAACGGCTTTCCAGCGAGAGTGAGACGATGGCTTGGCGTAGGCTGCCGTTTAATAGACCAACCGCTGACCTCATCTCCGGCATTAGTGCTGACAGGAAGCAGAAACAAGCACAGGCCTACCAGCGATTTGGGAAACATAGGTGTTGCTCCAAGATCATTATCATTCGTTTTCATTCGAGGTCAAGCAGGCCAGAAGGGGTCATGGAAGTTTGAGCAATTCATCACCAGAAGTTCCGGCAAGTTGGTTGAGAAGGAAAAGCAGCCAGGCCAGGTAGGTTGATGGTATCTCGACGTGCCTGCCGAAGAGAGACGACTGCTTAAGATACGCTTGACAGCTGCTTGACAGCTGCGAGGGCTCCAGTCCCCAAAGTAACAATCACTTTATGGCTAACAAAGCTCACACTTCTCAAATTGCCTGCAACACACACCTTGGGCCAAACTTCAGCTCAGTCTTTTCCTGACTAGAAACTTAAATATCACTCACATACCCAGTGATGCGTGCTGGCATGGAGCTCCGTGATGCGATGTGGCATCGTAGCCTTCAGCACGGCCGCCAAGGGAACCCAGAATGACCCATCGATTTTCTCTTAACACTGAGTCCAATAGATGATCGTCTTCCGAATTTTTTGGACACCCATACACGACACTCATCTTTCTGCCTTCGTTGTGGCATATGTTTGGCAAATGCCATATCTAAAGGCATCCGGCTCATAACTTCCGAGATCATAGCAGTATCTGACGTGTAATAGTGTTTGAAGCACTCTAATCTCACTTGACTATTTTGTACTGAGCAGAAGCTCCATGAGCCCGACAGCCATTATCTCTCTAGCTCTAGTGCTTGCAGTGTCTGCCTGTTCTGTGCTTTGTTTCCACATGTTGTTGGTGTAGCTGTTGAGAAGGGATTTTCCTCTGCTTTTGTTTGGACCTCGAGTCCTGTGATCTCTTCATCCATGCTCGTGATGTCTTGGTGACCAGAGTCAACATCGGGACTCCTGATTTTTTTCAGGAAGAACACCTGGTTTTCGCTTGTGCCCTCGTTCACCATGTCATCGCCCGGCTTGTTAGCCTCCTCGTTGCACCTTTTGAGGACGGTTTCAAGGCTATCGCCCTTCCTCAGCGCATCCAAAGCTTGTTTTGCGGTTTCGACGTCCTCGAAGGCCGCAGCCCATTCTCTGTCCTTCCTTAGTTTTCGCGCACCAACCCTTAGACTGCCCCGGAAACCTTTTTGCTCTCTTCGTTCTTCACGTATCATCACTGCCCACAGCTCCTTCATCAGCCCCCATCTGGCAGCAACCACATCTTCGACCCGTCTCCCCTCCTCAGCATCCAAAGCAGCCAATTCCCTATAACCCTGGACAATTCTTGCTCGTCGGATATACTTCCATGGTTGGCGCCTTCTGTCTATTTGTTTGACCACTCCTTGAAGGGTGAATCCCACAGGTCCGATGAGAGCAGCAATATCCTTTAGAACAAATCCCGTCAACCCTTTTCCCACTCCAGACACCAAGCCCCGTACACCCCCCTCGCGAGCTCCTTGCACCGGGAGCCGCACAATACCAGTCCAACCGTCATAGATGCCATACGCAAACTCGCGCCCTGCTGCTTTAAGTCCAGACTTGATGCCGGTTACTCGCGTTGGTGTTCGCACTGTGTCATCGCCGTACAACCGCGGAGCGTTGTGGAAGCCTTGGGCGAGCGCCAGAGATGCATCAACAGGAGTACGTGCAATCGCTGATATCGTTTTGTAAACTCCTCTCCCGACTTGGCGTGCGACATCTTCGGCTGTACCCATGTCTGTTGAGGATGACCTGCCATGATCGATGGCGTGTGTGGTTGTTGTCTCAACTTGTGTTTTTCGGTGAGTGTGTTTCCTCTTTTCCCTCTCTTCTCTTCTTTTCTTAGTCGTCTTTGCAACTTTGTATGGAACTCCTCCAATTCCACTAAACACATTCCCAACCGATGTCATCAACGACCCTGCCACGCCTGTCAGCGGCTCCCCCGGTCCTTCAAAGTCATTCCACTCGTTGTGTCTCAGCAACCGAAGCTTTTTCCATGACACGAAGCCCTTCTTAACCAATAATTCTGCAGCGATGGGGCTCAACCTCAGATCGGTCCCTTTCATCTGCCAGACAGCCACCTTATCAGGTAAAATGGAGCAGCGCATCGATCTTTTCCCTCGCAACACCAAGGCCTTGTGAAAAGCATGACAGACATTATCCGCTCCATCACCCTCCTTTTCGATGTCATGGGCGATTCTTCTTGCCGCTTTCTTTGCTTCATCAGTCAAAAGGTATCGGATTCCGATTGCCAATTTTTCGGCTGTTAAACGCTTGTATGGCACGGGAGACGGCCCTGCTCCAGCCTCCCCTACCATGGTGCCCCAGAAGTACTGGTCCCCAAAGAATGGCACTATCATGGTTGGTTTCCCACATTTCAGAGCAATTGCTGTGGTTCCTGCCCCGCCGTGGATCACGCAGGCCTGGACCCGTGGGAACAACCAGTCGTGTGGTGTATTCTCAAGCAGAAATACCTCAGGGGGCACATCAAGACCATCACCTCCAAGCCCTCCCCATCCCCTTGATACCAAAGCGCGCACGCCACTCAGCTTGACCGCCTGAAATATCATCTCCGTGAAGCGATCGGCGTCATCAACAACAATAGAACCAAACCCGATGTACACAGGGGGCTCCTCCTCTGCTTCTAGAAAGCGGGCCAACGGCTCGGGGGGACTAAATGACGATGCGAGATCCAGGAATACGTATCCTGCCACATCTATCTCTTCGCCCCAATCTGCCGGCTTCGAAACCAGCGCCGGACTCCATAGATATGTGAATGGTACGTGCAGTCTGTATGTTGCTCCTGGAGCCCACAGTGTCGACACAGGATCCAGACCGAGGGTCTTCGTCCGGAATTCATTCACCAAGTCCCCTAACCCCTGCCATGCCATCATTTCAACGAGTGGATAGGAGATGAAGTTAGCATAACCCGGATCAACATTGCTACTTTTCTGCCGTATCCGGGCTAGGGGATGTGGAAACGCCTGTGTTGGACTCCACGGGAAAGTGAACATAAGGTGGACCGGGATGCCGAGTGCCTCAGCGCAGTGGATATGAGCGAAGCTAGGCGGGTTGGCGATGATAGCGTCGGCAACAAATGGATCTTGCTTGCGCATTAGTGTCACATTTGATGTTTCTTCTTCCCCATCCGTAGCGTTGATGCACGCTCGCCAAAACCCTGCGAACATATCCCGCATTGCGGCTCGGCGGCGACCTACGTCACCGGATTTGACGGTTGACAGAGTTGGAATCATTCCTGGGTTCTTGACCATAAAGGCCATCAGTTCAGAGGGTGAGCCACCAACAGAGAAGAACTCAATGGTTCCTCTTTTTTTTCGGATCGCCCCCTCCTTCTGCTTTCCAAGCACGATTGAGTTCTTCATGCTGTTGCTCGACAGATTCCCGGAAAGCTGGGTGTGTCGCGATCCGTACTCTGTGTCCATGTCGTTGGGCGAGGAGCCGCCCAATTTTCAAAAAGGGCTGAACATCTCCCCGCGAACCAATCACCATAATCACTATGTTGAGTCGAGGAGGCGGCCTTTCAGACACTTCTATTGAAGTATGACGTAAAGGTTGTTGTTGTTGTTGTTGTTGTTGTTGTTGTTGGGTCACGGCTGCCGTCCCAGCTTCGAAGGGAGACTGTTGAACATCTGTTTCTGCTCCGGCTCCGTGCTCATATTCTTTCTTCAGAACCTCAGGAAACTTTGCCATTTTTCGTTTAGCCGTGCCCAACGCCTTGGCAAGATAACCCGTGCTTCTAGTATTGATGAGCGATATGTTCAGTCTACCATCATGCTTTGAGACGTGGCCCTTGGTGTAGTAGTTATCATTGTGGAAGCGGAAGCGGCTGTATGGGCTATCGTCTTCATCTTCGTCTCCTGGACCCCTTTGCTGTTTCTTTTTCCATGCCAGGTTAGCCCAGTTGGATCGGGTCTTCGCTCTCTCTTCCTGCTCTTTTCCTTCCACACTTTCATCGTCAGAGGAGTCTGAGAAAGAGTCCAGAGAACTATTGCTGCTAGACACTATCTCGTCTCCTCTTACACCTCTCCATTCATTTCCCCGCGACCCATTCTTGATCTGTCCCATATGTTTCGAGCTCGATGATGTCGTACTTGTTGCTTCATTATTTCCATGCCCGGGGTTGAGTATTACTGACGTGTTGTTGCGATTCTCATTGCCATCCTTCCCTGGCGAGCTTGTTTGATGCGATTGGTTCTTCATGCAATTGTGTATAGGTGAGAAAATTCTGAGATTTTGTTGGGTATCTAGGCAAGATGGAAGAAGTCCTATCTCCTTTGTCTACTCGATGGGAGTTTATAAGACAATTGATCCACTTACTCCCAATTGCAGCCACTGCCTTGGAAGACATCGGTCAACACTGACACAGAGCGTGTCGAGGAGCGTGCCCCCTGACGTAGTATGCTCAATCATGGAATCCAATCATACGAAACTACGGGCGTGTTGGGTCAACTCCGCAACATGCGTACAATCATATCATGAACTATTGCATGCAATTAATACTATTACTAACAACTGACCGAAACCCGCCATAGTACGCCAACCTGATCTTGTTCGAATCCAAAGCATTTTGATCCCCGTATGGAAATGTTCTCGGGTCTTTTGACTTCGCCAGCTCCATGACGTCATAGTCTAAGAACAGCGATGAGATAAACAGAGGCTTACCCCACTCTACGTCTTGGCATGACGCTTGCCAGCGGAGAGCTTGGCCTTGAACTCGCGAAGTTCAAGCAATGTAACGCTCCACTCTACCTGAGGCAACGATGTACCGTCAAAGTTTAAACTGTCTTGATTCACGGTGGTCAAAAAACTTCCGAGAGACTACCGACTTGCACTTTAACACAAGGCTCGAGATTATGAACGCTATTCAGCAAAGTTGAGGTAGAAGCCCAAGACTTCTCTAGCTTCCTTCCGCCTTGAACCACTCAGTTCCTTCTAACCTGGCCAATCTCTCCCTCAGAACTACAATATCTCCTCCAAATGGGCCTAGTTCGTCTTCAGATAACACTACCTCCTGCTCTATCTTTGCCAAGATTTTTTTCAATGGCTCAAACCACCTCTCTCTAACCGTAGCGTGCATGTTGTCAGGCAACACATGAGCCCATTTGTTGTCCTGCCCCTGTTCTTGAGCTCCTGCTTCACTTACCACAGACGGTAACCCCGGCTTTGACCCCCAGAGAAACAGAGCGAAGTTCACTGCCTGTAGTAAAAACGGCGCATTCGCTGCCAGGAACTCCATCGCCTCGTCCAAGTCCTCCAGGAGGACCTCGCCCAGGCTGGGAAAGACGACATACTGCAGAGTTTCCAGCGCATGCGGGCCAGCAAACGCGTTCTTTTCCTTATGATGTTGTGAGGCCGCGATAATCGCCTCCCGCAGCCACGCGACTGCCCGGGCCTTGAGCACTGCGAACGTGCAGTTCTCGAGCAGGTCGTAAAAGATGCGCAGGCGGTCCTCGTCCGACGGGTCGGCGTGCAGCACGAGGGCCGCAAGCGTGCTAGCCGCGTTGCGCGCTTGAAGTTGCGGGTGATACAGCGCAACAAGTGTTGTCAGGTGGATGTAACGCATGTAATCGGAGGTTGGGTCTTCGGGGGAGGTCTTTGTGGGGTTGGTAAGGGGAGAAGACGGGTCACTGGCGATTAGGTTGTTGCGGTGCAGCCACATGCCAACAGTGACTAGCGCATCGGCAGTACCAGGCGAGTTGTTGATTTGAGAGTGAGCATCTTGTCGGAGAAATTTGTCAAGGAGGGTGAGGTGCTCGGGGAAGATGTACATCTCGGGGCAAGGGTGGGTGGTGGCGTTGAAAACAGTCGCTGCAAATACCCAGTATGCGATCAGACAGATGCATCCACCTGTTGACAGGGAGATATGGTCTGGTGTTGTGAGGTCGTTGGGTTCTGTCAAGGGCTGCGTATGTACTGGGCCTTCGCACACTTGGTGAATGAAGTCCTTGGAGCACTTCTCTAGCCGTAAATCGGCTATGAGGGACTATATACTGGTCAACTATAGAACAATGACCATGACTGTTTGATGAATACTTACCACCAACTTGCCAACCATAGAATCCCTAGCCTGCAGTTCCCGGTTCTCTCGAAAGGCCGCCATCAGAGTTCTTCTCCCTGGCACCACCCTAGTTGGGTTATAAAACTCCAGCAGTCTAGCTGCCCATGCCATATCATTCCCATTGACATACGCCTCCAGAACGCAAATCACAAAACTAAGCAACAGCTTCCGCTGCAGTTCTGCCTCTGTCGGATCTTCCTTCCCCTCTTTATCATCCGCTTCAGGGTCCGGCGCATTCTTCGAGGAATCGCCATCTTGGTCCGGGTTGGCTACGTTGACGCTCGACTGACGTGTCGGCAGCGGCGGCCTACGCCGGCCTGATAGGCTGTGCACCAGGTTGACGATAGCTGCGGTCATTTCGTGGCTGGCTGGCTTGTACGTGCTGAAGACGGTGTGTAGCGTCTGCGCAAGAAACCGGCTAGGGTATTTTGTCTTAATGCGCTTGTGCAAGATTGCAAGCATTCCGACGAGGGTAATGAACTTATGCGTTCGGGAAACCACTAGTTTTTGTTGAGGCTCATCATTGTCTGTTTGCTCATCTTGATCTTCCTCCTCTTCCTCCTCTTCCTCTTCCTCGTCGGCCATCAGTTCGAGTGTTTCGAGGACCTTGAGGATGACCTCGCGCGGATTGCCCAGTCTGGCTACGGTCTCGAGACATTTCTCAGAGCCTGGGAGATTGACCAGGTTGTAGACCAGATCCCAGCCAATCTCCTGCGTCAGTTCAGCATCCTGCAGCACTTCGTTCAAGGTCGGGAGGACCTCGGGGCACAGGTTTGCTTCGATGATAGTCAAGTACGTGAACCGGTCCGTCGCAGGGGGACGAGCATCGCGAATCGCTTCAATCGCCTTTGCCGTGTCCAGCTTGGAAGGTTTGTCGGGCATGGCTTAATTCGAGGCAGGTAATCGGGAACTTTGCAAATGGTAATCAAACTGATATGTCGATGAGCTAGTTGTTTTATAATTATTAGGCAAACAAGTTGAGGCCCAGAGACCATACAAAGCAAATATCCCCGTTCAAGACGCTCCCGAAGGTCCCGTGTTCAAGAAGACCAGTCAACTGAAACTTCCCACCTGGTTGGGAAGGGTCGATGGTGTGGAGTGCTTGACATCACTGCCCCGCACTCCACTTTCAACGTTGCGCTGGGCGCTGCGGTTCGCAAGAACCAATCAGCCCGGTAACTTCCAGCTAGGATTCGTACACACAGTGTTTACGCCCCTCCAGGGGCTCGGTTGAACGTGCAACGGTCTTCTTCGCATCAAGTTATCATGCTTATACGGATTATAGCTTTTTCAGTGGCATTCTCATCAACTCATCCAAAAGATATTAACAAATAAGCATACCAAAATTGTTACATCAATTCTTCACTCGCTTGCTTAGGCAGCCGCTGTCCTTTGAGTCTTCCGTTTCAATCTTACCATGGCTCTCATCCCTCCTCACCCTCTTCATCCAGCTCCAATGTTCGCTCGGATTCCCTGCTAGTTTTGCCATTTCCTCCATATCTGCATCGTCCTCCCTGACCATCGGTAGCCCCCACTCCCTAGCTAAATGGGCATACTTCACGGCCATCCACTCGTCGCCCACAGCATTATAGGCCAATGCCGCAAGCGAATAGGCCTGATAGATCTCACCCCATAGTCTCTCCAATTCATATAATGTCACCAGTACTTCGGCCATCTGCGGTAAAACACGGCTCGTGACTTTCCAGTTTCGCAGCTCTTCCCTCAACCTCAAAATTTGCTTGATCCTGGCATCTGACTCTGCGATTTTTGCTTGCTCTTCCATCGCACACAGCGGACACGTACATTGGAAACCCCAGGACCGCACAAGCTTGGCCATACGCTCTTTGTGCGGCTGAAGCGGGTCGATGTACGAGATGGTGATCTCCTCGCCGGGCATGATGTCGCGGGAGGCAACTACTGTCTGCGCCAGTGAGGCATGCGAGAAGCGATAGTCAGCATTGGGGCGACAGTCGTGGTTGAGTCGGGCAATATCGGGGAAGACGACGGCGAACGGCTCCTCGAACGGATCGTCTTCATCGGGTTCGATGTCAAACATGTTGGTGGCGATGATGCGATCGAGGAGCTGGGTGTAGGTAAGGTTCGTAGCGTTGTGAGAGGAGAGATTCAGGATCGCATCACGGTGGGCCAGAGGTAGATGGTCGACGGCGTAAGCTTGTAGCTCGGTGTATATATTGTAGTCGAGATCGCTGAAGACGGCGTAGTCGATCATGAGTGAGGCCGTGTTGGCGAGGATGCGCTCGCCGCGCCGAATGTAGTCTGTTGCGATGATGCCTTTGCCTTTTCCAGGGATGTCTCTAACTTCAAATTTAATTGAGCCTAGGCGGGTGAAGTCAAGGTTGAAGCCAGTTGTGGTATCCGGAACGGTAAATGCTGGAAGCGTCGCGAGGTAATCAGCTCTTTGACGTGTTGTTATGATTGATAATCCACGACCGCCAGCAAAATCGACATCTATGAAGACACAGTACTGTGCTTCATACTCGCTTCCTTGAAAACATGGCGATGAATGTCTCCATACATGCTGTACATAACTTTCACACTCGTCATTGTGACAATTCCAATCATTTCCTGCGGACTGTCGCGCTGTTAAGTTCAGAACATCTGGAGGTCCAAAGCCATTGGGGCCTATCAACCCTCCAAGAGACACTGGAGAACATCCCAACTCGCAACCTCTTGCTTTTCCTACATCGTAGTAGCTGACGCCATGACTAAACATATAAAAGAGGAGCTGTAAGCAAAGCTTCATGGCTGCATCGAAACGTCGACTCGAATAGGGAGAAACAGCAGTGTATTTAGGAACTCATTTGACACCTATGCACCTCGAGACCATGAAATCGGGTTGCGTGGCCCTTTATCATTGTCCAGAACCAGCAACCATAAGAATAAATCCCATTACGAGTACATGCCCGGTAAATATATTTATCCTGATGAAAGAGAAACAAACCGGTTGGTTGCCAGTTGGTCTTGAGTGCTGGAACATACGCTGCCTGAGAGTCTCAGCTTTCTGATTCATCAAAGAGAAACACTCCTTAATTTTCCCAGCTGACCAGAAACAACTTCAGTTCGATGTAGTACTTACTAGGACATTTGTATTGCCGCAGCCTCACTGGGTTCTGTTGGCAACGATGGCTGACAAGAAATTTAGGGTTAGGGTGTAATGAACTCTAGACATTATCAGGAAATGGTAAATGGAGTGTCAGTTCCCCACAATCACATTTACCTTTCCGGAATGTGCGACCCGTGGGACGCCGTTGGGGACCTACATGACCCACAAGCGTACAGTCACAAAACACAATGCTGCACAATACTGCACTGTAATTTACTGTGGGGGAATCTACCCCTATTGGAGCAGTTATCCAGAGAGTTTAACAGTGGCGCTTGTAAGATGAAAGCTGCTGTTGGATCGGTCTCATAACTTTGATTCATAATATCATGTCGTTACATCACATCATAGCCTTGAGGCAAACATAGTCTTCTTCCATCCCAACGCCAATCCCAGAGTCTATAGATTCCGGACAGCATAACCAAAATAAAGACAGCCAACCAGAAAAATCAGAAAAACCACCCAGACTTATTTTCTAAGCAAACTGAGCCACCCAAGACAGAGAACCTGCCAAGACAAAGGAAAAGTCGTCAAATCAAAGATCGTCATCATCATCGTCAGAGTCATCATAAGTCATCATAAAAAAGAAACAAAGGAAAAAGAGCGTGCGTCGGCAGTCGTGAGTTGGACATCAACTTTCACCCCACAGTCCTGAAAACCTCGAAGTCATGCTTGCACAGAGGCCTTTGAAGACCCACAGCATGCATTTCAACATGCCCTTCGAGCGAATAAGTCTCAAAACTCGGTCATGGTCAAAGGGCCAGACGAGTACTCGCATGCAAGGCGGGGCGAACAGTGTCACCCTTGGGTATGCGGGAAGGACCAATAGTCAGGTTCGTAGAAATCGCAATTCTACGACATACCCATGATGCGCGTCTTGCAAAGCGCATATGTGGCAGGGGAATCTTCGAACCTTGGAAAGATCCAGAAAGATGTAAGGCGTGTGAGAATTTAACTTTTTGCGCTTGCAGAGGCTAGGCTCGCATGCCTTTGATGGAATGAACCCAGAAGTTGGGTCAATTGTCGCCTGCTAGGTGGGAGCAAAACTTAGTAATGTAGCAACCTATGCCACTGGGGGACTGTACATACCAGGCCATTCAGCCCTTCCAGGAACGCTGGTAGGAACCCTGGAGTAGACCGTGGGAGATCTTGCCCATGGCAGTGAGATGATCCTGAGCCTCCTTGATGGCCTGGAGACTCTGGAGATCGTCCGGCTGAGCCCATCCCTGGATGAAAGCCTGAAGAGCCTTTTGATGCGCGTACCACTGCTCAATCTCGGAGGATTGAAGCGGCTCTGGTTGCTTGGAGGTGGCAGAGGATTCGTTGCTGGACTTGCTGACCTTCCGGGAGACGGGCTTCTCCTGGGTCATTGGCTTCTCAGAGGCATCACTCTTCCTCTTCCTGCCCCTAGACCCAGCGTTGCCTGAACCATTAGGAGAAGTGGCTTGAGCGTTGGAACCGTTGTCATTGTGAACCCGTCTCATGTGGTCCTTGAGGTTCCACTGCCGGGGGAAACCGTGGCCGACGACAGAGCGCTCGCAACCCGGGTATGTGCAGAGGTAAGGCTTCTCACCATGGCCGTGCATGGCATGGGCCTCACGCTCATGGCGCAGAAGGCAGGCGGTAGAGGAGAACCGCGCGTTCTGGCAACCCTCAACCTTGCAACGGTAAGGCTTGAGGTGAGAGTCTACAAACTTACTGTAACAGGTGAACCGTGGTCAGCTGATGCAAGTCCAAAAAAGGAGATAGTTCATTCTTACTCATAGTTGCACTTGAGCTTCTCAGGCTTGTGGTTGCAGTTCGGTTGGCCCTCCCACGGGCAGTGGAAAAGACCATCCGGGCCGGGTTGCGCATTCTTGTAGAGGTAATGGTCCCTCGCAGACTCACCATCGCTGAGGCGGCGAGAGCTGAAAGCGGGAGGAAGTGAGAAACTCTCCTCTCCCAAAGAGGGAAGCAGGTTTCCGTGAAGGTCCTCGGTGGTGACATACTGTTGAGATGCATCTACCTTCCGGCTGAGGCTGAACATGGCACATGGCGTCAGAGGGGATATGATCTGGGATGCAGCGAAGTCTCAACATACCTTGGGGACTGGGTTGGCAGCTGGGGAGACGTCTTTGGACTCTCCTCTGGAGAAGTAAGGGATGGGCCAGACCACACATCATCTGAACCATCTCCAATGCCTGGAGAAGAGAGGCGAGATTCAGCTGGGCTCAGCGAACCCCAGGAGCTGGGAGAGGCAATCAACCCAGAACCAAAGACCTGGGGGTTCACGTGCTGGCTCAGAGAAACATCTCCGGTGTAAACGAGACCATCAGGGAAAGCATATCCAGAGTAGAAACCAGAGCTAGTCACCTGGGGCGACACTGAAAGGGAATCCAAATCCTGGCCAAGGTATTGCGGAACATCCTGGTAGGTCGGAGAGGTAGTACCCGCCATGTCAAGCTTCGACAGTTGTGAAGCGGCCTGTGTCAGAATCGACTGGACTCTGGGCCGAGTCTTCTTTACTGTCGAAGAAAGCTTGGCGGTCCTGTTCTTCTGGCTTGGTGTCCTACCCATCGGCTCAGCTTTGGTCGCCTTGTTGTCAATAGCAACAGAAGGCGTCCAGCGAGTCTGGATATCATCTAAGCTCTCCGAGGGATCAGACTTGGGGGTGACTTGGCCAAAGGGGAGAATTAACTCCTCAGTCTCGCCGGAGTAGTAGTCCGCGGCGTCCGCAAATTCAGAGAAGTTCTGTGTTCCTTCTGTCGTATCCCAAGACGAACCTGAAAGGTCCGCTGGTCCTGTTTGAGAAAAAGAATAGATCCCGGAAGCACTGGAAAACATGTTGGGCTGAGGAGAGAAGCTATAGTCGCTGAGCAGGGTTAGTGTGTTGTCAGGCATATCATGGCAAAACAAGTCCTCAGAAAATCCAGATGGCAACACTTGTTCCTGCAGCGGTATTACTGTCAGCAACTTCATGATCGCTTTCGATAGGGCTAAGCTTGGCGCTGGGGATTCACAAACCATCTGAAGATCATTGCGTTGTAAATCAGGCACGCGAGGCTAGACCCGAGAACTCTCGGGAGGAAAACGTCTGGGCCACAGAACTTGGGCCTGGAGCCAGCACAACCAGTCGATCAGATCCAGTTCCAGAAGTAGTTGGCCTGGAGCCAACACAAAGTCCGGGAATCCAATTCCATAGGCAATTAACCGGGAGTCCAATCCAGATGGCCGAGGATCCAAGGCAGTCCGGGAATTGGCAGTTGAGAAAGTCTCCGGGGGGGAAGGGGGGATATCATGCTGCCGTAGAGTCGCTTTGAGACTCTCGGACACAGCATGAGCTGGTGAGGGTGAAATGTCTTGAAAAGTGGATGGCAAAGGATGAATCGATTGGTCAGGTAGTGTAAAGATGAGCCAGCCCCAAAGTCTCTCGAAGGGATTGCGGAAAGGCTCCGTAGCTGAAATCCAATTTCCAAGGCTCAGGTTCTATTCCCGACGACATGGAGTTCTTATATCGACGATAATCTCCAAACTGGCTCATTTTGGTGGCATCCTCATGGTCGGTTGATTGCTGGTCAAGGTTGGAGCGCAGCTGCACGTCTTGGGTCGAGAATCCGGGAAAGGACTAGTCCGACCGATGCTTCGAACTTACCATGAGCTCCGGAGAGCCGAGTAAGTATGTGAAGACGAAAACAATTGAGCATAGGCATCCCAGAATCAGCGAACTGGAAGCCGTTCTGATCCCGCGACTCGGAGAGCCGCATCCCAGGAAGTCTCGATCTTCGGCTGTTCCAAGGGTCCATGACAGGGTCCAGGCAAGTCCAGGTGGTCCAGAAGTGATCCACGGGAAATCCACGGGGTGTTCGAAGAGTCCAAAATACCCTGATGAAATCCACGGTTCCAGGCGATAATGTCCTCGGAAATCCAGGAGTGGTCCAGGAAAGATCCAGGCAATCCAAGGGTCCAAGTCCGGACAAAAACCACGGGAACTCAAAATGTGAAAAACCGTGAAGGTGATGGCGCTCCAGCGTGATCCTCGAGTCCATGGCAGCAATTTGTGAATGCGTGTCCAGAGAATCTCCAGGTTGATTAGGATCCATAAGGCTGTCCTTGTGGCTCCAGTGGCTGGTGACCGTTACATACCCGAACAAGCCTCACTTAAGGCAAGTTGAGCAAGGCAAAACGCAAGCACAGAACACAAATTCCCCAAAAACATGACAAAATCCACAAAACCTGCCGAAAAGAAAAAAAAGGAAATAAATACCTAGACGGGGTGTGCACTTCGTCCAGTTCAAGATGGCTCAAACCAGACATCGTCTCTGACCTGGACATAACCAAGGAAGTCATTCCCGGCGTGTTTCAAGAGCAACGATGCTCTCGGGTCCTGGACAACGGGGGGCTTCCGTGTGTCCAATATCCTTGTGGGCAAGAAATCCTTGGGTCAAGCTGATGTTGTGGTGCAAAGAAAATGCAGCCAAACAACAGCAATCCTGGGCTTTGGAAGAAGGCTGGTTCCAGGAACAAGGTGTCGCAATCAGAAAAAAAAGATGAGTGGAACGAGGCAGATATAGAAAGCAGGCAGAGCAGCCAAGGTGGAGCACCGGGTTAAGCTTAAGATTAAGCAAGCAATGACGATGCGAGACGCGTGTTGGGCAGAAATGTCGGCGGGTCGTTGGGTTCTGGCTGGAAGATCGGAGGGGAGGGGAACAGTTTGCTGGGCAGAGCGCGAGGACGGGCACATTTTAAGTTTGGAACATCGTGCGAGTGGCCGTCCAACGAAACGATAGGCGCAAAAGGGGTCCGGGACATTTCGAACCCCGCTCTGCTTGCAATTTCCATCAGCATCCTTCTTCCCGCATCCACTTGTGTTTTCCTGCACTTTCTTTCGCCAATGGGCATCTCGTTTCCTCGCATTTCCTGCGTGTTTATGGACTGTCACATTGGGAATCTCTGAGCTGGCAACGCCTCTGCTGCACTTTTCATAGGCCACAGCCAAGAAGGGAGCGTCGCACGCCGCTGTCGACCGGCCTCGACTGGCTCTCCTTCCTGTTTCTGGCGACAAATGGGCTTGTCGGCGGGGCTGACGACGGCAATGGGCCTATCAAGTGAGCCGACGTCTTCTTGGCTTGCGACACTTGCAGGGGCCAGGGTGCTGAGCTCCATCTGCCAACTCATCACTGCAGGTAGGCTAGGCCGCTTCTTCGGCCGTCCATCCCCCCCCTCTATCAGGAGAGACACGGAGATGTTCGTGAGCCTACTTCCGTATTTGCCGGCTGTTGCGCGAAATTGCCCACTGACGTCAATTGCATCTCGACGACATCATGGGCTTCATGGAGGGGATGGAGGGGCAGAAAGGACAACTCACGCTGCCAACGAGCAATTGCATCGTCGCAAAAGCCCCGCGTTGCGCGCAGTATGTGATGCCTCGACCTGCCCAGGCATGAGGTGCCTTCAGTGTTGCGATGAGATGAGATGGGATGGAACGGCACGGTATGGCATGGCATGGCATGGTTCGCTTGTGGCTGTGACATGACACTTACCTATCAGCCCTCTCGTTTGAGTGGTGCGAGCGAGATCAAACGCTGGCAAGCATCCGAGAGATAGGCGAATGAGCCCCATTGCTGTCGTGACTGGTAGCCCAAAACACTCGTCAACCAAGCCTCGCAACGGCTCGTAGCGTTGACCCGGCTTGGTATTCCGGCAGTGTCCTGTCCGTATGCACAACGGATCGACAGCAGAGCCGCATCAACCAGTGTCAACAGAGATATTGATGTTTCTACCATCATACACCAGCGCTGTGCGAGTCCTGTCTTTGTACGTCATATGCAGTAAGACCTCGACGAATGAGGCTTCGTGTGGAACATTGGCGAAGACAGGTCTGGCCAATGTAAGGGCAGCATGGCATCGCGGCGCTATGAGTGGTCAATCTCGTACCCTCCCAGCATGGCAGGCTGCGTCCCAGACAGGACGGAGGCGTCGACAACTCAGCGACCGTGTGCGCTGCCGAGCGAAGCGCGTAGAAACGGGGCTCCTCGGGGCAGCCTCAGGACTCCGCAGCCCAGGTGCGGTCGTCGATGGGCCCTGTTGTCATGCCGGAGATGTGGGTTCAAGAGGGGAGAGAGGAGAACCCCTCATTCCCAAGGGTCCCCTCGTCGTCTTGCAGTGTTCGAGTTACTCAATGAAATGAGCAGTGTTAAAACCGCTGCTTCTGTGGCAGTCCCTGATTGCTGTGAGATACTGCTGTCGTTTGAGAGCTGCAGCTTAGGGTCGTGTTCAACGGGGTCTGGACTTTACTGACCCGAAAGAGGGTGTGCAGTGCTGGCCGAAGAGGTAGTCTCCTCAGCCAGCGGCATGGTGCATCTTCGACTTTCCGAGCCGCGACAGCCGCTCCATCTCCGAGATGGCCTATGATGACTAGAAATCTCTGCGCCGACTGGACCCAAGTCATCAACAGTGCTATCAACTCTCATAACCTGGCGCCTCTCTCTGATCATGTCTTTTCTCCATGGGTTGGAGTCGGATTGCGGTGCTGACGAAAAGCTGTCGAGATTATGGCGTCGTCGAGTAAGGAATGCCTGAACATCGAGCGTCAATCGTCGAGGGATGTGGTTCTCGGTCGCTAAGGCTCGAGGAACGACATAACCGAGCAGATAACGACGAAAACTCGACAGCCAACATGGACAGGACCAAGACGATGACGATATCGAGGCTGGCTGCTACTCTCTAGGTTGTTAGCCTTAAGTTAGGATCATGCTCGGAGGTGAGTGTGTCAGACCTGGACGATGCTAAAGGACTGACGGACTTGTTTGTTGCCCGTATTCAGATTGATCTTGACGAGTTCGAGATCCAATCTGCATACGAGTAGTATGCCCTGCCAAATCTTCTGGCTTTCAAAACACCGACCGGGAACCACAACCTGAGATGTGGCAAATTCCTTCGCAAAAGGCATTTGGCACACAACACTTTTGATTCTGGTATATTCTGGCACACTGTTCCGGCGCGCTTGATTCGAACACTCAATAACAACTGGGGTCGACAAGCAAGTGCAGTCGATCGACACTCTCTGCACCTAGACATTGAACTGTGCTCGGGCGAACTAAGTTCAGCAACATACTATTGAAGGGTGAAAAATGGTCCATAGTTTGACTGAGTTCCCACTCACCACCCTAAAACTGAGGATAAAAGTAGCCATCCGAGGAAGGGGGTGATGCGTTTCCTGCTTCCATGGAGTGTGCTACTATGACAGATGAGAGAGCTTGAGGAACAGCGTCATCCATTGCCCAGAAAAGGGTCATCTTTCCGAGTTGGAAAGCCCAGTCTATTCCAACACAGAATAATGTGTTCTGTTGTGGTCGTGTAACCCTCGAGCAGATGGGGGAGTTCTTGAGGACAAATCGCAACATTGGAGAGTGGAAAGCACATGTTGGTGGCAATCCAATCATTCAAGCGCTGACGACGACCGTATGTTGTCGGCCTTGATACATCCAAGGCCGATCGACTGTAGCATCGAATTTCGCTAAAACCCAAATCTAACAGCTCTCTGCCATCACCGATGTCATCAATCTTGAGATCTCCACAAGTCTCGCGAGGACTATGCACTCACCAGCTCATCTGATCAAGCGATCAGCATTTTCCAAAAGGAGATCTGGCGTTGCACCACCAACACCAGATACCTGATGGGAAACCCCCCAAAAAAAATTTCGTCCAGTCTTGGGTTCAATCGCCATGCTGGAAACCTGCGCAAGACAAAGACTTCAGGTAAGTATGCAGCCCCCTAGAAGTTATGCGTTTACCTTGACTCCACATCTTCCAGCCATCGTCTCCTTTTAAAAAGGTCACAGCATCGGATGATATTTCCCAAGGTCGTTGAGGTCCTGGGAGAAGATCGTGCCTAATGCCCTGCCATGGCAGAAGGATGACGAGGCCATTGCTTGCGAAATTTTGATGGCTCAAGCAGTTCTGTGGAAGTCACTGCTCGATGTGGATGGTTTGCAGAAAAAAAATGATACAGTGGATAGTGGTGATGTCAGAGCACAACGGGCATTGCTCAGCCCGGCTGCACTGCCCGTGAACCATGGGCGACCAGAGACGTCACTAAAACCACCAGACAGGGCATCACCAACCTCCTTGTCGACTATCGACAAAACGGTTGCCATGAAGCTACGGTGAAGCAAACACCGTGACGGCCCAATATACCTTTCTAACCTTTAGGGGAGCGCAATACACTGACCCGATACATACCTACCCACCTTGAACTCGTGCGGAAAAGACACCATTCACCAGGATTTGAGCTTGATAAGCATCCCTCGAGGGGCAGGTAAAGGTCACGGTGACTCGGTGACACAGGGACAGCACCCAAGTTAAGGTCGAGTCTCGGTGAGCATCAGCTTGACCAGTGTCCTCTGCCCTGAGAGATGGACCGGAGCAATCCAGTCCTTGGCATCCGGATATCGGCATCGGCAGGGGGGTTGTTGGGCGTCAGGGCGCGATCTTGGCACGGACTCAAAAATGATGGTGGAGCTTCGGGCCGTTGTCCAAGATACGGATTAATCCGTACAGAGCACGGCAGCGGCGGTCCGGCATGGATGATGGTTAGGGTTGGCGAACACAAAACACAAGAACACACGTGAAAGAAAAGGAAGAAAGAAGGCCGAAGTGCGTCGCGATGAGCCTTTATCCTTTGCCCCTTCCTTGGGATCAACAGCACAGGGCCTTCGGCAGCGTGCAGACCGCCATTCCCGAATCTGTGGTCGGAAGCGCCCCGGCAGCGTGGCCAGCAGCCGAAAATGGGAGCGCCAATCTGTTTCTGGAAGCCAAGTGTGGAGGGTCGTGCGGGTGCTGATGCGTGTCACCACGATCGTGACGACACCAAACATAGTCGAGCACATTCAATGCGTGGCATGGACAGAGGTATCTCACAAGGGGGGCAAGCGGCGTGGTGCGGCGTGGTTCGGCGCGGTTGGGCGCGCCAGCGAAGCAAGCGTTTCTGCCCAACTACCCCCGGCCTCCACCAAATCACATTGTCCGGTCGTTGCGTGAATCGCTGTGGTCCCAGTTCGCCGTCTTGTCTGGCACCAATGGCGCCTGTCCGGCCATTCTGGGCGCCGGCCTGCGCGACAACCCCATCGACGCCCAACGGTACCTTACCTCCTCTGACCACGCACTTCTCGACCTCTTTCTGTGGTCATTTGTGTCTTTGTGCCTGTCACGCCCTCCTTTCGTCCTCTTTGGAAGCCGATGCGGCCAGACTCAGCAAAGCTCAACAAGCTCACGAGTCAATTGGACGAATTGAGCATGTCGACGTCTACGTGCCCTCTGCCTTCACTCGGGGCGTCTGCCGTTCCTGATCATGAGGACCTTTGCTCTCAGCTGGAATGACACCCGTAATCCCCCCCCCCCCGCGGAGCCTCAATTCTCCGGAACACTGGGTCTCCTTTCCCATCTCTCTCTCCTGATCTGCTCTTTACTTCCCGTCTTGCTACAGCCTACATCTTACCGAGTACAAGTTGCCTGTGCTTTTTAGCCTCGGCGGCGGTGCTCACGCGAATGGGGACACTGACGGTCGGAACTGCGGGTTAGTTACCTAGCCTCAATTGCCCATTGCTTCACGAATCGCGAGTGCCGTGGCCCGGCCTTCATGCTACTGCCCTTCGTGACAGCTGCCAGCACTGATTCTTGTCTGTCCAGTGCCCACGAGTAGTGTGTCCTGCTGGACACTGTAATGGTGCTCTGGTGCTGCACTACCCGCGTGTGCAGCCCTAAGAAGCAGCGTCAACCCTGCCACGGGGCCATAAAGGTCTCCATCACGGGACGCTGTCCCCTCTTGTCCCCTGCTCTGGGCCGCTAACTAGACTCAAATCTCAAACCTTAACAGAACCACGTCCTCTGTCCCTCCAGGGAAGCATACGTTGGAATTTTAGCTCGGTGGATTCCACCTTGTCACCGTTTCCTCGACCATTCTACCGGGTTCAGCCTGCCAGCTTAAGAGGAACTATCCCGGCGAAGCTCTCGCCGCCCCCGTGGAGCTCCCATGAGCTGAGTTTTTGAAGGCCATATCCAGGAAATCCCGGTCGCAGGTTTTTCTTCCCATCGGTTGCTGTTGTCTTCATCACGCCTAAACAACCGTCTTGCTAGTCGCAGGGTGTTTTCATTTTAGGTGCTTCTCCCCCCTTTCCGTATCTTTTTTTTTCCTCAAAATTTTCTCAACGGAGCTGTATAGTACTGCACTGGCCAGGGTGAAACGCCGTCCAGGATCTCTTTTGAATTCCTAACCAAGCAATAGTGTGGCCCAGAAAGTGAGCGTAACGGTGAGAAAAAGGAAAGAAACAATGGCAGACTTTGCCTACCGTCATCCGACGCCCGCTCCTAGGACCGATGAGCGGTGGGCTGCTTCACGCAGGTGTGAACAGGACCTCAATATCTACCACCTGAGAGAGATGAACAGCGCCCGGCTGACGGACTGCTTAAGTCACTTCTACAATTCATCATCATTCTACAATGGCAGGTTCGACTCTGGAAGCACCCCTTCTCTAACACAGAGGTAAGAGGAATATCACACGTTAACCTCCTCCCCCCTTTTTTTTCTTCCAGGGCAGGAAATAACCAAGGACTCTCGATAAAGCGCAGGCTGGACATACCCGTCTGCGCCCTCTCGTAACCTCCCAGCCAATTTGCCAGGAGGAGGTAACGCTCAGAATGGACGCCCCCCTGTCGAGCATTCCTATCACCATGTTCCCCAAGCACCACCTCCTCCTCCCCCTCTGGCGCCAACACAACCACATCAAGGGTCGTATTTGAGTCAGGCACCTGCTCAGAGTTCCTATAATGGTGCTTCTTCATGGGGATGGGATCAACAAGATCGACAGGACCGTCCTCAGACAACTTATCCGACGAACAACCAAGAACCCTATCAATATCCGTCGTATTCGGGGAAGAAGTACTCTCCTTCAGAGTCGATGGATGACCTCACCTCCCCAAGTGCCTCAGACTACTCGCTGGACAGGACCCCCACTAATACTTCCAACAATACCAGTGGGATAGTTCCCGGTAGTAACACCAGGCACTACAAACTCGCAGCCGGGAAACATCCGCGGACTCGCCGCAGGCCATCCAACCGTGACGAGTTTGACGGGCCACACCAATTCCTCAAACGGCCTCCTCCAGAATACATCGCCCTCCAGGAGCGAGAACTCCCCCGCCTGCCAACACACCTCCACATCCAGGAACAGGACGCGGTCCTTAACCAAGTCAATGAACGCCTATCTCAGTGCGCCTACGACTTCGTGGCCAAGTATCAGTTCCCAATCCCACTGACGCATGACATGCGGCCCGTCGAACGGCCCCAGGACCGCGAGTGGACCGAGTGGGTGTACCTGCTGAAGCGGTTGGCCACAAAGAGGCGGATCCCGGCCAGGGTGCTATATAACGGGCAGATCAAGCAGTTTGTGACGGTGTTGGAGAACTCCCTCGAGATGAAACATGCGGCGAAGAACCAGAGCCGGCCGCTAAAGGATGATCGGAATATCCTGCAATTGATCTCGGCGGGAATCCAAGTCGCGAAGATTCTGAAAGACGCGCAGGCTATGGTAGGTGAACCTCACCCCATCTTTGGCTGCTAAAAAGCCGAGAACTGACAAGTCCTCACAGGAGTATCTGGATAGGCTATATGTCAACACGGAGCGGCGGATCCAGGAGAGAATCGCAGCAGAACAGGCCGCAGCGGCGACGGCTTCTGCTCCTCCTCCACCTGCACCTGCCCCTGCTCCGATGCAGTACTACTAGGCAGGGGTTGGAGGCTTCTTTGGTCTCTGCTCTCGCCAGTGTATCCGATGCTCGGTTAAAGGGTCGCATGGCTGGTTGGTTTTGCTGGGAGCAGTTCAGAAGCTGGAGCTCGCTTGGCATGTTCTCCAGAATTCTTTCTTGGTTCTCTCTGTTTGGCTGGTGGGAGGAAATCTGCTTTGCACATTTGATATCCCCTGGTTATACCCTGACTGTACTTTCTCGGAGTTGGCTTTTGAAATATATCCGAACACTGATCGTTCAATTTTTTTGTATGGCTTCGTATGCTGGGTGAATCTTACCCAACATACTTCCGGCTGTTAACGCAGTAGCAACTCAGGTAATCGAGACATAACTGGCCTGTCGTCCGCGTCCTTATGTATCGGCTGAGCTTACCAGGAGTAGATGCTTGCAAAGCTTGTTGCAGCCTGGAACCGTTTGGGCTACGTTCCACGGCGTCTTCAACCCAGCGCGCCAAAGCCCAAAAAGAACAGGGCAGCAGGCATCGATCCTCTAAATCAAATCATTGACAAGAGAAGGGTGTAGGGCTTCTTATGATGCATCACAGAGTCATGGGTGCGGCTTGCAGTCCGGTGTGTCACGGTGTACAAGCTGAGTTGATCGGCACACCTGGGCTTGCATCGTTTTCGTCGGTGTTTGAATGGGGCAGGGAGAACAAAAAAGAAAGGTGGGCCAGGAAGTGCAGGGCAGCACACGACAGTGCAGACAGAGTTGCAACGGTCAACGGCAAGAATGATGCCAAGACAGCGATGCAACAGGTGGGGCAAGCAGCCCGCGGTGTGGAAAAGAGTCTTGGCTCCCACAGCTCGGTCGCCCTTTGGAGTTTAGCTTCCCGTCGGGGCTGAGCCGAGCCGGGATCAGCACCGTGGGGTACCGTTTAAGATGACGGGCCTTGCCCGCGTCCTCGGTCGGACGACGTTCTAGGTTGCAACCTGCAACACCATCTTTCTGTTCTCTCGAGCCTTTTGTTTACTTCACCTTTGCGTCCTTCCTAAGACTTAGGCTGAGTGGATTCACTGTGTTGTCCAGAATTCCACACCGATTTCAGGCTGAACACCTGGGTCCAGGCTGTTTTTCTCTTTCTGAGTTCCTGCGTCCGCCCATTTCGGCGTTGTGCTCCCACTCTCCCCGGAGGCATCCGCGCACAGCGCCAGCGGACGTCTGACATCGCCGGGGCGAACACATCCCGAAGCGAGCTGACAGCCTGATGCACTCGCGCACCACGTTTCCTGGAGCTATACAGATCTTTCCAAAATCACCTCGACGTGTGCTTCCCTGCTACGGATGACAGCATAGTTGGTGGCCAGAGAGATTGCTCTCGTCACGATTGTTGCTACTCCGTCATCATCGTGGATAAGTCGCAAGTTGTTGGGAGCGAGTCTGGGTTAGACGGACACGAAGCACAGTATCACACAAACACCAAAGGACCACGCGTAGTACTGCTACCAAACTGCGACATTTCCATTGTCACCATCACCATTGCCACCTGCCCTGCCTGTCTACCAGTATACGCGCACCATGGCATCGGCCTCGGTCAGGTCAGTCGGCTCCTCGCCAGTGTCCTTTTCATCCTATCAACAGGTCGACTTCTCTCCTTCTGACAACACCGCTGCGCCTTTGGATGACACAGCAACCGGCGGCGATGCCGAGCTCTGGGATTTTGTTAGTCAGCTGAGTGCTGGGTCAGTAAGGGGCGATGGTCAAAGCAACGGACTGCTGGCGAGTCCGGCGAGCGTCAGCCAGAGCCTGGCAAGTTCATGGGTGATTGTCGGACCTCAAGGCGCTTTCACTACGCCATCCTCCCAGCTGCCGTCGAGCCAGGAGTTTGATCGGTTGAGCGAACTCTCAGGGCGAGTATCCTTGCCTGCTGGGGCCGGACGTGAGAGAGGTGGAGCGTTTGGAAGCGTCACTTCCCCTCCTGTGGCAGAAAGCAGTCCCTTTGCTTCACAAAGCCTAGGTCAAAGTGGGAATGTGTTGTTTGACCAGGACCTTCTTAATAGCTGGACTTCAGATGCCCACTTCAATGGCAAGTTGACGAGATTTTCTTTGCTCTGCTGGTCTGGGTTTCTTGTTGCTAACTTGTTCGCAGCAGAGTGGAACATCCTGCTATCAGGGGTAAACAATAGCAGCAGCGTTATTGAGGGTCAGCAGATCCTCAACAGCTCCCTCAACCTCTTTAACCAACAGCCCGTACCGCTACCGTCCAATGCGTCTCCATGGGCGCCCCCTAACCTCAGGGGCAGCAGTAAAAACAATTTAAGTGACCTGATTACCGGATCTCTCCCGTCTCCAAACCTTGCAAATGAAGATATCGCCTTTTCCTCGCCAGCCGCCTCTTATCGACATTCGCCATTTGCAATTTCTGAAACTGTCCACACACCTGCCAGTTCTGGAAGCGCTCCTCCTCAGTCACCATCACCAGCACAGGTCTCAATTGTGCGAGAAGAGCCCCGAAGGTCGCCTACCGCTGTCCCGACGACGCCCCCGACCACGATACCAAGGACTGCACCGATCCCAATCATTAAGCCCAATAACAGTGCTCACCGAGTGCAGAAACGCAAGGCATCCACAGCCACGGCGGTGTCATTCCCATCGCATCATCGTAATCTCTCTTCGTCTCCAGCAGGAAGCTCTGGTAGCGGCAGCATCAGTGCCAGCCCGACAACAACGAGTCCCTCCACAACCACAGCCAATAAATTTGTCGTTGTCACGCCGTCGATTATTTCCCAGCATAAAGACAAGCCGGGAAACCCGTGGGAGGAGGCACTGGCGTCCTTGTCATCGTCATCATCCGCCTCTTCTCTTCGGCCAACTCAACGTGGCCGGAAGGGCCCTCTGGCCGAGGAGTCTCGCAAGGCAGCTCTTGATGTGCGTCGCAAGGGTGCTTGCTTCCACTGCCATGCGCGAAAAGTGGGCTGTGATGCACAGAGGCCGTGTAAGAATTGCATGCGGCTAGCACAGCAGGTCCCGCAGGTTGTGTGTTGGCGGTTCCCCGACTTTAGCATAATACTGTTCCCAGAGTTCATCCGTGGCCACTTGCGCAAGGAGAAGGTCGCACAGTTCGTGGCAGACAATGTAGAGAGCTTTACTGTGGGTGGAGTCGAAATGCCATGCGATGTCGAGCTTTTCTCAGGCTTTGGGATGCGAGCCGTGCTGAAGCTCCGCGCGAAATTCTTCACCGCGAAGGGCGCCGATGCTCTGCAGCATTGGCATGCGCAGTTGCGCAATAATGAGATGGCGCTTACCTTGAGAGGTGCAGCGCCAATTGCGCTGGAGATGGGGGGGATGGCGGGCAATGATGGCGGTGGTTCCGGTTCGGGGGACACGCAAAGGAGCGAGCTGAAGAAGAAGCTGAAGGAGTACATTAACGCGATCGTCGACGAGCCGTGGTTCCCAGAACTGATGACCCCACCGCCTCATCACACGGAAATACCAAGGAAAGTCCTGCGCATTGTGCACGAGTATGAACGACGGAGCAAGCTCCCTGTGGTCCGGAGCGCGCTATCCATCTATGCCATGCATTATGTCATGACACGGCAGCTGTGCATGACGCGAGACAATCTCGCCAAGCTTCAGCCCACGGGATTGGTACCGAACGCGCCGGGTATGCCGTTCGTAACACCGCGTGTGTTGAACCGGCAGATTAAGGCAGTGCTGGATGATATGATGCGCCATGAGATGGATAAGGTGTTCGATGACTTTGCTCGGTCAGTACGACGCAAGATGCGTAATAAGTGGGCGCCATGCCTGGCAGCGTTCCTTGTCCTCTGTTTGTTCATGGAAACGGTCGAGGTGGCGGCCGATCTTTTTGTCATCTCAGATACCGAGATCAAGCTGCGTCAGCGGAGTACTCCGGAGTGGCAGCGCTCGTTCGTGCTGCAGGTCAACCAGGAAATCGAGAACATGCCGTTTAAGCAGTTCGCTTTTCAGTTCCACCAAGTCTATCAAACTCACACGCGGGATGCCACGGTCCGTCGCTTCAACCCCTTGCTGGATGACGACTGCTTCGAGCCGGGAGAGTTGGAAGAGGAGGCTGCGGACATGGTGCGTAAGCTCAGGAGGCTGATCGATGAAGATTGTAGGTTTGTCCTGCTCTTGGTTACGCTGCAGGAAAGGGTTGCTAACGAGATGGTCACAGGGGACGAGCTGGATTACTTGACGGCAGACCCAATTCTTCCCAACATCGAGCCTCATCCCTATCCTCGGAATGTTAGTTACAATTACATTGGTCGTCTTGTTACCAAATTCCTTCTTTCATTCACGGACGAACGGTACATCTTCGACAACAGAAAGTAAGACATTTGCTTAGAAGCCTGGTCATGGGGGTTGGATTAGGCATGGAAGGTGAAACTTGGTCTAACCTTGGATATTTGGCGGATTTACGGATATTGGTCGCGACGCTATGACATGAGCTTCAATATGGTATGCATCAAGGAGTTAAGAGGTTCGAGATGTAAATTATGATTATATACTACCAATCAATACAAGCTAGATGAATGAAATGTTTGTCCTTTTTAGTCCTACTACCGCACTTGTGATGCTCGGTAGCAGGGTGGATTGGACCGGCTGTCTAGGCCTTAGATTGCTCTTCCACGTGCGAACGATTACTAAGTTAACCTATTGCGCATAGAGTAATTGCACAGAGGCAGGCAAGTTGTGGTTTTGAGAAATACCTCGAACCGTATCCTAGGAGGTATCTCGAACTTTTGAGAAAATGTGTTGGTCACAATCGGCCAGAAAACTAAACCATTCCAGGCGCAGCAACAGCCTAGAGAATTCCCCAGACTAGAAAGCGCCAAGAAAAAAGAAACATAGGGCAAAGGCCTCGAGACTATTTGGTCAACCATGCTCCGGCTAAGGTGACGGAATACAGAATGGTTGTCAACCCGAAAACCGCCCAAGGAAGGGCATTCACGCCCAAGAAAGGCTGATGAGGTTGTTGCTGTTGGAAATTTTTTTTCGGGGAAGGGGGATTAGGAGAGCAAGAACGAGCTTTTTTATCGATTCGAGGAGTGGGGCCTTTCTGTCCAATCGCCGTACTTACGCCCCCAGGAGACAGCCCCACAACTGGAACGGACCGACTCACGCCGATTGCACCTCTCAGCCCGGCTTGGCAGAGTATTTCTGAGCTTCCACATGATGCTGAAACTTTTTCTTTTATTTTCCTTCCCATACACTTTCACACCACGCAGGATTAATCAACCGGTCTTGATTCACCAACTCGATATCGGTCATATTTGCCTGCCAGAACATCCTGGGTTTGCTCCGTCAACCTCACTTCCCCTTGGGGACCAGGTTCTGGACCCTCTTCACGACGGCCTAGAATCTGGCTGACGGGGTTCCCGACATACCTATCTTACTGCTCCCTCGCCCTTCTTGACGGCTACTGCCGCTGCATTGGTAGCTTGGCAGAGTGGAAGATGAGTCGATCTGGCCGTATAAGGAGCGGCTCACTGCATTCTGTGTATTGTGTGCCATGTGTGTTCCATGATTTGCGTGACGAGCTCACCCGCTCAAGATCATGCAGGTTTGGGGGTTACTCATGGTAAAAAGTTTGTAGGATATTAATAATAAGAATAAATCTAGGCTTTCTACGGATGATTTTCGATGGCTACTGAAAAATATTAGAAGCTGTTGGGGACATTAATGGACCGGAAAGGGTTGCTGGTTCAACCGAAGGAGTTGCATCTTCCATATAAACTATGCTTGTGCCTTATGAAGGACACAGGTCTCTTGAATGCCTGCCTACCTTATGTACCGAAGTGAGTCTACCTCTTAGGAGTGTATCCAGCTTTTCAGAGGGACGCCCTGCGTTCCTTTCTCTGCTGGCCTTGTCGGTGCTGCTTGTGAAATCAAGGTGCTAGTTCCAAAAGCGACATAGTATGCCGACTTTGTCAGTTTGCTTGGTTATGGTATGCCAGCTTGCACCATGACATCGTTGCCAATGTCCAGCTCCCGGTTCAAGCCGGAGTGCCACAGTGGGCTACTGATACAGTTCACTATTTGTATCATCTTCGGAGGGATGTAATGTTGACCAGTAGCTCTCCAGTTGAATGTTGCTCCTCGTTTGGACAAGCCAGCGTCTTGGGTTACCCCATTCCACCAGGATGAGAGCAGAGGAGCCGCATCCGAATGTCCCATCCGGTGTGTGTATCATCGTGCTGTCGTTTGTGTGAATGGTTTTATAGGTACTCAGCCTTGTTGGCTGTCTGCCTGGCAACGAGACGGAGCTGTCATCGTGACAAGTTGTTGAAGTTTGGGACTGGGTTTGACAATAAGACAGCATCAAATGACATCGATATTGCTGGGCATTAAAAGTTTGGGGGCCAGGGAAGGGGTTGACTCCCTCAAAAGGTTTCCGCTCCCAAACAATAGTGTTTCACAACGCGGAGTCCTATATGTTGAGCACCATGAGATCTCTCGACCCCAGCCTAGTGGGACGAAAGGACTGTGACACTGTACTGACAGTGGCTTGGTGCTTCAAGAAACACAGCTGGGACGTGTAGCCTGACATGAGGCAGCTCAACCCATACGAGCATTGAGCACTGGATGGATAAGTTTAGAGTCCAGCAAAAGGTGAAGATGATATAAACTAACGTAGACCACGCAGCAGGATGATTGTGCTAGGCAACTCGTCAACTGCCGCACAGGCATTTTTACTTAGTCCTCCAGACTGAGCCAAGAGCTCTTGAGGCATCTGTTGTTGTGATCATGAGCTCGGATACACAAACAGTCGGCCTCGTTCTTTCACACAAGCCCGGCACCGGCAAGCCAACAACCACTAAGCCGAGCGATCCCGGTCCATGGCCACTGGATACCGGTAAGCCACATTCTGATCTTTGGATGTTACATCCTGCGTTCCCCGTGGGGGAATAGTAACTTGTTCTTTGTGTATTGAAATAGCAATCCATGTTTTCTGTTTATGAACACTAATTCAGTCGTGCAGGCTATGGCCTCAAGATGCCAATTCCACAAATTGACTGTGCCGATTAGCATCACTCACTTCGCACCAGAACAATTGACGAATCATACTGGTTTGCACCTTTGGACACTCGAACCTGAAAAACTTAAATGGTCTCAGAGGAGAGTGGGACATGGTCACAGAGCGTTGATGAAAAGTGCATTTTTGTCGGAGGACATCCAGATTGTAACGACTCATTCATTACTTCGCCTCGACTTGGTGCTTTTCTTACCAGCTCATTGGGCAATTTTTCGGCAATTCTTACACTACTAATGTGAAATGATCCTTTTGGTTTATGACACTAAAGTATTATCAAACTTCATGACATCAGGACTTGGAATAACTACCACACTGGGGGATTGTTATCTTGCTCTTGGCTGCTGTAGGAAATCTGTGACAGCATGGTTGGAATACAATCATTTCAAAAGTTAATGCAGTTTGATGGAATGGTTAAGCTTATATGGCTATGATGGTATATTACCGAATGCTTTGAGTGATTCCCGCCGCGGAAGAGGGAGGGGTTGGAAGTGGGCTTGGCTGCTTCTGCTAACAGTTCCGCAGAAAAAGCTTGTTACACCCTCATAGCAGCGACCATGATTACTAGACCCTCCAGGAACTGAGTAACCTGTCAATGTGGAAACACAGGATCAAATGTGTCAGATAATCAGTGGACTATCACAGCATGGCTCGCATTCAGGCACACACAGAGCGCGGATGGTTCTCTGTGTCCTAGGTTTTAGGATCAAGATCCCCAGGCATCCGGGATCTTGTTAAAAGGAAATGCAGGGACATCATTCAAGAGGCGAGCCCCAACGAACAAGAGGCGGCATTTAGCTCTTAAAATGGTGGGAATATTACTCCGTGAATGCTGTGAATGCTTGCAGAGATAGAGGTTTTTAGGGCTCAGATTGCCTGGTTTGTGAGCAGTGAGACACCGAATAACCTCGCTGTTGATGCATTTGACAAGTACGGATATGAAAAACTACAAAAATTGGATACATGGGTAATTGCAAGATCTAGAGAAGCTCCTGGCCACGTTCTTGTGGTGTTGAGAGGGCCGCAAACCTGGGGACGCGTCGACTCGACCGAGCACCGTCTGGACTTGACGTTGCCGCCAGCTGATCGACAGGTGACAGCGACTGTCAGGATTTCATGGCGCCAAGCCAAAGGACCTGTTTTGGCTTGCCGAATCCCTGTTTCGGGGGCCCGCAACGCCCACACAAAAATCCAAAGGCGAAGCCAAAATTCGTTTAAACAACATCGAACTCGCAGCTTCTTGAACGACGCAATATACCTCACCTTTAGCAGATAATCTCCTAAAGGAAGACGGCCAAAATGTCCAAGATTACCGTCGGTATGTTGGTCCCGCCATAAACTATTATATTGGACACGTTTGCTGACGAATCCTTCCAGCCGGTGTGCGTCAGAACGTTGCTGAGCTGCTTGACTACAGCAACAATGTCAAGAAGCGCAACTTCCTGGAGACCGTCGAGCTGCAGATCGGTCTGAAGAACTATGACCCCCAGCGTGACAAGCGTACGTCTTTGAAAGCCAGAAATGCGATTCCAGCACGACCGGTCATCGACTGACCCGAATCCTTCTACCAGGTTTCTCTGGCACTGTCAAGCTGCCGACCGTCCCGCGCCCGAACATGAGCATCTGCATTCTCGGTGACCAGCACGACATTGACCGCGCCAAGCATGGCGGTATCGATGCCATGAGCGCCGATGATCTGAAGAAGCTTAACAAGAACAAGAAGCTCATCAAGAAGCTGGCTCGCAAGTATGATGCCTTCATTGCTTCTGAGAGCTTGATCAAGCAGATTCCCCGTCTGCTGGGCCCCGGTCTGTCCAAGGGTATGATAAGTTCCTCCGCCCCTCGATAACCTAGCAGCTAGCATTAACGTCGCGTTTCTCTATAGCCGGCAAGTTCCCAACCCCGGTCTCGCATTCTGATGACCTGAGCGCCAAGGTTAATGAGGTCAAGTCGACCGTCAAATTCCAGCTCAAGAAAGTCTTGTGCATGGGTGTTGCCGTTGGCAACGTCGGTATGACCCAGGAGCAGCTGGTGGCCAACATCATGCTGGCCATCAACTACCTGGTCTCTCTTTTGAAGAAGGGCTGGCAGAACGTTGGCAGTCTGACCATCAAGGCTACCATGTCTCCTCCCAAGCGCCTCTACTAAATGGGGTGATGGAGTGGCTCTGGGGGTCGGTTCAGATTTCACTGGGTTAGACATGATACCGTGAATACAATTGGGTCTTTCTTCGGTAATTTGATGCTATACGATACATGTTATGTGTGATATCTTCATATGCTTGCATACGTAAGACCTCCTGGGACAGGCTTTCCGATGTTCGATACTCGGTCAAGTGTTACCCATACCAGCAATGGCAAGGACGGCATGGAGTTCTTAGTGACAGAGACCTCAAGATTGAGTATAATCTCATATAGCATACAGTTACATTGGAATGGAGAAGGGGGGCGAAGCGTCGATTACTACAGCCCCGCATTGGTTCCCTAAGCCAAGCATGATGGAAATTGCCCAGCCACAGGCACACCTTGCGCCAAATACAATGAGAGGGAAAGCTAACTAGGATTTTTGAGCAGAAGTATGTCGTGACCACCCCACTGTCACGGATGTGGGTGTTATACCCGCGGCTGAAAAGAGGGAAGAGGTGGTCAAGCGGAAATTCGATGTCGGAGGCTGGGAACGGAGGAAAACCCATGGAGATCTCTGCGTTCACAGAAATCAGAATAACCCTCAGCGAGCCACGCTATGCGTGGAGCCACCTTTAGGCCAACTGACGACTATCTGCCCTCTTCGCATGGCGGCGTAGAGGGGTGGATGGTCACCGGCTGACGAGGAAAGAAAATAGAAAGGGTGAGGAAGTGAGGTCTGCAAAAGCAGATTTTTATGGGAACGGCCGGTGGGGTCTGTGCGTGGTGGAGTTTGCATGAAGTGAACCTGATTGGATTATGGGCTAGGGCTGTCGCTGAGAGCTTTTATATAGCGGCAGGGCCGGATGCGTTGTGTATGAATCGTGAGTCCTTTTCCCCCAACCAGCTGGAACCTGGAACCTGCCCGCTGCCGACAGAGAAAACTCCCTAGGAAAGGTTCAATGCATTGCATGCACGGGGTTGGAAGACATATGGTTTGAAAGAGCTCTGTTTATGCTGAACTACGGAAGGTTCCAAAGAGAAATCGAACATTCGCTAGAGATCCGATGGGCATCATGACTAGGTCTGAGCCCAGAATCCTCACAACCAACCTCTTCATCAGCTTCATTTTTTAAAGTTTAGTCCCTCGTCTATTGCCACGCGATTTCACATAGATCTCCTATATTCTTTACATTTTTGGTGGTACCCACCAACCCTCGACCACAGCTGTGATTAACCGGTTTGCGATCGCCGTCTGCGGGGGCAAACGCAGTGCACCCTCAACGTATCCCTCAGGAGGGGCGTCGCCCATGTTGCTTGCCCCTTTAAGGAGAGCTTCCTTGACTTCCTCGAGGGGAAACCATTTTGCACACTCGAGTTCAGCATCATGCCCCAGATAGATCTCCTCACCGTCGGGCAGCGCCTGCGCAATGGCGCCGATCATTAGGCTGGCCGGGAACGGCCAGGGCTGTGAGCTGTGTAAGATAACACGACCCACGCGCACGCCGCTCTCCTCCCAAACCTCACGGCGCACTGCTTCCTCGATCGACTCTCCGGGCTCCTGGAAGCCGGCCAGTGTGCTGAACCAGTACTTGGGCCAGCGACGCTGGCGGCCCAGCAGGACTTTTGTGCCGTCGGCACTGATGACTGCCATGATCACGGTCGGGTCGGTGCGCGGGAAGCTGTGGTTGGAGACGACGCCGCGCGTAGCGCACGGCTTACGTTCTCGCACCACGCCGCCGGCACGATCAGTTGGGGGGCACACTCTCTTCGTGCCGGCATGAACCGACAATGTAGGCTGGCCGCACTGCGCGCAAAATGGGGTACGGTTGTTCCAGTCGATCAAGGCTCTGGCATGGCCATACATCGCCGCTGGGAGACTTCCATCAGTGTCTTTGTTATCACAAAAGCCTGGGTGAGTTTCTTTTGGGTATGTATGAGGCTACTTACCCTGCCTGGCACGCAGGCCCATGTGTCTTGGTGAGCTGTCATAAAAAACATAGCCCTTCCCCTTCATGGCTTCTATCAACGCCGTCGCCGCATCTGCAAGCTTTCCCCTCGGAGTCACATCAATCGCGAAATACGGCGCCCCCTTGAACTCCTTATAAGTGAAAGGCTCGCCTGCTTCGCTGTCGTCCAAAGGCAGTTCCCCCGCCTCATTGATGCCCAGAAACACGATTAGCGCCCGCTCTTCCTCTGAGTCATAGTCTCTGATCATTTCCTCCTCGGTTTTAGCAAATGGATCGGTCCCAGTCAGTAGGGTCACATCCGCGTTTGTTGCAAAGGCAAGTTGGGCCGTGTCTGAAGCATGGACAAGGGGAGCCAGGTTGTTCATGAGCAGGAAGCGGGCTTGAGAGTGTGCGAAGGCCGCCTGCAGGAACTTCTGGTCATCACGGAGGAAAGAAACCCGATTCAGGGGGCTTCCTGAGAAGTAGTTTATCGTCTCACGGCCAAACTTCCGGGAGAGGAGCGAGTCCTCGGTCGGCAAGTTAGGCAGGTCTGGGGCTGGCATGATGGGATATGGGGACGGGGTCGATGAGCTGAGGAATAAGCAATAACAGGTTGAGAACGCCAGAGAGAGACGTGCCTAGATGTCCTTTGCCAGAAGAACTTGTTGGTCCAGTTGTAAAGTGCTCGAGAACGGCCTATGACTCCTATAGGCCCGTAGATGAAATTGATATGTTTCATCAAGTGACTCCGGGAGCTGGGAGTCACCATCGGCCGTCGCCGTCGCTTTTTCTACTATTTTGGCGGGGGCGGGGGACACTTAGCTCCACCGCTGCGAGCGATTGCATGCTGAGTAATTGCGGGCACCGGCTATGCTCAGTGATCCAACCTCAACCTGCTAGGGAGAGGTGCCAGTCTTCCTTGACTCTTTATAATCACTCACATAAGTGCTGGCGATTGTAATTTGCTGCGTTGTTGCCAATCCCCGTCGTTGTTGTCTTGACTTGTGGTAAAAGCACGCAACCTACCCAACCCGAACCCTGGATCAGGCCAAACGTCGTTATCAAGTAGATTTTGTGTTTCGCCGTCCAGCATCGCAACCACCTGTCTCCAGTGTTAAGACTCCATGAGCTGCACAGCCGCTCCTTAACTGGTGCGACCCGGCAGCCATGACAATAAAACTCGGGCTTTTTAGAGGCCTTGGTAGGCCATTGCTACGACCGATTCAGCAACATGGATCTCTGTGTACTCCTAGAATAAAGAGAACATTTGCGACAGTCGAAGACGACTTCAATGCGAGGTTCGCCCCCCACATGATTTAGACCTGCTCTTGCGCTAGCGCTTAGCCCATTTACGCTGTCTAACTTTTTCTCTATGAAAGGAACTTCGATGTCATTGTCGTTGGTGGTGGTCATGCCGGCTCGGAAGCAAGCGCTGCCGCTGCGCGTGCTGGCGCTCGTACTGCTCTCATCACCCCCGATATCAACAATCTCGGCGTCTGCTCGTGCAACCCAAGTTTTGGTGGCATCGGAAAGGGCACCATCTTACGGGAGATTGACGCGCTAGATGGATTGGCTGGGCGGATAATTGACAAGGCTGGCGTACAGTTCAGGGTGTTGAACCGCAAGAAGGGTCCTGCTGTCTGGGGTCCCCGAGCGCAGATCGACCGCTCTCTGTACAAAAAGTACATGCGCGAGGAGCTGCAGTCATATCCTAACTTGTCTGTCATTCTCGGCCGCGTCTCCGATATCGTCACTGCCGATGCACATGACGACCCTAACGCTGATGGTGCAAAGAGCAAGATTACAGGCATCCGCCTGGAGTCGGGCGAAACGCTCACCACAAACCAGGTTGTAATTACGACAGGCACCTTTTTGGGAGGCGAGATTCATATTGGCCTCGAGTCATGGCCCTCTGGTCGGATTGGTGAGCCTCCAACCTACGGTCTGAGTAAGTCGTTGCGCGCAGCGGGCTTTAAGCTTGGCCGACTCAAGACAGGCACTCCCCCCCGGTTACACAAAAACAGCATCAAGTGGAACATTTTGGAACCGCAGGCGGGTGATGAGCCCCCGGTGCCTTTCAGTTACATGGATGACGAGGTTGCCGTTAAGGACCAGCTACTCTGCTATGCGACATACACCAATACTGCTACTCACGACATTGTTCGTGCCAACCTAGACAAAACTATCCATATCCGCGAGACTGTTAAGGGGCCACGGTACTGCCCCTCGCTCGAGTCGAAGATAATTCGGTTCGGTGACCGTGAGCGCCATATTGTCTGGCTCGAGCCCGAAGGCTTCGATACCGATGTCATCTATCCAAATGGTCTCAGCATGACAGTTCCTGCCCAAGCCCAGGAGCAGCTCCTCCGGACGATCCGTGGCCTTGAGGACGTGGTCATGTTGCAACCAGGCTATGGCGTCGAGTATGATTATGTCGACCCGCGCAGCCTCAAGCGCTCACTCGAGACCAAGGCCATCAGAGGTTTGTGGTTGGCCGGCCAGATTAATGGCACGACTGGCTATGAAGAAGCTGCTGGGCAGGGTATTCTCGCTGGCATTAATGCAGGCCGTGCCTCGAAGGGTCTGCCACCCATTACCCTCTCTCGTGCTGACGCCTATATCGGCATCATGATCGACGACCTCATCACCAAGGGCGTCTCCGAACCCTACCGCATGTTCACCTCCCGCAGCGAGTTCCGGCTGTCTGCCCGTCCAGACAATGCCGACGTGCGCCTTACTCCTCTCGGTCGTGAGGCCGGCGTAGTGTCAGACGCGCGCTGGTCGCGGTTTTCCGACGACCGGGCATGTGCCGAGCACCTCTTGCGCCTACTACGCAAGACGTCCTTGACCGTGAGCCAGTGGCGTGCCGCCGGCCTGCCGATCAACCCCGTCCGCGACGAGACCCGCCGCCGTGACGGGTTTGAGGCGTTGCGCATGCCTGGCGTCCAGCCATCGCATCTGCGTCTCATCCTCCCCTTCCTTAAAAACCACTCTTCCCTGTCAGCTGCCTCGGCAGATTTCCCCGACCGCATTATCGACCGCGTCGCTATCGAAGCCGTTTACGAGCCTTATGTTCGCATGCAGGAAAGTGAAGCGGCACGGCTACGTCGCGATGAGGGCTTGTGCTTGCCTCCTGATCTGGATTACGATTCCGTCTTTGGGCTGTCGATCGTCGAAAAGCAGGTGCTCAAGGAGGCGCGGCCGGAGAACATTGCTCAGGCGAAGAGGATTGAGGGTGTCACGCCCGCAGGTCTTGTCAGACTGCTAAAGTATACGACGAGGGGCTCTTCGTGGGATAAGAGTTCGGCGGAGAGTGTGGTGGTTGAGGGTCTGGATATGAGCGGGGTTGAAGATCTGGAAGCTCTGGATGCCAGAAGTCGGGTTGAGGATATGAAAGGACTGTAAATGTATGATAAGCAGATCACTGCTCACGATGCATTGCTTTATAGTGGATCTTGTTTCACATTCTGGCGGCGTATGGAGAGTATAAAGGCGCTGAGAACGGATATGGTTGTTTTGGGGATCGGGTTGTTGTCATTCAGCAATAGATTTTGACTATATATCTCCCTGCTTCCCATGCCACTGGAATGTGCATTTACCAAGTTTCATCTGGTGGCACCTCGGTGCCTTAGGAAACTGTACCCAGTGACTGACCGGTTTTTACCCTTCTATTTACTTATATACCGACCTTGCTTTCATAGCAAACATGGTAATGTTACAAATTCCACTTGGGTTATTTTTCGCAACCCTTGTACTGCTAATGAGCAAGAGTATCGATAATGGAACGAGACGTTTATTTTCTCTCGTTCGTCCTGTCAGTGTTCTGATCTTCCGGCTGCGTCAAGATCCTGACAGCATCTTTGTTATAGACGTAACTGGCACCGCTCCAGATAGTTGTCGCAGCAACAACATACCTTTTACCATCAGGTCAGCCATGAACACGAACGGACGCGTAAGACGATACGGGAATAGACATACTGCATCACACCCAGGGGTGTGCTCAGATCAACTGATGGGATAACGGGAGCGACCGTGGTCATCCCCATCAAGCCCAGCTGGAGCGCTGTATTGTACTTGCTGATCATCGTGGGACGAACCTCAGCAGAGGGAAGTGAAAAGTCCCAGTAGCGGGCAAAAGTCTTGGGTGGAGGAAGCGAAATCCAACGGAAATAAAGGGCTGAAACGGCCAGGCTGATGTCGCGGCCTAAGATGATGACAGCAAGCCAGACTGTCCGCATTGCACATGTCAGCTTCATGGAAACTTCCCAGAGCAGAACAGGTTCACATTGTATGTGAGCTTACGTGGGAGGGCACCCTTCATGGCCAACGCAACAGTAAGCACAGTCATGAGGGTCTTATCCGCCATGGGATCGATGACGGTACCAACAACAGTCTTCAGATTCCAGCGCCGCGCGATCCAGCCGTCCAGCAAATCCGTGATGCCAGCATAGGCGAACAGGCTCAACGCTGTGGTGTGATAGTCATGGATGATGCAGTAGCCAATGAAAGGCGCCGCAACCAGGCGTGAGGCCGTCAACATATTCGGGAGAGTGTATATATTCTCGCGTAATGTCGTGTCAGCGACACCCTTGGGAAGAACCTTGCGCAGGGTTTGTTTTGTTTTGGTTGTGGCTTCATCATGTTCCTGTCCCGCAGTCTGTTTGGTCTGTCGTGCTGGAAAGGTCTGGAATAGCCTCGGGTATGTGATTGTATCTCCAATGGGGCCATTTCCTCCGCGAACAAGATGGCGAGCAACTACGCCGCTCCAGGCACCAGTTGCTGTCCCAAGATATATCCTATTCACACCCTCGCCATGGCGCACTCTGATCGTGGAGGAAGTGAGACTGAGCGAGCGCACGAATGGCGCACTACATGCTGTGGCTGCTCGATAATACATTATGTGATGTGTGCAATTGCCAGGAAGCTCGGTATAACGCACCGGCTACCTATGCATGATAGAGACAGATAGGTGCGCGGCGGTCCTGCCAATGGGGTTGAAAAGCCGACAGTCCTCCTCGGGCCGAATTGGGTTGAGTCGAATCGAAGACTTGTTCACCTGTTTGCGAGCGCAATGGCGTGATGTATGAGTTTGTTATTCCATCCCGTGTAGCAGGTAGAGTGGGGACGGAAAGAAAAGTCGTGTGGTGGAGGAGAGGAGGGTTGAGAGGATTGAGAAGTGAGGTGAAAGTAGTGTAGCTGAAACTTAAGGGCCCTCGACAAGTGAGCAAGGTCGCAATGCCTCTCACAATGTATCTCACTCTCGCAGCTCCCCGTTGGGACTGGGACCTTTCACCTGAAGCCGGCTGTTGCGAAAAAAAAAGACAGGGGGAAAGTGGGTCGGCAAGGGGGTTTGCTATGCCAAGCCGACTAGTCCCGCTTCCCCACGTGGGACCCTCCCGCTCCGCAGCTTGGCATTCGCTGTCCAGAGAGCCGCAACATCAATCTCAAGAGGAAACTTTGGGGGGAATGCTGTAAACTAGCCAAGAAGTTACTTGAAAAATTAAGATCTTTCCATTGTGCTCATGAGATGCGTTAATCGACATGACCAAACCCAGAACGTCCAAATGTCTCGCGAACCATCGACTGCCAGGTTCTCGGATTCTCATGCATCAATTAATTCGAAAAAGACCACTTAACAACTGAACCAAGGCGTGTCTGCATCCGACGCATTTGGTCCGGTCCTGAACGGCCGGCTCGGCCATTGCAGCGGAATTGGGATCCAATTTGACGACTGTTCGTCATCTCTTGCCGATCCTGGGATAATCACACCACACTCCCTATATTCCAGCAATTAGTCTCCTTAAACAACTCACAGGGTATTTCAAAGTGAGCACAGAAACACACCAGTTCCGACACATCATTTTAGGCCTCCCCGTGGTGCGGTCTTTGATGAGCCGACCCCTGTGTAAAGGTTCAGGATTAGTCATTCTAATTCCATGGGAAATGCAAGGGCAGCATAGTGTCACTTATCACTTACCAAGCGCTCTCTGAAAGGTTGGCACTCCCGACATAAGCCCAGCGAACGCTCGTTGGAGATAAAGGCTTATTCCGATCCCGCACGTAGATAAGCTTGCTGTGCATTAGCAGGCCCTCCCGGACAGACTTGCAGTCGTGGAAGAGTTCTCTGGGGAAGAAACGGTCCTGCCACCATTTCTCCTGGAAGCAGATAGTCCCGGCACCCTAAAGAATTCGGTCAGCGGTGAACTGAAGAATTGATGTTGAGTAATTTCAAGATAACAACATACATCAGGGCCCCCTGTGCTTTTTATGACTGTTTCGCGAGAGGGGAAATAGACTTTCATATTGGTTCGAGTGAGGGCGGTGAGGGCTTCTTGGGTTTCGCCATGGTTGGACAATCGGTACCGTCGATTGTACTCTTCCAAGCCAGAATCACCTGTCTACAGTCAGAATCCAACTAAAACCCAGTGACAAAGGTTGGTAGCCCGTACCTTTACATGCTAAGTGTAAGGCACTGAGGAAGCTATAAGTGAGATTCCCAATGGAAGCAGCCTACAGCTTTGTCAGAATCATGTATTTAGTTGAATCTAGGTGTTATACTGACAACTATGTCGATTTGCACATCCTCATGAGTAGCAAGGCCAAGGGTGCCAACTGCTCTACCGAGACCACAATATCCTGGTACGGGGCTAGTCAGTAAGCTTGGATTTCCTAGTTAAACAATTTAGTGTAGGTATCTGTACCTATTCTCTTCCAGTCATCCTCAAAATTGTGAGTACCCGGGCTAAAAGAGACGGTTATGTTAGCTTCAACAGGAAACCTTAATGCAGCAATCAAGGGATACTCACATGGTGCATACGAAACCATACCGGCGAGTTTCTGAGAAGTCGTAGTTGAGCAAGCTATCCACGAGCCTATCGTCCATCTTTTGAGCCCGCAGGAAATAAAACAACTCCTCAGCGAAAGGGGTGAGTTGCTGAGCATCGCGATGTTCGCGGGTTTCAAATTTGGGCAGGTCAATGATGAAGACCATCTGCCCGCAGCTGCTCGTCAGCCTGTTTTCAGTTGAGCAATTGATCATGTCCACGTACATTCTCCATCGTTCCGGTCTCGCCCCAGTCATACGACATGAAATTCCCGGTTGGCACCACGATGCGGAGAAACTTCTCAAACTTGAGCAGCATCAGTTTGGAGTGCATCGACCCCATGGGCCCCATGGGAGGGAAGCAGAACCGGATGCGGTCGCGCGGCACATTGTTCCTTATCTCCTCTTTCTGACGTTCGTCTGCCGCAAACGCCACCAGAACCAGCTTCGTACGGGAGATGTCGATTCGCCGCAGAAGCCAGTCCTCGTCCCACTGGAATGAGCTAACCACTGCCAGCAGCAACCGGTCTTTGAGCAGAACCTCCTCGATGCGGATGTCATCACCTGTGCGCTGCTGGCCGAAAACCCACGTGCGCTTGACAGTGCCGTAGGGGAACTGCAGGCCCAAGGCCCGGTGTTGAGCTGCCAGCAGGCGAAGGTCACGGCTAGGCTCGGGAACTGCAGTTTCAGCATCGGCATGGCTAATCTTGGCAGCTGTAGAGGACGTGGCCGTGGCAGTAAACTGAGAGTCGGGGTTTGCCAAGTGCCCTTTGTCTTTCTGTTCCGTTTTGCGACGGACAGCTTCTCTTTCGCTCTCTTGGTGAGCGCAGTCATCACATAGCTCGACTGCTTTGCGTTTCTGAATCCGTGCTAAACGCTCTTCCTCCATCTTTTTACGGTCCAGACCAAGAGTTTCGAATATGCTTCTTGATGGTGCTTGCGAGGCAGTGGCTGCGGATGCAGGAGATTGTGCTTTGCGTGGCGCTGGTATTGGGGATGCCGATTGTAGATTTGTTGGCCGGCTGGTAGATATTTCTGCTTGAAAGTTGCCGCTATCTGTAGTAGCAGTTCCACACTCATCATCTTCTGTTAGGTCAATAATCTGTTTATCCGGTTGTTGGCCAATGGATAGGGCGATGGCAATACGCAAAGCTTCCTCCTCATCTTCGATGCCGTTGTAATCCTCTAACAGATGGTTGTCCATGAAGTCTTGTGTAAAAGATCTGCCAAAGTACAGAAGTGAGCAGATTTCAGGAAAAGGAAGCGAAGAGAATGTCTGCTTCTGTCGCTGAAAGACGGTAATTAAATGGGCGAAAAGGTTATCATTCAAAGTTGTCTCGGTGACGCGGTGAGCCAGTGGAAAGCGCCGTGCTGTGACGCGAAGTCATGTGATTTAAGGACAAAAAATAACTTTGAGCTCAATACTTAAGAGGACCTCATTTTTCAAGACATCACGAACTTCAATCCGCGCTACTTGAATCGCTTTCATGAGAGCCACAGAAACTAGCACTAAATGGGAAAGATATTATGTGTATTCTGGCTTTTAGAACTAGAATATGCTTCTAATCTAGGTGAGTAGTACTTGACCATCGCCGAATCCACACAATATGTTTCCCAAATTTTCTTTTTCTTTTTTTTCCTTCTTGATGTGTAATATATGCCGATGATGCCAACTGATGCGATGCAATGGTGTTGCGGTGAAGTGAGATGCGCTCCCCAAAGTCGTTCCGTCCGTCAAGCCGAGGAAAATCAGCTTCGTCGTAAGAGAGTGAGTGTGTCAGACCCGAAGGAGAACCGTTTCCAAGACACCGGCCATGTATGAATGAGTTGTTGCCCATCCCATCGCCTCTAGAAGTCCCGTTGCCCTCGTCCCAAGCCCCGATCCCTTTCCCAGAAAAAAACCCAGAAAAAGAACCCAGAAAGCCCCAGAGCAAAGACAAACGGCCTCCCGTATTGGAGCACTTCCATTGCAGGCCCAACTCCGGTTTTCCCTAAACCCGAAACCAAACCTTCCCAGCCCGCGAGAGCCCAAACCAACCGACCAGTCAAGGGGGTATCCGCTGAAAAACGAAACCATAATCCTTTGATGAAAGCAGCCAGATGGGACAACACTCCCGCCCATGCCCAGAAACATGCCCAAATGTAGTAAAAAACAGGAGATAAGACAAACAGAAAAGAAGACATGGCTTGCCGCCGGGGCGGTGATAAGACATGAGCCGACATGAACTAAATGCATCCTCCACCGCATAAGATCCGGGAAATCCCCACATATCCATCTGCCCCTGACCAACGCTTCTACTTGCTAAAGAGAAGGAGCCCGTATTCATTAACTACGCGCTTCAGATTCGGAACCCAGTCCCTTAGTTTGTGAGTGGCGATGGTCGAAGATGGACCGGGACCAACCCAGAACATCGAAAGAGAATGCTGGTATTAAGTATGAGAGAGAGAAAGAGGAAGAGCTGAGAAGTCAAGATAGAAGGTCCTAGGCTGCTGGCGATGATGGAAATGGGGGCTGCAATGCTCGCCAGTGCACGCCCATGTTATGCGACAACCAAACGCACAATGCAAACCAGCTTGCTATGCCCTCTCTTCGCCTGAAGCCCCCTCTTCGCCCGAAATGCCATCCCCTAACGCCAATGATAGAAACAGAAAGAGCAAAAGCGTAGAATATAAAAAGAGTTATGAAACCTAGAACCCCAGATCCAATAAAATAAGTAAATGCGAGTATCGATTTGCAAAGCAAGCTGTCCGAGCAAATCTATAATGCAGGCGGACATGGCGGGGCAAAGGTGTGGCTCAAAACCTCTGCTGGGGTATATGATGATTTGGGCTGTTGTTCACTGGATGTGGCGATTCTCCTCCTTGGCCATTTGTGGAATGGCATTCCCCGAGTCGAGCTTCAGGATCCGGCGCAGACTGTCCTCCATCTGTCTAATATCTGGCGAGCGGCTTGTGATAGATTCAGAACCCATTGCCGAGGTCGAGACAGCAGATGCTGATGGTACTGAACTCGTCGAGCTGGGAGTAATCTGAGCAGGAGCAAACAGAAATGGTGGCGATAACTGTTGAGGCTGCTGCTGGACGCCATTCTGGCCCTGGACCGGGGAAATTGCAAGAAAGCGCTTGAGTTTTTCAGTGAGCTCCGAAGTCGAGGCCGGTTGTTCAGTCGGGACATGTGATTGGGCGACTGCCGGCACAGGAGCTGGTGCCCGTTGCTGCTGATCCGAGGCTCGTGCTGCCCGAATTCGTTCCTGATATGGTGTTGCAAAAGCCGGGCCTAGGGGTCTGCCGGGGGTGCCGTCCAACTCGCTGATTGAAATGCCGGATGAAGGATTCCGCTGGTATCCCGGCCGACGATCGCGCCCATTGCCAAACAACCCATTCGGAACCGTCCTAGGCTCGGATGGAGAGTTGACATGAGCTGCGGGAGAGTGGAAGCCCGGGGTAGAGGCGTAGATATTAGCCGAGCTCGCCCGCCGCGCACGCTCCTTCTCAGCCCTGTCTGCGCGGAAAAATATGTCCAAGGGCGACTCTTCGTGGGCGTTGTATGCCGTCAGAACACGATGTTGAGGGGTAGGAGCAGCCTCCGTGTCGGTAGCCGGGGGCGATGGCTCTCGTCCGGCACGGCTTGCAGCCTGAACTGAAGGGGAATCCAAGGCCTTGGAGAGAAAGCTTGGGATTGGAAGCGAGGACGGTGCGGGAGATGCATGGAAGGTTCCGCCAGCAAAAGCCTGTGCTGCAGCCGGCTTGGACGGAGCCGTGTTTGGAGGTGTGGTCCTACCCTGCCTGGAGGGGCCTGGCGAGGTCACCTGCCTCGGACGCGACTTGTTGCCATTCCGAGGCTTCGACTTGGCCTGGGCTGGCTGGGATGAGAGTGCCGGGGAATTGGCTACCGACTTCTTGGGGGTAAACGGCTCGAGGGGAAACGAAGGCTCGCAGCTGGGGATGTCGTTCTCGGAGGCATAGTTCTTGCGAGCCGCTGGGGAATTGACGGACCGCTTTGCACGTCGCCGAGCAGACGCATTCTTTTGAGCGGGGGTTTGCTGCGATTCCATGTCTCGTTGGTCTATAGAGGCGACATAAAGTAGCAGGCACGAGATGGCTCGAGGAGAGGTGTCGGATGAAGCGTGGGAGGTTACGAGGGAGTAGAGGGAGGAAGAGGGGGTGCAAGCAGGGCGGAGAGGTGTCCTTGCCTATGACTCTCGTTGCAAACGCCTGGTAATGTTGGTTGTTTGGGTCGGCCGCAGAGCAACGTGCTGATGGAGCCTATGGAGGGCAAAGAAAGGCGGACGAAAAAGCAATGTTGTAGAGGACAGATGATCGTAGGAGGACTGTTCTTCTAAAGGATGCAAAATATTCTGTTCGGCCGTTCTTTCTGCCAGCATATTCGGGTTCTTTGAAGTCTGGTCTCGGGGAGGTGGGGAGATTTTCGTCCATAAGGAGGTGAGTCGCGATGGAGCAGCCCGGCGAGGCTGGGGCCCTGGGAGGATGGGGCAGAGATGGCTTGGCACTGCTGAAAGCGGGTCCGGCCCTCTGAGATGCTGTGGTGGCTGTGACACCCTCTGTCGCTGGCGCCCGACCCGTCCCAGTGTGGTCCAGCGAGCACAGTGCCTGTCCAACAGCAGTCATGCGGCCCTTGGAGCGGGGCGACCGCGGGGCTGCTGACTTGGCGCCTTGGCTACAGCAATGTGTTTGCTGCTGGGCCCTCTGGAGGCTTCCTCTCCGACCTCTGGACGGAAGACCACAACACCCAGCCGGGGAACAACCAAGTAGATTAGGATCTGGAGATACTTGTATAAACAATACGTAAATACTCATGTAAAAGCCGGTTGAACAGATCTGACAAATTTCAAAAAAGTGCTGCATAACACTGTTCCATTAAAGCGCAGGTTCGCTGGCTGATGTCATTACCCCCATGCAAAGAGCCTGTCTGCCCGCCCAGGTGGGAAAAGCGGAGACTGACTCTGGCAACTAAGACCAGGCCGCTTGCTAGGAACCTGGAAACCAGCGAACCGCAGGCCAAGAATATCCGGTCTGCCTGAGCCAACGCGCGCTCCTATTCATCAGCTCGAGAACGACGTCGTCACTGAATCTTTACCGATCAAACAGCCAATCCACGCTCGGTTTGCCGACTGAGTTTTGCTCCTGTCCAACCTGCTCCGTGCCCACTGCAGCCAACTAACTGCACACCACCCGGGGCCATGGCCGATGTCGATATGCCCGATGCGCCTAGCGCCGCGCCCCTCGCAAAGAAGAAAGGTGCCGACGGCGAGGGCAAGAAACGCTTTGAAGTGAAGAAGGTTGAGCTGCCACGGGTGTGCTTTAGACTTGGCGTTGTATCACGGCACTAACTGCGCTTTTTCATAGTGGAATGCCGTCGCGCTCTGGGCCTGGGACATTGTCGTCGATAACTGCGCCATCTGCCGAAATCACATCATGGATCTCTGTATGTAGTGCTGCCCTGTAACCTTGGTCCAATCTCCGGCTAACATCTCTTCCTCACAGGCATAGAATGTCAAGCCAACCAGGCATCTGCCACAAGCGAAGAATGCACTGTTGCGTGGGGCATTTGCAATGTGAGACCATACTTCTCAGCCCTGACGAAAGCGGAGGTTGCTGGTTGCTAATGTGTTTACAGCATGCGTTCCATTTCCACTGTATTTCTAGGTGGCTCAAGGCTCGCCAAGTCTGCCCGCTTGACAACAGAGATTGGGAGTTTCAGAAATATGGCAGGTAGACAAAGTGTTGGGGTTTGTGGATGGCATGGGTTTATTGGGATGGTGGGGGGCTGGCATTGCGCTCGTCACGACCGGCAACGTACTCTGGTGGAAGTACTGGCAAGGTGATCTGGGATGTCCGGCAACTTGGTAATCATTGCAGGTTTGCCAATAGATGGCAAGTCTTGGTGAATCAAGAACAGAACACAACACGCGGCTACTAGTGTCCACACACAACGATCGGTATTCTTCAATTGCTATTACTCGCTCCCAACCCACGGCGAAATCTACTTCAGCATTTTCTCGTCGATCACTAAGTTTACTGGAGGTGCGACTACGGCGACTGGCAGCCAGTTGATGGGGTTCTTGTTGAAGAAAGGCCAGGGAGGGACGACGATAAGAAAGACCGCTGCGGTGCCAACAAGGCCGAGATAGACGGCCAATTTGATGTCCTGTAGTAGCCAACCGGCAAGGAAAGCGATCGCCTAGGTATTGCAGGTCGTCGTCAGTTGGTTGGGTCTGGCCAACGGCGCGGAGTAGATCTGCAACACAACATACCCCAACAAGACTCAACGCGAAATTGACGATACGCTCAGCCAGTTTCTGACCTTCGAAATCCTGTATTGGCGGTAACTATCAGTATCTTCATGGTGAAATGTCTTGAGGAGTGAAAACGACTGCCACGAACAATCTTGCCCTCAACGACGTCACGGAGCTGATCGAGTAGCTGGTCTGCCATTGTGATGTAATGCAGGCAGGCAGCTCGTATGCCGATAGAAGCAATATATAACAAATGTTGTTGCCGTTGTATCGAAGACGTTCAAGGTTTGTGATGGAGCTTCAGTGGGGGATATGTATGATATGCACTCGAGGATGTAGGTAGTCAAAAAACGTGGCTTCAATCCTCGGAAGCCGACCACCGACAAGCAAGGCCCTGTCCTTCAGGCCGCTCATCCCTTCGGAGCTATCCGTGTCAGTCCCGAGCCAGCTGTCGCCATGCAGTCAACAGCCCTTATTTCAGCGAATCACCACCTGGGCACCCAGATCTAGGCCCCGTAGAAGCGGGTCAGAACCCTGACAGGGGCCCTTGCTAGGCCTATTCTTGTCAGTGGTACCTGACCCCCAGCAGCCTACGTACCGCCATGCAGCTCAATCCCATTTGGATGTCAATATGCATCATTGTCGCGATGTTGTTAGGAGGCAAAACCATTTTCCTATCACAATCTGAATCAGACTTGAAAGAACAGACTCCAGCGTTCCATCTGCTGAGAGGCCTTAGGGGGTCAGATTATTTGTAGTGACGATGCAGCACAGCTTTGAATACCCGAGCAGCAGGGCGCCTGCCCGATGACTAAAAACAACTGGACTGGGGGGCGCGCTAAAGGGCCAAACTTTTCCAAGGCCCGTTCTCAGGGAAAGCCCTCTTTAGCTCCAACACCAACCGCCACCCGTTTTACTCCTTATTTTTTTTCATGTGAAAGTCGGACTGCAACAACACGACCTGTTGAAGCGCTCCAAGGTCCGACGGCGTCGACTCTCAGTCCTTCCTGTCTTATCCTGTCTTCACACTTAACTGGAGAGTGACTGCAATCTCCCGGAATTGTCCCAAGTCTCGCTTCGCCCTTCTCGAATTTTCACGACCCTCTCAAGTGGCGCGATCCACCAAAACCCGGATCATCAAGCAGATCATCTGTCGTACCCCTCGATAAAAACTCTTACTTTATCCTATACGAGCAGCTTCATTCAGCAACGCTCATCTTCATACAGCGCACCAGTTGATACTGAACCATAACTGTCGCGTCTGCTCTGACTGTGCGCCCGTTTTGCGACCAGCTCTTGGACCCCCTAATTACCCCCAGCCCTGACTAGCTTGGTTAGGCCTCGACATCTACCCACCCGACCGACAAGACAACCACCTCAGTGGCGTTGGCATATCGGATTTCGACTCCCCAACGCCCCCAATCACCTTGTGTTCACGGTCATCCGCCGTATCTTCTCCAGACCACCAAGTTGGCGGGCTCTAGCCGGGCAAAGTCATCGTCTTCTCGTTCACTCCTCGGACCTCAACTGGTCTACAGCGGAGTGAACAAGCAGCCCCCGTAACTGGTCTTCGTGCGATTTCAGCATCCGAGTTTGAACGCCATCCAGTCTCGATCTGTTTCCGGCGACCTGCCTATTTTTCATCCAAGGCCATTGGGTGAAACCATCATTTGATCACAACGTTGATCAATTGCTACAGCCTAACGACCACCCAGTGCGGACGGCTCCGAGCCGTTCGCTGCCATCCGCTGGTGAACTAGGCGAGTCTCACTCGCGACAATATGACTGACGGCTAAGTCGTCAGGAAGCGCGCTTCGGGCTGTGTTTCAAGCCTGTGCCTCGGGGAGAGTGAAGGATATCAGCACCAGCACTTGGACTGGCTGAGGAGACAAGACAAAGCAGCGAGAAGGTTGGCAAAAAGCTTGTAACGATGTCCGACCAGGAGGAATACGTTGGCAACTCGGGGTATTCGACCCCTGTCCCCGAGCTGGACGATCATCGAAAGCAGTCAATGTCGGTCCAGCGGCCTGATCGCGCACGACGAGGCACCTTTGACTCATTGTACGGAGCACGCCAACAGGCCGCTGAGCTCGCTGGCGAGCCAAGAGTTCGGGACTTCGAGGAAGCGGTCATTGACGAGGAGGGTGGGGACCTGTCTCCGACCATGCGCCGGGCAAGGCGTCCAACTATCGAAACCGTATCGGACCGCTCGCTCTCGCCGCCCAATTCGGTCAAGGCTTTCGCCGAGGCCCGCCGGCGGGAACGTGAAATGTCCATTTCTGAGCAACAGAGGCCGGAACGCAAGAATGAGGAGCATACCGAGCTTCAACGGACCACCTCCATTGCAAGTCGCCACAGCTATCGCAGCAGACAGCATACTGTTGCGACCATTGACGCCGCTAGCCTTGCTACTAACAAGTCTGCGGAAGAGGATGTGTGCTTCCCTGTCCAGGACGAACAACGGGGGGACCGGCTACATATTGATTTCGATTACCTCGAGAACTTCATCAGGGCTGAGAGCGAAGCTCGTCGAGTCCGCCGCCCCTCTACCGTCCGCGCGTTTCCCGATTTACGCCCTCAATCGGAGGCCAATGAGACTGAAGCCGCTATCCCCATGGTCACCCTGGATGGCGACATCCTGACCACTCCGTCCGAGACCAAGAGTCATCAGGAGCGGCCTGTCGAGGGGGAGGCTCAAGAGGAGGAGCTACGTCTCCAGCCACCTCCCGTGGATCAAAGCCGTGTGAGTTTTTTCTCTTCGGCCTGGGAGTCAACTATCCACGCTGCAGACCTGGAAGGCCTTATCCTGCCTGGAGAGGACATTCGCGGGCTCTTCACTTTTCCCAAGGGGGAGGTCGACGGCGTTTGGTGGCTGAACATGAACAAGCCATCGGAGGAGGAAGTGCGCGCTATTTGCCGGGCCTTTGGTATCCATCCCTTGACGGCAGAAGATATTACGACTCAAGAGTCCCGCGAAAAGATTGAACTTTTCCCGTCCTACTACTTTGCATGCTTCCGGTCCTTCTATATCGAGGTTGATGAGGCCACCCAGGAAAAGGAGTTCGTTCCGTTCAACATCTATGTGGTTGTTTTCCGTGAGGGCACGCTGAGCTTCAGTTATGCCAACAACTCTCACGCGTCCCATGTTAGGAAGAGGATCACCATGCTGAAGGACTATGTCTCGCTGAGCAGCGACTGGATCTGCTACGCTTTGATGTGAGTCAGACCGTACCCTTCTCTGTTTATGCGACAGGAGCTAACTGTCCTTAGCGACGACATCGTCGATTCGTTCGCTCCTGTTATCAGCAAGCTGGAGGCAGATACAGACCAAATTGAAGACGAGGTATTCGTTGCCAGGACCGATGACATGGCGCAGTTCCTTCGCAAGATCGGCACCGCTCGCAAGAATACCATGGCCCTTATGCGATTACTCGGTGGCAAAGCCGATGTCCTCCGCGGTTTTACCAAGCGTTGCAACGAAAATTACAAGGTCACCCCTCGTATGGACATCGGTCTGTATCTTGGTGACATTCAGGATCACGTTGTCACCATGATGAACAACCTCGCCCATTTCGAAAAGATGCTGTCTCGCGCACATAGCAATTACCTGGCTCAAATCTCGATCGACGGCATTGCCCAGGGAACGGCTACCAACAAGGTCCTTAGCAAGATTACCCTGTTGGCCTCTATCATCGTGCCACTGAACGTTGTCACGGGCCTGTTTGGCATGAACGTTAACGTTCCCTGGCGTGATGTCGACTCGCTGACTCCATTCTTTGCGATTCTTGGTGTCATGTTTGGTTTCGTCATCATTGCCACCTACCTCACGTGGAGACTGAAGATGTTCTGAGCAACTTGGTGAGAGCAGGGATGTCGAAGAAAGTAGGATGTTTCCGTTGTTGCCATCTTGACTGAACGTACTTCGTGATGCATGGTGCATGAGTGTTGTTCGGCATTTGGCATACGGAGAAGAGAGAAGAAGAGATTTGGACATTGATGCCTGCATCTTGTTGCTGTCTAGAGCTTTGAAGTGATAGAAGGAGCATGATGATTAGAGCAGGCTAATCTGTTCTGGTGCGGTAATAAGGTCCAGGGCGTAATGGTTGTTAATGGCTATAAAGTAGCTCGCTGCTCATGATTCTGGTTATCATGAGAAAAATAGAGTTGTATGTAGATCATATTCAAAGTCCCTCACTGGGTATTTTTTTTGTTGTTGTTGTTGTTGTTGTTGTTCTCGTATTGATGAGTTCTAAGGATTTAGGTGCTTCCGTTAGGTGTGGGGTCCGGTCACCGAGGGTGACTGCTGATATTGTAGCAGTATTGCAGCATTTCATTGGTCGCTCACCGGTGCAAGTCTTTTGCCTGGCAACATCAATTCTTCCAAAAAGTTCAACCTCCATCCGAGCGCTGCTCAACTTCAGCATAGACTCCATATCCCCGTGTGCTCAAGAATCACATCCCCCAAACCTAACGCCGCAATGTCCTCCCAAGAGTTCACCATCGACCAAGCCGATCTCAACAAACTCACTGAGAAGGACAAAGCCGAGCTGCGCCAGTTCTTCTCGAACGAGGAGCACCGCTCCCGCATCCAATCCCGTACGCTCCGTCCCTACTTGTTTATATGGACATACCGATATTGGTCCTTATAGGAAAATATTCTGGCATGCTAATCATATGGCCGGTACAGAATCCCACGAACTCACGGCCATTTGCTGGAAGAAATGCATTACAAGCACTATCAAATCAGGCCAGCTCGACAAGAACGAGCAGACTTGTCTTTCCAACTGCGTTGACCGGTTCATGGATGCCAATCTTGCTACGATTAAGCACCTGCGGAACATGCGCCAACAGTAATTGAGTTTTTGCATGAAAGAAAGGCACATTTATTACCTGGCTATCAACATACGTACTGTCGATTGTTAGGGCAAGAAGCGAGCTTGAATCAAGCTGTATAATTATTAGGGTCTTCCTAGAAGATGTCGAGAGGAAATGATATTTGGCATAAACGCGTAGGTAGACGGAGTGAAGGACTAGAGGAATATCAAGGAAGGCTACTTTGAGAAAGTCATGTAAAAAGCATGATGGATCATGATGGGTATCAGGATGGCCTATTTTCACAGGCTGTCTACTCCGAGGAAAAATACCTTGGCTACTGGGAGGCCAACAAGAATAGAGCACAACACTCAAACCCTAACTCGAAGGCGCAAAAGGCTCCGTCTAAGCCGTTCAGCATAGGTTGGTCAACGAGAATCAAGAGCACATGCGCCGCTCGAAGATGCGAAGGGTGAAATGCCAAATCTTTTCATTCCCCAGCCATGTGCCCAAAGCCCAGTATCTGACGCCGAATGAAAATGCAATCCATATCCCTTCGTTTCTAGAACCGTTTTACTCTACTCCCAGGATGTTTTGCGTTTAGACCAGGCCGAGCTTGGTGGCAGCAATGTCAAGAGCATCAACATCAGGGGTGAGGCGAGCAAAGGCCTTCTTGGTGCCGTCAGGGCTAAACTATGGTCAGCATCTCGTGTTTGCAGGCTGATTTCAACAATAAGGGGTACCAACCGGATCAGAGTGTTGATCTTGACGGTGTCGATGTCATAGAGCTTCTTCAGGGCCTGCTTGATCTGGGCCTTGTTGGCTTTAACATCGACGATGAAGACGAGGGTGTTCTGCTCCTCGATCTTCTTCAGGGCGCCCTCAGTGTTGAGAGGGTGGATGATGATCTTGTGCTCATCGAGGCGCGGCTCGTGAGGAATCGACTTGCGCGGGTACTTGGGGGCGCGCGAGAGGACGAGGGTCTTAGGGCGGTGGAAGGTAGTCGACTTCCTGACCTTGGTCTTCTTGTGCGAGTGCACCTAGGGGTTGTTAGCAATCATCGAGATACCACTGGCAGACCAGCACTTACACCCTTGAGGGCAGCTTGGGCAGCCTTCTTGGCCTGAGCGCCCTTCGCGGCCTTAGAGGCACCGCCTGTAGGGGAGAGTGATATCAGTAAAGCATTCGCCTGAACAAGGGGGGTAGACCCGTCTTGTTCAAACTCGCAAAATCTGCTGCTGCTTTGCTGCATCACCGCGCCGCCGAAGCCGCCAGCGGCGACGACGACGACGATGGGCATTGAGCGCTGGCGGATTTGTGCGCGTTGAATTTCATGATCGGGCGCTTAAGTACCTTTCTTAACGTCCTTGGGAGCCATTGCTGGGGATTGTATCGGCGCTGGGCGAACTGTCGAGTCGGTCGTCGTGGATGGAAGAGGAAAATCTTGTAGAATTTCTGGCCATGTAAAATTGTGTGTGTTGTGGGGTGTGTGGCTGGTACGTTGAGTAAGTGTGGCTTGTTCAACAGACCGGCGTGATTGGTGTAAATCAAGAGTGGGGGCTTTTCGGTAGGTTTGGTGAAGGAAGTGCCAAAAAAGCCCGTCAGCAACTCAGTAAACCGATCTTGTCAAAGATCCCTATCGTTCGCTTCTATGTCTTGACCTGATACCAACACAATGTCTGCCAAGAAAAAGAAACAAATAACAAATCTTGCCAACGGTCGCCCTCCAGTTTTCAACAAACCGAAAAGTTTTTCTAGGAAAGCAACCAAAGCCATCATCAACAAGCATCATCTGCTTCAAAAGAGAAAGCGGCAGGCACTCAAAAAAGGTGACAAGGAAGAGGAAGCGAGAATTGACAAGGAAATCGAGGCTCTTGGTGGACTCCAAAAGTACCAAGAGGCAAGTCTACAGGGTCAACGCCATGACAGGGGTGGTGATAGCTCCAGGGTTCTCATGGAATGGCTGAAGTCAGTCCTTTCGCCTGAGAAAGCAGGGCCGAGTCAACGGTTGCGCATGCTTGAGGTCGGCGCATTGAGCACAGAGAATGCTTGTTCCAAGAGCGGGTTCTTTGACATCGAGAGAATCGACCTCAACAGTCAGAGCCAGGGTATTAAACAGCAAGACTTCATGAAGCGACCGTTGCCGAAAGACCAGTCAGAGATGTTTGATATCATTTCGCTGTCTCTTGTTCTCAACTATGTCCCAGAGGCAAAGGAGAGAGGAGAGATGCTACGGCGAACGACACAATTCTTGTTCCCTCCAGGACGACACTATCCAACCCCCGAACTAGCCGCCAACTTTCCCAGCTTGTTCCTGGTTCTCCCAGCGCCGTGTGTCACGAACTCTCGGTATCTCGACGATGATAGGCTTGAGGCTATCATGGGTTCTCTCGGTTACGTTAAGGTTTGCTTCAAGCAGTCAAAGCGCCTAGTTTACTATCTGTGGAGGAGAGGGCAGGTTCCTGAAGAATCCAAGGCTCGTTTCCCTAAGAAAGAGATCCGACCCGGCTCAACCAGGAATAACTTCGCTGTCATCTTAGACTGAGCATATATCTGCAAGGTCTAGAGATGGATGGACAACTTCCATGCAGTACCACCGAGTTGGTCCTCTTCCCATCCCTCGTTCTGCCCGATTGGCTTACCAGACGATCCCACAACTGGGGATCCAAATCTTGCGGCATTCCCCAATCCGGTATTCCCGAATTTGTGCATTGGCACTTTTAACATATCGAGCAGTTCGATGTAGACATGGCCAACGAACATCTCCATGCTGTCCGTGCTCTCGATTACATGAACAGCCTTCCTCCCTGGACTTGCAATCCAGCTCTAGGGGCCAAAGGTTTTCTACTTTCCGGTTCATAACATACTTAATGTTTCTGAGAGTATTAACCGAAGCTTGGGGGACATAGTTTCGGATTAAGGCCACAGTCCATCACGTCCAAGCAATACCAGATCAATCACGCGCAAGCTGTTGGGCACGCATGGCTGAGGACAGCGAGATTGTTGGACTCGAAACCTTCTTCCTCGTCCGCGATTGGCTCACTCTGGCTTCGGCTACAGACCATGATTTTGTCACGGGCATGGCTTTGGCGTCAACTAAGATACGGTTGATACCTGGGCTCTGGGGTTGCTTTTGTTGGCATCACATCGTCTGGGAGCTCCAACCTACGTGGACTTTACCCTTTTCTTCACGCCCAGGAGCGAAACCCAACGGTCAAAACACCCCACCGAGCCCGAGACCCCGTTTCTAAACGGGCCTTATCAGTACGCATTGTGAGAGCCCCTCATACTGACCAAGCACTCTTCAAGCAGTAAGAACGAGCTGCAAAAAGGCACATTTCTTGATTACCAATGAATCCTGTTGACGACAAAGAACTCGTAAATAGCCATATCAATTCCCGTTCTGATCTCCAAAATGAACCACATTCTGGCATGGCCCTCGTGACATGGAAACGCAGAGCTCTGATCAGATGACGACACCGCAGATCCAGGGAAAATGCGGGGAACCTGGGGTGTTGGCCCTGGGCCCCAGCTTGTATGTTGTAGCCCGACCAGCCACCATTCAGGGGCTGCATCTTCTCCGAGTGAGGGGCAACGACATGATTCAAGGCTAACACAGCCTTGGCGCATTTTGTGTTCCTGGCACTGGGTGTGTATCAGACTTGACTTTCAGTAGACAATGTCATCCGCCGGCCCGTGGGCAGTGCGTAGCACAGAACGAAATCATGACGATTTGGCAAATATGTTGCTGAAAATTACAGGTACAGCAAGTTGGCTGCGGTTAGGCGGAAGGGGAGAGATATCCCCGCAGAAGCCCGGGTTGTACGAGAACCAGCTCTTGGTCAAAACTGTTTTACAGCATCGGCCAACCGAAGAAACGGAGGGTGAAGCTACAAACACCACAAGGCCGCAACTCTAGGCCTATGAGACAGTGCCAATACTCTTTGACTGGTGAGCTTAAATGAAACATAAATGCCAGACTCCATGACATCTCGCCCGCTTAATGGCCAACATATAAACAGAGCGTATAGATTGCACATCGAAATGCAACCTGGTAACCCTGCTAACCCTACACTAGAAAAGCAAACGTGAAATCCTGTTTTAGTTACTATGGTATGTACGCCAATAAGGTTTAATCCCTCATATGTACATCAAGAACAGGCATCGGTCAGCAGTAGGAATCTACAACTCATCAAAGTTCCGAATGACGCGGTGCTTCTTCCTGTCCTCCTCACTCAGCTCTGCATTACCCGGCCTTTCAACCACGTAACTTTGCATCCCTGCTTGCTTGGCCGCCTCAACTTCCTTTACATTGTCACTCAGGAACAGCCACTCACTTGCGGGCGCTAGGTCCGCATGGGCGGCCGCAATCTTAGTGTAGCTTGCAGCCTCCATCTTTGGCCCAGCGTTTACGGTGTCGAAATAATCCGTAAGATGCGGGGTCAGGTCAGACGGCTCAGTGTTTGTATGCCGGAAAAGAAGCTTCTGGGCCGCGACAGATCCCGACGAGTAGATCATAACTTTGATGCCGTCATCGCGGGTCCAAGACAGTATCTTCGGGGCCACATCCGGAAACAACGGAGCCTTGAGCGAGCCATTAGCGTAGCCTGACTCCCAGAGGTAGCCCTGCAGGGATTTGAGGTACGATATCTTAACATCGCGGCTCATAAGATCCCGGACATGAGCAATCATGGCCTCAGGAGTGGCAGAGTGCTCTGTGGGAAAAGCGTTGCGATATGAGGCGAACGAAGGTGAGTCCCATTCCGCTGCTAAGGTTGCCGGAAGGGCTTTGAGTGCGTAGGGGAACTGTGAACAAGGAGTCAGGATGTTACCATCACTCTGCGAAACCTGTAGTTGTGCTAATCAATAAAAAGCAGATGTTGGTGATGGACTACACTCAAACCAACTTCCTTCACCTGAAGAGTTCGCACCCAGCGGAGCAGATGCGATGCCACTCATCCTTACACAGCATTCACTTGCATCCCATCCCTGCCGGCGGTCTAAACTTTTGCTGCTGTGCCACGCCTGAACGGGGTGTTCACCGCAAAGCATTTACAGCGAGGGATTCATCGAGGAGTGGGAGACCCGCGCTGAGTGGGCGGCCTTCATTTCATGATGAGGACCACACTGCCGCCACAGTGCCGAGAAAGACGAAGTGTATCGTGACCCGTATTTTGGGGGAAAGGGATGTCTTGTTGCTTGCTCCTCGGGTTCACAACTTACAAGAACATCCTTAACAAACGAGATGGGGCAGACAGTGCCCTCTGCCGGTCTGTGTTAGCCTGCTCCCCGAAAGCTTAGTTTATGGTGATGGAAAGGGGATAGACCGCGGAGATCGGCCCGAGAAGCAGCCAAGGAAAAGGGGGAAAGGAGGATGCGTACCAATGTCAAGCAGAATAACACGGGGTTTGGTGGCAGTCATGACGCGAATAGTCCAGATCAAGGGGTACACGTGTAAAGAGCAAGGGGCCGGGGCCGGCTTTTGGGCAAAGTGATATGGGCTCGGACTGGAGCTTAGACCGGGGCTTCGGGGGTTAACGGACCGGAGGAAGGACGCCGGCAACGGTAGTGTGGGGGCGGGAGCTGGATCCAAGGCTGAAAGGAAAAAAATTTTTCGTCTCTTTTGTCGGTGTTGAAAACCTCAGCCGGACGCATGCATCGACAAGCTTCCAAGTGAAGTTCCAAATATTGGGTGTTCCTGCGAGTTCATGCGAAAGCCCTTAAGGGTTTGCGGGGCCGGCGTTGCAACTGCCGCGTCTGGGTTGGGGTTGTAAGCGTCCGCGGAAGCTCGCAGCGAACCCGAACCCTCTCTCACAGTGCTCGAAAAGTTGGGGGTCAGAAAGGCGGTCAAGAACAATGAAACCTTATTCTTCTCTTCTCCTTTCATCATTGCCCAATTGTCCCTTGTCTAAAGTCTCAGGCTCTGGATGTCCTGCAGCTGACGCTAGCTGCAACAACCGTCCCATTGCACGCACATGAAACTGCTGCAGAGCAGTCCACCTGTCGCCTATCAACTTGCCAGACAGCAGACGGGTCCCGCATAGCTACGTAACCTGGAGTTTGGGGCACATCATTCCCTCACTGGTCAAGAGACGTCGCCGGCGTCGCTGCACCACGTTTGTGCTTTGCTCTTGGTGCAGCGGCAAAAATGCTATGGGACCACATCGGTTCATGCGCATCACCTACTCACTCTCACAACAACACAGAGCATCCTTTCCAGTCCTACCCATCTACAGCTTGAGCCGGCCCTCCAACTGCATGTCTCACCGACTTGTCATGGCAACGGCGACGTGATTGGGCTGGTTTACACACCAAAACACTGCCGACTACGGCAGCGAGCCGTCATCATTCCAGTATCACGAGCAACCCCGCCCTCATCGCCCGGTAACCACGAGCTTACCGTGTTATGTCTGTGGTCCATCAAGACGGAAAAGCGCACAGATCACCAGGACCCCGCCGTCAGTCGCGATTCTCATAGCGTCATATTGTAAGCGATCAAGACTCCAACGCATTTCAGTCTATGCAACGTTGGATAAGTCTGAACGGGACCCTACGAAGATAAGGGGCAATTGAAATAACGGGCTCAGAATCCTCCGGTTGCGAGTATCGGCACCGTCCAATGCGCCGATTCCCGGCCTCTATCGTAGGGTCGTATCTGCGATAAAACAATGCAGCGGACGGCCTTCTTGCCTTAGGTAAAGGTCCATCTGGTCATCCACCGGCACGTAACGTTTCAGATATCTGGTTCTTGATCAAGATCCCACGCAGCCTTATAGATCTGCCTGATCAATACCAAGTTATATGCTGTGCCGCCCACCTTGTAATTTGTCCCTTGACGCCAGGAGGCCGGTTCGGGACATTTGGAGTCCAAGCCTGCCCAGCAGCGCGAATCGATCAGGAAGATGGATGTCAACGGGGACGTGCATGGTGTGCCGCATCCAACAGTCTTTGGCTTGATTATAGCAAGATACCACTGGGTAGGCGACGAGGTAAGGAGCATACCTCAACGAATGTCTCCCATATCACTTACACAGTACTTAATTCATACTTGTATATTTCTGCTCTATGGTGAGTTAAACAAGCCCAGGCTAGACAAGAGGACCTTTATAAATGACAATCCAAAGTACCATGACACCGACAAACTCTTTGGTGTATGCTGTTCGCTTACTTGCCGGGCGGCAGCTTACACCAGGATGATTTCCACAACAATTGGCCAATTGCGCCTTTGTGCGATTGTCATCAGTGATGTGTGACTACCAAGTGCTCTCCCGCTCCCATCCTTGAGCGTTAGTGACAACGGCATCATGAAGCCCACTGCAGGTAGTTTCAACAACTCCAAGCGAAACAAGCGAAGCATCTCGCAGGGAGAGTGGCCTGAGGAAGAAGGCCTGGAGGGGAGGGGCTGTGGTCCAGGCCAGGGCGGACAGCCACCTCTGCTTGCACCTTGGCAGCGATCATTACTGATCAATGAAGAGGAGCACCTTTACCGCTGGGTCACACGACGTTAGAGCATACCCACAACCGCAAGAAAGCAATCCAAGCCTGACCCCGATTTGTGCTGGGACTTTATGGGTCGAATTCTGGAGTTCAATACCTCCCATGATCACCGAGCACAAACGAGGAGCGCTGGAGCACTGGACCGTCGGAGCACCGGGGAATCGGCGCCGGCAGGCTCTTGGTTGCGCCAGCTATCCCGTCTTCGGCACTTGCATCACTATCAACAGTCTCACCGTGTGGCTCGCTCGTCGTTCGACAACCAGGCTCTTCCCGGAGACATCGGCCACATCGGAGCGTCAATGCTTCGGAGTCGCAAGGAATGCCAGGTCTCGAGGTAGGTAATTTGTAGCATACAGCGTCGGGTTTCTGTCTCCTTCATCCAGAATCTTGTTCGAGATCTTTACCTGTCAGGGCGATTACAAAACTTGATGCATGTCTCATCGATGGGGGACCTCAAACACTGCGTTTCTAGCACGTTATGATGATCCAGTCAAGTGATCGCCAAAATGTGGGGTCAAGACTGTGGAGTCTGGCTATCTTAAAGCAGAAATCAGCTGTTACATTTCGCTCCTTGGCCGTTGTTATCGCGAAACGGAAGCATCTGGTTTCACCGTCTGGCTGGTGATAGGATATGCACACAACCCTCTTAGACCGTATGTACACGGGGAAACAGATCATCAAAGTTGGACTGTTTGTTGCGCCGTATTATACGCTTCCTTCATGGTCGACGACACTTCAAACATTCCGTCTACAGATATAGCAACGAGCAATACAGGTTTCCCTCTCAGTTACCATAGTTAGGTAGGTACTACAACTCTGCAATTGCTGAGTGCCATTGGCTCTGCGCCTCACTGCAGGCGGAAAGAGGGACACAACTGGCTAGCCAGATGCAGGAAGACAGGAGTGCATCCAGCAAGGCCATCCTAACCAATCACCCGCAACTAGGCGTCATTGTGGGCGACCAGAGTGGTCAAGTCGAGTGAAACATAATTGGAAGCTGCTAGGAGCACAAGAATAAAGCAACGACTGCAAGCTGTCTTCGGTGCCTCAGGCCAACAGTATTGATTGGTTGGATGGATAGCGTTGGACGCTGGTGGGAGAGGTGCCGGCTCTTCGGGCAGGCGCTTGAAGCAGTTCGAGGACGTCCCTGTTGCAGTTCGCCATCCATACGCAATAACACAGCATGATGACCATCTCGAAGAGGTGGACACTGCTCAATTCGAGGGTTGTTGCGAGCAGGAAACGCGGAGCCGGGATTCGGAGGGCCTTTGATGGATTCATAACTGGGACAATTGCCAATCTTGCCAGTTCTTCCTATCGTGGAGCCGTTTGGGATACTACGGAACAGAGCGAAAGGGACGAGAGGCTTGGCTCGGCTAGGCCGCATGAAAGTGGGGTTCCCGATCGCTTGCCAGCGCTGGGAACGTGGCCTCACGATGGTGCTTTTCGCGATCGTGCTGGCCTATCGCCGCAGTCATTACCAGCAAGCGCACAACACCTCGAGGCGGGAACGCGATGCCAGCTAGATGCGCCGGTACCTAAGTGACAAGTCATGTGCGCTGTCAAGCGATGCGAAAAGGTACGGGAGGGCGACTGCCGGACGGTGTAGCTGCTTAACAATGAACCTCCATAGGTAGCATTCTTGAAACTCTGTCATAGCCCAGGGTCCTGCGTTCACGCTATGCACCCAAAGATTCGTTCATCCAGGTTTCCGAGATGAAGATGCAAAGCAGTCTAATCCTGATTTGGTAACGAACTAGCTGTATCCGGTTAAAACCGTTTCTTCTCTGGGTATTTAAGTGGGGCAGTGTGCTCTGCGTGGCAGCCTGGGGCGGACGCCATTCGTCATTTCGCTGATGTGAGTGCAATGCAACCAACATTCACTAACGGTAGAGCAGGGCCGGGCACTGTGCGGCAAGGTGCAGCGGACACAGTGACCGCAGGACAAAAACACAGCGGATAGCCCAGTGTCCATCGAGCCCGCGCTGACAAAACTCGCGACTCGGCGACAAACACGCCATTGGTCATCCACCCATGTCTCACGTCTGTGGCAGGCACGCGGACCTTGGGATGGGCCCAGGCCATTCCTCTTTGATCGATGAGACTCATGGGAGGGCGCTCAGCCCACGCGCGCGTCGTCCACTGGTGGCCCACTTTTCCCGTTCCGTTTTCTGGGCGTGAGTCTGGTGGATGGCCTGGGGTGGATGAGGACTCAGGAGGGCGTGGTTGATGACTACACCCCCCCCCCGTATGCAGGACGGGACAGCTGGCTGGCCGTCTGCCTGTCGCTCGCTGCCACTGGCCACCCAGCCGTTTCTGGCCCCTTCCACTTGCTGCGTGCATCTTCTATCAGCGTTGCCCCCCTCATCGAGTCACCCGTTCCCTTCTGTCATTCCTCCTTCCACCATCACCTAACCTTCCCTTTCCCCCCTCTTTCCCTTCCCACCGCCTCTTCGCCCATACGTCACGTCTCTGCCACTCCAAGTCGTATAATTCTGCACGCCTTTGCCGTCGTTGTTCCTGCCGTCCTTCAGTTCTGTTATTTTGAATCCCATCTGCGCCGTCCCAGGCGAACAGCGACAGCAACAGCGCTGCGAATTTCACCAGTCATCCCCGATCCCTGAGTTGCCGAGCTCGCCACCCAGCGATAAGCTCTAGTCCGACAACAGATCAGCGACAAGCGACCGCCCACGGCCCCAACAAATCAATCGTAACGAGATCTTGAGCTCTCGATCCCGTGATCCTGTAATTCTGCGCCGCTTTCCAGTTCCTGCCCACAGCAGATCCTAGCGTGCAGCGTACCTCAGCAGCTCAGACGTCCTCCCGCATTTCGACTTGGGCCCCCAACCTGGCATTGAGCATCGAGCGAGCATTGAACGAAGCGACCCGCGTGCTCCGAGTCAACCCGGCCGACCTAGCCAGTCATTCCCGAGCTCGAGTCATCGTTTCTGACTCGCTGTCCTATCTGGCTACCTATCTACGGGAGCTATCTGGCTGGCCATCTATCATCAGCTCCGTGGCACTGTCAATTCCCCGGACCCGGTTGTCCCACAAGTGCCCGAAGGCAGCCTTCGAACACACTCCACCAGCTGTGAATCACACGCCCCGTCCTCCGACAAGGGCCCGAAGAGTCATTCATATCATCGACCTGTTTCCCCAAAAGCCCTTGGCTCCCGCATGTTTTCAACGACGTCCCACCAGGTGTTCCAATAGCTGCACTTATCCCCTGCCACCTGGTGTTCTGGTCTCACAACTCTTCTCGTCTACTTTCCAGTTCTTCCCCCTCCCGTCCCTTTGACGGCGCCAGTCACTGTACCGTACCCGACGAGCACAGCTGGTTCTGCCTTGCCTGCCTTGTGTTCATTGTCCATCGCCAATCCAGTTCAGCGACAGGCCTCAAGCGTCTCGGCATTGGTCGGCGACCTGATCAAACCAACATCGACAACGTCACATTGTGTTGATCGCTCAAGCCTCCATCAACACCCGGTCCTTGGCAACGCTCACGGCAGACACGCCGTTAACCCCCATCCGCCTTTGTACGCAAATCAATTCTCATCTTCTCCTCGACCATCACCTCTTTCCTCACCAACCTGGACATCCGCACCTGCACCTCAGATTGTCGCCATCGATGTTCTTATAACGATTGTGTCTTTGTTTCTTCCCTCGGCACCACCGCCAGTCCTGGTGTGTGACGACTCTTCTCAACTACGACCCTTTATCTTTGTTTGAGTCATCCAAATACCCATGAGCCTCAGATTGTAACAAACTAGGAGCTGTTTCTTTTTTTTTCTCTTTTCTCCATTACCGCTTGCCTCTTGTACATCATCTCTCTGCCCTCGCGGTTCCCTTTTGTTGTGTTTTCATCTCACCTCGAACGACTTGGTTCGTCGATCCCGTCGCCAGCTCGGTCTCTGCTCCTTCCCATCGTTGTACAAAGTGCAAACCTCAGTACCAGTCACAGGCATTCGGCACACATCTGCTGGAATACAGGGTATCTTCTTTTACGATCGAGTCTGTTACACAACCGCGACTTAGACCTAATAACTACCACCTTTCGCCAACCATGGCATGCCTTCGCGACAGCTTCCACGATGGCGTTATCATCGGCGGTCGTTATCAGACCATCTCTCCGCTCAACCACGGGTCTTTCGGCATGGTCTTCAAGGCCAAAGACCTCAAGACTGACCAGATCGTCGCTGTAAAGTGTCTGACCAAGAAGAGCGCCGTCAACGATCCCAATGCAGAGTACGCTGTTGACGATCAGTCAGAGGAGCTCGTCCTCCACAGCAGACTAGGCTCCCACCCCAACATCGTCAATCTGCTGGACTCGTTCGAGACCGATGCCCACATCTACCTCGTACTCGAGTACTGCGCTCGCGGTGACCTGTATGAGGCGATCCGGAACGACTACGGCCCACTGGAGACGGAGCATGTCAGGCGCTTTATGCTGGAGCTGGTGGACGCTGTCGAGTACATGCACTCCAAGGGCGTCTACCACCGGGATATCAAGCCTGAGAACATCTTCCTGACCCAGACCGGGTCAATGAAGCTGGGTGACTTCGGGCTTGCGACAACCGACAAGTGGTCATATGAGTCTATGGTGGGGAGTGACAGGTACATGTCCCCGGAGCAGTATGACTCAGCCGGCGCTGGATATTCGCCCGCTCAGGCCGACATCTGGGCCATTGGCATCTGCCTTCTCAATATCCTCTTCTCGCGCAATCCTTTCACCACCCCAACGGAGCAGGATCCGCTCTTTCTGGATTTCTCGCGTGACAAGCAGTCCCTGTTCGACGTGTTCCCTTCCATGTCACAGGACACCTTCGAGGTCATCGTGCAGTGCATGAACCTGGATCCAAGCAAGCGATCACTTGCCGGAGTCCGCGAGGCCCTGCTCCGTGTTGTCAGCTTCACTACCCTTGATGAAGCTCTCGACGACTTCTGCACGGCTGATCGCCCGGTTGTCGCGACCTCCAATCGCGAGCCCCTTCGCACCCCGTCTATCCAGAGCCCCCAGGTTGATAATGGCGCCTTCCCCTGGACAAAGGCCCTGCAGACAACACCTCCGAAGCCCATTCGCCAGCTCGACAACGTTCCGGACGACATGTACGAGGAAGATCTTTTCTCGCAGTCCGGCAAGACCACTACCGACTGGATGTCGGCCACAACTCATACACCGATGTCGTCGTACATGGAGTCGAACCTTGGTGTGTCCTTCACTGGTACCCCTCTGAGCTTCGAGCCAAAGCTGCCGGCGAAGGCCGCTGCCAAGGTCGCTCCAGTGGCTGCCTCCCTCCCCATCGACATGTCCAAGAACCGCGAACCAGCCATTTCCTGGGTCTTCGGACGCAAGGATGCTGTTTCCAAGAGCTGGAGCGACTTGTGGGATGAGGAGTTTGAAGAGGAGGAGGAACGCAAGCAGCAATTACAGATCCTAAAAGAAGAGATGAACTCGAGGACCTGGAGTCACGAGAGTACAGCTTCTCCGTCCCCATCCGTGGAAAACGACGACACCCCTCGCCAGGGCATGTCGCCGGTCACTAAGACGGCCAGCTTGGTCAAGGACGAGAACAAGGCCGCTTCGGCGGACGCCTACAACAACAGTGTTGGCGAAGATCCCGACACAGACGGCCTGTTCTTCTATGAGGCTCCTCCGGCCCCCAAGGAGGAACCCCAAAAGCTTACTCAGCCTCAGCCGGTCCCGGAGCCTCAACCAATCCCGACCCGGCACCATGTACCGCCGTCGAAGCGAAGTGACATCGACAAGTGGGCGCTTTTGGGCGAACGCCGGCGCGCCTATGCCGCTGGCAGCTCTTCTGTCAAGGTCCCCGACGTCCCTCTCCGAACTGGGCGCCAAGTTGGGACAGGTTTCCCAGCTAGTTCCCCGCCTAAGGGACACGGTGTGTTTGACGTGTATAATGAATCTTCTCATCACGACTCCTTTTACGTTTCTGGTGGCAAATCTCCTCAAAATCAGCATCATTTTTATCATCATCATGGTTCTCAGCACCACCATCAAGGGCAGGGTAGGCGCAGCAACCGCGGTGGCGACCGTCCCAAGGAGTGCCCTTGGACGAAGGGCCGCAACGCTGCTACCCACACCTCCTCTCCCAACAATCGAGACTGGATTTGGAAGTTTGACTGGCGCAGCAAGGAGAAACGGAATCCCCTTGGGTGCCTCGAGTGGGTTGGTAACTGGCCGACGGCCCGCTCCTAATGGAGTTGACTTTCGGGCCTTGTCCCAGTTTACCAGCTGTAGTTGGGCTAGCTCTTCACCCAACCTCCCCTCTTCGACCTCATTATCCTTAAGCCCTTTCCCCTCATATCCACGCAAGCTCTTGCGTCGGCTGGGCACAACTTCGTTTTGTTTTCTCTTCTCAAACCTCCAAAGCTTTCCCTGATGCACTGACTCTTGCTATTCCCTTTACCGCTTGCCGCTTCGCTTTCTTGTCTCTTCAATCATACGGTCTGCCTTGCAGCCCAGTTTTGGTCGTAAGTTTTTGGTTGTCACTGGCGATAAGGCTGGAACATATCAAACACTCTTGGAGGCTGTCTCTCTCTTTGTTTCTTTTCTTCTCTTTTGTTATAAGCATAGCATGGTTTTAAATGAAATGAGCAAACAACACACATACGGGCAAGGGGCGGTTTTCTTGGTTGCAGGGCGTTTCTGGGCACTTTGGCGCAATTGGATTGGAATCTCTCATCACACATTACTGGAGCCTTATCTCTACTTACTCTTTTTTATCTTTCATTTACAGTCCCACCCACAATTTTTACTGATGGGCTGGGACGAGGCAAGCACAAGCAAGCGGCTGCAAGCAACTGTCACGGGGCTCTGGCAAGGCTCGTTCAAACTTATGAATCTTATTTATTCTTAGACTGAACAGTCGACGTCACAGGGAATCCAGGGGTTTAGGTGAAATGAGAATGGGGAGTGCGTTGATGGTGAAAGCGCTCAAGCTTTCAACTTGGTTTTTATGTATCAGGTTTATTCTCGGTGGAAGTAGATACATGAATACCAGAAGTTACCCACTCGAGAAGCAATTATGTGGCTCCTTTGGTGCTTGTAGTGACGTATATCATGGGCTTGTTGGATTCGGGGCTGTATTTTATGGTTACCTTTTGATGACTGACAAGGAATAACATGAGTGGTTTACGTGTTTCATGGATCAACAAGTTTATCCTCACATCCCTCATGACAATTCAGTTTGGTATACCTGGGTGTATCTCTGGTCATAGGGTTCACAACACAATGATTCTTCCCCATCGCAGCCATAACACATTAACCCATAGCCCTCGAGTAAGAAGCCCATTCCCCCCTTACCCCGGCTTCCTTGCCTTGAGCCCTTCTTCCATTAAGTGTTGACTCATCTCCCATGGCAAACTCTATTTGTTGAAGGATCCCGAAAGATCAGCATTCTAATTCTGTGCATCGGAAAGCACAAGCGGGAAGCCGTCAATATGTTTTTCATGGGTTGTCATTCATGTTTGATGTACAGTTGTGGCAATCGATGAATAGAACGCTCACTGAGCCTTCCTCCAAGCTGCTGCAGCTATGTGACCTGGATGCTTTTCATGTACTATTTTAGATAAATCATCTTGTCATTTGAAACATGTCGTCAGCCTAATAATCGCCAATATGGCGTTTGTTTGAATGATGTGTCTCGCCTCAAGAATGCAGGGTGCGTTCTCTCCCTCCTATCCGCTCTCGACACATCAGTCGGGGGCTGCAGTATGCCTCGTAAACAAGGCTATTTCCTTGACAGGTTAGGGCAGGGCTATTCATGAATTCGTGGAAAATCGTGTGGAAGGTGACGGGCGCTCTCTGTTTTTAGGGATTCTACGGGTAGATGTGTATCTGGTATGAAACACCATCACATATCAGATGCAGATTCCAACTATCAGATAGCAAACACTTATCTACTTCAACTCTCATTCCCTGTAAAGAAGACATGCTATCATTTTATATAAATTCCACGAGATTAGGCAAACCAACCCTCATCGAGTGTGCTGTAACGCTGACGTATGCATGTCTCTTACAATGAACTGTGCTGCGTTTCTGTAGGAAAAAGCGATATGTATAACCAACCTTATGTCAACCTGAAAAAGATACGCGACTTGTGGCAAATGAGCCAAGAACAAGAAACTCATAGTTTACAAAGACAACTATCCAATCATTGCACTGTTAACACGTTTGTCTTCAAAATTATGCGTGATGCCGACGCAGAGTTTCGTCGAACCCAGTTGCTGTGCCTTCAGCCAAGCCCAAAACATCATACATAAAAGAGACACGTGGGTATTTGTGAAGTCACAACTCTGTTTCGGCTCCAATCAGGCTCTTTGGGAGGAAGGCCCAGACTGTGCCGATGATGGAGAGTACAATGGATATGATCATGACGGTGGTGGCGAATATCCGTTCTCTAACGGAGAGCTCGTGGCCGAAAAGCTTGAGGTAAAAGGCGAGGGGCAGACTAACGGTGTTAGAAACGTTCGATAGAGCTTACTGGGGTGTGGGAAGCAGAAGGGGTGGGGTGATTAGCCTACCTGACGCAAATGGTAAAGCACAGTGCACTCCCCATGAACGCCATGATGCTGTCGAACGCGGGAAAGAGGATCGAGATCACCAGGAACGTTAGCACCACCGCAAGACGGATAACTACCCTCCAAAAAGCTGCCGCAGTCACGCTGCTGCCACCACCAGAATCATCACCGGTACCGTGACCCATTCCGTGATGGTCTACGAGTTGCTGCTGCAGGCCAGACAGCACCTCAACGGTCGACACAATCGGGCGGGCATTGAGGGGGATCTTGGTCAGGGGAATAATGCTAATGCAGAGACACATGAGAGCTGTTAGAGCTCGCGGGTAGGAGGATTCAACCAGGATGTTCGAAGTGATCTCGTCGCGGACTTCGTCACCGAACATAAGCAATCCTGCGACTGCTGTCGTAGTGTCAAGGAGGTACTGTGAAATGGGCTGTCAGGGAATATTTTGTCTTAAAAATGGGATTACATACTCACAGTGAAAGAGAATGTGATTTTGAGAGCTTGATTGTAGCGATAAGGGTGACGCATGTCCCGGTAGATCTAACAGAGGGTCAGCCGAGTATCTGCCAGAGGGGTAATCTCCCGAAAAACCTTACATTAGGGAAAACACTGTGTCCACCCCTGTAAGTCAGGTTAGCAGACTGGCCGAGTATGAAGCTTAGGGGGGTTTCAATACGAACCAAGGCGACATGAGCAGCCCGAAGGAGAGTGGCAGGGTCAGCCAGTTTGAAGGGAAGAGATAAGTCTTCGCCGGCTCAAGCAAGGAACCGGGTGAGGTGGGTTTGATGAAGCCATCGAGGATTAGACACAAAACAACTAGAAAATAGGTTAGAGTTGTTCTGCTGATATGCTCCATCAAGACACCTACTTGTAAGGCATGAGAAAATGCCAATAACACTCGTGAAGCTCAGGAGCCTCAAAGGCAAGAAATTCAAGGGCATCAATATCAGGGCACACACGATCTTCCAACCCGTGACGGATAGAACACCAGGAAACAGAAGAGCTAGTGAATCAGCGAAAAGCACCATCAAGGCAACGCAGGCAGCTACAAGTTCCAGTGTAAAGAGGATGCTGGTGGCCATCCTGGCTTTACGGCCGAACGAGATGAATGCAATGTCGGAGAAGGTAATTAGGCTGGGGTCCAGATCCATGCATCGAGCCAGGATCTTGGCCGTCCAAGCCGTCACAGCAGCACAGAGGAAAAGCGAAATCATGCCGCACAGCCAGCCAGCGTACTTTATGCCCATGGGAAGACTCAGGAGGCCGACACCGATCAAGACACTAGATGAGTGTTGTCAGCAAGCTACATCCATGGCCAAAGCATGAAGAGGGGGCATACTTTGTAGAATTGAACACTGTCTGAGGCAAAGTACTCTGTCCCTCGACAGTTAACACAATCTTTCCATCCTGCTCCACCTCCTTGACCAAAATTGGCGGTAGCTCGCTGTCAGCTGGTGCTCCAGCAACCTCTTGCTGCTGGTGCCAGATAGCAGCGGCCTCTGCCATGGATGGACGGCTGATATTGGACCGGATGGTCCCGTAGTCAATAGCAGAGCCATAACTGCCTACTATTGACGGCGTCGCGAGATGTGGAGGGATAGCGAAGATAGAGCCCAAGTCTGAGGCACGACTTGTGTGGCTGCCGACACGGAAGGCCGGGGTGAGGTCGCTTTCAAGGAGAGCCTTATAGTTTTCGTGGCTCGATGTTCGGTACAAAGGATAGCTAGTTGGCTCTGGGCTTAGTGCTCTAGGAGAAGGTTGCTGCGGTTGCTGACCAACAGCGGCCTCGAGTTGCTGGCGGATCAGGGAAGGAGAACCCCTAGGGGAGGATGAGACGGTTCGAACAGGAGATAATGTTGCCTCAACATCGGGTTCTACACCATCTCCGGAGGGAAGGGGGACGATAGGTGCTTGGTCTGCGGCAAAGATGAAGGACGGTCGCTGAGGGATGACCTCAGTGAAGCCAGCTGCACGCTGCCAGCTGCGGGTGAAGTTGCGTATGCTGTTCACTCCTCCGATCTCGGTAAGGCCGGCGAGACGGCTTGTGAAGGAGGATCTAAAGGAGGTCAGTGGCCTATGTGAAGGCTGGGACGGCGAATAAGGGGCTTCGCAAGGCTGGCATTGAACCACTGAAGAGACTTTACCTCCGTTGTCTAAGAGCCTGAACCCATTCGTCATCTCCATGACGGGAGTCAACACTGCGACCGAGGAGGGATTCAGTCTCGAACTGGCCGCTCCTATTCAGGGACGTGGTGCTGCCAGTCCTGGAGAATCCTCCCCGCTCATACTGGTCCCAGGTGGTTGGGTTGTTTCTTGTTGTCATTTGGCAGCCGACGATACTACGGTAGAGAGCAGCACCTTGGACAAGGTAGGACAAGCTCTATAGAACACCTGGCACCGGGTTTGGACAGTCTCGAGGGCGACAGAACGACTGACCAGCAATACGAGACTGGGACAATAACGGTGAAGACAGAGCCTGTAGGCACGTCGGATGATGGGGCAAGAAAAACAAGCAGCACACAACATGAGCCGCGTTCCACATTCAAGAAGCTTCGCGGGGCACAGACAGGCCCGCCTCGTCCCGCCGACATGGTCGCGATGCAGGGATGAAAGACCTGTCTGGAGGTGGCGACGAGTGGGGAGACCGGTGGAGGTGGCGACTCTGGCGAGGCGCACATCTGCGATGCAACTGTGCTCCGAAGCCAGATTTAACCTCCCCTACGGGTTATTTATGAGATGCATGCTTCGTACAGATACAGATATCCTCTGACCATCCCCTGCCGTGGACTACCCGAAGGAGCCGGCCCGGGGGCAACTGTCGATAGCGATCGAGATAAGAACACAGATCATGGGGTCGGCGAAGTATCTGGGCTGTTGGGAATGAGGCCTCGGTGTCACCCTCAGCGTTATGGTCTGACGAAGTCCGACGCTGACGGGACACTCATCGTTATCCGTGTCCTGTCTTTGCACGGCACAGGCGGACACCCTGTGGAGTCTGCCCGTAGCTAAGGACGCAGCGCAGATTGCATTACTGGCAGATCTCCAGGCTCTTACTACACTAGTCCCCGTGTTCAATTAGATTGATGCCGAAGTACGCACCAGCGTATCTCTGACGCTATCGTGGTGTTCTAAGCATTGCAGCAGGTAATTGATAACAGCGTGCTTATCGGACGGGCAGCATTGGCAGCACGCCATCGCGGCCTGCAGACGCGGCCCACTATCGGTTGCATCAGCCTTCCCGATTGGCCAATGGGAGATTCTCATGAGGTTGGCATCAAGTCATAGGTTCGCGCTGTTCCTTGATGCAAACCGATATCCCGGAGACTGCAATGGCCTGTTTTCGCCATTTCTGGCTTCAGGCTAATTCCATTACATCAAGATCCCTCAGTCTGAGCGGGATGGCTTCACTCGAAACTTCTGGGAAGCACGATGGAAAGATGCAGAAAGAGAACACTCGGCCCCGCTACCACTGCTCACATGCGTAAGTAACAGCATCTCTCACCGCCTTCCCGATGCAGACAGGGTGTTGCACAGTGCTAAACAATAAGCGAACTGTATGCCAAGCCAGCCTTGTGTGGGGTAGGGCCCGACCGGCTGCCTATTAGTGACAGGGGCAAAGGCGGTGAATTACGGCAGAATGGGTTCCAAGCACATGCTGGGATGAAATTTCGATGAGAGGCTGGTTACAACAAGCGTCCGACGTTCAACAGCCCCGTCAGCACATACACCTACATCATGTGGCGGACAGCCAGGGACTCGGTTTGCCTGATCTGCCGCTCGGCGGCCGTGTCCAGGAAGGCCGTCCTCGAGTCTGCACAACCATGGATCACTCGCAGATCCTTCGCAACCCGCGAGCGGCCATCGCGCATGGTTCTCTCAAATACCGTCGCTACCGGCCCACGATCAAGATCCCAGGATAGAGACAGGCCCGAGGGCCCATGGGGCAATACGAACAGGACAGTCGCAAACATCGATCCTCGCCGCAGACGAGAACCCCCGAGACCTTCTGTCCGCGGCCGCAATGCCAAAGACAAAGAAGAACAGGACAAGAACGCGATTGAGGACCGCTTTAAGGCTCTCAAGATGCAGCGCGCTCTTATCAGCATTCCATATCGCGAGCGCATGCTGGTTAAGGCTCGTATCTCCGATATCGTGTCTTTCGACCAGTTTCAGCTACTTCCTGTTGTCAAGGAGGCCATTTTCAACGAAGTTCTGAAGGGTTTGGAGGACATTAAACCGACTCCTGTCCAGAAACTCGCCATCCCTGCCTTACTCGGTCAGCCACTCTCGCGTGCGCATGCCATAGCTCGTGCCAAGAAGCCAACAAAGCAGAGGGATGAATATCTGCTTGCTGCTGAGACCGGTTCTGGCAAGACGCTGGCGTATTTGGCCCCAACCATACATCACCTCAAGGTTGAGGAGACCAAAGATGAAGCAGTTGCTGCGTACAACGAGCGCCTAGAGGCAGAAAAGCAGCGTCGTGAAGGCGAGCCTGTGTCCGAGTGGATTGATGATTTTGAACCTCATCCGTATACGGCCCGTCCCCGTGCCATTGTTTTGGTACCCACCGCTGAGCTTGTTGATCAAGTTCTGGCTGTCGCCAAGTCTATGTCACATGTGGTCAAACTGAAAGTGCGCGGTCTGTCGGCCAAGTACAGCGTTCAAAAGATCCAGCGCAATGTCTACAGTCATGGCGGCATCGACATGCTTGTTTCCACCCCACATCTGCTGGCTTCTTTAGCTAAGCGGGATCCGAACATTCTCTCTCGCGTGAGGCACCTCATTATCGACGAAGCTGACTCCCTGTTTGACCGCTCCTTCTCGCCGGAAACTTCCGAGATCGTCGATCGCTCTATACCCTCCCTGAGACAGCTTATCCTCTGCTCCGCTACCATCCCCCGTCGCCTGGACAATTACCTTGCCGAGAACTTCCCTTATATTAACCGCATCGCCACTCCAAACGTCCACGCCATCCCACGCCGTGTTCAACTTGGTGTCATTGACTGTTCCAAGGATCCGTACCGCGGCAACAAGCTTCTTGCTTGTGCGGATGCCATTTGGACCATTGGCAAAGAAGCTGCTGTACACGAAACGTCGGATGGCTTGATTGATGTCAAGCGTCTCATGGTATTTGTTAACGAGCGCGAGACCACACAAGAGGTTGCCGACTATCTTAAATCCAAGGGTATTGAGGCCATCGCGCTCCACCGTGACACCCCTGAGCAACGCCAGAGTGAATGGCTGGAGTACTTCAGGTCCAACGAGCCATTGCAAATTACCAAGGAGGAGGCTGAGAAGCGCAAGGCGGCGGTCCAGGCTAGGCTTGGCCCTGGGAAGCGCTACCTACCCAATGTGAGGGTTATTGTTGCGACCGACCTGGCATCAAGGGGTATTGATACACTTGCCGTCCGCACGGTTATCCTGTACGACGTGCCGCATACTACGATTGACTTTATCCACCGGCTGGGCAGGGCTGGACGGATGAATAGGAGAGGAAGAGGTATTGTGCTGGTGGGCGATGGTGACCGCAGAGACGTTGTCGCCGATGTGAAGGAGGCTATGTTCATGGGTCAGGCGCTCATCTGAGCGTTGGTGGTATGTTTTATGTATGCTGTACGATACAAAGACTCTCTGGTTATGATCTCGGGGAATATGTATACTACTTGTATGAAGCGACATAGATACCTAGATACCACTCTTAACGGCTGGATTGGGTGGCAAGGGATATGAAGTTTGCAGTGGGAAGTATAGACGATAGCAAAATCGACCTTTTATACATTGTCGTCAAGCGCTGGTGTATCGAACAGGATGTCTAAAATCACATGTGCTTTTCGGATAATCCAATTGTGATCGGGAACAGCTGGGTTCGTCAAAAAAACAATTGTGAGCCTCTGAATGACAGTCAGGAAATATCGAGAAGTGGAGCAACCAAAGGAGGAAAAAAGTCATCAAAAGAACACTGAGGAGCCAAACCTTCTTCACTCCTTCCCTGACGCTGAAGCCCCTGTTCCCGTTCGATGCGCGTCGACATTCCACGTGCGTACTCTGGTCACGACGCGTTTGCGCATCGTTGTCATGATCTGCTGCTCCATCTCCTCGATGCCTGCCTCGATATCGCGGTCTTCGGCCGCATACCGGGCTTCGCGTCGTCGCTCCCACCACAAATACAGGGATACGGCCACAGCCGTAACCGGAATCGTAAATGCGAAATAGATCCAGATTAACGGTGATACTGAAGGGACAGCGGCGTCAGGGTCGTCGGGGATAAAGTCGAAGAAAGACATGCTGAAGATGGAGGCTATGAAGGTGGCTGGGAGGAAGACTGCGCCCATCAAAGAGAGCATCTTCATCGACGTGCTGTCTCTTTTCGCCCTGTGTGCAAGTCGGCGTTGTTCGCCAGCCATCTGGAGATTGAGCTTGGATTCCTTTTGGGCGATGATGTTGTAAAGCTTCAGTCAGGGTTCGGGGTTAGTACTCGAATGTGGCCAAAAGTAAATAGATGAAGAATGATTGAGACTTACCGCTGCCCGTTGGAGTTCTAACCGCTCCAGAGTAGTCCTGGCATAATGTTCGATTCCTGTGAGCTTAACCCTATAGAAATCTAATCTTGAAAGCAAGCTTCGATGCAGTTTTTCGATCTCACTGCCTTCGCCGAAGTACCTCCTATTATCCCTGGCGGCTGACCAGAACCTGTCCATGGCAGCGTTTATTCCCTTGATTACCTCCTGGTATGCCTGCGGACGTTTCCATAACACTTGAGAATGGCATTCGACGAGATCATGGTTAACCAAATCAAGATTGATCTCGCCTTCCTTCACGTAACGAGACTCGCCATCGAGGACTTCCTGGCGCAGAGAAACAGCGTGCTCCAGCTGGCGCAGCCAATCACGAGCATCGCGCTGCCTCTCATCATTATTTTGGATCTCGCGCCCGAAGATAATGATAGGTAACAATAACGGATGCAAGATCTGGCGGGAGGATGAGGCACAGGCCTTGAGGTGCCTGAGACTCTCGCTTAAGATGTCCGATGATGAAGCTGTGCCCTTGAGATAACCGGACGTGATACCCGTTTGGAAGGAATGTGAGAGGGTTAATTCCCAGCCACGCTGCCCAACCCATTAGCGCTTGAGCTGCAGAGTGGGTTGAGTCTTTTAAAAATAAAGCACCGATATCTTACCGTTTTTCCCTAGGGGAGGTTGATTAGCAAATACTCGAAATAGGGTTCTAAACGGGGGAGCCGTACCCTTTTTTTAACATCAGATTTTCTAAAAACAACCTCTACTTAAGGTCAATCAGAGACAAATCCACTAGGCAAACTTTGAACCATCCGAAGCTCAACACATACGCAGATGGGGTTTGTCTGGGTGATCGCTGTCCCGGTCCAATACCGACCAGAAGAAAGGCCCGACAGCGCTAGTAGACTCAATAGCTTTTAAGGGAAGTGCCCACGTCCTGAGCATCTCTTCATATGCCTCCGGTTTCAGGGAAACGTGCCGAGGAGAAAATGTGTCTGCTTTGTCTGCATTTGTCTGCAAACTGGCACACAGTAAGTGATATGTTGACATACAGTCGGCGTCAGTCATGACAGAAATTGAAGTCTACAGATCTAGTTGACTGTGGCCAGGGCCATCATGGTGATGGAGATGATGAACTGCTCGTCAACAAGACAGATTAAACCCTCTCCACCAGTTAAGGAGGGAGGAGATCGGGAACGAATGGACTATTTGAACTCACATCATGCGCACGCCGCCGAGGAACTCGACATTAGGAGGTAATTTAGGTGGCGCAAAGGCACCGCGCCGGTGAAGAAAGTTGGCAAACTCATCTTCCAACTCATCTGAGCTAAAGCGATGCTCTTCGATGGTGTTGAATAAAGGGTCCTAATGTGATATCGCCCATAGACACCGTCAGCGAGGCCTGAACTATACTCTTTCAGGCGCCTACGCCTTCTGGTGGTTGACCGGGCCGATTATGTCATTTATATTCCCTCTCAACTTTAAAACATGAGGTTCGGCCCTGAGAGGATGAGCTTGCCTACCGAGTAAGTGAGTATCTCAAGATAACTGGTTGGTTCCTCGTCATAACTACAGTTATCCATGTAGGACCGAAATATGTATTCATCCATCTTGGCAGGAGGCGTTTCAAGGACGGTGATTTAAGGGTCCGTTTCTAAAGACGAAAGGGGCAAAAATCAAACAAAAGGGGAAGCCTGGCGCCAGACTTGGCTTTAGAACAGTGAAGAGATGCTACCAGTGAGTCAAACAAAATCACGAAAGTGTTCCCCCTCTTGTGAGGTGTCAGGCAGTCAAACTAAACCTGCACGTCCAACTCAGCAGTTCTTTGGGACCAACCACTAAAAGGAAGTCCCACGGGAACCAGCCACCCGTTCATTGTTCAATTTGGGGACGATTACATGGGGCCCACCCACACAGTGCCCAGCAGGTCATGGAAACCGGCTGTGTTCAACTGTTAGTCGAAGGCAGATGAAGTTCGCTTCGAGACTGTTGTCTGGTCGATGCATACAACATTCGTTAGCAGGGTTAATTGTAAGGTCAGAGAAAAATATGTAATAATTTGGGATTGAAGACACAGGGACAAACATACTGAACTGTTATGAGACATGTTTTGGGGACATGTTGGGGCTCGTGTGATGAAGTTGTATGTTAATACAGTGCGAGTCCTTCAATATCTACTGTAAGGGAGAGTTTTGAGAATGCAACATTGAGATTATAGCAGCAACAACAGCGAAAAGTTGACCCCAGAAAGTGGCCTCCAAAATCCGTTGTTGGAACTAGTCCTTACTCGTCAGGCCTCCCAAAACAGCGATCCTACTAGCCTGTAGTCTACAGAGGTAGGCTAGACGGAACGCCATTTTGGGAAGCCCGACGAGTAATGAGACATGCCAACGTTCTTAAACACCATAGTCTTGCAGCGAGAGCTAACGAAGTTCAAGAGAAAAGAGGAACAGATCTATATAGCAAACGGGGCTTCCACTCTGAGATACTTCCACCTCTGCTCAACTTATTGACTGTTAAAGTTCTGGATTTACGATTGAGCTATTCAGCAGCCATGGCTTCTGGGAATACCTAGATGTACCACAGCTAATAGTCACTAAGATACATCATTCACTGGTGCAGAAGCTCGCAAGTGCCCCAGGCATAGGAGTGCTGTTGTAAGTTTCAACATCCAGAGATTTATGGACATCATAGACTTCGACTTCTCATTTGGGAAATATATAGCTTCCTATCTTCTTTTTCCCCTATTGTCATTGCTTGGAAAGCCTTGGATATGATGTCATCAATGGGTGTATATGTAGTTCAGAGCAGTCTTCTTCGTTCCAGTCATCTTCATATGCTCGGTCTTGTTGATGCAACTGATCATGTTTTCACTCTCTTGGATATGGACGTTGAACGACTGCTTCCCCCACTGAAGAGGGTTAGGGTTGCATGAGCTTGCAGGCTGCATGCAAGCCAGAGAGTCCAGTCACTGCGGACCAAAGGCCCGGCGAAACGTTTTTGGGGAACCCCACCATAGGTCGAAGAAGTGGGGGAGGGGTTGGGATGAAAGCTCTCGCTTAAGGGGGACTTCCTTGTTTCACCAACCACTGTGTTGGCGGGTCATACCAGGTGTTTGCTGCCGCTTTCGAAGTTCCTGACGGTGTCTCATCGTTGTTGGAGCCCTAGAGGCCGTCGTGAGGGGTCTTGCATGCCAAGGTTGGGCTAAAGTTGCCGCTTCACCCAATTTCACCTCAGCTACTCCGTAAGTTGGCATTGCTCTCCGTCGGCCTGGATCTACAGCCTGAAAACACTCCCCGGTCCATCTCGATTCTAGAGAGACCTAGGCTTCTGCTCTTGATCGGTAACCCGCCTTGCTATTCAGCTTGCACTTTCGACAGGTCCACAAGAAACTTCGGATCCCCTCTTCCGGGACCCCGCCGTCGCAGCTAGCTAACCATCCTCTTAACTCGCTGAGGCAGCATTACTCTACCTACTCTATCACAGTTTTCATCAACTTAACTAGCTCGCTTCCTCATCGGTTGTCTTCTCGAGTAACAGCAACCATGACTAGTGTTACTGCAACTGACGTTCACCATCTTCCCGACGGCGCTCATCAGGCCGGTGGCGGGGTGTCCGGAAAGCAGCACACCGTCAACACTATCACCGCCCCTGTCTTTGCTCACCTGCAAAACATCTTCTCCACCCATGCTGGTAGTTCTTCGGCTTGGACACCTGAGCAGGTCGCGGCTTTCCTCAGGGATGTTCAGAAAACCAGCGATTCGGAGATTCTCCATGAACTGGCTGATGGGAAGCCCTGGGACTTTGAGAGATTTGTCCGTTACATGAGCTCGGCCGTCTCTAGTGCCGTCGCACCGGCCCAGAAGCAGGACCTAACCTACCCCCTATCCAGCTACTTCATTAGCTCCAGCCACAACACGTACCTCACTGGTAACCAGTTGTCGAGCGATTCGAGTGCTGATGCGTACAAGAATGTCTTGTTGCGGGGCTGCCGTTGCGTAGAGGTCGATGTCTGGGATGGTTCTGACACAGAATCAGAGGATGATGATGATGCTAAGAGCACCACAAGCAGCAGCAGCAGCAGCAGCAGTAGCAGTAGCAGCAGCAGCAGCAGCAGCAGCAGCAGCAGCAGTGACGACGAGGCCACCAAGGCTTTGAAGAAGGCCAAGAAGAAAGAGAAGAAGGAGCGGAAGGAGAGAGAGAAGAGGGAGAAGAAAGAGAAAAAAGAGAAGGAAAAGAAACAGAAGAAGAGTCGTTTCGCATCTCTGACCAGTCGCTTCGAGAAAACGAGCCTTAGTAAGAACACCTCTGCGACAAAAAAACACATGGTACAAGAACCTTGACACTAACCAGCCGGCTATAGCGGACACGCCATCATCTGAAGCACAGGCGGCTACTCCCAACGCTTCCACTGATCAGCCGGCGCCGCCTTCCCGGAAGAGCACCCGTCGCAAGGAGCCCCGTGTTCTTCATGGCCATACGCTAACAAAGGCGGTGTCATTCCGCAATGTCTGTGAAGCCATCCGGGACTACGGCTTTGTGACGACCGACACGCCGCTCATCGTCAGTTTGGAGGTCCACTGCAGCCCAGAACAACAAGAGACCATGACCGAGATCATGGAGGAACTCTGGAAGGACCGGCTGGTCAATGATCCTAGGGAGGAGATCACCCACCTTCCCCCTCCTGAGGAGCTTCGTGGCAAGATCTTGATCAAGGTAAAGTATGTCCCTCCGGATGCGGGAGATGTCTCACCTTCGGGTGAAGGCGATGAGTTGCCACCACAAGCTTCCGCAAAGAAGAAGGCGCCGTCCAAGGTGATCCAGGCCCTGAGCCGACTGGGCATCTACACGCGGGGCGTGACGTTCAAGGGCCTGTCGCAGCCCGAAGCAACCATGCCGACTCACATCTTCTCGCTATCCGAGGGAACTGTGGAAGAAGTGCATGAGAAGCAGGGACGCGAGCTGTTTGAGCACAATCGCCGGTATTTGATGCGCACGTATCCCAAGGGCACTCGCATCCTGTCTGGTAACCTTGATCCTCCATACTTCTGGCGTAAGGGCATCCAGATTGTGGCGCTCAACTGGCAGAACTGGGACTCTGGCATGATGTTGAATGAGGGCATGTTTGCCGGTACCGAGGGCTATGTCTTGAAGCCAGAAGGTAAGCGACTTGTGCCGTGGAGTAGCACACCCAAAGGACTTGAGCTGATCAGATACTGACTTTTGCCCCTTCACAAGGCTACCGCTGCGAGAAGCCTGGCTCGTTTGGTCCAGTTGCGGTCGAGGTCCACCATTACACTATGGATCTCTCGATCCAAGTGCTTGCTGCTCAGAATTTACCCCTTCCAATCGATGATGATGATGCGTCGTCCTTTGAGCCCTACCTCAAGGTCGAGCTGCATGTTGAGGAGCCCGGCGAGCGCCATGGTTCTTCACAACCTGCCGATGGCAAGGAGAAGGAAGGTGAATACAAGGCCAGGACCAAGTCGCTCAAGGGTCTCCACCCCGATTGGAAGGGCGAGGTTCTGCGATTCGATAATGTGCCCGGTGTTGTGCCCGAACTGAGTTTTGTGCGCTTCCTTGTCAGGGATGATGAAGCTCTTCGGCGTGACTCTTTGGCCGGATGGGCATGTGTCCGGGTCGACCGGCTGAAGGAGGGTCTGCGCTTCGTGCATCTGATGGATGCTCTGGGTGTTGAGACTGAGGGCGTTATTCTGGTGAAGATTGAGAAGCGTCTGCGCTGATGGAAGCAGCATGATGTCATGGAAAACATGTACGTATGGAGTAGATGTCAGATTATATGGTTACGCTGGTATTGGCCAATTGAACATCATAACATACCTAGGTATCTCTTCCTGACATTGCACATCAGTTACGTTTATGATCGTTGTCTACATCGCCGCCCACATTGGCGGGCGGGCAGCTTGGCCCACGCAGAATAAAGCTTGATGTGGGTCGCATAATTTGCACAAAATGCAGGGTAAAACAAACAGTCTGGGATTCAAAGCTCTTCCGAAGTTATTCGAAAAAGTTGCATGTGTTGGTGAGAAGTGACGGAATGCTTGCATGTGAAAGTTGCCGGGCAAATTATCGATAAGCGAAATTCTTATCTTATTTAGACACATGTAGTCCGTTTTAATCGATGATATATACTGTTCCTTAGAACATATAAAACCCTAACCCGTAGGATCAACTTGCGATAGCCGCTTCGCGACAGTGCTCCTCGCCAACATCAATCTTGCAACGGACTCCAATACCGGCTTAGCAAAGGATCTGTCAAGTTAAAAACTACTTCACTGCTTTCGATTAAAATGAGTAAGCCAATGATATCGTTTGGTCTGAAAAAGTCCGGCCTAGCGAAACCCGCCACGGCGGTACCTCGCATGCCGACCGCGTTCAGCAATGCAAGTGACGAGGATGGTTCTGGGGACGAGAGGACATCAAACAACAACGTGGTGGAAGTTTCAGAACTTGATTCCTTTGGAACGACATCGTCGACAAAAGCGGATACAGAAGACACCATGGGGTCGAGGAAGAAGAGCAAATCTGGCGCCGTACTTCCAGCAGCACCACCGACTTCGAAGAAACAGCCGCTTTTAGTTCCCAATGAATTCACCGATCTTTCCAGTGCACTTACATCGCGCAAGTATGCTGCCTCCGCTGAAGAGGCGGACCCATCCATATATGACTACGATGCGGCCTATGACTCATTCAAAGCTGCTAAGAAAGCTGCCGCGGCCGCCTTATCAACGGAGGACAAGCGACCGCGTTACTTTGACGCGTTACAACGTGCGGCAGACATCCGCGAGCGCGATCGGCAAATTGCCGAAGAGCGGAGACTGCAGCGGGAACGCGCCGCTGAGGGGGATGCGTATAAGGATAAGGAGAAGTTTGTGACGGAAGCATATCGCCGCCAGCAGGAAGAGTTACGCAGGCTAAGGGAGGAAGAGGAGCGCCGTGAAGAGGAGGAGAAAAAGAAGAATCAGGGCAGGGGCTTGGCCGAGTTTTACAAGGGAATGTTGGAGCGTGGAGAGCGTGAGCATGCCGCATTAGTGAAAGCAGCGGAGGAAGGTGTAGGAAAGAATGTCCCGGTTGAGGAGGAGGAAGATAAGGAAAAAAGTGCCACAGAGCGAGCAAAAGAGATCAACGCGATGGGCGGCAACGTGTTAATCAATGAAGAGGGCGAGGTGGTTGACAAGCGACAGCTGCTCAAAGGGGGGTTAAACGTGACGGCCAAAAAGACGGCCGAGGTCCAACGGGAGAAGGAACGGCGTGCTGCCGAGGAAGCAGCCGAGGCGGCACGGAGGGCCCGAGAAGGGTCCCAAGGCAGAGGTGTGTATGCCGCGGGCGGCAGGCAGGCTGCACGGGAGCGGCAGACACGCATGCTTGCTGCACAGCTGGAGGAGACGCTCAAACGGTCACGACAGGAGGAAGAAGAGGAGGCTGCCCGTATCCAGTTGGTGGCGAAGAGCAGGAAAACAGAGGCTGATGTGTCGAGTGCAAAGGAGAGATATCTCGCCCGGAAGAGGGCAGCTGAGCAGGCGAAGAAAAAGGGACTGGATGAAATGCCATGATGTACCGTCCCCGTGTGTGGGAATTATAATAACCTGATATGTTCCTTATGTATGATACCCCCTTGGACTTGGGTAACCCAGTTAGAACATATTACTGTTATCCCGCCATCCCCTGACCGAAGCACATTTGATGACGTACAGATCGCGCCGTTTTCGTCCCTACACCTCCCTGTACGTGCTAACAGGTTTTTATGTATGTGTGTTCCTATATGTTTACCTGCCTGAACCGAACCTGTCTATCCCAAATTCATATGGTACAACGTCAACCAGCCTGACCGACTCTGAGAGCGGCTTGAATCAACCCAGAACACATCTACTTGTATACAGTACCATGCATAGCAACTGCGCGTCCACCATTCTGATGCCATGAATATATTACGAGCTCGAGGAGAATGAATTGTTGGCCATCTCCTGCTGTATCCTCCGGATGTAGGTTGCGTTGACCTGGTTCCAGGCCTGCATGTACTTCTCCATACATTGTGTCAGGCAGGTCTGCTCGCTGCTCGACAGAGACGAGCCAGGTTTGGGCACACAGCGCTCAAAGCATTTCTCGTTGATGTTCTAAACCACATCAAGTTATAAGCGAACTGGCCATGTCCGAGTTGTCCACCTAGGTTTTTCGTACCTCGATCAGGATGCGCGCATTGGTTGTGTTAGTCGCCTGCAAAGCCTGGCGAATGATTTCCTTCTTAACGGCCTCGGAGTCCATGGCGTATAGTAGACTGAATAAAGGGTCTAGTTAAGTTGTTGGCCTCGAGGGCTGCTGGTTGTGGGGGGTCGTCGACAGGTGGTGAACGCTTGGAAAAAAGCGTTCTCCAAGCTTGTGCTTGTTTAGAAATTAAGGCCGACAAATTACGGTAAAACCACAGGTTATGCATGCGTAATTTACCAGCCTTGTGGCCTTATGGCGGAAGTGGTGTGGAGAAGTGGGGCTATATGACCCACTTATAGCACTCGAGTGACAGGGCAGCTGCACGAGGCTGGGAGCCAACCAGCTTCCAGTTTCGAGGAAAAGGCCAGCTAAGGTCCTGGCCATCATACACAAGGGTCAGGGTCACCACCGTTCCGCAACTAGAAGCCACAAAGGCTGTGACCTTCGACACCGCACGAACTTCCCCTGACTGACGCCCGTGCCATCCGAACGGCCACGCCCTGCGCATTCGTTCGGATATCCTATTTCTTCTCTTCTTTCATTCTCTCTGTTGTCGCACATTCCAGTTCTTGGGGGTCGCAAGCTTCCACTGACCGACCGCTAACCAACCACTACCCGTTTACATTTCCTCTTCACTTACGCCGTTCCTTAATTTTGCCTCTGTCCTTCCAATCGCCTTTTGACGATCAAACTCGCACTCACCTCCGCTCGACACGATGTTGCTGATGTCAACTCTGTCGGCCCTGTGGCTGGCCACGTTTGCTTGGTGTGTGAAAGGGGAGGAGGAGAATGTCAAAAGCATAGGGGTGCGCTTGCTTGCCTATCCCGTGACGCTTTGTTGTGGTCTGGTCCGGATGCTGATGGTATTCTCTAGCTAAGGACACATTCGCTTGCCCAGGTACGCATGTGTAACCACTCTTTATTTGTAGGTTGGCATTGGAGTTAGACTGACCTTACCGCTACAGCCTTACCTTGACTCGGACATGCAGAGCCGGTGGTACGATTTTGGAGGCGATACCATTATTCGCACTGACCAGTAAATATTCCCCCTGAGTGTATCGGCTGGCAAGGGTCGATGCTGACCAAGCGTGCCAACAGATATATTCGTCTTACTTCGGACCGCCCTTCACAGATGGGGTGGCTTTTCTCCAGGGTACCATTGACTGCCACGAACTGGGAGATTGAGGTGGAATTTAAGATTCATGGCAAGAACACGCTCTATGGTGACGGTCTCGCCATGTGGCTTACCAAGGAGCGCGGCAAGCTTGGTCCTGTCTTCGGCAGCGCTGACCGGTTCGAGGGCCTTGGCATCTTCATCGACACATATAAGAACAACCGGCCCGGTGTTGTCTTCCCCTACGTCATGGCCATGGTTGGCGATGGCAAGACTTCCTATGACAAGGACACAGACGGAAAGAATGTCGAGTTTGCCGGCTGCTCCGCCAGGGGTCTGCGGGGTGCCACTATCCCGACGAAGTTGCGTCTCACTTACTTCCAGGACAAATACCTCAAGCTGGAGCTCCAGTACAAGTCGGTCGGCGAGTGGACGCTTTGCTTCGAGACGAACCAGCCCCCTGCGATTCCTCAAGTTGCCTATCTGGGTTTCAGCGCTGAGACGGGCGAGTTAAGTGATAATCATGATATCATTTCGATTGAGGCCCGGAACCTGTACACCGCTCAGCCGACCAGCCGGCCGACTCCTGGTAGCGGCAGAGGCAAAAAGGCAACCAAGGAAGGTAGCAGCTGGGGCTGGTTCTTCACCAAGATCATGATCTTTTTCCTGGTCATTGGCGGCATATACGTCGGGTTTACGGCTTGGAGAGCGAGCAACAGGCGCAGCCATCGGTTCTAAGAAGACCTAGGTATGGTGACGATCGAAGAGAGAGAATTGGCAAATAGACCGGGCCAGAAAAATCGAGTCAAAAACGAGATACCACTACACCTTGTACGCATCCTTTGGCATGGTAAAGGGGTAATGTGGGTTTGGCCACCATGGGTTCACAGCCAGTCGTTTTATGCAATATGCCCTTGTCATACTCATGTATCAGTCATGCTTTCAGGAGTCTTGGACGGACGATTTTGCTTTGTTTACTTGTGGATTCAGGAGATGAGTACAAATTGGAACTCATGTGACGGGCGCATCTCTCGCCTTCGCTCTGGACAACTCAACCCGGTTTGAGTGCCTGCCTATCTGAGCTTCGTCGTTTCATGGAGACGGAGAAAAGGGCCCCTCTTATATAAGTCCGACATCAGCCACCACACAGTAACATCGGCCCGGGCACTGCAGCAGACCGGTCCATAGCATCCGGAAAATGCTTCTAATTCTAGAGCTTGTCCTTTTGCTCATATACCGCGCACTATAGGAACGTTTGCTGGCATCCGGGCCGAGCTGATGAACAGATCACCAAGCGATAACGCTGTCAATATCGCAGCTCCAGCGGCGACCAAGGGCTGATCCCTGCCAATTGGGAACGCCCCACCATCATAGAGCCCCACCCCTCTTCCTTTGGCCTCTGGGCGCCGTTCACGGATCATCGCTCGAGACCAAAGTTTTTGATTCAGTGATCATCAGCTTCTCCGGTGCTCCGTATTCATTGTCCATTGCGCAGATGTAACACGTAATCTATGTGTAGTGTATGCCTTCGTCGAGTCTGAGATGACAGGATTTTTTTGTGCTGACAGCTGTGTTGCCGGGCTCTTCATGACCTCAGGATGCCTTAAGTTCCTTTTGAGGTACACACCTCCGGACTAGATAGCACGTCGGGGGCAGACACACACCTGTTCTAACCGGAATGCTCACCGGGCCTCTGGGAGATAATTGAAACGGCAAAGGATATTATAAACGCAGATATTGCATTGGCGCTCGGGAGCAATCCAGTCAGATTTTCCCATGGGGTACTTGCAGGCTACCTTACCTCATTTTCGGAACCTGTGAGTTGCCAAGCGGGACCTGTATACTGCAGTGGAAGTTGCTTGGGTCCCGTCCCTCCACGATCCACTCTCCACACCTTGTCCTCCCCATCTGCTGCTCCTCATCGCCAGTCACTCGACATTCCCACAACCCACACAACCCGGTTATCAGAGCACTCTCTTCGGTATTTGAGCTTCTCGTCCACTACCATAGAGAAACTAACTTCTCCATCGCTTTCTTCGCCTATCTGAAAAGCACTGGCCCTCAAGATAGGCCTACGACGCAGCCCCAAACCTCAGCTTCTCGAGCTGGCTGTATTCCGCGGGAACAGGTACTTAGCTGTGCTTGGCATTTTCGGGGAACCGTCCGAGCCTGGGCCCCCGAGCTAGAGCGCTGGAGGGGAAGGAAGAAAAGAAAAAGAAAAAGACGGGTACAGCCTGCGGAATTTTGAAGTCCCCATCTGACACTAATCCCCGGCCCCCAAGCCATTGTCATCATACAATACCTCCAGCAGTAACCCTTTTTTTCTTCGCCCGTTCTCTTCAGGCCCGACTGCAGCTCCTCCTTGGGTATACGAGACGAAACTGGGGTGCTAGCGTCTCTTTGTGCTGCCGCTGTGCGGAGTCAGACAAGCAACCCAATCCGACCAACACCTCCCCCAGGGCCCCCAGTAAGCCGCGCAGCAGCGCATCTGCTTGGGTCTGCAGCCCTCACCTATCGCTCCCCCGCCGCAGCGTCTCGACTCCATTTGCCTCCCCCGCTGCCGTCACCTTCAACAATATCCCATCTGTCCGCGGGGTGCTCTCCTTGCCCACCACCACTGCCCGAGCCCCCTAACCCTCCCCGCAATCCGATACACCTTCGATCACTGCCCGCTGATGTCGTTTGTGAAACCTACGTGATATCTACGTCTGATCTGTTATCCAAAGAACACTTGGGAACACTCGGGAAGCCCGCCAAAAGCCACGAGCTTGGAGCTTACAGCATCATACCCCACAGCTGGTCAACCCATCAAAGCTCCTACCACGCCCACGTTTCTCCCAGCTACCGAACGCATTTGTGCTCCCCTGATAAACGCCACCAGTTCGTCGATTGATTGGGCCCTCGGTTGCCATACGGTCCCTCGACTCGACCGTTCGGGCATCGACTCTGCTCTCTACACAAGTTTGTTCACAGAGACGGCCACACGCTTTTGGTCGGCTGTCACTCGACGCGCGCTTGATGCCTCTCGGTTTCTTGAGGAAGAAACGGACGAGGGATAGCAAGGAGGGCATATCTAGTGCTCCGACGAGCCCTGTGACACCCACCGCCAAATCGAGGTTCAGCCAGTCTGCCGCCGTCACTTCCTCACCCGTTGCTGCTGCTGCCTCTCAGTCCGTCCCGCGCTCCTCGGCAGCTTCCACTCAACAGTCGAGCGGAGCCTCCGACACGGCTGCCGAGCAGCAGCAGAACAAGCCCATGAATACCCTTCCGGTCCCACAGTCCGCCTATCAGGCGGTATCACACACTCCGTCTCCCGGAACAGATCCCCAGGCAAACCTCCCGCGCATTGCAAACCTGATTAATCCCCCTCAGCATGACATTCCTGCCACTTACCAGCAGCAGCAAGGTGTCCAGTATGTTCAACATGTCCAACAGCCCGCGACCGCTGGAGGCGTTGTGTCCGCCCAGGAACAGAAGAAAGGAGAGCAGCAGCAGCAGCAGCAGCACTATCATTATCAACAACAACAGCAGCAGCAGCAACCATATCATCAACAACAGCAACTACAGTCTCAGCAAGGACAGCTACTCCCTCAGGAAGGGCAGGCACGCGTAACAAAGGGGAAATACTCTCTCAATGATTTCGACATTCTCAGAACCCTGGGGACTGGCAGTTTCGGTCGTGTTCATCTGGTGCAGTCACGGCATAACCATCGTTTCTATGCTATCAAGGTTCTCAAGAAGGCACAGGTGGTGAAGATGAAGCAAGTTGAACACACAAACGACGAGAGACGCATGCTTAGTGAAGTGAAGCACCCTTTCCTGATCACCCTCTGGGGTACGTTTCAGGATGCCAAGAATTTGTACATGGTGATGGATTTTTGTTGAGGGCGGTGAGCTGTTTTCATTGCTACGGAAATCTGGCGTAAGGCCTCGATCCTGTGATGAATGCTTGTACCGAGATTCATAACCTATACTGACGCTTGTTCCAGCGTTTTCCTAATCCTGTCGCCAAGTTTTATGCCGCCGAGGTGACTTTGGCGCTCGAGTACCTTCACTCGCGCAATATTATATACCGCGATTTGAAGCCGGAGAACCTGCTGCTAGATCGACATGGCCATCTCAAAATTACAGATTTTGGGTTTGCCAAGCGCGTCCCGGACAAGACATGGACTCTCTGCGGTACCCCTGACTATCTCGCCCCTGAGGTCGTTTCCAACAAGGGATACAACAAATCTGTTGACTGGTAAGTGACTTATGTGGGTTTCCCAGGGTATGTAACGATGCTAAAGCTAGCTTACGTATGACAGGTGGTCACTAGGTATTCTGATCTACGAAATGCTTTGTGGTTACACGCCTTTCTGGGACAGTGGGTCACCTATGAAGATATACGAAAATATTTTGCGCGGCAAAGTCAAGTACCCATCCTACCTGCACCCGGACGCTCAGAACCTGCTCGAGCGCCTGATCACAGCAGACCTAACCAAGCGCTTGGGCAATCTGTATGGGGGTTCTCAGGACGTGAAAAATCACCCTTGGTTTGCCGAGGTTACATGGGACAGGCTTGCTCGCAAGGACATCGATGCCCCGTACTGTCCTCCAATTAAGGCTGGCATGGGCGACGCCAGCCAATTTGACCGTTATCCAGAGGAGACAGAGGCATATGGCCAGACCGGCCATGATGAGTAAGACCCCTTCTTGCATCTCGTTAGCTAAAAGACGGAAATGAATGCGGACTAATTGTGAATAGATATGGCTACCTTTTCCCCGATTTCTAATGTCAAGCAGACATAAATCGAACAAACCCTTTCAAAACTACAACAGTCGAGGTCATCGTTTACGTCTAGGTGACGATCACCAAGCAGCTAATGCGCCTCTGAATATAGGGGCAGTTTAAAATGTGTGAGTCTGTAACGAATCGAGTTGCTTATTTGTAGGGACGGAGGGACACAGCTGGACTTGACCCTGAGTTATCAGCATGGTTGGGTTGATAAACTGGTGGACGGGAGGAGAAACAGAACTTAGTTGAGCCGAGTGAGTGGAAGGGTGGAATGGAAAGAACAAAAGCATACATGGCCGCGAGAGACCTATCGAGTTACCTAGGCAAACAATGCCTCTTCCAGGCTTAAAACCATTTATCCTACTTACTACCTGAGCCAGGTAGGAAGACGCTTGTCTTCAAGACCTGCCTGAATCGTTCTTGCCTCATTGGCTTTTTCCCTCTTGGTCTCTTGAATTGTCCATATTCACTTCCTACATTTTTACTCCTTCGCAAACTGAAAGCATTCAACACTAGAGCAAGCTCGATGGACAAGGTTAGCTAAAAAAGATCGGCCACCCAGGAGGTGCTGTGTACATTTATAAAGTATGGCTTGATTGTGTAGATCTGAAAATGCGGAATATGGCATGGCAGTCTTCAATAAAAAAATTTCTCCATCTGAACGAGGAAAAAGAGAAATGTAATATTTACAAAAGCTTTTACCTTTATTGCATTTAAATTTTCTGAAAGAGTCCACTGCTTATGCAAGGGATAAAGTAACTAGTGTCAAGCCCACAACATTAACCACAGCATTAACACAAAAAAGTAACCAACCTATTTCTATCTTTACATACACAACTCTGTAAAGATAAAAGGGTAAGCCCTCCCTCCCCCTGGATTTCCTCTTAGACTTTATGCATGTCGCACTTGAAGTTAATATCATCAACCCCAGCTTTCAGCATTTCGAGACACCCGAAGGCATCTAGTTTATAAGCAGCACAACATCTGATCTTCGTAACCTTGTTACTGCTGCTGCCATATTAAAAGTGTATATAGCCAATTTACCTGCGCCACAACTCCGCTGTCAAAACAGAGACCCATCCGCCTTCCGAAAGCCAGCATACACGATCCGTTAAGTTGGAACTCTTATCACTACACTGAGTCCTTCCCACTATCTATAAGAATAAAACAGCCTTAATAGTGCCATAAAAGCTTCATGTAGATGCATCTCGAGCCCAGCATTTTATATTCATAGTTTGTCACCCAAGAATCATTGGTTGACAACTTCGCAAACACGCTCGCCCCCTTCCACACGACAACTTGCTCGTCCATCTCGCGCGCACTGCGGCTGACCAGGATGCGGTCAGCCAAGTCGGGACGTCGTATCTTCAATTTTTCCTCCAGGAACGGCGCAAAGTGCGGGATCTTGGCCCCGCCGCCCACAACCATGATGCTGCCGACCAGCTCGCGCACCTTCTTCTCGTCGCCCTTAGCTGCATGTTGGATGCTGGTCAGGATGGCCACGTCTAGGGGGGCGATGGGCAGTACGGCGTCCCGTTCGGCAGCGATTTCCTTGGCGCTTCGCTGCTGGGGCTGTTGCGAGGTCGGGTTATCAAAGGACGTGGCTGGGAGCACGGTCGTGCCGTTAGCTGGGGCTGGCGTGCCGCCGTTGCGACCGCTGGGCGCTGGGCTGCCCCCATTGGCTTCGCGAGAGGAAGCGCCAAAGATATACGGGCCTGGAACGGGCGTGCTGGCGCCGTCTGGTGCAGGAGATGGGGCTTTTGACGTGCCAGGCGTGCCAGTAGCATCAGGTCGGGAGAGAAAGTTGAAAGGCTGAGTGCGCTCTTTGCTGGGGGTGGCGGTTGGGTCGCCGTTGAAGCTGGCTGTTGCTGTTGGAGCAGCCAGAGACGGCTGGACCATAGCGAGGATGGCTAATTGTGCCGATGAGGTTGGGTCGTCGGGCATGTCAACGTCATAGGCATTGTATGAGCGGTCAATCAACTTTCGCCGACCACGCAGCTTCGTAGAGTTGTCGAAGATAGATGGGTCATAGAATCCCATCGGGGCGAGGATGACCTCATCATAAAACTTAAACTGGTACTTGCGCGTTGGCTGATTCGGAGCGCGCAAGTGGAAGTCGAAGGCCTGTACCGAGATGTTGGCCTGAGAAAGGGTACAGTACTTCATCTTCAGCTCTTCTGCCAGCAAGAAGTCATGTCGTCTGCGGAGGTTGATGTCTTGGTATGGGAAGTTGTCATAGAGCATCATCTTGATAAAGGTCTCGGTGACGTCGTAGCCACCATACTTGAGGTTAACCCTCGAGTCTTCAATGACAAGGCCATCCTCCACACATGAGATGGAGGTTTTCTGTGCTCCAACGTCGACCACACAAGCCTGGGTATAGCCGGCGCCAAAGGTAGCCGCCATACTCTCTTGGATAAATGCGACCCGTGACAAATCGAAGAATTCGATGCAGAGATGAAGGAGAAGCTCGACGTAGCGCTTGTCGTACAGATCTGGAATGACGATAACGCAGCTGTACTGTTTCCAGTCTGCCTTCTTCGTCAAACCCAGCTCCCGCCGAAGAGCACGGTCAAGCAGCATTTCGAGGTCGTCAAACAGATGTGCCCTGGTGGGATAGTCATCCTCGTTCAACCAGCCATGCTGGATTGGCCACCAAAGTTTATACTTTGGGCTCGAGTCCTCCGCAATTCGGAGAGCCTGCTGCCCGATGAAGACCTTCTGGGTTGTCCCATCTTCGGGGGCCTTGTTGACGTTCGTCCACTCGACCTGCAGCGGATCGTTGTGCTGAGAAATAATCTCGGGCTCGGTGCGGCGGTTGAAGTTGACCACGAGATCCTTGGAGTTGGGCAGCACCTTCAGCTTGTTGGCACGCATTGTGACTTTTAGGTCACTACACATCTTCTGGTATTTCTTGACCCATTCTTCCCCATACTGCTGCTCCATTGTACGACCTTCAAATTGCCGTCGTGGCAGGGCTTCGTGCATCTCAGACTCAGTCTGGGAATACTGGGTACCGAGGACCATAGGGATGGTCTTCGGCAGGGCGTCGCTGGCAAAACCGATGCGTAAGTTTTGGCTGCCTGGATGGATGACGATAATCTTAGAGGGGTCCATGGCTGCCGATGGCGCCGGGGGAGCATCCTCCTGGAGCTCGTCAAGTGGCAGCGGAACTTCGCCATTCGTGTTAGTGTTGAGGGCGCGATCACGGTCTTGAGCCGTCTTAACAAGTCGTTCCCGGTTGGCCTCGTTCTGGAGGCGCAGCGACAGGATCTGATCATCGCGCTTCATATAATCACTGATAGCAGCCAGCGTAATGTTAGGGTCGCTGATGAAAACGAGAAGCGAGGTTACCGCAGCATCCTTACGTATAATAGTTCTTTTGGTTAATGGGCTGCACCTCAGGCCAGCTTGTTTGCCTCATGCCATTGTCGGTGCGTTCCAGCCCTAGAAGGACGACGGTCAGCGCAGTCACGAGACTGACTGTAAGGCAAGAAGCGCCAACCTTCCCTGGCAAGCACACGCTCGCTCACTTTTCCCACCATCTTGAACTGCCTGTGTTCCCGTCACCGGCAAGAGAGCGAAAGAAATGTGTGGTCTTTGAATCGCAGTCGAGTGTACTCCTGCGAGGGCCAGAGCAAAGGTTGCTTCGCTAGATCAACCTGGTGATGCGAGTGCGAGGAATAAAGATAGGGCGGCTGCAATTTGGTCACGGCGACAAGAATTGTGATGTTGAAACCCAAAAATAGGTGGGCACTTTGTCGGTTTGGCCCGCTGTTAGCGGCGGGCGCTGGAACGCGATAGGCGAATCGCGGATCGAGGATCGCGGATGATAAGAGTCGGGGATCGTGAAGGTGCGGCGGAGTTGGGAAGAGGAAGGGTTGTTAACTACGGATTACATTCGCGTTCGTGGCTCCATTGGCAAAAATGTTTCGCGGTTTGTCTGCTTTGAGCCGCCAGGGCCTTTTCGGGCTGGGATTTGGGATGTGCATCAGCTCGCCAACCCCCCAACAACGGATGGCCCCAATCCCACTTGCCCACAGTATGGACGCCTCGGGCTATCGATAGGTACGACGAGGCAGCTTTCCGCATCCACGCTGCATGTTCGGACACTAGCACCGATCTGGACTAGCGTCTTGGCATCAGTCGGCGCCCAAAACCCACCGTGTGCCGCACTCAACCGACGGATCTCTCTTCGATAAAGTTATGGAATTTGACAGCAAGTGATGAAAATATGAATGAGAAGGTCTATCTACTGATGATTCAACTAACAGTTTTTCTAGGAATAGGAAGCGGAATAAGGCTTTGATAGTCCGGTCGGTCTTCCAAATGAACGTTAGGCAAATTATGTGGAATCTGGCAATCATTGCTTCCTGGTGTCATTTGTGATATATCGCCACTCAACATCAGACGGAGTAGCAGCAATAGAGCAGGGTTTATGACTTGCTTCCGCATAGCATCAGTCAACCATGTGAGAGCAGTGCGTTTAGTGTTTTGTACTTAAACCAAGCCGGAGCTTAACTCTCTGATAGGATTTCCAACCATCAACACAGCTTAGCTGCAGCACCTCCTCCCCACTCATTTCACTATCTTCTCAATACCATTGACAAAGGTTGAAATTAAACTCCATCACTATGCCTCCAGTCAAGATCTACACTGATAGCCCAATAAACCCAGCTAGAGTGTCAAGTACCACTCCAAAAGCTCCAGACAGTCAATCCGGGTCTCAAGTGCCTTCATCAAGACTCCCTCCAAGACCCACAACTACCCCTGAAACTCTCACCAGAACACGTCCCTCTCAATCCAATCTTGGAGGACTTCCCTCTCCTCCTCAGCCTGGAGCTATTCCAAATCTACGACAACAAACATCATCAGCTCGAATTCTGCCTCCTCCTCGAGCTGGTGACGTTGCCAGGCAAAGGGCTCAGGCGGGACCCGCGCCACCGATTCCAACCATGGTTTCGGCGCCGGGTCCGGGTCCGAGATCGGCCCCACTAACTACCGGCTCTTCCTACGGAGACGGTTTGAGAATTCCCGAGGAATGTCACTACCCAATCAACACTACTGCTCCGCAGAATGCCTCAGGATACTACTCGAATTACCGCCCGGCCCAGTACCAGCCTTTTCAGGAAGACGAGCGGCTGGACGATGAGGAGGGTGTACTTGATTCGGTAATCAAGTTTACCAAGGTTTTGGGGGAGAAGCTTAGCGAGGCGGAAAGCGAGGTGTGGAGGAGGATTAATGGAGATAACTAACTTGGCATTCTGGACTATGTGTGATCTCTGAGAAGGCTTGAATCGGTAGAGGGAATGCTGCGTCCAACTTGTTTGTACTCACCTCAATGAAGCAGTAAGCATTTACGGCCATAACCCACATTTTCAGGCTTTTTTATTATGTCTTCTTACCTATAGGTACTATTAAGCGGCGTATTCTTGGGTGGGCTTTGTGTTGGTCAACCGTCTAGGAAGCTGTGTCGGAGACTGACAGTTGTAATCACTAAAGTTTGAATGATGACAACAGGGGTCCTTGTAACTACACAACGTCTCCCCACCTACTGACCAGTACTTACCTACATACATGCTAACAGTCCGAGTATCATCGCGTCTCAGTCATTGTATGTGATTGGTTCGGATTGTTTCCGTTGTTGTTGGGTTTACTGTTTCTGGATGCGATGTCTGCTGCAGGGGTATAATATGGGAATATCGAGAAGTAGGTCGAGAAAAGCAAGCTAGATATGTGAGTAATAACTGCATTTTTCCTATAGGTAAACGCGTACAACACATCAACGAGCTCCTTTAAAACACATAGTTACATCTTTCCCTGCGGGTAGACACACCCAAACCGACCGGATGGACAACGGCATCCCAGTCACTATGCCTTGAGCGTCCCCTAATCTCCCACATTACCAAAAACGTAACACGGAGCAACCAGTAATCTATCCGATGCCTTGCGAGTTTCCCGTCCAGCCCTTGGTCAGAACCTTACCGGACGAACCACTTTCTAACAGATGCGATCCGTGTTCCTGCCACTCATACCCCTGGAACAGAACGACCCTGCTTGATCAAGGCGACATATTAACGCCTAAACTTTTTTCCTTAGCTGCCCAACAGTCTGGAACTGTCTTAAACGTGTTGTTACTAGCGCGTCCGGTAATTCTTCTAGGAAGGTCATAACAGTCCTTGGAGAACCTTTTCCAATCAACAAGCCCAGTGATACACTGCCGGCGCCAGTAATGACGTGGAGCTCCGCAACCGTTAGAAGTTGAACTAGGTAGTAATCCCTTTGTCGTCAAAAACTCGAAGTAAGAAGGCGCCGTACACGACAGATTACCTACGCTTCCCTGAAAAACTCCGGCCCCAAGCTCACCTGCTCTTCCCGACTGGCTGTTGTGGGTTGAGTAGGATAACATGGATGCCATCTCTAACAATGATAGGAAAGCCGCCAGTAACGCATAACCTTGTTCAGCTCTGCTTGCTATTGACCTTGAATGATGCCAGTGAGGACTGGCTGGCGCAAGATAAATGATCTATAATAATGATATGCCGAAGACAAAATGCCTAGACGCTAAACACATGAGAGTAACCTAAGTGAATTGAACTGTATGGCTGATTGTGTCTGCGTGAGGCCCTTGTCGACATCGAGAGAACGATTCGGCTAGGCAAGCGCTGGAAAAAAAATTTCCATGCCCAGCCTTTGCGAACTCCGGATGCATTCATGAGGCCGCGTCTGTTCACCATCATGTGGTTGCCAGCTCCAAGATGGAGGCGTCAACACTAAGATTTCGCCGATACCCCACATCAACAGCAGCATTCCTCACAGGTAACTGTTCAGATGGAGGGACCTGGCACACTGATAGATGGGCCACGTCCGGGGTTGGCGGCCTCTTCTGAAAGAAGGATCGCGTCATCATTGGCCGGCGATCTCCATAAGAGCCGATATATAGGCCGTGGGTAGACGGCTAAAACGAGGGAAAATTTCCTGTTTGGGAGAGCGTTGTTATGCAAACTCATGAGCTACGGTATGATCTCCGGTGGCTCCCGTGAAGGAAACGACTAGCCCACGGGATCGAGGAAGCTGTTTGCGAGCCGGCCAATATACACCACGCGCAAGGCTACCGGGCTCGCCGAATTCCGTGGGTTAGGGCCATAGCAAGCAGCAAGGGGAACCAGCATAGAACAGCTATCGAAGCCTTGAAGAAGTGTCTGAGCGCTGCAGTTGTCAGGGTCAGGATTCACAGATAATGAAACCCAAAATAAACCTTGGGCGGAGCTGCGCTCTTGGCTTCCGAGATTAGTATGAGCCCGATGTTGCCAGGCAGATGAAAGCAGTCCCTATAATCGGGGAGCCATGAAAAAAGGGCCCAAACAGGGCTCAATGACAGCCACCAAATAGAAGGCCGAGGCCGAGGGAACTCCGCAACGAAAGCCGCAGAGGTAGGCTTCCCCGCAGATAACCCTAGCTAGCGTCGGCGATTGAGGGCACGGCAGGTAAAAGCTTGGCTCGACATCACATGTACCTGACAAGGCAGATAAATAATTATTGGCTAGTTCAGCTCCAACCGCGAGCCGGTTTCCAAGTGGACGACGCGGTAGACAGCCTTATAAGTCAGCTACTTCCAGCATGATGAGGATTCCTAGGCTTGTACATGGCCTTAGGTCTCCTCTCCGGTCATTCTATAGCAATTGGACCAAACGGTATCGCCGGCAACGTGGGGGCACATTCCGAGCAATCAGAAGCCGTCAAGTTTGGGGAACTGAACAATAACGGGCAGACTCAAGTGGAAAGCTAATCCATGATTGTTGATTCGAGTTGCCTGCAGAAAGTAGCTCGAGAATAACCTTGACATCCCTGGTCGTTGATGAAGGAGTATTACTGATGAGCTTTCGAAGCAAGACATTAGTTCAAAACAAAGTCAAGGTCAAGATATTTTTGGAAGAAAGGCAAAACACATCAGGATCGTCTGGTAGATGGATGGCAGCAAGAGGTATGAGGTCCCACAGTACCATTGATCCATGGCATCATCGGTGCGCTATCTGAGCAGCGCCCAAACACCGGATGATTGGGGAAGCGAGAGGCACGATGAAGGGGGCTGAGGAATGCTGTGCTGCAACCCGACCAAATTTTGGATGTTGCGTTGGGTGAGCACTGGGTAAGCACCAGTCAGAATCAAGCGCTACTTGCCGAAGGCTAAAGTATTTCAAATATTTTGATTCTTCGCGATCGAGCGCAACACTTATTCCATTGAAACCCCGCACTGACGATTTGAAAGGTGCAAAATGTTTCTTTCGATATCGACGGTAATGGTGGTTTTCGGCTTCGACTTCGGCTTCGATGGGTAACTTGTGCTCTGGGGCCAAGAATAACGGACAAGGGGTGGTCAATAAAGATGGAGAGACGTTGCATGGTCAGTGTCCTGCGACAGATCTGAGACAGCCGAACCCCTGTCAAACCCCGCTTCGAGCCCCTGGTCGTGTTTGTTCCGCAGACCCACAAGGCGCGGGACCTTTCGCAGACACTCGACTTGTGCAACCGTGGGGTCGTCTGATTACATCAGCAGCGAATCAAGGCGCGACATGGCCCCACCACGACTTCAACCTCAAACGTCGCTCCCCCTTACTGCAAGTCGCGTCTTTTCCCTAACGTCTGTCCACTCGCTCCTGTGAATCCTGTCGACACCACCAGCAGCAAAGCAGCAAGCCGTCTTTTCCAAGACTCTCAAAGGACCAAAACACGTCCCCTGTTCATCCAGCCACTGTAGTTTCTGTCTCAAATCGAGTAAAAAATAGCCAACACACAGCAACCGTCTGTTCCATCGCGAGTGGTTTTGTGGGGTTGATGATGACCTATCGCCCCCTCGTTTGACGGTTCCAATCCAAACACTCCAGATATTTGGATTGTTTTCGCACAGTCGATTGCCTATGGCCTCGCGAATCGACAGGTTCCTGCGTCGCTCTGTGCTGCGCCTCTGAGCACGGCCGCTTGGGGATCGCCCGCTCACCTGTTGCCCATCGAACTCCCCAGTAACGGTTCTCGACAACATGGGAACAGCGCCGCTTTCTCAGCTCATAATCTCATCGGGCACCAAGGACAACGCACGGTAAGGTGAACGAGGGATCCTTGCCGACATGAAAAGTAGGTGCTTGTTCCTGTCCCGTCGCATCCACTTCTCGCCTTACTACCGGTCGAGAGGGTCAGCGACGGCAGTCATTCTGGGGTTCAACTCCTTGCCCAGTAGCCAGGTCGAGTACCTACGTGGCCCATATCCCGGTGTTGATGGCCGCAAGCCCGTGGAGACAAAGTGTGGCCTACCCTAACAGATGATCATCACGCACTCTGTCTGTAGCGTGTAGATCTGGGGCAAGGCGAAAACAGGATCGCTGCTGTAGGGTAGCTAGATCGTCTGCTTCAAAACGGCGTCCGCGGCTAATGTCTGCTTGCCAAACATGCTCAGTCGTGATCCTCGCTGCACAGCTCGGGTTGACCCGGGCTGGGCTATTCGCAATTTTCACCCTCTTTTGCACGACCGGGGAGGACTCACGAAAACACTCCACTGGATTCCCAGTCCAGGGATCGCAGGGTTGGCGTGCGAGGTTGGCTTTTTAGCTGTCCACATGTATCTCTTCCGAACGGCAGGTCTGCGTGCTCTTTCTGTTGCAACACCGAATTCGAGTTGCCGCCTGTTCTGTTTGTCTGTGTTTTCTTCCCTAGTAGATATCGAGATCTCTGTGAAGGATCTTCAACCTGGCCTATTGCGCTCTCTGCTTGGAGAGCGTGAGGTGAGACAGGCCACCTCCTCGGTATCTCTGCCACGCGGCCCTGTGCTTCTTCGGGTATCCTCCACAAGGCCAAGTCCCGGCCAGTTTTGGTTTTTGATCGACTTTTAACCCCCTTTGTCTCGTCCAAGTGGATTCAAGACCTACTTGGCTGTCAGATATATGTTCCTGAAAAAGATATCATGGATATACAATTGATATGTTATTCTGGCTCTTCTCACCTTTCTTCTCTTTTTTGGCCCGCAAATCACTCCATATCCTTGAATAAAACCCGGGGTACCTTGTCCCTTTCAGCCATTCGCCGGAGCCAGGTTCGGATATCGAACATCTGTGGGCAGCCCTGCCGGCTGCTGTTTTGTCGGGCATCCCCTACTTCCTAAAGGGGCAGCAGTCTTGTGAGTCGACTTCCTGGTTCGCCTACATCTCCCTCCACTCATACTCTCTCGTCTTCCGGTTGTCCCGCCTGCCCTGGCCCGGATGTAACCTTGCCTGGCCCTGCCCATCCGTGATCCTTGTAGTTCTTCCCCTTGGTGCCGGGCCACGCAGGGTCTCGCGCAACCACCAGTCCGTGACCGTTTGAACGGCGCGACCTCTCTAGAATCAGGGCCCACGACGCTCCGGCTTGTCCTTTCCCCCCTCCCCTGCTCGTCTTTCGACCTGGGTTCTGTTGCCCTATACTACGTAACCCCTCCGTCCTTTCTTATACCCCAAGGTTCCTGCTCCCGCCTTGACCTGTGTTCCGGAACCTCTCTTTCACTCCCTCCACCCTCGTCCCACACCCCACATAGGCTTTTTACTTTGCCTTCATACTGGCTGGCCATCCCATCCATCAGTAGTCGCTCTTTTCAGCAACGCTCGGCCGCCTGCAATTATCAGCCTCTGGTCTATAATATACCAAGAGCTGGCTCTTTCCTCCCGCTCTCGTCCGGACGGAGACTATTGGTACCAGGCTGTGGGCCTTGCTGTCCTGACCAAACGAGCAGCTGGGCTGGCCGTCTCGTGTCCGACTCACGACATTCCTTACTTGTCCTGACACCCAGGATTTTTGATTGTCGCTCCTTTGCCTCACTCATTTTTTCGACCAACTCGCTCGCGCGGCTCCCAGCCATCTTCCACGACCACTCACACCTCTTGCAAAAAGGCAACCTCGACACTCCTTGCTTCCTCGACCATCTCAACGTCAAGCATACTCATACTTCAGTGCCCATAACCTCAAATTGATGCTCGCCATCCACGTCGTTGCGCGTCTCTGAACACCACGGTACGTCGTACACAATCCACCTGCATCGTGGATCTTTGTCCGGGCCCTTCAATTATCAGGGTTCGCTCCTGTGCAAACATTCATGCTGATTTTCTTTTTTCTCCAAGACCAGGCTCCATCATCCATTCTTACCCTTCACTAATCAAGAACACCCTTCTCTTTCCCGGGTTGTATGTTTATGGCTACAACTCAAGCTCAACTGTATGCCATTCTGTCCTGCTTGTTTTCCTGCTGACCCAGGGATAACGACTTACGCATGATTTAGACGGAACCCCACCCAGGCATCTTCCCTTGACCTCAGTAAGCAAGCCAATAGGTTCCGGGAAGATAGTAATTCAATTTCGACATCCATCTCCAACATGAACGGGATCACGATGTCCGAGAAGACTGAATCAATGGTAGCGGCGCCCCAGCCAACATGGACAACGCCAGTTGCTCATGGATTGAGGCCCAGGCCTGCCACAATCCATGAAGGCTTTTCATTTTGCGTGGCCCAGGGCTTCGATGGTCTGCCGGCGTGGGATTCTTCATACCAGTTGCAGCAACCACCGAGTTCCGTCCCTCAGGACTTCTATCCCACGACTACTTTAGACAGCAGTAAGGACAGCATAACTGAATTCGAGAATGCTGGTATGCTAATGGCTGTGATAGATTCGTGGGTGCAAAAGCCTTGCGACGGGAACCTGGACATCCCAGGACTGGACAACAACGATATGCCCATTGGCCAGGCGTACACGACCGACGAAGCTGTTCAGATGCCTGCGGATATGAGATGCTCAAGTTCCCACATGGACAATGAGCAGATGTCATTTGATGGAGTGAATCCTCGCCGGATGTCGGGATCGTCCTTCACAGTGTCTACGTCAGGTGGCATGTCTGAGATGGCATCGTACGACGACTACTCGACCGGCTTTTCCGATGCACAATCTCTTTCATCGGATTACTTCCCGCCGTCCAATAGGACCTCGATGATCTCGTCAACCCAACTGTCTCCTGTCGCCTCTCCCAGGATGACACCGCAGAGCCGCTCGGAATTGGTACGGACTCAGAGTAGGGGAAGAGCCTCGCCATCGCCACGATCTGGAGTGCGCGCTGTGCCATACTCGCTTGAGAATGGACGGAACAAGCGTTGGTCTACTGGGTCCTACGGAACGGTTGCCAACCGTAGACCATCTCCTTTCGTTTATCACCCTCCTTACGACATGCAGGCTCGGTTTTCGTCCCATCAGCCGTCTTCCGCGATCGGGAATGGCCAACTGCCCCTGACTTATGGCAACCTCCAGGCTACACAGCAACACCCTTACTGGCTGAATAGTGATCCATATCAACGTAACAATATGCTCTTACCAAGTCAGCTGCCATCGCAAGCATATCATCCGGAGATGCAGCAATTCAGTGCTCCTCCACTGATGTCACACGGCATCTTCCGTATGCTTTCGAGCAATGCGGACCCCAGCTCCCTCCACAACCACTACGCCGACTCGGAGCCGCCAGACCTGTACGCTTCATTGCATGAGGAGCAAGTCCCTCCTCCCCCGGAGGACATGAACCCTAGCGACCCAGACCTCGTCCCTCACGAGCAGGAACTCAGATTTGAGGGCGACTTATACACTCCCAAGTGGGTTCGTGGCCACGGCAACAAGCGCGAGGGTTGGTGCGGTATCTGTAAGCCAGGCCGCTGGCTCGTCCTGAAGAACTCGGCGTTTTGGTATGACAAGAGCTTCACACACGGCATCAGCGCCGCAACCGGTGCTCCCTTCGCCGAACCAGTAGAGACAAGGCGTATGGACGGCAACCCTGATGTGTGGGAAGGTCTTTGTGGGAGCTGCAATGAGTGGATTGCACTCGTAAGCAGCAAGAAAAAGGGCACGACATGGTTCAGACATGCGTATAAGGTGAGTTATCCCTACAGTGGCCTGTACAGAAGATTACCAGACTAACAAGGCGTCAGTGCCACTCTCACCCCAAGATTAAGGATGCACCGAAGCGGAGAAGAGAAAACAGCAACTCACGTGCTCTAGCAGCATCAAACGTAGCTAGCAACAAGCCGAAGCAGGAGTGTATCACTCCGCAGATGACGCCAGCTACAACAATGACGGGCGAAACACCAACGCCTGCCAAGACAGCTACGGCCCCGGCTCCTCCTCCTCCTGAGACACAACAGCCCCTGTCGTCGTCCCAGCCTCAGCAGCAACAGACACCGCAACAGGAGCCGTTGCAGCCGCAGCTTCATACACCGTCAACGCCATTGCAACGCCCGCACTTCCAACCGCAGCCTCCGCCTCGGCCTGCTCGGTCGCTAGCTCCACCTCCATTGCCGCCTAGGTCCTCGTCAATCATGACGCCCTTGCCGACAGTGACCACCGTCAACGGGATGCCTATGATCTAATTGGAGAGGCAGCTGCTTTATTTTCTCCCTCCGTTCTGTTCCCGCGTCCGCATCCAACCGTCGCTGAAAACAAAAAAATCAATTCTTTCTATTGCATCTCCCTTCTCTCACCTCTAATGCCGTTATGACTAAGAAGGAAAAAGAAGCGAGAATCGTTCTGATGGATGATGACCTTGACGACTGGTTTTTTGGAAACAACAACACACCTGGCGTGGGTTATAGACCGGACAGATTGGGAACGACATATGGCATGATAAGGGATAGGGGTTGGTTTCTTTTGGTTTGGAGGCGGGTATAGCTGCGGATGCAGATGATGGGTGATGACTCGTGTTTTGTTCCTTTCCCCTTCTTTGGTTCCGGTTCCGTTTTGCCTTCTTGCCTTCCTTCTTCCCTTTGTCCACAACCAGGTTGTGGATAAAAAGGGCCAGGTTCCTAACTATTCAACCCAATTTGGCTCGTTTGAGATTACATTTTCTGGTTCTTCGCTACACTTTCTTGTTTGCTTTGTGGCCTTCCCGGATGTCAATTTATCTCCCCCCTCCCCCCTCCTCCCCCCTTCTGTTCGTTTAAATACTCTTTTGCATCAGTTGTTCTAGCACTTTGTTTCTATCATCTCCTTATTTCCCTGCATCACGAAACTCGCACCGTAAGTAGCTTTAGTATTCCCTCAAGTAGATAGACACCTTTAGGTTGTATTGCTTTCAATCTGTTGATACCCCAAAGGGAGGAAAGTTTGTATATGGAACGGGGAAAGAGGGAAGCGAGGGTATGAGGCTTCAGGTTTGAGAGAGGAATGGATGAATGGGCGGGATTCTGAGATGGAGTTAGTATAGAGTGTTGGGAAGATCCGTCTCTTGGTCTTTTGGATAGCTGGATATAGGTAGCAGGATCAATGGTATTGGGAAAATTGTCAACAGATTTTGGTTTGTTTATTATTTTTGTTCCATCAGTTCTAGTTCTGTGGATTCTTGTGAGCATCTGAGGATATACCAGCACTAGGTCTTCTGTCTTGTTCATTGATCCAGTGTCGCATCGATCACCTTTCTGAGTTTAAAAGCTTGTTCCGATTGAGAATTTTGCGTTCTGCAACTCAGGGACGGTCCTCCTGAACTTTATCACAAAATACCTGCCGGTCAGAAAACGCGGCTGACGCGACTTTTCTCCTGCCCTATGGACTTTGTGGACAGGGATGTTTAAGTGTTTGCATGCTCAGCTGCGCTCGGCCCTGATGTGGCTGGGTGGAGGTCATTCATATTTTCGTTGGAACTGTATGCAAAAAGTTACTTCCACCGGATATACTATATCGTCAGACTTACGATTCTGAATACCATTCTGTTGAAGTCGGCGTCTAATATGGATACTCCATAAAATATAAATGGAAAAGTTCAAAGCCCAAGTGTGTCCGATGAGCGTTGAAATAGAGACTCCACACAGTGTTCTTTTGACACCAATCGGAGCTTGGATGTTCTTCCCCACTGCTGTTGCTGGTCAAACTCTCACTTCGTAGAAGTCATCTGTCCGGCTTCACCATCTTCGACCGGATCGAATTCCATGTAACTCGGGATTAGACGCTGAGAGAAAGGATCAGTTGGACTAAAAGATGTAATAGGTTCATTCTTGATGTACGGAATACTACTCGGAGTGCGTTTCAGGACCAGTGGTTGTGTGTGCATTGACCCAGAAACGGGCAGAAAGCGCAACAAACCGACTTAGAGTACACCATTCGTCATGTTTGTGAGCCCCCAGGTTGGCTTGTAGCACGAGACATTTTCAGCTCTGAATCAGATCTTCTTGGTCCTTCATTCATTCCATTTCCCTGCATCTCAGCTGTGCCTGGCTCTGCCGCTGACCTGCAGCTTCGCCGTCAGCTCGACCCACTAAGCACTTACTCAGCATCTTAAACACTTCTGTCCGATAATACAACAAGTTCAGAGTTCATGGCCAGTTGAAGATATTTGCGAGAGACTTGACGTAGCTAATCCAGACGTCAAGCCATGTTTTTGACCAGGGGAAGGCGTGTCAAGCTGGTTAACTTAAAACTCTTCATGCAGCTGCCTGCGAGCTATCTTGCCCGATGCACATAGCCTATAGACGCATATTAAATGAAGCCATACGGGTATTTATGTGGAGTCTCGAGCCGTAGCTCAGAGGACATTTCTCAAGGTTCTTTCCAGTATCACAAAACAGAAAAAAGAAATAAACTCCGAAGTGTGAAGCTCTAAAGGAGCAAGGAAGCTGTTGCTCCACAGAACCTGGGCACTCCCATCACCAATTTCTAATCTTATCGGCCTCGTCTCCTTTTGACGTCTTCGTTTCCATAACCAGCCAGCTTGTATCTGCACCGTACAGAATCGAGCCGGACACAAAGGTACCAAAGAGCGCCAGAAGGGTGTGGCTTGATATCAATTGGGCTTTCTATATACTTTCTGTTGTCAAGCCTGGCACTCTCAATCTATTATGCCCGCCATCCGACGAATTTGGGCTCCGGTGTCTTCACGACGTTGACGATGGTTACCTTCCCATAGGGCACTAACTTCAATTTGCCCATGCAACCATCCGGCTTTGCAACGCTTGGTTCCGTGCAGACTGGCCATGGCTCCCTTTTCTCCTCCCCGAACAATGCAAATGGTACCAGATGCTGGCGAGATAACTGCCTATTACGGGGCGTTCCGGCCAGGCAGAACTGTGGGGCCAGGCCTCGCTCAACACCGCTAGTGCACACAGTGTATACAGCGCCGGGCTGGCCAGCGTGACAAAGTACTTAGCTCAGCAGCATCCCTCAGCCTGCACTACAATGCGAACTCGAAGATGCTGATCGCCATCGACGCTGGACTCTGCCGTTCCTTCTGACTGGCAGATCGATCGCATCTCCTCCCTGCTCCCTGCTTGGAGCGTTGGACCTGTGCCAGGTCCACTGACTGCTGCACCCCCACCTGTCCGCTGCACACAACAGACGGACCAATTTCGAGCCTTCCAGCCACCATAGGTCCTGGTGCCAACAAGCTACAGTAAAGCCCCTTAGCCGCCCCCCTCAGTCAGCCAGTTAGGGGAACACAGGAAGGTGAGCAGGCTGGTGGTCTCGTGCTGCGTTTTAATCGAATCTGCGGACGCCGTACGCGGCCTCTTCGACTGGTTCTGGCATCCCACGAAAAGCCTGACGCCAAATTCTCCAGGCGAAGCTTTTGTCCTGCTCGACACTCCACAGCCGCCGGTGATATCGATCAATTCCACAGCGCATGTACATCCAACACGCACGGAATCCTTGCCATACCTACCAGCTGCGTCCCGAACAATCCTCTATCCCTTAGCCTTACTAGCTTTGCATACCTCCATCCACTGATTCCAGGGACTCCGCCAGTCGGCATCCACATCCAGGCTGCAGTTTGCAGCTGCGGCCGCCAGCGCTTCCGGTTGCCAGTCCCACCAGCACAGACCTGGCTTCGAATTCGATACAGATTACAGTTCTCCAGTACAGATACAACTTTTTTGCACCTCGTCCTCTTGCCCTTCGGGAGTCTCAGCGAGAGACCAACTCCTCCTCCTTCTCCCCTTCGAACTTACCTTCCGGGCTCTCCAAAGTGTCTGCAGCCTTTAGCTGGCGGCATTCTATCTGGCTCAACGCACACTGTCTGCGTCCAGGTTCGTCCCATAGCTAGACTCGTTAACGCCCTACATCTCCATCACTTGGCCTCGCCAGAAAATGCCCGCCTGCTGACTTGCCGTATCGTCCTCAGCTTAATCTCCTTGGTTGCCCCGGAACAAATGTTGACGACGACGATTGGGTGACGAAAACATACTTGATTCAGACATACTGCTCCTGAGGCCCGGCTCAGTGCTGCCAAAATTTGCCCGGCTGCTCTTCCCGTCCAACGGCTCGACTGTTGCTGTGTCTTGTGCAAACATCTACACCGCTTGCATCTTACGGCCATGTTGTGCTCGAGAGTCCATATATAAACTTGAGACATAACCATAACCTGCTATGAGTGCAGATCAGCCTGCTTCCAGGTTCGTCTTGCTCGCTCTCGAGCCCAATATGCCGAACCCTCATACCCGCTCCAGGTCGAGTTGCTGACGATCCATATCCCCAGTTTTGCTGATTCAACCCCCCGTCCTCCCACCCCAAAACGGACTCCGAAGCTCGCCATCCTACCGAGTCCTGTCTTCGAAACGCCAAAGAACAACCAAGGGCGTTCCGACGAGTCAACTGGGTGGACGCCTCGCTTTGCCGAGGAATTTTCCGTCTTCAATTCTACTCCAGGGAACTTCAAAAGCCTGCTCCAGAGCCCATTTCCCGACTTCAGCCTCGGCACTCCGTTCTCTGCTCCCTCGCGTCAGAAGGATCACTTATTGACGGAACCTATTGTTGAGAGTGCCGTCCATGCGAACGAGCTCTCTCCAGAACCCAACCAGACACAGCCTCCTGTCGAGTCGTCCAAAGCACTGCAGTCACCGCCAACCTCGGAGTGTACCCCGGCCTTCAGCGATTCAGCCAGTGTTGAACTTCCTTCTGGCCCAGGTGAAAGGTCTGCCAAAAAGTCACGCCGCAACACGGCAGGTCAAGAGACCCAAAGACAGGTAGCAACTCCACCGCCCACAGCACGCAAAGGTGAACGCAAGATTGCCCCCAAGCTTGACACAAGCGCCATGCAAAATGACCAGGACTTCGACCCCCAGTCGCATTTTATGGCGACGGCCCCGCAAGGCGTGGGTAACTTTATGACAACTCAGGGTAATATGTTTGGTTATCCTCTTTCAGCTCCCGCAGCCGCACCTGGATTTGATCCGCAGAGGTCTTTTTGGGATGCCGACTCCAGCTTAGCTGGCATGGAGATTGACTTCGGGGCCAATGGTGCAGGCATGTTCCAATCCTCGGCATCTCAACAGGATGGGGGCTCCGTGGACTGGATCAGGACAAACCCGTTGCTGCATGCCCAAGGAGGGCTGATGAGCCATGCAAACGGACAAGTTTCTCATGGGGATTGTCAAGCTGCTCTTGTGTCCCAGCCACCCGTATCGATGCTTGTAACGTCGGCGGATGCGCATGCCATGTTTGCTACTACCAGCTATCCGACGCCAATTGATGATCCGTTCGGAATAAGTGGTAATCCTGGAGGTGCAGTAAATCCTGGGCTGCTCCTCAGCCGGCCACCGTCAGCTAGTATGGACCCTGCACCGTCTTTTAATCAACAGCCCGTACGGGCTCCAAGTTCATCGCTTCTTCCTGCAGCCGATGATGATCGGCAGATTTCCCCTAGTCGGGGTTCCTCCTCGTCGGCGACATCAGCGTCGACATGTGGCCAAAAAGCTAGCGGGAAGGGCGAGTTACGGCGTTCAGCAAGCGCTAAGGACAGCCCCCGAAAACCCGACCGGACGATGTCGAGCTCTCCGGTCAAGGGTGTTGTGCGCCTAGACCTTTCTCGTAGCCTCAGCGAAAACCGGGGCAAGAAGACGACGGCGACTGCGCGGCCGTCTCTACCACCTCTTGCGCCAGCTCCTCGCCCGCAGTCTCAGTTGATGAGCAGTGCAGGCATGGGTGTAAACAGGCCTATCATGCCACATCCACCCCAAAGACCGCATATGGCGAGATCTTTGCCGCCAAAGACCAGTAGCAGCAACAGTAGCAGCTCCGGCCATCACCATCATCGGCTCCCCAGCCTGACTTCGATCCCTGAGGCCTCACCAGGGCCACAGATGCGAACCCAGGCTAAATTTACGATTGATGAGAATGGCCGAGCGCACGTAGAGACGATAGTCGTGGTGAACGAGCCGCCACCGAGTACACATAAGAGGCATAGCATATACGCGCTGCCGCGCCGGCCGAGGCCAGAATGGGATTCTTCGGATGACGAGAGTTCCTCGTCAACGGACGACGAACCCATCATCATCCCAAGTCGGAATGCGTCATTCGCGCTTCCTGACCCCCGGAAGCCAAGCGCGATTCGTTCGTTCCAAAGCTCTCAGAAGAGCATGAGTGAGCGCAGCGTCAGCTCAGCATCATTCTCATCGTGCGCGAGCTTCAGCAATAGCAGCAGCCGGCCTGGGTCGCAGCGTCGCGGTGGCACGGCCAACGATAGCGATGAAGAGACGGTAGTGAACGACACGACACCAACACGCAGCAATGGCAATGCTTTGAGCGAGCTGCAGAAACTGCGGGAGTCGCGTCAGAGGCAGCAGCAACTGGTGAGTGCATCGAAGCAGAACCAGTTCTCGTCGGCATCCTACCTAGGACAGCTCCTAGCTTCATCACCGGCGAAATTGAGCGAAGCGAATCTTCCGACGCCAACGACGGGATCACGGCGGCAGAGAATCCGTTGTGTGTGTAACAGGTCCGATGCGGGACGGGATGAGCTTTTGGTGACATGGTAAGCCATAGCTCTACGACCGATTTGACTCTGAGAATGTCCCTGTGTTTGTTAGAGGAGCGATAGGGATTTGCTAATTATCAACAGCCAAGCGTGTGAGTTTCAGGTTCACGCGGTCTGCGCAAACCTCACGCCACGGACGTTGCCGAAGATCTATATCTGCGCGTTCTGTGCCGACACTCCCAATGTGCGAGCAGGTCGGATTCGGGATGCGCTAAACAGTACCAGCAACGGTGCTCGCATGCCGTCGTCGTCAGGCGGTGCACCAGCATCAGCTTCTTCGCCGCTGGCTCATAAGTCGTTTAAGCCGTTTCGATAACGGCTCATGCCATGAAGCCATTCCTTTTGGACCACACCGTATATACATAAATAATAACGAAAAAAAGGATTTGATGAATTGGATTGACAAATGAATTTCATTGGATTGTCGAGCAAAGCCAGGTGTCTGTTTCCATTGTCACTTAATGGACGGGACTGTCGGAGGAACATACACAAAGATTATGCCATGTTTAAAGAGACGACAGACGTGGGCCGGCAACGGCTTACAAGATATATCCACAGTTTTTATCGACTGGCCTATGGTCTTATGTATCACTCGTGGCCGTGGCCATGATTACTTCCTACCTTAGTCTACAATGGCGCCACGGAATCCAGATGATGACGAATGCGTACGATACCCGAACTAAGTTGCCTGATGTATGAAGCGCCACATGAAATAGCTACTACCTATATGTTTCCTTTGAACTTTGCAAATAATACTAAGAACTATAGCCAGACATCGGCGTCATGTCATCATGCAACCAGACCATCGGTCCCTGGATGCAGTCAGCCGAACCCGGGGCTCCGGAACCGCAGGGGGCTGATGCCGACGCCCGAGCGGATCCGAAGTGTCTCGCTGTCCCAGGGGGTCGCCGACTTCGGAAGGCGGGGTTCAAGGAACACCTGGGATCGCGATGGCATTGGATGAGGTCAGGGAAGCGAACGCGGGGCTCCATCGGCTCTGCTTTTAAATCTCAAACTGGAGCTTCGTTGCCAACCAAAACCTTATATACTCTTGTCGGTACTATTTCGCTCGAGAAGCTTCAAGTCCGAGATTTAACACTTCTTTGAATTAAACTAAAGGGCAGGCAGGTACGGCGCCAGCAGCAACGCAGCTTGATTGACTCGGTAAAGTTTGTGCCCCACCATCGGCTCTCGTCCAGTCCTAAGGTCCGGGCAGGGAAAGCTGGAGCTGGGGCTGGAAGTCATCGGCTGACCTCCTGACCTGAGCAATTCTAGGCTGAGGACACAACACACACAAGACATCAACGACAGCACAGCAAACATGGCGACACATAACATTGTTGTTTTTGCTGGTGACCACTGCGGTCCTGAGGTATTTATATCGTTCACTCAATGAGAGAACAACTGAGTGGGATTGGCTGACTGGCGTGTTTTATTATATATATATAGGTTGTTGCTGAGGCCATCAAGGTACGTTTGAGCTGACCTTTGTTTTGCTTGCTGGCGACATAAGTTGTCGCCAGTTTCACGCGCTTCGCTTTGGACTGTCCCACCGTTCCACTAGCAGGGCAGGAAGCTCGCAGAGCACAAGCTGACTGTTGATATTTGTTTCACAACTGTAGGTCCTCAAGGCCATTGAGGAACACAGCCCGTCGGCCGGCAAGTTCAATCTGCAGGAGCACCCTCTCGGTGGTGTGAGTAATTCCCTCTCAAGTCTAGCAATCACGCATTTTCCGACTGCTGTGACTAACGCTGGGATAGGCTTCCATCAACAAGCATGGCGTTCCCTTGACCGATGAGGCCCTCGCTGCTGCCAAGGCTGCCGATGCCGTCCTTCTGGGAGCCATTGGCGGTCCCGAATGGGGACCCTCGTCGCCCGTCCGCCCCGAGCAGGGCCTACTGAAGCTGCGCAAGGAGCTCGGCACCTTCGGCAACCTGCGCCCATGCAGCTTCGCCTCTGACCTCCTCGTCAACAGCTCCCCCTTGAAGCCCGAGGTCTGCCGCGGTACTGACTTTGTCGTCGTCCGTGAGCTCACTGGCGGCATCTACTTCGGCGATCGCAAGGAGGACGATGGCTCGGGGTTCGCCCTCGACACCGAGCCCTACTCGCGCGAGGAGATTGAGCGGATCGCTCGTTTGGCTGGCTTCCTGGCCCTCGCGCGCAACCCGCCTGCCAAAGTCTGGAGCTTGGACAAGGCCAACGTGCTTGCGACCAGCCGTCTGTGGCGGAAGGTCGTCACTGAAGTATTCGAGAAGGAGTTCCCCCAGCTGGAGCTGCAGCATCAGCTGATCGACAGCGCGGCGATGATCATGGTCAAGAACCCGCGTGCCCTGAACGGTATCGTCATCACCAGTAACTTGTTCGGTGACATCATCAGCGACGAGGCTTCCGTCATCCCTGGCAGCATCGGTCTGCTGCCCAGCGCCAGCCTGGGCGGTATCCCTGACGGCAATGGCAAGTGCAACGGTATCTATGAGCCTATTCACGGCTCGGCTCCCGATATTTCGGGCAAGGGTATTGTCAACCCCATCGGCACCATTCTGTCTGTCGCCATGATGCTCCGCTACTCGCTCAACCTGCCCAAGGAGGCCAATGCCGTTGAAGAGGCCGTCAAGCGCGCCATTGACGGCGGTGTTCGCACTCGTGACCTTGGCGGCACTGCTGGCACCAAGGAGATGGGTGATGCTGTTGTTGCAGAGCTGGTGAAGCTCCTCAAGGAGTAAGAGTTTTCTCCAGGCAAGTCAATCATGGGTTTAGGAGATTCCCGTGATACTAGTAGAGCGCAATATTTCCTTGGTCTGGGTTACTGAAAAAAAATGGATGGGATTGTACATAAAATGGGGATTTTCACTTAAAAGTGGCGCCAGTATTGAATTTATTCGTTGGATCCAGGTGCCCTTCCACCAAGTGAAATTTGACGTGGTATTACCCTTGAATTATGTTATCATGGTTTCCAACCTCCGCGTATGCAACCAGAAAAGGAAAAAAAAAAAAAAAGAAACTAAGCTCATAGTCCCACGCTGGTAGCCTCAATCTTACCCATCTCCCATCTCCTATGCATCCGACAAAAGCTCTGAGTCTGTTGAGATCAAGCGTTTCGATCCGAACATAAAACATGCTCTTGCTTTTCCCCCCAACTCTCACAGCTTCACCCCCGTCCTTTCCGTCTGGGCACTTTCTTTGGCCTCTCCTTCCCTCTCACCTCGCCGTTTGGCAGCATCCTTCCCCTGCATCTCATCCTTCTGGTCTCGGCTTTTCCCCAGCAGGAAGAGATCCAGTTTCGCCAGCTCTTCTTCATCTCTCGGATCGCCCTCGTTCACAACTCGATTCAGAGCTCCATCGTCGAAGGCGAACCCGTGCCAGAGCAAGATACCGAGAAGACGCGCATACTCAACCGCCTGGCGTTTCTTTTTGTTGCAGAGCCAGGGCAGCATGGCATTGAGTTCGTCCCAAAAAGCCTTTCTCAGTGCGTCAGCATCGGGACGATAGTCGATCACCATTTTGTCGTCGTCTCCACGGCAATGCCGGCAGGTCAGCAGCGTCTCGAGCCCGTACAGCCCCACGCCAAAGGGCAGCCACTCACCCTCAGCCCAGTCGACGATGCCCCTAAGCACGACCGTCACCCTTTCGCTGCCCGCATCGCCTGACCTAGAGTCGTTATTTTCGACCAGATCGACCAGGATGTTTTGCGGGCAAAGGTCACCGTGCGTCACGACCCATGGCAGCTGCTCGATGTGGTCGAGTGCCGGCTCAACCTCATTGACTATGGGCCGGAACCGCGCAGGCAGCTCTTCCCCGAGCTGGACCACTCGCTCGCGAAAGCTGCTACCGATCCGGCCCAAGGGGATGCGCCGGCCCTCTCCAAGCTGCCCTCGGTGCACGTGCTGACCAATCGGCCGCGCAAACAGGTCTCGAGCTAGCGAACGGACGAGGTTTTCTATGTCGAGCGTGGGAGTATTGTCAGGACCAATCCCTCCATACTCCCTCGGGCTATTTACGTGATGCTGCTCTAAGACGACCGAGAGCGGCTGGCCCGGCATACGGCTCATTGTATACACTAGCCATCGGTCGCGATCGTCATTCGTACCTCCCTCATCACCCTCATGCGGGATGATCTCCCCGTCACCCCAGCTGGCTGGCCACACGAGCCATGGCTCCATTCCAGCCGCTGATACAGGTCGGGGCACGGTCCTTTCTAGCACTGGGACAGTGGGAACCAACTCTCCCAGCACGCGCCGTGCGGCTGCCGCGACTCGAACATCAATCCGGTGCCGCGGCGGGCGCAGCTGCACGACGGTGTTCCCCCGGATAAAGGTCTGGGAACAGGCGCCTTGGTGGGGAGCCAGACGCATTCGCTGGGGCTGGCTGGGACCTCTGCCGCCGTCGTTGGAGTTCAAGACGGATCCGCCGGCAGCCTGAGCGGCGCGTGGTGCTTTGGCGGAGGTTGGGTCGGAGGGATGGGAGAAAAAAACGTCTTCTGGTGTGATTTGACTGACCATGATGAGGCTGTTGTGTGACGTTTTATTTTGGGATTAATAGGACAAAATCAATGGGGGAGCGCTCGGGATCGGAGACTGCGGTCTCAATGCTCCAGGACATGGCAGTGGGAGGGCAGCACAAGACTTGCCGAGCGTCCTTCGTGATGAGGCCGTAACGTCCCAATGCCGTGGTTGGCTGGCTTAGCACGGGTCTGCTGCATGCAGGCGTCGTGGAGGGTATGGCACATGGAGTGAGAAAAGCATGTGATGACTGACATATGCTTCGCAACGACGAAGGAACCCATCGATTTCATCTCAGGCCTAATACAGTCTTGTTGTCTTCTTCGGATACAGGACAATCTCCATCATCACCTTGCAGACAATCTGGCGGGCCTACGATGCCGAAATCAACCTCTTCACACCTCTCCACAAGCCTCTGAGCAGCCCACCGATGAGATCGACGAACAATAGCCTGAACAACGCCTTAATCCATCCTCCCTCCGGACGTCCCGGCACAAGGGCATTCAACGTTTCAGTAAGAGATGACGCTGCCCCTTCCTCTCTTTGTTCCTGTTCCTGTTGCGTCATCCCCTCCTCCGGCTCGTGACCTGACCCCGCAAGAAGAGGGGTCTCTTCCGGTACAGCCTCGGCCATTTCGGACTCTCCAGCGTGTTGTTCCGCCTCTTCTGGAATTTGAAGGCCAGGGTCAGCTTTACCTAGTTCTCCTTGTATCAGCTCCTTCGAACGAGGCCCACGCTCTTGTTTGCGGGGAGGTGAGACCTCTCCCGACCCAGGAGGCGTTATGAGTCTCATTCCAGCCATTGGCTTCACTGTGCGGGGACTGATGCCATCCGACAGGGCGACTCCTTCGTCTTCAGCGGTAATTTGAATCGATGGGGGTCTGGCCCTTGTCAAGGGGTTGGGGTTTGAGAAGACGATGGGAGGGGAAACAGTTGTGGGACCCTGTTGCTGGCCCTCCGCTGGTGCAGTGCCTGGAGAAGGCTCGTCTGCCTCTAGAACGGGTGCCAAAGGGGCAACTGCGGCATGAATAGCAGGAGTGGGCGTCAGGTCGGCAGATGGTCTTCTCTCATGGTCTTGCTTCCTTGACGATGGAGCTGCTTGTGATGCTTGACAGGCGGGCGCAGTTAGAATGTGCTCTCCAGTGATGTCCAATGTTCCTCGACGAGAGGGGGATAAAGACCGAGTCCCGAGGAAGACCTTCGTAGAAGGGCTGGTCGGGGCTCCATCTCGGACTCAAGACGCGCAACTACATTGAAGATCTCCTCGCGTTCGGAGGGGAACTCCTCCAGATTTCGGGTCATGCATGCTGTACTGGTGTGGATCAAATTCCTCGGTGTAGTCATTGCCAAGAGGCCCGTCATCTTCCTGCATGCTCGTTGATGGTACAACCACCTCTGCCCCCTGAAGGCCGGCACACTCGTGGGCGAAAAGGGGTGACGTTTGGGAGATGAAGTCATCGTCTCTCTCTTCACGGAACTCGAGCCGGAGACGGCTGCCTTCGCCAGCAGGAGGTCCCAGGAAGTATGTATTTTGCTAAGGTTGTCAGTAAGGTTTCTACTTCTGACTGCCAGAAGATAGACATACCTCCTCTTCCTGGTCAAGAGCCGCAGCTGTATCAGCCACCTCTGCCGCTGTTGCAGCAGCTTCTGAAAAGCGACGAGACGACTGAAGGGGTTCGCCTTTCGGAATGTTGCTGCCTGGAGATTCGCGATCGGGTACCTCTTCGTGAAGAAGAGCGGCAGAGTCGGCCACCTCCGCCGCGATTTTGGCGAAGACTGCCGTATGGGTTTCCGAACATTGTGCTGGATCAGACTCGGTAGGCGACTCTTGAAGATGTTTGGCTGCGACTTGAGCATATGTTGGTCGCCTCTGCCTTGGTTTAGAGAGTCTGAACAGTTTTAAAAAGTCAGCACATGCTTCCTCCTTCTTCTGTCATTATCTGCACCTACGGCTTAGGTTGCTTGTCTGGAGCTGTCATCTCTAGCACATTGTTCTCGTTGCCAGCGGCATCCGTTATCGTAGGTGTATTCTCGTCGCATACCCATTGGTCACCGTTTCCAATACGGAACTTGTACTGGATCTTTGTGCCGGGCTTGCCATGGATTGTTTTCGTAAACTCATACCCATTGTCTCCTAGACCCTTCTGGTCCATCTCAATGGGTTCCCATGGCGGATCGGAGAAAGTACCAGCCACAAAGACGGGTGGCACAGTGCCTGGTTTGGAAAAGGTAATGACAGTGCGAATGTTGTCTGCTTCCATTGCTCTGTACGTACTTCAGAGACCCGAGGACCGTAATTGAGAATTCTTGACAGTTACAAGGCGGAGATAGGATGGATCAGAATAACTCTCAAGGTGTGTTGTGGGAATTGATTCAAAAAAAAAACAACACGATGACAAAACAGCGCTCGTCTTCGAAGCACGCCACTATAAAGGACTCAGGGCGTCATCTAAGAGACCATATAACAGAAGGTGCAAAAGCGGGACAAACCGGAGCTTTGACAATGACCTGGAGCATGGGTTGAGTGAGAAGAAAGCGTACAGACTGTCTTTGGCTTAATCGTAAACTGGGCAAGGGAACCCAGGGACGACATTGCGGAGACAGCCTCATTGATCAAGGTCAGTCACTGGTGGCTCTGACACGCATCTCTCTCCCTATATAATAGAGAGCATTGCTTCACTTTCATTCAACAACAACTCGAGTCGATTGGATAAAGCACTCGGCAACAACTATTCTGACCCGCATCCTGCTTACCTGATCGATCCTGCTGTTGGTAGATTTTCATACAGATCCCTAGCTCCCTCTTTCTTAACAGCGTAAAGTGTTTATCTTGTTGAAGCCGGTGTCTCGAGGGGGGTTTAGGGGGTCTACCTCGGGAACATTGTGCTGTAAACGTCGCGGGGTTCCTAGAGAAAGTAAGGGGGGATACTGGAAAGGCTAATGATCAAGAAGCCTCAACCCTTCAATGGGTGCACGTGGCGCTGAAGCCCGCACCTCTGGCGATGGCAGCAGGACTCGTCTATCAAGTCAAACTTCCGGCCAGAGCTTTGCTCGCATCAAATTGCAATGGGACTGAGCTAAGATTTCACCTTGATTTCGACTAAGAAGTGCCGAGCTTTCATCTTGCAGTGCGCTTCGATGTACTTCATTAGAAACAACAATGCTAGTAGGCACTCCCATTACAGTGGCAAATGCCGGAACAGATGACCACAGAGATATGGACTTGAGGTCAAGCTTTGAATTCCGGATTATAACAGATGAAATTGGACAAGCGTCGCTGAGAGGAAACAATGAATGGAGCTCATTGCGGGGCTATTGTGGGGTAAGAGCAGCGGTTGACAGCCTTGGCACTGTGCAGATCCCCCGCATTTGCGGGCACTTGCGTCATAGCCCGTTTTGTGGGCGGTCAGGAGCGGCAGAACTTTTACGTCCAATTCTGCCACGGGTCACCGCCTCGCCAGCACTTTTTTCTACCCTGGAGACGGGGTGGAGCTCCACAGCTAGAACCTCGAGGGGCGGCCATCAAGGTTTTGGCACAGACATCGACCGCATTTCGAGCTTCGCCAAACTTTGGGAATTTGGTCCACGTCCCCAACGTCGATCATCGAAGTTTATATAAAGTTATCGTCCCGAACGGTCGTCAAAGCCGGTCTTGCACGGTTTTTCGCCTTCCTCTCTCCTCCATCAGGCACCTTCAAGACCCTGGTGCCTTACGGATACATCACACACTTCGTGTTGTCCACGTCAAGCGCTCCGATACGCCGACTCAGTCCGCCCCCATGGCTGGCCTACCACCTGAGACAATCCATGTGAAGCGCAAACGTGGCACTGATGACAACCCTGTTGACTTTTTGCGTCCGTCATCCCCTGCCGCATAATTCTGCACTGTCATTCGTCGTCGTAGCTGCCCTACTGACAGCCAAGCCATAGGCCTTGAAAGAAGCAAGCGCTACCGTCTGTCTGGCGAGAGCGGTTGGGTCTATCAGCGCAAGGTTCCCGAGAATGAGATCACCCGCCATGTGGTCGAACCCGCAACCTCTGTGGTCCCGACGATCCAGCCCACCAAGAAGGGCGATGAGCATCGCTTGCGAGGGGTGACGAATAAGGGCCGCGATGTCCCCGCTGCCGCGCGAGGATCGACTCCATCTTCGACTCCTAAGAGTACTGGGTCCTCTGAGACAGTCACGACAGCGCAATCCGAGGGGCAAACAACAGACCAATCACCATCGGATCGCATTCGCCGATTTCACTTGTCAAAGGCCAGCTCACTCCAACTCACCTCTGGCGTGTCCAAGAAGCGCAGTGCCCCCGCCGTATTCGTAGAAAGAGACGCGAAAAAACAGCGAGAGTCGCTCAAGAGTCTCGTTGAGGAACGCAACATCACAGTTACGGAGCATTCTTTGAAGGGACTAGAGTGGACAGCTGCACCCGCTTCGCAAGCACCTCCTGCTAAATTGAAGCGCCCCGGACTTCGCGCTCGCACCAAGCCGACAACGAGTGCATCTGTAGCAGAGTCTTCCAAGACCGGGACCCAGACCGAGACCTCTAAGTCAGAATCTCAGACAAAAACTTCCAAACTCCCCCCCTCCCTGCGCAATCGTGAATCCGACGCCGACATGAACCAGCTCGCCCGTATTATGGATAGTTGGACGCTGGAGGAGATCACGAAGAATTTGGACCGCATGGAAGAAGATAAAACGACATCCAAGTTCAGTGCCCCATCTCCGTACAAGTCGAGGTTCCGCCCGAAGGCCCCTAAGCTACGCTGGTTTGAGCGCCACCCAGAAGCAGCCGCGCAACAACAGCAAAAGGGGGTTAAGGGTGCCGAGAACATGAATATCGACGTGGCGGTCGCCGATGGCGATGTGGCAGACTCAGATGACGATTATATTATTGAGACCTACGAGCGTGTGCCCATCGAGCGGCTACATGAAAAGAACGTGCCGGAAGACAAAGTTGGATTACTGGTGTTTGACTCGGAGCCCGATATGGTCGAGTTTTTCTATGGGAACGAGGAGGATAGTGATGATCAGTTCCCAGAGGATGAGGAAGACGAGAACGGTAATTTTTTTTTTCACCGAGATCAAACCCGTTGAGTGAGTTGGGGAACTGACTAGGTCGTACAGCCGAGAACTACTATACACACGAGTACCCAGATGAGGATCTCGATTGGGATGACGAGCTCGATCGTGATCCGTATCAATATACGAACCAGAACGCGTCCGATAGGGAAGAATACGACGAGCGGGATTTCATTGATGAAGTATGGGATCGCTGTGACAGGGAAGATGATGATGACAATAAGGGAGGAACAGAGGAGTTACCTCCGTGGAGGCCGCGATGGTAGGTGAAGGACGCAGTTTGTTAGATGGCATGCTTGGTCAGGTAATTATACTGGATACTTTTAATCAGCGTGGTAGAAATTTCAATTCTAATCACTAAGTTGTTATACTGTATTGTGTGCTTGCTTGCACCTTGGCTGATTTCCTGATATCGCTGCAACCTATCCAAAAACAAACTTCCTCAGTCATGATGGCTGAACAACCATTACGCAGCAGGGGACTTCATGTCTTCGTGATAAAAGCAAAAGCAATGACACGCGCCCCTGAGCTTCGCTAGCTCGAACAGTTAAACAAGCCTGCGTCATGGCATAGGCTAATGGATGATGACATTGTAAATAGGAGAAATATTCGACGGAAAGTTGCTTTGGAAACAAATAGGCATCAAAGTCATGGAGGAAATGTTGGAACCGAAAAACCAACTTTCCCATCCCGGTACATAAAGACAAAAATCAGAGAGCCACCAATCCTCATTGTCCGACACACCCATGTCCCATCCAGTCCAAAAACTTCCTCCCAGTTCGCCTAAACTTAACATCCTCATCGTCTTGAAAACATCAAGGGAGCTAACAGAGAAAACATCGCGAGACAAGGAGGAACATTTCGCAAACAAGCTTCACAACATTTACAAGGATAGAATGGAAGAAAGACAAGGGTAAGAAATGTACATCGTGAGTGAGTGAATCTCCCAACATGATATTAATAGAAGGAGGTCTTTCAGTCCCGTACAAACATAGTGGAAGAGAGATGAAGGGCACAAGAGGTCGAGGGGTTAATTTTTTAAAACATTCGTTCCATAGCGTTGACGATTGTGCTCAGCAAGCCTCGCGTGCTTGGCTGCGAGCCATTCATCTCTCTGGCAACGTCTCTTCTCAGCTGTTGATGGGATCAACTGTTAGCATGCTGTCGATAAGAGACTGTTGTGAACAAAACTTACCCAATTCTTTAGCCGCTATGCGGTGTTCCATCCTTACCCAGTCATTCGCCTCATCCACCAACTCTTCAGGGAACCTCTCCATCAGGGGCACCTCGCCCTGCCTCACAGGAACATGCATCGTACGGTATGCCACACCCCGGTAGTACTTGTACCCCACTGTCGACGACCCTCCCATCTGCGAGTTATGATAGTTCTGCCCACTGCCAACACCCGCTTCTTCATCCTCACCTTTCCCATCACCTCCTTCCCCCTGAACCCTGCTGTCCTCGGATGTCGGGCCTAACAGCCCTTCCTCAGCGGGGTCGACCAGCACCAGCAGGCCGTCGGCCGTCGTAACGGGCACATGCCAGTTTGTGCGGTAGTAGATGCACTCCAGGCCGCCGACAGTGCGTTCCCGGTCGGGCCAGCGCGCGAGGAAGGCCGTGCGAATCTGGTCCCAGCTCATGTGCAGGTCTACGCGATGGTAAATGACGAAGGCCTCCTGCTGGAAGGGATAGGGCTGGTTGTTGCGCTTGCGGGTGGCGGGAGAGGGCAGGGAATGGGACAGGGCTGAGACCCCAACAGCGGGCTGAGAAGGTGTGGCTGTTGTTTGAAGAATGGGTAACGGCTTGCTGACGCTAGTTGACGGGATGAATGCGGCTCGTGATGGCGGTATTGCTGTGGTCCGTGGGGGCGTGGTGGTTCTAACGGCAACGCTGCTGAGGTCATTGCTTGCGAAACTTTCAAGCTCGGCGATAATCAGGTCAGTGTTGTCCCGTAATTGTTGTTCCAGCTGGTGAGAGGATCGGGGGGAACCAGGCTGTCGCCAGCAACGCTTGGTAATGCTTCTACGTCCGAAACGTCGACCACGTAATTCTGGGTTCGCGCAAGCGCGCTGATTTCGTCCTGGAGCAGAGAGAGATCGCGTTTTGAGTCTGTCAGGAGAAACCTGTCGAATGCCCCATTCAGGAGATATGCTTCTGGTCAGGTTGTCAAGTGAGAGCCTACGAGCGGGCGTTGGGATTTGCCAAAATGACTCCTCTGAAACGGAGAGCGACCGTGGTGCGTCTAGCCTCCAAGTCGAGAAGGGCGAGGACTGAAAGTATGGAGATGGCACTGGAGAGCCGCAGCTGGGAGTCGAAAATGTGGGCGAATCTCCTTGGGACTTCGGCGATGGGATGTCTCTAAGGAGCGTAGAAATTGGAGGAAGTCGAATGATATTATTAAGATTTCCAGGAATATACTCGCTGCTGTCCACATTCTCATGACCGGCATCCCAGTCAACATCCACGATTGTCGGGCTTCGCAAGCATAGCTCGTGAACGCCAGGGAGCTTCACGTTGGTGGAAGGCATTCTAACTGGCCGGATGGAAAGCTCCTTTGGATAAAAAGTGAAAGAAGCAGTCATGACCAAAAGCTCGTGAGAGAGATATAGGTTGATTTCCTAGAATTGAACACACTTTGTGTCTGAGATGTTTTTGCTGTTTAACCCTATGTAGAGACGGGACACAGTTGCACAAGAAGGCGAGTTGGGGGGCAAAAGAGACTCGTGGGGCATCTCTATATACAAATCAGAGGACATGGCTTACGAACGCTAGCCAGGGAATAGAGCGGTTGCAGCCCAAACTTGCATCAATCATGTTTTCCACTTGCAGCCCCATGACGATGGCGATCTTCCCCAGATGCACGATCCAGCGAGCATTCAAATTCAGAAAAAGCTAGTAACTGTGTCCATCTTCCCTGGGAGGAGAATATGAAGTGGGGTGTGACTATCCACGAGCCCCTCACAGAGGCCACTTCAGCCCAAGACGGAATATGCGGATAGCTCAAGAGACACTAGCTGTCAACAGGTCAAGCTTCGAGTATCTGCCGCATCCGTGACCGTATCGTACCGCATGTCCCTGCGAGCCACGAGGAACCAAGACCAAAGGCGTGGGCTGTGTGTAGTTGAGGCAACGCGAGGGATAGGTAACGCACGAACCCTCTTTAAAACGATCTTTGGGCTTCTCACGCAAGGTTAAAGAGAAAAGAGGTCATCCCATGCATATGGCACGAGCGGAATCTGCCCAAAGTGTGAACGGTGATCTCGCGGTTGACGATGCCGCCGATCTCGATGGGGTATCTGAGCTACATTGCTCCGCATGTACTTGGAATCCCCGAGCTTGCCATTATCTACATTGAATAGAGACCATAGAGGGAATGATAAAAAAAGCTGAGACTTCGTACCAAAAGCCATAGGGATGTGTCCCTGTCAGCCACAAACCCCGACTCGGTAAACCGAAGCGGGCTTGAGGCCTAGTGACATTGCTTATGACAATCCTTTCCATTCTCCCAGCATGTACCAAGACTTTGGCGTATGGTGTAGCGTAATGCAGAAGCGACATCGAAATTGCGAGCCCCCGAAGGTACACATCCACTACCGCGTCCTAGAACCTGGGTTTGGATGAGTTGTACAAGATGTAAACACTTCCTGCATCATCACCACGGGTGTGATCCGTGTGGACGGGACATCCGGTTAAACAGAACAACAGATATTGATCAGCTTCGGATGACCGTGGACGCAGCGACGATAATTGCATTGCCACGGATCTAGTTTCCAGATTCCGCAGCAGATAGCGTTAAAGCAGCCGTGAGGCAAGCCCTGTCTTCTGTACGCAAGGTTGGTACCTAGCTATTAGTCTCCAGGCTTCTTGTTGGGAGAACGTCTGCAGCATCGGCAGCAGGTTGACGGCTCGAGCGATCCTAAGGTTGCACATGCCAAGACACGATCGTGGCCGATCCAGTGGCCTTGGCAGACGATGATTGGATGGAACGCCGAGGGGCTCCTGCAGGCATTGCCGGGATTAGCTTAGCAGGGCTGAGCCGGTGGGTCCTCTCGAGAGTTTCCGATCTTGATTTCCAAACAGCTTTGGTAACGAGGTCGTTCTTGGAGCGACTCATACGCTGACGTCTTTGATCACGATCAGTAATTATCTTTTTTCCTTTTTTTGAAAACAAACGAAACAAACCCCCGTTTTCAAGATTTGGTTTTTTTCGATCATATCTCGAGCGCAATAAAGCCTTACCGTACGGTCACTTATCAGTTTATTACTTCTGACCTAGAGCCTCGCCAATTATGCAGGCTGGTGTTTGCACTGAACCTTCTTCTCATACTCCCCGACAATGTTTGGCTGGGAAAATTGCCAGTTGCACAGTATCCGTGTCTGAGAAGGAACGAATCCACTGGTCTGCAGTCTTCTCTACCTGGAGTCTGATTCAGCTGAAGAAACTGCATACTTGGATCCTGCAGGGTCCAAACAAATGCGGAAATGCCACGCCATGGGGCGGATCTTGATCTTTCGCCGCCCCCTTTTCACACAATCTTTCCCATCACTGAGGCCGACTTTCCCATCTACTACATATAGCTGTCAGCATGAGCTTCTCGGATAAGTTTGTCGGCTTTGTTCTGGGTCACACTGCGGTGGACCAGTCTTGGCTAGTGTTATCTGCATGCTTTCAGTCTGGAAAGCGAGGACTCGCCCCTCTAAGCCCTCACCCCTCTCTCGACTGTTTCCACCCAGATTGGCGATGATCGTCGGGTAAACCTTATCGGACTGGGACGGCTCGTAGATCAGCCAGCCCCGCGAGTCCACACTCCGTCGACGCCACTCTTTTCCCCGCATCACACAGTCTGGATTTCAGACGGCCTCCTATGCGAGATCCAGCATAGCTACCTCCGAACCTCGGGCATGGACCAGGGGGCTGCTCGTGTTACCCTGTTGCATGCCATGGAACTGTCTCGGCTAGGGTGAAGAAATTCGTTACACGACGGCTGTCAGTAACCTAAACTCCGGCGTCGCACAATCGCCACAGAAATCTGTTTTGCTGCATGGGAAGATTCCAGTACAGAATGCCTGTTCTACGGAAGAGACTTGGCTTGGTACAACCTCAATGATGGCATTCTACGCTTATATACCATGCTGTGCATATCTTAGGACGAGGACGAAAGGGATACCGTCCTGTCTGTGCACCAGAGATCCCAAGGCAACTGTGGGTTTATGTTGACAGCAAAAAAAAAAAAAAAAAAAGGTCAAATAGGTGGCATATTCTGGTTGTCATCGCTTTTAACGACATGGCGGTTAACCATAGCTAGAGCTTGCCGCGCGAATCGCTGTCCTTCTGTCCCTGGGAATCGCTGGCCGATGTTAAGCTGAATCCCAGTATCCCTGCTTTCCTGGAAACCATGTGCTTGAAAGACTCATCGCCAGAAAATTTCCTACTTGCTGTTAGGCTGCTTTCCACTTATCGTGCATGAGGGAGACTAACCATCCTCGCTCTTCTCCTGCTGACAAATGGGAACAGTCGCTGTTGAGCTCACAGTCCCAACCTCCGGCCACCCCCTTACCTCCACGCCAGTCAGGAACTCTGGAGCAACTCTCGTGATCGGCGCTGTCGACTGCTTTGTCTTGCTGCTCGGATCCGGTTCCCCTGGACTCGGTTATAGGTGCGCTTCGGCGACGATAACGGCTGAGACCGCATGTGAAGCACCGAAAATCTTCCTCGTCAAAGTCATCCGGCATCAGCCCAGTCAACACTCGTCCTAAGGCAATGACAACAGCCGCATGTGTGCAGAGCAGCACCGAGCGTATGCCATCCCTGTCGCATTGAGCAATAACTTCTTTGACAGCCACTGCTACTCGATCATGGAGTTCGTTGATCTCTTCTCCCATCCTGTTCGGCGTCACCGCCGACACATAACTCATATCGAGGAGATCTGGGAAGAGAGGTTCAAGCTTGTCAAGTGAGGCCGGAACAGGATGCTCAAAATCAGCTGATCCATACCACTCTCCTAAGCCCGTCTCTCCGCGAACTTTCAGAGGCTTATCGGGTGACGCGGCCTGTGCCTTGCGCACAAAGGGCTCAATGGTCTGGAGGCAGCGATAATACAAGCTCGAATAAACACGTTCAATGGGGGGGTCGACTTCCATGAGTCTGACGGCAAGCTCTTTGGCCTGATCAACCCCGTGTGCTGTGAGCTCTGGATCAGCAGGCAATCCTGTGGGTGATCGAAGGTAGTTGGAATAGTTTCCATTTGCTGGGTCGACAAGCCAGTTGGACCGAAACTGGTAAATGGATCTCTCTGTTAGCCTAAAATGCTTCAACGATCGCCTGGGAAAAAGGTGTAAGAGCGCTAAAGAGCTTGCTAGGTTTCACAGACAAAGCCACCCGCACTCGTCGTCCCTTGACACGTTCCAACGTCTTGTGACCGACAAGACAAATAATGACACATAGATTCATAAAGCTTCCAGACGGGCGAAGAAACGAACAGCCACAACATCTGAAACAGAAAAGGATGGATTCAAACCAGTGAACGGGAGTGACCCACCCCATGTCGGGTAACGTAGATGACTTCGAGCGGCATGGCTTTCCTCGCTTCTGCCCTTGTCTCAGTTATCTATGGTCCGTCTCGAAGGTGGCGTTTGAAGGGCCCAATCGCTGTTCTAAGATCCTAAGACGATTGAGTTAGCCGATGGCAAAAAGCAAGCTGCTGCGTCTACCTTGCATGCAATTCAGCTCAACAGGCATCATGGCAGTTTTGACCAGACAGCGCCCGTCCACCGAGATAGAAACAGCTTCTCCCATACAATGGCACGGTTACCAGAACGGCAACCACCTCACACAGACATCCCAATATAGCCTTACATACACACACTCGCGCGCACGCACACACAGCATGGAGCTATTGCAGTCTCCCTCCATTTTTCCGACCCAGTTGCGTCGGAAAGAAGTTGTGGGCGGCCGAATGAGACATGACCAGGGTGAGAATGTGATGCTAGAAGATGTTCTCACCTCTCCTCTCCTCACCTTAACCACCTATACAAACAACATCGATCCAACACTTAGCTCCAAAACAAAGTGTTGAAGACCGACGAGTAGTCCTGTCGAGCGAGCGAGCCGATCCCTTGCATTGACTCCCCAGAAGTTAATCAACTCGCCATTACTGACAAGACCCCCGGAATTGCTGAGACTAGCTCGTGTTCTGGGCCTACAGCTGCCTCAAAGTACTCGCTCCCTGCTTTCACAGATGTTCACTGTGTTTACTTGGCTTTTTCCTTGTCCTGTTTCAAAGGGGGGGGGGGCTCAGGGGATGGAGGAACGACTCGTGCATACGGGGAGAGAGTGTGCCCCAAGAGAGTGTGCAATGGTGTGATATGCAGATGGCTCTCAACGCCATGGAATGTCCCGAAACCTCAGGACCTGGGGAACTTTCCACCGTGAGATCTCGGGACGAGACCAGGACGTGCCACGAATTACGGGTAGGGGAGGAAGGAAGTTCGGATCTTGATTCCAGGATACGGTTTGATTGGGACTCTTGCTTGGATCGGGCCGCTCAAACGATAACTCTTCGTGGGTTTGTTTGCGATTCGCCTAGGCGCTTATGTGTGCGTGCTCGTGGTGCGTGCATTCATTTCATTTATAATGGGCCAGACTGCCCATATCGACCAGTAAGTTCATGACATACCTATCGGTGTTGTGTCTTTGGTGTTGAGTCTGCTCGAACGAGGGGCGAATTGGAGTTATGACAGGACTTGGGACCGGTAAGGAGACTCTCGGACCATTCTGCTTCTTCCTCTCTCCAGCCTTTCTCTTCGGGGATGGGACTAAAGCCAGGTGCTTCCAGGATCAGGTCTCCCGGCAACTGATGAGTGATGGAGCCTTCCGTTCTGTTATCCTTGGCTTCTGTCACCTTGTCAGCATAGCTTGTCAAACTGATTCAGGCAGCTCAGCTTCTCCTTTTATAACCAAATTGAGCTGAGGGAGCCGAAAAGAGAAATGTTTTCTCAGCTCATCATAAGCCCAATCAAGCTCAGTGTTGAAGAATGCAGCCAAAAACGGAGAAACAGAGTAAACCAAACGCTTTGGAATAAGCCAAGTCCCCAACTTCGAGAACCGGTGAGACAAATATGTATGCATGCGGCTGATACAGTGTGCGGTGGGCGGGCGGTTAGGTAAGTATCCGTCCGGACCACACCCGATATAAGGGAAGGATGTGTAGTAGGGTATCACAAAAAACTGTCGGATAGAGGAAGCTCCTGCAATGCATGTTCTCATTCTTTCTCAAACCAATTCAGTATTCTGGACGGGAAATACAGAAAACAGGATGAGAGCAATAGTAATGTATGCAGGGCAGCAACGGTGTGATGTGGCTGGGAAAGGAGGAGTGGGCGGCGGGAAAGTAGAAGAATATTCACGTTTGTTCTGAAAAAGAATTACCAGAAGCCTGGAATAAGAGGATAGAAATGATACTCATACAGCCGACTGCAATGAAAATGGGCAAGGGAAAGGAGGATGCAAACTCGTAAAAGAGAGTGCAGTGGCTGAAGAAAAGAAGCAAGTTACCTACAAAGCACAGTGAATGTGAGAGCTCTCCTGCGTTAAGTCCGGCTGAAGTCAGACTGGAGGCCTGATAACGACAGATGATGAAAGAAAAATGAGAGAGAAACTTCAACAAAAAGGAATAAATCGCGACCGGATGAATGTTTGTGCAACTGTCTGCTCGGGAACCAGAGACTCTATCCAGGTAGGAAGGGCCTTTCCCACGGGACCATTTGGAGGCCGGTCCATTGACGGAGCCGTCTTGTCGGCGTGATAGCCGCCACTAGAGCGGGGAGCCGAGGCATTGGGAATTTAGAACCCACATATTTAACCCTAACCCTGGTAAAGCCATTTTAGTTTTTTGCCCCTGAGATCCAAATAATAGTATTGTTAATAAGCCCTATGACTAAACAGGCCTCGATTTTATGGAACAGACTGGGGAGTGAGTTTAGATGAGAGTTTAATTCGGACAGTTGACACTCCGAAAGTGCTTGGAGAAACCTGCACTTGACTGCATGGACAAGACTCCTACGTATGTCTCATTTCACACTGATTCTTCTTCCGCGGCAAACCGTGATGTACAGCTCAGGTTCACGCCCCCCACAACTACCTACAAGAGAGGAAACTATCGTGACCTCAACTCCTTCTCGTGCTCTAACCAGAAATTCCTACACTCCCGATGACCCCAAAATTCAACCCACCATTCCCCAAACAAATCTTCCACGTCCACATCTACCTTTGCAACCCTCTCATCCCTCCTCAGCCCGCACACCACACAAGGCTTCGGCGCCGTGGGCACCCCCTTCGCAGTACTCACCACAAAACCATTCACCCCTCCCCCTCCCATCTCCGGCACCCGCAGCGGGCGTTCCCCGGTCTCAGCACCCAGCTTCTGCGCAGCGTTCACAGCCGCCACGACACCCCTCAGCCGACCTACCACCTTGTCCTTCCATACGGCCAGCACCTCAGCCGTCTCGCCGTCCTCCCTCGCCACCTGCGATTTGTCCAGCCCCGCGAGCTTCATGCCCCTGCCGCCGCGGGACGCGCCGGTTGCGGCTGAGATGGACATGCCCTGCGCGAGGAACTTGTCGCGGTGCCAGCGCAGCTTGCGGCCTGCCATGATGCGTGCTGCGACAGTAGCAAGGGCGAGGTACCCCCGGAGGAAGGTGAGAGTTTTGGGGGAGGAGACGACGGCTCGGTAGGTTGGGGAAGAGGGAGGGAGGGTTAAGAGCGGTTTGAGAAGCGGGGCGGAGGTCAGGTCTAGCAGGGATGGGAAGAGGGAGAGGAGGATGGCCGGAGGGGGGATGTTAGTTGGCGGAGGGCCGGGTTTGTCGTCGGGGACTGAAGGGGTGGATATGAGATTGGAGGAGAAGAGATCGCTAGTGTCAGACTTGTTGACGGTTGCTGTGTCCTTTGGTGTAGTCCACTCTTGCCAGTCTTCCCAGTCGGATGCTGCTGCTTTTGAAGCTGCATTTGACTTAGGAGCAGTCGATTTGGAGGGAGCCGACTTATCGGTTGGGTCTGGTAGGTCTTTAAACTCCTCCCATTCTTTACAGAAGCTATCGTTCTCGATGGATGGCCATGCCGTGACAGGCGATGGTGACGCAGTCTGGGCATTTTGTGCAAAACTAGTCGCTGTGGGTGTCTTCACCTGGAGCTCCTTGAGAGCGTCCGGTTTTCGTTCTTGGAACGAGCCATATGGAGACTTGGGCGCCTCTGGATATGGAGATTTAGGCACCCCTGAGGACAGAGTTGCCTGAATGTTTAAGCCAGCATTGGATAAGGTCAATCCTGCAGGCTGTTTCTTTGGTTGTGCTGGGGGTGGCGTTGACGTTGGTGTCAGTTCCAACGACAGAAGGTCGATTGAAGGCTTTGCTGGTGCAGAAATATCTGGTAAAGCAGACGCCGGCTTCCCTGTTTCAAACTCGCCAAAGTCGTCGTCCTCATCGAGGCCATTCTCGAAGTCTGCATCAAACAAGACATTTGGATCGGGATTGACGGCTGGCTTTTTCGGCTGCTGTGGGCGTTCAGTTTCCCAGGACGGCCTCTGCTGCCAGGGTTCCGATGCTGGTGACTCCAGGCTAACATCCACGAGCCTATTTGTCAGCATATCAATCGTTGGAGCACGCACCGGCCGTGTCCGCGGCTTGTCCTGGTCGTTGTTGACAACAGGGGCTGGCTGAAAAGGAGGAGGAGGGTTGGCCTGAGCAACCTCAAACTCACCCCAGCCCTCATCGTCATCGTCCACAGTCGGCGACTGCTGCTGAGTGACTTGAGATGGCCGCGCCTGAATCACGGAACCCCCAAGGGAGCCAAAAGCACTTAGGTCCCCCCAACCGGTACTTGCCCGCTGCTGACTTGCAGTACTAGTGGTCCATGGACTAGACGGAGTAGGAGTAGTCGTCGTCGTTGAAGACCGCTGTAGGTTCTGTTCTTGTGATTGTAGAACGGTAGGTTCAAAACTAAAAAGAGAGAAGGGATCACTGGGGTCCTGAGCTGTGTTCTGCGACGCAGAGGAGGTTGAGGACTGAGTCGATGCCCCAAAGGCCGCCCATAGATCAGCTGACATGACAGAAACAGGTGCTCGACGAGCCTACTTCTCCACTTCTTGACGCTTTGCTCCACAGAGAGAAACAATGACAATAGTGGATGTTGCAAGAAAGTAAACACGTCGCAGTTTTTGTCAGGTCGGATGGTCAGGATCGCGTTCAAGTCGTAAGCGCTGCGGCTGTTTCTCCTCTTGCTCCCGGTGTTGCTACCCCTGGCTGCTGCACTGATCCTTGTTGCGGGTAACGGCGTCGCCTTTTGCTGGGTTGCTGGGTCTGTAGCACTTCTCAACGAAGGCTATGGCATAAATGTCATATGTCCGGTTTCCAATTTTTTTCTGGATTTTTTGGGAGCTATAGAACGTCAGCCCGGGTATTTTTGGTCAAACCATGAGGATGCGATTCGAGATTCGTGACATGACAAGCAGCCAGTTGGATGAGGTGCTGTCGCTCCCAGACAAGAGCTAGGATCAGGGGCCCAGTGGGGAAGCTTGGCGTGATTTTACACTGCCGATTGGCCTCACGGGGGATCGGTTCCCAAGCGGAAGCCCCACCGATGATCCCCGCGACCAGCGCCACGGCAGAAGGTTAGGTAAGGCAGCCTCATATCAATCACTTCTGTGCCATCTCATCAGTAACACCGTCCAATGCCTCATTCATTTTTTCGCATTGACCATCCATTTTCACTTTGCAATCGAATAATCCAGTCGCAATATAAAAGTCAGATACGTTGAATTAGTGGCGCCATCGCAAATTTCAAATAGTTCGACTATCACGCGTAATCTGTACTTGTTTTCTGGAGATTCGATTGCTTGCGTCTCTCTGGACGGTCATGCGAAGAATCCCGCCATGAGATCGCTGACAGAGGCAAAGTCCGTGTTTCATTCACTTCCGTTTTTTATTTGCCTTGTTTTTTGTCTTGTCTTGTCTTGTCTTGTTTTGTTTTGTTTTGTTTCTTGAATGAATGAAACTGACCTCCGTTACCACCACAGGTCAAGATGGGAGGAAACGTTCAAGTATGGTGGTAATATTGAGAGTCTGCAGAATGCCATCAAGTCCAACAACATTTCCAGCTCCTCCACAGCAGGGCTACGATCGATCTACTGGAAGGCCTTCCTCCTATATCGCAATGCTCCAACCGATCAATGGCTTGAGCTCACTCGCCAGGCGCGTTCTTCATATGCTGCCCTGTGTGAAGAGCACCTAAGATTCATCCGCCATCCCGAGCAGCTCGCAGCTGTCTCTTTTGACCCTCTGGCCGACGATCCTGATAATCCCTGGAATTCCGTTCGCAGGGACGAGGCTGTGCGGGCAGAGATATTGCAAGATGTGCGCAGACTGCCAGACGAGCCATTTTATCACGAGGAGGGAGTCCAGCGAATGATTCTCGACATCCTTTTCCTCTATTGCAAACTTAACTCACGAATCGGGGGCTATCGGCAAGGGATGCATGAGTTGTTGGCTCCTATTGTCTGGGTAGTTGCTCAGGACGCTGTCGACCGCACTCCTCTTACAGTCGATGCTGGCAATGACACTCTTATTGCCGAAATGCTCGACTCCGCCTACATTGAGCATGATGCTTACGCTCTCTTCTCGAAGCTGATGGAGAAGGCCAGTACTTTCTACGAGACAGAGGGCGAAGGGATCAATGGAGAAAAGACCAAGAATACTATTGTGGAAAGAAGCAAGTACATTCATGAAGTTGCCTTAATGAAGGTGGACGAGGAGCTCGCTACACATTTTCAGAACATCGAAGTCCTTCCACAAGTATTTCTCATGTAAGTGATATCTTGATGTTGATGAGATTCAGGGCTGACCCTCACAGCCGCTGGATCCGTCTACTCTTCGGCAGAGAGTTCGAGTTTGACCAGCTTCTCACACTGTGGGACACACTCTTTGCCTTTGATCCCACTCTGGACCTGGTTGATCTCATCTGTGTTGCTATGTTGCTTCGCATCCGCTGGACCTGTAAGCACACTCTTGAGAGCAGCGATCAAAGTGTGACCAAACTGACCACCGAGAAAGTACTAGAAACCGACTATGCAGGCGTCCTTCGGCTATCTAGACAATACCCTTCTCCTCCTCCACCATATGGACCTCATACATTCATCGAGGATGCCATGTACTTGAAGGATCACCTTGATGCCACTGGAGGCGCAACCTTGATCCTGAAGTACAGTGGCAAGAACCCGGTTGTCAAGACGGCCGAGCAACCCAAAAGACCCCTTCCGAACACCAGGACACCATCTTTTCAGAAACTTAGCAGCCTACGGCAACGTACGCTGGGCGCCAGGTCCCCTTTGTCTGTTTCGGCAAAAATTCTGCAGCAGCCCGGAGCTGTTGAGGCTTTACTGCAAGGGGCGGCAAAAAATGTCATGGAGAGGAGCGAGAAGTTGGGCATCAACAGAGCTGTTCGTGATGCCATGGGTGAAATCCGGCGTAATGTGCAAGGTTTCCAAGAAGTCCGCAGTCTATCTAAGGGAAACCGCTCGTCTCCAGTAGACAATGGGGAACCCCTCGTGGAACGCGCAGTCACAATGTCCTTAATGGAGAGAAAGAACCGCAAGTTGGCCGCTATGCTTGGCGAAGTGGTGGCCAGTCTCAAGTCTCTTGAGGCGTCTGGGCTCCATGGTGAGAAGTCTGAGCAGCTCCAAGTCATCAACTCCGCTGCCGCCAAAATTCAATTTATCCAGACCTTCCTGGAAGACTCTACACTTGCTTTGCCAGAAGACGACCTCCCGTCTCTAGGTACGCTCAGCCTATCATCATCCAAGGGAATCAACACTCCAGCAATCGAATTAGACACGGCTCCGTCCGTTACTCCATCATCGGCTGTTGAGGAAACAAGAACCGTTCTCTCAACTACACTACCCAACAGAAGCGTTCAATCTCTCCCACTACTGACCATATCACACTGTCATCCAGCATTAGAAGATCCAGGCAAAATGGACACCGATCCACAAGAATCTGACACCCTCCATCCCCTCCAGTCCGAGCTCACCAACCCATCTAGTTTGGGTTCGTTGGGCTCGCAACCAGTGCCAACATCGAACACACCAAGCGTTGTTTCCGATACTTTCCCAAACCATGCAGGTAAATCTGTGTCTGAAGGCCTAGAACTGCAGCAGCCTAAGCCCACTATCCCGACTCGCTCGACTCTCGCTCAGTCCTCCTTCGCCTGGATGCTTGAGCCAGACACTACCTCTTCTTCCTTGTTTCCATCTCGCAATCGAACAACTTCCTCGTCTTCATCCACATCTACTTCACCATTTCCGAATTCTTTCCCATTCACAAGCCTCAGCCGACCCTCATCGAGCGCCGGAGCTAAGCCTGAATCTACCACTACAACGCCGAAACGTGTCAATTCTAACAGAGAGAAGAACGCATTCCTGTTTGGAGAAGTTGTTCCGAGTCCCGTCAATGTGGATGGTGATCCGCTTGGGGCTGGAACTGTCGATGAGAGAGTCCTAGTGGAAGACGGGATCTTTGGGTTAAAGAGTCTTAGTGGGACAGGGGGTGCAAAGAAAGGACCATTGTAATTGTGACTGGAAGAGAAGAGCATGAACATGGACTATTTCCCGAGCTGTAATCTATTTCTTTTTCAGGCCTTTTATACGCCAAGACCGTGGTGGTTTTTTGTAATAGAAGCTTGTCCCTGGCTACCTGATTGTGGGTGTGTGATATTACAATATGCCGCACTTGCCCAACTGAGCTACACTTTCCGATAACATTGAATAGAACTTCTACAAATTCTACAATGATATTCCACTCTAATTGCTTGGTATTTCATTTCAAGACGGTTCACAGGCAATTATCGGTGAAAGGTAGCTTCAGTGTAGCCGGAAAGCACAAACCCTTCAACTCCGGGTTGGCAATATCAAGGGTGGAAGGCATGTCAAGCAGGGAAGCTAGATCAGATGTCACAATCCATCGCAAATTCTGTTGACTAGTTTTTTTTTTCATTGACTTCAATGGAAGCTGTGTTATCACGCTTCTGTTCCTACAAACCCTTCAAACCCCCTCGCCAGTCCCCAAACAGATCACCGCTTGAAATTGTCTGTTGTCGTCTCTTGAAGACTTGGGTTTTCAGAAATTTGGACCTTTTCAGGGCGAAGTCATATTTTTTTTTACTGAAGTTGCCCGTATGATGTATATCCCAAATTTGTCTCAGATCTATCCTGGTGTTATCCTGCAAGCTAGACTTCAACTCCTAAGGCCATACCTAGGTATGTTCGTCCCGTTCTAAGCTGCCACCAAGCCGAGTTGGTCTCTCATTTCTCCTCGCTTATCACACAAACTGAGGGCACAACTGAGACACCCTCCACACAACAGACATTGAAGTTCGCAGCAGTAATCAATACCAGGCAGTCAGGATCATGCTGAACTGAGAAACTGAGACAGGAACAACTGGTAGGAACCACGGGAGAGTTGAGGCCTTGGGTTTCTAGTCACATGGCTTACCAACAAGTCTATGAGTATGACGGAGATTTTAGCTTCCCTTTTTCAACGGCGGGAAGTCCTCGTGTCGCTCATTGGCCGTAGCAACCCCCTTCGTAAACCAGCTGCAAAGTTCCCAGACTGCCCGGGTTGCAGTTCCTGGTTCATAGTTCTTTGGGAAGGCTTTCCCGGTCATCTGCCGTCCCGCATCTGATGCATATGCGAAGTTTAGGCCGACAACGAACGCCATCCGGCGAGCAAACAAAAGCCCAAGAAGACCATCCCATCCCTAGAGAATCAATGCCGCCTTTCCATTCCCTCGGGCATGGGTTTGCATGGCAGGCAAATGCCGGCCAAGACTATCCCCAGATCCGAAACGCAGGAACAACTCAGTAACTCGTCATCTCCTCACATACAACTAGCGTAGCTTGCTGCACAACTCGTCAACGTTACCACCACTATACCGCAGGGAGTCTAGCGCAGCATCCCAAGACTGCGGCTTGCGTCCGTTAAGATACAAGGACTCCAGCAGAACGCCACTACGGCACAACGGAAGCTCCCTCAATAGAGCTGAGTGTTACAAGAATCTTGTTCATATGCATTTCACTTTACCATGTTCCGCAGCCACAGCTTCAGATATGCATTCCTAACCAGGGCCACGAACATGTTTCTCTTGATAGGTATGACACAAACAAGCTGCGCACAAGAGAATCATGTCATAGCCCTGAGTGATAAGGCCAGTAGCTAGAATCGACAGATAACCGCACGACGTTATGACTGCTGTCAAAACGTCACTGGATGAGGTTTCAAGACGGGAACTTAAAGCCGGAGCATAGTACGAAGTTAGTGTACGGAACAAAACGGCAGAAAACAGTCCAGGACAGGCCTTGTTTGGCCATCGTAGTGCACGGTGATGCGCAGGGATTGTTAGGGTATGATCGCCAAGTTTGTTAGTGGATAAGTATCGTGGTGTAGGCAGCACAGCTATACACAATTGTACTTCAGACCACGGCTTACACAATCGCAACGTTGGTAGGCTGGAGGGCTGAAAGGCCAATGCAAGATGATCAATCGATGTTTGCCACTGATCTTCCCTTCCATTTTAACATGCTCTTTCATTGTTTCTTCATCTTCTGCTACCACAGAAAAGTTTGATAGAATAGAACAAAGACCGACGTTCCTATCAGTCAGCTGAAAACCATCATCAAGGCTCGAGAGAGAGAGTCGGTGAGGAATTCCCCACAACCAAACACGCTGTTGTGCGTAGTGTCTCCGGAAACAGCCGCGCCAAGAACCAGGCCGTTGTCTCGGAATTATTCAACTCTTAGATAGCTATGTAATATCATAAACATTACCAACAAACCTTGTCTTTTGAACGGAGAGGGTAGAGGAAATGGCTGAGACGCACCATCAAGACGAGATGCCGGGCAGAAGAGCCAGCGTAAGGCAACGCAAGGCAATGCCAGGATCGCAATCCATCCCAATGCTCTGCTGCAGATGGGTATAGTTCCCGTGAAGCCATGTTCATGCCGCAACTCTGCAACCCTCAGGGAAATCAGTAAGTTTTCCAATGGGAGCAGCCAGCAAGAGAGGGGTGTGCGCTTCTTGGCCTTCTTTGGATTGTGCTGGCTGCAGTGATGATAATTGGCAGATGGGTAGAAAACCTCCGAACAAGGAAAGCAAAAAGAAAGTTGCAAGGCGCCAAAAAAAAAAAAACAAAAAAAACCCTCTCTTTTTGGGAAGTGGTCTTGCCAATTCAACCAACCATCAATTCACCGACTAACCTTGGTTCTTTCTTCTCAGCCTTTTCGCATATGATAGGCTACTAGGGTTGACGAAGCCGACATCTGCGTTGCCGCTATCGTGAACTGTGCCCCCCACGTAGACAGACGCCACAGGAAGATCTTCCATTGTTCCTTGCAGCGAACTATGAACTCCGTCAGGAACTCCTATTTTCCAACATCATCGCCAACAAGCACCGTATACACACTGACTTTACAACAGTCACCTATACAGTACGGATTACAGATGTGCTTGTACATAATCCAAATATATCCAACTTTGGTAGGTAGCATCAACACACAAGCAAATACCCCGGAATGAACACAGGAAAGCACAGACGCTAACGGAGCATCCGCAGCCGCGCGGCGCGCGGGTGGTCTGCCGACCATGACAGCTTCATGGTGGTGTTCCATGGAACGTCGTCCATTCATTGTCAGCCGTTGTGTGAGCACAGACATCTATTAAGGCACCGACATTGACTAACACATTGAACTGGACATGCCGACAGAGTCTGTTCACCATCGATGGAGGGAACTGCATCGATGGTCCAGTTGTTGTTTTTGAAAAAGTACACCAGATGTAAAGTCGGGCAAGGTGAGGACAGCTGTGCTGTTGCGGCATGCAAACAACATGCTGTACGCAAGTATGTAGGGTCAACAAGTGGCAGTCGCTTCTTGAAACAAGACGACGAAACCTCGGGAGGGAAACCATTGCAGACAATAACACTGTCAGAGGTAAGTTGAGGTGGACTTGACGCTACATCAGGTAACGGTATGTAGCCTTGGTTCACACCACAACTACCCACTTGTATGTAGAGTGTAGCATCTGGAGCAAAAAAGATGACACCGTGCCATTGACCTAGGTATTCATTGACAGGTCTTTTAGAGTTGAAACAACCCGAAAGAAAACAAGCAATTGCAGCCGAGGACAAAGACTTGATGCTATTATGTCATCAGGGTAAGGTCGATGAGAAGCCAAAATAACTTTCAATCCTCAGTTGGAAGAATTGGCTCATATTCATGCTCAATTGTCAACAAGCGACACAGAATATCTCCAGCTTCATCATCCGCGGGTCTTTTCAGTGCCAATTACCGTCCGTATGGGCAAGCGAGCGGGGTTGCTGCGGCTCGCACTCGGCTAGAATCGTGGGGGAAGATGATTTGATGATGCCCTCGGGTGTTTTCTTCTGCCCAGCCCTGTGCCCGCGCAGTAGCCCAGCGACAACTGTCGCCGTCGCCAGGGGTCGGGGCTGGGCGAGGCAAGGGGTAATTTTTATTTTTGTGGAGGGTTCCTAAGCGAAAAAAAAGAACTCCACCCTGGGAAAACAACCCAAGCCTGAAAGTGAGCTGTGGACGAAACAAAGTGGATGGAACGAGCTCCGAGCAGTTGTTCCTCTCTTCTCATTGGTGCTGTGCCACCTGCTGTGTTTGGAAAACATCTGGACAACACGAACTCTATTGTTTCGCTGGGCTCCTTCGATGGAGCTTCCGTTTGATTGTCAATTTGTGCAGGGCTGTGTGATAATTTTGGACAGGAAAAACTCCGAGTCACTAGTCAAAATAGTGCCAACGTTAGTTTTACCACAAATGGGAGATACAATTGAAAAGAAGCCTTCGAGAACATGACGCGTTGAGGCAACGACTTCGGTGATCTCCAGGTGGCTGTCTGGACATCTCACGTGTTCTGGCTTAGCCGTAGAGTCTGTTCTCTTGCTTCGCAAGCCTTGCCAGCAGTCGGCACATGCGGTTGGCTGTCGGCATGCGGCTTTTCCGGGTCCCTGGCGCTGGCTTCGACGATCAGACTGCTGCAGGCGCAGGTTGGGAAAAAAAAAGCCTTTGTCTTCTGTCCGTCACACCGCTCTCTCTGACGATCTTGGCCTTTTTCTTCGTGCCTGACGCCGCAAAGAAGCCAGCACCATGCCCCGCTGAAGTGAGCGAGTTTCTTTGCTGTTGTGTCTGCTGCTATGCGCGTGATGGATTAGCGTAAAGAATGTCTCAGGGAACCGCCTGCTGAGGTAATTCTCATGATTTCCAAGAGAGAGGTTGCAGGAGAAGGAACGGAGCAAAGCGCTAGCGCATTAGGTATTGGGTCGCTGGTTGGCTGCGTGTA